GCGCCTGGAACCTGTTTCCAAGCAATTAGAGCACTAGCTACGTTTTAGTAACAGAAATCTCGCATATCTTTAAAAAATAGCTGAGTTATTAGATTTGCAGTTTTTGGCCTGAATTTTTCGATAATCGTTTTTTTTTGGAAACACGCCGAAGGAGTCTGAACGGAGGAACCTGTTTCTTGTTCCGAATTAAATGGCGGTCATTTTGGTCGCTCGACTGGCAAAAAATATTCAGAAAAGACAGAGTTATTAGAATTTTTGTGAATGGCGACAGTGAGACGGATTCCGAAATTGTGTCAGAACTTGAATCAATTTGGTCTTCACGCATGCTAGTTGTAGAAAAAGGCTCAGGATAAAGTTTAGATCATCGAAATACGTCAAGAAGAAGCTGAGAACTGCATAAAACTCTTCATTCAACCGTCTTCTTTGCTCTGCTTGTTTCAAAAGACTTCTCAGATTCATAATCCACATTGCACAAAAATTATATTACAGAAATCAAACGGGTTCAACAAACGGGGTTTTCTCATCAATTAGAACGTGTTTCAACGGAAGGTCAGTCATATAAATGTGAATAGTGTTATGAAAACATTGAAAAAGACGATTTATTCGTTGAAAAAGGGAACATGAAAGAGTTGAAGGGAAGCGGAGGAAAGATAAAAAGATGAATTACAGACATGGGGAGAAAATCAAGTGCGATAAAGGCCTCGCAATCGAATGGTGTCAGCGGAGGTGTTCGAAGGGCGGAGCAAGCAGCCGAGCGGAACCGCATCTTCTCGTTGGAAGCCGAAAATGAGGCGCTGAAAGCTGAAGTAGATAATCTCCGGAATCAGTTGCTGGAAGTCAAACAGGAGCTTCAGCAGGAGAAGAACCACAAACTGTTTTTGCGTGAAAAGCTCACCGACCAGAGACAAGGAGTTTTAATGCTCCAAGAAGAAATCGCCGAGAAGAAGAACGAGTTGATTGGAGTTCGTTACCAGCTGGAACAACTGAAGGTTGAACAGACTACCTCCATTAACAAAGCCAAAGCGTCTGTTGAAAAAGTCCACATGGTGAGGATTGAGGCCATGAAAGAGGAAGTCAATCATCTGAAAGAGTGTTCCCTGAGCCCCAAAGTCCCTCAGAAACCATACAACGACTTGAAAACGAAGGAGACGAAAAGACAGCGGTTCCAAACGGTTGCCAAAGCGATTGAACAGTACGTGGGACCTGAAAATCTAGATGTCTTCTTGGCGGATTTCATCCAGTACATTGCCTCTAACGAGGCGTACTCGTTCGCCACGACACTCGACGCGTGGGACTCTTTCGTCGCCTCGACACGCTGGAAGTTTTCCGACGGGTTTCTGAAAGACTTCAAGGCTTTCTGTAAAAAGAAGCTAAAATTCGATATCTTCTCTTCTCGGCAGTCAATTTCGAAGATTAAGAAGAGATTTGACCCAGATGCTGATTATTACATCGTAATCGAAAGAACGAAGAAGAAGACGAGATCTGGAAAGGACGTGGTCGTGCCTACCGCTGTTATTACGGCTCGGGACACGGCGAATCTTCTTTCTCGGCGCCTCACTACGCTGCACAAAAACGGTCGTCTCAGATTCGACGAGTCAACCGGTGACGATATCGTTGTAGGATTTGGCGGCGACAAAGGTGCTGACTTGACGAAGATCGTTGGAGTCCTGCAGAACGTCGACAACCCCAACAATGCCCACAATTGTCTTCTTCTTGGAATGTACTCAGGAAATGACGACCATCCAACATTGAAAGCGAAAGTGGCAGGAGTATTTGACCAAATAAACAACCTGAAAACTGTCACTTATCTGGAGAACGGGAACCCTGTGACTCGGAAAGTTGTGAAAAGAGCGCTCGGAGACTGTAAATTTCTGTCCGCCGTCTTCAACCACGCTGGCCAGTCGTCCAAATTTCCTTGTTTTGCCTGCAACGCGAGCTGGTCGAGCCACGGATCACATGCAGCAACCCTGGCAACATTTCCATTCGAGCTGTCAGGTCCCTTGCGAACACTGGAGCAGCTTCTGAAGGAGGGGTCTCCACTTTTGAAGTGTAATCCGGAAATGGCTGGTCCCCCCCAGCTTCACGTGTTTCTCGGCATTGTGCAGTCGTACGTGGTTAACTGGTTGATTGCCCTCGCCAATAGAGAAGATTACGGACCGGATGTGCTCCCCATTGATCTGAAAAAGCAATGCAAAATGTTGAAGACGTTGGAGAGAGAAGAACAGTGTTATGAGTCGCGTGCAGAAGGTCTCCGTTCCGCTGTTGGCAAAGCGGAAAAAGTCATGGAAGTGATCACGAAAGTGGCTGGAAATGCATCCGTTCGCAGATCAGAGGTTCATCGTTGTGGATCAGCTTTCTGTGTCGCCTCGATATCGAAGAAGTCCGCATTTGGAAAGATCTCTTCTTTCCAGTGCACCACGTGCAACAAGAACATCCACTGTGTTTGCGGTTTCGCGTTCACTCCGGACGATGAGCACAAATCCGCGGAAGGCAAGTATCGATGCGTTGATTGTCGCGTCGGAACCATGGACATCAACCAGAGAAAGGATCATCTGCAAGAGCTTCTCGATTCCCTGAGTGCGCAGTTGGAGAATGATGAGGATGTGCTGCAAGATGTGATTTCTGAACGAGAGGAACTGGATGGAATGCTGAAGAAATCGAATGGCCCAACTAGGAAGCATCTCGAAGAGGCGTTTCGATCAATCGGATGCGATCACAGAGTGTGGTACCAAGAGTTGACTGGAAACCAAGTGAGGAAGCTTCTTCGGTCCTCGAGTATCGACCTGATTCTCGCTGTTTTCCCTCCAAGCAACGAGATCGACATGATGCGCAAGGTGATGGGAAATCTGGAATTTCTGATGAGTCAGGCCGACAACAAGATCAAATCAGATGCGGACATCGATCGCATCGAAGGAGTGATCGATTTGCTCGTTTCAAACCTGCGCGATTTGCAACCTGATGCTTCAGTGACCCCGAAGCTCCATCTGCTCGCTGCTCATCTCGTTCCGTACCTCCGCGAGAACAGGAGTTGGGGGAGAATGACAGAGCAGGGACTGGAGTCCTTGCATGCCGTCATCAACACCCTCACGAGTCGTTTCGCTTCCGTCCGGGACGTGAGGCTCCACTTCGTCCTCATTCTTCAGCAACTGTCGAATTACAATCTTCTACACGATACAGGCATTTCCTGGCATCAATCCGACTAAGCTTTGAATAAATTATTGTTGAATGTCGTCCAGATTCCGTCCGAGTGCATCATTCCGTCTCTATTCTGTTCTTCCAAACAGTGCTCTTTCCCAGTACTCGAGAATACCTAGAACAACGTTTTTTCGGGGAAGCATTTGGAGTTCACCCAAACTGACCCCGATTCTTTCTTTTTTCACTTATTCAAACGGTCACTTCCGTTTCTGTCGAGCTGCAAATCAAGTGTTCTGCGTATTCCTCAATTTCTCGTTTCTGAAACAAGGGTTTTACGGAGAGTTCCTGCCAAACTGACAGCTTTTATCAAGTTTATTTTCTTCCATTATTCGAATCTGAGAAAAGTAGAACAAGTAAAAAAGAATCGAATGAAAATTGATTGAGACTCCGAAAATAACTGAACAGCTGCAGCAGAAGCAAGTGCGGCGACCCGATTGCGCGAAATGATGCAATCTTGCTACGACACTCCGTCCTTACACCGGCGCCTTCTTTAGCATTCGCGCTCTGGGAGACCGTGGGAAGTTGTTTGCGAAATACTCGAAAATTCGAACTGTCTGGCTGTTCGAAGTTTGCGAGAAATGCCGTGCTCAGCTCTAACACGGGCGGCGCCCCGATAGTTCAAACCACACTTTTGACACCGAAAAACACTGCTCTCATGGGTGGGACACTTTGCAACCATTCTCTTTGTGTCTGAACGCTTTGAAATCATAATCATAGTTGTTGGACGCTTTGCAACTGTCTCTATCGAGTTTGAACACTCTGCAACCGCTATCTCCGAAGTTGGATGTTTTGAAACCATTTGATTCCAGCTGGGACACTTTGCAACAATCTCCATTGTGTTTGCGAGCCGTCTTTTAGTTGCGAAAGTGTTCAAAGCGCCGTAGGAAAGTGGAAGAACTGCCAACCGACAAACACAGAAATTCACCTTCTATTCTTGTACTTGTCGTTTTTTTCGCGTTGTTGCGCAGTATGTGATTCAAAGAATTCTGTTCGGAAGACAGTCGCGCACACTCTTTTATAAATACTTTGACCAAACATACACCAAAATGTGTATGTGACTGGTTCTTGTGCGGGGAGAATGCGCGCAAAGAAACCATTTTTTTTTGGTAAAAATATTCATTGGAATCAGTAGATGGAGGGGGGAGAAAGAAGGAAGGAAGGGGTGGATGAAATGGAAAAGGAGAAAAAGGAGAGGAAACAGGGGGAAATTGGAGAGGAGATTTCGGTGAATTTTTCGTGACGTATTCAATATTCTAAGAACAAGCAAACGAAGTAGACTTGAGAATTAAAAGAGTACCTTCTCCCACATACATATTTAGACTGTTTTTAAATTTTTTGTGTATAAATAAATAAGCTGCAATTATTTTCAAACGGAGAAATTGGGTCCCGGGGGTTGGGTTAGTCTCACAACTAATAAAAGGAACAGGTGAAAAGAACGGCGAAAAATACATTTTACTGTAAATTTTATGGGATAGTTCGGGAAACAAGGAAAGGAGAACACAGAAGGAGAAAAGGAAAAGAGTGATGCGAATGAGCGTTATCGGCGAGGAGGAATAGTGTGCTCGATGGAGCGAGTTCGCAATAAATGTGTAGAAGAAGAAAAAATAGGAAGAGCATTCAAAACTCGTTTTTAGTGCGCGGGGGTGTCTGTGTGGAAGATAGTGTCAGGCTACAGTAGAACGAGGGGGAAAGGGGAAGGGATAAACGCTGAAATGGAACAAAAACGGATGGGTAAAATGAGAGAAAGTAGGAAAATCGGGGGGAAGTGGGATGGGCGGGATCTTCGACGGTTCTTGTCCAATCTTTTACTTCTTTCCACCAGTCGTTCCAGGTCGTCCTCCGCCCACTGCCGGCCGTCCACTGTTCATTCCCTGGTATTGATACTTGGCCTTCTTCTCCGATGGTTTCAGAATCTGCAAATGATCGAAATGATTCGAGAGATCATTGAGAAAAGAGGCTGTTGTCGTACGTCACGAGCACTCAACTCTTCCTTAGATAACCCTCGACCGTCGCCCTCCGATGCTTATTAGTTTCGCACCGCCGAGTGGTTGCCAGTTTACCACTGCCAGCCACCCCAATCTGTTTGCTCGCGCCCCACTAATTGTACCCTGTGTTTGATAAAGAAACCTGCTCCGCATGATCGGATTCATCATTGATCCGTTCATTAGAATCATCCGTGATTTCTGAAGGTTCAGTGCCTTGCGAAACTTTTTTGACGCAACAGGTAAACGAGGGGCAAATCCACTCGAGTTTGTTGTTCTTCTCGAGAAGGAACACTACGCAATTCGCATTGTCAACAATTTTGTGCTAGAGTGGAGGACCCACAGGGGGCTTCAAAGAATCACTCACGCACGAGGAGTCCCAATAGGGACGCTCTCTTCACGCAGGGTGCATGACCCCTAATTTAGTTGCCACAACTCAATTTCTCATCCATTTTTCCGATTGCTTTCTATTTGTGCAAGATCAAACTCTCCTTCCGGCCACATTATTCAGAAAAAGGGGTCCATTGCTTACCTGGAAGCTGCACATTAGCGTCTCATCAACAGACATCATTCCTCCCGCATTGTCGAACTCTCCACAGTAGTTTGGCGCCGAGAACAGCGTGACGAGCTGTCGTTTTGCGAAGAATTCGTAGCCATCCTCAACGACCTGGTGAGCACGGCATATAAGATCCAGGTCGTGTCGATTCAGGAATTTGGCGACGACGTCCGGTCCAAAGGTGAAGGAGACTCCACGGTCATTCTCTCCCCATCCAGTCACGTCCTTATCCGGATCCGACCAGAGCAGGTCGCACAGAAGACCAGTATCCGGCACATCGGTCGGTCGCATCACACGACGAATCTGCTCCATATTTTGAAGATCCGGAGAGAGACCTCCGTGGCAACAGAAGATCTTCTCATCGATGAGAGCCGCGATCGGAAGACAATTGAAGCAATCGGTAAACGTCTTCCACAGCTTGATCGAAAAACGTCTCTTGCCTGAAATTGAAAATTTTGAAATTCTCAAAATTCTCCAAAAATACTCACATTCATCGTAGAATCCGTAGATACGGTTGATGGAAGCGCATTCGTGGTTTCCACGGAGCAAGAAGAAGTTCTCCGGATATTTCACTTTGTACGCCAAAAGCAGGCAAATGGTCTCGAGACTCTGCTTTCCACGATCGACGTAGTCACCGAGGAACAGGTAGTTGGCCTCTGGCGGGAATCCTCCGTACTCAAACAGACGGAGAAGATCGTTGTACTGTCCGTGAATATCTCCTGAAAGTTGGGAGAATTATTTGACTTTTTTTTCCCTAGTGACTTTCGCAGAAAATGATCGCACTTCTTAAAACATTTTATTGGTGAGTCAGCACAAGAAAAATGCTTTTCGATCAGATTCAACTACCCCTTCCGACAACTTTGAAATGTAATCCCTTTAAAGTCTGTAGAGCAGCTGCGTTTCGTCAGCTGTTCAAGCGCAAAAAAAGGCTCGAACCAAAGAACTAACCGCATATCTTGAGCGGCGCCTCGAGCTCCAACAGGATCGGCTGCGACAGGAAGATTTCGCGAGACTTGTGGCAGAGAGCGCGGATCTCGGCCTCCGACATGGTGACTGGCTTTCCGGGACGGCATCCGCGAACTGTAAAAGTCTCTCGTTTGCTTTGGAATGCGAAAAAGAATTGGAAATACCTTCGAGGAGCCGGGTGATCAGGTTGTCAATGTTTAAATCGTTATCGTTTGACATTGTTTTTGTGGCGGAAACGACTGCTTCGTTCTCCGCGGCTTCTGCTGAATGCTTCTCGAGCGGACGGAGCGGAACGTTTGCGTGTGCGTGTGGCGTGTATTGGCCAACAACTGATATCGGTTGTGGCTGGAAAATAAATTGATAGCGGTGTGAGAAAAAATAATAATTGAAAAGAGGAACGGGCAATTGGAAAGAAAAAACTGGACATTAGAAAATGACAGGAAGTCACGTGTGTCACAGCACTTCTGGGAACCAAAAGAAAGGAAATCCGAAGAAATGGAGCTCCGTTTCTGCACATTTCCGGAGTAGGCTTTCAGAAAGAGTGAGGAAGGAAGCAAAACATGTCAGCGGTAGAGGAAACGAGCAAACGAATAGTTTAACGGGTTGTTTATGTAAATTTCGAAGAGAAAAAAACTAAAACAAGTCACAAACTGCGATGTGGATCACCGATTCGAGAGAAAAAAAAGTGGAGAATTGCGTTGTAGACAAATCAATTTGCAGATAGCAACTGTAGAAAAGTAATGTTTGTTTGTGTTCTAGAGCACTTTTCTCTGACAGCAAACGCCAACAAAAAGCCGTTTCGAAACCATATAAATTTGACCGTCTGCGTCTCACTTCTCGAAATGACTCATCAAAGTTCTCGCCTCTAGACGGTCGGTTTCCCGGTCCATTTGATGTTATACATTTATATAGTTTCGTCAATGAATATCGCACGTCGCGAAAGAATCAGCCGGCGCCCGTTCTCCCTTATCAGCGACCCCGAGGAGGAACATGTCATAAACACGACACCGCCGTCGTCACAGCAGGCGGATAATATTACAGCGGGCGGGGGTACGCGGAGAGAAGAGAGGCGAACCGAAGGCTTTCAAAAATCGGAGAGAAGACGGAGAAACATGTGGTTGTAGTCAAGCAAAGTGGGTGCATCAATCGTCGGTTGAGATGAGAATAAAAAGAGGAGCGAAAAGTGACGACGGACGGACGGACGCATGTGTGTGTATGTATGTGTCGGTCTGTGAGTATACGAGTGCTGCGAGAGAGGAACGCGCGCGATCCACCGGCCGCTGCCCGCAGTATTGATCGATAACTCGCCGCTTCCTTCCTTCGCCGAAACAATTCGCTGTTATTGCCTAGTCATGGGCACGTGCGCCACTACCTCTAGTACGACAGTACACAGACGATGTCACTGAATCAAAAAGAAGGCGGTCGCTTCCGAGAAAGTATTATCGCTTATCAATAGTCTTATCGTGTGATGGTGGCGGTTCTAACAGTTCTAACGGGCCTAAAAAATGAAATGCTTTCTACCCGCCTGGCGAAACGGACAGAGGTTTAGAGATGAAAACACAAAACGAAGAGACCTCGTTCTTGCTCGTCTAAAGCAAACGTGGTAGAGATGTACAAGTATTTGCACGCAAGAATTTCGAAAGACTGCGGGAAGAACAAGGATGGGACAGTAAATACTTCGCGTGCGGTAGAGCGCAGTTTCAGACTTCTTTCCCATTACCGGTTAAATTTAAAAAAAACTAATAAGCAGGCTCGTTCGGGAAATGGAATTTCAGAACAAATAGGCATAATAAAATTTTGGCGACGCGGGAATTTCGTAATTCTGTTTATACGAAATGAGATCAATTTGATGACTCATACAATATTTACAATAGATGCTAGATTAGTCTCGTGGTGATTCTCTAGCATTCTATTGAATTTATAAAAACAGTGAAAGCCTAGTCGCGTGTCGCTGTGGACTCATTTTTAGAGAGGAATTTCGATAACAACTTACAAACTCGATGGAATTTTTGACAGCAACAAACACACAGTTTCGATCAATTTTTGAGAAAAGAAACGCAAAAGTAACGGTCCAATTGAAACCGACGAAAGTAATTTGAAAGTCCGCAGACACTGTGCGCAGGTGTACGCATTGTTGCACAGAAAAAACGACCGTATACCCCAGAAGTTACTTTGAATTTTAGAGTGACGTTTTTTCAGATTATTATTATATCGAATAATTTTAAGAATTTCGCTAAAAATAGAATTCTTGATACGAGTTTTCTCGTCACACTCAATTTATCGCCCCTGCCCCTTGACGATGAAGCCAAAGTTTCTGAAATTAGACTTGAATACGCAAAAAGCGAGGGCGGAAGCGATACTGAAAATTGTTGTGTTTAATTTTATAAAGTCGAAAAAGCGCAGGGAGTAGAGTGAAGCCTATGATTCATTTCGAGAAATGTACGTGGAAAAGAGCGGAGCGAGAAAACTAAGACGGAAAGGAAATGGAAAAAGAGCGAGAAGAAGGGGCCGCAGGGCACCGCGAAGCTTGCGGGCCGACGAGAGGGCTCCAATTCAATTTATTGAATCGCACAAAAAAGTTGTTGACTAAACAAAAATTGCGAGGTTTTGAGAGAGAATGGGAACGACCATCGATTAGTAGCCACATGGAATGGGAACAATTCCATAAAATGCCGTGAAGGGGGCGAGAATTCAAACGGAAACATTGACGGGAAACTGAAAAGATCGGCTGTCGCTGATAGCAACAATAAGGTCGGAAGAGTGCGCAGAGAAAGAGAGGGAACAATCTGAATGATTGCAGCCACTCCCTCTTAATCGAATTACGTCGAAACGAGCGCCGCCGCCGCCGACCTAGTCGCCGTTCTCCGCATTTCTTCTCCAGATGACCGATGATGGTACACTTGGACGCCTCCTGAATGCCTAATGACGTGGCGCGACGGAGGGCATGTATACTTCTTCACCAGAATACACAATCAGAATGCGGCCGTTTTTCTGTCTCGAAAAAAAAGGAAAAAATGAGAGAAGAATGCGACATTGTGTGTGCGTTTTGAGCGGAAAAAGTCGAAAGATCTGTTCTTTTTTCCGGGAAAGTTTCAGATTTCAGTGACAAGTTGAAAAGAGAGGACGACATTGATATGTTACAGATGAACAGGTCATGGTGGTGGAGGACCGGTGAACCCACGCGAAGCCAATCGCAATTTTCGCTGTCGCGCGACCCGGAAGTTCTTCTTTAGAATCGCAGACCTTTTTTGCGCGAATTCATTCATTTCGAGTCATTCCACGTGGAAACTGGATACTTTTCCAAACCTCCAGCAGATGAATATCAATTTCGTTTTCAATGAGTTAGAAAAATAGTCAGATGACGTGGCGTTGCAGTAAAAAACACTGGAAAAGAAGAGAAACAAGAGATAGTTCCAGAAAAAAAGAGAATTCTAGGAATTCAAGATCCCCGGGGACACAGATTTCTGGTCCAGTATTTCAGAGAAAATTGTGTGATTCGATTAGATCGCCGAAATTTCGGAAAGCTTCGGAGCAAAAGGGCGGAAGAAAAGCGACGTAAAGCGAACGTCATTAACAACGTGAGCACGAAGAAAAAGCTGAAAAACACGAGACACAATTGTGCACAAACCCGTTTTTATGAGCTTTGGAGCTGTCTGGAGCAAAGAAAACAAATAAATATATTGTCGGAGGAAGGTGATATTGGAAAAGAAAAAGAAGAGAAAAGAATCTGGGGAGAGATGACGTCGACTTGTGCTCTTTCCCACTTCGAATACTGCCCGTTTCGTGCTCAATTGCTCCTCGGAGCACGTAGTGGCGAAAAGAAGACGACGAAGGAGAAGACGGCGGAAAAGAAGAAGAGAGAAGGCGACGAAGAGGAGGAGCTCGCGGAGCAGAAGACGGGGCACCGAGGCCCCTCTTTGTGCCGGCGGAGAGCAGAGAGATGAGGCCGAGAAGAAGAAGAAAAAGAAGATGACGGAAAAGAGGCGGAAGAGAACGAAAACCGCTGTGGGAGAGAAACGAAGGCATGCCTTGATTCGGGCAGAAACGAGTGGCAAGTTTGGGTTTTCGAAGCGAAGCTCCTCGAGGAGACGTCGCGCGCCGCTCGCCGTGAGACCAATTGGGCGGGGATTACCGGAGAGAAGAGCACTGCCGAATGGCAACCTGCACTTTTATTTTGTTGTTTTCAATTAGAATGACATTGAAATGAGAAGAATAACAAGTGTTGTTTTCTGACAGATTTGGCTTGTTTTCGTCTCGATGGAATTGTCCTCTGATTGAAGTACACGCATTCTGGGAAGAACAAAGAAAAGGGATATGAGTGGTCTTGTTGGTGGCCAGAGAAACACGAGCGGACCACAAAACATTCTACTCTTCGATCACCTAACATTCGGGCCCAACAATTGGTCTCCTTTCTTCTTCTTTTCCCCACAAATTGCCACGAATTATATGTGTGCACCAACCAGGATTTCCTTTTTTCAGCAGCTCCCATCGAGAGAGCTGTTTTCGATTCGCGCCGACTAGATTCTGCAATTGCTAATGAGAAAGTGTCATGCTGTGAGCTCGGATATCTTGATATTTGTGAGCATTCCCAGAAAATGAAGGCGTGAGAGTGCTGCTGCTGAAGCTAGCTGAGAAAACGGAACATTGTGAGCAAGACGATTGAACGAAAAGGGACTTGAACCAACTTTATAAATAAAATAAAACTGAATATGCGCGGAAACCGGTAATCCGAACTGAAATTGAAATCAAGTTCAAAGTTCTCATTGCAGATCGGAAAGAACGTGAAACAACATTTGAGCAAAACGAGAGATGAAGTAGGGAAGCGAGGGAAATGTGCGTGGAAATGGAAGAGTTATCATTAGTTGGATGGACCAGGCCACCACTGAGTATTGGTCATGTACGAAGAGTTGCACGATCCGTTGGAGAAGTAGCCGGAAGTGGCTGGGAGGTAGGCGGACGGCGTCGACAGGTAGCCGCTGTTGGCGCTTCCGAAGGCCACCGCCGCTGCGTACGGCGAAGTGGAGGAGATGTCCGAGGAACGCGCCGACGAGTCACGCACTATCATCGAGATTGGCATTCTGAAACAAAGAGAGACTTGAAGACTTGAGGACCAAATTCCAAAACTTACGTTCTCGTCGGGAATGGAGTCGTGGCGGATTGCGTCGCGAATGTGCTGGGCATTGAAGAAAGAATGGACGCCGGCTTGTCCTGATGGCTCTTCTTCGTCTTGTAACTGAAATGCTTTCCGTCAAAGACTCTACGCTCTCTCTGATTCTCACTCACCGATGATTCTGGAACCAGATCTTGACTTGTGTGGGCGTCAATCGGATCTGCATTGCGAGCTGCTCTCTTTCCGGCGCACTCAGATACTTTTGCGTGCGGAATCGCCGCTCCAGCTCGTACGTCTGCGCCTTCGTGAACAGAACTCGCCGCTTTCTCTTCTTCCGCTTCCCGGTCCCGTCGTCCTCCTCGTCGTTCTCATCGTCCATTTCATCGATTATCTCTTCGTCGGTTTCCACTTTCACTCTACAAATTCAACAATTGGGAAGCTGCTCCATTCTCTTTCTTACCCGTCCTTTCCATTTTTCGACCCATTCTCGATCATATCATTTTCAGGCCGTTGGAATGGATCCGCTGGCGGAAGAGTGTACATCGGACCTTCAAAGAAAGAGAGATTATAGAGTACAACAGAGTTTGTGATCGGTACCTGCGATTCCATTGGAAGCGAAATAAGAGGGATCATATCCGCCGTAGGCGCACTGATCGAACGCGAACGAAGGCGCCGTCGAGTAGCCTGGAAACGAAAGAATTCCGGCTGATGCTTCGGTGGCTAATTGCATAATTTGGGAGGACGCGGACGGGAACGACTCGCGATAAGAGTCGCGGCGCCACGAGGGGACAAGAAGAAGAAGAAGAAGAAGCTCGCCCGACTGTTTACTCGCATCCGTTAGCTTCCGACTCTTCTGGGCAAACATCAGGAGGAAATAGCGGGCGGAAATGGGATACGCATAGTTATACCCCAATACAGTATCCACTACTGTACAGGAAAGGGTCGATATCGTGGTGTTGTGTTACTTATTCGCCGCCTTTACAAGGTGTGTTACACAACAATCGGACATTGGATACTAGGCTTACCTGCAAGCAACGGAATGTCGGTCCACGTGGCACATTGCAGATTCGTATCCGATGGGAGACTTCCGTTCAGCGGCTCCCATTTCGGCTCTAGTCTGCTGGATCTGGAAGCGCAGAACATTGCGAAATGAGAAGGTGTCGAGGCGAACGGGGAAAGCTTATATAGGCGGTGTTTAGGCGGATTTCAAGAGTTCGGGTCTTCTTTTTGAAGTCGCCGACGAGAGCGAGGCATGTTTTGATATTCGCGCCTTTGGATGATAACCGAAACACCGCCGACTCATTTTGAAGACACCGACAACTTCTGTGGTCCCTCACTAAGTACTGATTAGCACTGTTACTTAAAAGTTGATACAATCACTTTGGTAACAGCTGACATGAAAGCAACTGTTAGGCGCGATTTAATGAACATGCATGAAAAGTTGAGTGATTGTGATGAACAGAAGTCCAGCCAGTACAATCATCATGAAAATGATGCTGATTGCATTAAAAAAAATGACCTTCAGTTAATTGAGACCTTGAGAGTCCTTGCAATAATTAGAAAATTTGTGAGGCTGGAAAGTAAAGCAGTTCTATGCAATCTTTCGAGCTGTGATACTCTTAGAAGGCTCTATGAACTACATTAGTTAGGAAATTCATGAATTTTGGCTAATAAGCGACTAATGATGTGAGGAGAGCTGGTCAAGTCCAGAAATGAACTGAAGACACCTCGATCCTCGCGGATGTAATCGAATATATGAGTGCGGGAGGGGATCTCTTCACATAAAGTGGATCATCTTCAAGACGGCAAGCCTCCTCTGCGACCTCTCTCTTCAAAAAACACTTACTTGTTATGAAGTGCCGATTGTGACTGCTGTTGTGGCGCCGCCGGCGCACTTGAAGCCGACGCGCCGCCATCTGCAGCCCGCGTCGAGGATCCACCATTCACTGCTCCGCCACCCACACTCAATCCGTGCTGCTGAGAGGGGCTCGCCACGGAAGACACCGAAGAAGGCGTCGCTGCTGCTAGCGCCGACAGGTTGAACATCGGCTCTCGAGACTCGAGTGCAATTGACAACCGACCCTCTTGTGCTGATTGCGACCCGCCCACCTGGGGGCTCTCGCCAACCCACAACTCGCGGAGCTCCGAGCGAGCTGCGACGGTACGGTAGATATGTGTGTGTGCTTAGGTATCTCTGCGCACTCTTGTAAGCTCAGTATACTGTTTCATCTTTCGAAACAAATCTCGGAAAGAAGGAAGAGGAGAGAATACGACGACTGTACGGAACAAGAAATGTGAGGATTACAAGTGGCTGACAACTTTTTGAGCTTAAATGAGACAGAGGATCGGAAGATCAAGCTCAAAAGGGAATCCGATTCTGGAAGTTGATACAATGATATTGATTTCAATCCTGTACACTTTGAAGCTTTCGAGTTATAGTCGTGTGTTCTTCCTAACTAATTGAATGCAAATCTGAAAGTGTGTTCCTTGAGTTCTAACAAGGATTCTACATACTCCAAGTATATAATCAGTTTCCATACCGGCCCACCATCATGATGGGGACATCAGATTCCCGGTTCACACTCTAGTTTCCCTTCGCTTTTTCCTATTTATTTGCAGGTTTGGATGGAGCATCTCGGCTAACAATAATCAAGTGTAGTGCTCGAACTCTAAGTGGTTCGGCAACAAATCGGCCCCCGATCACTACTATATTTATGCTCATTCGGCTGTTCCCACTGATCCCCGTTGCTTTTCGTTCATTCTGTTTCTGCAATTTTTGCAAGATCCTTTTAGAGTTTCAGCGGATCCATGGAGCACTGGAGAAGATCACCTGCACCATCTGAAAATCTAACTTTCAGTTGTGTATACGTATGCTCCGCCTCTAAAGTCTTTTTCATAAAGTGATGGTCCCGTTGCTTCTGTTCTGGACCCCTCCTCCCTTCCCAAATCTCAACTGTATCAATGTCTAATCCTAATCCAATTACAAGAAGCCAATCCGACCACAAGGTAACGCACCTCAAAAGAAGACACCGCCTAAATAAACGTGCATATTTGCGGGAGATGCGTGCGCGTCGTCCCTTTGACCCTAAAAACTGCTCCCTAATTTGCGCATCATCAATCTTCTTCGTCTCCTTCTTCTTCTTCTTCTTCGTCGCTTTTCGAAAAGCGCCGGCGTTATCTGTTTGCGCAGCTACCGTATCCGTGCACATTCCTCTTCTTCATCGTCTTGTTCCTTGCTCATTTGTGTGTGCTCCTTCCTCCCACACACACACACGACAAAAGATTCACAATATCTCGTCTGTTATCAGGGGAGAGGGAAACAAAAAGGGGAAGATGAAGGAAGGAAAGAAGGACAAAGGTCATGCAAGTTCTTGTGTACATAATAGTAGCAGAGGGATTAGGTAGGGACACTATTACGTGTTGGCATCAAGTTACAATTACCGCTGGCAAACACCAACTTTTAGCTTGTTTGATCTGGCACATCTTCTTACACAATTACCGGAAATGTTCAGAATCTTCAGATTATCACAGTTCTTCTGCTTTCCTATCAGAACAATGTACAAGTTGACATTCCGGCGAATGCCAAAATTACTGGTAGAAGAAAGACTGACTCAATCAGCGGGTCACCGTGATCAGATGATAGAAAATCATAGAAAATCTGAACCAAAACTCGAAAATATTTATTATTAGTGGCAGCTGTATGTGGATACAAGTAATAGTTGGCAAGTGGATCGGGAGGAGGATGTTTCTTTTGAGCGTATCCGTCGCGCTCTCGACGTAGTTCATCAGAAGGTCCTCACGTCTGAATCGTTTTGTAAAGCGCGGACCAGTGTCTGCCGAAGTCCAGATCCTGGGTGACCGCTTTATGGAGAAGTCGTTTCGCTGCATTCGTCTGGAAGCAAAGTTATCATTAAAAGTAACTAGTATCATTTGCGCAACACGGTGATTTTTTCTGTGGGCGCAGTGGAGAGAGGAAGAAAGTTCGGCCCCCACTGCCGGCTGCTTATTTCGCCGGCCGCACGGTCCTCAGCTAGCGGTTTTGGAGGCCCGGCGGACACCCGCCGGTTTTTGAAGCATCGTACTGCGCCTTGTTTAGCAGAAAGTGGCTTTTGTTGGATTTTGACAGGGATTTCAATAAAAATCAAAGGAGAATTAATGTAAAAGAGCCTGAAAGCATAAAAATAAATGAATGGGATACAAGGTTACTTCTTCAGAATCCCCATAAAATTTATTCAGCTTCTTCACGGCGAAATCTCTCGCTGTTTGAACATAGCATGGAACTGTCACCGGAGTGCCTGCTCTTCGAGCATCCGATTATGATATAGTGGAATTCTGATGGGCGAGGACTCTGAGAAGCCTGGAGAAGCGAATAGAACCATGCTCCAAGCAGCAGCACCGCGTAGAACGCAGGGAGAGGACGGCGAAGTGGAAAGATCGCACGCCTGTGGTATCCGCTCGCGTGAAGTGCCTGCTCTTCGAGCATCAGATTATGATATAGTGGAATTCTTATGGGCGAGGACTCTGAGAAGCTTGGAGAAGAGAATAGAACCATGCTGCAAGCAGGAGAAGTGCGCAGAAGGCAGGGAGAGGACGGCGAAGTGGAAAGATCGCACGCCTGTGGTATCCGCTCGCGTGAAGTGCCTGCTCTTCGAGCATCAGATTATGATATAGTGGAATTCTTATGGGCGAGGACTCTGAGAAGCTTGGAGAAGAGAATAGAACCATGCTGCAAGCAGGAGAAGTGCGCAGAAGGCAGGGAGAGGACGGCGAAGTGGAAAGATCGCACGCCTGTGGTATCCGCTCGCGTGAAGTGCCTGCTCTTCGAGCATCAGATTATGATATAGTGGAATTCTTATGGGCGAGGACTCTGAGAAGCTTGGAGAAGAGAATAGAACCATGCTGCAAGCAGGAGAAGTGCGCAGAAGGCAGGGAGAGGACGGCGAAGTGGAAAGATCGCACGCCTGTGGTATCCGCTCGCGTGGAGTGCCTGTTCTCCGAGCATCCGATTATGATATAGTGGAATTCTTATGGGCGAGGACTCTGAGAAGCTTGGAGAAGAGAATAGAACCATGCTGCAAGCAGGAGAAGTGCGCAGAAGGCAGGGAGAGGACGGCGAAGTGGAAAGATCGCACGCCTGTGGTATCCGCTCGCGTGGAGTGCCTGCTCTTCGAGCATCAGATTATGATATAGTGGAATTCTTATGGGCGAGGACTCTGAGAAGCTTGGAGAAGAGAATAGAACCATGCTGCAAGCAGCAGCAGCGCGCAGAAGGCAGGGAGAGGACGGCGAAGTGGAAAGATCGCACGCCTGTGGTATCCGCTCGCGTGGAGTGCTTGCTCTTCGAGCATCTGATTATGATATAGGAGAATTCTAATGGGCGAGGACTCTGAGAAGCTTGGAGAAGAGAATAGAACCATGCTGCAAGCAGCAGCAGCGCGCAGAAGGCAGGGAGAGGACGGCGAAGTGGAAAGATCGCACGCCTGTGGTATCCGCTCGCGTGAAGTGCCTGCTCTTCGAGCATCAGATTATGATATAGTGGAATTCTTATGGGCGAGGACTCTGAGAAGCTTGGAGAAGAGAATAGAACCATGCTGCAAGCAGGAGAAGTGCGCAGAAGGCAGGGAGAGGACGGCGAAGTGGAAAGATCGCACGCCTGTGGTATCCGCTCGCGTGGAGTGCCTGCTCTTCGAGCATCAGATTATGATATAGTGGAATTCTTATGGGCGAGGACTCTGAGAAGCTTGGAGAAGAGAATAGAACCATGCTGCAAGCAGGAGAAGTGCGCAGAAGGCAGGGAGAGGACGGCGAAGTGGAAAGATCGCACGCCTGTGGTATCCGCTCGCGTGGAGTGCCTGCTCTTCGAGCATCAGATTATGATATAGTGGAATTCTTATGGGCGAGGACTCTGAGAAGCTTGGAGAAGAGAATAGAACCATGCTGCAAGCAGGAGAAGTGCGCAGAAGGCAGGGAGAGGACGGCGAAGTGGAAAGATCGCACGCCTGTGGTATCCGCTCGCGTGGAGTGCTTGCTCTTCGAGCATCAGATTATGATATAGTGGAATTCTTATGGGCGAGGACTCTGAGAAGCTTGGAGAAGAGAATAGAACCATGCTGCAAGCAGCAGCAGCGCGCAGAAGGCAGGGAGAGGACGGCGAAGTGGAAAGATCGCACGCCTGTGGTATCCGCTCGCGTGGAGTGCTTGCTCTTCGAGCATCTGATTATGATATAGGAGAATTCTAATGGGCGAGGACTCTGAGAAGCTTGGAGAAGAGAATAGAACCATGCTGCAAGCAGCAGCAGCGCGCAGAAGGCAGGGAGAGGACGGCGAAGAGGAAAGATCGCACGCCTGTGGTATCCGCTCGCGTGGAGTGCTTGCTCTTCGAGCATCTGATTATGATATAGGAGAATTCTAATGGGCGAGGACTCTGAGAAGCTTGGAGAAGAGAATAGAACCATGCTGCAAGCAGCAGCAGCGCGCAGAAGGCAGGGAGAGGACGGCGAAGAGGAAAGATCGCACGCCTGTGGTATCCGCTCGCGTGGAGTGCTTGCTCTTCGAGCATCTGATTATGATATAGGAGAATTCTAATGGGCGAGGACTCTGAGAAGCTTGGAGAAGAGAATAGAACCATGCTGCAAGCAGCAGCAGCGCGCAGAAGGCAGGGAGAGGACGGCGAAGTGGAAAGATCGCACGCCTGTGGTATCCGCTCGCGTGGAGTGCTTGCTCTTCGAGCATCAGATTATGATATAGTGGAATTCTTATGGGCGAGGACTCTGAGAAGCTTGGAGAAGAGAATAGAACCATGCTGCAAGCAGCAGCAGCGCGCAGAAGGCAGGGAGAGGACGGCGAAGTGGAAAGATCGCACGCCTGTGGTATCCGCTCGCGTGGAGTGCTTGCTCTTCGAGCATCTGATTATGATATAGGAGAATTCTAATGGGCGAGGACTCTGAGAAGCTTGGAGAAGAGAATAGAACCATGCTGCAAGCAGCAGCAGCGCGCAGAAGGCAGGGAGAGGACGGCGAAGAGGAAAGATCGCACGCCTGTGGTATCCGCTCGCGTGGAGTGCTTGCTCTTCGAGCATCTGATTATGATATAGGAGAATTCTAATGGGCGAGGACTCTGAGAAGCTTGGAGAAGAGAATAGAACCATGCTGCAAGCAGCAGCAGCGCGCAGAAGGCAGGGAGAGGACGGCGAAGTGGAAAGATCGCACGCCTGTGGTATCCGCTCGCGTGGAGTGCCTGCTCTTCGAGCATCAGATTATGATATAGTGGAATTCTTATGGGCGAGGACTCTGAGAAGCTTGGAGAAGAGAATAGAACCATGCTGCAAGCAGGAGAAGTGCGCAGAAGGCAGGGAGAGGACGGCGAAGTGGAAAGATCGCACGCCTGTGGTATCCGCTCGCGTGGAGTGCCTGCTCTTCGAGCATCAGATTATGATATAGTGGAATTCTTATGGGCGAGGACTCTGAGAAGCTTGGAGAAGAGAATAGAACCATGCTGCAAGCAGCAGCAGCGCGCAGAAGGCAGGGAGAGGACGGCGAAGTGGAAAGATCGCACGCCTGTGGTATCCGCTCGCGTGGAGTGCCTGCTCTTCGAGCATCTGATTATGATATAGGAGAATTCTAATGGGCGAGGACTCTGAGAAGCTTGGAGAAGAGAATAGAACCATGCTGCAAGCAGCAGCAGCGCGCAGAAGGCAGGGAGAGGACGGCGAAGTGGAAAGATCGCACGCCTCAAGGTATCCGCTCGCGTGGAGTGCCTGCTCTTCGAGCATCTGATTATGATATAGTGGAATTCTGATGGGCGAGGACTCTGAGAAGCCTGGAGAAGAGAATAGAAGAATGATGGAAGCAGGAGAAGTGCGCAGAAGGCAGGGAGAGGACGGCGAAGAGGAAAGATCGCACGCCTGTGGTATCCGCTCGCGTGGAGTGCCTGTTCTCCGAGCATCCGATTATGATATAGTGGAATTCTTATGGGCGAGGACTCTGAGAAGCTTGGAGAAGAGAATAGAACCATGCTGCAAGCAGGAGAAGTGCGCACAAGGCAGGGAGAGGACGGCGAAGCGAATCAATCGCACACAAGTGGCTCAGCTCGCTTCCAGTGGCTGCTGCTTGCAGCATGGTTCTATTCTCTTTTCCAAGCTTCTCAGAGTCCTCGCCCATAAGAATTCCACTATATCATAATCAGATGCTCGAAGAGCAGGCACTCCACGCGAGCGGATACCTTGAGGCGTGCGATCTTTCCACTTCGCCGTCCTCTCCCTGCCTTCTGCGCGCTGCTGCTGCTTGCAGCATGGTTCTATTCTCTTCTCCAAGCTTCTCAGAGTCCTCGCCCATCAGAATTCCACTATATCATAATCAGATGCTCGAAGAGCAGGCACTCCACGCGAGCGGATACCTTGAGGCGTGCGATCTTTCCACTTCGCCGTCCTCTCCCTGCCTTCTGCGCGCTGCTGCTGCTTGCAGCATGGTTCTATTCTCTTCTCCAAGCTTCTCAGAGTCCTCGCCCATCAGAATTCCACTATATCATAATCAGATGCTCGAAGAGCAGGCACTCCACGCGAGCGGATACCTTGAGGCGTGCGATCTTTCCACTTCGCCGTCCTCTCCCTGCCTTCTGCGCGCTGCTGCTGCTTGCAGCATGGTTCTATTCTCTTCTCCAAGCTTCTCAGAGTCCTCGCCCATCAGAATTCCACTATATCATAATCAGATGCTCGAAGAGCAGGCACTCCACGCGAGCGGATACCACAGGCGTGCGATCTTTCCTCTTCGCCGTCCTCTCCCTGCCTTCTGCGCGCTGCTGCTGCTTGCAGCATGGTTCTATTCTCTTCTCCAAGCTTCTCAGAGTCCTCGCCCATTACAATTCTTTTATATCATAATCAGATGCTCGAAGAGCAGGCACTCCACGCGAGCGGATACCACAGGCGTGCGATCTTTCCTCTTCGCCGTCCTCTCCCTGCCTTCTGCGCACTTCTCCTGCTTCCATCATTCTTCTATTCTCTTCTCCAGGCTTCTCAGAGTCCTCGCCCATCAGAATTCCACTATATCATAATCGGATGCTCGAAGAGTAGGCACTCTGGTGACAGTTCCATGCTATGTTCAAACAGCGAGAGATTTCGCCGTGAAGAAGCTGAATAAATTTTATGGGGATTCTGAAGAAGTAACCTTGTATCCCATTCATTCATTTTTATGCTTTCAGGCTCTTTTACATTAATTCTCCTTTGATTTTCATTGAAATCCCTGTCAAAATCCAACAAATGCCACTTTCTGCTAAACAAGGCGCAGTACGATGCTTCAAAAACCGGCGGGTGTCCGCCGGGCCTCCAAAACCGCTAGCTGAGTCTCCTGCACGAGAAAAGCGCAAGCAATTACGCGTGCTCTCTGCGTCGCCGGCAGCATTCTCCTTGTCTCGCACTCTCTCGCTTGCCTACTGTCGCTCGAGAAGCGAAATGAGAGTTGGCGTGGCGCTCGGAACGCCGCCGGAAGAATACTGATTGACCTTTCCGTTTTTCTTCATGAACGTGTTTATCATGAGCAAAACTTGCAAAGAGCAACAAAAAATTCTGAAAAACATGCCGGCGTCAGTACGAAATTTGTATTTTTCGTGTTGCGGTTGATTACGCGTGCTACAAGTGAGAATCAAAATCATCTTCCGTTATTTCCTGATGAAAACGTTGCCCGATGGTTTTTCATGACCACATCATCAAAAATTTAACGGAATTAATCGTGTAAGCCACACTGGGAGCACCGATTTCACACTTCGGTGGCCAACGAAGTTTCATCGGAGACTTCAGATGCGTGCTCTCGGAAGAGTACTGATTCATTTTTCCCGCTTTCTACGGGAATATGTTGAATATGATCAGTACTTCGAAGCAGCAACAAGAAACTTGAAAAAATATTCTGGAGTGTCCACGGAGACGGCTTCTGAAAGAGCGACAGTTTTCTGCTGACTTCAGATGCGTGCTCTCGGAAGAGTACTGATTCATTTTTCCCGCTTTCTACGGGAATATGTTGAATATGATCAGTACTTCGAAGCAGCAACAAAAAACTTGAAAAAATATTCTGAAGTGTCCACGGAGACGGCTTCTGAAAGAGCGACAGTTTTCTGCTGACTTCAGATGCGTGCTCTCGGAAGAGTACTGATTCATTTTTCCCGCTTTCTACGGGAATATGTTGAATATGATCAGTACTTCGAAGCAGCAACAAGAAACTTGAAAAAATATTCTGGAGTGTCCACGGAGACGGCTTCTAAAAGTGCTACAGTTTTCTGCTGACTTCAGATGCGTGCTCTCGGAAGAGTACTGATTCATCTTCTCATTTTTCTTTATGAACGTGTTCATTAAGACCGCTACTTACAAACAGCAACAAAAAAACTTGAAAAAATTCGAAGTGACTACGAATACGTCGACGGGAATAACTACAGTCTTCCGTCGGCTTCTTTAGAAGCGTGCTGTCGGAGAACGAAAAACGATTTTCGACTTATTTCAACTTCAATGTGTTCTATATGCGTTCTTAAAACAAACAGCAATCAAAAAAATCCGGACATTTCGCGATTCTGGAGTACGGAATTATGATGCTATATTCACAACGTCTTCTACTAGACGGAAGAGTCAGAATACACCAGTTCTTTTGAAATATATGTCAGAAAAAGTCATAAAGACTCGTAAAATTACAAGTTAAATGATAGTCGAGTGAGAATGAACGTTGCCGCCGTCGGTGGGCCTGTGAGAATCTGATCTACCGTAAGCTTAGCTCGAGTCGGTCTACTTCAAATCTACGTTTCTCGCTTCAATCTCAACCAATCTGCTCGTTAGAGGTCGCAAAAGAAAGCTTATGAAATTTGGAATCGCTTGTAGGCGTTCGTTTTTTGAGAATTTCTGTCTAGCTCTCGATTTTTCGAGAAAACACAAAAAACCACTACTTTTACAACTGAAAACTTGAAATGTACGTATCTCCGTTCAAAGTGCATATTTTTTCTTGGTCAAAATCGCAAATTGTAGTCCTTCCCGATGTCTAAAACTTGTAGGTCTCACATTTTTCGAAAAAACATTTTCTGATTTTTTAAGTGACCGAAACGTTTTTCTTCTGTAGTTTACTTGATCCCATTTAGTCAACCCGCTTTTATTATACAGATTTCTTGTGTCCAATAGTTAAATCTAATCGTGTATTAACAAAAAGTATCAAAATGGTTGAGAAAGCTGGGTTGTACCTGCCCCTTGACAATTTTTAAACCCACGTTTCGAGAAAACTGGCTCTCTTCAACACGCACGAATTTTTTGATCAGCTAATTGCAGAAAAATGTTCCTAATTTTTGTCCTTGCTTGTTCTGATTTTTTGAAATTTTATTTTTTGTGTTAACCATGTCGCCGACAACTTCTTTTGTTTTCATCAAGAAATTTTTCGATTGATAATGCAAGCGCGCTCTACGGTCACGCGTTAGAGATAAGAGACGGCTGAGTATGCGCATTTCGCGATCTAGCTGGCACATTTTTCGATCAGGAGACCGTGCCTAGTAGAACAGCGATGGCCGCGGAGTCAGGGACTAGAAACCTCCGCGAGACCCCAAAGAGAAATCACCGTGTTTAACGGAGAAATTTAGAGGACAATGTTCGTGTGTTCATAATTAATTATCAATTTAATTGGCAGCTCACAACCCGTATTACATTTGAACCGGAAGAAAACAATTTGAAAATAGGAGAAGACTAGACAATATTAAGTGGAGCATCTCGCTTCGAAAGATCGTATCCAGAGTCGATCATCGAAGTTGATCTGTAGTAAGACAATGAACGAGGCAGCGAGAAGAATGTGCTCACGTGGATGTGGTCGGGGACTCAAAGTCTTGCGGAAGAAGGCCGCAGACAAGACGCGCGTGCTGCAGATTCTCATCATAACCGATTTTCACTTTTCGAGCTCTGAAAAGGATATTTAAGGGGGAATATTCGAAGAGAGAGAAAATTGTGATAATTGTAAAGTTCACAACGAAAAATTCAGGTCTACTGTGGGGATACAACAGATTCATACTGTTCTTCCTACTTTTATGACGTCCGAATGTTCCTCTAACCTGAAATAGTTCTCAATACCTTCTTCTGAATCACTCACTGTATATCACCCATTGACGCCAATCTCCTTGGTGTCATCAGAATCTCCGGATCGTCGTCGTACTTCTGTTCCCTTTCCAGAAGAGCTCGAAGCGGTGACGCCAGTTTCGAGGAGTGCGTGGGCGGGGGCGGAGGCATTCCCGGCCGGGGCACCAACATCTTCTGCGGGATTTTCACGATATCATCCTCATCGAACTGCAATATAAATGTCTGGAAAGAGGTTTTCAAGTGAAATCTGACATCGAATATGGAATGATTCGATTCTCGAATGTGATACTCATCAATCAGAGGCTCTGTCTTGTAATCGAACTTCAGATCGCCGAACGTGAACGACATCACCGAATCGTCGTCCGGGGCATGACGATTGTTAGTGATGAAAGTGGACATTGTCGATTGGGAGGATACCGAGCCTGCAAAAAATGAACAATATCAACAAATCTCCCGAAAAACAGACCGATTCTCGCATGTCTTCCCTTCGGATTTCTCCTCTGAACGACCAGTCCACTGAGATCTGTCTGGCAGGAGACCGTCGCCAGTTCTCGGAGTTCCGTCTGCTCTAGAATCTTCGCCAACTTTTTGTTCTCCAGAAACTTTGCAAACATTCTCGAATCCAAGTCATGCTTCTTCGGCTTGAACTTCTCCATCGCTTTGATTCTGTTCAAAAGTTGACCATAGTTGTTTGTAGGAAGAACTTTTGAATTTGAAAGGTTGGAGACGTCGGATACTGAAACGATCGATGTGATTTCCCTAGGTAAACGTGGCAAACTGACGTGCGTAGCTCTGTTTGCTGACTCTTCTGGTGGCGCCTCCGTTCGAGCACACAACCAGGTCATTGCTGGTGACGGTGGCGATCGGCGGTCCTTCGAACTCTTCCGCCATTTCCTCTTCTTCCGAGTCTTCATCGCTGTCTTCCAGCTTCGACATTATCACATTGTCCGTCACTTTTCCAGCGAACCAATCTTTGAACTCGGCGAAGAATCCTCGTTTCTCCTCACTTACATGAGTCGCCGCTATTTGCATAAGGTTGGCTGAAACTTACTGACTAACGGATGTTTGGGAGAAGAACAAAAAGACTGACGAGCCATTCGGATGCCAAGAAGCGGCGCTTCTTCCACAAATGGATCCTTCTCGAACACTTGGAACGCCATCTTCTGCACTTTCTTGATGTGTTCGTCGAATCTCTTCTGTTTCCACTTTGCAACCCGATCAGTTATCAACTCGAAACACATTGAAAGCAAAGCGAGACCGACGAGAATGAGCAGGAAATTGAAGACCATCATATCGGGAGTTCGGAACAGCATATCTCCCAGACCGACGGTTCTGAGCATCCAGTTTTTGTTTAGGATTTGAATCAGTGGCTTTGACTCACGATATAGATACGATGAAAAAGTAGACGGCGGAAGAGAAGACCCACGTGTCCTCCCAGATGCAGAACATGGACGCCGAGAAGCAGATCCAAATGATGAGCATGATGATGGCTATTGGGATCGGGAACGGCTTCTTCTTCCTTTCCTCCGCAGCCGCGGCTTCTGCTTCATAGCCTTCTTTGACTGCCTGAAAATTGTGAACCATCTGAAAGTGACACTCGTCACGTCTTCAGTTACCGTAACCCTGCTGGGCAGCAAGAATTTTCCGAGTGCGGATCTTCTCAACTTCTTATAATACTTCCGCATCTTTTTCGACAGTAGTTTACCGATCGACTGCAATATTTCATTTCTTGCCCTCATGTGACCCCCTCTCCGCTCGTTTTTATTCCATGTTGTGTCCCCCCACTTTCTATCTGATCGAGTGTAACAAATGAGCTGTTCAGCAGCTCATTAGTCAACTTGCAACCGAGAGAGAAAGATAAAATGGCGCCACGAGAGCAAACGTCAATTAATAAAATAAGATCAACTCTTTTTTCATTCTCTGACAAATTGCTCACCTTCAGGTACATCAGGAAGCACGGGATTCCGAAGAGTGAGTAGAGAATCGTGCAGATCCGGCCTTCGTCGGTCTTGGCCGTTGGGTAGCCGTAGCCTGAATGCATTCAAAAAGAAGGTTTGGAATCATAAACATTACCATGGTTAGTAGGATCTGAGAAAAGTCTGAGCGCAAGATTTCATACCTATGGTAGTGTATAATTGTCCTGCATAAAACATGGCTCCAGTCCAGGTCCAGGGTGTCTCCTCAGACAAATCCCTGATGTGATCGGAAAGGTTCAGTTCTTCGAGGAGCCACTCGACTGCTTCGGCCGCCCGTCGGTGCTTAACAAGGGCCGTTTTCAGAAAAGACGTGCCACAAAGCACTCACCCGTAAAGCGGTGTCATTCCTCAAAACTGCGTCTTTGTGCATTTCGATCCAACGTTCGGCAAGCTGCAAAACACAACCAGGAAGGGTTGGATTGTTGCAGAAAGCCAGGAAACCTACTTGTCTTCTGACCAAATTAGTGTTATTCCCAAACACGGATCGTCGTTTAATGTCGGCCTGTAGCTCGTAAGTTCTGAAGAGCCACGCTCCGAACGCGGTGTAAGCTATTAGGAGCATGAATTTGTAGTAGCTTCTCAGACGGAGCAGGTTGCAGAACCATTGGATCTTTTTGAAAAGCGTCATCTGGAAAAGAGCAACGCTGGAAAATAGAATTGGAGCAAGAGCTGGAAAAAGTGGGCGGAGTCCTGGGACGGGCGGAGAAGTTTGTGACATGACACACAGAAGAAAGATGGTGCAAGTGAGGAAAGAGTTTAATCGGCGACGGCGGCGGCGGCGGCGGCGAGAAGAGCGGAACCCATTTCGTTTTCGACACCTCGTTTTTGTGGCTCCACCACCGCGACGCATCGTAAATCCTTCGGCCACTGGCCATTTGCTAGCCACAGAAAGTGTCAGTGGAGGAGAGAAGAAGAAGAAGAAGAAGAAGAAGAAAGAAAAGAAGGAAAAGGAAAAAGAGAGAAAAGAGAAGAACGAAAATATGATTAAAGAGGTTGGAGATCAATTAGATAAGCGAGCAGAACAGAGCGGCGGAACGGACGGAGAAAACAACGTAACAAGTTGGTTGGTGGCGATGCACAAACTAATTCGATTCGCTTCCTTTTTGGTTTGGCTGCCTGATTTGCAAGAAAAAACTAGGGAGAGCAATATGTCTGAAGTTCAGTCCGAATCTCTGAAACAGGCTCAAAACGGCTCAAAACTGGGTGCACTCGTCGTGAGCGATGTGTGAAACTTTGAAGACTTGAGAATTGAGCCAATTTTGAAACGAGAAAACTGACAAAACATCAGCAATTACCCAGGCACTTCCTGGCGCCAACTTGGGCTTCCGGCCTGAGTTAAGGCTCATGGATTTGATCCTCAGGAGCGTATAGACTGTATTTTGTTACAATAATCAGACAATGGCTTCTCTGTGTCATATTTGACCTGAGCGGCGTTTCGGACCAACTAAACTTCTGGAATCAAAGCGGAACTGAAAATGATGGAGAAAAAGTCAACGAAGAATGTTGTGTGCCAGCATTTGGAACAATGAGTAATAATGGAAGGAGTTGGACAAAGGTTTAAGCTGAAACAGGAAAAGAAAAAGAAAAAACACGGTTTAACCTTGCGGTTTGTGTGTGTCCAGTCACTCACTTAAAAAAACACGAGTGTTCTTGGTGATGACAGGTATGAGGACGGGTGGGTTGACGAGCACAGAGAAGAAAATAGCAAAAAGCAGTGGGGGAATATGTTCGGCGCCTTCATCAATCATGCACGCCCCGGGGTCAATTGTCGACTAAAAAGACAAAAGAGAAGAGTAGCGAGCAACTACAAAATAGGTATTATGGCTCGTAAATTTTATTCAGACCCGGCAGAAGAGGGGTTTCTGTTTGAGAAGAGGGCTTGAGCAGCCAGAAGAGCACACGAGGAGCAAAAGAGCAAACAAATCGGTCTGTGACCACCCAAAAAAAATGATTAATCATCGACATCTACTCTTTCTTAGGTCATCCTAGGTGCTATTGCTTTTAGATGACAAGCTAAAAAAGTAAAACATTTTTTGTGTCGGTCAGTCAGCCACTTCTACCACACGAATCGATCAATTATAAGTGGGAGAAGGTGACAAGCGCTGCAGAGTGTCTTGGCGAACATGAGACATGCATCGTATGATGATGGATCCGAGGCCGACGACGAAACAATGCAGGTAAGAGCAGCTCCCGGTGCTCTCTCTCTCTCTCTCTCTCTCTTCCACTCGTTTTATTTCAATGCAGGTGAAAGAAAACAAACGATAAAAGTAAAGAAAGAGGAAAGGGTCTGGAGAAACGAATTCACAATTCACATCAAAAGAGAGGGTGTAAATGTGAGTGTTCGGCAGCTACAAACTTTAAAGATGAGACATTTTTCGAGACGTATTGTAGCTTGAGAAAGCAGGTACGCCACTGAACAGTACTGTCTCCAGACTATTTACAGAGGTCACCATCCTATCCAAGACGCGAACTTTCCCTAAAAATTTCAGCTCGATTCGAATGTCTGATGTTGAGTTACACTAAAAAGTATTCACTTTTCACAAAACCCTTGGTGATCGTGCCAAAAAATAGTTCGAGCTGATGGCTGTCAATCGCAGCTGGGTCTAGGCCTTCAAAAAGAAACTGCTCTTTAACCTATCAGACTTTTCGCCCGAGGCAGTCTTCACTTCAAAAAGCGCCACCCACAACGACGAAAAAAAGGGATGTTATTGGATTCCTTAAGGAATTCCACTCAAATTGTTGCTTGACCAAAAATCGAAGAGCCTTTCAGATCCAGAAGCACAGAATGTAAAACAGATAAACTTTGGATGAAATTAGGTGGAACAACTGATGATAGAAGAGAAGACAAAGAGTTAAAATTAGAACGAGTCTTGGCAGGTATAATATCTCTTTCTCTCTCTCTCTCTCTCTCTATGTTTTGTTTCATCCCGTTTATCTGCCCCTCCAAAAACCTCAGCTGCCATCGCTCACACCTCTTGATAATAAATCTATGAGTTGGGCGCCACGACAGGACCAACTGTTTCGTTTCCTTTCCGAAGCGCGCCTTCATTCATGACGACTCGTTGTTACCAATCAAACTTCGCATTTCAAACACTTTTTGCAGGAGTTTTAGAAAAGTGAAACATGAAACAGATGAAAAAAGTAGAAGAAGAAGAAGGAGAAGAAGGCAATAAAAGAAACAAGATTGATGAGAGGTGATTGGAAGATCCATCCGACTCAAAGAATGCAACATCCATGCACTTCCAGAGGAGCTTCATCAGAAGAAGAAGAAGAGAAAGAAAAAAGCACAATTAGAGAACTGGGGACGAAATTCGAACAAAGAGCATGTTCGTTTGTTTACTAATTGACCTCAAAAAAGCCGAATGTTGGAAGATACATGAAGACAAGCAAAGTCACGACAAAAGACCTCTTTTTTCGGCGACGGAAGCCTTTAATCTGGGCCTGGATCATGGGGCGGTCAACGGGGGAAGTTAGGCAAGTCGGAGGACATGAGAAGCGAGAGCAAGAAATGGAAATCAGCAAGAATTGGTGGGGGGTGGTTAAAAAATGGAGGCGTTCGTCGTGTTCGAATCTGAGTTGAGCAGAATTCCGCCTTCCGCCTTCCGCTTTCCGGCTACCGCCAAAAACGTAATTTTTATTCCGCCTTCCGTGAAAACTTTTCGTAAAATTAACTGCTCCTTTTCTCATTAAAAACCTCAGAAATCAGTGTCTGGCTGTTCACCATAAGTGTATAAGGCTTTTTGAAGATTCTTTCTCATTGAATATCAGCTTCCGCCTTCCGCCTTCCGCATTCCGCTTTCCGCCGCTTTTTTCATTCCGCCGCCGCTTTCCGCCTTCTGCCTTTTCAAAAAATCGATTCCGCTTTACTCTGGTATACGTCCCAAGTGTATTCAGATCAATCTTCACTTTGGCACCCTTCGCTGAGATCCACAGGGGAGAGAGACGCAAAATTAGAAATTTTGGAAGGGATGCTCATTACTCTGCATTACTCTCAAACATTATCGCTGAGTTGACAATGCCTGAAAACGACTTCAATGATCACTCTGATTCAAAGTTTTCCAACTGATAAGACTGTCATCTTTGAACGTTCATGTGCTAGTGCTTTGTGATTTCAAACGGTGCGTGATTTCCGCCTCTTTAACGGCTAACACGACGTCGCCTTAACCTTCCTGCCTCCACTAATCGACGTCAAGACGCCGAGCATTGACGTAGAGAAGCGAGAAAAGGGCACAAAACAGTACGTTATCAGGAGAGACGACTCGTGCTTATAAGCCATCATCGATCGCTATCAATTCCCACTCGCTTCTTTTTTTAACTTGCTCTCTGATATTGCTCCTTTACGACCTGCTCAAAACTTTCAGAAAATGAACGCCCGAACCATTGCCGTCATCGCCGTCTGCGCCCTTCTCTTCGTCTCTTCCATTGACTGCAAGAAGGTTGCGAAAGAAGAGAAGAACGTCGAAAAGGGGAAAGCGACCAAGTGAGTTGGAAAAGGGAGCCTGAGAACATTGGGAGTTTCAGGGAGCCTAAGGTGAAGAAGGTGAAGGCTGAGAAGGTGGTCGTTGTCGAGGAACCAGTGGTCGCCGAGACCGCTCCAGAAGTCGTCGTGCCAGAGGTTGAGGAAGTCGAGGAAGCCGTTGTTGTCGAGAAGGTCGCCCCGAAGCACAAGGTCTCGCCGCCAAAGTCTTTGAAGGTGACAACATTCTTGAAGAAGACAATATTCGTTCTCCATATTTTCAGGTCACCAGCGCCTACGAGACGTGCAAGCTTGAGTGCAGAAAGCAGAGAGACGCCGTGCAGGCCGCTGACGTAAGCATCTTCCCGCCTAGAAACTAACATCAATCTGTCTCTTTCAGTACGTCGAGCAGCTCCGCACCGAGCTCGTCGCCGCTGAAGCCGCCCTCGCCGCCGAGAACGTTCCGGCCGAGGCCCCAGCCGCCGTTCACCAGCCAGTTGCCAACCACTAGATTTTTTAAATTCATTTTCAAAAAATGCAAAACCCGCTTACGTTTTCTCGTTGTTTAAAGAAAGAAACCCCTTCAAAAACCATTCTTTCCACCTCTTATCGCCCTGTCACAATCACGTTTATCAATATCAAATGTGGACACAATAAAAAATGTTTGTGAAGTATTTTCAGTCAGTTGTGCGAGCTGGTATTGTCGATGGGTTGAGTGGAGTAGGTGACTCGAGTGGCTGAAAGTCTGGAATTGAAGTGAACACTGCCTCCCTGGTGCTTTACCCATACATCTTTTTCTCGTGAACGGATTCCTCATGAGCATGTTGCGAAACTCCTGGTTCAAAAATATGAGCACAAGGGGATCGATTGTGTGTACGAGGCTCCAGGAGACGGTGGTGCATAGGAAGATCATGACGGGCTCGGTTTGCATCCCGGAGATTATGAAGAAAAATACGAGCTCGGTGGCGAAGACGGCGCCTTGAATCAGGGCCTGTTTCACAAAAGTAATCTCCCTTTGTCGTTTCTTCTGTGTCACCGCACAGTTCGCAGAAAGATTCCTTATTCCCGGAGCCGTGATTCTGATCATGATAATAGTAAATATGTCAACGATGGCGATCAAGGCGACCACTCCGAAGTCTTTGCAGAAGTCGATATAATAGCGGATGACGTCACAATCGGCCGATGTATTCACTCCGAAATACCAGCCAAAGTCGACGTAGGGGAGTAGACAGTTGTCTGAAAAGTGCATTCGATGTTTGATTTAATGGAACCAGACTAGGGACTCACTTGCTAAATGCATGTAGATTGAAGTGAAACAGGGAATCGCGTAGGCGAGTCCAATTAGAATTCGCGTGTTTCTTTCACTGAAATGAAGCGGAGAGGTTTTCTCGGAAAAGGCGAGAGCTCACTCAAAGATATTATTGTATTCGATTGGGAAAGAAATGGCACACAAACGGTTCAAAGCGATGAAAAGGTGCGAGAATATGCAGACGTCGTAGCAGAAGAGGAGAATGAGCCCAGCATGGGCAGAAGCCACTTTGAACGAGGAAATGTCTCTGGAAACGGACAAGATGGGAACGTGAGGTGTCGACGGAAAGAGGAGACGTACAGTAATACCATGGGACAGTAGAAGATCACGAAGACGGAGCAGAGGATGGATTCGGCAAAGGATTGGGAGGCGGACAGACGGCCGAACGAGTTGCGCAGAGTTTTGAGGGTGGTGGCGAACAGAAACACGCAAAGATTACCCAGTAACCCAGTAAATGAGATCTGCAAAGTCTGAAATGTTTTTCCACTTTCTACTGTTCTTTGGCATACCGTAAAGATGACAAGCGTGACAGCAATTCGTTGAGTTTGACTTGAAACAGCCGGCTCGATGAGATCAGTCTCGTTGCTCATTGCTCCTCGACTTCTGAAGATGGAATGAGTGGTCTAGAGAAAAGTTAAGGTAATGAGAAGACTCAGATCAGAAATGAGTGCAGTAAAGAGTACGTATTTGGGTACAATCGTGAAACCTAAAGTCTGTCTATGCACTTCGCAGTGGACAAGAGCAGAGATGAATGGATAGAGAACGGAATCGAATGCATTCACTTCATATGCAGCCCTTCTTCAAATTCAAATTTTCTTATAATGAAGAACGAAGAATATGGAAATGAAATGAAGACCAAAACGAAAACGAAAAAGGATGCGAAGGGGGTAGATGAGTGGGGTGAGAGCAAGAGAAAGAGGGTGGAATGAGAAGGGGCTCACTGGTTTACTAGAATACAAATTAGTTACTTGAAAAGGTTCAAAGAAGCATTTCGAAAAGCTGTTCGGCCGCCTATTTATCACATTCCAAAGGACACTGTCTGCATGATTTGCACCTGTAACTCCCGGAATTCTGTACTTTCACTACTACCGTATTCGTCTCAGTTCGCCAGACGCACTTACTTGTATCAGTAACTCCTTTTCACTAATTAGAAAACACCTCATAAGAAAAGGCTCTATTTTGGCGGTTGAGACGTGAAAGATGAGGCGGGCCACATTGAGAAGCCGAAGAGCAGCTCGGCGAGTTCTCCTTAATTTCTCGCTGTTTTGATGAAGCTCATTCAGATATTACAATATATGGGAATTAAGGAAAACAGAAACTAAACAACTAATAGCAATTTCCGATCAGCTGCTTATTGGTTACACAATAGAAGTTGTTATTCATTTCCCACCTATTATTCATTCTTAAAAACTGTTGGAGATGAGTAATCGAAAGAGAATTCCAGTTGTTCCTCTTATCAAGAATCATAATCAACCTGAGGTATCCGTCTTATATACAGGAAGCGCTTAAGCTTAAGCTCTACAGGCTCCGCGAATACCCTTCGACTAATAATTCTAACAATTGTTCTCTATTGTTCTTCGTCAGATTAGGGGTATTGTCTGCGAATAAAGTTTTTATAGATCAGGGTGCTCTATACCAGAAATGAAAGAATAATAATGACGCATTAGACGGAAGCGTGATGAAGAAACATATCAAAGTTCAAACTCTTCTCTTTTTTCTGCTTGGAAGCGTTGGGGTGTGCTCAACGCGCGGAGAATGTCTACAGACTTGTGGTTTGTAAAAGGAAAAGATAAACTAAATAGGAGTTTGGCCAAGAAGGAGAGCAAGTCTGAAATTGACTTTGCTTCCGCTTGTTTTCATTTCCAGGAACAGGAAGTAAGGTTACAGCTAGTTTTATGAGGGGGACCATCATATGTGCTCAAGGGATGTCGGCAGTTTGAGGGGAAAAATTAACGCTAGTGCAGACATCGTTGAGTTTTTATTAGCATTTCTCACAATGATGTGAAATGAATATTCTATACCGAACTCTTAATACATCTTGCTCTTATAGATTGGTTCTCATCAGCATAATTCCAAAGCAATGAGCACAATAGGATCCAAGCGACAGTCATCGGGATATTATGAGGAAAACGACGAGCTCGGTGACTAAAACTACTCTTTCAGTGCATGGCCTTGCGCTGGCGTTTCTGTTGAGATACCGGGAGCCATGACTCTGATCCTGGTGATTGTTCTGACATCCACTACAACTCCAAAGTCCTTCACACGTCTGTTCACTAGGAAGTACGAGCCAAAAACGACGTAGAGGAGTAGACAGTTGTCTGAAAAGTGCATTCGATGTTTGATTCAATAGAACCAGATTAGGGCCTCACTTGCCAAATGGATGTGAATTGAAGTGAAACAGGGAATTGCGCAGGCGAGTCCAATTAGAATTCGCGTGCTTCTTTCACTGAAATGAAGCGGAGAGGTCTTCCTGGAATAACTTACTTCAAAATGTTATTGTACTCGATTGGGAACGAAATGGTGTTTCTGCAGTGCTTACAAGACATATGGAAAGAATTGAATCGAGGCTTCGATCTGAATTTGAATGTTCCATTTCGACTCGATCAATTTCGCGTAAAAGATACCCGGGCAATGATGATCATCGTTTTTCGCCGCCGACAGATATCATCTTTTATCAGTGCTCGATGGGCTCTCGCCCGCGGGTAGTGGTGCCAGAAACCACATGGTCAGTTCGGCCGTTAGAGCTCAGACATCTCCGCAGTTGCCCCGATCCTCCCTGTTTTTTGCGTTAATCGTGTTCATTCTATGAGTGAACTGGCCCAATTCGAGCAAAAAGCCATCTCTTTTTTCGAACACCCATAAATCTCTCTTTTATTGTTTTAGAGCAATCTATTTTGAAGGAAAAACTGAATTGAGAAACGTAAAAGAGTGAAAGCGTGGCCTCCTCCAAAAGGTTTTGTCATTAAACGGAAAGCGGGGATCCTCTTGTCAGTCGTGCTTTGTTGCTCTCTGGGAGGGACCGAAGTTGAAACTCTTTTTTCTTTTCTCGCGAGCAAAAGGGGCGGAGCCAGGCGGTCCGGTCGCTGTTTCGCTTCTCACGTCTGGGTTCCTCTTGCTTCTTTTTTTCAATTGTTCATCTGCATGGCCCATTAATATTCTTCCTTTCCAATGGCATAAATTGTCTCCTCTTCCGACTACCTGTGTTTTAGACGATGAAAAAATTGACAAAAGTAAAGAAACTCGATCCATCTCAATTTCACTAACACACACACACACACACACAATTGATAGACGGGCAAAAAGCGGCTGTCGTTTTTTCCAGCCCACTAGCTCGATATCTCGAGCTTGTTCATTGGACCAACCCAGTCTGGTGCTCAGTCTCCTCCATTAACTTGATTCCTTTTTCCAGAAACTCTTCAGGATGAAAAGTTGCCACGTCATTTTCCTTCTAACACTTTTCATCCGTCAATCTCTCGGTGTGGATCTACCAATCCAGTACGAGCTGGCCAATCACATTCTCGAGAACTACCAGAAGAGTTTGATTCCGAAAGTGAACAAGAGTGCGCCGATCAATGTGACAATGTCTTTGCAAATCTATCAAATTATCCAAGTGGTAATGTTCATGTTCCCATGTAGCTAACGCGCGGTGCTAGACCCAGTTGATTTCTGAAATAGCGAAGCGATGCGTGTTTGCTCCAAGTTGATGTGTACTTCTATGACATAAGATTCCAGAACGAGCCGCAACAATTCCTTCTTCTGAATGCATGGGTGGTCGAGGTGCGTTGTCCCTTGTTATTTGGCGGCTCCGCGTAGCGAATGAGCCCTCGAATGACCCCTTCTTTATCCGTTTCATTTCAAATGAAAAACGCGTCGGTTTTATAGAGTTGGATCGACCAAATGTTGGGCTGGGACCCGGAAGAGTACGGAAACGAGACGGAGATTCTGGTGAGACATGATGATATCTGGCTGCCGGATACCACGTTGTACAACTCGTAAGTGATGCAGGGATACCAAAACGTGGTTACAAGGGGAGCTCTCAGGTTGGAGATGGACGATTCGGCGTCGAGGAAGTTGACGCACGTCAAGTTGAACACGTTGGGCAAGAAGAGGGGAGCGATGGTGGAACTGCTCTATCCGACCATTTACAAGATCAGTTGCCTTCTGAACCTCCGCTTCTTCCCGTTCGATATGCAGGTCCGAGTAGCGTTTGCTGTACTCATCTTTTAATGAATTCCAGAGATGCCGAATGACATTCGGTAGTTGGTCGTTCGACAACGGGCTCATCGACTACTATCCGCGCCCATTCGCCAATGGCCCCATCGGTCTGGCCAACTTCCTGGAGAACGACGCGTGGAGTGTTTTGCTGACGCACGGTAATTGCTTTAATTGTTGTGCCGATTATTATGAAAGAAGATGTGGAAGAGGCAGAGAAGTATAACCGACAATACTCTAATCTTGGCACATGAAAAAATGAGCGAGGATTAGGAGCGCACAACTCACTCCGTTTGGGGTGGAAAGAAAAGAAAAATAAGAAAACGTTCAGAGTTCAGCACAGAGCTATTTCAGTGGCACGGGAGGAGAAGAAGTACTCGTGCTGTCCGAACAACTACACAATGCTCTACTACGACCTGGTGATCCAGCGGAAGCCGCTCTACTACGTGCTCAACCTCATCGCGCCCACCGCCGTCATCACTTTCATCTCGATCGTCGGCTTTTTCACGTCAGTCAACCCGTTCACCAACGCGTTCTCTGTGTGCGTTTGACTCATCCATGTCCGTCGTGTCTCGTGTGCGTCCCTTTAGATGAATGGCGTGTTGCTTCTAGGGAAGCGTAGGAACTTCTGTTGCTTCTTTTGTTGACGCTCCGTTCTGTTCAGCTCTTCCTCGGTCCACGACCTTCGTCAGGAGAAGATAACATTGGGCATCACGACGCTTCTCTCCATGTCAATCATGATATTCATGGTGTCTGACAAGATGCCTTCCACGTCTACTTGCATTCCTTTGATCGGTTCGTCTCTTCCCTCTGAAAAGAGCCAGGAAAATCCTCCAACTTTCAGGCATATTCTACACCCTCATGATCACCATCATTTCGTTCGGAACACTCGCCGCTTCCTCTGTCATTTTCATTCAAAAACTCGGAAGTGTCGGCACTCCGCCCACTCCGCAAACAATGAAATGGACGCACCGGGTAGCTCCGTTCGTCTGGATCCAGATGCCGTTGGTGATGAAGCAGGCGTACGCGAAGAGGGCGAAAGAGGAGAAGATGCGGAAAAGGATGATGCGGAAGGAGAGCATGTGGACAAAAGTGTACAAACTGACGAGGGACACCTCTTCCAAACAGAAACTCATGTCAACATCTGTGGAGATCGCTCCAAAATTCAATATCTCGCAGATTTCAGATACGAAACACGATTTTCCGCTGAGCAATTCTCCGTCTCAAATGGGTGAGTCTTGAATTTTGGAGCAATGCAATCAGAAAATGATGTTCAGAAGAATCGGGAACACTCGAAACATTCTCGGCTCCGATGGAAGTCAACTTTGACAGCGAAATGCTTCATCCGAAGCCTCTGAACCATTCGGCGAGCAGCAACAGCCTCCAAAGTGTGCTCAAACCGACGGAAATCCAAGTGTCCCCGTTCGCCACCCGAAATATCGTCGAGCTCGAATGGGATTGGGTGGCCGCCGTGCTCGAGAGGATTTTCCTCATTGTCTTCATCGTCTTCTTCTTCTTCGCCGCCATAGGAATCAATCTGATTGGCTACTTTTATTGGTACATGGAGAAGGAAGACATTCAGACTTTCGACTTTTTCTGAACTCTTGCTACAATTAATTAATTTATTGTTACTCTGAAATAAATGTAATCAATGGATCTAATAGATAACACTGGAGGCAGTTCACTCAGACAAATCGTTTGTAATCTAGCTAGGAGATTTCGTAATCTAAACCGAGTTCCGAATCTAGCTAGGTGAAAATGGAATCTAAACTTAACCTAGCTAGATTTGACTGTAAAAACGAAGGCGCGATCTCGGATCGCGCCAGCAGACATAATTGTTAATCTAATTAGAAAAAATCTGAATCTAAAGTCAACCTAATTAGATTCACAGGAATTTGAACAGAACATGGGAAGACACACCGTCTTCGATCGATTTCGAACGTTTTTTTTTTGAGCTGTTATACTATTATTTTTACATTTTTGTGCAGAAATGTGTCTGTTTCAGACGGCAATCATGCCACGTGGGAAAATAACAACTCGATCGGTTCTCCGCACGTGCATGAGTGAACCGACAGAATCTCGTGAAGAAACATCGCACGAAAACATTAATTCTCCGATTGATTCCTCATGTTCATCCGACACTTCGTCCTAACGTTCCGATTCGGGCACTGATTCAGAATTAGATTACCAATCAGAATTCGAAGAAGACTGCTACACGGAAAGAAAAAATAAGGCGATTATGGACGATACGATGAAATACGACGAGAGAAGTTTGTAGTTTTTTGAAAGTTTTTTATTAGCGAAATGAAACTGCGTGTTTTTCAGTGGCATTGTGGGCAAAACTGAGTGATGAAGACTTGAGTCGAATGTACTTTCTGCTGTCGACTACCCAATCAAAAAGAGGTTTTTACTTCGATTTCGGAATGACCGGACTATTTTTTTTCAGCGTTCTCGAGATATTTCGACTGTACATGTAGAAGTAGCTAATGAGATGAACATGAAGAAACTGTTGTTCGACAACACTAGACTGACGCGAGTCGATGCGTGTGTCGTGTGTGCGAACGACGTCATGAAATGCGGCTGTTCGGACGCTGTCACTCCATGCGAGCTGGTATTCTGCAATATTACATCGTTGATTTCACAGTTCATGGACGTTTTTGGCAAAACCGAACAAGACTATTCCGGCGGAAATGCTGAACGCTCCGGCCGGTCAGTTGTACGAAATCAGAGACCGCTACACTTCACTGTTTCCAGCCCTGCTCGCCAAAATTCTGAAGGTGAACAACGCCGATGAACAGACGATCGTCCAGAACATTGCGATTCTTTTCAAGCTGCATCTGACCAACAATTTGTATGTTTCCCGGAGCACGTATAACACGGACTTTTCTGCTTTCCTCAGTCGTTCGTCGAACAAGAAAGAATTGAAGAGAGCGCGAGGAGTGTAGGCTGACGCGAGCACATTTGAACCGCCGAAGTCCAAATTTTCTTCTAATTCGTTAATTGTATACTTTATATTCTGTTGTTATTTGTCGTTGTTTTTCCAATAAATTTGTGGATTTTTAACGAGAATTTTAACAATATGGCCAAATCTAATTTGAGACAAAAAGCAGTGTTTGATCAATCGTTTTACCCGGACCGCGCTCGCCGAGGGGACACGTTGGCTGGCCGCAGAGCGCGGGTCATGCACAAGTGCAGACAGACACAACAACCGACGGAAAATAGAAGCCGGACAATGCATTCAATTGAGAGTGACGTAGAAACACAACAAATAGCGCAATTTCTCTGTGTTGTGGGAAGAAAAATAGTAGTTTCAAGACAACCCTGTCATGAAAGTTATTTCAAAGAACGTTTATTCATGAATCCATGACATCATCGAATAGTTTGGTAGACGGGAAACGCGATTTGTTCCTAGTTGCCTGTAAGTAAGTGTGGAAGTCCTTTTGGCATTTGGCTTGATTCTCCACAACGGAAATGATGGAAAGAAGAGCCGCATATCGAGAAGAGCCGTGAATCGTTCCGTGTTGAGTTCGACAATAACGTAGGAGACAGACGGCGAACGTGCGTCTTTCCTCCTCCAGAACTGATTGAGTACGTTGGGAAAGAGCACAGACGGCTGGATTGCACATCATGATCGCTTTCAGCAGCATGTACTCCACTTTATCCAGTTTGTTTCTGAACACCGCGACAAGGGTCTTCACATGATCATAGATGAGTCCCGATCTTCTTGGAGGGCCAATTATCACACCGTTCGGAAAGAACAGCCAATCCGCATTGAAATTATTGATCGAGAAGAAGGAGTCGTGCAAAATGGAGCAGACGCAAGTGGAATGTTTTGCCAGTCTCACTTTATCTTCAAAACTCAGCTTTCGGAAGAAATCAAATGTTTTCGAGTACTCGATGCTCGCTAGAAAGCTACAGTGCGCGTAGTTCATAAGGGACACATCGAACCTGAAATATGAGTTGGTCCGGTCCTCCGAAAGCTCTTTGAGCCACCTACCCTTCCACGTGAAACACTTGTAGTGAGGGAATTTCAGAGTTGGTAAAGATGACTTGCGACTTGAGAATGTCTTCTAGAGTCCGATAATCCTAAAGTTCTTCTTTTCTCTTTTTCAATTTCTACAAGCTGTCACTCGACTCACACACAATCCATCAGGAAGCCCCGAGTCATGCACTTTCTCTATCCTCGACTCAACCAGCTCCAACTTTCCGATTATTCTCTCCATTAAAACTTCAGGTGTGGTCAGAACGAATGAGCCGCTTGTCAGGCCGACGGCTTTTCTGCGTTGCACGACTTCCGTGAACAGCTCTTTCGATCTTCCGTCGTTCAACTTCAGCGAATGAATTGCGAGTGGATTCATTCCCACGTCCACACACTTTTCGAACCGACAAGAGCGACACGTCTTACGGAGCATATCGATCGGTATCGAGACGTTGAAGCATTCTCCGTTCCGCATGCACTTCATCCGATGTCCGAGAATGATGGTTCGCCGGAAAAATGACTTGCATCCGTTGCAAGAGGGTACCTAGAAAAGAGTGAAAACGGGGTGAATTCGTTAAGATTGAATTGCTCTCACATCATAATGATATCCAGTTGACGAGTTCAAACAAACGAGACACTTTTGAGGAAACTTGTTTTTCGGTAAAAGTTGGTATTGTTTGCCATCAGAGCACGAAGGCTGAAAACGTCAAGTTTGAATTGAAAAGAGGGAATGTACTTACACTAATGTCAGGTAAATCAGGATTCGCATCAAAGTTCATTGCCTCACCGCGTGGCCGGCGAAATAGTGATGCTGTCGGAGGGGTTTCGAGATAATCATTTTCCCGTCTGCGTCTCTTACATGGTTTATTGGTGCGCCATTCTTGTTTGTCTTTGACTGTTGCAAAATAAAAGAGAAAAGAGCAGTCTGTTAGTAAATGTCCAAGTTCGACGACTTTTGAAGAGCAGTGGACTCATTGTTCAGTATGAAATGAATCGGAAGCCCCTCTCGTAAAAAGAGAGAATGGATCAGACTGAAAACAGATGATTGTGGAAGAATCGGCGATTCTGATCTCCGTAAAGATCAGCATCACAATACAGTGCACTGGGCCGGGAGGGCGAGAAAATACGCGGAGGGCGGCAGAGACCACAGACTGGAGACAAGTGGACGGCTTATAAAAGAACGAAGTGAACACAGTCGAGACCGTTATTTTGTCATTTCCGTCTTCGCGCCCGATTATGGAGTGTCCCAGTGGAGAGGAGCAGCCTAGTATTCTGGAAAACGGATCCGGATTGTTTGAGACTCATGTCACGCTGGAAGATGTGAATGACGTCATCAGTGAGCAAATGCACACGCAATCGAGACTGCAACCGGACACCAAGTTCAATGTGATCGGAGATGGAAATGTGAGTTGGTGCAACGATCTGAATCAAATTCGTGTGTGTGTGTGCTCAAGTGTGCTAAACAATATTATTCAGGGAATCTCCAGCCGCGTGGTTCTCGTGGATCCCGAATGGACTCTGCCCGATGATCGCCTTCCGAAACAATTCGTCCTGAAAATAACCTCAAGCATGCATCTTCAAGGATTGATAGAAATGACAGAGCGCAGAAATTTTCCAGAGCCGAATGCAGAACAGAAATCCATGTTCAATAAGCAATTTGAGGAAAACTCGCATCGAATTCACAACCAGGAGGTCAATTTCTACAAGATTATTCAAAATTGGGACATTCGGAGCAAGCTTCTGGCCCCCGTTATTCACTTTTCAAAGGCTTTCGACAGTACCAACAGATGCAAAGGGTTCCTGGGAATGGAATACGCGAAAGGAGCAGTCGTAAGACATTTGTACGAGATCACGAAGCCGGAGGAACTTTATCCGGTCCTGAAGGCCATTGCCACACTTCAAGCGGGCACATTCCGGCTGAGTGAAGAGGAGAAGCAGCAGCTGAGCGGATCATTCATTATGGAAATGAGGGAAGGAATGATGAAGAACGGCGGAATGAAGGAAATGTTCGAGCAGGCGAGCAGCATTGACAACAAGAGATTGGCCGAGAAGATCGGGCAAATGAAGGAGCACGTGACGGAAATGTTCGACTTCGAGTTGGAATTCCGATTGAACAAGCGGCTCGGTCAGTCTTTAGACTTTAAAATTTGTAATTCGATAGTTTCAGGTATCAAAGAAGACGTGATAGTTCATGGAGACCTCTGGACAGCAAACATTATGTGGAAAGAAGGCGAGGGAAACCTCACGCCTAGCAAAATACTGGACTACCAGCTGGTGCACCTGGGCAACCCCGCCGAAGATATTGTCCGTCTGTTCGTATCCGCTCTTTCGGGCGCCGATCGTCAGAATCGTTGGGAGGAGCTGCTGGAGAAGTTCTACGAATATCTCGTGGAAGCCGTTGAGGACCGAGAATCTCCATACACCTTAGAGCAGGTAACAATTGGAAAGATTTCAATGTAAATCGGATGGTTTTCAGCTCAAAGAGTCCTATCGTTTGTACTTCGTGTCCGGTGGCCTTGCAGTTGTGCCCATGTTCGGTCATATTTTAGACATGAAGCTGAAGAGTATGAACTCGGAAAAGGATAATGATGACTACAAAGAAGTTGTCGTTGAGAAAATGGAGTGCCTTCTGGAAGATGTGCGCCAATGGCATCAGTACACCAAGGCTGCGGAAAAGAAAGATTGAATGCTTTAAAGTATAACTCTCAAATATTGTTCATCTCATAAAAAACCGTAAAAGATCTTCTGATATTCAGAATTATGTTAAAAAACAAGTCCTCTATTACATTCATTTAGGACAAGAAAAAATTGAATCGTATCTTTATTACGCCTTCGTAATTCAGAAATTTGTCGAGCTGAGTGGGTATGATGCAGTGGTGGTGTTGTCGGTTCTTCTGTTGGCGCAAGAGTATCCGGGATTCGAACGGCTTCTGCAACAATACTTTGAATAACGTCAGACTGAGAAGTGTTTCTCTGAAATCTTCAATCAGGAACAGAAGAATGAGAGGGTCGAATCCCGGGTACTAGTGGCCGTTGACCGTTGTTATGTTTCCATAACATCCGATATCGAAGTCAATAAAAGGGGTCACAAAAATCATGGTGGCTGGCAAATACATCAGAAACATGGGGATGACGGTCTGAAAATCACTTGTCTTCTTTACTTCATTATGAGCACAGGACTACCTGCAACACGAGAGTCATAGACACATATACGTGCTTTGATTGTCCTGTGAGTGCAATTTACTAACGGAAATGGGAAAGGATGATCGTCCTGTGAGTGCAGTTTACTAACGGAAATGGGAAAGGATGTGACGAAACAGCAATGTAATAACAACTATAACGCCTTCGCAAACTAGAACTTTCCAGAGCTGACTTGATAGGACATCGTGATGTTATTATCGGTTCTTGTGCTGGTGGAATAGATGCGAACGGTTTCTGCAACAAAAGTTTGAATGATGGAAGACAATTCTAAATAGCTGACTGAAAAGAGTAATTCTGAAATCTCTAATGATGAACAGAAGAATGAGCGGATCGATTCCCGGATACAAGTGGACGGTGACTGTTGTGATGTTCCCATAGCATCCGATATTGAGGCCAATGAAAGGGGTCACAAAAAGCATAGTGGCAGGCAAATACATTAGAAACATGGGGATGATGGTCTGAAAATCACTTGTCTTCTTTACTTCATTCTGAGCTACCTGTAACACGAGTGCTTTGAACAGTTGGTTCTGAAGTTCTCGAGTTCTGTCCGACACTCCGTTGTGTGCTTTGATTGTCCTGTGAGTGCGATATCCGCAGTAGCCGACAGTGCTGAATGAGAGAATCATGATGAGTCCGTGCTGAACGATTCCGATGATGTTGCGAGGGTTCAGATACTCGACTCCATCCACTGTTCTCCACTGAAATCACAAGATAATTATAAATCCCTGATATTTCTGAAAACTCGCATAGCTGTAAGGAACATTCCCAATCCAATAGGGATCCAAATCGTACGATTCTTTGAGTACATGCCTGCAAAACGGTATTTTCAGCTTTGTTTTTCGGTGGTTTCCTCACAAAAACGAGGCTTTCGTCCGATCGGTTTCGGGGTAAAGAATGAAGGCAGCGAACCCCCAACTGCCGGCAATCGCCATTGCTCCCACGATCCAGCCGACAAAGTAGAGGCCTTGAAAGTATCGCAAGTTATCGGGCCTGAACGGAAAGGTGTCTTAAAAGTGGATGAAGGTGTAAGGCTGACTTGCAAGCGGCAAAGTATCGGTAAACGAAATGGACGGCAAACAGGGTGAAGCTCATCGCGTAACATCCGCAATAAGTGGCTGAAAAAGCAAACATCTTCAGATTATTGTTCGAGTTTTAAATATACAAGAGATGGCTCGAGCAGTGGTTTCCGAGTAGTCGAACCTTTTGCGTTGAATTACAAAAATGGTATTGTCGTAGATATGGATGAGCTGCAATATCAGAGATTTTGCCGAGTCGAGTACAATATCAACAAAATGTGCGTGAAAACGAACTCACCGGTCTCAAGAAAGTCTCAACCGAGGTGTAAAACATACTGAATAGGCAGAAAGTGATCATCAAGTACTTGTAGGAGCCTAACGAATTCGATGGTCTGATTGCCAGGAGAGTGAGTAGAGTCAGGTTGGCGATGGTCGATATCGAGAATCCAACGTGATCGCATACGGTAGTTATTTTGAGCCAGCGAATGTCTGACATCCTGCAGAGAGACTGGCGTCGCTTGTTCTTTTATATAATTGGAAAATAAATGGTTTTCTTCTAGAATAATAGCTGGTGCGTGTTTTTCGATGCCAGAGACAAAAACATAATAGTAATAGGTGAGAACGATAAGTAAAGTACTCCGGAAAGAGTAGGAGAGCGGCACGAGTCTGTCTGAATCACAAGAAGTATTGGAAAATGTTGCGTAGGTCGTGGGAATGTTGATCAAAGAGCAGCACTTTTCAATCTTTGTACGTGACTGGGCTCACGTGGTCATTCGGATCAGTGAGCAGATAAGTATCTGCCTAGAGAGTTGCACCATTTTGATTTATAACATTAATACAGTTGATGTGGGGAAAAACATGGAACTTTGCATTTGCTATTACCCAACTCAACGAAACTATAATAATACTTACTCTTCGGTTTCCACCTGAACCACAACTTCCATAAATAAGGATGATGCACCAGCGGAATAGTTGCACTTTGCATAAATCCATGAAAACAGACCATGATAATGATCGAATTGATGATTTCTTGATTGTAAAAGTCCTCAAAATTAGCAATAGTTCCAAAGACTGTAGGTGCTGCGAGAGAACAAGTGGGTACGCCGATTTGAATGAGAAAGCACACGAAGAACCGACGCTGCAGATTGTTGGTGTGAAAAAATTGACGGCTTCAGATTCTTAATCTAATCGAGGGCGTTTTATGAAAAAATGGCAGCAATTCGACTTTTCACCTGCTTTCCAGGGATCGGCATTAGTTCGGCAAACCCAGTGAGCAAGGAAGGTGCCGCCCAAAACGGCAAGTTGCTACCGCCTCATTTCGGAGAATGGAGTGGGCACGGATCCGGCAAGGCAGCGGCACGGCTTCGGCGTGCGACAGAAAAAGGTGGGATGGGAGGTGTTTTGGCGGCACGGGAGCAGCAAGAACGTCAAGGATGAAGCAAGGGTGTCAGCATGTTTCGCTTTGCGGCAAGGTGCCGTTCAAAAAAACTGCCCGCGGCACTTTACTATTTCGGCAACTTGCCGAAAATTTCCTGAGCGGGAAGTGGTAGCACTGAGCGGCCGGCAGTCCGCAAGAAGCAGCAAGCAATCGGCAAGGGGCGGCTAGGGAACGGCAAAGGGGGAGCAACCTGCCGAAAATTACCTGAGAACTCTTAATCATCAAGCATTCATTTCAAGCAATTAAAATAACATGTTTTAGCTTCAAATCTGACAACACTGTCTGCAAGTAGCTTCTGTACGAGTGATGCACCAGAATTGTGGTGAGGCTCTGCATAAAACCATGAAAACAGAATATGACAACTATCGAATTGACAACTGCCTGACTGCAAAAGTCCCAGAAGAAGGCGACGGCGCCAAAGGCAAGCGGAACGCCGAAAATAGAAGTGGGCACTCCGATTTGGATGAGAAGGTATAGAAAATACCGACGTTGCTGCTTGTGAGTTTGGGAAGATTTGGGCAGGTTTGGAGCTATGAAAAGGTAATAGGAGCAGCAGGAAGTGAAGAAGAACAACTGGAGGAAAAATATGATAACGGCGAAAAGTCCGGCTTTGAATAGTGTCCACATGACATCCGGATCGGCGGTGAGCACGAATGTGGGTCCGATGAAGAACTCCTCGGTCGGGCAGGGCCAGATCTGAAAGGGGACGTTTCGTTTCTTTTTACACTTGTTAAACTGACCTCTAATATTTTCAGTTTCCCCTCTTCTTGGTCGGGAATACTGAACAGAAATGGAATAGAAAGTATTGAACCGAGGAGGATATTGCAAACGAACAGACAGAGCTTCGAGGAAGTTGTTCGTATTTTGAAACGGTTCTCGTTTATTGAACTGCTCCGATTCTCGAATAACATTAGGATTGATGAGGCCACACCTGATGGATACCGTTTAAAGAAACACAACAAACATTATTTATATTCTACTCACAAAACAAAAATGCGTATCCGAGTACAAGTTGAGCAATCACCGGAACGCCGAGAGCATTGAGAATTCCGAGCGAAAAGCCGCTCATCGAGGGGAGGAAGTAGTAAGGAGTCACCAAGAAGCAGAATAACACGTCGAAACAGGAACACCTGAAAATAATTTTGTAACCACACTCAGAAAAGTATCGCGACCAAAAGTGAGCATTCAGAAGGGGCCATTTGACGGAATCCATAATCTTCGGGGTCTTTTTTAGAATGCAGAATGAAGTGAACACGTGGATGGGCACAGCGAGAGTTCCGATGACATGCGAAGGATAGGCTACTGCCTGCCAGGAAGCCAGGAAGCTGACCGGTTCCTGGGGACACTTTGTGTAGTTTGTTAGATAATATTCTGTCAAAGTCCGAGCCATTCTTCAAGAAATGATTTTTGGAATTGAAAGATAGTAGCTATAGTGACATGCAGAAGCCAAAAACGTCTGTCAAAACATGAATCACCTGCAGCCTCGTTGGTTTTCTTTTTCACAGAAACTCACTTAATTATAAACATGTTCGTCTAGGCGCCCTGACGCACGTTTCCTGAAAGTGATAAACTTTCGAAACGTTTAAGATATATGCTCAACACTTACTTCAAAAGTTTGCCCAAATAGCTTCTGTACGCATGATGAGGCATAGTTTGAAAGAGCCAAGAAACCATATATAACTGCAAGTTAATCGTATTGTTTAGTGTGAGCATTGCACATTCATACCATCTCGACAAGTCAATTTGGCTCTGATCGTATGTTGTTACTACTTCAACTTCAACTCGGAAGTTCATCAAACCTACAGTAGTCCATCCCGATGTAAGCTCACTCGTTTGGATCCTCCCTGAATTCCTTCAAAGATAGCCATCGGACGCCTGATTAGCATAATTCCAATGTTTCGCAACGCACACAGCTGCTCATCGTTTCGCCTACAAAGTGTTTCATTTGAAATGTCCAGATCTGTCAAAAGTGTCACATGAATATCATCTGGACCTCCTCCTCCTGCTCGCCCCCCCCCCCCTTCCATTCTTCTCCTCCCTCAATTTGATGTGTGTCGAAGAAGCAGATAGTAGACGAGCGGAAGAAAAAGGGGGCCACTACCACATAAAATTCGCCCCGTGTTAGTACACCATCTGGCCCCCGTCTTAACCTTAACCCCTCGTTTGGACGGGGCGCCAATCCCATCATTTTGTCCTCAATCCTCTAGAACCTCCCCCCAATTATCTTCCGAAGACGAAAACCATCTGGAATCGTAAATCTCTTCAGAAGAATAAAAGCACTCGAGGACGTCCTCTTTTCTTCTGAAAGTGTAACTTCCGTCTTCATTCAAGTATTCAAGTCAAAACAAGAAATCTTGGGAGGGGGGTGCTCTCAAGATAAAAGATATACACTTTTCTCTCTCTCTCTCTCTCTCGCTCCCTCTCCGCTCGGCAGTTTTCTTATCATCTTTATCGATGTATGACCTCCGACGTCCGGTTCATCAGGAAACATCGGAAGGAGCCAATTGTCCTCCCCCTCCGGTGCTTTTCATCCGCTTCTCCCCCCAATTGTTATTTTCCGTACATACTCCCACAAAAAGTCACCTTTTTTCCGACGTCGTTATTCGATTTGTGTCTGGCACGCTTTTGTAGACATCCCAACGAAATTTATGCGCATTCATGTTCCAACCTTTGTGAAAAACTTCACTTATTCCACGTTACAAACACTACCGTAGTCTGAACTTTCAGTGAAAGTTAGAATGCCTAATTGCTGGAACATAAGCACTGGCACGTTCTTTGCTCCAAGTTTCACGTTTCAAGCGCCAGCGAAGAAAAAGAGAACGAATGAGTTTTCGCACAAAGAGATCGAGCGGATTGCTCGGCTTTCCGACAACTGTGTTCCTGCCCCGACACTTCCGAATCGTTTTGATTACTGTCCCCTTGCCTCCCAATACCAGTTCTCTTCCGTTTTTCTCTAATCCTCGGACGTCCTTGACTCTCGCACAGGTGAGTGAGTATACCTCACTGATGAATTACACGTTTTATTTGCATTTGTTCTAACATTCCCTCACCACCCTATAAAAGTGCCGTTTTTTGCCTTTTCGAGAACATTTGCTCATGAATTAGTTACGATCTCGTACCTCTATTTCTATTTCTATTTCCTATTCTACTCTTGTTTACCGTCCGTTTCCTGGAAATCCCCTTGCTCACATTGGCTCTCAATTGAGGCGGACTTTGCCGAAATAAAACTCGATCAAGCATTATAGCTAATTGGATTACATCCGCCCCTCAAACAAGTGCTTGTCCCTTCCCCTCATTTCGCATCCATTTTTTCCAAATTCTCAACAAACACGTGACTTTTAAACTTTTAAGTCACTGTGGGAAGGGGTAGAGAATGAAATGCAAAAGGCAGAAGGCCAATACTTTCTTTTTAACCTCCTCCCCCTCCTACTCGTGTCGATAGTCCTTCCCTTTGAATAATGATCACATGTGCGTGCTCCAGAAAGAAAGACAAATGCCCTGAGCCCCGAGTCCAGAGATGGGAGTGATTGGTCTGACCGCCGTCGAGGTGCTCGCCTTCTGCCTCGGCCTGGGCCTCGTGCTCGCCGTCCTCATCGTTGTCTGCAATTGCGTGTCCACGTGTTGGGAGATGTTGTCGCATCGACGGAAGAAGCAACGGATCGAGAAGTTGCCGGACGACTACGTGGACGAGATCCACCGCCTTCTGCAGCGGAATCAGAAGCCGTGCGAGTACGATTGCGTCGTCGTCGAGTCCAGGAGACAGTCCGCGCATTTGGAGGTGAGCAATCATGAACACTTTTTTATTGAAACTCTTTCAAGCACCTCTTTGCAGTACATTTCGGATGCTCGAGTGGAGCCCACTCCCCCTCCGCAGCAAGTTATAACTCGAAAGTCTGTCGAGAAGAAGACTCCGACCAAAAGTGTCCGGATGGAGAGCGAGGTACGTCTTGAAGTGCTCAAAAAAGCTCAAAGAGCCTCAACGTTTGCAGGAGAACATGAACACGAACACGACGAACTCGCAGTCGACGATAACCGCTTCGGAGAACGGAGAGGCGCTCGGACCGTTGATGGTGGACGGGAAGAGCAAGCGACGGACTTGGGGACGGCTCAGCAGTTCCCTTTTCGACACTGTCATGATGCCTTCGTTGGACACGACGACGACTGAAGACGACGTCGAGACGACGTGAGTAGTTTCAAGAATTGGCGAAAAAAGAAAACAATGCTTCATGGTGGAGGTGTTGAGAATAATAAAATTAGAGAATGAAATATAGACGAATTGAGACGCTTGCGTGCTCACGGCGAGATTCTCATCGGACGAATGATTCGATCGCGATGCGGACGGCCCTCGTTCAGGTCGTCAAAGTCCTTCGGAAACGGCGAACGGAGGTGCCAGAAGTCGGGCAGACTGCTGGAAATGAGAAACGGATTTAGGGGAAAGGGAAAGGGTGATCACCTGTCAACCGAAATCAGAAGAACGCATAGGAAGCCGAAGAGAAGAAGCAGCGACGAGGCCCTCATTCTGGGCACTTTCGGAACGTTTTAGGTGGGGGAGCGGCGAAAAGTCGAGTGAGACGACGGACAAAGTGTTGAAAACATTTCGGTTTTTTTCTGCAAATTCCTTCTTTCCCTCTCTGGCTCTCTCTCTCATTTGTGCGCTGTTTCACGTGACAACGACACCTGCCAGAAGGCGGGAAACAACTGATAGAAGAGAGTGTGGCGGAACGAGAGACGCAGACAGAGCAGTCAGCCGGTTGAATCACCCAGAAACACCTGACGGACCCGAGGTTCGAAGCACAACGATGATTCATTTCGAAAGATTTTATGAGTCCGAACTCTATTTTTTTGCAGGTCTTCCGTCGACAATCTTCGGTACGGGATGAAGATCGAGACAACCGTGTAACATAGATAACTTTCCGATATTTGTTCTCCTACAATATTCATATTTTTTCCTCTTTTTTCTGTGTATTTTTGTGCTTCTCCACGAGTTGATCTCACTTAATCAGATTTCGACCTTATTTGGAATGTTCAATTAATCCCATTGGAAACCGCCTCCAGGCGGCTTATAAATTTTTGTTCTGCTCGGATTTATCTTGTTCTCTTTTTCCCACATGCAATCACATTTTCCATTTTTGCACGTTTCCTGATGAATGCTCCGAAAGCAGCAGCTGGAGCAACACAAGAGCCCGATGATTACGAAAGTGTGTGTGGGCTCCGCGAGAGGGGACCGACTACGGTGTGGAATGGCCGTTGCGCATTGGACGCAAGCGCCACAGCTTACGTCCACATGCACAGTGAGCTTCTCGTTATCCTGATTTAAAAATTTTTTTTTTGTTCTACTTCTTCTCTGAAAAGATAATTTCAAACTCATTTCTAATTCTTTTTTTTTTTAATTCATAAAAGTTTAAAATTGTTTTCTCTCTTCTTTTTTCTCTCTTTCGATTCGTTTGGTCACCTTGAAGATCGGAGAAGTGGTAAAAAAGAGAAGGCGCCAACAAAGGCTTCCGTAAGTGACAGGCATAATGAATGGGCGTCGGACGGTACTCTTTGATAGATCACCTTCCTCTTTCTCGCTCGCCCGCTCTCTCTCTATCTCGTGACTCGCATGCACCTTAAAAATAGTTAAAAGTAACCAAAACTTGAGCGGAGAATCATTTTTTCAGATCTAATCTCGAACTGCCGCCTATCGCTAAACTACCGGGAACATTTGGAAAAATTGGTCGAAAACGCAAAAAAACCTGTGAGTTTTACCACTTGCGTTCCCACGCCGCGCGTTGGCTTCACTCTTCTGTCTTTTCTCTTTTCGAACGACCTCGAGAAGTAAAGCTGTTTTTCTCTGACACCTGACGTCTTGGTTGCCGTGGCGATGAAATATTCTGAGAGTGAGCTGGCATTCGAATACAAGATGGAAGTCATTTTCCCTTCCTTTGCACTCCCGTTGACCCTTCGTCCATCCACAAACTTCTAAACAATCATAAAAAGTGCTACGTGTGAAATTAAGAGGACCGCAACAAAAGTTGCGATTATCTTCTGTTTGCGCAGCACTTAAACTCGGTGCCATTTCGCAAATCTCCCATTTCCCCTCATAAAAAGTTCGTTCACACCTCACTCCCAGCCTGGCACAAACTTTTGCCTCTCATTCTCAAGCACCATCTGTTGCGCCATTCCTTGTATACTTTGAATCCGAACCGCTTGTCAACGACATGTTGGTGCCCGCGCGTCGGCTTTTTCTGTCAACAAGACGACAGATGTTCGTGGCTTTCCTCTTTTTGTGTTGCTATGCACTCACGCATCGTTTCTCTTTCTCTCCGTCTTCCGAAATGACCTCACTCTCCTCTGTCTGTGCTCCAATCTATTTCCGTCTCTAGAATCTCGGAATTCGCCCAAAAGCCTAATGGAAAATGTGTGGGCGACAAATGATTGTCACGCATTTCCCCCGAAGAATGTATTCAAGACAGACGGCAACTGTAAATGGTCTGGTTCAAAAATCTCCTATTTTCTAAAAAAAAAACGACCAGCCAGAAAAACGACCATAATCATAAATTTAAAATACTTCCAAATAGGTTACTAATGGCCGCCTATTTGCCCGGGAAATGTCATAAAACCCCGAAGCCCAGGTGAGTAGGTTTCTCCCTGTCAGTTGTCCCGCGGATCATAGTTTCACGAGCTCCTCACTGCCTTTGACAACTCCGTCCTTTTCTCCTTTCTCCAACATTCCATTCTTTCACATTTTCGTCGGCTTCTTGCAAAGTAAGGGGCGTGTTCTGTAGGACAGTCTGAACGAAAAGTGTAAACCGTAACACATTGCACATTTTCCATCCCATTCCGCGTCCATTCCTTCCGCCATCAACCCTCTCGCTGTCCAGCCAGAAAGCAACAAAATGGGCAGTCAGTTCTCAAAATGCGCGGGAAGTACGTTTGAATGAAAACTGATTTGTGTACTCCATTGCATGTAGAAAGCGCGTTCATTTTCCCCCGTACTAACCCATAAGAAAGCTGATATTTTTCAGTGATAACCGCACAATGATAACCTTCAGCACTCTTGATCTCACGAACAAGCTTTTACGAAAAGGTTCCTAACGGCCTTTCTCCTTTTTCCAATTTCTCACCCCCATAGATTCCACGTTTCAGGACTCGGCAACGTGACGTCGATGAGCACGACGTACGAGAAAGGTGACACTGGCTCGCCGGAAAACGAGCGGAAGTTCAAGGTGAGTGATGAGAAATCCGGGTGGTCGGGTAAAGGAAAAAACTCAATTTCCCCCGCAAAAGATAAGAGTGTGCATTGGCTGGGTGCCAAAAATGGCACGGTGACATCATGGAAGTGTTGTATGACGGGAACAAATATACAATAGTCTGGAGACCAAAGAATCATATCGTATCCCGATGTAATCAGTGAACACACAGTAGCGGCTGTGTATTGCACTCTGAGAAACAGTGAAAAAACAGCCGACGGGTGCCAAGTGCACAAAAACACGCTGATTGTTTGAAGGATTCGGTTGTTTGAGTGTTTTTGTGAGCGGGACGCGTGTGTGTTCGATCCGATTGCTGGTTTCTGAACTATGAGCTTCATGGCGCCGCCTCCTTCCGCCCAGAAGATGAGAAGATGATGACGTCGTCGTTTCCCCCAAATCACATTAGTTAGTCATGAAGTGCCTACCCAAGTGTTACTAATTTCCACAATACCGTCGTCTTCAGATAGTCTTACCCTCTGTTTTTTGTTGTTCTAGGCAACGGTCGTCCTCATTTTTATAAGGTCTCCTCACCAAACTTTGACCGATTTATTGGACAAATGGAAGAAACAAACCGGACGGCTGAATTAGTGTGTCGCAACTACTTCCTCCCCCCTATATAAATCTATTTATGCTCTATTCATGAGTACGCACGCCTTATCAGCAGCTGATTTTGCCACTGATGCTTGGTATTCAAAAATGTTGCAATATTGGTCGTTTCGCGCTCAATCAGTCATCACCTCGAGGTCACTCTTCGCAATGCTCCTCCATCTTTGACCAGTAAAATCAGACATCTATTGTTCTCGTGTTGTTTTCTATCTCACACTCCAACGCATTCCAATATCTGGCAGTGACAATGATGGAACGGTTTTTTGTCGCTTCCCTTCGTAGTGGTCATTGAGACAACTGGCGAGATAGGAGATAACCCAGGCCGCAAGGCCGAAAAATGAGAGATACGATGACAGTTCTCTAAAGAAGTGTGAATCGAAAAGAAGAACTGGCCGACGTGCCTCCTTCGTCATCTTCGCACTTTGATCACCGTGGCCGGAGAAATGTTCATTTTTCCACGTCGTGGATGATTTTTCCAATAACCTTCTCGCTTCTGATGTAATGACTCTGAAACTCTTTCTCTTCCTCCGCTCACGTGCGCCAATGTGTAATTTTTTCGAGCTCCGGGTTCTTCTCCTTCTCTCTTCTCCCAGCGACTCCGCCTCTTCTTGGTGTTTGTCGAAACGCGCTGGTTAATACTCTTACTCGTTCCGTTCCTTGATACGAGAATAGAACGCATACGCCGTTACCCAGCAGGTACAGTATGTCTTGTCTTTCGTTTTGCATAGTGTAATGATGTTTACGCGGACTGCACATGTCATTGACTCCTCTCGGATTGATGTCTCTCAAAACTCTTGTCGGGAGGAGGGTTCAGACCGGCAACAGCTGCCTTTCTCTTTCCTTTCTCCCTACACTTTTTTCTTCCGATCCCACCCTTTTCCATCTTTCTTCCTGTTCTTGTGTCCAAATCGACATCACTCAGTTTTTGATCTCATTCTCATCGTAGTCCGTCAAAACATGGGATTTTGTAATCAAATTTTGATTCACACCATCAGCGGTTGATGTTCAAAGATTATAGATGCTCAGGCAACCCATTTTCGCCCACATTATTTTTTTGTCTTTATAAAAGAACGAAAGGAAATGAATCATTCGCTGAAAGGCTTCAGCCATTGGATTATCCGTCTATCATCTTCCTTCCTTCTTATTATTATCTTCTTCGTCATGTCGCCATCTTCTCAGATCTCATCTTCTTCCTTTGCCAGAATGCCCCCAGCTCGCACAGCCGGACCTGCCCAAGTGGTCCAGCCGATAGTGGCGGCACCACCAACTGGGTCCGTAATTCTACCACCACCACCATCCGCGTCGTCTTCTCGTCGTTCCATCGTTTCTCCCATTTACACCAATCAGCACACCCGGAAGAGCGCGACTTTTCGTGCGTCACCGCCGAAACCATGCGCACCAAAAACCACGTGTAGCCGGTCGATGTCATTGGAACGAAAGGTCTCGAACTTCTTTCATCGGGGCCGGTGATAAATCAAACACTAAACTAAAACACCTTTTAACTAACGTGTCGTAAACAATCGGCAAAATTGATGATTATTTGATTTCGGTGACCGCGTGACTTCCGATTTCTGCGATAAGTATGTGTGTGTGTGTGTCGGGATACTGTAGCAGATACAGTAAAAGGAATGAAGAAACCAACTATCTAAAGTGTACATATTTTTGTTTTAAGGTCTACAAAATCGTGCTCACCGGAGGACCGTGCGGAGGAAAAACAACCGCTCAGGTGTGTACCCCTTTACAAGTATTCCCTCTTACTCGGTCATTCTGTTTTTTCCTTTTCACACACAAAATGTTATCGTTATCTTTTGTTGGCTGCTCTAATGTTTTTCGGTTGTTTCCGACGAACACACGATGCTGTTTTTCAGGTGCGTCTGGCGACCTTCTTCGAGAATCTCGGATGGAAAGTATTCACCGTGCCCGAGACGGCCACCATTCTCCTCGGCGGACGTGTCAAGTTCAGCGAACTAGATGAACAGCAGTCGTACATCTTCCAGCGGGACCTTCTCGCTACGATGCATCAGATCGAAAACACCTTCTTCAATCAGGCGTCCGCCATCAAAGACCGCAATGTACTGATCATCTGTGACCGCGGATGCATGGATCCGTCCGCCTACTCGACTGCGGAAGACTGGCATCGTATGCTTCGCGAGCTGAACTACGAGGAGTTCGATCTGAGATGCAGTCGTTACGATCAGATTGCTCATCTGGTGACGGCTGCCGATGGAGCGGAGAAGTACTACACTCTGGCGAACAATTCAACGAGAAGCGAGGGTATCAATTCGGCTCTGGAACTAGACAAACGGACGAGATCCGTGTGGATCGGACACCCGTACATGGACATCATCGACAACAAGAACACGTCGAACTTCGATGACAAAGTGAACAAGCTAATTCAGGTGGTGTGCGACAGAACCGGAATCAGATCGGGAGACCGATTGGCGAAGGATTCAAAGAAGAGAAAGTGGCTCGTCGCGGACGTCGACTGGAAGAACTTTGGAAAGTTCGAAGAGTTCGAAATCGAGCACTTCTACCTTCTCTCCGATGAGTCCAACATCCAACATCGCTTCCGTCGTCGCACTCAGAACAACCGTTCGACGTACACGCTGACGAGTCGCGAGTACTTCAAGGAGAGCGGGGATTCTATCGAAACTCGGATGAACGTGATGTCCCGCGACTACAATACGTACGTCAACATGCGCGACAAGAGCCGTGCTTCGATCTTCAAGAAGAGAAGATGCTTCATGTACGGGAACATGTACTTCAACATGGACATTTACAAGGATCCTCTGCCGCCACAGGCCAACGGAAACCATTTGATCTTCTTAGAAACGTACACAACCGTTCCGAAGGGAGTTCCGCTTCCGGAAGGATCCATGCCGCCGTTCCTGACCATAGAGAAGGTATCTTGAAATCGAAGAGCGTTTATGTAATTGATTTGCTATTTTTAGGAAATCACCGGAGAGGGTCAGTATTCGATGTACTCACTCTCGAAGTTCACCAAAACGGGCAACAAGAACGAGTTCGCCGGAGCCGACAAGTACAAGGACGACTAAGTGCTCCAGAAGCCATATCCTATTCCCCTTTCCTGTTTCTAATGCACACACACACACACCTATCACAAACAGTATTTTTCGCTTGAATTGTGTAATAATGGTCGTACTTTCCGCCGTTTGCCAACATTGACCTGATGACGCAGAGAAGCTCTCTTCTTTTTTCGTTTCTACTCTGAAAACTAACGATTGCTTATCCTCTCTGTCTCTAGCCCTCCCTGCCCAGTTTTCCCTCCCCCTCTCGTTCTGCCCATTTTTCCCTAGTTTTTAGAGTTCACCCCCATTCTTCTCGTTTCGTTATTTGTTTCTATGGTGCTTTAAGATTCTGTTATCGTTGTCGTCACAATCGATCAAATATCCGACATACCTTACCCCCGGAATATCCATCATTTCAAAAATGTGTTCACTTTGATTTATTTCACTTTTGCCGCCCAGTTCGCTATTAGTTGTTAGCATGTGCTCTGTTTGTTTCGTAATTTCCTCTTCGTCTAATAAAAATAATTGTCTCCTCATATCCTATTCATTGCCCTCCTCATTTTGTCGCCTTTTCAACTATATTTTGAGCTGGAAATGAATTCAAACTAGGTCAATTTTGCAGGAAGCTGAAAAGAGCGGAGGAGCCGATTGCCACGTCACAAGAACTCGAAAAAGCAATGTACGTGTTTAGAGATGAAATGAGATTTGAAACCTTCATATAGAAAACTAATATCTTGACTATAAAAATTTCAACCTCGAATTCATCTTAATAGGGACCATTACGTCTTGCTTTCGGGTATACGCCCACCTTCTCGTTATCAGAAAAAGCCACTACAGCTTTCTCCGTTCGTCAATCGATAAGTAAATGTTTGTGTTGCTCGCGGGTTCGTCCGCCGGACTTCGTCACCCCCATTTCCCCCCATCTACAACCGGTCCGGGATGGCGCACGCTCTGTGAGTGTCTTATCTCTGCGTCTCCTCGCTCTCGCTCATTTCCCATCTGCCTTCAGTTGTCATGGAGTTTCGAGGCCATCTCTTTTCTCTTCCTTCTCTTCCCCCAGTTTTCCTGTGTTTAACTCTATCCGCTCGCTTGACAACAACTCATCTCTTCAATTCGTCTCAAAGAATTTTGCCCAATCGTCGCAGCTCATCTGTGCCTGGCCCATTGTGCTCGGATCTTCATCCCTCCAGGTTGCCTGCGCGCGCCGCCCGCGGACGCGTCTAATGTCAGAGTGTCGTCTGGCGTCTCTCCTATTCGCCCGCTCTCCGCCTCGTTTTCTGACCCTTTCGTTCTTCTCTGGACGTTCCGCCGTCTCGCACTCTCTCGCTCTTCATTCACTCCCTTCTTTCTCCGTCTTCTTCCTCTTGATCCGATAGTCATTTTTCCATTTTCGACTTCTTTACACAGGCTCGTTCGTTCTGTTCGTCGATGAACCGCAAACGGCATTTTTTACTGAAATGTTTTAATTGCCTCTGGAAATTAGGTATCAGATTTGCATTTGTTTTTCAGCAAGTTTCCAGAACTTTTTCCGACAAAGTATCACTAGTCACACAGAATCCAAGGATCTACCCAGTTAATTGCAATCTCAGAACCTCGTTATAGTCTGCTAAATTTTTTTGAAATTGAAACATCCAAAGGTGTCAAGCGCTAAGCGCCAAAAGTCGATACTTCCCTCTCCTTTTTCTCCTTTTTCTTCTTCTTCCTTACTTGCTTCCCCCTCCCTCCTTCTCCATTTTGACCGCTTTATTCGTTTCAGAGCTTTAACGGGTAGTCGACGTGAGCCGACCACCAGAGACCGACGGCGAAATGTCCAACATAACGACGACGAGCGCCAACACGTATCGTGTTGGAGACTTTGTCTACTTCGACGACCCAGTCGCCACGGATGCTCCATTCCAGATTCGCAAAATAGACGAGCTTCTGAAGGTCAGTTGGAGGCAAAAGCAGTAATGTGTACGTTCTTTTCTTTTTCAGTCGGCTAATGGCGTTGAAGCCCGATGCGTCGTGTACTTGCGGCGAAGAGACATCCCGCAGCACTTGCTGAAAATCGCCGATCAGGCTCAACGCAGATTTGATAATTGTACGTTTGAATCGAGTGCGTTCAGGAAAAGTAACACATCCTCATTTCAGACTATGAAGTAGACAAGAAGAAGCCTGAAAACTTTACCTCAAAAGGTTTCGTTGTGGCTAACGGAGGTGGAGCCGTAAAAGAAGAAGAGGCCGAGGCGGAAGGAGACGACGGACCGCCGAAGATCGACGCTGAGGAGGGAGACGGTGTCCCCGTCAACGAGGAGAGAACGAGCTCTTCGGAAGCTCCAGAAGAGATGGACACAGCTGCGGAAAGCAAAGAGGAGAATCCGAAGGAGAAGGCCGAGGTTGAAGCGACTCAGGTCATTGATTGGGGAGAGGGTGGATTGCCGCTGGGCGCCGAGAAGCTGACCGCTGAGGAGAGATTGCGACTGCGACAACATGAGATCTTTATGACCAGACAATCGGAGATTCTTACTGCCAGTCTCATCCGCGGAAAGTGCCGCGTTGTGCTGCTCGGAGACTGCGAGGATGCGGACATTTACCTTCCGCACGACGATACCTTCTACCATTCTCTCGTTTATGATCCGACTGCTCAAACTTTGCTCGCCGACAAGGGAGCGATTCGCGTCGGAGAAAAGTATCAGGCTTTTGTCGAAGATTACATGGAGCCTGCCCAAAGAGAAGAGAAGGAACGGCTGGAGAAGGAGGCGAAAAAGGCAGCTGCATTGGCTAAGAAAGAGGAAGAAGCAGCCAAACTGAAACTGAAAAAAGAAGAAGAAGAACAGGCTAATGATAAAGAAGAAGCTGAAAATGGAAAGGAAGAGGTTGCCACTGAAGAAGAGACCAAGAAGGAGGTGAAGACGGAACCTATGGAAGTCGTGGAAGTTGTGGAACCAAAAGAAGAGAGCGATGAGCGAGAAGTGCTCGTTTGGCAGCCGGATAGCGGTCTCTCCGAGAGAGACATCGACCAGTACCTCATCGTCGCCCGTTCTGTCGGTCTCTTTGCTCGTGCCATCGACGGTGCTTCCGTTCCCAAACTGCCAACTCTCCAACTTGCCGCTGCTTTCGCTTCCCGTGATGTCACAATCCTTCACGCCTACGCAATTCTCCATCAGGCCAACTACAATGTCGGCCAAGCTATCAAGTACCTTGTCCCTGTTGCCAGTGTCGATGCGTATCCGTGCCGAGTCGATATCGCGACTGGAATGCAGACGAAGAGCCTCGGAGGACCCGTTCTGTGCCGTGATCAGCTCGAAGAGTGGTCGACTCCGGAGATGAATCTGTTCGAGGACGGCCTGGACAAGTGTGGAAAAGACTTTGGAGAGATCCGTTCGGACTATCTGCCGTGGAAATCTATCCGAGACATCGTCGAGTACTACTACCTCATGAAGGCCTCAAATCGTTATACCGACCGCAAGAAAAACAAGACGACGAACGGGGGCACCGAGGACGCCAAACTCCACCAAGTCTACATTCCAACATACAACAAGGCCATTCCGGCCAACATTGGAACGTATAACACAACCCAGAATCTGGTCAGAAGCGAGATCGGATGCGAAAACTGCGGAACGATGGATGCCATCAACTGGTATCAGTGGGGAGGCGTCGAGAAGAAGGTTCTGTGCTCTGGATGCTGGACCAAATGGAAGAAGTTCGCCGGATTGGATAAGAAGCACGAGCTGGAGCGATTCGATAAGACGCGTCCGCCAGTGCTCGATCAACAAACCTCGGCCATTCAATCCAGCAACGGAAACGATCGGCCTCCAGTTCTGCAAGTGCAACAGCAGAAGCCGGCCACTCCAACCGGATTCAACCAGCAGAAACCAGGCCAAACTCTCCCGCGACAGGAGTCATACACTAAGCAGAACGTTCTCGCTATGGCCAGAGTTGCACTGACGGAAGGCAGAATCACTCAAGAACAGTACAATCAGATCATCCGGAACTTCCAGCAACAGCAGCAACAACCTGCGGCTGCTGCTCAGCCAGCGGCACCTTCCGTACCCCAGAAGGTTCGTTTGTTAAACAAAAAACGAAAAATTAGAATTTACTTGATTTTCAGAGGAAGCCGACTCCGGCGACGAAGCCTCCAATTGTGTTCTACACTACGATCTGTCGAAGAGCAGTGAGGCGTCTGCTTCCGAAAGCCGCCTTCAATCTCCGGAAGCTCTCTCGCAAACCACACAGCAACATTGACGATGAGGCGATTCTCAAATCAAGTCAGTTAAAAGCTCTAACACTATGCATTCTAAATTTCTCATTTTTCAGTGATCGTTATGGACAAGAAAAACTTGTTAAACTCGGCGTTCGCTGCTGCTGGCGAGAAGCGGAATCTGATTGTCGAGGCGGACTTCCACAAAGGAATCACTCATCTGCAACACGTACGTTTTATCTGTTCCAAGGGGCACACGTCACGAGAAAAGAACCTTCTAGGAATCTCACGCCGAAGCTGTGAGGTGGCGTTTGTACAAATTACTTGAGGAGCGTGAGAAAGAAAGGGTAAAAGGTTCGTGACGTGTGCCCAGCCCCTGCCCTCCTTTGTTTCTCCTCAATATCTAACCCCTTTACATCTTTTCAGACGTTGTCTCACGCGACCACGGGAAAAAGATCGGCGGCGCAGAACGTGCACGCGGGTGAACCGTCCGCCAAGATTCCCCGGGTAAGCTATCCACGAGGCTGCCCTCTTCCAAACATCTGAAGTGAACTGAACTGTCTGTCCGAGTGTTTTTTTGGTGCTCCCTACTTTTTCTTCCTGTAAACACTTTCGGAGATTCTAACTCCAATCTTTTCTGCAGTTGTTTCTTTCATCGTTCTGCTCTTCCCTGACATGTTTAACCTTTACTAATTTTGCATGTTCATGCTGTCTGCTAACCGTAATATGCCAGTCTATCCATTTTTCCCACCTGCACCCTCATTTCCAGCTTTCGGTTCCGTCCTATCCCTCCGGATCATCCGGCACTCTTGTTCCTCCGACACTCGAAGACGTCGGAAACACTCTTCTGGCGGTGAACGAGGCAATGAAAGCGGCGCGTTCGTTCGTGAATCCTCCGCCGTCGCAACCCACACTCCGCTTCCATCCGCATCCCCAGCAACTTTTACAACAGGACTCTCCTCCACACCAATTCCTCGCACCACTGCTACGCTTTCCACAGATGCAGTCGTCGTCGGCGTCGTCGTTGTCGCAACTGACCAACATTCGAGTTCAGCAGCTTCGCCAGTCGTCACAACAGCCTCGGCAAGCCCAGGTGCCAGTTGAAGTCGAACCGGAGCGGCTCGGGACGGTGATGGAGATACTCAAAGCACACACTGACTCGCGGTGGTTTGTGTACAAAGACGACGTGATCAAGTATCGCGCGGGTGCCCAAATGAAGTAAGACGATCAGTTATTGAGAAGCGCGCGCAATTTAATTTCGGTTATTCTGTTGTATACCGTAGTGGTGGCCGCGCATGTAACATGTTGTAACAGTTGGTGCCTTCTTCGTTGGTGTCGGTGAAACAGTGAATCTGATTAGTTCTTCGGGCTGCTACTCGGGTAATCGCTTAGTTAGTTTTTTCTATTCGAAGCATGTTCGCAGAAAGTAGGTTACTGTAACCTCTTACTATCAGTTCAAAATTCTCGTGCGTGCATGAACCCCACTCGTCTTCGTAACCTCTTCGTTCACCAAAATCCATCCTCATTTCCATTTCCCCTCCTCTCATCCACTCCTTCGTACCCTCATTTTCTGTTCTGCTCTCATTTCAAGAATGCGCACACATAAATACACATTCCACATTTCTTTCCATCATCCTTTCGTACTCTTCCTCTCATCCATCGTCCATCCACTCAGCCATTCCTTTTCTCTTATTTCTCCATTTTCTTCAATAACAAAAGTGCACAGCAATGGAAGAGATAGATTCATAAGGAAAGACAGAAAAAGGCGCCCCTTTGAGCTTCCAAAGAGCAGTTCAGGTTCACTGTTTCAGAGCGTTTAGTGATTAGGAATAGAACGATTGCACTAATGGAATGGAAATCTAATCAAATTAAATGTATTACAGATCTAAACGACGGCAACTTCTATCGCGACACCAGATCCGTCGAATATCCCGCCATCCTAACAAAATACATACTTTCGTGGATCCCTTCCGTCCCAAATTATACCCCTTCTTCACGGAGCCACTTTCCAATCTAAAATCACTCACCAACTCCACCACCCAATGATCGATCTGCTTCTCCATTTTCCTTTTTCATATTTGTAACTTATTCATCTGTCTGTAATGCCCAAATTTTTCTCGTCTGAACCTACCCCTCATCTGATTGACTGTTAAACCTACTCCTCATCTGATTGAACCACCAGACGTCATGTGATTATTCTGCTCTTCCCACTTTTGCATTACAAAAAAACCAGTTTTATTCACAACTCATTTATTGCATGGAAAACAGAAAACAGTTGTTGGATGGTCTGTTCACCATAATTGGTTTGGATGATCTTTTTTGTTGTTAGTTTGCGAAGGGGGAAAGAAACGAGAGTTTTCTCGTTTCTCCGTGTCTCTCAGTTCTCGTGCTCTCTCGTCGTGTGTGTGTGTGTGCGTGGTTTGTTGGAAATAAGCTAGATTGGGAAAAAATTAAGAAAAAAGAGGGGGCTACGGGTGGATAAATATGCATACGATTGTGGAACAAGGCACTCGTCAGTGCACTTCCTGGTCGAGCAGGTCGGGAATCACCGTCGGGCTCTTCTTCTCCGACGGCTGCACTTTTGCGATCTCCTCCATCACGGGCACCGGACCGCTGCAACACATTTCCATTTTTTGTATAGTCGGCCAGAACGTTTCCCCTCGAGAGCACCCACAATAAGAACGCCCACGCTTTTATCTCTGTTATTATCACCAACCTGCTCATTCCGGTGACGTTGGAAGAGTGCGGGAAAACGCGAACGGGCGGCTCGTTCGGCGAATTGTCGGGCGAGGCGAACGCGGCGAATCTCGTTGTGCCGACCATCGCGGCGGCGGTGGGGATGGCGAGCGAGAAGGCGAGCAGCAGACTGCCCAGCGTGAACATCGCAAAGCCGATCGACTTCCACAGACGCATCGGATCTTGGAGAATGATTTCGAGCTTGTCGCGCGGCACGTACAGGCCACCGTTCTCGTCCTGCAAGCGAGAAGCGAATGGGTAACGGGGTACAAGAGGATACACACCTGGAAGAGGACGAATCGCTCGATGGACTGCTCGATGTTGCGCTCTTCCTTCCACGTGTAGCCGATGCAGATGGTGACGGCGCCGGCGATCAGGAAGAGCAGGCCGATGATGGTGCAGATGCGGCATAGCAAGAGGCCACGACGTTGCGCCGGTGGCGGCGGGAGCAGGTACCACGCGCCGCTGCTCATCGGACCGCCCATTCCTTCCACATCCTCGCCGGTCGGCGTGACGTAGAATTGATGCAGATAGTTCTTGATTCCAAAGTTGCGAGGTGCGCTCACCTACAATGAAACATCGCTGATTACGGCCCTTCTTCCTCTAATCGCTCCAATTACTAAGCGGGCGGACGGATGAATAACAATAACACGCACACGTACCTCGTCGACCAGAGCCGAAGGTTTGGCTGCCCCCGGAGGAGACAGCTTCTCCTTTTTATTGCTACCCAGACGAAATCCGGTCATGTCATGCGGATCTGTAATCGACTTGTTGTGTCTGTGTGTTGGGACCTCAATTAAGAAGAAGAAAAAGAAGCATGGCGAGTGAGATTTGAGACGACGTTTATTGTGTGCTCGCTTGTGGATGACGTCATGCAACGCTTTTAAACGTCGTCGTAGTTGGCGTGAGCTATTGAAAAGAAAGAAACGGGGAAAAAACATTCGACGGCAAAGCTGCTCAGCTAGCAAATCCGTTTAGCTTCATATTTTCAACCTCTGAGCGTTGAAGTTGAAGTTTGCCCCAACAAAGTGAGTTTTAATGAAACGCCAAATGGATGGATAGGAGGGGATAATGAGAATTGGAACGAAATGGAAGCGAAGCGAAGCGAAGCCCTTCACGAAGAGTAGTCGGTCGGTGAGCGCCGAGCAAGCAGAGCTCTCTCTCTCTCTCTCTGGAGAGGAGCATGTGAGCTCAAAAAGGGGGTGGGCGCACATATAGAAGGAGGAGGAGAAGGCGTCGAGAAGAGAAGAAGAGGGAGAGAGAGAGAGAGAGTGCACTGGAGTAGGAAGATATTGACGTAAAGAGGGAGCGACGACGAGGCTGCGAGCAGAGGATGACGTGGGAAAAAGAAGTTGGAGCCGAGAGAGAGGGAGCTGGGAACTCAGGTGATGCCTTTCGAAACGAAGGGGACCGAACATTATGACGTGGAGAGAGCATATAATCTGAATGAAGCCATGCCATTAGGTCATCATATATTGGATTAGACTAATACCGATTAGTAATAATGCACACGAATTGAACGAGTGACGGAAGCGCACGTTTCCGGTGAGCGGACACTTTTGACTATTTTGGTTAGCTTAAAAGGGATTGGAATATTCTAGAACGAAGCATGCAAATTTTGCTTCCAGATCCTTACTAGTTACTAGAGGACCGTAAAAAACATAATAGAAGAGCTCAAGACTATGTCTCAGCGCCCTGTGGAGATATCAAAAAGTAGTCAATTGATACAATGTACGCAATGTTTTCAAGAGCATTTTATTAGTTGACAACATTTTGATATCTCTACAGGCAGCGGGAATATAAACTGGACCTCACCAGCTCACACGGATCCACTTCTGGAACACACGGTGACCGAATTCGTATAGCTGTCAAAATGGAAAAAGTGGTCAACTTGTGTTCGTCGTCGTCCCCACCCCGTGTTTTTGCATTCTGTTCACTCAATTTCATGGAGAACGAGCACCTGCCATTTCCAGATCAAAACAGCACAAACATGACAAATATTTTGAATCTAAAAGAGAAGGGGGAGAAGAAGAAGTGAAAGAAAAAGGAAAAATTGATTCAGGAGAAGTGGGCACTACAATTAGTGGCTGTGAGCCAGCCAGAGAGGGGTAAACAAGCATGCGAAAGTGTCACTAATCCAGTGCCTTACCCGCTTCTCTGCTCGCCGTTGAATGTACGAATCTCCGTGGTGATAGACGCCCACTCACCCACTCGCAGTCACAATTTATTAGGTTTGTATTCAATTCAGTTCGAGTCACAACGTACACTAAAGCTCTAAATGGATTGAAAGTGAGTAGGGGGAAGAAGAAATATTACACGTTTGCATGGAATTGTTTTGAATGAGGAAGAGGAGGCACGGAACAACGACGGAAAGGTTAAAGCTCGGGGGAAAAGTCATTGGATATGGGTTACATCATCAGATGAGAGTTGCGAACGTCGTAGTAGCCACGCGACGCTTCTCGCTTCAGACCACCGCTACTTCTGGAGGAGGGCGCCGTGTTGGAGAGGTGAATCTGAAGGGGAGTCATAGCCATCCAAGACAGCAAATAGGAAAGTTACCGATGGATCGATGTAGAACGGACGGAAGTAGTGTGTACGCTTTCTGTCGTACAGCGTCCGGAATTTTGTGCAGTTCAGGTAGACGAGAATGAAAATGGCGATCGCGAGAATCACGAGAATCGAGATCTTCGCGATGGTCATCACGGTGCTCCAGTAGGTGTCCCCGCCCGAATACAGAAGCGGCAACTTATTCGTGAACCGGACCGGCGACAGCGACAGTTGAATCACCTCGGCAATCTGCTCGTTTTTCTCGAATCGGCTCACGTCGTCCCAATTGTAGTTGTGAGGGCTCTGAATGATTCAGGCGTTTTCTTTGAACTTTGAGCCCGAACTCACTCGGATCTGCGATGAGTTGAATACACAGAATCGCATTCCGTACGTGGTGTTCATGTCAATGCTCTGGTTAACGTGAAAGATGAACGGTTCTGTTGAGAAGACCGAGGACTTCAGGACGGTCTGTAAGTGGAAACCCAGTTGCTAGAGCCATTTCCTACTTTCGCTCACCTGAATGAGCACAACAATCTTGCTCCGATGCGTGTCGTTGAACTGAATCTTCGTCTCGTTGTTCTCGTGCTCCGGATCCAGTTGCACTTTGCCAAACTCTACGAACAGCTTGTCCACATTCTCCGCATTCTCAATATGAAACAGCGCGTCGCTCCGTCTGACCATTATGTTCCCGCTCTCGGAATCCCACGTGGCATTTATCTCCTTGCGTGGCAGACAAATCGTGTGCAGCATCGTCTCGCGACTCGCACAAATACCGTTGATGAGACGTGCGTGGGTGGTCGCCGGGCACACGCATCTGAAATATGTTTGTTTTTCTCGTTCGTTTCTCGTTTCCCCGGACCACCGAACACCCACGTCTTTCTGTCCTCGCAGCCGAATTCGCAGACGACGCCCGCACTCGTCAGACACTTTTTCGCCTTCTCGTGGTGTCTCACTTCGCTCGAGTTTCCTACGAGATTCGTCAGCTGAAAGAGAAGAGTCGATTGATGAGAAAATTGGGGGCTCACTGAGTCCTGCAACTGTTTCGCGGCCTCCTCCAGCCGCTGCTCCAATTCTCTGTCGATTTGCTCCACGACGGTACTGTTCAGTCCGTCCTCGTCGCCATTCTGACTGTTCACCGACTCTTGAATCACTTTCTCCAGATTCTCCACCGACTTTTCAATCTCATCGCTCAACATCTTCCTATTCATCTCTTCTTTCGAGCTTGCTGGTGTTTCAGCTTCAGCTACAGTTTCAGAAGATGTTACAGCAACTACTTCAGTTGTAGTTGTTGCCAATTCAGTCGTAGTGGTGGTCGTGGTGAATTCTTCAGTTGAAGTACTAGCCGGCGCCTCTGTTGTGGGTGAGAATGTGGTTGTCCGAGGTTCGACTAAAGTCGTCTCCCCGCTCGTATCCTTGTTTATCTGTTCTGCCCTCTCCAGCTCAATCGGCAAATCGGTGGAGTGTCTCTGAAACAAAAACACACAACTTTCTCTCATTTTCATAATGTCTAATGGTTGCTTACAGCTCCAGATTTGACTTTAAGATGTGCCGGAAGTCGATTTCCAGACACTGACAGGTCCGTTTCCATTCTGTACACAGTTGAAGTGGGCGCTTTGGGGGCGAACGTGCTTCCGGGCAACTCCACCTGCTTCGGCCCGATCCCTTTCCAATCTTTTTCGGCTATTGTCGATCCGAGAATCGGACCACAGTCACCGCATTTGGTGGTCTCTGTAATAGCATAGAAAACCGAAGAACTGGAAAAGAGACTCACGGGAAGATTTGCAACTGGAACACTGGAAAGGAATCACTTGAATCACTCCGAACTTTGGCCGTTTCCGCTTTTTTGATAAGATTGCGCACACCTGGAAAAGTTTTAAATAAACCTCTGAGAAACGTGCTCCACCGACCTGAACTCCAAAGTCTTCATCTTCGGGTATATCCAGACTGAAACTGGAAAGCGATCCGTCCACTCGGACCTCCCGTTTCGCCGCCAACTGCCACGTCACAAACGGAGCCACTCCTTTCGATTCGGACGGTCCGTAGCGCACGTGATAGTAAAGAGGAGGTTTGGCAGGCGGTTGCCAGCTGATCTTTGCCTTTCCGCGCTCTCCAGACACGTTCACGGATTCAAAACATATCGGATTGGACTCTAGAATTGTACATTACATAGACATCCTAACTGTTAACTGTAACTGTTCACCTCTATTGCAAATCTCGAGATCCGGGTTCTTGGAGCAGTCGATCTCGATGTTCTTCTGAATGTTGAACGGCTCGAGACGCACACACCTCGGCAGCATACGCACTTCCACCCACATCCGACACCTCGCTTCGAGGACGGAAGGCGGCAGCCACACTGCCAATCGACCGCCTCCTTTCACGATTTCGATCCGCGGAGTCGGGATTTCGCCCTCCGGAGTGCTGCATTGAATAGGATAGAGGGCCGGCGACTCGTAACTGTAAATGTCTCCGTCGATGTAGCCGGACGGAAGTGTCCATTTCACGTATAGCTTCAGATCGTCGGACGAGTTGGCACCACTCACACGTGGCATTTCGATTGAGATCTGAACAGTTCAAGAGACAGAAATAAGTAGCCCAGCGGCGGACGCACCTGTTGTTGACTCAGGATAAACGGTGGCAATTGGACGGGAATCGGCTGCGGACGGATGATGTCGAACACGTCGGCCGGGTTCGAACTTCGCACGACGATGAGGACGCGGAACTGGTAGTCGCGGCACGGATCGAGAATGCTGAAGACCGCTTCCGGTTTCGCCGATGCGCCCTGGAATTCAGATTAGTTAATCAGCAAAGATGATTGAGGTCGTTGTGACGGCGAAAGTAAGAAGAAGGAAAAGAAGAAGAAGAAGGAAAAGGACAAAAGATCTCACGGCGAAGTTCCATCTGTCTGGTTCCGTCGAAATTGTGGAGTACTCGAAGACGTAGGCGAACGCCGCCGGCTGCGGATCGATCGAAACTCGGATCATGTGAGCATCCACGTACTCGGATTTCGTCTTTGGAATGCTTGCGGACACTTCAGCTATCAGAAGATCGGCGTCGAACCGAGTGCAATTCCTCGTTTCCTTAGACACTGGACAATTGCAGATCGATGCAGAAGGCTGAAAACTTTTGAATTCAATTCAAAGTCAATCTTATCGCCGTTTCATTCCTCAATTACCCGACGCCCCACTCACTCTTTTCATTCATCTAAAGCCCACTTTGCGATACTTCCCGCAACAAATTCCCGCGAATTGGCAGCAGTCACAAAAAAAAACACTTTCGGCGATGACCCGCTCGATAATTTGACCTCTTCTCTCTCCCGCCTATCCATCCTACTCATCTTCAAGAAGAAGAAGAAGAAGAAGTGACACACAAATCGCCATTTCCATTTCCATTTCAATTTCCCATTTTCACTTGTTTTTGAGTCACTTTTCGGAGGACGCGGAAAAGGATAAAGAGAAGGGGCACTTACCGTTCCAGATTGCATGCAAAGTGCGAAACATTCCAACGAACACTTGGTCTTTGAGTGTGGTTCTCCGGACGAAAATGGGATGAGGAGGAGGGAAGTGAACAGGAGGAACGGTAGGCGAAGGCAGCCGACGCCTTCGGACTCGACTCCCATTTCTGAAAATGCGGAAGAGTACGGTATTGAGAAATGACCAAGAATACGTTTCTAGAAGTTGTGGGGGGGGGGCGGCAAAAATGAACAATAGGTGGGGGATCAGAAGCAGCTATAGTCAGCGGTCCCCCTCCGCCAACTACCACTTTTGGAAACAGAGACCGGTCAAGCGAAGTGAGGAGGAAAAGGTAGATGGCGATGGGAACGAAACGAACGAAAAGTAAATGTTATGGTTGTTTGAGAAGATACGGCGGCAGATTTGAATATACAATACGGTCGGATGCGAGTCAAAAGCGAGCGAGCGAGAAATCGGGACAGTTTTGACAGTAAAAGTCGGGCGCACTTCTTGGCGCATTTTGTTCGGAGGTAGGAGGCGGAGGAGGACGTCCTAAATTCGAAACGATTAATTGCTGCTTACGTCTTCTCCGCCTCCTTCACTTCCACTTCTTCAAAGATTCATCCTTTCTTTCTTTCATATTTTTATGTCACCGCGCCACAACAAATAACGGTGGTGCTGGTGGTGTAAGAGTGCGCGAAGATGGATCGGATTGACTTTTCGTGAACGAACAAGTGGGGGATGACAGATGACCGGCAGCCGGGAGGAGCGGACGTCCCTTTGGTCCCTTTGTGTGTCATGCTTCAGATTACTATCCGCCCTCCCGCAATATGCTTCCGATTCGCGGTGCAGATTATGAATTATGGACAAGAATGGAAATGGAAATGGAGATATCTCAGGCTGTTCATGCTCTATTTGGTACTGTACAAACTGGTGAGATTGGAGCGAACTGGGGTGGAACTACCGGAAGCTCCATGTGATCAAAGATTGATGAACATTAACGTGTATAACATTAGTGTCTCCTAGAGTCAACTCACAGACCGTTTTCAAGTTTTCAGGCTGAAGAATCAAAAGTATTATGCCCGCTCCAGAATGATTGGAAAGGTACATCCAACTTTTCAATCATTGTTCGAGTTCTGCTTCAATATTTGAATGACCTCCATGCTTGCTGGCCAACAGGGCTGGGCAATTGGCCGGCCCGGGCTTTTCGTTGGCCGACCATTGACCTGGACTTTTGAACCACTTGCAATATTCCAATCGGACCCAAACTTTGCAGGCTTCTTTGACTTGGATTGAGGGCCATTGGGAAGAAGTTTCAGCCCGATCGGATTGACGGGTCCCGAGATATGTGGATCATTGGCCGATTATTTCCAAAAAGCCCGGGCTTCCGGCCAATTTCTGCCAATGATCCACATATCTCGGGGCCGGATGATCCGATCGAGCTGAAATTTGGTCCCAGTATGCTTCAACCCATGTCCAAGAAGCCTGCAAAGTTTCGGTCCGATCGGAATATTGCATGTGGTTCAAAAGTCCAGGTCAAGGGCCGGCCAACGAAAAGCCCGTGCCGGCCAATTGGCCAGCCCTGCTGGCCGAGAAACGCGTTGCGTTTTTCTCTTTCATAAGGCTATAATTGTTACATTTATTTTCGGAATATATATTTTATAAAAAAAACTTCTCTGTCAATGATTTATGCTTTTATAGTGCACTTTTTCTCAATATAATACAAGCGTCACTCTTCTCGTATGCTAATGTATCATCTGAATATCTCTCCGAGATGTTTTCTCCTTCTCTTCCACTGCACTTTTTCCATTTTTTCAATTTAACCGACGGCCATCTCTCTGGGTCCGTTTCCGTCGACGCGGCCGAGCGGGAAAAGAGTGAGCGAGGTCTCCAGTTTCGTCCTCTTTTTCTCTCCGTCACTCCGCCGGCCCGTTGTTTATCCGCCGTCTCTCGCTCGCTTCCATTTTCTTCTTCTATCAAAATTTTGGGCCTCCAATCGATTCATTTGTTCATTTGTTCGTCGTTTCAGAATGGAGTTATCGGAATTGATCGAAGTGACACGGGTTCGCGATGCCTTTATGCGCAAGGGACCGAGACCCTCTCAAATAGGCGACATTTGCATATTCGGTGAGTGGATCGTTCTTTTTTTTATCAAAATTTTATATTTTTGAGGTCACCACTTGATATTCGCACCCACAAACACGGGCAAAGAGGCGGCGGACAACTCGGAGGAGTTCTGGCTCCTGCACAAGGCCGTCGATCGCGTGCTCTGTGAGCCCATCTCAAAAGAGAACCCGCACAGAGGAGGACTGCTGGCTCTCAAGTGCAAAAACTTTCTGATCATCATTTTTGAAATCGGAGACTTGGATATATGCAGGGCCACAGCAAGAACAATTGAGGCTCTTTCCAATATCAGTGAGTTAATTGAATTTCAATAAAATTGCAATTGTTTTGATTTCAGATGGCTTCGTGCACGACTACGCCTTATTCTACAACTCGCCGTTCACAATTCTCGATGACGGGTGGTCGGCATTCGATCCGGAGCAGGAGTTCGCTAGGCTCATGACCTCCACAGACGCTTTCCGCATTTCCAGTGTTAATGAGAACTTTTCCGTCTGTCCCTCATACCCCGAAAAGCTGATTGTGCCGAAAGGGATCGGAGACGACTACCTGAAGATTTCGGCCACTTTCAGAGAAGGCGGCCGCTTCCCCGTGCTCAGTTACTTTCACAAAGAGACCCGCTCTCCGTTGGTCAGATGCTCGCAGCCACTCATCGGACCCACGAATCGAAGGTGCCGGGAGGACGAAACTATTCTGAACTCGATGATCACTTTGAACCGCGGCTACATCATCGATACACGGTCCAAATCATCAGCGACGGCAGCGAAGGCGAAGGGAGGTGGCGCCGAACCGCAAGGAAACTACCGGCAATGGCGGTACATTCAGTGTCCGATTCCGAGGCAACGGGAGATTCACGATGCACTGACACGAATGGTGGACGTGTGCTCCGAACGGAAGGTCTCTTCGGATCGATGGGTGGGCCGAGTGGGGCAGGCGGGATGGCTGTCTGCCGTGGCAGCATCGCTCGAAGCTGCTGCCAACGTGGCACAGTGCATCTACAGCGAAGGATTCAAGGAAGTTCCGGTCGTGATTCATGGAGGAGATGGACTGGATTCCACGCTCATCGCTTCTTCACTTGCGCAGATTCTTCTGGATGCTGATGCAAGGACGATCAGAGGGTATTGTTACAACAAAAACCTAATACTACTTTAGAATGATATCGCTTCAGGTTCGAGTCAGTGATCGAAAGAGAATGGATTTGTGGAGGACACCCATTCAGTGTCCGCAACAATCACTGCGCCTTCGCCGAAGGAACGATCACAGGACCCTTCGAGAGTCCCGTCTTCCTCGTTTTTCTCGACAGCGTCCATCAGATGATCACTCAATATCCTCTATCCTTCGAGTTCGACGAGCACTTCCTAATCTTTCTATTCGAGCACGCCTACGCGTCAGAGTTCGGATCGTTCCTCGGAAATTCGGAGAAAGAGAAGAAGGAGAATGGAATTCGAAAGAAGACGGTCTCGCTCTGGTCGCATGTTCATCATCCTGAGAATCTGAAACAATTCGTGAACGCCTGCTATGATCCTACTCCGGGAGTCATCTGGCCATCCGTCGCTCCTCAGTCTATTGTGAGTCCATTACATTTTCAAAATTTAAGAGTCACATGACCTTCTTTTATGCCTTAATTTAGGCAAGCGACTCCTAACTAGTTAGAAATCAGGAAAAGTACACGTGAAAAAGCGAAACACGTCGATTTTCAGCGCATCTGGGACCGCCTGTTCTTCCGCTGGCAACGTCCCGATAACAGTTGGTCCACTCCCGAAACGGAAACCATCCAAAGCCTGGCAGATCACTGGAAGTTGCGAGAGAAGGAGCTCACCGCGAAAGCCTCTTCCCTTCGCCGAAGTGTCGTTGAACTGTCGAGAGAACTCCGTATTCAGTCGCCCATCTAACACCTTCCTCGCCCAGTTCATATAGTCTGTAGATCAGATCTCACCGCTTACCCGCTTCTTGTTCTTATAACTCATAATTCATACTTATTTCTATTTCGTGACAGTTAATATTATTTATTGCCTGCTTCTTTCACACTTTTTATGTACAGATCAGATTCAGAACATATATAAAGTTAGTAGTCGTGATCGTCTTGCGTTCGCCACTTCGGACGATTCGCCTTCTCGAGCCACATCTTTTCCATATCCAAATCCTGCACGAAATCTGATTTCGGCTTTTGCGACGGCGACAGTGTCATATTCATGAGCATATCGTGGGCCCTCATGGCCGGTGTGTATCTGAACCCGTTGCTCGTCGACGGAAACGTGTCGTCGTCGCGCCGCGGATACTTCTGTTTGCGTGTAATCATGCGTGGAACCACTTCCGAGTAGTCGCTCGTCGACGATCGGTTCAGATTCCATACGCGCACGGTGGAATCGTCTCCGCAACTGACGAGCATCGTCGGATCCACGGGGCTCCATGCCACGGCATTCACATGGCCCACGTGGCCGACGAAGACGTACTTGGGACGCGATTCGTCGACACTCCACACGACGACTCTTCCGTTCTTCTTCAATTCTTTGTCGTTCATTCGCATCGACTCCTCAGTTTCTTCTGAAAAAACAATAACTTTGAAAAAGGCAACGTTTTGCCTTCTGGCTCACTTCCGATCGATCCCGTCGCAATGTGGTTCATATGGACACCTCCGAACGAAGCGTGGATCGAGAATCGCGCGAATTCCTCTCTCTGGCAGGCACCGGAGAAAACACGGATGAGGTTGTGAGAACGAATGTCCCAGAGACGGAGATTGCAGTCGGTGGTGGTGAGAACGAGCTTCTCGCACGGGTGCACGACCATGTTCAGAATGGTGACCTCCTCTTTGCAGATAGTCGATCCTTCCGGATCGCCGCGCTGCGAAAAGATGCGCACTCTGTTGTGCGCGTCGGCGATGATGAAGCGGTCTCCGTCTTTCATTCCGTAAATGCAACGCACTCGGAACCCGTGGACGGTATTTACAGCCGGGGTTTCGGTCGGCTGATTCAAGTTATAGATCTTGAGAGCGCCGAGTTCGTTGCCGGCCACAATGAGGGCGTTGTGAATACTGGAGAGGAAGGAGAAGCACGTGAAGAACGAACCGATCTCCTGGATTTCATCGTGTCCGTCATGAACGCGCAGAGTACGGTACACAAGGCGGGTTTCCAGATTGAAGACGGTCAGCTGAAAGTGGTCAAACTAGCGTTCGAATAGCAAAAACGAGCAGTGCTTACATTGAATTTAGTGGTTTGTCCTCCACAAACCGCCAGCATCTTGTTTCTCTGGCAGAATTCCATGTAGGCGATGTCTCCCTCGGCAATCGGAGCCATTTCCCCCAGTCGAATAATTCTGCCCTGGTTCACTTTCCACAGAGTGATCGAGTTGCTCTTTCCTCCACTGGCCAGCAACTTGCCGTCTCTCGAGAATTTGACCGAGTACACTGGCGAAGTGTGATGATCCCACACTTGAATACATCGGTACGGGCGCGGTTTGTAAGCGCTGTCTACCTCGTCTCTCAGCAGTTTCTCCGCCTTGTCACTAGAAGCCGGGCCATGTACTGAAGAGATTGGGAAATAGGTTTTGAAGGAAAAGTAGTTGGTCTTACCGGTATGCAAAATAGTTTTGAGTCTATTCTGTGGGAGTATAAAGTCGGAGGGAAGCAGCTCTTCCAGGAAAGACAGCTGAGCATTCCGTGAAGTTTCGGCATCCACGTGGTGATACCTGGTTCCGCCGAGCATCACGTCCTTCAGGAAACTATCAAAGTACTCGAGATTCGCTGTTTCATCCCTGAACACGTACGGAGCCATGACTTGCATTGTGTACAGGGCATCCAAGTACTGAAACATTTTCTGAATTTACCAAAACCAGCGGGGCCCGCTCACTCTCTTCTTCCGCACTAAATCGGCCAACTTGAAGCACTGAATAAGGAAACTGGCTCTCTTGCCCGTATCCTGATCCAAATCCATAGATTGTCTCACAATACTGCTCGCCGCGTCGTAGTTTCCCCTCAGAATGTTGGCACGAATTCTGGCGCCGGCACTCGTTTCGATTGTGAACCCGGTCTCTTCGACCAGTGTCTCCACAGACTTTCTGGAAAAGGCAAGAATGACTGAAAGGGAGAAAGAATAGACGGTTCTCACTGTAATCCGATGTTATCCAAGAACTGCGCAATGACCCGAATCGTCGCTTTATCATAAGTGCCGAGTTTAAGATCCACTGGTCTGTACTCATCCTCTCTTTCGTCCGGATCGGCTTGAGAGTTCGGAGACAGCTGCTGCTGCAAATAGCTTGATTTTAAGCGCTTCACGTATTTTACTACCGCTTGACTTTGAAGACGTTCCGCGACGGACATCACGCCGGCTCGGCCCTTTTTTCCCTTCCGACCGACATCGTCGATAGGTTCGTCAACAGTCATTCTGAAACGTTTCTTTTTGTCACAATCTCCATTCTTCTCTCTGTAATTCCAACCTCGGACGTTTTGCCGGAATCGAGGCTGGCTCTTCAGCCTCCTCGCCGCTGCTTGTTCGAACCACTTTGAGTTGTTGTTGGGGTACAAATTACCGAAAAAGAGATGATCGTCGGATGGAAAGATGAATTAGGAGAGGGAGAGCATGGAATACGTATGCGTCAGTCGGTCACCACACTCAGCTGACTACAGCAAGGACGGAGAGGGATGGAGACGGAGAGAAGAGCGGAGAGCGTGCGGGCGGAGGAGACGGGGACGGGGCAGACGGGACGAGAGACGCGGCGACGGACGATAAGCAGAACGCTATTGATCAACACTGGACAGTGGAGAGAAACGGAGGAAAAGTGGGATGGGAAGATGTCGAAAACGGGTACGGAAGGGTAGAAACTTGCGGAAGTGTTCCGGAGACTATGCGGATACTTTCGGAAGAGCTCTGAAAAGTTTATCGATTGATTTGATAGTTATAAATCCATAAGAATAAGGCGCTTGTTCTGTGCTTGGCACGGTCAGTCAGTAGAATTTCACATGCAAAAAAATGGAGAAATTTCAATTAACTTTTGTTTGTTTGCAGGATTCGTTTTTTACAGAATGTATTCTGATGGAAAGCATTTTTGCACGCAAATTTTGAGTTTTTAAAAAAGTTTTCAGAAAGTTTATTAAGCTTATGATGAGCGTTATTCTGAATTTAGGCCACTTTTACAGCTTGCAGATGTACCGTAATCACCGAGAATCAAAGCGCTAAACAACAGTCCGTCCGTTATTCCGGAGTGTCGTAGAGCGCGCGAAATTTGAAACTGTCCCCACAAAACTGTTTTTGACGCAATTTCGCGCATTTTTTCTTCTCTCGTATTCACATTTGACCGTCATTTCCCTCTCATTAAACATTTTTACGATTGTTCTGACCGAAAAAAGCAAACAAACGAGTAATTTTTCAGATCAAATGTCCTCTGCAGTGCTGGACAATGTGCAAACGAGGCCAATTCCAGGCGCTCTGGATACTTCCAGTTACAAAGTAGTGCACACTCTTGGAGAAGGTATAATTACTTTAAGTTTGCAATTCATGCATAATTTGCAGGAGCTTTCGGCGAAGTCCAGCTCATAGTGAATCAGAACAATCCGAGCGTGGCGGTGGCGATGAAAAAGATCGACGTATCAGACAAAAACAAGGAGAAAATTGATGCTGTTCGGAAGGAATATCTTCTCCAGAAGCGCCTGTCTCAGATAGGACACGACAACGTCATCAGACTGATAGGAATGCGATTCGACAACAGTTTCTACTACCTGTTTCTAGAGTACGCCGACGGAGGAGAACTCTTCGACAAGATAGAGCCCGACGTCGGAATGCCGGCGGCCGTCGCTCAGTTCTACTTCCGCCAACTCATGAAAGGACTCAAGTTTATCCACGAAATAGACGTCATTCACAGAGATATCAAACCGGAAAACCTGCTTCTTACCAGCTCTCGTAAGTCTACTTTTCCCTGTTCTCACATCATTGCCCTTCTTAACAGATGTTCTGAAGATTTCTGATTTTGGAATGGCGACTCTTTACCGTCACGCAGGAGAGGAGCGCTTGCTGGATATAAGCTGCGGAACGATTCCGTACGCGGCTCCAGAAGTGGTCGTGGGACTTGGCCAAAAGTACAGAGGACCGCCCGTCGACGTGTGGTCGGCCGGAGTCACTCTGGTCGCCATGCTCACTGGAGAGCTTCCATGGAAAAAGGCAGCCGAGTGAGTTTCTCCCTACGTGGAGTCGACTTCCATTTATTCAATTTCAGAACCGATGTGACGTATCTCTGCTGGATAGACAACTCGAGTCTAGAAGAGGGCCCGTGGCACAAGATCGACGTCCGCGTTCTTTGTAATTTTTGTCTTCTCTAATCTTATTTTTCAATTTGGCTATTGTCAGGCTTGCTCCGAAAGATGCTAACAAACAAAGTGGATCGCCGTGCAACCATCGATCAAATCATGAACGACTCGTGGTACACTCACAATTACGGCCAGCTAGAGGCCAACACCGGACGTCCGTTGAAGCGTCGTCGCTTCGAAAACGACGAGAATGTGCGGACTATGTAAGCCGGAAAATGTAGGGCTAACCCAAAAACCAACTTGTTTCCAGTGCATTCACTCAACAGCCCTCTTCTGGTGCAAAACGTCCTCATCTGGATACTCCGAACGACAAAAGCATGCTGGAGAAGCAGAATGCGTCGTTCTCTCAGCCGACGTGCACTGAGGATCTTCTGCTCACGCAACACATCGACATGTCGCAGAACAATTCGGTAAGAGAAGCGGAGAAGTTTTTATTCAACTGTGTTTATCCTCAGAATCTGATGCAAAGGATGGTTGTGCGTATGACTCGTTTCTGTGTGAACATCGGCATCCGTCCGGCCACTCAGAAGGTGGTCGCCGCCTGCGAGCACGCGAGGTTCTCGGTCCGTTCGATGGGACCCACTCCTCGTCTCCTCGTCACTTACCAGTCCGTTTCGATGATGATCAACCTGTATCCAATGAAAATGGACAACGCCGAGAAGGCGCTCGTCATGATCGATTTCCGCCGATCGCGAGGAGACGGATTGCAGTTCAAGAGAATGTTCATGGAAGTGCGCAACCGAATGACCGATACCATATGTCCCGACGGAAACGATTGGCTCGCCGACGCCGGATACACGCCACAGGACCCGAAGTTCGTGCTCGGAGGGACCGAAAAGCACACCGTCTCAACGGTTATCTAACTTTATATCTGATCACCCGAATAATCACCCTCTTCATCTAATGCTTTATCCTGTCAATTCACCATCACTACCCCCTTCAGAGGCCCCTATCTTATATGCTGCATTCCGAAGATGAACACTCAAAGCTGTAACCTTATTTACTTTTCTTGTTTTCGCCGATAAAGTGCGTGATATCAACGGCATTTCCGAAAGCGCCAATTAGAAATGTGAGCTTGGGCGAAAAGATAGCGATTGTCATTTATTCGAAGTGAGGCCTCCTAGACGCGTGATCCCGGTGGAATTCATCGTGATTGTGCCCACACCAATTTCCCGTTGTTATGTAAATGTTATGCTCGTCACTGTGCATTTGTATTCACGGAATTGCGATGCTATTTTCAGAATAACATACGAATGTTCTAGAGAGACACTCTTCTATAAATATCTGAGCTCCATCGGATTCGGACAATTCTCACGCGTGCTCCGAACTTTGAGATTAGAAAGTGTATTTTCCTGAAACTATGTCTATGGTATCAGCAGCTTGCCTGTTATAGAAGGGCTCCTCAATACCCTTCATTCAAGACTAAATATCTCAGCTGGCGGTAGAGATATCAAAAATATGTCAACGAATAAAATGATCATTAACACATTGTGCACACTTTATCAGTTAGTCTTTTTTTTAACTCTCTATTGTCAGCTGAGATAAATAGTTTTGAATAGACGATGCCGGTTTAAGACTATTGTAGTTCATGCATGTTATTTTGAGAGTCTTAACTTTCTTGTGCTGAAGTGGAAGTACATGTGATGTACGCGAAGTTCCGTCGAACAGAAAGTAAAACAGAGAATCCTTCTAATAATCATTTTTTTAGATAAAAATTGTATTGAAAAAAGTGAATGGATGGATTATTGGCCGCCCATTCTCATTCGAACAATTCCAGTTTCCAGAAATCCCAATTGCGCTCTTCCTTCTTCTCATTCCCAATTTTTCTTTATCAATTTCCGTTTCAGCTGTGGGCTTTCCTTAAATGGGCTTTCTCTTGTGCTCATTCAAACTCGTCCGCTCGCTTTTTGTCGTTTTGGTCTTCGCAGTCAGCCTTCCGTTTCTAGCAGTTTATGGAGTTTACAAAAAATGTCACGAACAGGTAGACTCCTTTTTAAAAAATAATCACTATTATCAATACCGGTTCAGAATGTAAAGTCCAGCAGGAAGGCAGCGATTTCCAGATTCAGAGCTCGACGAGCCGCCGATTTCCTCGACTTTGAGAACAAAACGAATCCGTCGAATCTGGTGCATAATGAACGAATTCTGGGGGCGTCGATCTCGGCAGACGTCATTGAGAACACAATGAAAACCATTTTGACGCTGGACTTTCAAGAGTTGAGAGGTGATATCCAATGAGCTCCATTTCAGAATAGAATGTTTAATTTCAGAGGCTCTCCAAGACGGAAGGTACAACGCGTCGATAGTTGTCAGTGCCTACATCTGGAGAGCAATAAAGATAAACAAGAAGCTCAATTGTATAACTGAAGTGATTTCGAGTGCAATCACGCGTGCTGCTCAATTAGACGACGAATATAGGGACAGGAAGAAGCCGCCATTCTTTGGCCTTCCGTTCTCTGTGAAAAGCAACTTCCACGTGAGTTTTGAGCTCGATTTGTTTATCGATTGTTTTTAGATCGAAAATTATGACGCAACCGTCGGACTGGCTCAGTTCCTAGACCGAAGGGAGCATTCGACGTGTGCACTCGTTCAATTCCTCTCCGATCAGGGCGCCGTCCCGTTCTGCCTCACAAATGTCCCGCAAGGACTTCTCTCCTACGTCAGCTCTAATCCGATTTATGGCAGAACTATAAATCCGTGGGATTTTGATCGTACTCCTGGCGGCTCTTCTGGCGGCGAAGCAGCACTTGTGGCGGCGGGAGGCGCTGCGTTCGGAATCGGAAACGACCTGGTCGGCAGCCTAAGGATCCCGGCCGCCTTCTGTGGACTGGTGACTGTGAAGCCGACGCAGGACCGACTTCACGAAAGCGGCATGAATCCGGGGCATCCGGGAAGAGGCCGGCTCGGGCTGAGCACTGGATTCTACACGCGAACGGTGACGGATCAGGAGTGGCTTCTTCGAGAAGTCATCGGCAATCCAAAGTTCACCGAACTGTGTCCGTCGTCGTCGTCGGCGCCGTTGGGATCCACGGACGAGTTGCCCGAGGGACGCAAACCTTCCATTGGCTGGTTTGTTGACGACGGATTCGGTCCAGTGGCACCATCGAACCGACGGGCAGTCATGGAAACGATCGAGAAGTTGAAGAAAAAGGGATACGAGACCGTTGAGTTCAAAGTCCGGGATGTCGACCAAAGTCCAGAGTTCTCATCATTCGCAATCGCAGACATGCTCTTTCGGGTATGCTCGTTATCCGTAAACAGTATAGTCATTAGTACCCGTATTCAGAATGTGATGCCTGATAATGGAGAGTACATGTCAAAAATGTACTCTGGGGAAGAATACGAAAAGGACATGAAGGACTTCATCGTGTTAATCCGATACAAACAGTGCTTCTTGGTTCGATGGCTGGCCCAATACGTCCTTCTTCCGCTTTCTCGGTTTACTCGTTTCAATTCAAAAAGGATACACACTCTTACGAACTGTCACAATTCCAGTCTTGAAGATATTCGTCAGAATCAGGAAAACACGGATGACTTTAAAAGAAATTGGATAAAGTACTGGAAGGAAAAGAAGATTGACGCACTCATCTGTCCCTCTTTCATCAGTAAGTTGGTGTATTAAATAAAACCGAATACTCGTTTTTTCTTTAGCTCCGGCGCAGCCGTTTGCATATCCTGCTCGTCTGAGCACCGGCGTCTTCATCACTGGTCTTTTCAATATGCTCGACGTGCCGGCTGGAATCGTGCCCGTCGGTCCGGTGCTCAACAAAGAGAACGAAGAGGGAATAGAGACGCACAACGATTATCTTCTGGAGCAGCAGAAGAAGGCGATTCGGGGAACGGAAGGACTGCCGAACGCGGTGCAAGTGGTCGCGTTGCCGAATTGCGAGGAGATGTGTCTTCGAGTGATGCGGATCGTCGAAGGAATCGCCGACGGAGCGGATAACAAAGTGAAACGGCTTCGCTGGAAGTTGGATGGAAATGGGACGGATACGGTGTTCGAGGCGGGAGGAAGCGAGCACTGTTTCGAATGGGTCGATCTCCGTCCGTAATCATTTGTTGCCGCAGCAACGTGACAATCGCGCTCTATTGCTCATGGCCGGGTTTTCACCTGGCACTGCGGTAGAGCGACATTGCTAGCCTTGTTTTCCATATGTATATTTGTTTACCTACTTTTAGAGAATGAATAGCAGAAGTGCCGCCAGGCTTCAACCACACAATTAAATGAAAAAGAACGCACGAAAACGTTTCGCTTGGTGTGCATGACAAAGTTCAAAGGCAAAATGAGAGTAGCTTGCATTGCACCTGCCATCGCGATCAAAAACCTAATTACTTTTTTCTCCGGCCGCCAGACAACACTTTTCAATTTCCGATTTTGAATGTCTCTTCTCCACGATTACTATGTGAGCAACTACTCGAAATGCTCCAAACCGGACAGTTTCCTGTCCTCTTGGGAGGGTCTCTCCTTAGTTTCGCACTCGATCACTGCCGTTCTGCTGCCGTTCCATCTGCTCGGAGGCTATTGTATTCTGTGCAAGACTCCCGCTTATATGACTTTCTATCGGTGGCCTTTGTTCAATTTACACTTTTGGTGAGTTCTTCCGAAGGGCGACCCGTGCAGCCAGCTCAGTTCGATTTCAGGTCCTGTTTCGTGGACATCTTGATCAGCGCCCTCATCACCCCTTACCTCATTTTCCCGGCAGTCGCGGGTTTCCCAATAGGTCTTCTGAGCGTGTTCAATGTGCCGACAGCCGTTCAAATATGGCTCGGCGTCGTTTGTATTTATGGTAAGTTAGGGGAGCAATCAGGTTTACAATTGTTTTTCAGCTATGATAATGTCAATGACGATTCTGTTCGAGAACCGTCACAACTCCATTCCCTCCAACAAACTGAGGATCGAGAGAATGAGTGTGAAACTGATTTACTATGCAATCCGAATCGCACTCCTAGTCCTCTACTCCTCGTTCATCTTCCTGTTCGTTCCGGAGCAAGAGCCCGCCCGTCTCCAGATCCTCCAATCGATTCCCTGTCCGACGGAAGAGTTCTTCACTTCTCCCGTCTTCGTTCTCTGCATCAACGACACCTACACCAATTTCCTGGCCGCCGTGACTGCTCTCGGAGTGCTCAGCGAGATCCTCCAAATCGCCTTCTTCGTCGCCTGCTGCCTCTATTATCTGTTTTTCAGTTTGAACGGATTCACTTCGAAAAAAACGCGCAAACTGCAAATCGCCTTCTTCGCATCCATCGTGATGCAAGTGGCCATTCCGATCTTTTTCCTCCTGCCCTCCTTCGTTTTTCTGACAATTTCAGTCGTGTTCAAGTACTACAATCAAGGCAAGAAAGTTCGAAGGCATGCAGAATTGAACCTAATTACCAATTCTTGCAGCTCTCACCAACTTCTCGATCATCTACGCCTCCGTCCACGGGTTCCTCTCCACTCTCGTCGTCCTTTTCATCCACAAACCCTACCGATCATTCATTTTTTCGTTTTGCGGCGCAAAAAATTCAGTGGTGGATGTTGTGCAGAAAAAGTCAATGATGGACACGCGGAAAATGAGCGTATTTCATGTCACGCAGGTCACCGCTTGATTCTCTTTCCCCAATAAAAAATTTTTATTAGACAAAACTGAAAGTAAGCCAGGCTATTGTATCACAGAATATATCAAAATGTCAAGCAGCGAGCAGCTCATCCCTTGTGCTCGAAGCGATGGAGCAGAACGTCTCCGTGCACAGTGATCGCATCCACGTCGATCGGATCGTCGCCGTCCCGGTAGACGAACTTGACGAACGGCGCGCCGTCCACATCCACCGTCACACTTTTTCCGTAGGCGGTGAAGAGCACGTCGTGGGTAATTCCCTTGCTGAATGGGAACGTGCCGAACGTCCGTTCCTCCGTCAGCCACTTCAGATCCGTCGATCCGTTCTTCGAGCTATTCCGAATTACTGCCGGCTGAAATGCAAACTCAATTATCTCAACACCTAGCAGCTGGATTACAAACCTTGATTTTCTGCGCCGCATTTGGCATATCTACTCGGAAATGGAATAAGTAGTCATTTTTGCTCATCAGATTTATCGTAAATCTTTCGGCCGAGAGGAACGGAGTGATTGTGAAGCGCGCCGATTGCGGAGAGACGAAACCGCCGGCCGGGAGGGGTAGGTTGAACGGAATGATCTGAAATGGAATTCAGATTCAGATTAAACCTAATCATTCGGTTTCAATTACTGGCTTGTCAATCTTGGTGATCACATCTTGCCTGGGAGTCGGAGCGACGACTGTCGGTTTTCCGTCGGCTCCATAACCAATCTGCAAATTGTATAAACTGACTTAGTGGACAGATCTTTGTAATTCTGACTATTTATTCATTCGTTGCGTTATTAAATGACAAGAAAGAGGCGTGGCACAGTAGGGGCAAAAGCTTATTATGCGGAAAGCGAGAGGTGAGACGCAGGGGAGGGAGATTCGCGCGGAGCAGCTCATTCAATCGGGGCGCCTTCCTCCTAAAAACGAGAGGTGACGTGACGCGAGACGTAGTGCTTACCGGCGGCTGGAACTCGACGTAATCCACTCGGATGTTTCCTTTGATCGAGATCGTCCGGATTTGATCGACAGACACGCGATGAGGGAAGTCACACACATGCTTTCCGCACGCCGAAATCTGAAACGAATCCTTGGTGTCATTAAGATTTCTGTGATCATGGGTACCTTGAAGTATTTGTCGAGGACGAGAATTCGAATCTGGAACGGTTCGCCCTCTTTGAACGGGTTATCGAAGCGTTCCTCGGTTCCCCAGCGTCCCGCGACGAATGTATTGATCACTAGTTTGTCGTCAGAAGGACCCGAGAACCTGAGCCCAAAATATTTAATAGAACTTTCTGTGGATAAGCCCTTACCATCCGGCTTTCGCGTCGAATCTCGGGTTGAAATGGAGAGCCTTGTTGTCCATGTGATCTCCGTCTATGAGAAGCCCACAGCACAGATCAATGTCGAATCTGAATGGACACCTTGCTCAGAGATACGGTAACCACAGAACTTACTTCTTGCGATCCGAGGCGAATCCGGGAAGAACCATTCCGCTGACAACGACCGCCCGTCCGGCGAACAGTCCGCCGACGATGGAAGAGACGAACGGAAGATCCTGCAAATCCTTCAGATAAAGATAAGCCGTTTTGTGTTCGGACAGTATTCTTTCTGATCCAATGGAGAGGAGCATCCCAAATATTTAGTGGCAGAAATCGTTCAGAATACATAGTTGGCAAGGAGAAGGTCTTTTTTAGAGAATTCGTGTGAAAGGTCGTTGCAGAGGGCACTAATAACCGGTTAATCCGTGACGAGTGGGAGGGAGAACTTCTACTTTTCAACAAAACTGTGGTCTGTCCTTTCACCTTTTGGAATTCCAAAACCATGTGCAAACTATTTGTCATATGTTTAAATAAATAAATAAAAACTGTTTCTTACCGGGCTTCTAATGATGCTGTCGCCGCCGTCATCGGGAGGTGCCGAAGGCTCCGACATCTTCTGAAAGTTAGGTTAACGTTTTTGTTATAAAAATTGTTTGAAAAAATGAATAAATCGATTGTAACGATGAGACGAAAAGAAAGAAATAAACATCAAAAAGAGGACGATAAATATTCATTTCAAATGGTGGTGAAAGAGAAAGGCAGGCATGCAAATATTTACATTATTATGAATGCGAACAACACAAAAACGGTTTTAATCATCGAAGAGAATGAAAGTGCAGGTAGGTCACACATACGGACAACCCGGAAGATGGGGAACAGAGGAATAAAGTGATAAAAAGATAAACATTGCGAAATGATGTATAGATTTCTCCAACTTTCAGTGTAGCAATGCGGTTTCATTTTCTCTCGCGAACACGAAGGCGCAGAGAAAAATGGAGAAAAAGGCGAGTCACGAGGGAGCAGAAGGACGCCTGAAAAGCGAAGAAATATTGTGGTATATACTGGGGGAACAAGGAGCACCTCTCACACGTAGCACACATGTTTCATGACAATATCTCTGACTCGGCTCTTCAGAAAGTTCTCGTTCGGCGGATTTGATGCGAACAATTCGAGTCGCGCGGCGCTGTTCGCCGTCTCCGTCCACGCCTGATAGATTCGATGAAGCAGGTCGCGGACTCCGGTCGCGTTCGGATCCGTGTTCAGAATGATTTTGATGCCTGTCGCCGACTCGAGAAACGTCATTTTGTAGGCTGATGTTCTGTAAGACGCGTAAATTGACAACAGGATTGAGGAAAAGAGCGTTGAGCTTTAGGGGGAGGAGATGTATCTCCAGATCAGATGATCCATTCAGAATGAAACCAAGACTCATGACAGTGCCAAAATTTTTTCCGATTAGTCAATAAATAATAGAAACTCAAGCATGCTCACTTGTAATAGTTGACGGTCTGATTGGAATCGTTGGTTGCGAGCCGATCGACAAACGACTTCATCGACAACATCATTCCGAACACCAGTTTGTACTCCTGAATCGGCGCCAACCCGGACTGCTTCGTGCGGAACCACTCGTCGTAGAACAGACACTGACCTTCGCGATCGAAGATGTACACGTTGTAGATTGTCATTCCGAAGCCTGGAGCCACGTGGAACTGTGAGGAGACCGTGTTGTTTCAAAAATATTTGCTGGTTGGAAGAAACCATCAGAAAAATTTTGCAGAAGTGCGCGGGATATTTATATCAAACATACAACGTTCATGGGTTGTGTGAGGACCAACCGAGGTGACACAGAATACGGGTAACTTGTTGTGGACATTATTGGGTAGTTGTTTTAGCACTTATACTTGAACTAGCCAGATAGCTAAAAGAGTAGCAATTATAACATGAGAGTGGGGGGAAAGTTTCGAGATTCCGGTAGTTGAGATTTAACATTTTGGTAGGGGGGTGAAATGGATGAAAAGGGGGGGAGGGAAAAACACATGAATAAATGGACGAAACGCAGATAAAAGCAAATGAATAGGAAAAAAGAACTGCAAACTGATGAGATGGGAAGGGCGAGTGAGGGGGAAAACTGAAATACAATGTGAAACTTGAGTAATTGGAATAAAACTGGGAGATACGGATGAGTAAATGGGTGAATAACAATGAGATCCTAATCGAAATATAACATCTATCCGGGAAAATTGAACGACGACCCGCGAGTGAAAAGCGTATTTAAAAGACTAGCTGTTGGAGGACGAAGGCGCGCTTTCGGCGAGACGCTCTTCTTCGGCTCTTTCTGAAAATTACACAATTTTCGTCTCGATACTCGATAGACCGTCACTCACTTTTGGCCTCGTTCTGAAGCTTATAACGTTTCTCGAGTTGTATCAAATCCTGCTTGCATTGAGTAAAATTGTCGCGCAATTCGTTCGTTCGTTCCTCCAGCAGCAAGCAAATGTCCGTGTCTGGCTCGTTGGCAACGATGTCTTCGAACGGCTCCAAGTCCAGTTCGTGGAAGTTCATCTTCGAGTTCTCCGCTTCCATCACTTTCACCATCCGACTCTTTTGCACTAGGAAACTATCGATTTTTGTCGAATGCGTTGGAGTTGCCGCGTGGGGAGCCTCCTCCGACGCTCGATCCGCGCCGTTCTCCTCATCTTTCTTCTTGGTCGGTTTAGTGGGTCTCGGAGCGAACGTTGCGGAGAAGCGACCTCCCCCTCCTCTCTTCTTCTTGCCTCTAGTGTTGCCACCGAATCCGCCTCTCGGTGTGGTCAATACTTCAGAAGGCCTGCCCGACGGATCACCTGCCCCGTCGTCTCGTTCTTCTTCTGGACTCATGCTGCCAGAAGTGGCCGTCCGACTGTCTTGCGACTCTTTTCTGTCGTTGCTACTTGAGGCCACTGATTCTGCAGATTGTGCTGAAGCAGATTCTCTCGGAACTCTTTCCATTGCTCCTTCTTCATCCGCTTCAGGTCGAACAGGCGGAATCAGTGGGAAGGAAGACATGGCTGCCACTGGCTCGGTCGAGATCTTCTTCTTCGGAGGTCTTCCGATCGGAGACGATAAGGAACTTCGGGCCTTGGACGGCTGCAACTCAAGCGGACCAGAACGAGCAATCGACGGAGAAGCTGAAAAATTCCTTCGTGGGAAAATAGTTTCCTAATTGAACTTACGCTGCTGGAACGTTGGGATTTCCGTCTTCTTCTTGATCGGCTTCCTCGGCTCGTTCATTTCAATCGGCCCAGAGCTTTCCACGGCCGGCGGAATGTCAAGAGTGAGTGCGCCGGAGAACTGTGCGGAATTCTGGAGAGGAATCGGCGGCGGAAGCGGGACGATCGGCGAGCTTACAATCTCCGATACGTTGCTGTTGGCTCGTATTCTTTTCGGAGCGGGTCCTGCCTCGTTCGGCGTCCTCTCCTCCAACATCCGCCTGCGCCGCTCTGCGTCATCCCCGTGTCCGTCGTCGTCATGGATTTGTTGTAGTTGCGGCGGTTTCGGCGGCGCAGATGAGGACGATGGCTGTACGTCGTAAATGAGCGGTCCCGAATGGGCCAACGAATTTTGCGGCGATAAAAACGTCGGCATTACGGGCAACGAGGAAGCGACCGAGTTGGTACTGCCTTGTCGGCTGAGAAGGGGATCTGCAAAAACGGAAGTTTGAACGGTTTCAATGGATAGAACAAAACTGTTCTTGTTGATCTATTAACTGGGTCACGCCTTTTTTTCTAATGGACTAGAAAACGCCACAGCCTCGCCCCCCTCATCGACTATTTTTTTCTAGTCCCCGGCCTCGACCCCCCACCCCATCGACTATTTTTCTAGTCCCCCATTTTTTCGCTGAGAATTCTAGTCCCTGGGACTTATTTTGAGAGTATTTTAAAAATAAAGGCTTAAATTAAAAATTGGGTTCTCATATTCGCTCTGAATTTCGATAAGCTGTCTTCAAAAAAAAGTGTGTCACAAAATTCAGTCTGAAGCACAGATAAACTGCATGTTAGCTCATGTAGCCGAGAAAAACATTTTTCGTATGTCGGTAGTCAGAAAAACGCCGTGACACTGTCTCCCCTTCGGCGAAAAAAAAATTTTCGCGCGCTTTTTGCGTGCGGCTCTCAGTGTCGATTTACGGGATACGGTTTTTCAACTGAAAATGATGTTTTCCCGAGTTATGGGATTATGCACAGTTTTCCTTTAAAACTTTTGCCTCGCGTTTGTTCATATGACCGATAGCTACAAAATGATCACAGAGTGCTCGTGTAAAAGTGAAAATTCGAAGAGTAATGTCGTTTTTTAAATTTGGCTTGAAAAAACGAACTTTCGGAAGTTTTGAGAAAATAGTTGACAGAATCAAAAAACAGTCGCCTCACGATTGTTCAGCAGACAAAGGCGGTCATTTTGAGCACAGAGACGGCCCATAAAATGCAAAAATGACTGAGAAATTTCAGTTTTTGAGGATCCGGACTGAAATTCACAGAAAAGTGTAATAATGCGCGCTTTCTTGTGGGAAAATGCTAATTTAAGGTCACAGCTGTCATTAACAATCCTGAAATTCTTTGTTTTACTTCATTTTTCTCATTTTCGGATGAAATTTCGGGTTTTCGGAAAAAAATCCAGACATTTCAGACCTGCTTTTGTTTTCAACGACACTCCGTTTTAACGCTTCGCTCAATTTAGCATTAGCTGTGCGGAGACAGTGCGCGTGATACAAAAGTTCAGACTTTTTCGAAGACGGGCTAAAATTCCGACTATAATCGAATAATAGAAAGATTGATCAGTGTGCGAAACTTTCCCATCGCGCCCTCTGGGTCTATGCTATGCAAACATCAAAATGCAAAAACATACAGTTGTTGCTTCCGCCGCTGCTGGTCGGATCCAGAGAAGGGATCGTGTGAAGAATGGGGAGTTTCATAGGCGACCCGAGATGAGACGGATACTTCGGCTCATCAGAATCCGAATCGAGCAGAGCATCATGTGATCCACGGTGCTCTGTAGATTGAGACATCGAAGACGAAGGACCTCGTTCGTCGACCTCTTCGGCAGGAATCGTTCTCTCGCTTCCATCCTCTGCGTCGCTTTCCTTGTCTTCCTCGTCTCCCGAGTGATGAGCACTCCGTGTCAAGTCGATAGTTGAAGAGACACTCGGCTGAGCCTCTTTCAACTCTTGCTCCGAATCTGATCCGCCATCTTCCTGTTCGCTATCCGATTCCTTCGTCGATTCTTCCTGGTCCCAGTCTTCCAGCTCATGGTCAGACTTCTCCCTTTCAGCTTCCTCCTTTTCAAATTCTTCTTCATCGGACTCCTCCTGTTCTTGATCCCCGTCAAAATTGGGCGCATTGGCTATTGACAATTCATACGCCTCATTCGCCCACTTCAGGAACTGATTCGGTCCATGAAACGTGGCAATCCTAAACCCAGTTCTGTCCACTTTTTCGTCTTTAGCCATTTTGAAGCGGTGCTCCACCAATGCCAACATCTCCGGCTTCAGTTTTTCTTCACGTCCCATATCGAAAAATCGCTTGCGCGCGGCTTCCTGATCTTCCTTTGTCACCATGAGCATCGAGAATCGGATAGGTTCGTCGTACCGAGAGTTCCATCCGGTGTAGTGCGTTATCGCGGACATATTCGAGTGCATAACTGACAGATGATTACTGACGTCCTCCGACAACTCCGTCACAGAGTTCTTTTGTCCCTTGAGCATCGCACGGAAAATTTCCTCGCTGTGGTCTTTCGCGTTAGAAACTGCAGTTGCTGGATACCATCGACTATTATACCACACGGCCAATTTGTGACCAGCACGGATGTCACTGATGCTGAAAAAAGGAAACTGATGATAGAATGACAGAAAGGTTTTTTTTACATATTGGCATCGATGAACCCGCTCCACTTCTCTTTCTCTGCATTTTTGTCTTTCTTGACATTTGATGGATGAGCCGAAATAGAAGGATTCGAAGAGGTGGAGGGTGTTGAGGGCACAGCGTTCTTCCGAGGACGTCCCTTCTTCGCAGGAAGCACAGGCGTCGTTTCATCTCGCTTTCTGCTCCAACTCCTCCTGGCTGCTGAAGACCTGCCCGGCGTCAGCTTCGTCTCCTTCTTTTCTTTTCGTTGACGGTGAACCGACTTCTTCTCTCTTCCATCTCGAACGACAGACGAATCCTCGTCGTCATCATCGTCGTCCTCATCATCATCGTCGTCTTCGCCTTCCGAATCCGAAATGAGAAGACCATGACGAGGCGGTCGGGCTTGTGGCGAGTGCGTCGGCGGTCTGGATCGTCTCGTTGGAGGCGATTTTCTCGATGGACTAGTCGATTTCCGTCCCTTTTTCTTGTTCTTCTCGAGAAGACTTTCGTCGACCGACGTTTTCCGTTTCCGTCCCGGCGTTTTCGGTTTCGCCGGAGTTGGCTGACTCGGTCCCGGCTCAGAGTCATCCACCGCCGGCGCTGCTGTCGACGCCGTCGGTTTCCGTTTCCGCACTTCGCTGTACTGCACATTCCGAGTAGTCGATCTCGTAGTTTGAGGGTCTACCAAATGAGCGAGAGTGTCGCCATGTTTGAAGTAGTGCTCCAAATAAAACTTGAAAAGCTCCTCGAGCTCTTTTTCCGGATTGCTTGCTTCTGGCAACATTCTTGCTGCGATAATTGTCCAAAGATTGTCCGATTTCACCCGTTTTGGTCCTCCAAGTTTCCTGATGTTATCGTAAAAATGAAAAATGTCGATGGCAAATCCCTGAATCTTTGGAGGATTCGCGCTGTCGTACTTCAGCTTTGTACAGCTGCAGTACAGAATATACTTAGCAGCGAAATGGTTTCTCTCATTCTCGTCGGGGCTCTTTCTCCTGTTATCTTCTCTCATGATGTAATCTGAATCATGATATTCGTTTAAGACAGCTTCAGACTTTTCCGGAATCGGAGCATCCGTCAAAATCGCCTCAGTTTCATCGGGAACAGCCGCAGACGGCCTTCTCGCAGAAGCCCACTTGAGTCTGGCTTTGAGAAGATCCACGCGAATCTCTGAAAGTCAGCTTTTTGGTAAATAGTGGTATTGAAAATCGACAAGTTCACTCACTGTCCTTGCAAAGATAGGTGGAAATATTCAAAGCAAGTTTGAAGAGCTTTCTGCTCGCGGGCGGCCGGCTATTGGCGATTCTCAATGCGGTGAAAGAATTGAAGTGGGGAAGCCAACGGAGAGGAATCAGATCTTTCTCCCATACTTGAAGAAGACGTCCGGTTACACTGTGACGGACGATCCGTTGAACGTATTGGGTGTCGTCCGGACCTTCGACCACAACTATTCGTTTAAGAAGTACCGCCAGATACCATTCTTCCCTTCGAAAATGGCTTTTTACAATCGGCGGCATCACTTCTTCGAATGGGAAGTTTGCCCGTTCGTCAATTGAATTCTGAAATGGGGACAATTTACTTTTTCAATTCATTAGTTATCGTCGCTTACACTCAGATCTGGATACCGTTTCTCGATGTACTGCATAACGCGTCTAGCCTGTCGGTAGTCTTGATGGATCACCACAATCGGAAATCCTTTGCACTCCAGCGTTCCTTGTATCACGTTTTCTACGAATTGGCGCCGATGCTCGTCCTGAAGTAGACATTGAGTTCTAACTAGCGTTTTGAGCCAATTCGAGCGCCTTCTCCGCCACTGTCTCGCGAAAACGACACTGGAGAAGCGCGCGTGGAGTTCTTGATTCTTCCAGAACTTGTACAGCATATGATTCCGAACACGCTTCTTTTGCCATTGATGGAGCAATTTGCGTTTGATTCGGTTCCTTCCGGTGTTGTCGAGCATGTTTAGGCTTTGGCCTTTGAACCGATAGCGCGCCGAACAGCGTGCAAGTACTGGTTTTAGACGCTTCAAGCTCGTGTTCTTCTTCCACTCCACGAATCTCGCGAACATCTTCTTCTTGTGATTCTCCTGCCGCTTCCTTTCCCGTTGTTCCGCCTTTTGCGCTTTCTCCGTTTCCTTCTGCCTCGCCTTCTCTTCCCGTTCCTTCTGTTTCAGAAGTCGTTCCTTCTCATCTTCCTGCTCTTTCAGAAGTTTCTTTTCCTGCTTTTCTTGCTTCTTCTTCTCTTTTGCAGCGCGTTTCTCATCTTTCCCGGGGGTTCCGTTCGTTGACGAGTCGCCGAGAGAGTTATCCTGTTCATCGGGAGACGGAGCTTGGGAGGACGTCGAAGGACCGGAAGGGCCGGCTCGTTCCTCTTCTCTGCGTTTTCTTCGCTCCTTGATCCGTTCTTTTTCTTCGCTCGAATCGGCCGCCGATTCGTCGCTTTGAGTATCGATTCCATGTGCTTCGTTCAGTTCTCCGATGGCCGCACTCGCCGCATTCGCTGCTCTCCGCTTCTTCCGATTGCTTGCCGACTCCTCTCCTTCGTCAGCATCCTCGTCATCTTCTTCCTCTTCATCGTCATCTCCATCGTCGTTACGGTTTTCGGAAAGGTTGATAGCGCTGAAAGCACGGATAATTGTGGGTTCTTCGGCCATGTAAATTACTTTTTCTTCGCTCCACGCTTTCCGGTCAACCGCACAATGGGAGCGGTCCAAGATTCTGGATTCGTGAGCGGCATCGAATCGAGATTCCCTTCGGCGTCGAAATGTTTTCCGCCTTTCAGAACCAGCTGAGTTCGACGAAGCTCTTTCTCATCGCCATCGTTGAAAACTGAAAGCATGTTCGGTTTTTTTTTGTTTTCCGGGTTTTTCCGACTAAAAATCGATAAAGCTCCAAGTGAAACATACCGACGTGATATCGGCTGTTATCTTTGACAGAAAGAATTGTACATCGGCACCTCTTTTGATTAAGGATCACTTCAGTTTGCTGAAATTACTTTCATGTTAATTTCGAGCTTGAAAACGTTCAAAACCTCGTTATGAAAAAATCTTGCGTTCGGAAAATCGGTATCATAACACGCGTGTTTGCCTCCGGGCGGGTCTTTCAATTCAACCTGAATATTTTTGAAATTCAATATTTTTTCTACTTTTGCGCTCTCTTACCCTGCATTTTAGACTTTTTCTGACGCTTTTCACTTTCGCTTCACAAAAAGCACCTTTGAATTTGGCGCTGACTTCGGTATCGACGGCCAGGTACAGCGGATCGTCACACTGCAAAGATCATCGATGCATTTTTGAAAACAAGGCGTGCTCAAGGTGTGCTCACCATTCCGAGTCGCTGATCGACAATTTTAGTTCCCCAGTGAGCACGAAAGTCAACGAAATGAGTCGAAATAGAGTGCGGAGACCGTCAATTCATCTGTTGAAAGTCTGAAAATGGAGAATGCTGAACGAGGATAAAAGTTCGGAGATGGATTTGAATGCGGATCCGGAGGGCGAACAGCACAAGAAACACTCGAAAAGCGCGCGCGGACGGGAGGCCGATGGAGTCGTCTTTCTCTCGGCGGCGGCGGCGGCAAGCGAAGCAGCGACTCTCTCTTGTCTGCGTCTCTCGCCGTCGGCACGCGCAGAGGGCGCTCTCGGCGGCGAGACGCAGCACAAACAGACAGCATTACGTTTCGAAAGTCGCGCGCTCCCCGCTCGCCAGATGGTGGCCGCATATTCTGGTACATTTTTTAGGCCAAACCCGATCCTTCGCGATAAAAGAAAGTATTCGATGTGCTCGCTATCAGTGTCAACACGACCAGTTTCAAGCGTTTTTATTTATATTTATGACAAATGATGTACGGTACGGTTTTTTGTGAAGAAAATTCGGGACAAATATGGATTCTGAGAAGCGCCGAAAGAGTGGAAGTGCAGCAGCACGCGAATTGAGGGGGAAGGGGAGTGCGGCATCAAATAAGTTAATCGAAATAAAAGTGGGTATAATATCAGAAATAAGTGCTGAGGGCGGAGGGTACGAAGAATAGAAGAAGGTGTGCGAAGAGTGCTGTAAAACAGAATCTGTGAGGAAGAAAAAGATGAAAAAGAAGACAAGAGGGGAAGGTATAACGAGTGTGAGGGAGAGGAGGGGTACCCATTTATACTAACAATTTTCAGTGCGGCGAATCACATCCGGCCAACTCAAATGCTGATGATGCAAGAGAATAAATGGAGAACAGCTGGATAAAAGTAGAATTCGCATGATAAAACACCAGACTTCACGTATTTATGAACAAGTCGCCGGTTTTTTCGACAGACAGACAAATACATACTCACAAGAGCGAGAAAAGAGATGAACAGGAGGGAGAAAAATTTGAAAAGGTTCAGAGTTTTCAATTAAGCGATGTACTGGTAGGAGCGGTGATCATTCTCGTCGCGACTAAGGTACTCTCGTTCGATCAGAGTCTCGATTCGTTGTTTGATAGTCGTCGGCGAAGGCAAAAAGCGATGACGGAGCTGCTGAGTGACCTGAAGAACGAAACTATGCACAAAAGGATCATCTTGCCGGATGTTTACCTCTGTGATGAGATTGTTGTGATTCAGCCGCTTGCGCGCCTTCATAATGCGAACGATGGCCGCCTCCACTTCCAGTTTCCTGTCGTCCTCCACCTTCTGCCGCGTCTCCTTGATTTCCGGTTCTGTTTCAACCTTTCCTGTCACCATCTGCACCTTGACACGAGTAAGTTTCGATTGGAAGTTGTCGTTAACAGCAAACTCGTCCGCCAAGTCTGAAAACAATCAACAACCGTTTTGAAAAAAATTGGACAATAACTAACCGACTGAATCTTTCCCCTTGTTTTTTCGCACAAGAATTCGCTGCGACGCCTTTCCGAGGGCCAGCGACTGTAAATTTCTCTTGAGCTCACGCTCCGGGATCTTTAGTTCATCCATCAATTGCTGACAAGAAATTCGAGCTCGGTGGTTGAATTGGAGAAGAATGATCATCTGATGAGTGTTCACTTGCAGGATCTTATGCTCCGGCTTCCGCTCCTTCTCCGACATCGAAGAAGACGACGACGACGGGCCGGGTCCGTTCTCGTCGTTCGACATACTCGCCTTCGCCGGCGGGTAGAACGTCGCCTTCACATCGGCATTTCCGAGAAGAGTGTTCAGCGCCAACTTGCGACCCGTGTGTTTCTCCGTGTAGTATTGTGTGAACATCTAAAATACAACAATTATTCGTTTAGGGAAGATCTGACCAAGTCGCTTACATCGTACGCAGTCGACAACTCGACCGGCAGGACCACCGGATTGCACTGTTGAGTGGGCCACACTCCGGCAGTCAGCACGCGCAGCGATATGTCAATCGGCACCTTCGTCGGCTGCGTTTCCTTCCAATCGCGGAAGCTCGTGGCGAGATTCAGCCAGAGTTCCTTATCACGGAACATGCTCTCCAACTTTTGTGTGAACTGACATCCACACTCGGTCTTCAGTTTTGCCAGCAACGCCTTCTCCACGTCATCCGAACACGATTTGTCGAGCAAGAGACGTTTGGCGAGGTACTGCTTGAAGTAGCGCTCGAAGACATCCTTCTCTTGCAGATAACGGAACAAAATCATCACGTTGTCCAGCTTGTTGTCCATTTCAGCGTCCGACACACATTTGAGACCACTGCGGAGCATGTCATCCATATACAAAGCGACAAATTCTGGCGACTGGCGATTCGAGTTGAGGAACATTTCAAAGTCGAATTGGAATCTATTCTTGAAGTCACGATCATCGGCGAACGCAGTGGTCAGGATGCTCGAGAAGTAGTCCTTGAGCTGGAGAAGCTCATTGACGAACTGCACTGGATTCTTGAGCAGATCCTCATTTTTCACTATGTTGGTGCCGGTCTCGGTGAGATACCTGCAATAAAGACGAGTCTTGTTCTGCTGATTATCACTATTGTCAACACTAACACCAATAAACAAGTGAACGTGCAAATAAACATATCTGTCTCTCTAACTGTACTTACTCGCTGACAGCACGGAGCAGCACCTTCAGTCCTCCCTCTGGAACGACTTCGGAAGCGGTGATACGTTTGAAGATGCGGAAGATGCGCGTCAAGTCCTCAGTTTTCTTGTGCTCCAACATAAACTTGACTCCTCCGTTCGGCATGTACACAATCGTGTTGATGTGTTCGGCGACCATCACATCGTCCATCACCTGCAGAATTTTCGTCTCCGTCGGTTTGTCGAGGTAGCGCGACGCGCGATTCGCCTCCTCGTGCATGCAATTCTCCACTTGCGACAGGTAGAAGCACGCGTCGTTCTCCCCGTTCAGCCAATCCTTGCACACGTCTCTGTAGTAGTCGCTCGTCTCCTTCAGCAGCGGTCTCTCGAACTCGTCCTCGTAGACGCGACGAGAATCGATTCCGAGCGAGATCAACATGTCGCACGCGTTCTTTATTCCGTGCCAGTTGATTTGATTGCTTTTTCGGTCGAGTTTGATAAGCTCCAGAAGAGAATCACGCAAACGGTCCCCGATGCCGTTTTGACGGAGAATTTCAGTTCTGAACGAGTCAAGACCGAGATTGTAGACGGGAAGAACGTGAGTATTCTGAGCGACGTAAATGCGGTCCATGTACATGAGAATGTCTCGGATCATGACCATCGCCACAGTGTGATCCGTCCACGAGTCGGCGACAGTGTCCAGAAAGTTGCCCTTTTGCATTGATTCGACAATTCGCAATCGAACGTTGGCCATGTGCTCCTGGATGACATCTTTGAGCCCGTTGTACAGACGTTCGCCGTGTTTGTGGAGCACCATCGTGTACGCATTTCGGTAAAGTTCTTCGAAACTTAGACCAGAATTGTTTTTTCGTTGAATCTCCTGTATTGCTCGTTTCAGGAGATCCCATGTTTGTGTCACGTACTGCTCATCAATTGTAGCCTACAAGAAATACGGATTTATCGATTTTCGTCAAACACATTTCGCAGTTATTACCAACCGGAAATCGTGGCTTTTTAGGAGGCGGCATCAGCAATCAACCAACTAATATTATTGATTTTCGGGAGAGAGAGAGGGAGCGCAAAGTGACTACGCTTGCGAACGACACAGCAAAACACGATGGATCGCGTGCGGCATTGTTGCAAAAAGATGTAAAAAAAAAAGAAAAGCAGGACGGCGGTTCGGCATTTTAATCTGGCACGTATCTGCTAAGAACTCACCATAAACGGACGGATCCGCATTTTCTGCTGTCCTCCATTGCCAGGGCGCCCACTCATCTCCAAGAACGAGTCGAATCCAAACGAGTCGTTCAAATCGGAATCTCTCTCGTTTCGTGAACACACTGAATGAAAAAACAGTGTTATAAAACTTATGATAAGAGAATTTGAAGGAGCAAAGACGGCGGGAGAGCAAGTGATAGATACGAGGGAATGAGGAGGTCAAAATGATGATGACATCTGGGGGGCGAACGAATGAACAAGCGACTGACTCAGTTTTGTTTTCCCTTCTTGTCTAATCAATAGTTCGGCCAGTTTGTGCAGCGCGAAAAAGGAATAAGTTGAAAGCGAACACCGAGAATGAATGGATTGCTTTTTCGCTGATTATACTTTCGCGAGTTGCGAATTGGGAGATCAGGCGAGCTGAAACTAAGCTGAGCAAAGGAGCGGCGACCGTTCGTCCGTCTGTGGCGCGGAGCAGAAGTGAATTCAGAGGTGCGTCGAAAGGGGAATCGACAAAAGAACAGACGCGAGGGGGAATAGAGAGTTCCGCGAGGCAATTTCGTCGGGAGCGCTCGCTTCAAGGCACCGAAACAGAAATGAGGGCTGGCGCGTTTCTCGTGTTGGCGCGCGCGATCCCCTCGAAATTTTGGCAGACTTCGAACGTCCGTTTTTCGCTAATTCTGCTGAAAATATTTCAGAAAAAAATACCTTGACCCATCCTACAATACGTCGAGTTTTCAATTCCTTCACAGGGCGTTAATTTGAAATAAAAGGAAATGGGAAAAGTAACCAGAAGAGATCTGAGAGCTTCACGCATGTTCACGTTGGGATCAAAGTACGAGATGCTTTATCGTAGTAATGATATAATCTTGAAAATGAATTAGCGATCAATATTAAAACACAAAAAGGTATTTATTAGTCTTTCAAGTCGTGTCGAGGGGCAGTTGCAGCAGTCATCTGAAAAATGATACATTTCAGACGAGTTTCATGAAGATCCGGCTTTCTCAAATGTACAGCTATAACAGTCGTTTTGTTTCTTTTTGCTATTCGCTTTAAAAGTGTTCATGCGGAAGCAGAATGATGGGGTTGGAAAGGGAATTCGGAAGGAGGAGGGACAGATGAAGCGGGCAGGAAGCCACAGATTTCAGATCGACTAAACATTCCGAAATGGATAGATTCTTTCTCATATTGCTGCTCGCATTTGTACTTTTTCCCGGTGAGACATGGCTAGACAACGGACTTTGAAAACCCAGTTTGAATTTACTTTTTCGATATAATTAGTATGAAACCCATTTCGACTTCGAGTTGTTCGATTTAGATTTAAATATCTCTAGTGAAAGTTTCAGTTCGATTAGATCATCCCAATGAAATATAATTGTGAAAATCTGAAACGTTTTTAAGTCACTAGCCTTTCAGTATTTTGCAACACCAGACAACCCAATTGAGCTTAAATTTGAAATCTGGTCGGATGATGGATAAAAGCAACTAGACCTAAAGTTGAGCTTTGATCCCAACTTATGAATTCAGCCCTCTCGGCGACGCTCTTCCATCCTCGCCGCCATCGTCGTCCTTTCTATTTTCTCGTCGACTACGAAGTGGAAGCTTTCGAGATCAGTGACACCGGAGAGCTCAACTACACGTATCCCAAGCATCGCGGCGACGTTTTCGACTAAGTCCCACATTCAGCAATAAACTGCGTTTTCCGTTTATATATATAATAACAATTTTGTCCCGCACTCTTTCTTTCTGTTTTTCCATCTAGCTCGGAAGCCTGAGAATGGGAAAGAAAAGAGCCAGAGGCAGGAGCACGCGGCCGGAGAGGGAGGAAACGAAGAGAGCAGGGGGAAGGCGTGTCCATTAGACATTGTGTCTCCGTGACAACCGCCGCCGCTTTCATTCCTCACACTTCGGCTTCTCCTTTTTTCAGTCTTTGTGCAATGCTTCGCCGATTCTCTAGAAAGAACAAGAATCCGTCGGAGGGCTCATCGTCGTCGTCGGACGAGAATGCTCGGAAGAATAAAAAGCTGCTCTCGAAGTTTCTCGACTTTATCACCTCTTCCATCTGGTCGATTCCCATCGCTTCTTTCATTGAATCCCAGTCTGTCGGTAGGCAACAATCCGTGGGATTATTTGCAGTTCAACATTTTTAGTGTTTGACCGGCAGCAAATGGAGACTGAAATCTACTACGAGACGCACAAAGAGTACTCTCAACTAATTGATACTCTGGTATCTAAGCTCCCTCGTAATTCCCCGTCTATACGTCTTCTTTCAGATCGAGTGCTTCTGTGAAGACGTGGGAACCACGCCGACTGAACTGGTCGAAGCGATCCGAACTTTCGAGCAAAAGGACATTTCCGAAAAGTATAAGGTTGGTAACTTACTCTTTCAGCTCCTTTTTCTGCTTCTCTTTCTCCTCTCGCAATCTGAAAGATTCAATTATTATTGACTAAATCCCACTCTTTCCGCCACCTTTTTGCTTTCGCCGGGCAACTCTTACGATGTTTTCTGCAGTGGTGACGTCGCAGATGATGTTTGCACTTGGATACCTTCGGAAGTTTCGCTCCCGGTTCCGTCGGCGCGGGCTCCTCGACCACGGGCGGTGCGAGTCCGGCCTGTCCGGCCTGCCACTCCTCCTCTTCCTGAATCTGCTGCTTCTTCCGCTCCGCGAACTTCTCGTCGATCTCTTTTTGAATGGGAACCGGGATCCGGGGGAACAGTGTCCCGTACCAGTCGAGTTTATTGATCATCGTCCGCACCATTTGGCCGAACGTCATCAGATCTCCTCCACCGGAGCGCGGGTCGATCTCCGACTCATCGTCCAGATAGGGTTCGAGCCAGTACCAAAGGTCGGCAGGCGGCTGAGTGTACCGAATGTACATGAATCCGATGCCACGTATGTAGACGGACTGCCGGCTGTTGAGCATGCTAATCAGTTGTTTCCGAGTGATGCGCAGGTTGAACAGTCTGTAGAGCAGACAAAAGGCGGAGCTGACGACTCCGCCCGCGCCGACGCCTCTCACGCCGCCGCACATTCCGGTCATGCCCTGCAGACGGCGAGTTCCTTTCTCCCACGGCTCGAGATGCTTGACTTGGTAGAAGATCTGTTCGACGAGCGTCTGGAACGAGTCGATCTCCACCAGATTGTTCTTGTAGTAGTAGCTCTCGCGGATGTTTTCGAGCACGAGCGTGTTCAGATTCATCGTCACCTGATTTCCCCAGATCGGCAGAATGTTGCTCCGTTTGCCTTTCTAAAACGATTCGATCAGGAAGCGGCTCATTTCTGTGCACTTACGTAGAGTCCCTCCTCGTCCTCGTACTCCTCTTCCTCGTAATCCGCCTGCTCTTGCTGAGCCTGTTGTCCTTGCTGCACAGATTGAAGGAAGGTTCCCGCCTCGATCTGCTGCTGGATGATAGCCTGAACCGTGTCCATAATCTGAAAATTGTGGCGTGGTTCGAACTTCAAAAACTGATAGATAATAAGTGATTCGGCAAAAAGCGACCGTCGTCTGAATTCGATGTAGATGACGTAGAGAATATTTTTATTGAAACGTAGTGACGGACATTTTAAAAATTTAGGAATAAAGCATAGATTCTGAATGTTATTGAAGATTTGTGTCCGGACGACGTCGTCACTATGGAAACCTGTTGAGATGGGGAGAGAGATGGAGACGAGTAGATGAATGAGAAGAGGTCTGATAAGAAAAAAGATTATAATAGCTTTGATTTCATTAAAAAATATACAAGATTTCAGGTGGCTTTGGAACCACTACTGGCTGCCCAGAACTTCAATGTGTTCGTTCCTATGATGATGCGAAAGAACATCGAGCTTCAGCTGCAAGCTCTTCAAATGATCGAGTTTATGTGCGGACTGATCCCGAGTGTTCTCCAGCTGGAGGAAGGAGAAACTCTCCGTCACATGAAGAAGCTGACGCCGGAAGAAACCGAACGATATGTTCTGATTTCGGTGCTTCGGCACAGTAAAGACGAATACGATGCGATGCAAAAAGGAAGCGACGAACTAGAGCAAGTTGCTCGAGACAGTCGTGCTCAAAGGGAGCAGTTGGAGCAGGACATCCGCCGAGAGGAATTTCTTCTCCAGAAGGCTTTGAACGAAGGTGCGAAGAAAAGACAAGGTGCTTCTACCCAAACCAATGCTCCTCTGTCTGTTGCCGCAATGATGGCTTCTCACTTCACAATCGACAATGGCACCAGCACTGATGACATCAGTTTTGATCTTGTGGAGAAGCCAAAGCAAGCCACTTCAAGCACTTCCGGAACGATGACGTCTCCGGAAGCCCGACTGAAATCTGCAAAGCGGTCGGGCTCTGCTGCTAGAAGGATCATTAAGAATAATCAAACGATCGAAACTGGCACAGAACCGGATGTTTAGAAATGTCAGATGTTGCTGTAGGAGGAAGTCAGCAGAAAGAAAAACGTCCGGGAACTGCGAAAGGGCCAAACCAACGAAAGTTCTCGAAAGCAGGCCTTGAAGATTTAGTTGGAGTCCAGAATGTGGAACAGCAGAAGAATGAGCCTTTAAAAGACGTCGAAAATGTGGACAAGGCGGATGCTTTAGCGGCAGCTAATGCCACGATTGGCAAAGAGCCAAAGGAAGGTCCGTCAACTCGAAAGAATAATCGCAATGAACTCTCTGGTGCAACAGACGGTGTTGCTCAAACTTCTTCTGATGCAGGTGTGCAAAAGGAGAAAGAGAAGAAGGAAGCCAGCCGTCCTTCAACTCGTAAATCTATCCGAAATGCGGCATCTGGCACCGTTGACGGTTCTTCGGGATCTCGCCCAGTCTCTCGTAAGGATACAACATCGCATGAGCCGCGCGCAAAGACTCCGGCTTCAAAAAGCAGTGACGATCGTCCGACTACAAGACGGTCTTCTGTTGACAAATTGGCTCCGAAGCGCAATGATAGTGTCCCGCGCGAGCGCAGCTTCTCAGTGTCGAAGAAGGACAAGGATGACTCTAATAAGAAGCCTCCGAAGTCTATAGGACCTCTTCGAAGCAACAACTACGACGGAGAGGTGCCTATGGGAAGACCAGGCTCGCCAGGAATGGATCACGGACCGAGGAGAAAGAATTTGAACGACGTGAATGTAAGAAAACAATCTTGAAAACCTTAACGAAACCACACAATTTCAGTCTCATCTAGTAGATCCTTCTCGTCTGAATAGCTCGGATGTTCGCTCCCGTGCCCAATATCTTCGCGAGCAGCGTGACAAGCTTCTCCAGTTAAAGAACGAGGAAAGAATCAAGCAGATGAATGTGGGGACAAAATCATAGAAAAAGGACTGATTTCTATTTTTCAGGATATTCAACGAACCACTGTTGAAAGACCGCGAACTTCCCGCGCGGCTCGTGGATTTCTCGACAAGAAAGAGGCGGAAGAGATTAGAAAAGAGATCAATGATAAGTTGAAGACCGAAATTCTGACTTTGAACTGACTCCCAAGTTAATTCGATAACTTTTAAATACTTCTAACTATACTTATCCGTCTCAATAAACTATTTTACTCACTTTTGTTTACGACGATGGCAGATTCTCGATTGGAGTGCTGAAGCGGAAGTCTTCGGGGAACAACTCCGCTGCCTTCGGGTACAGTAGCTTGTACGCCTGCCTGACGGTGATCTCAGCCGCTCCAGCAACATCTCCGATCTCTTTCGCCGATCTTTTCTCTCCCGATGCTTGCGAAGCCATGTAAATGGCGGCTGCGGCAATTGAAATCGGAGTGCGTCTGAAATTAATATATTGATTTTCACTCTCTGCGACAGTTTTTTCTTACCCCGCCACCAAATCCATCTCGACAGCTCTTTTCGCAATTCTTGTGGCGGCAGCCTGAATAGAATTGGGAAGGTAGAGATTACCGCAGAAACGAGACATAAAGTCGGCCGATGTGATTTGTTCAAGATTCGTTTCGAGGTTGCGAACGATTATTTTGAAGCAACGCCCGATTTCTTTCTTGGAAACTCGCGAAACTGCGCAGATTTCTTTGAAAGTACGGGGAACTCCGTCTTTTCTGCAGGCAATGTAGAGGCACGCAGCCGCCTGCGCTTCGTTGTTCTTTCCGCGCAGAGCACGACTGTCGAGCACGTCTTTGAATATTCTTGATGCGTTGTCCTGCAAGATTCTCACTAGAATCGAATCAATAAATATGAACTAACCTGAATATTTCTGGGCAGATGAATGCGTTCGCTCATCTCACGAATCAAGCTCATCGCCGCTGTCATCTGACGGTCCGTGTTGTTCATCGACTTTCTCTGCGCATTGGCCAGACTGTTATCACTGTCGGAGCCTCCGAACCCGACGGCGATGGTTGTGCTCAAGTCTCCGCCACTGAGTAGCGGATTTTCTGGCGCTCCGACACGAGACGGGTCGTTTCCACTGCGTTCGTTCGAGAATGAGCGCCATTCTGTTCCGACATCGACGAGACTGAAAATATTCAATATTGGCTACGCTTGTATTACGAGAAGACGTTGAGAAACAAGACTTACCGATCTCCGACGACGAGTCCGCATGCCGGACACACCAAATCTCCGGCTCGGTGATCTTCGATCAAATGGACGTCTGGATGAACTGGGCACTGCACTGGGGCCGACATTATGCTGAAAATGATGTAAAATTTGAAGTTGTTGGAAGAATTTCAAAACAAAATGACGTCAATCGATGTATGACTAATCGAACAATAGCGCACACAGATTTTTAAGGGAAAATGGCTTACTGGAAGTTTGAAAAGAGCTTTTTGGCGTGAAAAATGGGAAACTAAAGGATTATTTCGGATCAGAATTCAATTTAGCAGTTAAAAACGGTTATACCCGCCGTACGTACTGGAGAAGTGATGAACACGAGTATTTTTTTCGAACTCCGGCGGAAGAACGGAGTGTCGTTCGCGCGCCTTGTTTAGTGCATTAATCTGCAATGCAGATTCTGAATTTACTTTTCAGAATTCTAAACGGATTCTCCAGAAGCGCTCGGAATGTCAAATCTAATTTGAAAAACAGCAAAAATTAAAAACAAATGTAATGGGGTTATTCAGCTATGATTGTTTTCCGTTTTTTACATCGCTGAATAGCGTTTTTGACGGACAAAACATACGCTGAATAACCCCATGAAACTTAATTTGCACAGAGAATAGCGATTTTAAAGTTAGAACTACTAAAAAGGAAAGGATAGGTGAAACGAGTGCAAGACAACTAAATACGAACAATGAATGAATCGAAAGGAGTTGGATTTGTGTATATGCACCGGTATGAGCATTCTTGTTTAGGGGCGGAGTCTCGATGTGAAGATAGTTGGGTTAGTCGCACGGAGAGCAGGATTTTAGAAGTTCTTGTTTTGGCAATGATTGAACTTGAAAAAGGATTCAAAGTTAGAGCTTTACAAGGTATCAATCTTTGGTAGGAATCGACAGGAGCCTCGCCGTTTTATTCTCGAAAAAGACAACAAATGTGCCCAATTTAGTAACAAATGGTGGCACCGCTCGCGACTCGCAAGTGTGATGCGACCTGTTGCGGTGCATTTACCGGTTGCTTATTCTAAGAGAGCTTAGTGAGCTGATCACTTTCAGATTCTCAACTGATAAGGGATATATAGGGATCATCAAAGTTGGAATTTATTAAGATGAGCTCAACTTTTAAACATGTATCACGAGTTCGAGCAGAGCTCAGACTAGGTATCGTCAAGTTACAGAAGAGCGAAAATTAGAAACTAGAGCTGGGAAAATGGGCCACAAAATTTGCGATAAGAAAAACGTCTTCCCTCACTGTATTCACATCAGTTTCGTCTTCATGACCTCATGCTCGAAGACAACGGTCATACGAGGCCGACCTAGATTTCCTCCTGGCAAACTGTACCTTCACCTTGCCGCAACAGACCAATAAATCCGCCTTGACCATAATAAACGAGACTGTAATGGGAAAGGCGTAGATTCGCAACAGTCAAATGCTCCCCCTTTCTCGGCACGTTGTCATGATGAGCAACCCAATAACAATGCAGCAGTTATTAAAGATGACAGAAATGCTTTCACGTCTTAAATCCATCTGAAACACAACATTGCAGTCTTTTGGAGAATCTTTTAGCCTGTCGGAATCAATGATCTAATCAGGTTAAACTGATAAAGCAGCTCTTTTCAACTCATTTCGTTGTGCTTAGTTTGATCAGCGAGCGTTCAACCCCCTTTTCTGCTATCGTTTTTCGCGACAAGTGCATCAGCCAATGCGACCACACACGTGGGGTCTGTTTGTCGGTCGGAAGAGGAGATCGGCGAGAGGAGCGCGAGGAGGCCACGCCCCCAAGGGGCAAAGGTCGCTCCGAGAGACCAACGTGGCCGGGAGACGCAGACAGCCTGTAGTAGTCTAGTTGATCGGGATGTCTCAGAAGTTCAAACCGATGACAAAGAAGGGGAGGAGGAGAAGAAACTTGTGTAGAAGTGTAGTAGCACGATGAGAAACAGTGTTGGAAAACACGTTCTCTAGGAATTTGCGGGTTTTTAGGGCATTTGGATATAACGTTGTGAGTTGGTAGTGTCTTGCTCTGGGAGCACACTTTTAAAGAGACAGTATCATATTAGTTGTTTAATCTGGAACATGAACATTCAAAGTTCGTGGGTTCTTCCTATGGCTCCTCTGTGAGATAAAGTCCCGATTGCTCCTGACGATTCTCCAATTAATTACACCCATCCCTGACCATCTGCTCCATTTCCAAAAGTGCACCCACCAATTGCGTTCCTTTCTTCCTCGGCCTGTTTGCAGATCGACCCTTGGACCCTGTGGGCGGAATCGGCCTCCCCCCATCTAATGCGCATTATGTCATCGTCATCGCAACGCAACACAGCCATCTTCTGTTCCGGACGATCGGAAGAATCAGAAATAAAATGTGATATATGAAAATAACAATGATCAGCAGAAAACGGGGTTGTCAGTTATCAGTTGTCCGAAAGGGCGAAGGTGGACGACCTTTCGACTTTCCGAATCAGCAGCAACTGTCAGGGGGTTTGGAAAGATGGAAAGTAGAAGAGACTGTAGGCAGAAGTGTAGTTTTTGCAGGAAGAAGCTCAGCTGGAAGGAAACTCGGAAACTCCAAACACTTCCAGTCCACCTCCAATCCTTGTTTCGCCTTCTGTTCGCCCCGTGTTCCCCATTGTTTCCCTGCTTCCTCAAACACCCTCCAAGCCGGTCTCACCGGGATCTTTCCCCGCTTCTCTGCGTCTCTGTCCCACCCGCCGCGACTCTGCCTCTCTGACAAGTGGACTTTGCCCCGAGAGGGCGGGCGAATCGGTGCTTCGCGGGCTACCACCACTCCTTCATCGTCTCCGACGCACTAATACAAAAAGGTCTCATTCGGAGTGTCGTCGGTCGGCTGCAGAAGTGACAAGGCTCCCATCTGTCCTCTGGATACTGTAGGTAGTACTTTAACAGCCTCTGAAACGTTAGATTGAGGCTCGGGAAAGTTCTATTTCTAGTTGTAGTCTTCTACGCTCGTTATAGTGTTTGTTCATTTCTTGTTGACTGATTATTTACTGTAGCCTACTGTTTGAAAAATGTTAGTTTTGAGTTTTGAAGGCACAACACAATAGAACAAGTAAACCTTAGGAAATGTGATCAAGTTTCCAGGCAATAATAGTTATTTGTTGGCTTCTGAACACAATGCATCATAAATGAACAGTACCGTAACCGTAATAAAGTTTTGAAAGAATAATTCCTTCTACGACTTCCACGTTCATTGTTATGTGATCCCAATTAGATCCTTCTCCTGTCGTACCGTAACCCGTTACACTTGAAACAAACTAAACACAAGTCACTCACTGATAAAAAGTCCGTTTGTCACCACTCCGCCACTACTCTCCTTATCATCTTATCACTCTCCGAGAGAGTGAAAGTGACGCACTTTCTCCAAGAACAACTCTACTTTCAGATCCGAACAATGACTAAAGTGGCCTCCCGTCCGAATAGGACTGTGGAGAGGAGCATTCGCTCGTTCCTCCGTAAACTCGAGCACTTTCTGTTCCCAGTGCTCACGCGAGAGGTCGTCTTCTTCCTCACTCTTTGGACAGTTCTCGACGCACTCAACATGAACTTTTGAATGTGACACCAAACTGTTCGAAACTGTTTTGGTTCTATGCATCGGGTAAGCACGCGTCTTCCAAAGATTTCCAAAACCAATAGGCTCGTTTCAGAACTTCCCCGGCCGCCCAACTCGCACTGTCCGTTTTCGAAGGAACTATTACCGCTCTGGTGGCCACTACCGTAATCCGAACCTTGCTCACTTTGATGCTCTATTACAATGGATGGCTTTTCGAGGAAATCGGAAAACAGCCTAGCCTCGCCACAAAAGGGTTCATGGTCGTTCTGGGATTCATCTCAAGAAGAGCAAGCTTCTTCTCCTATCAGGGAATCCTTCCGTGGCTTTTTCCCCCGAAAGTCGACGATACCGTTGAGAAGTATTTGTTGACTATGAAACCGATTCTATCGGAGAAAGAGTTTGTTGAGCTCAAAGAGCAATCGGAAGAATTCAAGAAGACTGTGGCGCCAGGATTGCAGAACAAGCTTTGGATGAAGTGGGCAGTCTCCAAGAACTACGTAAGCAACCCGCTCGTTTTGAATCTTGTTGCAAGCTTATATTTTAGCTATCGGACTGGTGGAAGGAAGTCGTCTACATGCGTTACCGTGATTCGCTGATAAGAACGAACGTCGGATGCGCCGACGTCATCTACCAGAAGACCACGAGCATCCAGGCCGCCCGTGCCGCCTACGTCACTCTTAACCGCCAACATTTTTGCAACGACATCTTCAAATCGGAGAAGATGAAGCCAGTCAGTCTCGGAGGAATTCCTTTGTGCGCACAACAGTACGCCGAGTATCACAGAACCCTTCGAGTTCCACACGAGACCAGCGACCAGACAATCAAACTGCCGGATGCCAGACACATTGCAGTCTACCACAAGGGATGCTGGTACATTATCGACATTTTCCAAGGAAAGAAAATGATCAAGGCCGCCGAGTTGGAGAAGAGTTTCCAGCAGATTCTCGACGCCGAGAAACACGTGCCACAGAATGGAGAAAAGTACCTTTCGGCCCTCACGATTGGACCGAGAGACTTGTGGGCGAGAATCAGGAGGGAAAAGTTCGCGGAGGGAGTGAACAAAGAGTCGCTGAGTCTCATCGAAAACGCCCTGGAGATTGTGTTCCTGGACGAGGAGGAGAGACATTTCGATGAGAACGATTCGTCCAAGTACGGAAGGGAATACGCGAGAGCGCTCACCGGGACGGATACATGTTGTGGTGCGACAAGCCGAGTGTCTACATTTTCAGCAAGAACGGAAGAGTGAGTCGAAATTTGTTCTGTTTGAGCCGACAATATTCGATTCGGACAACTTCCAGTTCTCCTCCAACGCGGAACACTCTCCATGCGACGCAATGATCTACGTGCAAGTCCGTGAATACATCAAGTACCACGAGCAGTTCGAATCGCCCTACGGTCCCGACGGTCATTGCGTTGGCTCGATCGAGCATGTCCCACAGCCGACTCGTCTCTGCTGGGATCTGGATCAGGAGACTCTCGCCGCCATTGACGAGGCCTACAAAGTGTCGAAGGGAGTGTCGGACGACTTCAGCAATGCGAATGTGGTTTACACGGAGTACGGAAAAGACTTCATGAAGAAAGCGAAGGTCTCTCCGGATGCGTACATTCAGATGGCACTTCAGATGGCGTACTTCAAAGATCAGGGAAAGTTCGAGCAGACATACGAGCCGGCAGTCATGCGATTGTTCAAAGGGGGAAGGACGGAGACTGTCCGATCATGCAGCATCAAGTCGTGTGACTTTGTGAGGACCATGTCGAGAAAGGAAGTGGACAGCAAGACGAAGCTGGAAAAGTTGAAGGAGGCGTGCGATCACCATCAGGACTACTACAGAACTGCCATGGCGGGAAAGTGAGTTGCAGGCAGTTGTCGATTTAATTTCAATTTTCAACTTCAAGAGGAGTCGACCGTCATCTGTTCGCTCTTTACGTGGTCGCCCGTTATCTGGAGATCAAGACGCCGTTTCTCGACAACGTCTTCCGCCGTAACTGGTCCCTTTCGACCAGCCAGACACCCCAACACCAGATGGTCGAGTACGCGAAAGCGCTGAACAAAGAACCGTCGCTTTTCTGGCCGGCCGGAGGATTCGCATGCCCTGATGGATCCAACTACGGAGTCTGCTACACGATCGGATCTACAGGAGACCGAATGAGTTTCCATGTGACTACGTGGCATTCTCTGGAGAACACAAGTGCCGACCGGTTCCTGGCTCATTTGGTGGACAGTTTGAGAGAAATTAGAGAGGTTGTGGAGGAGGCGACAAAAAAGACTAACTGATGATGACATAGTCGTACGTATTGTTTGTACAAATTCCTGAACAGTTTTCCAGTGTAATAATGTGTATTTTTTATAAATAAAACAATATCATGTTAGAAATCGGTGGAAACGAGTTGGACGTTTGAAATCATGCGAGAGATGGGAACTCGGAAGGATCCAGAAGGCCGCTGTCGCACGCCGGGCACACGGTCTTCCGTTTCAGCCACTCGGCGGCGCACTGAAAACAAAAACAGTATTTTTATTAGAATCCCCAGAATCCCACCTCGCGATGATAACGTCTTCTGCAATTGTGGCACTTGATCGTCTCGTCGTTTTCCGCATTTCTCGAGTCTTCCGTTGGCTTTTCAAACTCATGCATAACTTTCAGAGAGAACGAGCGAACATCTTTTAGAGGTTTTAGGTCTTCTTGACTGAATTCGACGTTTCAACTGAAAAAGTGTCCTGGCACTCTTCGTGCAGTTTCAATATTCGAATTGCCGCCTGAACAGACTTTTTCGTCGGCCCGCCTGGTGATGATGTTTCGCCTTTACTTTCTAAACCAAATAGAGATCGAATCGACACAAAGAGAGATTGAATTCTTGAATTTTCTCACTCCTGAATCACCCAATTCCGCATTTGCATTCGACCTTCCCCTCTCTCCATCTCTCTCTCTCTCTCTCCGTTTCCTGTCTGTCGATCCGTCCGTCCGTCCGTCCGGTCGTCCCATTAACCATGAACCCGACCGTCGTAGCTGCCGTCGTTCTCCTTTTTTCCCAACTTCAAGTGGCAAGATCCGCCGAGGATCGGTACGAACAAGCGATGATGCTCACGAACGCCGTGATCGGAGAAGTCAAGATGATGGAGAATAAGGACGCCGTGCAAGAAGTCGTTCTCACCGATGATCAGATTCTTGAGATGTACCCGGAGGTAAACAGAACGAGGCCGAAAGAGCCGCCCATGTCGATTATGAGCGGAAAGATTCCGGATCATTTGATCAAGAAGATGGCAGGTAAAGGGAATCTTCAGTTCCTAGAACGTCTTCTGAATTCAATTCCAATTTCAATTTCAACTTCAGATTACCTCTATGGTCTGCTACAAGGAACTGGAGAAGTTGTGAAGCCCACGACGTCTAGTACAACTACTACTACAACCACAACCACGACCCCATCACCATCCACAACGACGTCCTCTCCAGAACTCCTTCCTTTCCGTCAGATCAACAAGTTCTTCGACGATTTGGCAGTAATTCGAGATGCGCCGAAAGTGGCGGAAGCGTCGAACTTTGTCGAAATTCGAAGAAAGTACCCGAGAAGATACGGACTGTCCCGGAAGAAGAGTGAAAGTTGTGGAGGAAGACGAGGATGGTCATGATGGCTGGAAGAATTTGAACGAAAATGAGATAATTTTGAAATGTATATTTTGTTTAATTCTCTTGTCATAAAAAGTGAATAAAATTGTTGAAGTGAGTTGAATACTAATCGTACAATCATTTGTGGTACTCTTCGAGGGCTACGTCCATGATATTCGGATGATCGTAGCTGAACTCCACGTTGCGACGAGTGTAGAACGGATGATTGTCGGGCTGAAATAGAAAAAGTTGTTGGGCATTAAAAGAAAACAAAAGCAAGCTAATACCGAATAGACAACGTTGTCTTGTGAAGGCACTTCACTCTCAGGCTCCGTTGAAGCTTCAAACATCTCTCTGAAGGCACAAACTCTTAAAAGTAGGTTTTTCTGAATACTGACTTATAAAGACTGCGGGTACAATGCGGTAGTTGTGCTCTCTGCACTTTGAATTTTGACATTTGCTGTGACGTCACCATTTGCACGGCTTCTGCTAGCAGCGTCTCCGAGAAAGAGACCACCGCCCGTTCTGTGGTTTTCGCGTTCATCAAACAGTGCATCCAGTCGTTTTCCTTGGCAAAATCTGTCACTTTGACTAAAGAGAAGTTTTCGACAACTCCGCCGTGAAAGGATAGGAGATGATGTCGGCCTTCGGACTCGGTGTGGAATGAGAGGTGCTTGCAGTAGGTGCATTGGTACGGACGGTACATGATGTGGTAGCGGAGCATGTGGAATTCGAACGCGGCCCATGTCAGGTACGCCAGCGAACAGATCTCGCACACAGGACGTGGCTCATCGCCTGGAAACTCGTCGTTCTTCATTTTGAAATGATTATTTATTGATACTGGGAATAATTTCTCCGTCAGTGTCCGGATTGAATGGAGGCACTGCGTGCAGTGTGTGAATCGTCTGTACAGCAGGCCGTTTTCGAGATTCGTCTATAAAAATAGAAATAGTTTTATAATCCAATTCTTCCCACGTTTGACAGTTGAGACAGGAGGAATAATCCGAACTGTGCATTGTCTCTGCGGCAATCCACTTCCTGTTGCGTTCTTAATTACATTGTAGTTGTATTTTGTGTCTAAATGAATTCAGTACTTACTAATGTGACTAGAAACTCTTCTTGTTGATGTGTTCGACTCATTTGCTGAATAAAGTAAAACCTAGAAAATGAATAATAGAGCGAAGCGAGAGAATGTGGGAAACGAGAGACATAGAGAAATGTCGTATGATAGGGTGTATGTGGTGCGTACACCATCAGATTTTACGCACATTTGCGGAACAGTGCAGTCGTTGTTAATTTTCAATTTTCGCAATTCAAAACGCCCAGATTATAGATTTTTCGCGAGTGGAATTGATTTCTACGTAGTTGACCTGCTTAAATTGTTATTAATACGATAATTCAATGTGCTCGCCTGACCTGCATTTCGCTTCGACCCTTAGTTGTTTAGGAAATTCAGTTTTTCAGATGTCAGACGAAGACCACAATTCCGATGAGGAAGCCAGACAGAACCTGAGTAAGAAAGAGCTTCAGGAGCTGAAATGGAAACAGCAGAAGAACAAGAAAAAGAAGGCGTCAAAAAAGCGTGCAAAGCCACTAAGCAGGAAGAGAAGAAGTCCCGCAGGCTGACGAAGAGCCTAGGAAAGAGGTTTGCAGATTTCGATTCTTTGAAAAATCAACAAAAACATTGCAGGAAATTGAAGACGATCTTGAAGTTGAAATCGAGTATGTAGGGGAGACTATTGAAATCGAGCCGGATAATCCAAATGCAAAGTACTTCTCTGCTATTTTTGATGCTTTCAAGGTTAGAAATCAACAGTAAAAATATAAATTAAAATTTTTTAAAGATTTCGACTGATGCCGCAGACGGAATCACTTACGGTCATCATGTCTCCAGAGGAGAAAAGCAGGATGATCTCGGAAAGGTTGGACAAGCGGAACGTATTCTGCAGGAAGAGATGGAAGAGCGCGCGAAGGAGAACACAGACGAGAAATTGTCTCGCCGTAAGCTGCGTATCTCTCTGCAGCCGAGCATTGCCAAGCTAAGGAGACGACCATCCGTGCTGACGTTGTCGAATGGGCCGATGTCACTTCTCGCGATCCGTACCTTCTGGTGGCTCTCAAAGCGTACAGAAACACAGTTCCAGTGCCACGTCACTGGAATGCCAAGCGCAAGTATTTGGCAGGCAAACGAGGATTCGAGAGGCCGCCTTTCGAGTTGCCCGACTTCATCAAGCGCACTGGAATTCAGGACATGCGTGAAGCGCTTCTTGAAAAGGAAGAACATCAAAGTTTGAAGTCGAAAATGAGAGAGCGTGCTCGTCCAAAGCTCGGAAAGATCGATATCGACTATCAGAAGTTGCACGACGCCTTCTTCAAATGGCAGACTAAGCCTCAGATGACCAAGATGGGCGAATTGTATTATGAAGGAAAAGAAATGGAGGCGATGATGAGGGACAAGAAGCCCGGAGAAATGTCCGACGAGCTCCGCATCGCCCTCGGAATGCCAATCGGCTCGAACGCCTACAAGTTCCCGCCTCCATGGCTCATCGCAATGCAACGTTACGGACCTCCGCCCAGCTTCCCACACATCAAAATTCCTGGCCTCAATGCTCCGATTCCGGAAGGATGTGCATTCGGATATCATGCTGGTGGATGGGGAAAACCACCCGTTGATGAGTACGGACAACCGTTGTACGGAGATGTGTTCGGATTGGCAGCGCCGGCTTTCGAACCTGAGGATGAGTCACAAATCGAGCGTCGCTACTGGGGAGAAATTGGATCTGATGAGAGCAGTGACGAGGAGGACTCGGAAGAGGAGGATGTTGAAGACGACGATGAGGATATTGGAGTGGGAAGTGGAGTAGCGGACGGATTCCAGACTCCAGCTCCAGCTGAAGGAATGGTCACTCCATCTGGAATGACCACCGGTATCACTGGACTCGAGACTCCGGACACTATTGAGCTGCGCAAGGGCAAGGAGAGTTCTCTCCTCGGCACTGACACTCCGGCGGCTGCTTATCACATCATTCCGGAGAAGAAGAACGAACGAATCGGAGGGCAGATGATGGCATCGACGCACACGTACGACATCTCGAAGAAACAAGCGGTGCGTGATGACGGAGTGCAGATATCTCTGGATCCGGAATCGATAGATATGGATGAGCAAGGACTGGCTGCTCGTTACGAGGAGCAGCTGCGAAAGCAGAAGCATCGCGATGATGACGACGACGATCGAGAGGATCTGACGGATATGGTAGCCAAGCATGCTGCTAATCAGAACGTAAGTGAATATAATAATTTAAAATGACAAAAAACTGGAACATTTTCAGAGAAAGCGCAAGGTGCAGGACGAAAAGAAGAACAAGCCGTCGTCGTCTTCATCGTCGAGCTCAAGCGGCAAAAAACACAAGGACTTCAAATTCTGAAAAGCTTCCCCCTTTTTTAAACATAATTTATTTTGTTCTCAATGCTATCCCCCATCTTTCCCCGTTCTCTCGAATACTTTGTTTTCTAACCATTCCCCCTTTTAATTCGTTTCGAGATGAACTTGCTCATAGCTGTTAATGAACTGTGAACATTTTTTTTCATCTTTTGGGGGATCGAGTCGTAGTATCGATTGAATTCTCTACTTTAATGGCAAATTGAAATATTTTTTTAATTAGGAATTCAGTTTAATTACATCTGTAAAATGGCTGCTGATTCGCAAGATGTAAGTTGAGAAAAATCGGGAAACGGATCAACGCTTGCATTCAGATCTACCGTAATCTTTCGGCTGACGACCATGACGCTGCTCCGATGATCGTGGAGAGCATGTGCGTCAACTGCGAAAAGAACGTACTGTCCGAGGGGAAAACTCGTTCGAAACCGACTGATTACAGGGCGAGACTCGCATCATGTGCACGTCGATTCCCTATTACAAAGCGGTCATTCTCATCTCGTTCGAGTGTCCGCACTGCGGCTACAAAAACAACGAAATACAGAGCGGAGAAGCGGTTCAAGAGCACGGAACGCTCATAGTTCTCCGTGTTCAGCAGCAGGACGATCTGCGAAGACAGCTCGTGAAATCCGAGTACGCATCGATTGAGGTACCCGAATTGCAGCTCGAAATTCCGTTCAAATCTCAACCTGGAGGTCTATTTCGCCCCAAATCCATTCAATGTGACTAGTGCTTTCAGAAGTGACAACAATTGAGGGAGTGCTCGAAAGAGTTCACCGAGGATTGAGCCAAGATCAGGAGAAACGCAGACTTCTGGATCCGGAAGGTGCCGCTCAAATTGACGCCTACCTTCAGAAGATTACATCGTGCATGGAATTGAAGCAGAATTGGACACTCAAACTGCGCGACCCGACTGGAAACTGCTTCATTCAGAACCCGGATGTCCGCCACGTGGATCCTCGTTGCATCATCTCTCACTACCATCGATCACTCGATGAAAAAAAGCTGCTGGCTTTGGCGGATGACAAGTAGGCGGTGCCGATGGTCTTTTCGAACTCATGCATCTTTTCAGTGAAGGGGAAGAGGAAGAGGACGATGAGACGGAATCTGCACCCGAGTTCAAAAGCTACGACGACGCGAAAGCAGAGGTGCTGCACTTTGCGACGGACTGTCCGAATTGTCACAGACCGACCGAAGTGAAGATGAAACCTACGGACATTCCTTTCTTCCAAACCGTCATCATTATGTCGATGGCGTGCGATCGATGCGGGTACAAGTCGAATGAGGTGAAAAGCGGAGGAGCAATCAGAGATCAGGGATGCAGACTTTCGGTCAAACTGGAGAAGGACGTCGATCTAGCGAGAGATGTGCTTAAAACGGACACTTGTGCAATGTCAATCCCGGAAATCGATTTGGAAGTCGGAGGAAACGCTCTTTGTAGCCGTTTCACTACCATCGAAGGGCTTCTCATGGCGACAAAGGATCAGTTAGATTCGGTGAGTGATAAGAGAGAGAGAAACCTTTTGTAAACGGGTGATTCCAGCAATCCTCCTTCTTTATGGGAGACTCCGCCAAGTCGAAGGAGAAGAGTGATGTGACGAAATTCCTCGAGAAGCTCGACGACATCATCGCCCTCCGAATGCCTGCCACTATCGTTCTCGATGATCCGACCGGATGCAGTTATGTGCAGAGTTTGACTGCTCCGATGGAGGACAGTCGGTTGACCAAGGAGTGGTACACCCGGACGTTCGAGCAGAATGACGATCTGGGCATCAACGATATGAAGGTGGAGAACTACGGAGAATTAGAGGCGTTGGCCGAAGAGGAGGAAACCGAAGAAGCTTAAATTGATTCACTAATTATTACAGTTATTGCCCGTCGTTCCGTTCCGTCCTGGTTGTTTGTTCTTGTTCTACTAATTTGACATCTAAAATCGTTCTACATTTTAATATTTAGTTCAAGCATTGGGGTTGTTCGGTTCGAATCCCAAGGAAACGGCCGAGTTCGTTTCGAAATCGTCATCGCTGTCCTTGTCCAAGTCCAATTCGGAGTCTCCCGACCAAGAGCCACGACGCTCCAGATGATCTCTCCAGTTCGGCGCCACCAGCACTCTCAATGCACTTTTCGCTCGCAACAGATTCGGAAGCTCCAAAACAGGAGATCCATGCTCGTAGAGCAAACTGAATATTCTTTTCATAGGCTAAAGTTGCTTCTGAATACCCACGTCTCGCAAGTGCTCTCGACCTGATTCGTGTAGCCGCCCACCACGACCACGTTCCCTTTGTACGTGCAAACGGCGCTCGTCGACCTTCCCTGGATGAGCTCATGGTCGTGCATCATCCATTCGCCGGCCTGATTCCACACGAGCACCTTCGTCTGCCGCTCGGCTCCGTTGAATCCGCCGACTATGAACAGCTGATGCTGATAGACGAGAAGACAGTGTCCGGACAACGGGTACGGAAGATTCACGAGACGGACGAAGAAGTTGTTGAGCGGATTGTACACCTCCACCGAGGAGAGCAGGACGTCGCCGTTGAACCCGCCGCAAACGTAGATGTTGTCTTCGAAGACGGCCGCCGCACAATCGGAGCGCATGTCCTGGAGGGGTCTGAAACGGAAGCATCGGGAGGAGGTGTCACGGATAACCGCCTACGCAGTCGGATTCCATCTGTCAGTCATCGGATCGTACACCTCGCCCGTCCGACTTCTGTGCATATTTCGCGTAATCTCGCGCCAGTTCTGCCCGCCGAACACGTAGATCTTTCCGTCGTAGGCGACCGAGCTGTTCGAGATGTAGTTGCGCGGCTCCATCATGTTATCGCACCGCTGCCACTGCCACGTCTTCGGTGACATCTTCCACGTCTCACAGCGAGTTCGCGTGCCGTTCGAGCCACCGAACACGTACAAATGATCGTCGAGAATGACGGATCCGTGGTAGGCGAGCGGCATCGGAAGAGACTGCTGGCAGACGCGCCACACTTTGACTTCCGGGTCGAACCATTCCAGACGATTGCATCCCTTCTTGTGGAGCCATCCGCCGACGATAATCAGAACGTCGCGCGTCTTGCGCGGCGCTTTTCGCGAAAGATCATAGTCGGCGAGCATTCCGGCCATCTGAAAAGGGGTTACTGAAGGGGATCGTTAGAGTTGTGTGTTCGGAACCTGCTCGGGAAGCGCCTGCAATCTGACCGAGGACATCAGGATCGGACGGAACTTCTCCCTTCGCGAGAAGTCGATGGCGATCCATTTGTTGGCCATCTCGGCCACCTGAACCTCCTTGTCCACATTAAGATCATCCGCATCCAAGAGCATCTTCAGATCTTCTGGCGGCAAACGGAAGAACTCCATGTCGACGGTGCGCTCGATCAGAACCATCCGGACGAGATTGTACTTGATGTATACGAACGCCTTTGCCACGTGGAGTGGGCAGTCGAATTGATTGAACTTTTTGAGCAGCAGGAAGCAGTTCTGATCCGAGAGAGTGGACATCATGAGGTCGCAGATGGTGTCTCGCGCGGTCCGGATCTTCGGGTATTGCTTCGCGAATCCGCAGATTTCCTCCATCGCGTTTTCCAGAGAAATCCATTCCTCTTCTTCTTCGATCGACTTCAGAAGAGTTGTATCTAGTAAGTATTTAACCTGAAAACACATCCATTTCAGTGCGATTTCGATGAATTACGATTACAGTGAGAGAGGAGAACGGCACGAGTATGTTCTTTTTGAGCGAACGAGGACTGATCGTTCCGAGGCGGATCAGCTCGCGGGCCACTTCCGACTCCAGCGGTTTCAGCTCGAACCGACAGCCGTCCGTCGAGACGACTGCCACGTCGCTGCGGTCGAATGCGTTCAGTCCGATCGTGCGCATTCTTCCTTTAGGAATGATTTCGAATTTAACGTTTGCTGTTCTGGAGCATCTTGGAATCATTGGAATCATTGCAGAACACGTGCGAGAGGGTTCATCATGTTGCCACGTTTTTCACAAAATACCGTATCCTCTGGGGGATAGAAACGGGACGGTCCGGAGAAAGAAAAATGAGATAAATTGATTTGAAGTATGAATCTCCTGGGAGATTTCATTCACATCGTGTCTAACTGGTCGTTCGTCGCCGTGAGAAGTCCTTCTATGGTGGTGAAACACGGCCACAAAGAGCGTTTCCTCCGATTTCCAAATCGATTTCCGGATGAACATGGAGCACGTTTTTGTCTTGAGCACATCTCTCGCCAGTTCGACGTCCTTCTCCAGTTTGACCGAAAGTCTGCATCCCTGATCTCTGATTGCTCCTCCGCTTTTCACCTCATTCGACTTGTACTGAAAATTCTTTTCACAGGCTAAAGTTGCCAGAGTAACTCTCTGGTGTTTGCGTGCACTAGTAGTGAATGACCGTTCACGCTTCTACGGTGGATTTCGATCAAAAGAAAAGAGGGAAACCTACATTTCAGGCGTCGAGGGAGTCGGATCACAAAGACGATGACGAGAAGACGAAGTCGCATGGCTACGATGGCGACGGCGATGACGATGACGAGAAGACGGAGCGCGGCAACGAGGGTGATCTGGAAACCTCTTCTCTACGGTAAACCCACAGAAAATAATTTTATTGTACTATCAAAAACGAAAGAAAACCAATTTTCTACGTATAAAAGTGGTCTTCTGCTTAATTGTTCGAGAGACGAAAAATTTTGCGAAAGTTTATTGAAAGGAACGGACAAAATGCTCATATAAATACACAAAAACAGTTCTATTGTCGCTGTTCTATTCTGCCCAGTTCTATTATGTCGCAGTTCTATTATGTCACGGTTCTATTCTGCCCAGTTCTATTATGTCGCGGTTCTATTATGTCGCAGTTCTATTCTGCCCAGTTCTATTATGTTGGACCGCCCAATGTTCCTGTTCCATGCTTCTAGTACGACACTCCGAAATAACGCCGCGGCTGCGCTTCAAACCCTCAAAAGATATCTCGAATGGCTCCCAAAAAAGCAATTCGTATTCACAATCCGGCTCCATTTTTTATCACCATTCGAATATACGTGTTAGTACACTCGACTCGCATATATTTAAAGCGCCCATTTCTCAATTTCCGTCTGTTTTCTTTCCCGTACGGGCGTCTTGCGTTTTGTAGTTGTTTCCATGCGTTGACATGCTCGTGACAGGCCATCTCATTGTTTCGAAACGCATTCCAAATCAGTCTTTCGGCATTTAGGCCCGCTTTTTTCTTCTCCGTCAGCTTATGCAGAATTTCATAATGTTCTTTTTTGCAAAATAGATATCGCTGGAATGTCTCGCTGGAATGTCCCAGTTTTGTGAAATATCAACACAATATTACTCGTTCTTCTATTACTATCTCTCGATAGCTATACGTATGTAATTGTGTGTATAAAAAGCCCGAAAAGTGCTGGGAGCCGAACCGGTTTCTCTTTTTCTCTCACTCTTTTCGCTCTCTGTACACACATTGAACATTTCCACCATAATATAGACACGCACACAGCTGGCCGTCTCTTCTCGCTCTTTCTTTTTTACTCTATTTCTCTGCGAACAAAAAGAAACGTTGAAAAGAAAAAAACGAGAGAAACGAGAATAATTCCAGCACTGATTTCTCGCCTCGATTTCTTTCTCACTTCCTCATCGCGTCTTTCTGCGTTTCCCAATTGATCTCTTTGAATTTTTCAGCGATATGGATCGAATACAGGAGAACAAGACGAAGGCGGCAAATCTGTGTGAGCTGTACGCCGACGAGAACGAAGACGAGAAGGAGGAGGCGAAGCAGCAGCATAAGGGGCTCGACGCCGGTTTCCTGCTCCGGAGCACTCCTGCGGACGTGGAGAAGTATCTGAAGCATATCAACAAGCTTCTGTTGGAAGGAGAGGGAGAATGCCTCATCGAGATCGGACTGCCAATCTCTTCCAACTCGAAGAATCCACGTGTCGGTCTGAGCGAGAGTGATTTGGATAAAGCAATCGAGGCCCATAACAAGATTCTTGAGAAGATTCCGGCTATCGGAACGAAGATCGAGCGACGGAAGCAGACGGGCAGCGAACTGTACTCCGAAGTGTGGCTGGTGCGTGATCCGCCGGCCGAGAAGGACTTCATCGAGGCGCGCGTGGCCGTCGTCGGAAACGTGGACGCCGGAAAGTCGACGTTGCTCGGAGTGCTCACTCATTCGGCGCTGGACGACGGAAGAGGAGCCGCGCGTACGAAGCTGTTCCGCCACAAACACGAGTTCGAATCGGGCAGAACTTCGTCGGTCGGAAACGACATTCTCGGATTCGACGTGCACGGAAACGTCGTCAATAAGCCGGATCCACATAATCACAATCTGGATTGGGTGCAAATCGGGCAGGATTGCAGCAAATTGGTCACATTCATCGACTTGGCAGGTCATGAAAAGTATCTGAAAACGACAATCTTCGGAATGACGGGTCATATGCCGGACTACACGATGCTGATGATCGGATCCAATATGGGCATCATCGGAACGACGAAAGAGCACCTTTCGCTGGCTCTTTCCCTCCAAGTTCCCGTTTATCTCGTTGTCACCAAAATCGATATGTGCCCGCCACAGATTCTCGAGGAGACCATGAAAAATATCACTCGTCTCGTAAAAAGTGCTCGCAAACTTCCGATCGTCATCAAAAACATGAGCGACGTCGTCGACGCGGCTTTCAACTTTCCGAGCAAAAAGTGAGAGATCTCCAGTCAATTTCGGATATTGTAAATCCTTTTTCTGCAGAATATGTCCAATCTTTAAAGTTTCCAACGTGGAGGGAACCAATCTGCCACTTCTCCGCCAGTTTCTGAATATCGTGCCGCTTCGACGAGAGCTCAACGAACACGATCCGGCTCATTTCCAAGTTAGCACAGAAAAAACGGCGCCGTCTTCATGAAATCATTCAGATTGACGATATTTACTGGGTGGACGGAGTGGGCACTATTGCCAGTGGAACCCTGCTCTCTGGAACCATCCATCTCAACGACACTCTGCTGCTCGGACCCACTTCCAACGGAGACTTCACTCCGATTCCAATCAAGTCTATCCATCGCAAACGGATGCCCGTCGGTCTCGTCAAGTGTGGACAGTCTGCTTCATTCGCATTAAAGTGAGCCGATTTCACCATACTGTTAGAAATATAATATCTGTTTTACAGAAAAATTGCAAAAAAAGAGGTTCGCAAAGGAATGGTTTTGGTGGATCCGAAGGTGAAGCCGGTGGCGAGCATGCTGTTCGAAGCGGAGATCCTCGTTCTTCATCACCCGACGACAATCAAGCCCAACTACCAGGCGATGCTCCACATTGGCTCAGTTCGCCAGACGGCCACGCTCGTCTCGATGGGCAAGGTGCGTGAAATCGAAGGATCTTCTTTCGACTGACATTCTTGCAGGAAGTGCTGCGGACTGGAGACCGCGATAAGGTGCAGTTCAAGTTCATCCGGCAGCCGGAATACATCCGCGCGGGCACCAAAATGGTCTTCCGTGAGGGACGCACGAAAGCCGTCGGAACTGTGCTCTCCGTCGTTCCACAGGAATCGCTGGCTCAGCAGAGAGCCAAACAAAAAGAAGGAAGACACAAGAACTGTGAGTTTTCAGAAAAAAATAATACAAACAACAGGACACTCTGAATTTTCAGTCGGAAAGAAAAGCGGTCCAAAGCCACCGAACGGAAAACCGAAGGTGGAGAAACAGCTGGAAGCCCTCTCAATCGATCAAATCGTCGCCTCCTCGTAAATCCTCAAACTTTGTATAATTTCTCCCATATTTACCTGTTCAATTTCCCTCGAATTGTCAACTGGTGACTGACTTTCGCAATTCGATTTTCCGAACTTGGGACCTCTGTATTTATAACCTCTTCTGTTTTAACATGTATGCCGGGATCTCGTCTCACTTTCCCTCTGTAATCTTTATAATTACGATCGGCAAGACCTTGTTCCCCTTTCTGATTTCCCTGTTGCTTCTCACATAATTTGTCGCATTTTGTAGACGATAAAAATGAATAATTTACAGGCATAAAAGAGAAAAGGAGGGTATCATTCACAAAGAAAATAGAAAGAGAATGAGAGGTGAATCCGTTCGTAGTAGATGAGATCGTTGGATGGCATCGGCTATTTGTTACCCTAAAGATAGTTGTAATTGATGGAATCAGGGCTCACAGAAACTCACAGATATTTGTTTCCATATGCGATCTCTATGCGCAGGGTCGGGGATTGCATTCAGAAATTCCAAAAGATTGCCTCTTGCGACGTTCGTCCAGTTACTTCCGTCCAATTCGGCGTTGATAGCGGATGCGGCCGGGCGCACCGCAGTCGGTCGAACAGGAACTGCGGCAGCTCCGGGCAACGATGACGTGGAAGCGGAGGCGACGGGCGGTCTTGCGGCCAAAGGTCGTTGGATATTCACAATTTGAGAAGTTCCGGATTGGTTCGGAGCAGGATAACGGGTCTTCTGCTGAGGTTGGAAGGAAAACGTCGTCGGAGCTATCGGATTGGGTCTGATCGGCTTCGGAGCGGGGACTGTCGGTCTTGCGGCTGGCATCACGATGGACGATGCAGACATTCCTGCTCCGTTCGACGTGGTCGGTCTGACTGGAGTTGGCCTCGCAAGAGCTCCCGCCCTGGCAAGAACTTCGGCAAACTGGGCCATTTGCACTGCATTCGCTTGCGAAACTTTGCCGGCCTGGAACGCTTTGAATATCTCATCGGCGGTGGGCTGATGTACTTGGGTTGCTTTGGCTGCTTGGGCTGCTTGAAGAGCTTCAAAGACTTGTGCTTGACGGGCCCTCGCAGCATTAGCGGCTCTGATTTCCGCTTCCTTCGCTGCTTTCCGCTGAGCTGCACTTTCAAGTTCAGCCTTCTCGATGGCCGCCCGTCGGGCCTTTCCACCTGAGCAGCTTTGGCAGCGTTTTCTTTGACAGTTTGCTGTGCTTGGGCCATCTGCTGATAGAGCTTCGCCACCTGAACCAGTTGATTCGACTGAACTGCCTGAGCGATCGGATTCGCCTGCTGCTGCGATATTTGTCCCGCTTGAATTGCCTGCATTGCTTGAGCAGCCAGCAATTGCTCATCCTTGTTCGAAGACGCGGCCGCCGCAAGTATCAGCTGGGCCATGCTGGCCATGGTGTCCTTGTTCGCGACGGCTGCGGCCATCATTGCCGCTTGACTAGCAGTAATTGCAGGAGCTGTTGGCTTCGGAACGACAGGTCTCGGGCTGCAGGCTTCTGGACAACGGGCTTCGGAACGACAGGTCGTTGTGCTGGCGGCGGAACTGTTGGCAATGCTGCTGACGATGATGATGACGTGGACGGAGGAGGTTTTTTAGCGGGAGGTCCAATGAACTGAATGTCATCGTCCGAATCGCTCAAAGGCAAGTACGGTCCAGAAGAAGAAGCTGCCAACGAAGAAGCCTTCGAAGGACCAGATTGGATGAGATTGATCGACGACGATGAGGAAGATGCAGAAGCTTCGGCGCTCTGGTCGGCCACTCTCTTCAACAATGGCTGCGTCATATCCACGAAGTTCAACCGTTTTTTCTGCACGTTGTACTTCTTCTTGACTCCCGCGTCTCCGTTTGAAGCCGTCATTCTCATTTTCAGTTCGCTGACACTCTTGAACGCGTAAACTATCAGAGATTCCGTCTTCTCTTTCATCAAGCGAATGAGCTCTTCGCCTGGTTTCGAGCACTTCTGGAGCACATTCCACAATTTCCACAGCTCATTGCGCAGTGTCGCCTGTGTGATGTGGGGCGTTTTTGTCTTCTTGGAAATCTCTCCTAACACTGGCGATGGAGTGCTTCTTGCTGAAACTGAAAGGGATTATTGTCTGCATGCCGGAATCTCTTACAATTGTCTCTCAACATAACGATATGCTCCATCGCTGTCAAATTCATTCCAATCACAGCTTTCCAAACCTCTTTCGACACGTGTTCTCTGAAAAATTCTTATTTTTGTTTCTGTCTGACTGCAAGAACTTACTCGTCATCCTTCACTATCACTGTCACCATCGACACGAGCACGGCCACGACGTTGTGCAAATCCAGAAGACGTTGAGCAATCTGCACACCGAGTTTGATGCATCGTTCCACGTGGAAGTTGAACGAGCCGTTGCGATTGATGTCGTTGCAGGAAATCTCGACGACGTTGTCGAACAAGGCGTCGTCCCTCTTTTTCCGCTTAAAAACGTTCTTGAAAATGTGCTCAGACGCCAAGTCGAGGGCTCCTTTTTCCACAGCCATTTGGGCCAATCGATAGTAGGATTTGATGTGCGGGAATCTTTCAGTGACCAGAGTGAATGCTTTGAAACACATTTCCTTCAGATCTTTTCTCACTTCTTCTTCCGCATCCTTTTTCTCGTCTCGAATCGCTTCATCGACAAGCGAGTAAACAGCCGAGTAGACATCCGGATTTATCTTGAAAAGTGAGTTACTCGGCTTCACAACTTTGTGTCCGTCGTTCATAACTTTCAGAAGAACTCGCAGTTTGCGGAGGACTTCCAGCGGCGGATTCTCATTCGCAATCAAGTACTTGTAAACTGCCGCGTGCGCCTGATAGTGCACTTCCAAAGGCTCGAAGTTTGTCTGTTTTTTGGTCTGCACCTTCTGAGGGTAATAGAATCCGGCGAGTTCGCATCCGCACGCCGCCTCGTAGAAACTCTCCACCACTTTCACGATATCCCATTTTCCGAACTTTGCTTCAAGTTTTCCTATGAAAAAGTAGCAGAGCCACTGGTGCTCAGGCTGCGATCCGTCGTCTCCGAGCTTTGTGAGTTCGAGAGATCGGTCGAATTGCTCACGCGACTCGATTCGCAGCTTCGCCACGTCTCCGAGATCCTTGCGGCGTTCGTCCGTTTTCGGTAGATGACGATAGAATCGGGCGAGCGAAGAGGCCAACTGATATATGGTGGCGGCGAGTTCGAAGTGCGGCACTGGCTCGTGCTCTTGGGCGTCGACGGCCATTCGGAACGGCATGATTCGCCACTTCCACTGCTCGTAGATCTCGTGCAAATCCAGCTGAAACAGGGGACAATGCTGATATGGAATATATAATATGTCACAAATTACCTGGAACAAGTCGTGCACGTTCTCGTGAGCCAGTATTCCCCACGCAGACGATCTCAGTCTATCGTCATGGGCCGACTCTTCCGTGAGCAAGTACAGCTCACTGTATCTGGCGGTGTCCTTGTGCGCCGTCGACCTGTACGCGCTCAACGCCATCGCATACCACACCAACGACTGTGTGTAGTCGTCCACGTCGTCTCGGCACTTTTTCAGTCCTTTGTTCACGTCTTCCAGACTGTTGGACGCGCGCAGAATCTGACTAAACTCCTCGAGTTCCTTCTCTTTCTGACTGGGAATCTTCAGCAGATACGGGAACTTTGAGTTGAGCAATTCGACCACCTCGTGCAGAAGTTTGTCCTTCTCGTCGTACAACGGCAACGGCTGCACCAGGATGACGGAGAGCACCTTGCGAGCGTCTTCAAGGCCGGTCGGAGCCCGTCCCCCGTTTTCGTGGTCCTCGCCGGTCTTGCGTTTCTTTCCGTACTTTCCGTACAAGCAGAAGAGCACTTGCGAGAGCTCCTCGTTCACATTATTCCACAGCCATCCGTTGTCCTTCTGGTAGATCATTTCGAGAGTCGGTATGTCATCGATCATTTCGCGGAAGCGGTCGATGATGAAGAAAAGGAACTCGTACTGAAACAAAAAATACATTTTTGTGCACGATTTCGATTGATTTTCGAAACTCACATTTTTCTGAGCACAACAATGATGCTCTCCGAGTACTTCGTGCGCCTTCACAAGGAGATCTTGCTCCAAAAGGGGCATCACGTGCGGCTCGGCGTTTTTGTCTAGTTTTTCAATGTACTCCAGATTGCTCTCTTCTCTGTTTTGCTTCACCGTCTCATACAGAATTTTCCACGATTTCCAGTCTTTCTCCAACTTTCTATACTTCTTCATGGCCACACAAACAAGGTATCCGATCGTTGACAACGTTTCTTTATCCACTTTCTTGAAATCGAGACGTTGAAGTCGTTCGAGCAGTTTGACGGTGAGGGTCTCCAGCTCGTTGGGATCTTCCGTTCGGAATGCGGTGAACATATAGAAGTGAAGAGAGCGGACGGTCAACTCGGCCAGTTCAATGTGTTTTTCGAGTTTTTCGAGTGATTGCAGCCAGAAAGTGAGCATTTCGAGTGTTTCTTCGTTCGATATGGACTCGAATTCCATGTCTTTCTCTATAATTTCCACCAAATCCTTGTAGTTCTTCGAGTTCCACAAATGCTTCACACTCTCAATTCTCTTTTTCTTCTCCAATTCTCCGATCGCCAACGCGACATCCCACGTGGCAAAGGAGCCTCCGACGGTCGGTACTACTTCTTCCGCACGCATACATTCTTCCAGCGAGTACAAGTAGTCCAGCCTGAAATGGTTTGTTGCAAATCATTGTAGAAAGGTGATCGCGACTTACTTTATCTCGTCTTTCAGTCCAGTATGAGCGTACTTCCACATGAATCTGAGCACAAGTGATCTCTTCAGTTCTTCGTCAATGTCGTCTTCTGTTTCCTTCGCTGAATCGTCCGAATATTCTTTTTCATCTTCTGGCCGATGGAAGACTGAAAGGTACTTTTTCACGCAGACTTCTGTCGCTTTCCGGCAGTCCAATTCAAAAACGGACACATTCAAAACATGATTTTTGCGCAGAATCATGTGGTTGAAAAGTGCCATTCGATTGTACATTTCCCTCATCACTTCTCGCATCGGTTCGGGAAGGGCTCCGCGTGCTGGAGTGTGCTCGGTGAGCAAGAACAGAGTCCCTTCGAGCAGATCGAGGATTGTGTGGGAGCCTGCGGAGAAGCGGGCTTCCAAACGGGAGAGGATGAGGTCACAATCGATGAATTCTCTTGGATCAGATGGCGGGGGTGTTCTAAACAAATATTCACTGCTTTCTGGCCTAAAAAGAACTCTTACTTTTCTCTTCTTCTGGCATCTGTTCTGATCGGAAGGATATCGCCACAATCGAGTCCGAACGAAGCGGCCAACTCGTTCTCCGGTAGTTCCGAAACTCGAGGGCTGTCCTCTTCCTCCTGAGACACCTCGTCGTCGTCTCCGCAGTCCTCATCGGCCGTCGTGTTCGGCTCCGATTCGATTTCCTGACTGGCTTTATCCACAAACAGTCTTTTTCTCCAGTTGGCCAGATACTCCTGCTTCTTTTTTTTTCCTCTCCGCTTCTTCTTCTCTAATGCCACCTTTTCGGTCAGTTCTTCCACACACTCGACCACGTCCACGATCTTGGACACAGTTTCCACCACCTCCAGATAATCCTTGCGAGACTCCCATTCCGTGAACTCGATCAGTTGATCAGTAGGATGCGACCAAGCGTGAATACGATCGAATAGATCGCAAAATATAGTGCCGACAGTGGTGAGATCTTGATCGGCCGAGATGGAAATGAAAATAGTCGAGAGCTCTTCGGTTTCCTTCTCGAAATTATCCACAAGTTGGGCTCTTTTCTGTTGAGTTTTCCGCTGCAGCTCCTCGATTCTCTCGTCGAACACTAAAATCTTCCTCTGATCGAGCCCGCTGACGTCTGCGTACACTTCGTCCTCCTCAAAGATCCGATCACTAAGCTGTTTGTAATATTGACTTGTCGATCTGATTTTGTACTTCAAATACTTCATTTTATCATTCAAAGTGTCCGTTTCTTCTTCATACGTCTTCAAGATCTTCAGGCATGCTCCGTAGTCGCACGTCAAATAGAGAACTGTCGCGTGTGCTTCCAGCGATTCCTTTAGACTTTCGCAGCGTTTGAAGGCATACTTTGCAAAGTCCAGATCGCCGTTCTCTACAGATTTGATGGCGACGTCGAGCCAGACGGCAGTGTTGTTCGGTTCATAAGCGAGAACTTGACAGAGATGGGCTACTTCGGTGTCCGGATCCACTTTAGCCAGATTCTTGTGCACGGCGATGAACACCTGCAGCATTCTTGCGTACCGCGGCGGCTCTTCTAGTGTCTCGTAGTCCGGATCTTCCACTTGGTACGAGGAAATTAACGGATCATCGAGCAGTTTGAACATTATCCGTTTTCCTTTCTCATTGTCCTTATCTGCTATCGCAACAACAGCCTTCTCGAACTTTTTGATGATGTTAACTTCCTGCAATATAAGCTTTCAATCGATAATCCATGATACAATAACTCACTGCCGCTTCTGTCGTCAGTTTCTCGCCCACCGCTTCGTCTACAGTCGACCAGACTGAATTTACTGATTCTGAATCAACGCAGCTATCCGAATCATCCTCCGAATCATCGTCTTCTTCCTCCTCCTCTTCTTCATCAGAATCCTCTTCGTCGTTCACATCTTCGTCGTCGGCGCCGCCGTTTTCAGCTTCAGTGTCGCTGTCCAGAATAATGACCGAGTTCTGTGACGGAAAATTTATTTTGTGAATATGCCTCAGTGAAAAATGATTACCTCTCCGTCAGAAGACTCTTCATCTTCATTAATTTCGATAGGTCTCCGACTAGTGCCGACAATCAAGTGATCCCCTTGATCTTTTTTTACGCTCTCCGGCGCTTCCATATCTGAAAACGGGAATTTTATTACTTTCAAATAATTTTTCGTACGAAATGCGTGAAGCATGTTGTCTTCACTCGAAAACACATTGAATTTTCGGTTAGCAAAAAATTCTCGCGCCGAGAATCGCTAAACTGCAAGCACAACGACACTCCGAAATTACGCGCCGCAGACTTGCAAATTCTGCAACCCTGGCACGATTCACTCGTCCACATAATTTTATATTTTGGTTGGCCTAAATTTTTCTCGCTTTTTTCGCGTGTTTTCAGCGATTATTTGAATGGATTTTTGAGGACAATATTTTAAAATTATTCTTTTTAAAAAACAACAGTTTTTCATGAAATTAACCGCAAAACGAACGTTTTAAAGGATAAAAATGAAAAAATTCTGGATTTCGGCCGTTGACGAAAATTGAGGCGTGTTTTTAGTTTTTCAACGTTTGACTTCAGTTTTCCTCCAGAACATATTTCTATATCAATTTTTTTCTATAGCAGATAGATTTTTATCGATTTTCGTTTGACTCGTTTGCTCAGGTCAAAAATTAGGCAGATTCTATATTTCTTCCAACGTTTAACTATTTGCGTTTATTTTCGAAATGCATGTGGTTGCATTCGAGAATAACAATTGCGAAATATTTCTCAACTCTCCGTAATCGATCTAAAAGTTTGATGTGTTTATATACTCCTTTTCAGCAACACCGCTCAACAAGTGGAAGAAAAATGCCTTTGGCCGTTGACCTGCTTCACCCAGAGCCGCAAAGGGAGATCAGACGCCACAAGCTCAAGCGTCTCGTTCAACACCCGAACTCCTACTTCATGGACGTCAAGTGCTCGGGATGCTTCAAGGTAAGAATTTTGAAATTCTGCTGATAAGTGCGCAAGCATCAATGATTAATTTTCAGATTTCGACCGTCTTCTCGCACGCCACGACTGTTGTCGTCTGCGTCGGATGCAACACCGTCCTGTGCCAGCCAACCAGAGGAAAGGCTAAGCTCACCGACGGATGCTCCTTCCGCAAGAAGCAATAAGTTTCTCGTCATTGTTACATAAATTGTTTGTTCACAAATTTCGTACCAATCAAGAAAAAATCCTCGAAATGTCCATGTCAACTGCCGAAAATACTATTCAAATCGGTAGTAATAGAGACCTTGTCCAGAATTGCCGTCGGAGGAACGAAAGCTAATTGGCACCTTCTCCGTTAGTCGAGTCAAGCAACTGGATTGCGTGTCTTGTTCACCTCCTGTAGAGAGGGTTGTAATGTCATTTCAGACAGCAATTCACAAGAGTGCTTCCCTTTTACTCTCAGTATTTTCAGCTGTTTACTCCGATCGTTTATGCAGAGTATCGTGTTTCCAATTGATTTGGAACCTGAACCTCTTCGGGCCCTCACCAAAAAAGATGTAAATCATTCACCGCCAAAACGAGGAGTATCAAAACAGCGGTCTCTAGTCGTTGCGTCGTCGTACGGACGCTTATCACTATAGTTTTAGGGGTGATCCAATCGCCAAATTATCATAATCTCCATCGTGTTCTTCTATATTTGTTCTGTTCTGAAAAGTTTAAACCCCACCCGCAGACTTTGAACAAGTACTCGGATCAGGCTTTTCCCCACTCGATTCTTTATTCTGCCACCACCAACTTTTCACGCCACACTTGGAATCAGAAGAGAACGAGAAATTGGGAGAAGGAGAGAGAAAGAGAGATGGGCGGGATAGGTAATGAGACACGCGGACGAATAATTAGAACTGTAATTGGGCATGTTTCGGGAAACTACTCGAGTGCCAAGGTAAATGAGAAAAAGAAAACGAGAAGAAGAAGCTTGTTTCTTCATTTGAATACCATTATTTGATCTGTTTCGATTCCAACATTACCTTGCAAGTTGTCCGCTTCGCCGCACTCATTTCTATGCAACCTCGACGGGCTCATAGGAGCAGAAACTGATCTCGAGTACGCGGAACTGCGAGAAGATCTCTCCAAAAACGGTATCGGGCTCATCGCGCGAGCACCTGTTTGCCCATCTTTCTCACTTCTCACTCCTTCCGCACTTCTTCCGCGTCATTTCCGCGCGTGCCATCCACCCACACACAAAAAACATCCGTTTTGAAAAGCGTAGAAAGTTTCTCTCCGATTTCGTTTTGTTTTGAGTCGTCGCTTCTCCCTCCACTGGTTTCGTTTTGGCATTAAGCCAAAATGTATACACGTAAGCCGAAAATTAGAGGTGCGCGGAAAAACGGGGGCGAGTTTCGATGTGAAACTGATGCCGATTTTGTCTATTTTTTTTCGTTTTCCAAACTTTAATTTAATTTTGCTCGAATAGAACACCGTCAGACTTGTCACTGATCTGTCTTTAACTTCAATCAAAAAAAGCATGCTTCCGAGTAAAAATTCTGAAAAATCAATCATTTTTTCAATAAAAGCTTCGAAAATTGTTAACTCGACAGTGCTGGTCCGCACCGATTCGATTTGTGCTCAATCTTTGACCTAGAGCCCTCGGGCAGCCGTTTCCTTTTCCGTCCATCCGCTAGCTAAACATATAGAATGTTTCCAAGTATATGCATCCGATCCGTTCATGTCAAAAATTCCGAATTCGGAGCGAAAAAACATTTCGCACCCAAATTTTGTCTTTCTCAAACAAACAGGGCTTTCGGCTGGAGTTGCAACCCAATGAAGGAGCGCACCTTTTGCTCGGCGGCGGCTCGAGCCGTTTTTTGCGCGCGCGCTCCTGTCGTCTTGTGTCGGGGCGACGACGGAAAACAGGAGAAACGACATGTGTCCTGAACCTGCGACCCGCCGAAGAAGGAGCCCAGATCGATTCCCTCCTTCTCTCTCAATCAGCTTTCGTTACCTTTCGTTTCCTTCTCTTTTCCCTTTCGTACTTGCTTCTAGAACAACCTTCTCAATGATGCGTGACTCTGCAGAATCTCCGAATCGCTCTGTCAGCCACCCACTTGGCAGAGAAACACAGTAGCAGAAGAAGCATCGTTTTATTTGTTAGCGTGTAGGTACAATACAATCGCTCTTTCGCCCCCCGCGCCCGCCCGCACGTCCATGCCAAAACGCGAAGCAACCAGTTCATCTGCTGTCATCGTGTGCTTGACGCTTGACAATCATCATCTACATACGACACTTTTTTTCCGACGCACCGTTTCGCTCTGCGTCTCTTCTTGCCGTTCGCTTGTTCGGGTGGCTTGTCGCACGGACAACCTAACAATATGGGAGAGTGGGAATGAGTGAACGGAGCACAGGTACTCGGAGGTTCTGAGGAGAGAAGATTCGCGAGAGCCGGTAGGCTGCTGAAGAGCAAAAAGCGAAATTTGCTCTACCGTACTACGATAGAGCGTCGTTGCCAAATACTTTAACTTTTACGTGACCTCTCCCTGATATCATAATTTCTTCCTGAAAGTATGCAAAATGCTCATGATTGAGAGTTTCGCAGAATTTCCTCTAAATTCTAGTACTCTGGCTATGATTTGAAAAGTTACGCACGGCGAGCATTTGTGATCATGCTCGGGCCTGTTTTTATCGCAAACCGTACCCCTTTAGTACGCGGCTGAGTCGCTACGCAGCGACAAAATACACCCGGGAAATTCAGACCGTGTTCACAAATGTTACGGTCTGATGGTAGGAAAATTTAAAGTTCTGATCGTGTCGATACCCAGTCCCAATGACCTACTAACTACCGTACCCCTTTCCATCATAAATTTCCACTTCACCTCCATTTCGCCCATTGTTTTTCTCCTCGACGCCAATTGCCCTAATCTGCAACCCAAATACCTACCGAACCAACAATTTCTTCTTCTTAATTTTCCATCATCATCATGCTTGGGCGCCGCTCCAAATTGCGTGTGAAAACGTGCTTTCCGCGACTCGCTGACCGCTCTTTCCGCGCGGAAAGACGCGGCAGCGGCGGCGGCGGCTCCCCAAGCAATCCGCGCGGTAAACAGGCGAGTAGTACACTCACTCGGCGACATGCTGGAGGCGTTTTTTCTCATTGGGGAGCAGCTCCAGACGGTGGTCGTTGATCGTTTCTTCTTCTTCTTCTTCTTGCCAAACGAACTTTCATTCGAACTCCACTCCACTTTTCGGATTCTTTCCTTCCTGTTAAGCCTTCTGTTTACCACATCATCACTTCTTCCAAAGTCATTATTACCTCCTCCTCCTCGTGCCCTTCCGACCTTTGCAGAGAAGGATCGCACATAAACTGTCGGGTGTCTGCTTGTCGTAAACGTAAACGCTCCCCCGCCTCTTATGTCTTCTTTTCAGTTTTAGTTTTAGTTTCGGTTTTACTTCCCCTCCCCTACTTATCCCTGTTATATTGGAGATCGGAACATAAGCGTCAAGGACGGTCACGACAAAATCGATCTTTGGCGGGAAAGAAGAAGAAGGAGACGAAGCGATTAGGCTCGATTTTTAAAGAGTATTTGAGTATTTTGTTGTTATGGTAATGACTCATCTAAAGGGACCAAATACCAAGGATAGGCTATGGCCCTCAACTTTTGCAAGACTGACAATAGAGGTGTAGACTGGGAGGTTGAACAAATATCTCTTTGAATGGAAACCTAGAGTTATGAGTTACGGAACTGGTTATACCACAGCCGTATGAGCCATTTAGGTTACTCCTACAGTACTCCTCCGTCTTCTTCTTCTTCTTCTTCAGAATGGCGTAATGACCAACACCATACTTCTGTTCCACTCACCCCTTGTGCGCATAATCCGCCATCTGAAGAATGAGAATGACCATGTGACATCGTCATCATTCTCTCCTTGTCTTTCCTTATAATCCCAAAAGGTTCCTCTCTTTTTCCACCAGCTGCCCCTTCGAAATACCATAATTGGTATTGTGGTGGTTGGCGCGGCGCCAAGCCGATCATGAATCACAAGGGACCGCCCACTCCCGCGCGACGAGGTCCATTCATTCGCCCTCTTGTGGTGGCCTCTTCGTATATCCGATTCTCGACATTTTTTATATCCATGTCCTTTGTGTATGATTATGATGAATGGACACGTTTGAATGGGCGGAGGAAAAGGGTCAAGGGCTAGCAGCTACCAGCAGTTAGCACGCTTCGTGGAACCACTCTGACTCACTCGCTCCGTTATCATAAACCCGCTCTTATCGGTTTTTGTGGAGGAGTTCTTAGTTCTGACAAGGAATTGCTGTTTGTTAATAGCAAGCAAGAAATGTTCACTTCTAGAAGATGTCTTTGTGTTGCGAGCGGCTAACCATAAGCCCCTTGACACTTACTTTTTATCCGTGTGGCTACTCAAGCCGTTCTTCGTTCTCACGCCGCCCGTTTTTTCGTTTCGCCCGTCAAGAATGCGCTCTCTTCAACATTTTCAAAAACAATTGTCCGTTTCATTTGCCATTACAATTAATCTCGAGATCCGCTTCGTCCAACCTATAATCTCCTACCGTGCCACGACGCCTTCTCAGGGGCGTGGTGGCTTCATCTCGTCCAACTTCTTCCAATTTCCCTCGTTTTACCGTCTCGCGCAACAACAAGAATCAGTTTGTTTTGTTTGTTTGTTTGGCTGGTCAAAAAGCCGTCGTCGCCGCGCTTGTCAAGAGGAGGAGAAGGCGGGGCGGGCACAAAAGATTCTTCTGGAGACTTCAATAGATCATCTAGCTTGAAGACGTGATGAAGCCGCATTCCCATGACATTCTCACCTCCAGAATCCGCCGTTTCAACCTTTCCAGTCGTTCGATTCCCGTCCCAGATTCTCTCTTTCCAAACCCCTCACTTACCATAATCCGCTTCTGACCAGCTTCATCTTCTTCTCCTCCTGTATTTCATATATAAATGCGATGCCCCATTCACACTCTTCTCCGCCGTCGTCGTCGCTCTAGATCGTTTCGTTCTTCTCCTCCTCCTCCTCCTCCTCATCATCATGTATAAGCAGTTAATAAGCGAGGAGAGGTAGGTCAGTCACCTTCTTCCATTCCAACAAGTACTAAAATGTGTCCAGCAGTCAGTCACTTTCTTTTATTTGATTTTGTTATGATCCCTCTTCCCCCTCAGTGTTTGCCCAGAAAGCAAGAACCGGGCAGCAGCATTATTTTGTTCCACGCATAATATCGCCCGGAAGAATGAAATTTTGTTCCCAGAAGATCAAGAAGCGCCTTTGAAGATCATCCGACTCTCTCCCTCCCGACCCCAACAGCGCGTTTTTGTCTCTTCCGACACGTTTCTTTTGTTTTGCGCTCATCCGAACAGAGGTTTTAAGTGAGTGAAAGAAGAAGAACAATGAGTGGATTTTCCGTGAGAATGAAATTGAACCGAAACCAATACCGAAACCACTTTCATTCAAATTTCGAGCTCATTCAACAATAACTCATTCGATAATATTGTGGCAGAAGTGTGAAAGGGCCACAAAAATTGAATTCCGCGGGAGTCTGTCCTCGGAGATGAAGCATTTGCGCTCTATCGTTCAGGCCGCGGTCGCTTTTCCATGTTCACCCAATTCTAGGCCGCCTGTCTGAGAAAATTCTGCAAAACTTGAATTTACTGGAAGTTTTTAGAAGAAAAGCTGGACTTTGAGTGATTTAGACCAAAATTATAGAAGATTCAGAACATTTTGAGGCAAATTTGAATATCTCGGGCTTCTGTGGCCTTACAGCCTTTGAGTTGAAATCATATCTGACAAAAACAGTTCGGAGCAGCTCCTAGACTCTCTTTTTCTCCCCCTCTGACCCCCTGTCTCTCTCTCTCCCTCTCAACACTTTTCCCTTTTGTTGTACCTAACGAAAGTGTCAAATTTCCTCCGCGTTCCAGGCCCTTACCTTCTCTAGTACGGCCACCCGAACCGTCTGTTTCTCCTCGTTTTCTTTGACCAAAACATATGGTTGGTTGCCAAGTGAAGCGGCAAACCGTAACCGACACCCGGCCACCCATAAAGCTTATTCATATTTTTATTCCTGTTTGTTTCGGTGATCATGCCAACTTCTTGGGTTTCGGTTTCGGCTTCCGAGGCTTATACCTTATACCCCCTGTGGCGTAGTTTTTTGGCGGAGAAGAATTGAATAGGATTGCATCTCGGAGTAAGGAGTAAGCAAATTGGATGCAACTTCCCGCTGTGATAATCTTTTTCCCAATGCTAATGTGATCCGATTCTTTGATTTCTACTCCGCTCCACTCCTTGAACGGCAAAGAGGAAACTAGAAAGAGAGAGAGAGAGAGAGAGAGAGAGAGAAAGAGCTGGCCGAAATGCCACTCACTACTCGCTTGTTTTGTTCCTTTTCAAAACTGTACAGTAGTACATTGTACACACTCTGTTCTTTTCCGCTCTCGCCGCTCATTCCCGCAAAGAATTCGCCCACTTCTTGCAGACAGAATACTACACCGCCCAACATGGAATACATTGAGGATTGGTTCGATCGAGTCATGGGCTGCTTCTACAGAGATCGGTTAGTTCTTGAATTCCGTTAGGTCACTAAATTCAAGACATTTCAGAGACAAAGATGATCCTGGAAAGAGTCACGTGCACGAGGACGTAATCTTGCCTCCGCCGCCGTTGGACCCCGTACAAGTTGATAAGCAATTTGAAGTTCTTGTGGTCAGAATAAGTAGGCGTTCGCATTGAAACCATTCGTTTTCATTGCAGAAAGAGCTGGGGCTGAGTGAGGAGAAGCAGCAGGAGATGCACGATTATTCGATGGAGAAGAAGATGTCTCTTTTGGTGTCGCAGCATGTGAGTTCGTGTTGTTCGCAATGGGAATTGGGTCAATTTAACACTGGGACTGGTGGCGTGTGACGAGTGTGCCAATTTCTGAAGGGTTATGAACCGACGTCGTCGTCGTCTTCCTCTTCACCCATTTTTGTGTGATGATGGTGGAATGTTGTTCTCGTTTCCGCTTTTTTACAGCATACCGTACATATACTGTCAAAAAAAGTTACGATAGAGCGCATTCGCCTTCATGTTTTACTAGCATAGTTACTTCTGGGTACCTTTTAGAAATTTTATACTTTCATATTTGGCTAAATGTCTCTGGAAACTTCTAGAAAGTTTGTAGTTTTTTTTCCAAAAGTCCCATTTTTGTAAACGCTGTAATTTCGTAAAATTATTGGGCAAACGTTTTAGAAGTATTCAGACACATTTAGTCAAATGTTAAGGTCGCAAGATGTTCTCTATATTCTACGAACTACCCTAATGAGCCACTGGGTTCTGTATTCTGGAAAGTCATAGAAGAACCCCTTCTTTTGTTTCAAAATCACCCGCCGAGAGGTGTGCTCTTTATAAATGAATCCAAATCGAATTATAATATCATCATCATCATCATCATCATCTGTTTATTTACCGTCGGCATATTCAATTGCTTCTGCCCTCCGCACCTCAACCGCCGAAACAGCGGGCGATTCGGAGAGGCGCGGACGGATCGAGTGGCGGAATGAACTCTCAATTCTCGCCGTTCATCGCGCCACTTTTTGTTCATCGAGTGCGGGTCTTTGTTTCCAAAGGCACAGGCTTTTCGCACCGCGGAGGTCTAGGCATAGGTTCAGCACGCACTGTCTGAGCGTGATTCTCTTTAGCTCCACTATAGAATCTACCTATTTCAGTGTCTTCAAACGGAAGACGCGTCCGACTTCATTGGGTTCCTTCAAAACCTGAAACAGTCGTTCGTGATCGACTCGAACACCATCCGACAGCTTCAAGGCCTCGTCACTTCGCTTCGAACACAAAACTTCAGGTACCAAAACCATGTCTTTCTCGTCCAGTTCAAGGCGTTCCTCGTTAGTTGTGAATGAATGAATGAATGAAATGCAAATGAAGGGGAGGAACGGCCAGATGACGGCCCGAAAGAGGTTCCTCATCAAATTTATCACCCTTTGCGTGTTCCCGCATCATGTTGCATTGCCGAGAATGCATTCATCAAATTGACGCGGAGATGCATTTCATTAGGATTGATTAGGATCCAAGCTCCAACACTCTCCCACTTTCAGCTATCTCGAAGACTTTCTCTCGGCCTCTGGACTCGCTCTGCTCACAGATCTGCTCAATCAGTGCCATCAGCAGTACGCCCTCGAGCAGCCGGCTCTCTTCTTCCTCTGCTCACTTCGTGCTCTTCTGAACTCTCCGGTCAGTTTTTGGCGGCGGCGGGGGACAATGGAAACGGTTTTTGTGCTGATGATGCAGATTAGGCGCGTGCGCGACGGTTTAGCCTTAGGTTTAGGTTTACGATTCGATGATGATAAGCTTGTTTTCTTGATTTCAATAGAGAAAGAAATTGGCAATAGAGCGCACTTGAAAAGGCAAGTAAGTGAAGGAGTAGGTGTATCAAATTACTTATACCTACCTAGTACTACTTACTCCCAGACTCTTTCTGTCTTAAATGCTCATTTCTTTTCTCCGACTGCGACTAGACTCTTCCTAATTGTTCCCAAAAGATGTCTGGCCGGGGGGAGCGCCGCGCCCGCCAGAATCCTCGAATGACGTACACCGCTCTCGCCCAACCTAATCCTTCCATCTCGGGAGCGTCCGGAACGCCGCTTGCCCACCTTCCGCGCGGAAAAGAAACCTAATACCTGCCGTCCAGATTTCCGTCGTCTGTCCCCTTCTCGCTTCAAGACAAGGCACTTGTATGAGTACTAGAGAAGAGAACATTTGTATGTACATTTACATCCCCCCCCCCAAAAATGCCTTTATCCGTTTTGAGTGGGCGTATCGCATCGGGAGCGATGTCTGGCTCTCAAAACAGCTATTTCTTCGATCTCCTTTTGACTTCATCTTCAACTTTCTAATATTTCAGAACGGACGAGCGGCGGTCCTTCACGATGAACAGCACGTGCTGGTGAGCATCGCGAGAGCAGTCGACTTTCGAGACTTCAAGTGCAAGGTGAGTCCCCAGACCAGTCCGTTTTTTGTGCGCATTCAGCAGGGAACACTTGCTGACAGTTCAAGTGGCGACACGACTCCTCACGCGTATTCTTCCTTCCATTACGCTGATCTTTCCTGTATACGAGAAGTAGAACTGTTTTGGAATGGGAGTGTGTCTGCCGGTGATAAACTGATAAGGAGGCTAATAACCTCGTGCTGAAAGACTTGCACAAACACTTCTGCTTCTTCTATATATATTCTTGATTGTCATAACAAACCTGTGTTATTTCATGCGTTTAAGAAACTGTTTACTCTACTCGTGCACCTCGCTTCCGGGTCACCATCATCTGGGTCACATTTTATGATGATCCCCTCCTGCCTACAGTAATCCGATCGAATTCTATTAGAGTGAGAGGGAAGAAGACTATTACCGAACGCATCCATCCTTTTCCATTGTTTGCACTTTTTTCGCATGTTCCTTCCTGTCCAGCCATTCTGCTGCTGCCGTTAATCGAATTAGTTTGTTCGGCGGTTTGTTTGTGGGTTCGCGGCGCAAGGAAAACGAAAAGTTGCAGAAAAGCTGGCTCATGGAGCACACGAACAGCCAGCCACCACTACACTTTTCATGAAATTTTAATCAACGGCCACTTTCTCAAATTGTCGCCCTCCCAAGAGAGTTTCGCATGAGTTTTGGGTGTGACTTGGAAACGTCGTGGAAGGAGAGCTTTCAACGATTAATATCTATTTACTACTGTAGAAGTCTAAAACTTGGTTTCAGTAGATGTGCTTCCGAACATTACACCAGCAACTTACACCAATACCGTTTATTCAAAACGACGTATCTCAGATGTCTGTTTGGATATCGAAAAGCTGACAACTGATAAAGTATACACAATAAGTTAACGAGCAATTCAACAGTTGAAAACTTTTTGGTGTCTCCATCGGCAGCTGAGATATGCCGTCTTGAATGCACAATACTTGGGTGCCATCCGATTACAGTTTCTAAGGAATCCTTCTCATTCTTAAAGTTTAGACTACTAAACTATTCCAGACCGGAAATGACAGAAAATTGCTCACTTTTGTGCAAACCTGTAATAACAACTTGCGAAATATTTCGAAGTACTATCCTTAACCGTTGCTGATAAGAGACCTACTAGAACCAATGTTTTCTTTCCGACTTCTCGCTTCCTCCGTGCGCTTCTCTAGATGCCACGTCATACATAATCATTTAATTGACCCCCCCCCCCTCTCCTCAGTTGCAAGGGGTAGGAGCTTGAAAAACCGGAACAAAAAAGCGAACACAAGTAGGGCAATTTATGGCGATGTTTGCAAGTATAGACAAACTTGCCGGGGGGTGAATTACGCAATTTCACCTGCAACCTCGCCATTTCGAAACAGAAAAGAGGCAAAACTTTTCGATTTCATAATAACAGGAAGGTGTCCCCCGACAAATCGGAGTGTTCATTCCCGAAATCTCTTGTCCTTGATGATACTGGCCTCTCTCGCCGATATCCGATTACTTCTGAACTGATCCGTTTTCCGAAATTCTTCCAAATCGTAAAAACGGTTCGTTCCCTTTTCCTTCTCCACTTTCTCTATCATCACACCTATCGACAGGCTTATGCAAATCATCAGTTCGTCATACTTTTTTCCTTTCCCTCCAAAAAAGTTGGTTTCTGTTCCCGTTTCCGTTCGCCATCATATCGTTATCATCCGCAATCAATCACGACGTTACATAACGATTCCTCCGCGCTCCAGTGGCTCTCGCATCTGCGCACCCTCCCTTCTCTGCTCGTCTCTCCAATTAGTGCACTCTTCCGTCGGACCGAGACAGACTGTGTACTCCCTATTTGTACTAGATACACTCGGCCGGTGCCCCCAAACAAAGCTTCTTTCCTCCAAAATGCTCTCTAGAAACCAGCGGCTTAGTTTCGTACTGTTATTCCTTGTCACTGCCACCACATGCCTCCACGTTCTAGTCTTTCAATTGCAGCACACGGGGTTTCTGATTACGGTAGTTGTGAATTGCGGAAAGCGTGTTGGATTTGTCTTCAATAAAAGAGCTGATTTTCAGATAGTGGCGATCGAAATCCTGTCCGGATTGTGTTTTATTCCGGACGAAGGACACGTGCAAGTGCTGAAAGCGATCACCGAGGTGAGTCAGGGCTCATAACATTACTTTTAACTGGGCTCTTCTGTATATAAAGTGTACACACTTCTGTATGAGGCTCTATGAATCATAATCAAACTATTCTTGCTTCAAATCATGGGATCAAAGGTCAGATCAGTGAGGCTTTTCGGTCCTGTTAGATACTGGATTTAAGAACCTCTGGCATTCATAGCCACAAAATGATTCCCTATCAGTTCCGACTGGTTTTCCTCTAGTCTTAACACCCCCGCCCCTAACATCTCCTCCATTTCTCACCGCCGTATTCATATCCATTTCAGGTCAGCACGTTGCTCGGCGAACGAACACGATTCCAGACGTTGGTGGCCGATCTGCACCGTCAGTACGCGACGGACAGAGACACGGACCGCGTGCGAACCGCCATTTTTGGACTCATCAATGCATTGCTAAAGACTGGCGCGGCTGAGGTGAGCGCATTTCACGGATAACTGAGCTTCACTTTCCTTTTCCGCGTACTTCGTACTATTCTAGTAGTTTTCGCAAAACGCAACGCAAGCATTGTTTTCGAATCTCTGCCTGAATCTTTGCAGCTACTTTCTGCATTTATTCCTTTTGAATACTCAACTGAACATTTTCAGACTTGTCCAGTGTACCGCCAGCATTTGCGCAGCGAGCTGCTGCTGCTCGGCATGTCGACGACGCTCGAGCAGTGCCGGGATGGAGCTTCGCAGCGGCTCCACGACCACATCGACCTGTTCGAAATGATGCGGAAGGAGGACGAAATATCTCTGGCTGGAAGCTGTACGAGCAGCGACATGTCCTCTTCCGGCGGCTCCACTCCAATCGATTTCGAGTCGGCCGTCGGCATGGCAGAAGCACTTCAGATGAAATTGAAGCACAGTAACGCACTGCCTCACTTCATCTCTCTCCTCCAACATCTGTTCATGGTGCCTTGTGACGAGCAACACGTGCCCCTCTGGCGTCTCTTCGACCTCATTCTCCAGCATCTCACTCTGCAAACAACTGTGAATGGAATGACAGACGTGCAGTCTCCCGTCCAGAGCAGCGTCGATATGAACGAGATATTGGCACGTCTTCAGAACCATTGCGACTACGAACGAGTGGCCAAGGAATTGGAGAAGGCGAGGGAGGAAATGGATCATGAGCGGACGCGGATTCTAGAGTTGGAAAACCGACTCGCTGACTTTAGTGACGGAAGAGCCAGCAGTGGAAGTAGGATATCTCTAGCGTCTACTTCCGCCTCCTCCAGTCCCTCCGATCCTTGCCCCTCTCCGCCACTCCTTCCGCCCATCTGCCCGCCTGCTCCACCTCCGCCACCGCCACCGATCGGAATGATGACGAATGGACCACCGAAGGACGCCCTGAAGAATGTTCCCGAACCCCCGGGAAACATGAAAACATTGAATTGGCAGAGATTGACAATGGAAAAGACGAAAGGAACCGTTTGGGAGGGAGTGGAAGATGAGAAGATGTACAAGCAAATGGATCTGACGGAGCTTTCCGGATGCTTCGCTTCAGGTTCTTCTCACAAAGACGATGACACGGACACCTTGTACGGAACAATCAACAGACGACCGCAGGCAAATGTGAGTACGATCATGCTTGAGTTTACCTAATTCCCCTGTTTCAGGTGACCGTCCTAGATCCCAGAAGGTATCAGAACTGCACGATTATGCTGTCGAAGTTGAAGCTGAGCCACAAAGAGATCAAACAGGCGATGATGTCGATGGATGAAAAGAGCAAACTGCCAAAAGACATGATCGAACAGATGCTCAAGTTTGTGCCGACAAAAGAAGAACTTGCTCAGATCAACGAGTCGGTCATGAACACGGAACTCCGACAGTGCTGGCCTTGGCCGATCGGTACATGTACGAGATCTCGACGATTCCGCGGTTCGAGCAGAGACTCCGATGTCTGCACATCATTCGGACGTTCCACGATCGAGTCGAAGCCCTCCTGCCGCACATTCAGGTTGTATCGAAGGCCTCCTCTTCGATGCAGGGAAACAAGCGATTCCGGCAGGTGCTCACTCTTGTGCTCGCAATCGGAAACTACTTAAACTGCGGTAAACGGAACGGGAACGCCTACGGATTCGAGCTAGTGTCACTGAACAGAATGACGGACGTGAAGAATGTGATGCGGAACGACCGGAATCTTCTACACTGGCTCGTCCAGTTCATCGAGAAGAAGTATCCTGATCTGACCAAATTCAAGAAGGAACTTTCGCCGGTGACCGAAGCGGCAAGGTTCAGCCAAGCGGAGACAGCCGCGGAGATCCGAGTGCTCGAGGAATCGTTGCTCATCGTGAGGAAAGAGCTCAATTTCCTGGAGTCGGCGAGCAAGGAAGAGCTGCCGGAGAGTGTGCCCAGTGAGAATGACCGCTTTGTTCAAGTGGCCAAGTCATTTATCACGAGTGCCACGTCAGAGTACCACAATCTGGATAAGATGTTCCGAGAAATGAAGAACAAGGTACCGACAACCACATACTCATTTATAAATTCCTCGATATTTTTCAGTTTTCCGAATGTGCAAAGTACTTCTGCTACTCGCCAGCTGGCGGATCGCCGGTTCCCGAAGAATTCTTCTCGATCGTCAACAAGTTCCTCATCACATTCAGCGAGTACCACCATCAGTTGTGGGTGGAAGTCGAGGAAGAGGAGAAAATCAAACGGCAAACTATTGCCAGATCGTTTTTAGCGAAGAAATGTGAGTTGGAAAGTTGAGGAGAACCTGTTTTTTATTTCAAATTTTCAGCCACAACTCGTCGGAAAGAGAATCACAAAGAACGCGACTTCGAGCAGTTGATCAGTGCTCTGCAGTCGGGCGACATCTTCAAGGAAGAGCTCTCCCGATTGCGCACCTCGTTCCGTCCGAAGAAGACCGCCAAACCATAGCCGCCCGCTCATCTCCCGTCTCATCCCGTTGCCTACCAGCTTTTTCACCCCTCTAGCTCCTTGCCGATCTCTCTGTGCTCCTTACGTATTCAGCCGAAATGGATCTAGTTTTCCGTCCGTCCCGTGGCCTTTTTGCTCCCATATCTTGTGGTTAAGTTATCATGATTACGCCTCAGAAAAGAGAGATCAAGGGTTTTTGTATGTACATAAATAAGTTTGTAATTAAATACTTTTTTGGCTCTTAAAAATGGTGATACTTAAAGAGTGCTTGTTTAGAAAATATGAACAGGTTTTTGCTAAGCGCACGTATTAGTTACAGATCTTTGACATGACAGAACGGATTACTTATGACGATCGGGATTATTTAAGGACGTACTTGTTTAGGTATTAATGAATCACTCGGAAACCTTTGATAGAAGGACGATCTTCAAACGTTTATGGAAATTGAAGGTCATCTCCTTTTCCATGGTAATGTTCGTGATATCGTAAACATCGCAGACTTTGAGCCAAACTCGGACAAACGCTAAATGTGTGTGATGATTCTTTTGAGCTGTCAGGCGAGTTATCGAACAAATATGATTAAGCTGACGTTCGTATATACTTTACTTTTATGACAAGACAATAGAAGCAAACCACAATCCTTAGGCGCCTTCAGCGCATTTCTTTAGAGGCCACGCTAATCTGTCTAGCTTGATTTAGTATAAAAGAGCACACGGAAACTCCAAAAAACCAATCTTGTTTTTGAAAACGATTTTCTACCGTCCATTACCCATCTAATAATTCATTCCGCCTACTTCCTAGCAGACATCCCGTCGAGATGTAGGAAATACATCTAATTTCCCGTTATCTTCTCTCTGCTTTGTGTCTATCATTTATTTCAACCCTCTTTCAGATCTGGACAGCACATGAACTCGCTGTTCCACTACGGAAGTGTCCAGGCGAATCCGCTCTACAACTGCTCGGCGAAGCCCGCGGAGGAATGGACGGCGCAGTTGGGAACTCGGAGACCAGTCCTCGGATCCGTCCTTATAATATTCGGCGTCTTTGTGGAAGCTATGTATGTTCCGTGCCTTGGCGCCATTTACAAACGACGTCTTCTAAAGCATTCGTGCTACAAAATCATGTTTCTGCTCGGAATCACCGATATGATTGCCACGTGTAAGTCACTGCCTTCTTCCAAAATGCCATCCCGATTATAGCCTTGGCCACTATTCTGTCCGGATACTTGTTCATCAACGGGGCGGTCTTCTGTACCCACCCTGAGCTCATCTACGTGGCCGGAAGCTTCGCCCTCGGTGGATGGGTGTGCTCGTGTGCTCTCACTCTTCTCCTGGTCATCAATCGAATCTCCGACATTCTGGTGCCCCGCATTTCCGAGTTCCTCTTCTCGAAACAGCGCACTTGGATCGTTGCCATGATCCCAATCAGTTATACCCTTTTGGTGATCACATTCTCTCCCGCAGTCATATTCAACTCCTCTGTGATGGCGTGGATCGGAGATCCGATGATCTATGAGAACATGTCCGACGCCTACTACAACTGTATTCAGAACGTGAACAACGTGGTGTTCATCATCGGAACTATTGTTTTCTACGGAGCCTACTGCTTCTTCATGTCTCAGAAGCAAATGGGTTTCAAAGTTTCTTCGGGCAAAAATGTTGGTGGAACTTGATTCTTTGGATTCCCATATTCACAATAGCCAGACTTGTCGCGGGCCGATGAAGGTCCGTACTAAAATTTCAAAACACGATTCCTTTTTGTAATTATGAGTTCGCTAAATACGTTTTCGGTTTGAACTAGCTAATTTCAATGAAAAAAAACAGATTTTCAAGTAACAATTCAAAAAAATTCGATCGACAAGTCTGACAGTAGCGTTCAGGTGTTCATTCAATCGACGCTAATCTGTTCGATCAACTGCTCGTCGGCTCTAGTCTACTCGATGATGATGTTCGTCAAACCGAACGAATACGTGGTTCTGTTCGGAGAACTCGCCTGGTCCCTAGTCCACGGTCCTTTCGGATCTCATGCCTGTTCATTACTCTTTTGTCTCAGGCTGTCCTGCTATTATTTATCTAACAATGAACCGGACGATTCGCCAAGAGGTCATCAGTTGGTTCCGGAAGAAACCGTCCGTCCGGGATTCTGACAGAGGTATTTCTGAATTTCAGAGATCCTCTTCATACATGTAAATTGACATTCGAATAAATTTATTTCATTAATTAGTGTCCGATCATCAAGGGAACGGTAACACATTGCTCTTCGAGTCCCCTGAAATCTCACGGATCTATGGAACTCTACCACGTTCCCTTACCATTGTCCCTCTCATCCGGCCATTCCTCGCTCGAATCCTTCGACGACTTTGCCTTCTCGGTCACCGTCGACGTCATCTGAGAGGGCGGCTTCTCCACGAGCTTCTGCACGGGAATCTCGACCGGCGGCGGCTTCTCTTTCTCGATCTTCTGAATGGCGTTGTCGCCCTGGTTGAGTCTCTCGTACACGTCCGCCGTGTTCACTCCGTTGTGAGTCTTGAGTCGCGGCGCCATCCGCACGCACGTCATCCGCGGACACTGCGTCGTCTCCGGTTCCACTTCCGTCTCGATCACACTTCGGACGCTTCTGCCGGACACGACCGCCTCTCGCTGCCGGTCCCGCAAAGCCTGTCTTCTCTGAAGATGCAGTTGCTCGCGGTCCCGGTCGTTGCACGAGCACGCGACAATCGTGTAGCCGGACAAAAAGAGCAGCAGCGCCAAATGCAAAACTGGTTTAACAAAAGAATAAGTAAATGGAATGCGTTCTTACGTTCAAATAGCGGACAGTTATACATAGATCTTCAAGTTGCACAAAATGTTCGAGAATAAGCGAGAAATGAGCGAGAAATGGATAGGAAGGAGGAGAAGAAGAAAAAGAAGAAGAGGATTTGGGCCTTCACGCTGTCATGGCCTTCACAAATACCTCTATAGTCTGATCATGATCTATTGCAGAGATGGATCGGAACATCAGTAACAGAGATTTGGAGGCGTGAAGATACCGCCGGTCCCGGCGATCCATGTCATGGCGGGGGGGTATAAAAGGAAGGAGAGATCAGTTCCGAGGCCATTTTCGCCTCTTATGCATGTTCTAGAAATGTATGAAGTAACCAGAAAACACAGTCAACTGCTCTCTATCGCACTATAAATAGCACGGTTTCACTTCATAGAGCAGGATTTCATACTGCTGTCTGTACCGTAGTACAAATTCCTCAGTCACTTAAACTTGAACTCTTTTCTATGGTTCACTTCCTTCCCAATCCATTCCTGGACTATCATCACAGATCGAACGAGTGGATTCGACTCGACTACCTCCGTGCGAATCCCTCGGCGATGACAGTCATACATAAACCCGTTAAACCCACCACATTGTTATCCTCATTACCGCAACTTTTGTGTCGGTGCCTTTAAAAATCATTCGCCCGCCGGCGACGACCGTGATCATTTCAGGCATGAACAGAGTCGCCGTCTCGCTGCTCGTCTTCTCAGTTGCTGCCATCGCTTCCGTTTCCGCGGGCACCAATCGAGCCAAGGTTTGTCAGAAGGCGGTCAATCTCGGAGTCACTTTCTACACTGCCAGTGAACTTGAGCCGGTAAGAGTCCAGGAGGAGAACAACGTAAAACCCGTTATGGAGAAACATCCCGATTTTATTCATTCAAAACGACGTATCTCGGCTGCCTGTTGAGATAAAAGTAACCAATATGTGCTGTGTGCCCACACTGATTCTAATGAATATTCAATTACTTATTCAGATCCTCTCCTGTGCTGAGACTGCCTGGTACACCAACCCAAATGACACTACCACCATAATTTCCGGTAGGATTACCCGTTTCTCTCCTCCTTCTTCTTCTTCTTCTTTCAATAACGTCTTTCAGATGCCAAAACGTGTGTGATCAACAACAGTCTCAACAAAGCTCTTTCGGCGCTCTCTCTTTACAACGGATGTGAGTGCATCCGTAGCTCCACCCATCCACCGTATTCCTTTTTCAGTCAACGGCTGTACGGACCTGATGGCTCTGCTCGACAAATTGACGACGCCGTTCTTGAATCAGTGCAAGCAAGTGATCAACAAGGCGACAAGTGTTGAATAGCTGCAAAGCGAACAACGGAAAGACGGGAACCGCCCTGCAGAATGCGTGCATGAACAAAGTGTACGGACAGTGCATCGCCATCGTCACGAAGGCATTCGTGAACAAAGTGTGCACGGCGCTCTCGAAGAAGATGACGTCGACCGAGTGGAACTGCTGCAAGACGTACGCGGTGAAGGTGGTCAACGTCGCCGCGTACTCGTGTTATAACATTGTCAAGTAATTGTCGAATATATCAATCTTCTCAACTCATTCTTCCCTTTTAGTTTATGAACATTTGAGCCAGTTATCTTTTTTTTTGGCTTTGGGTGCTTATTGAACAAACTAGTGTGTTGCGTGTCACAACAATTATTATTGTTATTATTATTTATTTACGTTTTATAACGTGGAATTATTAGAGAAGAGAGAGAAGAGAATGGAGGGGGAGGGGGGATGAGAGGGAGACAATGAATAAAGGTGTTTCCATCACTTCCAGCTGCGGTTTGTACATCCGAGTTTGTAGGTTGGGCCGAGACTCTGACCACAGACAGGCAACGTCTACATTGAGCTGGAACTAGTGAAACTGTGACTTCCCGCAGAAACCTTACATTTGCCTCTGACCTGTTTCATTTCGGACAACAGAATACAATTGAACTTTTATTTTACAAAGCAGAGATCTCTATGTTCGATTCTCGGAGATACATTGAAAACACCGCTAGTCGCATGTATGAAATGCGGGCCGTGCTGGCTGTAAGGTCCTCTCCAAATTTGAAGCCGCCAAATATCTCATCCAAGTTCAGAGCGAAAAGGGATTTGGTGACCGTTGGACTCTGGCGCCGACGATGATTTTTCACGATTTTGGTACCCGCCTTTCCGTTCGATCAAACTGCGATAATCCTGCCTAAATCGGACGGGTTATAAAAAGCAAAGTGGCGAGAGGGACCCGTCGTCCTCCGATTTTTGTAATCCTTTCCGTCCAAATGTTCATGAGAGGGCAATACCATCTCCTGTCTGCGTAATCGCATCATTTTCCTTTGGTTTTTCTAGGTGAAATGGCTCGGCTCCTCGCTTCGTTTCTCGCCATCTCTGCAGTCGGAATCTCGTCGATCGCAGCTCAGAACCGAGAGAAGGCGTGTGATAAGGCTGTCAACCTGGGAGTCACCTTCTACACCTCCTCCGAATTAGTGCCTGTACGCGAGAGAGAAAAAGCTGGCTGATAGAATGTTTCCAGATCCTTTCTTGTGCCGAGACTGCCTGGTACAACAACCCGAATGACACTGCTACTATCATTTCCAGTAAACTCGCCGCACCTACTTTATATCACCTAACAGCTTGTATTTGAGATGGAAAGACGTGTGTGATCAACAACAGTATGAGCAAGGCCCTTTCGGCACTTTCCCTCTACAACGGATGTGAGTTCATCTGAAGCTCCACTCATCCACCGTATCCCTCTTTCAGTCAACGGTTGCACGGACCTGATGACTCTCCTTGACAAGATGACCAATCCGTTTTTGAATCAGTGCAAGCAAGTCATCAACAAAGCGACAAAAGTGTTGAATAGCTGCAAGACGACGAACACGAAGACAGGAACGGCGAAGCAGAATGCGTGCATGAATCAAGTGTACGGACAGTGCATCGCCATGGTCACCAAGGCGTTCGTCAACAAAGTGTGCACCGCCCTTGCCGGAGTTTGTTATCGTATCCCCACCTGTCGTCTGAAATTGTAAGCTTCCAGAAAATGTCTGCGACGCAGTGGAACTGCTGCAAGACCTACGCTCCGAAGGTGGTCAACGTGAAACTCTACGACTGCTACAACATTGTGAAGACCTGAATTGGACTGATATTGAAGTGTATACGGTTTATAGAGAGAAAAACAATAAATTGTTTGGTGAAAAAAATATTATTACTCAACATTACGAAAAGGTCCGAGAACGGTATGCTGGCACGGGCCGGCAAAGTCCACGGGGAACTTGTGAAGCTGTAACTTCCCACAGAAACCTTACATTTACCTCTGACCTGGCTCAATTTGAAGAACAGAATACAATTTAACTTTTATTTCAAAAAGCAGAGATCTCTATGATCGATTCATGGAGATATATTGAAAAAACCGCTAGTCGCATGTAAGTAAGTAAGTTTTGAACCATACGTGGCAGGAGAATACTTTCAAGATTCATGCATAAAACTCCGGTGGAATAACGTGGACCTACTCAAATCACGGGAACCTATAGGACGATAGTTTGCAATTTTCTTACAGGTAACTCTAATAAAGTATGTAAGAGGCATCACAAGTGTCTTCAAACGTTTCCTTCAAACTATCTTCTACAAATTATAACACAAAACGGTTCGGAACCATTTCGAGCTGGTCGAGACAAACCAGTCCCTACTTTCATGAGCCTGCGGAGCTCACACTTCCTGTCCACATCCCGGTGACATTTAAAAATTGATGATTGAACATTTGAAACCTGTGATTTGTTCTTTTAACCGTCGTCAAATCGAATCTGTTTTTGTAATCCGGCGCAAATGAACTGTGCACAAAAATCGTCGAATATAAAAGGAGCGATGAATCGGAAACAGTCATAGTTCTCCTTTCGGAGTACGATATCATGCACTATCTCTTTTCATTTTTCATCGGACTTTTTCTCGGCGGCACGGTAGTCGCCAACCGAGCTGCCGTGTGCACGAAGGCCGTCAATTTGGGAGTGACATTCTACACGGCAAAGGAGTTGGAGCCGGTGAGTAGGATTGCTGTATTTGAAAAAAGAAAGTGATAGTAGAAGGATTCAGATTCTGGCATGTGCTGAGGTTCCGTTCTACAATAATCCTAATGACACCGATACTATCATTTCAAGTAAGCCTATCTGTAGTACCGTTTATTGAAAGCAATGTATCTCAGTTTTATGTAGAGATATTGTAAAGTTGTCATCTGAAAAATGTACCTGATTCTTCAATGAGTGATCAATTAGTTGACAACTTTTCGATATCTCTACGGGCACCTGAGATACATCGTCCAGAATAAACGGCATTGGGGAGTCTGCTTTAGTTTGTACGGTAAAGTAAGATTTCAGATGGAAAGACGTGTGTGATCAACAACAGTATGAACAAGGCTCTTTCGGCGCTCTCTCTTTACAATGGATGTGAGTTTTCGTAGCTTCAGAAGAAACTTCTCGACCTAGTTGTCTTCAGTCAACGACTGCACGGACCTGATGGCTCTCATCGACAAGCTCACGAAACCATTCATAAACCAGTGCAAACCGGTCATCAACAAAGCGTTGAACGTGCTGAACAAGTGCAAAACGAACAATCAGAAGACGGGAACGGCGAAGCAGAATGCGTGCATGAACCAGGTGTACACAAATTGCATGGCGATGGTCACCAAGCAATTCGTGAACAAAGTGTGCACTGCCATGTCGAAGGTCGGTTCTTGAACTGTTCCGAACGAGCTCTGATTGTACTTTCTCAGAAAATGAGTGCCAAGGAATGGAATTGCGGAAAGCAGTACGCTCCGAAAGTGGTCAACGTGCAAATGTACGAGTGCTACAATATTGTCAAGTAAAAACTTATACAATAAACACTTTCTCAGTTGAACTTTCTCGTGCGTGTGCAAACAAAAGCAACTTAGTGATCGGGATCAAATCCGAATCGAGCAGACGCACAGACCGATCAGTACAAAGTACGCGCCTGCAGCTTTTTGTGCCGTAGCCGCATCCATCCCATAGTAAAGAGTGTTGCGATGCTCTAGACCCCCACCCGAAACCTTTTTTTCATGCTCAGGATGGCAATCAATTGCCCCCCTCCTCATTGCGAGGCTCTTCGTGTCAAAATCGGTTCTCGCGGAGCCCGCGCATGTCAAAACTGTCGTCGTCGTGTGGTGCTCCCACAACAGCCAAAACACTGCTCTCCCGGCTCTCCGTTTTTGTGTCATTGTTTGGATTGGTCAGCCGAGGCAAGAAAGAGGAGGTCCTTCTTCTCCTCCTCGCCACTCTTATCAATTCGGCTTCCAACATTGGTTCCAATTACCCCCCTGCTTCGTACATTGGTTACTGTCCCAGCGAGGTTTCCCTTTATCTTCTTCTTTCCGCTTCCTTCTTTTGTACTCTCCTCGCTTCTTCTAGATGCGCACCGATGTGGGTTCGATTCCTCTGATGTGTCTTCTGTCGACACTCACTTCCAGTGTGCTCGGCTACCTTCCGACTGAGGATCTCACGAATGCAATCATTCCGGGAGGTGGTTTCCCGCCCGGAGAGACTATTATTCCGACGGACGGCGAAGAAGAAGGCGAGTTTTTAGAAAGTTCATTCCCACTTCAACTAGATTTCAGGTTCACCCGACGAAGACACGGATTCCGATGGGAACGAGTCGATCTACCGTAAGAAAGTGTCGACATTCCGCCGTCGGAACATAAATGCTCCGTTCGGCGGCCGTGTTCCCTTCTCCCGAATGGCCTACAAAGCTGGTTACGGATCGAACCGCATCGGATTCTCACGGAACGCCGGAACTCCTCAGCAATTGGGAGGCTACTACGGAGAGCGGAATCCGTACGGAACCGTCAACATCGGCGGATCTTCGTTCCCTCCGCACGTCGTTCCCGATGAGTACAATATGCGTCCGTCGGCGCCGTTCTCCGGTTTGATTGGCGGAAGTCGTTCGGGCTATTATGGGAGTACTGTCGGAATGAGAAGGGGCGGGGCCAGTGCGATGAGCTCGCGGAAACCAAAAATGCCGTCGACCGAGTACCCACGTGAGTCGTTTCGTTTCTTCTCCGATTCATTTCCCTCTTCAGCCGACTATGCTTCCAATGATCTGATGAACAGCTTCAACGGCGGCGGCGGAAACTCTCCTATTCCGTCTCTTCGGGAACTTGCCACGTATGCTTCTCGGTATGGTCCTGCTTACCTTCGAGAAAGGTTTGGTGCCCACGAGTCTGGAATGGAAAGAATGCCGTACGGTGGTCCCCAAGTGCCGCCACGTGGAGGTGGAATCCCGATCGACTTCAACATGAACATTGCCTCCAATCATTGGAATGGAGCAAAGGGCATCGGATCTCCGATCGGAATCATGTCGCGCGATGTGGATTCCTATCAGCACGACGACGCGACCAAAGCAAACAGCGGTAAAAAGACGGGAAGATCAACAACTACCGGCTCGCCGGAAACGAGCAGCACCACTTCGTCGAAGCCGAAGAAAGCGCGAAAACCGGCAAAGAAAGCATCAAGTTCTACTACAACTACGACAACAACGTCAAAACCTGAGAAGAAAACGAACAAGAAGAGCGCTTAGAAAATGAGCTTATTCAATCAAAACATACAATTGTACATCTCTATCTGCCAAGCATACATCTATTTTAAAATTTATGAGCCACATTTACCAAATAAACTAATTCATCAAGTATTGAGGAATTTCGTTCAGTCTATACATAGGGGGCGCAAAGGAGGGGGCGTGGCCTGACGAATTTTCTCTTGATTTCCGCGCGCGCATGTTTGAGGACCTGTACCGAGGTCCCCAGACCAAGTACCATACTCGTAATGTTTTACTTTATGTAATCGACCATGCTGAATCTAATGAACAACTCCGTTTCCCACGAAAACGCACCATTTTTCTCAAAAAAAAGGCGAAAACGAGAATGGAAGTCAGTCTGAGAGCCCGTGTGGCCACATTTATGGCTACACGCGCCTACTTTCAAGTGATTCTAACAGTTTAAGGGATGGGGAATCCGTTTTTTTAAGTCAGAATCAGACAATCTAGTTTCCGATTTTTTTACAGGTCCTCAAACTGGCACAAAAAAATTGTGAAAAAAATTTTTCAGCGATGACCATACTTTTTTTATGTTTGGAATCCATAGATAAACTCTCTGAGAACCCAAATACAAATTTTTCAGAGCTCTAGACAGTCTAGGACCAGATTTGTGTTCATTTTAGTAGAGCCAGTTTGGCCGAAATTGTAGTTTTTTTGGGGGTTTTGAGGGTCACAGGTACCTTACACGCGGCTAATTTTTCCCAAAAATCGGATTCAGCATCAAATTTCCGACCGATCCATGTCGAACTTTTTCCATCTATCTAGTTTCCGTTTTTTTGAAAAAGTGACTGTAAAAGTGTAACAGTTTTTGGATTTGAGCACGCAAAAAAACACTAATTTGACACCAAGAAGTGGACCGCGCGCAGCCAGCTTTTCTATGACATTGGCGGCCGGCGCGCCTTCGCCCGGCTGGCGCAGTGGGAAAGTGCTCACTCGGCAATCTAAAGGTGCCGGGTTCGAAAATTTTGACCTCGAAAGTTATTTTGCTTTCTTAGAACATCATTTCTGTTCATTCAAAATGTTGACTCTTTGGTTTGGACCACCAGACAAGGATAAAAAACGCGTGCGGCAAACTTGCTAGTGAGACTCCGCCCCCTCCTCGGCCGCCGACCTGAGAGAAAACAGGGCGACTTTGGAGTGGTGTAACTCGGGATGTACCGAAAATTTTCGAAAAAAAAATTGGGAGCGTACTCATATAGAGTAGGGGAACACATTACAACAAGAATTTTATAGAAATTCCGAGTTTCGTGAAACCCGTTGCGGTACCTATCTATACACTCTTTATAACTTTATCCGACAGTAGAAACTGACGGATTGGATGCTTATATTACTAGTACAAACAAGAAAAATACAAAACCGGTCGATTGATTAGGGAAGCGAAACAAGAGGTTCAGAAGAGTAAGCACCAATGGGGACGACGAGTACGAATTCGGTTGTCGATTTGAAAAGGCGACGAAAGAAAGTTCGTACAATGAGGGGAATGTATTTGCGAGATCTTTATACTTTCTAGATGGTTGGGGTGGTTGGAGATGTTCCGCTCGTCGGAGATCCAGCAGTAGCAGCCGGTGGCGACGATCCGGCAGAAGTTTTTTCTTTGACTGGAGCCGGATCCTTCGCTGGGAGACAGATGCGCGGTTTGACAGTCGAAGAAGTACGAGCCGACGAGTCCTTGTGCACTTCGTATCTAAACAAAACTATTTATAAAAGAAACAATTAAGTAGGACTTTACCTCAGAATCTCACTGTCCGGAATGCTCAGCTTCTGCTTGAGAACTTGTCCAATACGAAGATTGACATCATCGCGAGTGGCGTCACGGGTCCACAACGAAACCTTGTCACCCTTTTGACGAACATTGACGACGGCTCCGCAGATGTAGTCTCCGTACTCGTCGAATTGCTCTCCAACAATAGCCATCAAGAGCTCGAGCCAATAATGATCGAGCAACTGAGTTCTTCTCTGAAGCTTCTAGGGATTAATGTAATGAAAAACTGCTCAATGACCAACTTGTTTATCGACAACGACGAGCCAGCGCCCACCCTGAACATTGTTCACATCCTCCCACATCGGCTTGATTCCCTCCTTGAAGAGGTAGTAGTCTGATCCCCAGTTCAATCCACCAGCCGATTGTATGTGGTTGTAGAGCGACCAGAAGTCCTCAACGGTATCGAAAAGCGAAACCATCTAGAAATACATTATTACTTCGCAATGCCAGTTTCAAACCTTCAGACAGTCCTCCCATTCCTTGTTGCGATCAGCTTTCAAGTACCACAAAGCCCATCGGTTTTGCAGTGGGTGCCGGGTAAGAAGCTCTTGCGGGATGGACGTTTCCGTCAGCCCATCTCCAGAAGACGTCTGAAATCAAACGGATAGAATGGAAACGGGTTTTCGACGATTTCTTACCACAGTATTGTTCTCGACAATCGAAGTCGTCATTTTGCTGCAAATATTACGATTTCTGGCGAAAAATCGATAAGAAGTGAGTTTTCGAAGAACAATTAACCAAAACTGAAGCCATTATTATGAAAACAACGCGAAAAACAGAGCAGAGAATCGTCGAAAGCAGCCAGGCCCCAAGCTCGAAATTCAAACAGTGAGACACAAGTAAAGCGAGTGCTACCGTACTTCGGGCGTGGCGTGATATCGTGCCGCAGAAAAAGCGTCTCCCTTTAAACGCCAAGCAGACCGACTTGGCAGTTTTGCTCCAGTCACCTCGTCAGATTGCTGCAATTCTGCTAAAAATTTTCTGAAATTCTAATAAATTAATTTCATAATCTTTCTGGCATTCTGCAGACAACAGAGAAATTTCCGTCAAACTAAGAGCTCCTAAGCTAATGAACAATATTTTGCAGAAATCAATTTCAGGGTTTTCAAACTTTTCGACAGATTTTTCGACTTTCCAGGTTTTATTTAGCCGGGTCCAGAAAGCGGTTGCGCAACAAACCATTCCATCGGATATTTTTCTAGTCTAGCTTCAATTCGTGTGCAACTCCATTGTTTACAGTTGAGGGCTCTGCTCAATTTCTTCAATTTATCCACGAGTGCTTCTCCTCCTTCTCCGCCATCATCGTCAGGAATTCATGAGCCGTCTCGGTGTCTCCCCTTGCCGCTCTCCACACGCGGCTCTCGCAGGAGCAGGCAGCAGCAGCAGCACAGCACAACGGCCTCCACAACATGCACATATAAATATATCGGGGTGGGGCGCCTTGCCCCTCTTTCTCCGGTTTCTCTCTATGTGCCGTCTCTCGCCTTGTTTTCCCTGCCCATCGCCCCGTAAAAAGGAGGCGAGAGAGTTCTCCGAATCGCAGAGACTCAGCCTGCATTGCCCGAGGCGCCATTTGTCTAACCGCCTGCGTCTCGTCAATGTCACCCATCTCTCGACGTCGCGGCCCCCGACGTCGTCGTCGACGACTTCTTCAGGCCCTCCTCCTCTCTATACACCCTGACCACATCGATTTTGCTTGGCGTGGGGCATTGGCCTGGCGGCGGCGGTGGCTTCGTCGTTTTTTTTGTGTTGGCGCGGTGCTGCTACTACAGCTCATCTGCGTCTCGTATGCCCCCCGTCCGTCATAATTACCACGTCGTCCACGTAGTCTGCAACGCGCCACGCCCTCTTCGCATTCCCCTGACAACAGATGTCATGTCATCGAGGCGCCCGGCCCCTGGGACGAATGTATTAAGTTTTCGAGCCGGTTTCTTGTTTTGTCTGCTTCCTTTTTTTTCGAATGCGAGCGTGTTTGGCTCGTGCTTAGTTCATTTTAAGATTATAGACCTCTGATCATTTCTTGACCTATTCCCTTTGACCTTTTTGTCGCCGCACAAAAAGTTTATTTCTTCCTTTCGGATTCGAAGTTTTTCCGCGGAAAATGAAAAAATTTAAATCGGAAGACCGCAAGTGTTTATGTTTATCCGCGGCGGGATTTGAGTGCAATAACAAAAAAATGAGTAACTAGGGATTCCGGAGAAGAGAACCGGAGCACACCAAAATAGGATTCGAAAAAAAACGTTTGAAGGTCGAGATTTCGATAATGATTATGAGAAAACAGAGTACTTTAGATGTATCCGAAAATATCGTACAATCACAGTCAGAAGAACTGTGAGTACACTTGCGATTCGATTACTGTATGCTCACTTTTTTGTAGTTAAAGACCAGAACAGAACACAATTTCGATTTATTTTTGTTCGGGGAAAGAACACTTCACAGATTGGCTTTCGATTCGGTGCTCTTTCTCCTTCTTCCCTTTCTCAGGGGCTCCCGGACCCTCTTCTCTTCTGTGCGTGTGCAATACGTTATTGAATTATGCCTGTCAGAGCAGCGACACGACTAGTAGTCGACTCGAAAAGAAGAAGAACCCCCCTCACACTTCTCAGCCTTTCTTTGCTCATTTCCCCAAAGATTTTCAGCTTTGTATAAATATGTGAAACTCTTCTCGTGTTTTCTTTTCCCTCCGCGTCTAGAATAACAGATTTAGCAGTCGTTTTCCGTCGTTTTCCGTTTCGCTAAAACTTTTTTTGGGGGGCAAAGTGGTTCGAGAGACGACGATCTTATGCGCATCGGCATTGTGTTCTGCCAAGGAAATTGGTTTGTCTGCGTCGCCACGTCTTCGCCCGCTCTCTTCCACTTTTCTAGAGATGGAGACCCGTGATAGGGGACCGGATGATCACACTCTGATTGGATGGTAAATAGGCACAAATGTTCAAGTCGATACCTCCTCCTCCTCCTCCTTTTTCTCCGCCACGTTTTGTTGTTTTGTATGAAAGCGGATTAGTGCTGGCCGGTGGTACTTTTGAAGTGATTCGCATTACGGACAATGCATTCTAATCAACCAGACATGTGCATTGGCCCGTTTCGCTCATGCACAACTTGATTGCATCGTGAGAAGTAAATTGGAAGTGGGGCCAATTTTTAGGGGAAGTTTTCCATCACTTACAGTAGGTTTTGTTTGGAGAATGCATCCTCTAGACTTTTCGCATTTCGCAATTAAGCACTAACTTTATGGCTGGGTTTCCTTACGCGCCCTAAAAATTTCAATATTGGATTCTGGAGCCAAACGCGCTTCGCTTACCATTTCCAGCGGTTGCGTGATTCATAGAAACTTGACATTTTCCACTTTCTCTGTTCATTCTTCAATCTTGTTATCTGCAGACTCTTACGGCACAAAATTCCGGCAAGCTTCCTATTTTCCCGTAAATCGACACGATTTTTTCGTTTTTCTCTTTTTGCAGCGAAAACCACAGAAGTTTCCAAGAAATACAAAAACTAGGAATACAACATGAAAATTCAACGTTTCATGATTGAATAGTTTAGAAATACAAAAAGTTTGACAAGATTCTCGATCGCTGTTCTTCGGCTCTCTGTGTCGATTTACGCGGGGTGCGAAAATCTTTATTTTCCGAGTTTCCGCTAGAATTAACAGATTTTCGAAGAAATCATTACTTTATGGGTTTTCGCTTGACCAATAGATAAATTTCAGACTCAGTTTTCTTTTTAATGACACTTCATTTTAAATGAAAGTTTTTGAAACTTGTTTTTGCGAAAAGCCCGGCATTTTCGGCTCCAATCTACAGACTTTCGTTGAAAAATGAAAAATTCGCAAAGATTTACGGTAGCGCGTGTCGTAAAAGTCCATCCAAAAATGAACACGGAATGATTGCGGTACTCGTGAAAGTTCGATGGAGTGAACTTGCCATTTCCCGAAGAATCCCCGGAATGCGTGCCGCAATCCATTATCATTTGGCGAAAAAAAGCGGGGGAAACTAGGAAGACCACACGTTTTATGTTCCAATAAAACATGGCCGAAATCTGTCTCGGCCCGTCGTCGAGTGCTCTTCCTTCTTCTCCTTCTTCTTCTTCCTTCATCATGCCGCCAGCTAACGCCTCTCGCTTTCTTTTTTTGCGTTTTTTTGTGTGCGGCCGCATTTCTTACATTTTTAACGGCCTCTGATCCACCGCACCACTGGAATCGTCGTCATATCGCCGAGGCGTCGGCCGACGAATCTAACACATTTCGGGCCGCCTGTTTATTTCTTTTTCCGATCGAGTCGGCTCTGACTCATTCTTCCTCTTCTTCTTTTTCATTTTGCAAAGAATATAAAAGAGAAGAACAAAATGGAAATGAGAAATTGGGGCGAAACAGGTGAAATACCAACTCATTTCTTTGCATTCCTTTTCAGATAAGATACTCGGAATTGTTTCGGTTAGATTTTCTGACATTATTTTAGGCCGCAACGCCTGAAAGTTTTGGAATTTTTCGAAAAATTTGTCGGAAATCTTCATTTTTCCCATTTTACACCTTTTTTCATTATTGTTTCTTGATTTGTATCGAGAGAAACGGAAAATCTCGTTGTTTTGAAGTTTGTGGCCTAGAATTGGTCCAAAGTGGAAGAGCAACAACAAAAGCTAGTTACGTGATTTCTTCAATTTGAAACTTCCAGAATGTTCTTTACATAACATTCCGCTCCGTTTTTTGCGTTTTTCAAGCTGAACTTTCGACCCCTTTCCCCTTTTGATCTCTGTCAGCACATTCCTTTGCCACGTCATCACCAACAGTACTTGGTTTTCCAACCAATTGGAGTCATTCCTACGTCCCCGTCCGAACCCTCTCTCTCTTTCTCTCTTTCTCTCTCTGTCTCAGCCCATTTTTCGGTTCGATGAAGCCTCTTTCGAAGGCCCTCCATCCATCGCTGCCCCGCTTAATTATTCAGTTAGACTAATGGGGGAATGCCAAGTAATGCACCCAATTCTTCGCCTTTTCTTCTTCTTCTTCTTCTTCTTCTTTTGCTCCTTCTTCTTCTTCTTCTTCTTCTTCATCTCTATCCTAGCCATTTTCAGTTGGCTCAAAGGAAAGAGAGGAAGAGACGCAGACAAAAACGGCCTCTCTCGCCCTCAATTTTATGCTCATTTCCGGCAGAGCTCTCCGGACGGACGACGGAGCAGGCTCCCGGCCCTCTTCTTCTTCTTCTTGCCTTTTTGCGCTCTCTCCCTATAGACATGACATGGGCCTGGACCTCCTTACCTTTTTGTGACATTCGACGGGGGCGTCGCCCCTCTTACCTTTTGTTTTTGTCCGTCTTCAAAGGGACCACTTTCGGAGAGAGCACTCAACTCTAGTGTCCAATTTTGTAGACGTCAAGAAGTCGTTCAACCTGACACCATCTACCGTAATCCTTCTCGTTTTCTCCCAGTGAACATCATCTTCTGCCTCCTGTTTTCTTTCGCCCTGGTATCATCTGACGATCACTAGGCACACACACACATACACACACACACGCTCGTTATCAATCTGCATAACCAGATCACTCCTTTCCTCTCCCTCTCCCTCTCCCGCTCTCTTTTTCTTCCTTTCTGTTCATTCCTTCATTTTAAACTGAACTGTGTCGACGTGCGCTCAAAGTTTTCGGAAAAACCTACCGTAACCTTGCTACTTACCATCAAAATGTTATGATCGACTTCCGTTTCCGCCACTTTTTACTTTAGTTTACGACATGTTTATGGCGATTTGCTTTTAAAAGCCTCCTATCTGCTCTTGTTCTACTTGGGTCCGAAAAAAGTGGGGCGTTTTCGTGTTGACTTTCCGGCTTTTCGGTTGTTCCACCTACTAGAATTTGCTGAGCTTCCTCTTCTTCTTCTTCTTGTTCCCAAATACTTTGACCTCGGTTTACCTTGTTTTCGTTTCATTCTGTCATCCTCAATTCCAGGTGAAATCCCCTCAAATTAGAAACAAATTAGCACGGCACACAAACAAACACAAAAAAGCTTTTAGCAATGTCAATGAGCGCAAAAAAAAACGGATGAAATGAGAAAGAAGAAGAGGAAGAGGCGAGCGAAGTATAGTTTGCATAGTTGTTTGGTTTGGTCTCTGTATTTACGAGAAGTGAGGGAAGAGGAAAAAGGACGAGTCTGTGTTTCGCTCCCATTTGCTCCTTTTCGCCCTCTCTATTTCTCTGAGCTCCGAGCCCATCTCTCTGATCGGATCACGTCTGTCTGAGTGTCTGAAGGTCCTCGGATCGCTGATCGCTTATTTCCTTTTACATTTTCTTGTGATTTCAACAGAGATTGTCACGGAAATCCATGCTTTTCCGCAAAAATTAAAAACTCGCAACATTTTGCGTGCGCGGTAGAGCGCGATTGAGAGGACCTTAGAAAAAACGATTTTTGCATTTTTTTTTAAACTGAGCTTCAAAGATACGTTCCCAACCCCAATTCGTTCCCGAATTTGATTTCGCATCCGAAATCCGAGCCGCGGTGTGCCCCCTTCCGCCTCCCCCGTTTCCACTTCCGACGACGTCATCCCCGCTCCGTCTAATATGTAAATCGTCGGTCTCCTCCTCGCTTTCCCATCTGAAATCTCGTTTGTGTCTCTCTGATAGTTCACAGTATCGTGTCTTATCTCTTCGAAGCACCGCCCCCATTTTCCACTCTTCTCGACGCCACCCGCCCACCTGAATACAAAAACATTCGATTCTTTGCAGCAACAACATCGCTTCTTCAAGACCCGGGCTGGCTCTCTGAGAACATCAGGTTGACGGAGCCAATCAGCAGCAGGGAGAGACGACGGCGCCGTCCGTCTTCTTCCAGCAAGCATGGCGAAGGAGTTCCAGTTCCACTGGAAACCGCCCATCCCGGCTCTTCTCCAGCAGGGCTCGTGCTTCGATCGATACGATGACGTAAGTCTTTTGTGTTTTTGCCGACGGCACGACGAAAAAGAAAAGAAAATAAAATAAAAAGACTGATAACAGCGATTTCGTTTTGCCGATTTCCTTTCGCCTTTAATTGCCCGACAAAGAGGGAAACGGTCATGATCTTTCGGTGCTCTTTCTGTGATTCTAGAGAGCCCCTCGAAATTGCGGGTAATTTGGAGCTCTGTTGGTGGAGAAAAGAACGAAAACGAAACACTCGCACACAAATTAATCCGTTTTTGAGTGATAGAAAGAGCAAAAGATAATGAGAATTGGGGGAAGACAGGCGGCTGCTGACGGCAGGGGCCGTCGCTCGTTGCTCCCGGCCTGATAACGAGAAAAGAAACGTATCGATCGAATCGGTTAGCTTTGTTGTTTGGAGCTGAACGTACACGTGACTAGAGTGAATGAAACTAACTTTGCCAACATCAGAATCTCGAAAAAAAAGCCACGTCATATCTTTTCCCTGACTGATAATTGCATCATCGCATCATACATTCTCCGAAAACGTATACATGACACCGGAAACGGCGGCAGCGATGACGGCAGGGACACACACTTTCGAAACAAACGCATTTTCAGGAGAGCACGTGTCTCGAACTGAACGCCCAGGTGCGCGTCGACGAGTATGGCTTCTTCCTCTACTGGCTCGTCGAGGGAAAAGATGCCGTCGTGCTCGACATGGGCCAGATCTGGGAGGCGCGGCCCGCCGGACTACCCAAAGACGGACGGATAATGTTCGAGCTGGAACAGCGCGGCGCACGAGAGACGATCGAGGAGCGGACGATTTGGGTGACGCACGGGCAGGATCTGGTCAATGTGCAGTCGTTCTTTCTTGTGGCTGACAGTGTGGAAGCGGCGAGGACGTGGAAGACCGGCATCAATGACATTCTGAAAAACTCGAGAATCCGACACGTGTGTCCAACAACACAATTGTTAAAATAGTAAGTGAAGAATAGAAGTTCCAGTTTAAAACTGCAGCTTTCAGTTGGAAATGGCTCACATTGAATGTAAACGAACGACGGAAAATCCCGATCAAACTGATCATCAAGACGTTCTCGTCGGGCAAGCCGGAGAAGATGGTGCAGAAGTGTTTGAACGATCTGGGCCTCGGCGGCGACAAGGTAAGGTCCCTTCTGTTTCGCCTGATTGTCTGTTGTGCTGTGCTCTGGATCTGGATCTGAATCCTTCCTCCTCCTACTTCTCTCTTCCGCTCTCTTCTATCCGTGCACAGCACAGCATGCCCCTAAATAGACGTTCTCTCTCTCTTTTTCGTTCTGTTCTGCATCCCGTGGTGCTCGTCTCTCCGTGTGCAACCTTTCTTTCTAGTACACCCCAGTCAGAGTGATCAACCGGTCGATGGGCAAGAAGTTTCGCAATTTCTACAAGTGCAGCAGAGGCAGGAAACGAAAGGTTTGACATGTTGTTCTTTTGTTGTGACATTTTGATGTATTGCATGGTCGCATTTTCAGATGTCTCCTTTTCGAACTAATGCTGAACTCAACGCGAATTCTTTTCAGGAACGGGAAGAGCTCGATGTCGAGATCTTGACTTTCGAGAAGTTTCTGAGGTTGTACAACAAGATTTGTCCGAGGACAGAGGTACAAGAGCTGTTTGTTAAATTGTAAGTTTCAACCTGTTTTCTTTCCTGTGTAGAGTTCAATTTTGACTAGTTCAGATCTGGCCAAAAAGAGTACCTAACCAAAGACCGTCTCATCAACTTTTTGAACGACGAACAGAGAGATCCACGTCTCAATGAGATTCTTTTCCCGTTCTTCGATCCTCCCCGAACCGGCCAACTCATAGCCAAATACGAGACGGATAACAATTACATTGAAAACGGAAAGATGTCCGGAGACGCGTTCCTTCGCTTTCTGATGTCCGATGAAAACCCGCCGGTGTTCCTGGATCGGATCGAGATGTACATGGACATGGAACAGCCGCTCTGCCATTACTACATCAATAGTTCACACAACACGTACCTGACCGGAAGGCAGTACGGTGGAAAGTCCTCTTCCGAGATCTACCGCCAAGTTCTCCTCAGCGGATGCAGGTGTATTGAATTGGATTGTTGGGACGGCACGGGCGAGAACAAGGGAGAGCCGATCATTACGCACGGAAAGGCCATGTGCACGGACGTCTTCTTCAAAGACGTTCTCTTTCAAATCAGAGACACCGCGTTCGCCCGCTCGGACTTTCCCGTCATTCTCTCGTTCGAAAATCATTGCTCAAAGTCTAATCAATTGAAAATGGCAAAGTATTGCATGGAGATATTCGGGGACATGCTGCTTTCGAAGCCTTTCGATGATAACCCGGTAATTGCCGATTACTTCTAATTTTTCTTATTGATTCGAATTTCAGCTGGAGCCAGGAGTCTCGCTCCCTTCTCCGAATAGACTACGCCGCAAGATTATGATCAAGAACAAAAGGCTGAAGACCGACATTGAAAGGCATCAGCTGGAGCAGTTCTTGAGGGAAGGAAAACTCGACGAGGAGGACGAGCTGAATGAGACGCCCGAGGTGGTTGGAGAGGATTCTGTCTCGCCACGTAAGTGCTTTTCCTTTTCGCATCCGCCATTTCCGATTTCTCTATCTCTTTTTTGTCATCTGTCGGTACTATCTGAACTTTCAACTAATCTAACATTCACAATAATTTCGACTAATGCAATCAAATTTCATAACTGAGTACATGGAAAATTTCAGTTTCATTTATTTACTAACTTCAAGTTCTGTGACGCTTTTTTTATTCGATTTTCGATTCATTTGGGATCGATTTGATTGCCAGCTTTTCGTCCTGCTACCGCTATTAACATCACCGCTTTATCACCCTTCATCCCTTCTAGCAGTCATCTCTTTCCCCTCTCGAACTAATCCGGTCACCCACCAATATTCACAGGCAGCGGTGGAAGTGGCGCCACGGTCGACGGCGCTGGCGCTCCGGACGACGACGACACTTCGGACGACGACGACGATCCGTCGGTGCAGACGTCGTTGAATGTGGTGCGAACCGTGCCTCTCGTTAGTAGTGGCAGCAGCAACAATGGCTCGAACCGTAACTGCTCGGGTCGCAGCTCTCTGGACACGCCCTCTCCGGTTGGCTCGGGCGGCGGCGGCAGTCTGACCGTCCCGGACCGGGGAGGCACTCCCACTGGCGGCTCCGTCTCGACCGCCTCCTCGATCAAGAACGCGGTGCTCGCGAGATCGCCCAACTTCTCGTCGCTTCGACAGAAACTTTCGTTCAAACGAAGACAATCGCCATTAGGTAGGCCCCTTTAGAAAGTGTCCGGAGCATCTTCAGCCGCATGCCTTCTCTCTTTTGCATGCCGTTTTTCTGCGCACACACACGCACCCACCGCTTCTTTTAATTTCCACTAACCAAAGCAATTGTGCCAAAAGAAACAAAAGAAAGTTGTAGGTATCATGCCTTTTCGAATTCTCTCTTTGCTACCGTGAGGAAATGATTTGAAAATGATTGATGTTGTAAATAAGTGATTACATATGTATTGTACCGTCAGAAATTATCAAATTTGCCTCATTTCTCTCTAATGCAACACTATCAAAGCTTCTACTGAAGAAAATGAAAATGCATGAGATGTGCATATCTCACTAAGTCAGAAATTACACAGAGTAAAGTATTTTTGAAAAGGTTTACAATAGGGATGCAGAACAGGCGCAGGCGCCTAAAATCGCCTATTTTGCATCCCTAGTTTACAACTAAAGACAATTCTGCGTAAATCTATTGTGTACTTCTAGTACGTCCATCGTCAGCAATATGCATCATTCTCGGGTCTCGTCGCGACATCTCCTTCTCCTCCTCTCCTCTCCTCTTTCTATTATCTATTCTCTTGCACACACTGTCGTTTTTTGATTGTTTTGCAGCGGGCGATCAACGTGCCCATCCGGAAGTAGAGCCCGTCAGCGCTTCTTCGCCGGCGACGCCTTCGATCTGCGGCCCGCCGCCGTGTGGAACGTCTTCCGCTTCTGCTTCCGCCTCCTCGATCACGATCACGACGACCGGATGTTCGGTGCCTTCTTCGTCTTCTTCCGCAAAGGCGGGCACGCCGGCTGGTAAGGCATCCCTTTCTCCCCCGTATCTAACTGGTTTCTCTTCCCTTCTCCCCCCTTCCTGCAGCTTTTTCTCTTCCTTTTCCCTCCTTTTTTCTCTATATTTTCCGGCTGAACGCGTGCCAATTTATTCATTCCGAGCAGCTTACACTCGTGATTTTTCCATTTTTCGTTTTAACTTAAATCAAACCGAATCGTAGTAGACTGATCATATAAACAACCGGGATCAGAATATAGAATCTATCGCTTCATAATTTTGAATTTTTCAGGTGACATGCCGGTGAAGGAGACAGACGAGGCGCATCCCGAATTGAAGCAGAACTTCATCGCAAAAAACTTGAAAGGATTTGGTTTTTCGAAGAAACAAGTAAGTGGGCGGGGCTTGGAACTCTTCTAAAACATCTCAAGACTCGTCGACATCCTCTTCTTCTCTCTGATTCGACTTGCTTGCGTTTGAAGTGTCTAATTTCTGATTTCTGATTGATCCGATCCGTTGCTAATCTATATCTCCGTAGAATATTTCTCTGTTTTCCGCTTCCGATCCATTCTGATTTCTACTAACTATCACTTTCAGCAGAGTTGATTTTTTTGTCAAGCAAAAAAGAAAACAGAGTAAGAAACGAACGAGAAAGAAACGAAACAAATTCCCACAGCCTGACACCTTGCTAACCGCATCACCAACACCATCGTGCTCCTCGATGATGATGACGATGTCGACGACGTCGGCCACTCAGATGACCACCATCACCATTAACTCGCCGCAACAACAACTGCAGCCGATGGAGCGGTCGCGCAGTGAGAAACGCTCGTTCCGCCAGAAGAAGGGCGTGCTCGGCGACGAATTACACTCCGACTCGGCCGCCCTCATCGATTTCATGCGGACGGCGTCGAGCCGAAAGAAGAAGGTTCGGGAGAGAAAGAGTCCGAGAGAGCGAGTGAGAGCAGAAAATGAATGAGCATGAAGGAATGGAATGATTTGGTGTAGACCACTTTCAGTTTGACATGAGACATGACCAGTCACTAACCGATTTCGTTCCTTTTTTATTGATAGAAATAACGTTCCGGATGAGAGCATTACTTGAGCTCTATCGCTCAAGTTTCACTGTAGCTTGAGCGATGAAGCGTGAAGACGAACATGATAGAATAAGAAAATATCAGTAAGAATCTAAAATTGAGAATCATCAAAAGGTTGTCTTCTCCTTCTCCGTCACCTTTGTGCCTTCTTCTTCTACCGTCCGTCTTCTCAACCACACATTTGTTCCTTCCGGCACGGTTCTGTTCCGCATGCAACAATATTATCAATCAGCGCTTTTTTCCTCTTCCTCTCTATTCTTATTGTTAATCACCAACGTTTCCATTCACACACATCATCCTAATCCAACCTTTTCCAATATTCCTCTCTTCCTTTTTCTCTTTTTTCCATTTTCTAACCTCGAATAACGCTTTTATTCATACTTTACCCCTTTTTTTTTACCTTTCAAAGTGTCCATACTCCCGTATTACCATTGACCGCCGGGCTGCACTAATCCACTCTGTTGGCTCCGAATCGTGGTATGTGAACGCGCTGCATTGTGAATTCACAGTGGAGCTCATTTGCATTGCGATCGGGTCAGACAGTCTGCGTAACCAGTATGTCGATTCACCAATGTTCCCCAGTAACTCCATCGAAATAATCAATGCTTACGGTGTTGTCGTTTATGTTCGAAACCCAACCAGTTTTTGATGATGATCAACTTTATTTTTTCGGATTCCGTTACCCCTTAGAGAATTGACATCAAAAACCGGGGATTCCCGTAGAAATGGCGAGAAGCCCAGTGAGAACAAGTTCACGTTTCAGCCGGTTTTGACGAAAGAAGAGGAGGAACGGATATTCGCCGAGTATCACTACACGGGCGCCACCACCAACATCCATCCGCTGCTCTCTTCGCTCGTCAATTACACGCATCCCGTCAAGTTCTCCGGGTTCGATGTCGCCGAAGGTTCGTGTGCGAGCACGCCCACGCACACATTCATTCAAATTGCTTTCAGCCAACAACCTGCACTTCCACATGTCCTCGTTCTCCGAATCCACCGGCCTCGGGTACCTGAAGCAGTCGGCTCCTGAATTCGTGAACTACAACAAGAGGCAGCCGAGCAGAATATATCCAAAAGGAGCGCGAGTCGATTCGAGTAACTTCTTGCCGCAAATCTTCTGGAATGCGGGATGTCAGATGGTCTCCCTCAACTTCCAAACGCCCGACGTCTACATGCAATTGAACATGGGAAAGTTCGAGTACAACGGAGGCTCCGGGTATCTTCTAAAGCCAGATTTCCTTCGGAGACCCGACAGGACGTTCGATCCATTCTCGGAGAGTCCCGTGGATGGAGTGATTGCAGCGCACTGCAGTGTCCGCGTGATATCTGGACAGTTCCTCTCGGATCGAAAGATCGGCACGTACGTCGAGGTGGAGATGTACGGACTGCCCACAGACACTATCAGGAAGGAGCACAAGACGAAGGTGATCCCCGGAAACGGGTTGAATCCCGTTTACAACGAGGATCCATTTGTGTTCCGGAAAGTAGTGCTGCCCGAGTTGGCAGTGCTCCGGTTCGCCGTTTACGATGAAAACGGAAAACAGCTGGGACAGCGGATCCTTCCGTTGGACGGTCTTCAAGCAGGATACAGGCACATCTCCCTGCGATCCGATACGAATCAGAGCTTCATTCTCTCCCCGGTGCTCTTCGTGCAAATCGTCATCAAGACCTATGTCCCGGATGAGTTGAGCGGTGAGTCGGGAGCGAGAGAGAGAGAGAGAGAGAGAGAGAGAGAGAGAGAGATACAGAGAGAGAGAGAGAGAGATAGAGTGAGAGAGAGAGAGAGAAATAAGAGTAGGGTCGGAATGTGAGAAGTGATGGCTAATTGGGACCGGACAAATATCCTCTTTCCAGGCCTTGTCGATGCGCTTGCCGATCCGAGAGCTTTCCTTTCCGAGCAGAAGAAACGACAAGAAGCACTCGCTCATATGGGAGTTGACGATAGCGATATTCCTGAGGTATTTACATAAAAACTAAAACAAAATAACTACTAGCAAATGATTCTAGGTCCCAAACATGAAAAACGCGGCTCTGCGAAACATGAAACAGCCGCCGAGACAGAACGGATCTTCAGCCGATCTGCTGGCGAACAACTCTGCTCCAGGCACGGCGCGAAGCGAACAGAGCGCAATGTCTTCGAGCACCGTCCGATCGCCCAATGATCAGCCAGTGCCAGTGGCCGTCGATAAGTTCAAGGTGAGTTGGGAGGGCACTTATTGGTTGGCTTGGGACTATCATGAATCGGTTCAAAGACACTTGCCAAACTGACGCGAACCTTCACGCGAAAAGCCACTTCCGCTCCTCCTGGCCATCCGAAAATCGGAATCGGACATCCACCGCCCGGCACGACCGCTCCTAAGCCGACCACTTCTGTCGGGGCGCCAGAACGTCTTCAGGTTACACAGAAAAGAACATTCTAGCCGCCGTTTTACTCTTTTTTTTTCTACGCCCCCCCCCCCTTTAAGCACCCGAACGAATGAAAGACCACTAGTTCCCTTATCACTCTGACTTGTAAATCAAAAACAAACGGACTTTCAGGTGGATCCGATCGAAGTGGACGATTTGCGACGTGACAAAGCGTTCGGGAAACTGCTCAAAAAGTTCCAGAAGGATTTGGATGACCTACGAAAGAAGCATCAAAAACAGAGGGACAGCATCCAGAAGCAGCAGGTAATCCCCGTCGGCCCGTTTCCCTCAATTCGCTTACCCCCACCCCCACTAACTCTCCTTTGTCAGCTTTTGGCAGAAATTAATGAAATAGAACCAACTAGACACTTCCCATTATAATGTTTATTTAGCCGGCACGTCGCCGTAACTCGTCTATAGCCTGGATCGTAAGTTTATGGTGTTCCGATTCAAATAAAGAAAACGAATTTAAAACAATTCAATGTCTCCGTTGTGCTCGGAAGTATCTGCCCATTAAATGTGAACTTCTTCTGGGCCCCTCAATCCGTCTTCGATTTGGTTAATCAGCTTGAAGGAGATCTTCTTACTATTCTTCATCTTCTTCATTAGTTTTCCGCTTACTTTGAGTTTCTTTTCCACCCGTCTCCAGTCCGTCCCATCTTGAGATTGTCCGTCCGTTCGTCCGAAGTGGAATCTGCTTTGTGTGCCACTGCTAACCGGAGTTCCAAAGCAAACGAGCCCTTCTCTCTTCTGTCCATGTCCCTCTAATTCTGTTGCAGTCAGTCAGCTTACATCGGGTTCCCTTCTCATGTGTCTCCTCCTTCCTTCCAATCCTGCATGACTTTCAGCAAACAAACGTCGACAAACTAATCACAAACAATCGGAGATCGACGAAGAAAGAGAAAGGATCGAGGAGGTCGCTGACGGCTTCGGTGTCCAGCGGATGCGGCAGTTCCGCCGGCGGGACCGTCACCACTTCGACAGGCGTCAGCAGCGGAGCCGGTGGCAGCGGCTCCGGTGCTCCGTCGACTCCTGGAGCATGCAATTCCGACGGAACCGGCTCACCGGCCACCACTGGAAGCCCCGTTCCGCAGGATTTAATTAACAATGACCGAGTGCGTTCGATTAACTTTTAAAACCCAGTGAACCTTCGAACCTTCCTGAAACTTTTCTGGTTTTTAGGTCCGTTCTCTTGTGAACACTCAAACTGGCGAGTGGTCCGCGATGGTTCGAAGACATGACGAAGAGGAGTTCGAGCTGAAGAAGGGGCAGCTCAAAGAGCAATTCGATTTGCTCAAGTGAGCATTTCTCTCTTCTTTTCCTATTCGAACATAACAAGTTTACAGAAAGCTGATGACCGAAGCGCAGAAGAATCAGATGCAAGCGTTGAAATTGCGACTTGAGGCCGAAGGGAAGGATCTGAAGCAGTCGCAGACGAAGAAGAGTATGGAGGACGCGAAGGTCATTCAATTGGTAAACGATCCAGAAGATCCTGTTAATACATTAGCAATTCAGGACAAGGGCATAAAGACGAAAGCGGAACGAGACCGTCGTGTCAAAGAATTGAACGAGAAAAATCTGAAAATGTTTGTGGAGGAGAGAAGGCGATTGGCGATGAAGTAAGGATACAAAGCTAGAGAATCCATACAAATTCACACTTTCAGAGCTCAAAAGCACGAAGAGCAGCTCACGAAACGGCACCTCGATCAGTTAGAGCAGCTGGAGAAGGATTTCCAGAAGGCGTTGGAAGTTGAAGTGGCCAACTATCGCGAGGAGCAACTCGCTGCTCAGCCCACTTCCGTCGTCTGATTCAGTCCCTCCCATCCAGCCCATTCCCCGGTTATCATCTCGGTCATTTTCCTGTACATTCCTTCTTGTTTTCACCAAAACGTGTGCGTAGGCGAAACTGAAATCAACTACAACAACCTCCCCCACTCACTCCACGACCTAACTAGTTTTAAAGCCAAGTGCGCTCCATTGAGAATAGTGCGATGGAACGTGTTTGCATTGGTAGAGCCAAAATTTAAAATTGAGAAACAAAAACAAATTGAAATGCTTAATTATTTCCAAACACACACACACACACTCTCTTCTCCCGATTTCCATTCCTCTCTTCTCTTTGGGTAACTTACTTCTCAACTCCTTTTTCCTCCCCATTAAATACTTTTAAAAGACACACACACATAGATTCGTTTCTTTTTTTGTATTTCACTATTGCCACTATCCCTTCGTGTCCTTTTCCTCCCAAATTCTGGTATCTTTTCCGCTGTTTTTTTAAAGCTTTCTCCACCACAAAATGTTTAATAAATAAGAGTTTTAATTATACTTTTACGTTTTCTCTTCATGAATTCATCCAAAGCAATGAGCCATCACTTGGTGGTTGCTAGTGTCTGAAGATTGGAGTGTGGGCGGGAGAGAGTTTACTCGAAACGTACCCTTCGGCAAGTGCCCGAATCTGTGCAGGAGAAGCCGGCAGGACAGCACGCACTGTGGCCCGGACAGCACGTTCCGCCTGTGAACGGACAGCAACCTCAAATTTTGATATGCTCATAAATTCCAATGACAAAGTTGTTTTTTGCTATGTTGGTAACTGGGGAATACAGCTCCCGGACGCAATTTTATGAGTATGCAATGAACCTGTTATAGAACGGACTCGATTCAAAGCGATGTATATCTCCGTTACCTGTGAAGATGTCAAAAAGTGGAAAACTAATTAAATGTACAAAATTTCATAGTGAAGAACTTTTTGATGTCTTTGCTGATAGCTGAGATGTGTTGTCTTGAACACTGTATTACAGTTTTAACGGTAACTAACTTGCGTCAACTCAAATAGCTAATCTAGTCGAAACAAACACACAAACCATATTGTTCATCTCCAAGTTTACAGCACACTGCATACTCGTCACATTGTGTCGTTCGCTTTTCGTCGCACAAATTCGGTTCCAAAGTGCATTGCGAAAAGTGGATGCACCATAAAGCTTTAACCGTTTTATGAAAGGGAACAAACGAGCGAGAAACGCTTACCGATTAGGACATAAGTAAAACAATAAGATCGCATTATGTGGGAAATCGAGTCGGTGACAAAAAGACAATGCTCATAGTCATCACTGATAAGGGAAAAGGTGTGGGTATAATTAGAGTCCAATCATGCCGTCTCCCCATTTATCGATCGTTTCATTTCGACTTCATGCTCATTTTGCCTCGTGAACTCGGCTGGTTCGTCGGTGAAGAAGAAGTAAGCGGAGAAGTTGGCCTATTAGAAATATTAGAGAACTTTACAGTTTCTTCGTTCTATTCCTACCACTAAAAGAAGCGCAGACATGACGAGAAACGCGTGAGCCCACTGACTACGGTCTTCTTCATCGGATACGGTAATGGCGACGACGGCAGGCACGAAGAACAGTGCGAGACACTTGCAGAACTGGATGGCAGCGATGACGACGTCGGCAAACTGCTGCGACACGTGTCTGAGACAAAAAAGTTTGAAATGTTCAAGAAAAATACTTCTGGAGCCTACCTTCCACATTGATAGAATCCTGCACAATTCGTGGACATGAGACAGTTGATTACGGCCAAAAGGACCAGGGCAAGCCATGATTTCTCTTTGGGAATGAAGCCGAATCCTCCGAACAGAATGGATACGATTCCGCAGGAAATGGTGTTGAAGATTAGCATTTTGGTTTTTGGATTGATAAATCTGGAAGATCTACTCAGCCTCGTTGCAAAAATAGGCATCCTTACGTTATTCTGTCACTGATGAAAGCGGCGCCGAACTTGAACGGAAGCTGTGCAAAGTTGGTGATTCCAATGATGACTGCAGTCTTTTCTATCTATAAAACGATGTTGATTTCTCAAAAATGATTTTTTTAATCAATGAAAGCACCGGAAGTTCAAGCACTCCATTCAGATAGATTGGAGAGTACGTGATGATCATAATCGACATGGAAAGATCCATAAATGCATTGAACCAAGTGCAAATGAGAGCACTGTTCGTAACCATTTTCATGTAAGGTATTTCTCTGTAATCTCATATTTCAGTCCACAGTCTAAGATTTACTAACAACCTGTTTGTGGTGAAGTGAGCAGCCGATTTTCCCTTTTGAATGTTGGCGAGTTCTTGAGAAGTGACACTCGAATGAGACAGTGGATCGTCGGAATAAACGATGAGCCAGAGCACGAAACAGGCGGCTCCGGCTATGGAATGAATGTAGAATGAGGCCCTCCAGCCGAGATTTGAGGTGCACAACTGGAAGAAAAGGGATATTGGGAGAAGAATGGATAAAGAAGCGTACAAAGCCAGTGACAGAAGTGGTGATGACGGTGGCAAAGGGCGAGAAGACGGTGAGGACGGAGACGAAGAAGGCCACCTCGTCTTGAGGAGCCCATTTGACACAGATGATCCCGATGACTGCAAAGTCCGCGGCATAGGCGATTCCCTATAACTTCTCGATGTTTACGTTCGAACATTCTCGATACCCACGTGCAAATACTAGGTCATCTACTCATGAATATTCAAATGTTTTCGATCAACCAAACCTGTATCAATCGGATGAACAGCAGCAAGAGGTAGCTGTTTTGGGCGGCCGTCGGAGTGAACGAAGTGGCGACGAGCGAGATGACGCCGGCGGTGAGGAACACGTGGCGGGCACCGTACTTCACGTACATCCAGTTGTACGGAACCGTGCCGAGAATGGTTCCGATCGCAACTGCCCAGATGAGCTGCGCTTTTTCAGTGGAGCTGTAGTCGTAGATCGATCGCAGAGTCTGGAATTTAGTGCAGAGTTAGAGACAGAACGTTTTTGATGTAACCTAAACGTAACAGAAAGACGTAAAAGATATGATACTTTTACCGATATTGTTGTTCTACGCAATGAAACAAACCCCATTGGCGTCTGGAACAGCTCCGTGCATATCATCCTTCATGCAAATGAACGCAAAGTTCATGATGGTGTAATTGGAGAAGATGCTCATCAGACAGAAGAATGCGACGATCATGACGAGAAAACGGTAGTAGGGCAGTTTGGGCAGCAACATTTCGGAAATTGTGACGGCCGGCCGTCCTTTCTCTTCTCCGACCGTCATCGTTGCAAAGATCGGAGAGGTCGAAAGGGGGACGACTTTTGAAGATCGTTGGAGGGATTCGAAAGGGAACTAGATTCGAAGCGATCTATGCTCGGACTGTTTTTTTTGTTTGAAAAACTGTCTCTCTTTCTCTCTCTCTCTCGTGTTGTTTTGTGTAAATAGGCGTACTTATACTCGTTTCAATGATTGCCCAGTTCTGATTTCACCTGATCCAATGACGATGAACTGTGATTTAGTCACATAAACTTTTTAAACGTTTTTTTTTCAATTTGTCATCACAGTTAGACAGGATTAATACAAAATCCGCAGGTGGCAGCGCAAACGAACTCTGAAACGAGCGGCGTTTGCGATGAACACATTCCGTTCGCCGAGTACGTTGAACATCTGAAACAAATAAAGATCATCCAGTTTTTCCGATTCGGCGACTCACTGGCTAGTCGAAAACCGATCTGCACAGTCTGTATCGGCCGTCTTCCCGCACAGATCCATGCTCGCAGCACACATCACTTTCAGCTGTGCCTGGTCGTAAACACTGCATCCCTGATCGATCGCCGATTTCAGAGCGGTGCAAGTGTCCTTATCGGCTGTATCGGCGCAAGTTTCGCGTTCGAGGCCACTGTAAGATATTATTGTTTTCTGTTTGGCTACACACACACACACACACACTCACCATATCGATACGAGAACGAGTACTTAGTGATGTAATATCGGTTGTAAGAGAATACGGGCAAGGGATTCACTTCTGCAGTCAGGATGTCTCCGTTGAACTCGTCACAACAGTAACTGAAATGAAATGAGCCGTCAAGTTCTATCAAGCTCAAACTGGCTACCGTGTCTGAGTGACAGTCTGATCCGTTTTCAGTTTCGGCTCGATTCCATTGAAAGTACATCCGTATCCGCATTGAGTGTTGTAGGTAGAGTCTATTCGAAATTGGATCGACTTTCCGACTGGCGCCTAAACTAGGTAACCAGTTGTATGTTGATGAAGATCCTAGGTTATATTCTAGGCCACGGCCACTATTTAGTGCACGTCCTTCGAGAAATGCAAACCTTGATCCAATAATTGCAATAAACGAAGCTCGCTCTAGCTGTCGCAGAATTCGAAGAGTTTCCAAAAGTGAAATTCTCTTGCTTCCAAGTGTCGGTGGCTGTGAGCACACTTCCACACGTGTAATTGGCCTTCTGAGTGCACAGAGTTCCTCCGAAGCCGTACGGACAGACGCATTCGTTGCACGAGGCCGGGTTCGCATAGCCGCCGTTTCCACAGTTCAACGTTGTGTTGCCTTGAAAATAACCGATAATATGTAGTTTCAGAACAGAACTCACAAGTGCAAGAGTAGTGAATGTTCAACATTTTGACGTCCATGAAAGTGACAATCCGGCCGCCCATCGTGTAAATCATCAACGACTCCTTCGGAACAATCGAATCAACTCCTCCAGTGCTGACGAACGCCCTCCCTCCGTAATGCATGAAACTTCCGTACTCGTACGAGACCAAGTTGGTCGATGTGGCAGTTGTGAACTTTACGAAATTGGATTGATAGGAAGAGGGGACGTCGGTGAGGTCCACAGTCACGTAATCGTCCCGATCGGATCTCATTTGAGAGTGGAACACTCCCAGAGTGTGCGACAACTCGTGAGCTGCTGTTCCGACCTAATTTGATGATGCAATAGGATTCCACGTGGCACTCACACTCACCAGTTCGCATCCGGATCCCAGCGAAAGCGTCTGTTCCCCTCCGAGCATTCCGACACTCGAATAGCATCCGACTCCGTTGATAATCTTCAAATTGTATGATATTGTAAGTATTCAATATTCGGCTCACCTTCACCCGATTCGTGGCCGTACTGTTCTCTTTGAAAGTGATGCAGGTTCTCGTTTCCAAAAACGTCATCGCATCTTTCACAATCTGCTGCATGATTGTACCTGGAATAGTTCACGATGAGAACCATTTGTGAAATTCAAAGAGGCACCTAATCCACTGTCAAAGTAGTAGTAGACAATGTTTTTGGGCCAAAATTTTGCCGAATTCTGAATCTGTCTCTTCTTCCGGGAACTTGTTGAAGTCGAAGTGAGTTCAGATATTTGAGATCTGAAGTTAATCCGATCTTTTTCAGAAGTATGTTTGTTGATACTCACTCGTCCAAATTGATATCTCCCTGGAACAGATAGTCATTCAGTCCGGCCCGCTCGTTCACTTCGAACATATCCAACGCAGGCGCATCTTGTGAAACATTCACTTTTCGGTACGTGTTGTGCAATTTCTTCGACTGACTCTTCGAAATCACCTCCACTTTCATCATATTTCCCATCTTCTTCAACTGCTTTTTCCGTTTCTCCGGCGGTATTCCTCGAAGACTCTAAAGTGACTAAAGCTCTTCAGAAGTGTCCAGTCACTCACGCTCCTCAACCCTTTCCTAGCTGCAATTTTGAGCATGTACACGGGAGGTGAAGGCGGTGGAGGTGGTGCTTCTGTGGTAGTTGTTGTCTTCTTTGAAATTGAAGAAGTGGCAGTTACAGGGTTCGTTACGGTCATTGGAGTATTGTAGTAGAAAGTGAAAGGACTCCATGACCGAAATGAACTCGTAGTCTGATTGGGCCATCGATCGGAGGGAGTCCAACATTGACATCAACCGAAGTCCGCTCTTCCTTGTTCTTTTTTGTCTCAAATGGCCAATTGATCTGCTGATCTCGATCCCTCTCCTCGCTATCGTCCTGAACTTTTTTCCTAAAAGCTCCGCCCACGTCAGCGAACCATTCCGACTTACCCGATCCGCTGTAATCACATTGAGAAATAATAAAGAACCAATAAAATAGTGTAACAAAGACGGCATATAGAGAGTGCGGGAGGCACATCACACCGCTGAATTTGATGAGTCTCTTCAAACGAAACACTTTAATCCGCCCTCACAATTTATCTGTTTTGTTTCCATTTTCCCCCAATTGACCCTGGTGTACATAGTTTCGGTCAATGTAGAACAGAAATCATTTCAGAGTGAGTAACATGAAGAAGCCTGCGCAGCAGTCCTTATCAGTGGAGGGGAAAAGTGAAAGGGGAAGACAAACAAATAAAAAGTTGTGAAACTCACTCCATTTCACTCTATTACATTGCTATAAGTTTCGAAAATGGCTGAAAATGAAGGATTCGTTCACGACGAAATCACCGTCACGCCCGCGAATGATGAAAAGGTTTGTGAAACATAGAAATCTACTTCAAAATATTGAAATGTTTCAGAGAAATGAGAATCAAAGCAGTACCCGGAAGCGGTCTGTGGACATTGGGACTTCAACGACGCAAATCATTATAGAGTGAGTGGAACAACTTGCCTTTTTATAATGAGAATGAATGAAGTTCAGAAGTGAGCCGCCGGTGAGCTCCCGAGACTGCTGGAGCTCCATGTGCGACGTCTTCGGCACCCGACAGTCCGCCTACATAGCCCAGCTCCGACCGATCAGTGCGTATCTTCTGCGGTGTCAGGAAGCGCTCAAGATCTTCCAGTACGAACTGGAAAGAGATATCAAGACGAAACAGACGGCTCTGGCGACTTATCAGCATGTGATGGACTGCGTTATTGAGATCAATCATATTTGTAGTGAGTTTGTTCCACTTGATTTCAATTCAATTGGCCTGATTCCAGTGCATCGTGATCTGAACATCCCTCCCGAAGAGCACACAATGCTCAGATCTGTCGCCTATGAACTGGCTTTGCTGGCTAGAATCATCGAGGAAGTGGCTAACCAAACTGGATCTGAGAAGCCGAGAAGCCGGACGAACTCATTCCAAAGGCTCACAATTTCCGCTCCCGTCAGTTTGTTTTCACTATGCTAACTGTAATGAAGACGTTATTGCAGACAGTGCACACGAGCACGGAAGGCGACGAGACTCGGGACATTGGCTCCGGCGGCAACATTCCGGCAGTGGACGAGGGATCGCTGAAAGAGACTATCTCGAATGTGTTCGATATGATCGAGAACCTCATGAAATACATCGACAAGAAGACGGAACGAAGGTGGTGGCTGCGGGATGTGATCAATTTCACGCAGGCGGCCGTCAAGGTGGCTCTGTTCATCAGCGCCGCCATTTCCGTCGCCTATCACGAGAACCAGATAGCTCCGATCATCACTCTGATCATCACTTGCATTCAGGGAATCACCGAGGGATTCGATCAATACTTTCTGAAGAACAAGTCTCCGGATGACATTCACATTTCGGTTCTCACCAACACAATGAACAATTTGAAAAGTTGAAAGTCCATTAATGTACTGGTTTAGTGAAATAAAGAGTGAAATGATTGAATGCATTGTTTTCCTACTATTCGGGCGCTAATGGCATTCTTCATTTTGGGAGTGGAGAGTGGAGAAAGCGGTCACAATGGATGGACGGTTTGTATAAAGCAACCGAAAGTTATTTAACTTTCTAGTGAAAATAATGAATCGAAAACTCTTTATTTTTCTTCTATTCTCAGTGGTCCACTCACAGTTCATAGGAGGAGGTTGCGGTTGCGGGTGAGTTTGGTTTTCTGATTCTCGCAAAAACTTCACTTCCAGAATCGGTGGATGTGGGTGTGGACAGCCGACGATCATAGTTCACCAGAGCCCACCGCAGTACCTTTCCGCGCCACCGCCTCCTCTTCCGCCACCACCTCCACCACCGGCTCCTGCTCCGATCTATGCTCCTCCGCCGCCACCACTGTATGCTCCGCAGCCGCCGCCACCGTCCATGTATGCTCAGGCACCGCCCGTGTACGTGCAGCCACCGCCGCCTCCTCCGCCACCACCGCAACCATCTTACTATCATCCCATGTTCCCTACTGCCGCTTATTCTGGTATTATGTACGGCTGAACGTGAACCTCTCCGTGCTTGCGTGATTCTTTTTTTGTTTTCACGGATTACCGATTAGTTTGAATAAAACAATCCGATCGGATAAAGACCATTTCTCGAAATCGTTTCCGTTCGTATCGCTTCGTTGATACGAAGTGACTAAAGTGAGTTCGGGCCGCCCGTCCGGGATCCATTAAACACGATCGCAGAAGAACTAGGACAATGCATGGTTTCACAAATGTCCGCACAGAAATGGCCGCGAGCATCGAAATCGACGGAAGTGAAGATCATTTCGAAACTGTCGCCCAAGTGCTCCGCGAAGATTTCGTCGGGCTCCGCGAGCTAGCCGATGTGCAGCTCCGTTTCAAAGATGGATCCGTGCCAGTGCATTCGGCTATGCTCGCCGCGTTCTCTTCGAACTTCGCTCGGAAATTCGTTGGCGGAAAACGCGGAGACGTGGATTTGAGCTTCTTGAACAAGGAAAGTGCGGAGAAGGTTCTGGATTACATCTACAACGGACGGGTAATTGGTTCCGCCGAAACGGGAAGATAATCAGTGATCCAGGTTTCTCTGCGCTACGGATCTCTTCAAAACGATCTAGAAGCGATCGCGTACTTCGGAGTCAGCAAGCTTCAGGAGGACGTTGAGAAAATAATGATTGGGATGGCGAAGCGAGGAAAGTGCGTGGACGTGCTCAACATCGTCACCGCCAACCTCAAATCGGTACTGTCCATACATATCTTCATATCCTTCAAGGACCCGATAAGTTCAGATCCCGCACTCGCCGTCGACAATGCTCGCGGCTTCCGATCAGACCGTCTGTGATTTGGTGGGCCTCCTCCACGACATGTTCGTCACCAACTACCTGCCGTACGAGGAGATTCTGAAGCTCTCCACGAACACGATCGTCACAATGCTTTCGGCGAGAATCGAGGATGACAAGAAGGTTCAGATTATCAACATGGCGCTCAAATGGTTGGTATTTCGAAGGGGTGGGGCCGACCGAAACTATAATATTGTAGGATCTACGAACGTCGTCTCAGCGATCGCAAAGCATCGAACATCTTGCGCGCGCTGACGATCGGATCGTTGACCTACTCGCAGCTCGTTCAGTTCCGCAACTCGCTCATTCAAACGGCGGTGCCCGTGACAATCGGAAGATGCGTTCGTTTGAAGAAGGCGGACGACAACATGGTGACTGACTTCCTTCCGTCACCCCTATTCTCTTCTTTTTCAGTTTGACATTGTCTTCTCTTACGCCGAGAACTCTGGCCATCAGGTGCTCCACAAGTAAGTTCTTCTTGTTCTTCTTGTTCTCTGTAAGTTGGTCCGGTCATGTTCAGACCGCTCACACCGACCACCCACTCGTTCTCCACTGTGCTCACCGATCCGACGATTCGCTTCGCTTCGCCGTCTGTCCCCTCGTCGTCGCACACTCGCTTCGAAGTTCCCACCTCTCGCCTCTCCAATTCGTCCGATTTCGGGTCCGCATGCTCGTTGACACTTTGAGCAATCAGTCTTCGTTTTCAGAATCGATGACTGCTCCACGGCGATGTCGTTCGACAGCGACGATCTGAAACGTCTTGGATACGAAAATCCGGCGAAGAAGTGAACGATTCCATTTTTATGTCCACCGTGTGGAGTGTTATGAGGAAATTTGAATGCTGTGCTCGTTTATTATCATCTTTATTAGGAGCTCTCCGGACGAAATTAACGAGCAAAGTGTAACAGTTGGGATATGCCGAGGGAATATAATAGGAAACAGTTGAGTGATTGCACAAGAATTTGGTTAAATACAGACGAGTATTAGAATTAGAAGCTTGTTAGTACATAAAATGGAGGAACATTTAAAGCAAAACCGTTGAATGAGTTGGATTGAGTACGGCTTCTAGATGAACGGCATTCCCACATAGTTCGGATGCGCGTTGATCGCTTCGGTCAGGCGGCCGACGTCTTGGAGGCACTCGGGGTTGTACATTGGCTGGTTTTGGATGCTGAAAAGAAAACAAATAGATGTTGCCCCTCTTTTCGCTGTTTCTCTTACGCTCTAACAATGTCAGCTGCGTAGAGCGTCTCCTTGGCTCTCTTGGCAGCCAGGTGAGCGTACTGTACGGCGGACGGAAGAGCTGTCGTGGTGGTGGCACGGGCGAACGAGTAGGTCAGCGCGTGAGTCACCGTCGGCCAGAAAGAGACCATCGGAGCCCACGTGTCGTGGAGCACGTAGTAGTGGGTCGGACGCGACGTGCCGAGCATTCCGACTTGCGAGCCGAGGAAGAAGTCGTAGTACTTTTCGGTAGTGATCTTATCTTCCACCAATGTTCCCGGCCGGATGTTGGCGTTGAATTGATTGGTGTCCTTATCCTTGGCAAAGAACTTCGTGTGATGTCTCTTCGACACAACGATATAGGTGAGTGTGGGATTAATGTCGAGTTGCTTGCAAGTCGACTCGATGGCAGTGCGTTCTTCGTAAAGAATCTGCTGGAATTCTCCCTCCGAAATTCCGTCGCGGTAGACGACAATGTGAGCCGGCACCTTTCCTGTGTGCTTCACGAATTCCGAGATGCGAATCGACACCTCGTGCTCCATTCGGATGATCTGTTCACAGCCAGCGTCTTGAAGACGATTGGACGCTCTGAACTGAGTGATGTCCAAATCGATGTTTCCGACGACGGTGGCGACGGACAACGAGTTGATGTCTTTCGGTTCGTGCTCCTTCCCCTGCTGCCACTTTTTAGCCGGTTTGCCGCCTTTCCCGTTCTCGCGGTCCTGAGTCTTGGGATGCGAGACGTCAATGCCGAGGACGAGGGTCGGCGCGTCTGGGTTGGTCAGCATAGTCCACGACTTGTGAGCTCCCTCTCTCTCCAACTTGCGGTGCGTCGTTCCGATCTTGCCGAGAATCTTCTCCACGATGTGGCACGTGAACGGACAAATTGTTATATCCGACTAAAAAAAGAAAGTAAGCGAAATTGAAATGAATCGAGAGAGCGCTCACCATAACACGATTGAAGTTGCAGACCAACATGCCTTGGGTAATGATGCCCGCTTTGTTGTCCATCAGGAACTTGATCAGATCTGGAATAACTCAATATTTACATTCGCCCGATCAGAGTCGGTTCGCTTACTGTAGTCATTGTACGTCTCGTTGCCTTCGTACACCGCGGCTCGTTCACGGAAGAGCAAGAAGAAGAGCGGCACAATAACGAATCCGTCCCCTTCTGTTGCGTATTCGCGATTTGCCGTAGCGGCAATATTTAGAACTGATTTGAAGAGATCTTGTGGCGTGTCGTAGTTTTGATTGTAATGAATGAGACTCAAAATTGCCGGGACACCAGACTCTTCTTCGGCCCAAACAATTGGCTGTCCGCTTTTAGCCAGTGCACGCATCAGATGGGCGTATGATTCACTGTAACAGAGACAACTTGATCGGACCCTTGACAGAAAACACTTACTGGTTGAACTCCAACTCTCTCATGTTAGTTCGCGGGCTCTCGATCGCGATGATCGATCCGATTACCTTCTTCGTGAGCTGACCTCCAGGAGCCAGGATTCCATCGGGGAGCACGGTGCGAACGGGCTCATTGCGGATGGCCTCCCAAACGCCGGTGCGCTTCTCATCGTGAACCGTGCTGTTTCCGTAGATGATCGTCGGAGCCGGAAGCACCGTCGCCTTCACCTCGAGCATCTCGGGCTCAATGTTGACTTCGTAGCACTTCATTTGCGTGTCATTGCTGTCGACAACGGGATCCGTTCGAGCGAGAGGGGCCTGGCCGATGACGTGTTGGAGCAGCATTCTTCTCTGTTTCGGAGTGTACGTCGTGAATCGGATCATATCGGCGCGGAACGACTCTGGAGAAAATCCCTGGTATCTGGTCGGGTTGACAATGTAGGAGCACAACTCCATAGGGAAAAGGATTCGCTTGATCTTAGAATTCTGGCTCGGCTTCTTCATCACGCATGGAAGATGTGGATAGCGGAGAATATACTGATAGCTGTCCTTAAAGTACGTGGCAATGTCCGTATAATGCACGGCGTTGTTCTTATCCACCCACTCGAATTTTTCTTCAAGAGCAGAATCAGCGAGTTCGTAGAACTTGAATTGTCTCGATCCGTTCCTTTCGCCGTCCTGATTGGGTCTCATTGCCGCGTCCATAGACATTGCAGGGCTCACGGAGAAATGGAGAGTCATGCCGTGGAGAATTCTTTGCATCACACTTTTGTTATTCTCATCAGGACGCGCGTTTCTGATGTACTCGTCGTATTTCTCCTCGTACTCTTCGTCTGTGATCGGCTCAGCCGCGCAGAGCTCGACCAACAGTCTGACGAGAGGGTATCCTGGTCTCGTGAAGACGGAATGGTTGACTGAAAACATATTCGATCTCGAAGCGATCGACATTGTGCCAACTTACTGTCAAAGCAAGCGGTCATTCCGGCGCGGAGATTCATGCGGAAGGCAATCGAAAATCCGACTTTCGCGTCGGTTCCCCATTTGATCGGATGATAGAGGGGCACGTCGGGCATAGAACCCTCTGTGGCGCACGACTTAACCAAGAAGGTGAGATGCTTGAACACTGAGTATCTCGTTCCTTCGTGTCTGAAGCAAAAATCATATATGATTCATATTTATAGATTCCATTTGAACCAGAAAACCAAGTAAACTCACGTCGTCTGACGGACTCGTGCAGTTGCGATCGCATCTGTGATCGTGCACATCATCGAAGTGTCGGTGGAGGCATTCGGACCCACTCCGAACATGAAATAGCTGGTGAACTTCAAAACCATCGCAAAGTCTCTTGTACTTCTTGATAGACCATTGTATGTCTGAACAGCGTCGTTGCCGCCGATCTGTCCGCGAGACCAGAGCTGGTTAACGTCGTTGAAGATAATTTTGCCCCTGTGCGGTAAACTGCTCTTATGCTCTTCATAAAGAATCCAGAAGATCGGCGCTGCTTCCTCTCTTTTTTGAATGTGATTTCTTCTATTGTAGATTTCGACGTTGTAGCTGTACAACTTGATCGGTTCCGCTGGCAGCATCACGAGGGCGTGGTTGGTGACCAGATCAATTTTGTCGCCGAGCTTCATCTCAGAAATCATTCTGGCCGGGCGCTTTGCGAACTCCTGCGTGTTGAACGGGAGTTGATCTGTCGAAATTGGCGCATTCGGGTTGTAGGCAGAGCCGGCCGGAGCAGAGCGGTCAATTTTCGGCTGGTAAGAGCGGTTGCCTTGGGAATTCGAATTCTGACTGTACATGTTCCCGCCTCTACCTCCGACATTTCCGTTTCTTTCCGGTCCTCCTCTTCCTCCCGACGGTCCTCCGTTTCTGTCGTCGACGCGCATCTGTCCTATTCCGTTGGCGACATCGTTAAACTGACGATCACACCACCGCCGCCACCACCTCTACCACCACTGCGAGGATTGTTGTCGTAGCGCTCGTCGTGGCGGTTGCTGCCTCCTCTTCCACCGTAGTTGCTCATATCCTCTACCTTGTTCTGAAAGAATGTGGTAAAAAATGTGAAGAAGCGAGAAGAAGAAGAAATGTCGAGTATTTATTGGAAGAACCAGGAGGAAACCGAAAGATTTCGGATGACTGTGCGGGGAGAATACGAGGACGGATAGTGGTACACAATTGGAAGAAAAGAGTGGAGAATGGTAGGAAAGGACGAAGTGAGACGACGAGAGCATAGTGATATATTTCGTGGAGGAGAGGAGAGCGGGACGAGACTGCGGCGGCCGTTCTGCTGCGCGCGCGCGCTCTCTGAGCGAGTGTTGTGAGGGAAGGAGACTGCGTCGGGCCGACCGAAGCCTTGCCGTCGAGGCCACGCCCCCTTTCACCGAGGCACGTGGCAGAGAGAGAGAAGAAGGGCCACGAGACGCAGTGCATGCCGCATGCAGCATTCGTTTCGAAAAGTGAGCCCTTTGGGCGGCACGAATTGCGACGCCGCGGAGGTTTCGTCGCCGGCAGTGTGAAATGGGTGTCCGGCTACTGATAAGGAGCACGTTCCACGCACTCTTAATGCTATCCTTTTCAGAAGAGAAGCAAAAACATTTTGTGAGAAGAAATTAGAAAGTCCGAGAGTTGTGCTCGCCTTGTCCGTCTTCCCCGTGTCTTTTCTAGGAGGAGTGGCTACAGAAACAGAGACGACTTCCGCTACTGATCCGTGCGGAATGAAAGCAGCAAACTGAAAGTTTTTCGTGTTATCTTTCCTTCTGATCAGGCGGGCCGCTCTCCGGAAGGCTTTTCGAAAGGATAATGTGTTATCGAGCAATGAAAAAGAGTGAGAAACTATTTTCTATTATCTCATCAAACGTCGACGGATCTGGCCCATAGAAATTATTTTTCAAACTTTATATTATATATAGACTAGTAGTCTAGACTATACTCCCCCTCTCTTCTCATTTTCACTACTAAACTACCGTAGGACAAATTGTTTAATTAGATTGAGAGCACCCATAAATTTGAAGGTCACAGACATATGACGAATGTGTTGACAAGAGAATATGTATTTCCTTTTCGAAATTCCGCCGCAGGGAGGGATACTGTAGCTTTCACTCTCCGTTCTCACCATTTCGCAAGACATAACACGGCCGAAAAGTAAACAAGGACAGGACACAAAAATAGTTTGAATACTAAAATCGCATTTCCGTCCTGGGGGAGCATGGAGGGAAACAGTGTGCGGAAATATCGGAAAAAAAACAGTGTGCGGAAATATTTTCTTTGAAAACAATTTTCCGGAACTTTATTTTCAGAATTTTCAAAACAGCGAAAAGGACAATTTCAGGTAAAAACTTGCGAGGCCGGCCGAACACTTTAGCAGTGAGTTTTCGATAGAAGTCCGAAAAAAAGGATTTTCTCGACCCGATAAAGTTCTGCAGAATTTGCAAAATCTTCGGAGAAAAGAAATAATTTTCCGTTGTGAGCGGAACGGTTGTTTTACGAGGCAGTTTCGATTCTGTCAAAAATTCTCCGATTTTCTATTCTATTGTCGCGTTGTGGACGGACGTGGATGTGGTGGCTGTTTCGAAAGACGAATGGAAACGAGATTATTTTGAGTACGATAGAGGGGAGTGTCAGGATTCTGAACAATAATTATGGTGCATCTTTGAAAAAATAACATGTAACTCGATACTGGGCTGGATTGGAACGGCAAAAATTACTTAGGTACTGTTAGGCCAGTTTTTTTGGACCTTGGGCCGAATATTCGGGCCTTTTCCGCGCTCCATCCCCTCAGGGATTTGAAGTGAGGAAACAGCGGCGGAAGAGGCGTTTTGAGGAAACTGCGGCGGAACGCTGTTTCGCCAAACTCAAATCGTGGCGAGACCACTGCGGCGGCAGCTTCGGCGAAACGGCGGCGGAACGCCGTTGCAACGGAAAACGACGCAGTGTTCTGAGGAATTTAAACGGCGACGAAAGAGTAAACAGGGAGGCAACATCGGAATATCGGACGGTCGTTTTTCTTTCGCGCGGAATTTTTCTTTTATCTTTCTCGTGCAAAATCGTTTCGAAAGGTGAAAGTGTGATTTTTTTAGGCCAGCACACAATTTCCACCGAAAATATGAGTGACGCAATGCTGCCGCGCTTTCATTCGCCGGTAAGCTCGAATTTTGCCCGAAATCCGTTCGAAACATTAAATTTTCAGCGACCCACAATGAAGTCTCGGTAAGCTACGAAAAAGAGGTGCTGCGCGACATTTGCAACGGATTCAGCCGGGCGACGAATGACTTCATTAACGGCGAACTCGTGGACGCTCGGCGTCTTCGTGGCCGCTGTCACCGTGTTTCCCATGCTCAAGCGCAGTCTCGCGTTCGGCATCTCTCCGTTCATTGAGAACTACGTTTTCGGGTCAGTTTTAAGGCGATTCATTCCCGAAAATCGAAATTTTTTGCTTGCAGCGACTGAAATATCGTCCAATCGATATCGACCGTGCTCGCCGGCGGTCTCCTCTGGCTCATCTTCGTGCAACTGCCCCGTCTGAGCATCAAAACACTGTTGAAGTACAAGAAATGGATGACACCGCTCGGAAAGGTGTCGAAGCCGACGAAGCTGTGGCTCGGAATGCTACACATGATCTCGATGGCCGATCCGATGCTGCACTCATTTCAGGAAGCGCTCCCACCTCTTCCGGTGCCGAATCTCGACGATGCCGTCAAAGAGGTAACACAATGCCGCCGCATTTTCGTCGAAAAGTTTGTTTTTCAGCACCTCATCTCGATGAAGCCGATTCGCAGCGAGGAAGACTACTTGGAGCTCGACTTTCTGTCGGAACGCTTCCGAAAGGGAGTTGGCCGACGTCTCCAACGCTACCTGACGCTGAAGTTGTTGTTCTCGACTAACTACGTGACCTACTGATGGGAGGACTTCGTCTACATGCGGCTGCTTCCCTCTGCGTTTTCATCGTTCCCACCCTTTTCGGTTCCGTTCTTCAATATTTTCTTCCCTTAGTTGGAACCGGAACCGGTCTCTTCTTCCCCATTTCAGTCATTCTCCTTCTCCCCGCACTGCTCACTTCCTTAGCTCTGTTCTTCCCCTATTCCTTCATCCCTTTCAATTACTTCTCTGGAAACTCGATTGCAATCTAATTAGAAGAGTTTGCAATCTAATAAGAAAAAGCTCTATTTCGCAATCTAATAAGATTTAATTGAAGTTCCAGTAAAATCGTATTAGATTACAATATATTTTTCCTGAATTGCAATCCAATAAGAAAAAATTGCAATCTAATTAGAAAACATTGCAATCTAATTAGAAAAATTGCAGTGATTGTAATCTAATTAGAAGATTTTGCAATCTAATTGAAGCAAATTCTATTTCAAACGAGTTCGTATTAGATTGCAAAGTTTTCTAATTAGATTGCGATCGAGTTCCCAGAGTTTCCTCTCCCTCGTCTTTTCTGCCAGTTTTCTCTATCTTCTCATATCTTGCCTTTCTAAGAGTTCCCTCATATAGTGTGCAATTGTTCTTTGTTTTGTTTCAATAAAAAAAACCTATAATTTCTCATCAGTTTCCATAATTACAACAAATTTAGCGGAAAAAGCAAGAAGACGCATGCGTCACAGCAAGCGCGCTCCACCGCACTCCGGCGAAACAGCGGCGGAACTGTGGCGAAACGCGGTTGCAAGTGTGTTCCACCCGACTTCCGCCGCTGTTTCGCCGCCCTTCCGCCGCTGTTTCCTCACTTCAAATCCCTGAGCCTTTCAATTGTCAGTGGAGCGTGTTTGCTCGTCGTCGATTTACGCCGCGTTCTGCTTTGATTTTGTCGCAACTGCTTTTCTACGCAGAAAGTTTCATTCTTCGCCAAGTCGAAGAAAATGCATGAAATTTATTTTAAACGTCTAATATTAAACCTCCGCCAAATTTTCTTGTAACGACGCTCTGTCCTTCCGCTCGCCATGTTTTAACCATCATTTTCAGACAGCTTTCGTTTTCAAAAAACACTTTTCTCGACTGTCTCTTCCCGCTTTTCATGTATTTCCAGCACGGAGAACATTCAGATCCGTAAGAAATCATAGTAGATTGAAAAAATCGGCAAATTCACAGAACGAGTGTGATGAACAGGGCGTCGAACAATCGTCGTCTGGACGGACCACCGGTTTGATGAACTCAGCGGAATACGAATAATTTTGAAAGAAATAAGTACAGGTAACAATTTATATTAAGTATTCAATCAATATATTAATTTTAGGCAAACTATGCCGACAAATTCGCGTTTCAATCCGATCTCGCCAGGTCGGAACCTCGGAAACCGTCCTTACCCCCAACATAACAGCCGATCGCCGACAGAGGTCATTCAAACTATTCAATATTCTGTTAACACGATATTTTCAGAGCCGTGCTTCCACAATGACCAATTACAATAGTCCGTGGATGTCTCCGAAGCTGCCAGCTCTCCTGAAAGGAGAGCCGAAAGAGGAGGAGCCGCGGTTCCGTCGAGCGAATTCGGTGGCTGTTCGGAAGAGCGCACAAGAGGAGGAAAAGAAGAAGGACACGAAAGAACGGATGAAGATCAATTTCATGGAGATACCGGGCAGGATTGCGAAGAAGTTCAAAAAGGGTGACACAAAGAAGGAAATGGGAGGCGTGCGGATGTCGGCGCCCGTTATAAAACTGCCGGAGACGTCGTCCTCTTCCCAGCCGTCGCTCCCGACGGCCTCGTCTCCCGGATCTTCCTCTTCCACCAGTCCAGTTGCCAAAAAAACGGTTCGAACGACTGCAAGTCTGAGAATGCAGCCGGAAGACAAATTGAAATTGTGAACATTAAAAATACTTGAGAACAAAGAAACAATAATTTGTGCTTTCAGCTACCAGAAGATGGGGAGGCCCACAATGACGGCAGCGCAACGGATGCAGCGCGAGCGGCAGCGGGACTTCGCTCTGGTTCCGGGCCCCGGGCGCGCGAGTCTCGAGTCGAACATTCCAAAAAACAGTTCCACCCAGTCCGTCGACAGCATGATCGTCTTCTCCTCGCCCTCACAACACAGCGGAACCCTTTCGATGAACGACGATGACGTAGAGCCGGTGTTCAAGAACGCACTCACGAAAAAGAATGTGACGAGTGCTCAGATAGGTTCCCTCAAGACGAAATTAGCCGTGAATGGGCCTTCGTTCACGAGCACGCCGAGACTGACAAACGCTCCGAGCAACTCGCCGACCATATCCAACGTCAGATCGGTTTCAGATGCGTCTCTCTGCATGCTGGCCGAAGAGCCGCCCGCGAACAAGATCAATCTGAATCAGACCGCCGACACGGTGTACTATTCGACTATCGGCGTTGCAAGCACGGCTCAGGCGAACAGAACACCACAGATGAGTGACGTGTCGATGGCTTCCACCGCATCCACTCCGACGCCGACTGTTAGCGTGAAGCAGGAAATCATAGAGCAGCCAGAGTCGGCATTATCGCAGTGCCCGAGTGTTTCGTCCATTCCGCCGCCCACCTTCGACCACAAGACTCAATGTTTCGCCAGTATTGCCCAGCAGGTCGTCTTCTCACAGCCGGAACGCGTAAGCCCTAAATCTCATTCCAATCAGCGAGTTTTATTTCATTTTTTAGGATTTGTGGATGGTGTCCAAAGAGATCCGAGATAGACAGGTGGAGAAAGAGAGATGTATTCCGGAGGTCAACAGATTAATTGATCGCTGCAGCGAAATCGAGCGTGAGAAGACGTTTCTGCTGCACAGCAAGGGAGACAGTCCTACTCTTGAAGATGTAGCAATACTGAGCATGATCAGTTCCTAATATTCTTCATTTTCAGCTGCATCGTATGTGGAATTTGAACCAGGAGCATTTGAATCTGAGCGCCAAGATCAAGGACCTGAGCATTACGATTGACTGCGCCCTGAGAACGCTGGACGAACTTGAGATGCGTCGCAACCAACTGCTCTCCTCGCCTCTTCCGTCCGTAAATGTTACCGGAAGTTTCGTCTAGAGAATCATTATCAAACTCAGAAATTCTTTGTCTATTCCCTGTTTGCATCTCGTCCCGTATTACTATATCGTCGTTATTCATTAATCTACTTGTCAGCGCATTTTCGCATTTTCCGATTTCGTGCCACTTGTGAATATCTCTGCTTTCCGCTAGAGAATAAAGTATCCAAATCGAACGCGAAATAAGTGTTTTTAAACTATAAACGTTTATTTATAAGTAAGGATGAGCTGAATTGCATAGAGCGATGATATCGGAGGGGAAAGTAGCAACAGAGGGGGAAAGGGGTGGAAAGTATGGAACAATGAATAAAAAGTCATGCTGCGACCCGGTAGTAAGAGCCGATCAACATGATTGATTGCAATTTTAGGGAAGGGAATAATTACATTTTCAATGGGCAGAAATGAGCAGTGGAGCAGTGCTTGGAACAACTCGGGAAGACACGAGAATATAGAAAGAAGGGGGAGAAAAGAGAGACCTCGTCGCGATGGTAAAGAGTGTTGCTGGGGAAGTCATGATACATGAAGGAAAGTGTAAATGCTGCCGAAACTGAATGAGAGACAAATGACCCGAACGGGCGAGAGAGTAGATTAGAAAGCGAGTGAGAGAGAGAGAGAATGGAAGAAGAAGCACCGTTATTCGAACACCACTGGATTCCAGTCAAAGGAACAGAAGGAAGAGATAATGAGAGAAGGAAGACGTCTATCGACGGCCGAGTTCGCGGAGAATCGTCTCGATTATCTCCTTTTTGGCGGTGTTCGTCGCGCGCTCGTTCGCCTCGATCACCTCCTGTTTTGCCTTGTTGATCTCTAGACGAACCTCGACCATCAGATCGGCACGCAATCTGCAAAAGGAAATACTTTTTCACGTTCTCAAAAGTGGTTTATTTACCTTTCTAAAAGCTCATTCGGAATGGCCGTAGTCGATCCATTCGCCATGGCCTTTACAGTTCCGGTGCTCGAAGTGCTTCCATTGCTCAAAACGCTTCCGGAATCTTCTTGCGGGAACAGAGATGAAGCAGAGGGAAGTCTGTAAGGAATTTTTTTTGCATAATTGCTGATTATCTACTTTGACTCACTTTCTGTGTGCCTTCGGACTGTCCGTCGGCTTTGTGGATGCGTCTGTCAGTTTTCTGGCGGCCGCCGATCCGATGCTCCCGCCGTTCGAGTAAATTTCCTTGCTTGTCGACGTTCCGCTATCCGTTGACGCGTTGCTTGTGTTCGACTTCGAATCGACCGCATCCGACTTGGCCTTGGTCATCGCACGCTTCTGCAACTGCGCCTGCAGCTCTGACATCATATCTGTAAAGACACGTGTCGTACATCTGTCGTTCCCGTTCCGGTCACTTACCATTCCCTCCCTTTGCCACAGCTGGCCTTTCCGACTCTGAACCTGCCGCAGATGGGGCTGTTTTCACTCCATTAATCGTCGGCTTCAGTCCTTGCTGCGTGCGCAACTTTATTTGATCCGCGAGACTTCCTCCTCCGTTCGACATCAGTGCTCCCTGCGGCGGGGGTGGTGGCGGCGGCGGTGGAGCATTTCCGCTGACTGGTGCGATTGGCGGTGGTGGCGGAGCACCCGAGTTCACAGGCGGAAGCGGCGGCGGAGGTGGCGGAGGCGCGCTGTTGCTGATCGGAGCAGGCTTCACAGTCGATCCGTTGGTATTCCAACTCGTGTTTCCAAAGTCCTGGTGCTGCTGGAACATGTTGCCGCCTCCGCTCGTGTTCGAACTCTGCGAAGCTCTTCTCTGCTGCTGACTGAGAGCCGATGCACTGTTCAGAGTGGACGCGTGCTGTGAAGTTTTGCTGAAATCGGAGAGATAATCGGTAAAACTCGAAAGATCGGAACAAACTGTGAGTACCTTTCAAAAGAATAAATTTTGGCTGACACAATCATTATTACGAACAAAACTATCTGTTTTCCCAGATATTTGTACCCCTTCTTCTTTCCGATGACTCATCAGAATATTGATTGATTGTTTAGACTACTCGTTCGTATTCGTCAAATCTTACCGGAAGTTTGCATTCTGATTTTCGTCGTGGAAGTTTGGTGCGGAATGGATGTGCATGAGGTGTTGATGAGGATCCTGGTAGACGTTGTCGGCGGCTGAAATAGTTCAGGTAAGCGCGAATACAATTTTGTTCCCACGTTTTTCCGGCAAATGAAGAGTCTGCTGACAGCACCAGAAAGACATAGTAAAAAGTGAAATTCGGAATGAATTGGCGGAGAGGCTCTGGCACGCCCGGCCCATATCTACTCCCTTCATCATCCCTTTCGGCTCATCCCTCCGTTAAGCTCTCAAAAACACTCACGATGCGGTTGCTGATAGTCGGATACGTGGTTGTTCAGAATCGCTGTCAGTCTTTCGATCGCCTGCGCGACCAAATAGTTGAAGTTCTCAGCCTCCTCTTCCTCAGCAAAGTTGAGCCCGTACACGCGACGCTGCTCGTCGCGCCACTGATGGAATTTCGGCGTCGCTTTCACGTATCTGAGCCGCTGCACAATGTTGCAGTTGATTAGGAACAGTCCGTCGCTCCTTCGTGAGACGATCCGAAACGAGGGACGCCGAGCGTCGTGGACGATTTGCACGTTCGTCGGCAATCCATCACTTCCTGTCGGCGGCTGCCATTGCTTCGTCGAGTCGTTGTAGACCATCACGTTCGCCACGGCGGAACCCAGACATACTTCGCCACTGAAAAAATAGCCTAGTAAATACATGGGCTTCATTCGTTTATCCCCATGTGTTTGACCCGGTTTAAACAAGAAAAAGATAGCTCTGTTGAGTCCGAGCGGACACGGACATGATAAGTGGCAGCCATCTCGTGGCCTTCGAGCGGGGGGAGAGAGCACGAAGAGCATGTAGTTCGTTGTGAATCCCCCGGTGGCGCCCAAAACAATTTGTTCTCCCCGCTGCTCTCGCCCTGCTCCTGCTCATCCGTCCGACTGACTGGCTCTTGCCGGCCCTAGGTATTTGTGCAAATAGGCACGAGAAACGAGTGGCTAGCCATTGGCGCAGGGCAGCAAAAAAAAGCGACGAGCGCATCAGAGAAAGAAAGTCAACAGTTTCTATCGTTGTGAGATCATGAGTCGGACAGTTTGGAGTAGGAAAAGCCCGACGGATTTGTCATAGTGCAGCCAGTGCGTCACACAATATTACACCAGCATGTTTGTGAGTGTGTGTGTGTGTGAATGTTGCAAAAATGAGACACTGACGGGTTGACTCAATCAGAAGCGACTAATACATTTAGGCAGACTTCTGTGTCAGACCCCTCTTACCTCATTTCGACGAAAAAAGTGCAGAGCAGTCAAGTTTTATGCTCTCAAAAAGTGCACTTTAAATTCTCTTCTCTTCTTCAACGTCGTCGATTCTTCGTTGGTTCACGCATTCGAAATGCACGCGAATTTGGCCTGCAAAATGGCAAAAATCTTTGCGAATCGAATCAAATGAATAATATTAGTATGGAGCGGAAAACGTGTGAAGTACAATAACCAAAAAGAGACTGGAAAGGGGGAGAAGTGCACAAACAAAACTATCGAAATATATGTGTGTGAGCGAGTGTCTATGAACTTGGAGAGTCCTCCCCTTTTCCGACCGTCCGGGGAGGTCTCGAGCGGCGGAGAAGGTGGAAAAAGTGAGAGGATCGGAGAGGAGACGGAGGAAGAGAAACGGAAAGAAACATGTGCCGGTGACGGGATCCCAGCAGCTCGAAAGGATGGGAAACTTCGGTTCACGTCTATGTCATCTGTTGCCTCGCTTCTCTGTCGATGATCAACGAGGAAACTTGCATTTTTCTGCAGAATACGAAAAGTGTCTGTACCTTTCTTTTTGAGAAGCGAGTGAGAAAAACCGCTAAAGATTTGAATCGGATCGATCGGAGCGGCGCAGACAAGAACGACAAGACGACGGATGACTCATGATTTTCTTGTAAGAAACGACAACGGAAAAGGAAAGAAAAGGGCAAACAAGGATTTGTTGGGAACATAAATATGCGGGGGCGTAGGTGCTAACTTTACAAATAAAACAAGATGTAAAACTTGACCGGACGTATTTGTGAAAACAACTGAGCCTAATCCCTCCTGTCTGAGGCTTTAGCTACTTTCGTAAAAACGGCTACTAGTAGTGCTACGAGAAAGGGTCGTATCTGTTTTGAGATGAGCAGAATGAGAAGCGAGGAATAGAGGAGGGTCGGCGGGAGACGAAACTACTCGAAAAGAGAGCCCCTCTCCTACCGCGTGACGCTTTCAACACTTTTTTGGGAAGCCCGAGTCTCAAGATGAGAAACTTCTATTCCGTCTCTTTCAGTTGAGAAATCGAAGATTACGTATTTGTGTGGAGGGAAAATGTATAAAAGATCAACAATACGCATATGTAAAGAGGAGTGGACAAGAGGAAAAGTGGGGATGAATGTGTTAATGTGAGCAGATAATTGGAGGTGTCATTTGCAGACCGAAAAGGAGAGGCGGAGAGGAAGCGAGGCAAGTGGAGAGGGTCTCCGCGCATCATCATCATCATCATCATCATCGTCCTCATCATCACAGTCATTGTCACCGAGGGGCGCCAGAGTGAGAAGTTGATGGGGTCCTTAGGGCAAATGCTATGCTCAATGTGCTAAAACATCCTGCTTATCAGTTCTCTTTTTTTAGTTTCAAAAAAACAAAACCATTACGGTCTGGTATGATGCCAGGCACCAACTGATATCGGCTCGGAGTTGGAATGTTTGCGGGGCACAATAGAAATATGAAACGTACTCCAAGGGATTCGGGAACTGGTATCTTACCAGAGGTTGAAAAATGGGCAAGTCAAACATTGATCGAAAGAAACATAGACGCACCGGTGTCAGTTTACAACGTAAAAAGTCAAAGTCTTTGGAGCGGAAAACGAGCTTCGATTCGTCTGAATTGGCTTGGGCGAAAGAGATACTATTTACAAGTTGCGACGACAATTGAAAAGAATTTTTGATAGATTCTTGTTTTCGAAATTTGTGTAGAAGTTTCGAATGAATTATTAGTTTTGTGTTGGCGAGCTGCAGCACAGGGATTGACCCAGATAACTAGTCGGATCAAAAGTATCAATAGCGATCAAGCTGAACAAACGAACGGGTGCGAGAGGAGAAGAAGAGTGCGATCTCAATGGGTTCCAGATGGCAAAGAGCATGCTTCTGGCTGGCTGGAGCACAATCGCCATTAGCTTCGTCTGCGGGGGAGTAGGAACAACTTGGAACTGATAAAAATAGTGTTTATGCAAACAAGAGTGGTGGCATGGGAGAAAGTGATTAAAACAAAAATTACTCAGCGATTGTGTGCCTCAATCGATAGGGACTCTTCTCGAGGGAAAAAGCGTTCTTTCTCTTCCCCTCCCTCTCGTAGTAGTAGTACGTGTGGAGGAAAGGGGACCGCCGAAGGAGAGTGTCCACACAGACATACACTGTGATGTGGCCCTCAGAAGTCGAGTGACCAGCACTGACCATTGGCAAGTGCGGAGAGTGCAGACATACCCACTGTCCCCGTCTTCTCTTTGCGGAGGGACACCAGAGTGAGGAGAGGAGGGAAGGAGCGCGGGCAGAACCCCGCGCAACGCGCTCGTATATATATGCAAATGCCATTTTTCGGGGTAGCGAGTGGACAGACGAACGAAGCAGATGAAGGCTGCGGAATGCCCGCATGCGAATGAAGAAAAGCGGAGCGTCGCCGCGGTCCGATGGCACGTTTAACGCGCCCATCAAATGCGCGCGCTTTCGAACCCAATGGAATCATCGTTCACGAAAACGAGAGTTTACGGCTTGCACGAATTTTTATGAGAAAGAAAGACGATGCGAGAAGAACGAGTGTAGGTTTTCAGGAAATTGAAAAGGTTCTTCAGAGTTCAGAATGCTGTCTATCCCGCAAGTATTTTTGAAGTTGACGTAACCCAAAAGGGAGAAGTGGGAAGGTCGTGCTGGCGAGCAAACTGACTGACTCGAACTGATAAATCAGTCGACCTCGCTCTCTTCTTTTTTCTATCTTTTTCCTCTTTCTTTTCCACTCTCTTTGTACACGTTTTGAAACATGGGTTATCATTTCGGCTCTTTCCCGTCGCAAAGCGAGGATTAACGGGTCAGAAACGCAGGTGAATGGAGGCGGAAAGACGACTTTGGCGGCAAATATAAACATGAGATGAATTTCTGTATACAAACTGCTACCGACGACTATATTTGTTCATTTCTCGGAATGGAATAAAGAACAAAAGAGCGAGCGACCGGACGGACGGAACGCATTCCGAATGTGCCAGGTGTAAAATTCGGGTTCTTACGTTTTTCGTCCCCCTCACCCCTTTCCGCCACGAATGAATCATTTATCTTGGAATTGAACGAGGGAAAGAGATCGGCCTCCGACAAATGGCTGGCGGAAATCTGAGGAGGAAGGAGACACTTTTGAATTGTGGGATGGCGAATAATCCGAATGAAAGAAGGAAGGAAGGAAATGCAAGTTACGAGGTTGGCCTAGATGGGCAGTCGACTCTGGGAATCGGGGTCCGATTTCGAAATGAGAAAGATGACACAGAAGCACTGAAGAGTCTGATGAAATCGTCTGGAACGGCTGAGCTGAATTGAAAACAACAAGCCATGTGAATAGGTGGAGAAGTCCTTGAAACGGTTTTAATGTCAGTCTCTAAGGCGTGAATTTGAAGAATATTCAGCTTCAGTGTCACCTTGAAAGTGGGAATATGATAATGAAGACGTCTGTCACTTTGACTGAACTTCAACGGGGGGGGGGATATTTATTCCAATTCGACAAAGCGACGGATCCAACCTTGTCGGGCTGATGAGAAGGACAACAATCTCATAACAACACTGTTTAGAGGTCGCTTTTTTCTTCGTCCGACGCCTTCGTGAGAGTCTGAGACATCTCATTTGCCCAGAAGACAACGTAGTACTTCTGATGACGACGATGACGACGGCGATGAAGATGAAGATGATGGTGCGGGCAAGCGTGCGCGACAATAAATTCAACCATTCCAACAACTACTATACATATTATTTGACGGAGGAAACGGGAGAAAGGCAGCAGAAGATGGGGGGAGACAACTGATGAAACTCGTTGGGTGGTCCTTCTTCGGCGCGTCGTCGTCGTTGCACGAAATCCTATTATCTGACGGCTTCTACTTTATGTGGAGAGGGGGTGGAGAGAGTATGGAAAAAGAGGAGTGCGGTGAAGAAGTCATACAATTTAGATGGGATGGCAAGAGCACGCAAATCAAGCGCTGACCGGTCGGCAGAAGCAAGTGGGACAGACCAAAAATGAAAGATGCTATCTTGGGACATATGGAAAAATCTTAGGACATATGGAAATGGAAGGAGACAAAGAAATATAGTTGAGAAAGGTGCTCTATTACATTATTAAACAGCTTGAGTAGAGAATAAGAACCAGTATGACATAAAAAGTGCTGAAAACTAGTTTAAAAGTCCAAAAATAACTGAATGGTCGAGAGGAAGACTCGCAAAAGCTAGTCCGCGCGGCGTGTACTCCACGAGGAGGATTCCTAGAATTTGTGTAATTTAATTTTTCACAAATCCCTTCAATTCAAAAGTACAAACCAATCTACAAACATACTTAGGATTCTCGAAAACTATACGATAGCATCTGCTTTTCATTTTCATAAACAATCTCAGTTTATCCACTCACAAACTTCGACTCACAGCTCATTTTCTTTTTTTTTTCGTTTCAGGACTCGCTCCTCGATGGTATTCTTCAGTGGACTAACGAAATATCAGCAGTGTGCGCTGATCATCTCATTATTCTTTTTTCTCAACGTCTACCTTCTTTACAATACCGCACAGCATACGCAACTCAGAGAAAACACGAAACATGTGAGTCTGTTCTGTCGGAAAAACTCAAACATTTCGAATTTTAGGAAGTTCTGACTTCTGATAAAGTGGTAAAAGAAGAAGAGCAAGAAGGAAAAACGATACAGATGTGTGAGATAGACGACGAATTAGCCAAGAGTGCCATTTCACGAGCAGTGACGCCTTCTTGCAAACGGAAACTTGAAACAGAGGCGTGTCAGCTGAAGAACGGCACTTTCACAGACCGATTTCCGACGAGCCAGTGTCCGAATCACGAGGAATCGATCATCGACTCGCGAATTGGATGTTACTCGGATCGGAAAGAGGCACGCGTGCTTAAAGAGTTCGAGTACAAGTTCCCAAAATCAAACTCAAAATCCATGTGCCGGAAGAACTGCTATAAAGCGGGTTTTCTGTTTTACGGCCTTGAATTTGGCCAAGAATGTTTCTGTGGAAACGCGTTGACAAACGGAACGAAAGTGGAGGACAAAGAGTGCCAAACGTACAAGTGCCCCGATTCTGATGACTTCTGCGGAGGATTCAACGCTGTGGAAATCTTCAGAACCGGCCTGAGAAGTAAATACTTTCAAATTAAATCCTACTTTTCTCTTTTTTCCAGAGCAAGTGGTTCCTCGAAAGCCAAAATATCTACCACCGTCATCAGAAGAAGAGCCCCAGAATCCTGCCAAGATCCTCTTTCTTCTTCAGTTAAATGGGCGGAATGAGCGACAAGTGAAACGGTTTCTGAAATCTATCTACTTGCCTCACCACTACTATTACATCCACGTGGATAAACGGCAGAATTATATGTACTCGGAAATGCAGAAGGTGGCCGAGAAGGTGGATAACATCCACATCACAGGCAACCGGTTCAGCTCCATCTGGGGCGGAGCTTCTCTTCTTCAGGTCTTCCAGCAGGTGATCAGAGACTCGCTGAACATTGAAAAGTTCCGCGATTGGGAATACATTTTCAACTTCTCGGAGAGCGATTTTCCAATCCTTCCAATTCAAGATTTTGAGCGACAAATTACCGCGTATGTACAACAACTGACAAGTTGCCAACTGACAAAGAAATGCTCGTTTCCAGAAACAAAGGGATGTCTTTCCTGGCCAGTCACGGCTACAACACCGGAAAGTTCATTCAGAAGCAAGGATTTGAGTTTGTCTTCTCCGAATGCGATCAACGAATGTTCCGCATTGGGAAAAGAGATTTTCCGGAGAATTTGAGAATCGACGGAGGATCCGATTGGGTCGGAATCCACAGAAACCTCGCCGAGTTTTCCATTAGCGACGAGGAACTTCCGCAGAAACTGCGAAAGCTTTTCGAGAGCATTCTGCTTCCCTTAGAAAGCTTCTATCACACAGTAATCTATTCTAGCCGTCACATTTCAAATAATCTTATAATTTTCAGCTCTCATTCAATTCGAAGTTCTGCGATGACATCATAATGAGCAACCTGCGATTGACCAACTGGTACCGGAAGCAAGGTTGCCGTTGTGCTTCTCTTAAGGCTATCGTCGACTGGTGCGGCTGCTCTCCGCTCGTGTTTCGCGAAGAAACGAAGAAAAAATTCGAGTTGCAAGTAGGGTGTAGAAAGAGTTTGAGAATTTAAACTTCATAATTTCAGAAAGCAATTGCAAAACCTTCATACTTTGCGAGAAAATTCGATAGCATGGTGGATGTCGAATCGATCGAAGCGGCCGAAAAACAAGCGCTCCCGGCCGAAAAGATAAGAGAGGATCATCCAGCCTATCACTTTGCTTTCGCAAATATCTTCAAAAACGGAATCGACGAGGCGAGAACCCACTTTCAGAGCCTCGCCAATTTCGCACTCAAAACTGTCGAATCCGATGTTGTTCTCACAAAAGTCGTCCGAATTGACGCGCTTCGAGCTCATCACGATGCTCAAATCGAGATCGTCATGAAAGTGGAAACGTCTTCCGGCGACCATCATTTCCTTCTCCACCGCCTTTCGCACGTCGAATTCTCCCATCCGAAGCCCGAGGTGGACGGCTACATACTCAAAGACTTGACGTACGGAACAAAGTTCGAATGGAAAGAAGAGATTTGCAGAGAGTACATGGGATTCGTCACTGATGTAAATAAACTGAGGCTTTCCGGATTTATCTCTCGATGTTCTACTTCAGACTGACACTTTCCACGTCCGTCTTCAATGGGAAGCCAGCGAGAGAGTGAAAAAGAACGGCGAGAAGACGAGTCCCGACGTGGAACTCAAGTATCGGAATGGAACCGAAGCCTTCGAGCACTCCAAAGTGAAACCGTACGATTCGGTATTTGGTGGACAGTTTGACAGTTTGAAAGTTGACAAAAAGTGAGTTCTCCTCTTCGACTGTCTCATCGGAAAAGCGTGTTCCAGACTGGCCAACCTGACCACTTGCGATCCTCTCGCCGTCGACGTCATCTCCCCATCTGCTTCACCGAATTCTCCGCCCCTCGCCACCCTCCTCTTCCCAGTCTACACCCCGCAGAACGAGCATTGCCACGAGCATCTCCTCTCCAAATTCTTCCACATCGCCGACTTCTGCTCTTCTGAAGAAGCCTGCTCCGAAAAAGTGTGGAGCACCTCATTCCCCGACCCGAAATCGGATATTCTGTTCGGCTACGATACGGACACCCGTACTCTCCGTTAGATTTCTTCGTCATATTTTAATCACTTCCGCATGTGTGCCTTTCCTTTTTCACGTTGTTCCCCTTGTGATACACCCATTTCGCCCGTGTGCATAATTCAGTTTTTCAGCATTTCCATTCGGGTATTCCATTGAGCATTTTGTTATGTATCGGCATTTTACATTTTGATGCAGAGAAAGAAGTTTTAAATATATAATTATCATAAACAGACTCTATATTGTTATGGATTGAATGTGGTCGTACATTTTCTATACCTTTCATGTGCTGGTTCATTTCAATCTCTTTTTTACAGAATGGAAAGCCGACGCGGAGTTTTCATTCACTCGTCCGTCGAGTAGCCGCAAGCGCCCGTCGTTACGATCAGTCCCCAGAGAACATCGAGATTCTGCGTGCGATGATCGCCTCGTTCGACCCTCCGTGCTACGTAAGTTCACAGCTCGCAGAAGTAAGCAGCGGCTCCGGATGCATTCGATTCTACCTCTTTCCAGAACAATTCATCCCCGGCCGACTGTCCCGCGCCGTCCGATCCGTGCTTGACACCACGATAAAGCCGTCTTCTGGAATCTACTATGCGGATGTTTATCAGGACGAATACTGCCACATCAATGCTTTCGGTCTAACGTACGCTCTTTCTATTTTTATCGAAGATAATTGTTTTTCAGAAAAGTCGGCTCCAGAATACCTCTTCACGATCATCCCTCTCAGCACGCAGTCATGAAAATATTTCGAGGCTCTGTAAAAATCCGATCATTTACAGTCATCCCAGATGAAGAGAAAGACTCGGATGACTCGGACGCCAGCTCGACGAAGGGGCACTTGAATGCGCGGTACGAAGGAGAGACTGTTGTCTCGAGCGACTCGGAACCTCACTGGGCCGTGCTTGAACCCACGAAAGGCAACATCCACGAAGTGATATGTCTGGAGCAGCACACCTACTTCTGCGACTTTTTCGTCCCAAACACACCCGTCTGCTACTATTATCGTGTCGTGGACAATGAGAAGCCGCCCGTCTCGGGACAAGTTGTTCGGATGAAAAGGATCCGATGTCCGCGCGAGTTCGACTGCAGCAAGATGGAATTTCCGATGTTCAAACGATTCGAACAGTTCAATTAGGCACTGATTCACTTTTTCCCGTTGTCTCTCTGATTAACACCTCCTCAAACGCGCTCTACTGAGAAATCGCTTGAGCATTTGAACGCGGGGGTTCCGTGTCCTGCCCAGTGTATTTTTGAAAATTGTACTCAATTCTGTAAATATATTTTCATTGAAATCTGCTGTTACTGTTTCTGTTTACACTCGAGGGCTGACCACATCCCTTTAACATTCTGATTTCTTTTTTTATCTACTCACTCATTCGCTTTTCTGTTTAGATGGAGAAACTTCGGAAAGAGGGCTGGAGCATAAACGAAACCCAAGCTGCCGAGTTTTTCCCTGACAACGTGCTTCCGAAGACTTACGAGGAGATTCGGCAGACACTTCTCGACGAAGATCTCCGACAATTCGGAGAGCCGAGCATTGTGAATAAGCTGGTGAAAGACGCGAACGTCTTCGAAGGTCCGTGTGTTCTTCAGTTGCTCCGTTATCGGAATGTGTCCGTTCCACGGATCAGGGAGGAAATGAATCAGCCTGATCCGGCGAACTCGCTGATCCGTCTATTCTTCACCGATGGACACATTTCCATCTCGGCCGTCATTCTCACACCGATCCCTGGAATCAATTCAGACACCCCACCAGGCACAAAGATTCTGATAACTAGGAAAGTGAACGTCGAAGGAACGTTTCTGATTCTGACGGCTAAAGACATCGAAATACTCGGAGGACGTGTTCCGGATATGATCGAAAAGTGGCATATTGAGAAGAATTCGGTGAGAGCCGAAGGATTCAATGTGAGAAATTTGGGGAAAAAAGCGACCGGAGCGCCGAAATGGGTGTCATTCGGAAAGAAAGGAAAGATCGGAGAGCTGGAGAAGGGATTCAAAGCGAACAGTGTCATGCCGAAGAATCAGAATCAGAACGAGGACGAGGAAGACGAGTTTGCTAAGAATCGAGAGCAGATGATCAAGGAAATGGACATTGAGAAGCCGACGTTTGCGAGATCGAATCTGGCTCCGCCGCCTCCGAAAGAACAGGTTCCGAGGGTTCCGAAAGAGCCAAAAGAGCCGAAACCGAGAAAGGAATTCAAGAGACGAGGCCGGAAGAACAGCGAGGACGGACCGGACGTGGATTTGGGAGAGTACGCGGACCACAAACCGAGCGGAGGAGTCACCCTGTTCGATTTTCTCGGAGAAGGCGAGAAAGCAGCGGCGACGTCTTCTGCGAGAGACGTGTCGCGGCTGACAGAACAGACGTCGAGGATGAGTATGGGCGGAGCAGAAATTGGCGGGGCGAAGCCGCAGCAGAAGAGTTTCGGACGTGGCGGACATTCTGGAGGACCGAGAGGAGCTCCGTTTGAGCCACGAAATGATCATGGAAAAGGACGCGGAGGACATTTTGGAGGACATTCTGGAGGAAGAGGAGAAGTACCGAGAGGAGCTCCGTTCGAACCACGAAATGATCATGCAAAAGGACGCGGAGGACATTTTGGAGGACATTCTGGAGGAAGAGGAGAAGTACCGAGAGGAGCTCCGTTCGAACCACGAAATGATCATGGAATAGAACGCGGAGGACATTTTGGAGGACATTCTGGAGGAAGAGGAGAAGCACCGAGAGGAGCTCCGTTCGAACCACGAAATGATCATGCAAAAGGACGCGGAGGACATTTTGGAGGACATTCTGGAGGAAGAGGAGAAGCACTGAGAGGAGCTCCGTTCGAACCACGAAATGATCATGGAATAGAACGCGGAGGACATTTTGGAGGACATTCTGGAGGAAGAGGAGAAGCACCGAGAGGAGCTCCGTTCGAACCACGAAATGATCATGCAAAAGGACGCGGAGGACATTTTGGAGGACATTCTGGAGGAAGAGGAGAAGCACCGAGAGGAGCTCCGTTCGAACCACGAAATGATCATGGAATAGGACGCGGAGGACCGTCGAATCCGAGACGGAACGATGAAAGACAACAAAACAGTGGTCCGGTGGGAAGAGGAAAGCAAGGTACTGAACATCCACAATTATTCCGCCTAACATTAAAATCTATTCAGCTCAAAGACCCGCTTCGAATTTCAATGAAAGAAAAGAACCGCCAAAGCATGATGCTCCGAGAAACTTTCAGAATCAGCAACGTTGCCGATTGTCTCAAGAATATTTTAATTTGATAAAATTTTCAGATCAACGGCCGACCAGAAACGATCAGAGACACACTTCGAATTCCAATGACAGAAAAGGGGAGAACCACGGGCCGACGAGGCATGATAATCCGAGTAACTTCCAAAATCAGAATCAGCAAGGTAATCGTTTCCTCCGGAATCTTTTCAGTTTTCTCAATTTATAGGCCGTCCGAACACCGTTCCTCCTCAACGCCAACAGCCAACATTCAAACCGAATAATCGCGAAGCTCAGAATCCAAATCCTCCACACCATGGTTTGAATTGCACTTAACACTCATTGATCAAATCGTAATTGTGTTCTTTCAGGCGGAAACACTCGTTCCCAAAAGTATGAAATTCCACGTGGAAACCCTCCACAGAACAACTTCCAAAGAGGACCGCCACGTGGGAGCCCTGGATTCTCGGCAGACCAATTCCCTCCGCCCACGTCTTCTGCCGGAAGTGGACCACAATGGAGAGTGGGAAGCCAATGCGTGGCCCCGTGGACGGACGGAGGCAGTTATCCGGCGACGATCACGGAAATGCTGCCGGACCGGCACTGCACTGTCCGCTACAACGAATACGGAAACACGCACACTCTCCCAATCGACTTTCTCGTTTTCCTTTGATTGCATGCGATGTTTATAAATATTTTCTTTTGACAAAATAGTAGGATAGAAAAATAGTAGGCGAAATTGAACGGGAAGAGAAGACGGGAAGCGGCCTTCTATTGGCTCTTCTCGAAAGCGAGCACAGATCGCAAACTCTCTCCTTTGTGGAGCACATCAAACGCGGTGTTGATCTCGTCGATGTGGTAGCGGTGAGTGATGAATTCGTCGATGAGCAGCTTCTTGTTCAGGTAGTCCTCAACGAGCTTCGGCACACTGTCGACGCTCTTCCATCCTCCGAATGCGGTTCCCATCCACGTGCGGCCGGTGACCAGCTGGAACGGGCGAGTCGAGATCTCCTGTCCAGCACCGGCAACTCCGATGATGCACGAGACGCCCCATCCCTTGTGGGCGGCTTCCAATGCTTGTCTCTAAAATTGACAAAGTTATTGTTACGATCTTTTTGAGTTCTCACCATGGTGTGCACATTTCCGATGCACTCGAAGGTGTAGTCGAATCCACCGTCGAAATTGTCCACGAGCCACGCTTGGAATGATTTTCCCTCCGGCAGCTGGATGTTTTTTGGACTGACGCATTCAGTGGCGCCGAAGAACTTGGCAGAGGGGAACTTCGATTCGATCAGATCGATTCCGACGATTCTTTTGGCTCCGGCGGCTCTGGCGCCCATGATGACCGCCAGTCCGACTGCACCGAGCCCCCACACGGCCACAGTGCTGCCCTCTTCCACTTTGCACGTGTTGAGGACGGCTCCGTATCCGGTGGAAATACCGCATCCGAGCAGAGAAACCTTTTCGAGAGGAGCCGCAGGATTCACCTTGCAAAGAGAGATGTCGGCGACGACGGTGTACTCGGCGAACGTGGAGCATCCCATAAAGTGGAAGAGTTGCTTTCCGTTGCACGAGAATCTCGACGTGCCGTCCGGCAAGAATCCGTTGCCCTGGGTGATGCGAATCTTCTGGCACAGGTTGGTCTTCGGGTTACGGCAGTACTCGCACTCCTTGCACTGCGGCACGTAGAGCGGAACGACGTGGTCGCCGACAGCGAAGCCAGTCACGCCTTCTCCGATGCTTTCGACGACTCCGGAGCCTTCGTGGCCGAGCACAACCGGGAAGAGACCTTCCGGATCGTGTCCGTCGAGAGTGTAGGCGTCGGTGTGACAGACGGCCGTGTGGAGGATCTAAAAAGAGTGCGTGGGTGAAGAACATAATAGATTCTGGAATAGTTACCTTCACACGAACTTCATGGGCTCTCGGCGGCGCGACTTGGATCGTTTCGATGGAAAGCGGAGCTTTAGCGGTCCAGGCGACGGCCGCTTTGCAGTTGATCACTTGTCCGGCAGTTGAGCTCATTTTCGACAGACCTGAAAAGAAGACAAGAATAATACACGCTTTTATATTGCAATAGGTTTTGTAAGCGGTGTGACCGCCAGCCACATGGTTGACTAGAGAGAAATGTTCAATGGTCGGCGAGAACCGATGCATTTTCAAAGGTCAAAAAGCGACAAATGGTAAACAATCGTTTTCATGAGAATTAACAGAACGAACGAGAACATAACAAGAGTAACGACAACGAAAATAAAGGAAAAAAAAAAAGTTATCGATCGAGCTGAATAATCCACTCCATGTGGTTTGTTTGCGGGAACATGTCCACTGGCTGGACTCTCGTCACCGAAAACGCATCGCCGCCGTATTTTCTCGAACTGAAAGACGCGGAGAATTAGAGTGAAGACGCAGAGAAAACAAGAGACTACTACAAAACACGCAAAATGTTTTCTCATCATTTGTAGATTGTGATGACAATGACGATAAGAACGATGTGGTGGTTGTGCAGTGCAACTTACGAAGGACGGCACAGATTGACAATATTGTTGATGGCGGCGTTGGGCTCGCAAGATACGAATATTAAGCGCCTCATGGTTTCCATCTGAAAGAAAAACAGAGTGAGATAAACACGACTCAATAACTCAGACCTCTCTGCACGCGAAAATAACTTTCTCATGCATTCCGGCTCTCGGCGGATCCAGCACACCGACCACTCGCGACTTTCGCAGATCGAACGGCGACGGCAGATGGTACCTCATCGACCGGAAGACGTCTTCTGCTCTTCCGGCAATGTACTTGCAGCAGTCTTGCATCTTGTTCTGCTTCGAGTTCATCTTCGCGTCCTCCACGGCTTCTGCGATCATTTCGATGCCGACACAGCACACTTTCTGCTCTTTGTGAACGGGTTTTAGGAGACACTGTCCGATAGTTCCGGTTCCGCAGCAAATGTCGAGGAGAACCGTTCCGTGGTCTTCTAGAACCACCACGCTTTCAGTTTCAGTTTCAGTTTCTAGTTTTACGATTTTGGCAGGAGGTTCATCTGATGTGGTCTCGTCTGTCATTTCAACATCTGAAGCAGCCGACACTTCTGGGACAGAAGCCTGCTGCGTTTTCTTTTCTTCTACTACCTTCTCCTCTAAACCACAAAGCGCGCCAATTGTCGAGTAGAGTGTCGCAGCGGCTTGACTGTTCGTTTGGAAGAATGCCGGAGGAGACACTCGGAAGCGGCAGTCGAGTAGGCTCTCGTAAATGTACGGAGTCCCTCCAATGTGCTGGAAGTTGGGAGCGTCGCTGATGTGCACCATCTCCTGCCAGTAAACGCTGCACACGCGGTACTTTTTTTCATCGAACGTGGTAAATGCCAAGAATCTCTCCTCGATCTTCTTCTTAATCTCTTCAGTTTTCGAGGCCTCTTCTTGCGGAAACACAGTGAAAATGAGCATGACGTCTCCGCCGAATTCTCGAATTGTCAACATCCGCCAGAATCCAACTCGTTCGAATTCATTGAATGGCTGCAATCCGGTCTCCTTCACAAACTCGTGCACATCTTTCACAATCGCCATCATCTGCGTACTGACGATGTCGACGTCAATGGGTGGAATAACAAAGTGCTGATTCTTAGCGAATCTTCCTCCGACGAATCCGACGCAGATATCTCCGTTCAGGTCATGGCCAATCGTGAATTCACACTTGTTCCGGTATCCTTTCGTCTTCGGAGCCGGCAGAATTGTCTCGAGTCTTTTGCGGAACTCGGCCTGCTTTCCCAAGCCCACCACTCGATTGTTGTTCAGTTGAGTGTACAGTTTGTCCATTACTCTGCAAAGTATACGTATTTCGGTGGTTTCTGCTGTTTTCTCACTTCAAACTGCTCGCCTGCTTCAATTCAAGTTGCTTTTCGTACGGCTTGTCAGCCAACGGAGTGACACTCTCCCGGGCAGTCTTCTGCTGGGCCGGTTCCGTGTTCTCGACGTTTGGCGCTCGTAAATTCTTCACTTCGGTGGCGGCCAATTGAGCACTGAGCACGTGTTTCTTGTAATCATATTTATCGATCAGTTTGATGGCTTTCTGGGCGTCTTCGGGAGTTTCGAACGTGACGTACGCGTAATCGGCCATGTGGCGGACTTTCTTAGACCTGACATCACCGAGGATCCTGCAGAAAGACGGTTATTGATTTACTAGTTAAAAAATAAATAAATTCACTTTTCCAGAATTTTTTTGAACTGTTTGAATCCAATAAAAGTCGGGATATTTTTAATGTGGACTCGATCCGAGTCAATTCCGGATGATTCTTCCAGAGTTTCGGAGACTTTTAGAGCAGGATCTGACGATTCGACTTCAGACATAATTCTGAAAAATAAATGTTTTAAGATAACTGCTAAAAAGCTTGTCAAGCCAATATTTGATTGAGTGAAAAGCAGAAATGAATAAAATCGAGACATTCATGGATAACAATGCAACTGCGCTCCATTGCACTGGGCAAACAGCGCGAAGTTAAAATTTTACTGCCGGAAGCTCGGAATAAATAAAAGAAGCGAAAACTAAAAGCTACTTACCATTAAACGCGAAAAGTTGAAAGCTAGTCTTCATTTAAAAATAGGTTTGATCAACTGAAGGAAATATCGGAAAAGTTTGAGAGCAACCGAGACTGGCCGCGACGAGCTAGAAATTGTGAAGCTGCAGCTATCTGTAACTTTCCACAGAAACCTTGAACATGCAATTGCATCTATCTCTAACCTGGCTCATTTTGAAAAACAGAATACAATTAAACTTTTTCAAAAAAATTAGATATATTTATATTCGATTTCTGGAGATTAATGTATGAAACGCCGAGCCGTGCCGAGGTGAACGTTTCCAATTGCCATGTCTGTCGGATTATCTGTATTTTTCTTTACCCTTCCTAAGGAGTAGCAAGCCCGACTCTCGTCTGCCTCGTTTTCACCTGGTTAATGCCATATTCCATTTTCGTGGCCGCCTCCGACATTCGTCACGTCTCCATGAACTCGACGCGAAACCTGGCAGCTGATGATCTCCAAATCACCCTCACCAACATCATTTCCCTCATTTCGACAATTGTCAATTTAATCGGATTCTACACGATTTTCGTGCAGAAGTCGTCCGAATCGGCCGGCTTCAAGTACACCCAACGGCTCTACCAGCTCGTCCTTTATCTCTCGCAATTCTACGCCGCCACAGTTCTCAATATCGTGTTTTTGTTTCCAATTCCCGGCGTTTATTGCATCGGATGGCTCAGAAATCTGTCCGGAAAATCTGCCCTGTGGTGTTTTGTAAGTGCCGAGGAAATAGAAATGAGTTTGTACCGGAGATTATTCAGATTCTGTTCGACGTGCTTTTCGCTCTGCAAGGCCAGTTGTTGGCTGTTGTGATGGTCATCAAAGTGGAATCCATCGCACGTCCCACGTCGCCTTTCAAGGTCCTCCTGAAACTCGCAGGTCTCAGATGAAACAAGGTTTCAGATGTCCCTCCTCAGCCAGTCCATCTTCATATTCCTGTTCATATTCTGTGGCCAGTTCTCTTTTTTCCTCGTCTTGCTCGCTTCCTACTCACCTCCTTCGGAAGTGCTCGATTACATCGCCCGAGCCCATCCTTCGATGCTCTTTCTCTCCCGCTACCCGTTCCTTTGGATGATCTCCTCCGATCGTCACTTCGCCGCCTTCTACTCAATGATCGTTCTCGACGTCGGCGTCGTTTTTACCATCTTCTCACTGTCCTATATCTTTCTGATGTTCGAGCTCGATCTTCAGGTGAACAGTATGAGCAATGCGACCACGAACTTTCACAAAAAAGTCATCAAAGATCTCTTGATACACGCTTTCATCAGTGCTCCCTTCTTTATTCTCGTTCCCTTTTTAATTTTCGTCAAGTTCTTTCTAGACGAACAGATTGACTACTCCATTCCCACCACTATTGTCTTTTCCATTTTCGTCAGCGCTCCTATCCCTTCCATGATCGTTTATCTGCTCAGAAACCGAAACTACAGAAAGTTTCTGTCAAAAATTTCTGGCGGTCAGCTGTAGAAACATTTCGCAAAGTGACTTTGTCCGGAATAAATAATGCGTGAATTTCGTTTAATGTCAACTCTCACCTGCTTTCATAATTCATGTCACAAAGGCTTTGTGACATGAATTCGACCAGAAATATATCCGCCGACGAGCTTCAAATCACTGTCGCAAACATTATATGCATAGTCTCAACTGTAATAAACTTTATCGGTTTCTTCGCGATCATCCGGCACAAGTCAAAAGATACAGTTCTGATGAAGTCGATGCTTCTCTCTTGCCACGTCTCACTCTACTTGTTCATGTTCTATTTCGGCACCGTTCTCAATCTCGTCGTCCTGTTCCCAATGCCCGCGATGTACTGTATCGGATGGTTGCGCGAAACCAGCGGATATTATGCTTACACCGCAATGGTCAGTTTCACTTTCTCAACTTTAGTGGCGAGGCTTCGTATTACTTATACGGTATAAGTTATCGAGCAGTGTTGAGCGGAAATAGAATTTGAAATCACGGAAAACGGCAGACTGAATTCCGCTCAACGCTGATTAGAAGTAAGCATCTATTTTGCAGACCGTGTTCTTTGTGTTGTTTGTATCAGTTGCCGAGTCCATGATCTTCACACTTATTCTAAAACTGGGCCATGTGGTTCGGCCCGATTCCCTGTTCAAACTCCAGCCCATTGCCCAGTCCTCTCTCATTATTCTTATTGCTCTCATCACTACCGTTCCGCAATGCGTCATCATCACTACTGGTTATGCCAGTCCATCCGAAATCCACGAATTCCTTCTTCGCTCCTATCCATCGATGGCCTTCGTTTCCCGTTATCCGTGCCTGTGGTCAATGACTTCGAACGTTTATTGGTTCGCATTCGCATTCACTTTCTCCGTCACGATCACTCTCTCGGCTCTATTTATAACGACGTTCTCGGTGCTGGTTCTTTACGAGATTGAGCGGCGAGCAATGAGTATGAGCATGAGCGAATCGAGCAGAAGGATGCACAGACGGCTCGTCAGCAATGTCGTTCTTCATGCGAAAACAATGATTCCGTTCTTGCTGTCTATTCCAGTTTCCGTGTATCTACAGTTCTTCGTGGAGGACGACGATGACGTCTCGGGTCAGAATTAATTGGCTACCGGAGCTTCATAATGACCCCAAAGTTTCAGTTCCTGTCGTCATCGCGTTTTGTGTATTCATCTCCACTCCAATCGCCACAATGCTCATGTTTCTATGGTCGAATAAGAAGTATCGGAAAGAAGTGTTCGCCATTCTTCATCTGCGATATCCTGGACAAGTGACTACTGTAGTCCATGTCGAACTTTCTGATAATTCCAGAGTTTAAACTAAATCCAGTTGCCCAACCTCATTTCAAATGTTTTGTTATTACTTTTTAGACTAGAGCAAAGCCTTTGCTGAGTCACATCCACCTGCCCCAATCTTTCTCACAAATACATCTTCCATTAGTGAATGTGTTCTGTATCACTGCAACCAAACTACGCAGAGTACTTCAATGTGAATCATCTGAATCCGAGCCCTCAGATCTATGCAATGACTGCTGTCAACTTATTTTCGACTGTAACTAATATCTTGATGTTGTACATTACCGTTGTGAAATCGAAAAATGAATCGAATCTCTATCGAGTTGTTTCTTTTGTTCATAATGTAGGTGCGGCATGATATTCAAAACGATCATCTGTTGGTAACAATATCAAAAAGTCGTTATATTACAGTTCTCTTTATTTCTGGCTCAATTCTACTGGGGATCGATTCTGAATCCGATCCCACTGCTCCCATTGCCAGGCGTCTACAGTATTGGCCTCCTCAAGCCACTTCTCTCCACATTCGTCCTTCTTCTCATCTGGTTCCTTCTGTTTTCTCTCTCCATCTTCATGATGTACATGATATTGTTGATCCGTTTGAGAGTACTTGCCCGTCGTCATCACATTTTCCACGTAAGTCCTTGTCAGCAACACTGTTGTGCTATTCACATTCAGTTCCGAGACTCGAGCTACGTGCTCATGCTGCTCTTCCTCTTCCTCCTCATTCACATTCCCGTTCTCACCAGAATTCTGCCCTACAATGCGTCGGAAGAGTCCATGAGAGAACACGTCCGACTGTACTATCCGAACTGTTTAGATCTGGCATCGTCCACGGGATTCTTTGTGTTCGTGAACACTTGCAAATCCACGAAAGGAGTCTCCGTTGTTCTGGTCTCACTGTTCGGAGGAGCGACATTTTACCTTTCTGTGTGCGCAGTGATCATTCACGAAATACGAACGCAAAGTACCGTTTTGAATGCGAACAAGACTCGGAATCATATAAAAGTACTGAAACACACAATTGCTCAGGTCAGTTCAATGTCAGAATCGACGCTTCTCGATATAACCATTACAGAACGTTTTCCGGCTCATTTTCCTCGCCATCGCACCTGCAATCGTTCTGCGCAACGCATTTCAGCCACCTGAAACTGACACGATATGTAATACCTATACAAGCAAACAAAATTAATTTGAGTTGGTGTCCTTTTCAGCCGTCACTATATTCGCCAACTCCGTGTTCACCGCGGCGCCTATTCCGTGCGCTATAGTCATTCTCATTCAGAATGACACTTATCGCGAGTTTTTGCTTTCAAAACTGCAATTTCTTCGGAGAAATCAGCCATCAAACTCGGAAACTTTGGAGAGCAGAAGTGGAACGTCGATCGCTGCGCAATCCAGGAAAACTACTCTTTTCTAATGAACACTCTTGTTTGTTTAAACGAATTTCAGTCACTGTTCGAATGTATTGTTAGTTCCAAAATCAAAAGAATAAAATCACAAAACACACTTTTTATGGAATTCCACACTTTTTTCACCTGCCGCAAAACCTCGTCCTCGGCATGTCGATCAGAACTTCGTAAATATTATAAAAGCACTGGTTGTGTGGACATACACGGTTAGCGGAAAGGACGAAATCTGGAAAAGGGCACAACACAAGAGACTCCTCACTTCACTATAATTGTGTTTTTCGGTCGGCTACCAGGTATGATTCGGGGAAATGGCATTCTGAGCTTTTGATAAATGAGGGTGAGCTCTCACACTGAACAATACAAATGAAATGTTTTATCACTCTAAGTTGACAAAAATTATCGAAAAATTGAGGGAATCGCGATGTATTTAAATTATTAGCAAACGAGCAGACATTTGAGGGGAAAAGATCGACGAGAACATCATAGAACGGGGAAAAGAGAAGGGGATTCATGAATTCATCACATGCGCTGACTGAATCCAAAAGTACGCGAGATGCTGGTCAGATAGAAGCGGTCGAGGCCTTGGCGGGTCTCATCGGCCAAATGGGACGGAACCTCCTTCGCAATGATCTTGATATCCGTTCCAGAGCCCTGAAAATGCACACAGTTATATGAAGAAACGTTTTTCACTCACATTATCATTCAGAACAAAGTGAATAGTGGCATGATGGTTGTTCGGGTACTTCTTCAGTCGCCAGTTGGTCACAATCTCCTTGGCGTCCTCGATTTTCACAAACTTTCCGGTGACATTTCCACCGAAAAGTGAAAAATTGCCGCCTTCGGTGAAGTTCCACTCTCCGATCGAGTTGTTTGACCATCCGCGAACGAGTTGTTGCTCACTGAGCACCTCGAAAACACGATCAGGCGTCGCTTTGAAAATATCCGACACAGAAACTTCAGTAGTCGTGAACACCTCGTTTCCGGAGGTGGTGGAGTCCTTCTCGGCGATTACGGTATTCTGGAACTGTTTCTTGTCCACAGATACCGTAGTCTTTCCCTTCGTGACCACTTGAGGCTTGATTTGATCGGTCGGGAGGATCAATCCTTTGCTGAATTCTTCTTTCAACTCGCGAATGTAAATGGCCAAGACGTCTTGTATTTTGGAAATGAACGATTTGTTGAGCATTTGGCGGATTTGATGGTTTAGAGGGCCGTTTCCGCTCAGGGAAGTGTTCACGTCCACTTCCGACGCGTCGTTCTCGTCGCTGAGGTTCGGAATATCGAACTTTCCTTTGTACTCGTCCTCCGAGCCGGAGATCCGAGCGACGAATGTTCCTTCGATCACCCATTCGAACAAGAAAATCAGTTTGGCTTTGCGATTGTTTGCCGTCGCCTCACCGTCAATTTTCTTGACTTCATCAATGGTTACCACGATCGGACCATCCTGGAATCAGGAATTTTGAAAGGTTGAAAGTAAAGAACACTTACTTCGGCAGAAAATCCATTGAGAAGCTCGCGAAGACGGTTCAAAGACCACGGAGTCGCGTTCTTCTCCGACCTGCAATGTTTCTTTATGCTTCTTTGTTCGTTTTATCGCTAATTTCCAGTGTTCCCAATCAAAATCTTACCAATGCCAGTTGTTAACATTGGTGGCGTCGGCACGCTCCTCCACAATCCAGCGCGGATCACCTTCTCCCCACTTGGCCATTCTCGATGTTCGCTGTAATGCCCATTTTTGTTTTCACATTCGTTTTTTGCCGAGGTTAGGAGTAGCCGAGGTCGTTTTGTAGTCAAAATGACGAGCAAAAAACCATTGGAACCGACAAGCGAGAAACCAAGTGGAAAAAGACGAAAATTCCATCGAAAATGCTAGAAAATGGCCATGTATTTGAAAATTTTCTCGAAAGTTCAATGAAGCATCGTGAGTTCTAGGCCAGCCGGCCACGACCATCTGTCAATGGAGCGCATTTGCACCAAGCGTCCGAGTGTCGATTTACGCACGTATCATGCCTGTTGACCAGCTTTCGAGTTCAAAAAACACTTTCTCATGATAAATGTAACATTTTCTCTTGCGAAAAATTGTTATTCGTCTATTTTCATCATTCTTTCCAGCAAAATGCTCACCAAGTCGTTCGCCAGACACATTTCCCAATTCGCCGGAGTCCGCGACGCCGCCAAATATGTGCCAAGACGTGCTCTTCTGTACGTGCCGGCAAGCAATCAAAAGATGCTCGACAAAATCCCATCGATACAAGCGGATTCTGTAGTTTTGGAGCTCGAAGATGGAGTGGCTCTCACCGCGAAGGCTGATGCCAGGAAAAAGGTTGGATCCAGTTTTTGAAACAAAAAATTAAACAATTGGGACAGTTTTCAGGCGGCTCAGGCTCTCGACAAGCTTCAGTTTCACACGCTAGCGTGTCAGGAACTCGGTCTGCGCGTGAATTCGGTCAGCAGCGGCCTTCTGGAGGATGATATCATTGTGAGTGGACGGAAATGCTCAGAAGAAGACATCGCACCTCCTTCTTTTGCAGGCAATCTCAAAAGCTGAAAAGCTGCCGCAAGCATTCATGATTCCGAAAGTGGATTCTCCAGAAGACCTCGTCCAAATCTACAACATCTTCCGTCAGCACTACGGCGACGAACGCATTACCAACACAAACACCCGCCTTGTCATCTGGATCGAATCGGCCCGTGCCCTTCTTGACATGCCTCGCATCATCTCTTCCACTCTGAATCTTTTCAAAAACTCTGGATTTTTCAAACTGGACGCCGTGGTTTTCGGATCCGACGACTTTTGCGCGGACATTGGAGCCACTCGAAGCTCCCACGGGACGGAAAATCTTTTTGCTCGTCAGAAGTTTGTCACGGTCTGCAAAGCATTCCAACTGCAAGCCATCGACAGTGTCTACATAGACATCAAGGACCTGGAGGGACTGAGACGGCAGTCAGTGGAAGGAAGACAGTGGGGATTCACTGGCAAACAGGTCATACATCCGAGTCAAGTGCCGGTCGTTCAGGAGCAATTCCTGCCGCCCAAGGAGCGAATCGAATGGGCGCAGGAGCTGGTGCACGCCTACAGTGAGCACGAAGCGCTCGGAAAGGGAGCATTCCAGTTCAGAGGACAAATGATTGATCGGCCACTGCTCTTGCAGGCGTTGAATATCATACAACTTGTCGAGAGGGTTCAGAACTAAACCTTTAGATGTACACATTTACACTGTTCGAATGTAGATTGCCAGTGAGAAATAAAACGAGTATATCGCTGCTTATCAAAGTTTTATCGATCGGATCAAGTATGTACACATTACTTCTTTCCGTAACTATAGTAATAGGTGGTGTATCCGTTGGTTCTGCATCTGGAACATCTATTGTTGTAGTGGTAACCGTTGCTATTGCTCGGGTAGTAGTAGGTCGTGTAGCCGTTGTTGTTGTTCGGGTAGTAGTAGTAGAGCTGAAAAGGTTTTGATATAAAAGAAAAGGGCCCCCCAATGCCTAAGTTAGAGTAGACAACTTACATAATAGGCGTTGGCGACGGAGAGAAGAGCCATGAGGATGACGAGGAACGTGAGGAACTTCATGGTGGATGTATGAATTGGGGGTGCTTTGTTGGATGTGGAACCCACCTCGAACTCTCTAAATTTTATACCATTCAATGCAAACATCAAACTCCGCCTCTTTAGAGCTCTCTCTCTCTCAATGCTCACTCTTTTAAGTGGGAGGTACTACCAAACAGTTAGCAAACTACGCATTCCTCCTAATCCCGATTGCCCAAGAGTTCAAAGTGGACACTGTTTACCTTTCGGTCCGTTGGCATCCGTCCACGCCCAATCGGGTTAGCAGTTAAAGGGGTATAAAAGGAGAGGAAGATCGCGGGGAGACCACAGATCTGACACCAAAAATGAACAAGCTGCTCCTCGTTGTTCTGCTTTTGGCTCTCATCGCTCAGGCGCAGGCTTATTATGTAAGTTGACACAAAAAATGTTCGATATAAGGTAACTTCAATATTTCAGCTCTACTACTACTACCCGAACAACAACAACAACGGCTACAACTACAACAACGGCCAAACGACCTACTACTATTATCCGAACAACAATAACAATGGTTACTACTACGACACGGGAAGCACTGGATCCACGTACTACTACTATCCGAGCAACAGTAACGGATACACCACCTACTATTACACGTATGGACGTAAATAATTCTGATTATTCGGCAAAATAAAGTCTGAACTTGACAGCCAACCGGATCAAAACAAGATAGAAATCTGAACGCGGATCGAATAATGTCTTTGACTTTTTTTTCGATTTGGTCCCAACATCCGAACAAATCCGAATCTGAATCTGGGTCCGATTGGGCGAAGATAAACGGGAAAGCGAATTTTTTTGAGTCCATATAAAATAGTTGATCGTCTGCCGTTTGGCCCAAAACAGTCCAGCAAATGGAAATTCCGCTTTATTCTCTCATTCCCACGATATTCGGGCGGTCTGTCAGCACAATCGGGCCTTCGGATGGACGGCGGCCACCAGAAAGTTCGTACTCTTCATTCTCCTTTCGTGGATTGTCATTTTCGTGATCGGAGCACTGGTCGGACCGGAAATCGGTTCGTGCCTCAACTAGCGTAAAAACTGTAATGTATCTCTGTTGCCAGTAGAGATATCGCAAAATTGTCAACTGATAAAATGTAGCAAACTTCTTAATGTGCATAATATTAGTTGTCAACTTTTTGATATCTCAACCGGCGCTGAGATATATTGCTTCGAATGAACGGTATTGAGGGGACCATCATACGAATCCTTGTTTGCAGATAAGGATTACTACAAAGACTTCTTCATCCATTCGGATCGGCGCGTGGAGTATAAAGAGTTAGTCTTGCCCTTCTGCAACTTCTTCCAACTTTAACTTCCAGAATCCCCCTTCTTCAGTGTGAAATCGACGGCTCCAATCAGAAGAACACCTCCTCCTTTCCTTTTACGCTCTCTATAAAAAGTACGCGGAGAAACGGATGACCGGCTCGGAGGGTCTCTCCGACGGACAGCTCCGTCTCATGTCCGCGTTCCTCTACGAAGAGTACATCGTCGTGACGCACACGGCGCAGAACCCGAAGGGCGTCGGCCGTCCCGCTTTCTGCCACTATTTCGATTGCCATCGTCGAGAGATTCCCGCAACTGTTTTCGAGTCGTTCGTCTTTCCGATGACTGCGGTCCACTGTCCGCGGAGAGCGGGCGCCCAGTACATGTCGTTGACTTTCGCGGAGAATGAGACTGCTCAGGAGCCAGTGCCTCTCATCAATCGGGCTTTCAAGCGTATGACCTGGAAATCAGAACGCCAAGACATTTTTCTTGTACAGATCCGCAGCACGAAGTCGGAGTTTGTGTGGGACAAATTTACGGCGCCGAGAAGAAGTGGTTGGAGATCATTGAGTTCGTAGAGCATCACAAGATGATGGGCGCCACCATGTTCTACTTCACAATTCTGGAGATGGACACGTACTCGAAACGGACAATAGAGGACTATCAACGACTCGGCGAGATTGAAGCCACGTTTGTGAACACCGAGTACGAGAAGATCAACTGGCTCTTCCATATGATTCAGATTCATGTAAGACGGATATTATCCGTTCGCTATTATCCTCTTATATACTTGCTATTCAGGAATGCTTCTTCCGCAGTAAGTTCCATTCGAAATGGGTCATCAACATTGATATTGACGAGCGATTGACCATGACCCAGATGCCGTTGCTCTCTTATTTGAGGTCACTTTATTCTAAAAACCACAAACTATTCCTCTTCTTTTCCAGACAACAACCCCCTGGGACGTGTGAGATTGACTTCGGCAGCCGTCGAGTCCAGAAAGTGGGAACGGACCCGGAGCACTATCAGTCGGACGCTCAGATCCTTTCCGAAATGGCATTCCTCCGCTACAACGTGACGACGACGCACCAATGGGGCGCGTTTAAGGCGATCTTCCGACCGGATAAAGTCCACATGATCTTCTTCCATTGGACGTGGCGTCAACAGGACGGATGCGTGATCAAGACGGCGGAGAGAAGAGTCGGATACGTTCGACACTATCGGACGATTTCCGAGCAGAGTCTCGCCGGCAACTGGGTCCAGAAGATCAAGCCTTATCAGATCACACGGATAGATTCACAGTTTGCCGAGAAGCTCAGAGAGAAGGTTTTGAGGCGCGTCAAGTTCCTGTACGAGCTTCATCCCGTCTACTGCGATACGATCGATCCGTGGATTCGGAAAGTTTTCGCAAATGATATGCATTGTGTGTAGTTCGATCCGAGTTAATAATGATAAAGATAGACATCGGTGCTTTTTTCTGTAAAATGTTTGGTAAAGTGTGTGTTCTGCAATGTCCACAAACTGCTGAGTGCCTTGTTGGCTATCGGATGTTTTTTGAGAGCGGAGGCCAAATCTGAAAAGCATGGGGGAGGGGAAGTTTGTGTGACCTTTTCCAACATTCATGATTCGAAAAGAGGAGGAAATGTTTTGTGGCGCAACCAATGAATTGCTGAGTGGATCTTCTGCGTCACACAACTTAATCTTAATCTTCCACTTGCACACGTTGTTTTCTTTTCTTCTAGAGCTAATTTTCTTTCGAAGGGTGTCTTCTGAATAATCCCTGAGAGCTGGTTTATGGTTTCCAGTTTACGTCAGCTCACATTTTGTCCTAAATATCAAAAGAGGCTTTGTGTGGCATTTCCTTCTTAAAATCTTCCGATTTCCACAGATTACCATCCCTTTTTAAAGCTTCTGTTTAGCTCAGAGAGCTCGCTTCTTGCCATCGATAAGCATCGAATCTTTCCTCCGTTTTGTTGACAAACTTTAAACCGTCGTCTCCCATTTTTTGGCACACTCTGACCGCAACGTGTTTGTACAAACACAAAGTACGGCAGAGTAAAGACGGAGGGGATTTCTCGTCGGAATGTCATTGAAACTGATGTTTTTCAGAAAACAATGCACGGGCTCCAGGGGCTTCTTTTCGTGATGATTCTGGTGCTGGGGACCGGCGTCGAAGGCTACGGAAACCTGCCGATGGGCAAGCGGCAGGTGGACATGCGATCGTTCAGTCTTTACGATCTTCCCGACGACTATCATCTGGCGCCGAATGAGGACGGTAAGAGCGTCGGCCACGCGATCCTTTTTCTAACCGTCTTAATATTACAGTCCAACGTCATCAACACTTGGTCAACCCGAAGCCCGGATACATCACCGCCTTCTACCCGATCTACGACTTTGGCAGACGACGTTAACAGTTTTTCGTATTTTGATCGTTTCGCGCACAACAAATAAACCGTGTTCTTTTCGCTCATTCTCATCATTTTCTCGCTTGGTCAATATGATGACGTGGCACAGAGAAATTGTGACCGCAGGAGGTGACTAAGCGGGAGAGCCCAGAAGGGATCATCACGGTGGAAAAAAGAGGGACGAATGTTTGATTGTACCTGCACAAACACTGGATTCCCATTTACCCGTTGTGTTTGTACGCCAAACTCACTTGTGGGAACCAAATTATGAAAGTGAAAATAGGTTTCAAAGTAAGAACATATATCTCGAGGGCATTTGGAACAAAAAGATACTGAATGTTATCATGAATCGACTGCTTGTTGTTCCCTACAGAATTATCTTGTTCAGATTCAGATTGCGTGCCAAACTGCTCGCTGATATTGTACTTCTATCGGAGTCTACAATCAAGTGCACAACTATAGCCTTGTTTGAATTCCCAAACGTGCTATGCTCGCGGTTTGACACCGTCAATTAGAAGACAAACAGAGGTGACATTGGGAATTCTGAGTACACGCATTGTGACTTGGAATCCGTGGCTAGTCTGTTCAGAAGGAGCTGACCAGACATTATCATTCCTTTGAAAATTTAACCGATTTGTCTACAGAATATGTTCAAAATGTTTATTCTTTTCAGCGTAAAATCCGTTAAAATTAGATTTCCACACACGTTTAGAGAGGGCGAAAGCGGCAAAAAAAACACCTGTTCATAAAATTGGAGGAATTTCACGGTCAAAGACTCGATTTCAGGCTCCGTTTCGGCGGAGAATTGTGTTCAGCCACCTGCTGAAACTTCAAACGGCGTGTTGTTGTTTATGTTTGTGCCCTAGCTTTGCTTCAAAAGACTGCAAAGTTCTAGGTTACTGTAGGAGTTGAAGATCAGTCGAGGCTCAAACCATAAACATCTCTCTCATTCTGATTCATTCGAAGAAGACAACATTCAATTTCCAAATGACACGTTCTCCTTCTTCTTCTTCTCCGTCAAATTGCCCGTTTCCAGTGCCAGTGTCTGCCGCTTCTTGCCCCAAATTCTCAGAATGAGCTCTCCTCCGAACACAACGACGATTGTGTACGATATCACCACGTGGCCGAATGCTCTTGCTTCTGCCATCATGTTCATGGTACGTACAGTACCTCACTCAGTTGAAGTTTATTAATTTCCAGAGCGCAGTGCTCGGCATCGTCTTCAACTTTGCCATCGTCTACGGTTTCATCAAAGACCTGAGGCAGAAGACGGCGTTCAATTTGATATGTTTCTTCCGCGCAGCAAACAACTTGATGTACCTGTGTGTCGGGAATCTAGGGGTGTACATTCCGATCACCGTAATGTAAGTTATTCCATCGGATGATGTTCCAAAGTAGCCTGATTCAGGGGTTCCACTCCGTACCCCCCGATGATCGAGACCGTTCTCATCATATTTGCCATAAATCTGCCCATCTACAACGAGTTCCAAGGCATTTACATCGCAATCAACCGCGCTGTCGCCGTCTTCACCACCCACTACTATCGGAAACTTTTCAAGCTCAAGTTCGTGCTCGCCTTCCACATTCTCTATTATTTGGATCGTATTCGGAATGTCACCTTCGAATCTATCGACAGAAATGGTAAATGTACGAGGACTGTGTTAGTGCTACCGTAACCGTTCAGCCGCCTCCAAGTACTTGCTCTTCTCCTCTCAATACATCTCGTACGGTGGGCTGCAAGTGACACCGGATGGAATGTTCAAGATTGCGCTCGCCTTGATCATTTTCCCATTCCTCATAAATGCTATCATTTTCGCAAAGCTTTATTATCTGGTAACTTGGATTTTATTGAAGAAACAATCATGATTCATGTCATTCAGAAGAAAGACATTCAGAAGAAAAGAGTGTCTGGTAATTTAGAACACAGCCAAGAGGCCAAACAGAACATGAAGCTCTTCATTCAAACTGTGCTCCAGGACTCGTTATTTTCAATCAGTGTCATCTTCACATTGAAGTTGAAGTACGTTGTTGTTGCTATCAACTGAAAATGCATACGGATTGAACCATTCCAGCACACTAGTATCGCACCGCTTCTGGACATTCTTCAGTGTCACCTACACATCAGAGCTCGTGCACGTCCTCGATGGGTGAGTTCACATCTTCAACCCGTCTAACATGCCCCATTCAGATTCATAATGCTCATGTTCAACGAGCGACTTTCACTTCTCAAAAACGTGCTGCCCAACCGAAAAACTCCGAACGAAACGTCAGCGAAACAGCCGTCGGTGAAAGTGATGTCGATTGCAGACGTTGCATCATAATTCGACCCTTTACGATAATTATGCTTTTCATGCGAAGCCACTTGCTGTTTATCTTTTGACTGATTTCCGAACATTGGACTTTGCACGGATTGCAAAACTTGAATCAACTAATGTAAAAGTCAACAACGACTTGTGACCGTCTAGCGCTAAAATTACTCAAAGGTGGCAAATTAAAGCGATATTATCAGTATTTAGATGTAGTTCAAGTTATTTGCTCGGCGACGACTGGGGCACCACTTTGTTCGGCGGAGATTCCTTCTCTTTGGCGGCCGCCTTTTGCATCTCGTACTCCTGAAAACTTTCACAGCTGCCAAGCACGACACCTCTTCTTCAATACCCTGAGCATCTTCTGTCCGGTCTCATGGACTTTTCCGTAATGTTTTCTGTAGAACGAGTCCATTCGCATCGTCTTTTCGTCGCAAAACAGTGCGTCCCAGAGGGTCTGCGGTTGCGGTGCTTCGCGTTGTTCCCCATCCCCAGGGGTCAGACAGTCGTCCGTGTTGACCGGCATTCCGAAGGTGAACACGGGCGGATCCACCTCCAGAATGTTGCGAGCTTCGAAGAAAATCACCTGCAGATGAATGGGGTGTATTCGGGACAAAAACCAAAGCGATACCTCTCGTCTTGTCATCTTTTTGCCGTGAATCTTGATCCAAGTAGAGCACGCCAGCATCGAGAAGACGGCCAGAAAACTCGTGAAAAAGTTAGGGTAAATGGACAAGAGAATCACTGAAAACACAGAAATCTTGGAGGTATTCGGTTAAAAGTGAATACCAGACAGCCCGAAAGTGATCTGCATGAGAAGAGAGACGGCGAAGTTGAACTCGTCGCGGAATCCCTTGAAGTCGTCGGGCGGGCAGTGCTCTCGCGGATTCCCCCAATTGAAAGAGATATTGCCGTCCGTATCATCTTGTGAATCCATTTTTGTCGAAATTCAGAAATCGGATAATCCACACGCTACACAAAGAAATGCGAAGAAATGCGCAGTCTTTGTCTAAGAAACACGCAAAAATGGGAAAGGTCGAGATTGTTTTAGTAAATCAGAAAAATCTGGGCAAACTAATCTGGTCGAATAATAAATATTTATGATCGAAAGAAAGACAGCTGAAACAGGAACATCAATACAATACACGTCTACACAAACTGGGAAAGCGTCACAAAAAGACTAGAACATTCAGCCCCATGTCTTCGGAGTCAAATTGCTCTCCCTATCATGTTGATGTCGGAGGAAGACGTTGAGAAGACGTCCCACTTGGGTGCTGATCGTCGTCATGTACGGCTCGACGGTCCCCGTGAATTTCTGCCAGAATACGTGCCAATCCTGCTCCACACCCTCATCAAGAAGCTGACTGCGAAGCTGAAAACAACATTGTATGGCCTGTTCGCAGAATTCTGAATACAGTACCCGAATCCACGTGTCGCTCATTTGTTTCCAAATTGTTCGGTATGTTGCATAGACATCCTGTTGAAGTGAGGCTTGCATTGCTTTCTGAAACAGTTATCCTTGGTTTCTATGTGGCATGCGGGTAAGTTACGTATAACTGCGCCTGACTGTAAGCGGACGTTGTTGCTGAGAATGTTAATGGACGGGCTTGCGTTGGCATTTGCACTTCGTACTTGAACTCTGAGAAGAATGTTGAAGTATGTTTTATGGTACTGTTAAACACCTTGCACATTATTGTTGTGAACAGTGGGACCGGGAAGCGACATGACGAATGCGGAGGGGTTGAATGGCCGGAGCGTCGGGAAGCTCTTCATCGGATTCAATTTCGGCGAGGGGGTGGTGAAGGTGAAGGTGATCGGTTCGAGGGTCATCCGATCTGGGTGAAACATGGTAAACTGCGAACATTATTTCTTTAGTTGGGATTGCTGTTGCTCATGAAAGTGAAGAATTTCAATTTGAAAACTCACTTCCAAAAATGGGTACATATCCGGTCTGAACGTTCGGCAGAATGGGTACGGCATGGGTGTAGTAGAAGACAGTGAACAGTTGAAGGATCGGGATCTGAAACAGGTCACATCGTCTAGAAGGTTCTTCTTATGATCTCTACAACAGAAACTAACCGTAAGCGCCGCATAATAATGATCGTGTAGGGTATCAAGTTGGAAAAGCAGAAAAGCGGATGGCTTATGGTGAAAACAGGCGGGTCTCTACTTGCACAAAAGTGGGCAGCCGTCAATGGTATGGTAATTGAATACCCCAGCACCCCGTTGGCCAACTTATTCACAGACTTCTTCGGAGAATTCAAGTAAAAACAAACACGTCGACGAGCATGCACAACAAACACGCCACGCGCTCTAAATGGTTAGGGCGCTGCGCAAACAGGCGTTCGATTCCAAAACTTGAGCGCGGCTCAAAAGAGCACCTGGAGAGCAAAATGAGAGAAGAGCGGAAGTGCAGAGGAGCACATTAAAACAATGCGGCCGCGGAAATTTGATGAGATGAGAGAGGCGGAAAACGGAAAACGGAAAACGGGACGAGCGGTCATTTTTTTCCCCAAAACGAGCGTGGGAAGTGAGGAGGAAATGAAAAGTGATATTATGGGGCCACTTGAGAATGTCGCGAACTGCAACTGTTGGTTGACACCTTAGTCTCGATGACCGGAAAAGTTCAAAAAGAGCCAGTGGATCAGAGCACACAGTTGACCCGTACGTCACACACTGAAGTTCGAACGTCCTGAGTTATGGATAGTGCAAAGATCCGACCATGGGGAACATTTTCTCAAAGTGCCAGATTGTACAGCTGAAAGCCCTGCGCATGCTCAAAATATTGTAGTTTTAAGGATTATGGTACGCACAGTTCCCGTGAATACTGTAATAGAAGGGCACCGCAATACCGTTTGTTCAGGACAGCGTCATTGGGGTGCCCTTCAATTTCAGTATTTACGGTAAAGCTCAGTTTCCGAATGACCTAACAGAACAAGAAAGTCACGTACCGCAACAGATCCATTGCTCGCAGCGGACTCCCTCGGCTCTTGGATTGCACAAAAGTGAGAACTGCTTCCGTTCGGCGCCTTCCGCCCCCTTTCCGCGGTCTCCTCCGTCTCCTCCTCCCCGTTTACATTCGAGATTATCAAAATGTTTCGCCGCGACGGAACAATTGAATGGAACCGAGCGAATGAATGAATGTTTCCTGTGATGCACATCTTTTTTGTTTCTCGTAAATCGAATGGATGGAAGGAACCGAAGGACGTGACGTTCACTTTTCCGTCTGTGTTTGTGACGTGGCAAGAGCAAGTCATAATTCCATGTCAACATCATCTCACCGTCCATATACAAACGGATCACGCTTGCAACTAATTGCACCGCGCATCCGGTTCTACATGCCATCCGAGTACCCCCCAACTTTTCCGCTTTCCGTACACATCATTGCGCAACTTCTCCTTCTTTTTACTTTTCCAATGTGATGAAACTATCCGTTTCCAACCTAACTCTCTTCCTCTCACTGTTATCATCTGGCACAGTCGAGTCCGGAGATCCTTTGGAATCGCTCATCAGAAACGGATGGCTGATGATCCGGGATTACGGCGAGAAGGTGATCGCGAACATCGCCATTCCCAGAACTTCCGATATTCCTGAAGGCGTTGGCGCTTTTCAGTTGGATCCTGATAAAAAGAAGGCTCTGGACACTATTTCACAGGTTCGCAAGGGGCTGAACAATGGGTTTGGCCTGAGATCCGATCGTATAACTGCTCGAACCTTTCAGATGATGAATACTTGCCCCCAAGTTTTTCCAATTCAAGATCTGAAAGGTCTTTGGCATGCGACACGTATCAGCAAAAGAATGCTGCACACGACCTTCAACGACATCGACGAAGTCATTCAAAAACTATCATCTGGACAATCGGTCAGCTCTCGAAAGTCTCTATTTTCCCTCTTCCAATCCGATCCGATAATGAGATGTTTCCAGATGAACGGTGAGTGTTCTGCCCTTTGAATCCTTCTGATTTCTCTTTTTCTCAGTGCTGGATGACACGCCGTCTTCTCCGTTCGAATTCTCATATGTCTCCACAGACAGCCAACGCAAATCCATCATCGGGCAAGTCTCCCGTGCCTCCCCATCCCAACTGTCTCTCCATTTGGCTTCCATAATTGACATCCCGCTCTCGGCCGTCCACGTCACTCCGACATCTCTGATCCTCTCGCAAACCGACACTATTCCCGCGCCGTGCGACAGTTATCTCGTGCTTCGCAGAAATCCGAACACTTCCGCGGATCCTGGAATCGACGAGATTCTGTCGAGTCTCGGTGCCACCTCGGCCTCCAACCCCATTATACATTTGACCCATTGTAATGATTTACCCGCTAAAATCCCATCCGAAACTCATTCGATTATTAGGCCAGCTTCACAAGTTTCTGCTGATTCAAAATCTCGATTTACTACCAAATTGTTATGAAGTTATGTGTTATTTTTTCAATTTTCTCCCCCCAAAACACAAGTTTTTGCTTTCAGCTTCTGGGTGTTACAACACTGAAAAAAAACAGACAGAAAACCAGAACGGCGATAAAAATCGTATCATTTTGTTGTTGTTTTTGAGAACGACCCATTTGAAGCTTTTTGTTCAAATATAAAAAGAGAAGAGCCGCCCGGAACAGTCACTTCACCCTCAACTTTTTCTCTTTATTCCGAACTTGCAAGTAAGTCCGACTCTTCCGTTCTTATAATCTTCTGAATTATTGTAGAGATGAAGCTTCTTCTGATCTTGGCATCTTCTGTTCTGATCCTCTCGGTTGATGCGGACTATGCGAGCGGAGGAAGTGGCGGAGGAGGAGGCTACTCTGGAGGGGCTCCACCCGCCGAGTCTGCTCCTGGACCAGCAGCGGAGCCAGCGTCTGCTCCCGAAGCTGCCCCTGCTCAAGCTGGCGACGCCGGAGGATACGCAACTGCCGCTGGAGGTGGTGGTGGAGGATCTTACCCGGCCAAGAAGCGAGTTGCCCGTGCCTACGCAGAAGGTGGACCTGCCGGATCTTCGATATCTACCGATGCTGCTCCAGCTGAGCCGGCCTCTGCTCCTGAAGCTGGCCCTGCTCCTGAAGCTGGCCCTGCTCCTGAAGCTGGCCCTGCTCCTGAGGCAGCTCCAACCGCCAATGCTGGAGGATACGCAGCTGCCGCCGGAGGAGGAGGTGGAGGGTCTTACCCGGCCAAGAAAGTGATGAGATTCTCCCGCATTGCCGTCTAACTTTCACGGATTCAACAACTCGATCTTTCTAACTGTCACCGGTTTCTTCTTTTTCTTCTTATACGGTTTCTATGAATCCATTAAACTTTCGTGCATTCAAATACGTATAGCGTTGCTCGAAGATTGAACAGATCAACCCGTTCGACACATCAGTTCACTGTAATCGTCATTAATTCGTTTCAATCATTTCCCTGTTCTTTTCTCCGCCTTTTTTCAATGACAAACCGCGGCGCGAAGTAAGGTTTATCGAGAATGCAAGTCGACAGGCAAGTCGTTTTCTGTTCGAAAAAAGAAAGAAGATAGGAGGCTGCCGTTCTGATCATCTCTAAGACGACGGTATTTGGGTGAAAGTTGTCCATCTCCATCATCAATCACTTGCACGAATTTTTGACCGGAAAAGTTACGTCGGGCAAAGGGAAATGGTCAGATTTGGGCAGGAAAAAATGAAGGAAGGCGGAGTCAGATACAGTCAAAAAAGGAAGGCGATTTGGTGACCGATAGTTAACCTACCTCCACTGCCCAATATTTAAAAATGCTCAATCTCTCTATTCTCCTGAATTTTATCGTCTCGCTGAGAAATAGGTCAGTTATCGATGCCTGGAGAGCTTGCAATGTTCACTGGTTTTAGAAAGAAGTATTCGAAAGGACAAGTAATTAAAGCTCAACCATTTTCATTTTGGGAAGATGATTATGTACTTTGGGACTTTGGAGACAACAAACCGCCAAAGCCAACAAGAAAACCGAATCCAGATTACGTAGCTATGGACTTTGATGGCGAGCATCCGAGGCTCCTGGATCCCGACTCCGAAACGGCCAAACTGGCAACAAAGTATGACAACTCCGGAACATGTTAGTTGGAAAAGAAACAAAGGCGCAAAAAGAGACGTTTCTTTAGTGACCGTATCCCAATTACACCGCCAGTGTCCGTTCGTTCTGTTCGGCAGGACTCGTGCAGATGGCATACGCATTCTGAAGTCCATTGATCATTTTCCCGGTATGTTCCTTACTTCCTACTGCGACGGAGAGCACTTCTTGGCCTACGTTGCAAAGGACTATTCCATTAATGTTGTCCGAATCGGGCATAGAGGAAGAGAGGGAGAAGATCTCAAGTTCGTGCTGCATAATCCAAAAAAACAGTTTGAGTTGGTTGCCACTTATTGTAATTCTTCGAATCAATTAATTTGCAGAAACTTGATAGACTTGACTTCTTATTACAAAGCGCACAAGTGCAGGCTACTGGGAATCCGGCTCACCGAGGGAATCCCACCTCCAAACAGGAATGACTATTGAACTACTTGTAAATGTGCTCGTTTGTCATACTTTCAATTTTCCATTTGAATAAAAGCGTCTTCTGCATCACACTGTAGCTGCGAAATCATCTTGTCATCCATCAACCTTTGTCTATTCCCCGTTTCGTCGCCATCGTTAGCCAATCTCATGACCGCACTGGAAAAAGGAATACGACAGATCTCTAAATTAAACGTTTTCTGAGCCACAACCTGAACGGTCAACAACAAGGTATTCTCCTTAATTTCCTAGCATATCTCGTTTGAGAATCTTCAGCGGCGGAAGAACACAACCTACAAAAGAAATGATTGATGCGAAGCGGCGTCAAAAACCGTTTGTCTTGTGATTCTGGCATTCCTTCGTTTACTATGCGGAACACTGAAAAGTCCGTTCTCCGCAGGGCGTGCCGACCTTCGTGGGTGGTCTGATCTAATCATCTACAAATGCGTTTCGACGTGACTTCCTTTGAACCGAACCTTTTGTTAATGAATCCAAGTTGCGTACAACAGCAAATGTAGACAACTTGAGTCTCGTCACCTCAAGGACACCCCTGGAAATGAAATCAAATGATAACCATTATACTCATAAAAAAGAAGAGAGGGTAGGAACAGACCGGAAGTTGTTGGTAACTTTGAAGGAAGTTATACAAAAGAATAATAATTTTATAAGGCACTGAACTCTGACATTCTGCACTAGAAACCCCAAACACTTACATAGTGTTTTGTTTAGCGGTCATCATCATTTATCAAAAAACGGTTGTTTGTGAGCTGATAAGCAGAAGAATGTAGGCGTTCAAAACATGATTACGTGGAGGAAATCGCTATAAAACACTTCATAACAAGGCCTTTTTGAGTTGACTCATTCACTGATTATGTTTCTCCTGTTTTGCTTATTTCTTCGGGTTCTAAGTGCACCCGAGATTGAGGAATCTTTGGATGCTGTCAGTTTAAAAAATTGATTCACCGTAGAAACAAGACAATTCTAGGCAGAGACAATAGCGCATTACGGTTATCCAGTAGAAAGACATTACGTGCAAACTGACGACGGCTACATCAGTGAAGTTCAACGGATACCGTACGGCAGAGATTGTAAGTGAGACTCCGGCCATGAACTCCGCACACTTCCCCAGCTCGTCCGATCGAGGGATGCAAGACGCGTCCGGTGGTCTTCTTCATGCACGGACTGTTTGCCACGTCCTACGAGTACCTCTTCAACTTGCCCTCCCAGAGTCCCGCATACATTTCGCCGACGCCGGCTTCGACGTCTGGTTGGGAAATGTGCGAGGCAATCAGTACGGACTCAATCATACCGTTCTCAACTCCAGCGAACCTGGATTCTGGAACTTTAGGTAATCGTTTTTAGAGGAAATTCACTTTAACGGATGAATTCAGTTTGTACGAGTATGCACACTACGATCTGCGGCAACAAATTGAATATGCCCTCAAGGAGACCGGCCACGATTCCCTGTTCTACGTCGGTCACAGCCAAGGGACCACTGTAATGTTCGCTCGTTTGGCAGAAGCCGACACGGCCTGGCAGAACAAAATACGCATTTTCTTCGCTTTAGGCCCCACCGCCGGCTTTCTGACGCCCTCGATGCCGTTGACGTTGCTGGAAATACATGACTTGCAGAAATTGATTCAAGTAAAGTGTTTATTGCATTTTCAAACCATCCAACTCCATTTTTACAGTTCGTTCTCGACGGCAAATTCGGTGTTCTCCCAGTGGCACTTCCTCATTCGATATCCAAGACTCTTGCGGACTTTTGCTCGACAGAAAATTTGCTTCCGGTGTGTTCGGTCGGATTTCGAATAACTTCCGGCGTTGAGAAGTTGGGACAGCTCAATGTGGTAAATTTGTGCGAATGTGGGAAACATTGAAGAAAGTTCGAATTGAATTTGCAGTCGAGAATTCCCATAATTGTCAGTCATTTCCCATCCTCCACTTCTACTTTGAACATACTTCACTGGATGCAGATATTCAAATTCCACGAGCTCAGAAAGTTGGATTTGGGTCCTGATCGGAATCTGATTGCCTATGGACAAACGGAGGCGCCGAAGCTGGATATTGGAAAGATCAAGCCCAAACGATTTTGTATTTCAGGTATGGTAATATCGATTTTTATGGATTGAATCAGCTTAGGTTTTATTTCCAGCAAAGATGACCAAGTGACCGACGAGCTGGACGTTCGAGAGATTCTGATAAAACAAATGGGACCGGGACTGATCGAGTATTACGATCTGGACCACTTCTCGCACATTGACTTTGTCGTCGGCCTGAGAGCCAACGACGAGGTTTACAGACCGATAATCTACCGGATTTATAAAGAGTTATCTAATAAAGGATGTTGATTTGAACTGAAAATTAAGGGAAAAGTAGTATCAGCAGCATCGGAACAAATTGTGAAACCAGAAGCCGAGGTACAGACAAACCACTACCAGTTCGTGTGATAAATATCAAGACCAGGTCAAAGGGCATGTTGTTTTGCAGGGAACCCGTTTGGCCATTACTCTCTTACAAAAACGTTCGTATAAATAGGAGACGGGCGGTGTCGTTTCCCACACCCTTCTTCATTTCGAAGTCTGCAAGGATGAGATTGAAGGTGTTCGTTCTCTCCACTGCACTTCTCGTGAACTCCGTCATTGGCGGTGAGTTTTGTGCTGACTACAGTTTGGTTCGAATACAATATTTGTTTTAGGAGGCAGTGGAAGTTACGCATCTGCAGGCGGTGGAGGCGGTGGAGGAGGATACCCGACTTCGGGTGGAGGAGGCAGAGGATACGCTTCGGCTGCTGGAGGCGGAGGAGGTGGGGGATATGCTGCCGCGTCGGCGCCACCGCCACCAGCTCCTGCTCCAGCGTTTTCTGGAGGATACGCTTCTGCTGCAGGAGGTGGAGGAGGATCATCGGGAGGATACTCTGGAGGAGCAGCCGGAGGAGGATCATCGGGAGGATACTCTGGAGGAGCGGCTGCTGCGCCACCACCGCCGCCGCCACCGCCACCACCGCCGCCAGCGCCGGCTCCGGCTCCATCTGGAGGGGGATACTCAGGAGGAGCAGCCGGAGGAGGTGGAGGATCATCGGGTGGATACTCAGGAGGAGCAACCGGAGGAGGAGGAGGATCATCGGGTGGATACTCTGGAGGAGCAGCTTCCGCACCACCACCACCGCCGCCACCGCCACCACCGCCGCCAGCGCCGGCTCCGGCTCCATCTGGAGGAGGATACTCAGGAGGAGCGACCGGAGGAGGTGGAGGATCATCGGGTGGATACTCTGAGGAGCAGCCGCAGTGCTGCAGCACCATCCCCGCCACTGCCGCCGCCACCGCCGCCAGCGCCGGCTGGAGGCTCCATCTGGGGGTGGGATACTCAGGAGGAGCAACCCGGGGAGGAGGAGGATCATCGGGTGGATACTCTGGAGGAGCAGCTTCCGCACCACCACCACCGCCGCCACCGCCACCACCGCCGCCAGCGCCGGCTCCGGCTCCATCTGGAGGAGGATACTCAGGAGGAGCGACCGGAGGAGGTGGAGGATCATCGGGTGGATACTCATGAGGAGCAGCCGCTGCTGAGCGACCACCCGGGTGCCACTCGCCGCCACCTGCCGCCACCACCGCCACCGCCGCCGCCACCGCCGCCAGCGCCGGCTCCGGCTCCATCTGGAGGAGGATACTCAGGAGGAGCGACCGGAGGAGGTGGAGGATCATCGGGTGGATACTCTGGAGCAGCCGCTGCTGCGCCACCACCGCCACCGCCGCCGCCACCGCCGCCAGCGCCGGCTCCGGCTCCATCTGGAGGGGGATACTCAGGAGGAGCAGCCGGAGGAGGATCATCGGGTGGATACTCTGGAGGAGCAGCTTCCGCACCGCCGCCACCGCCGCCACCGCCGCCAGCGCCGGCTCCGGCTTCATCTGGAGGGGGATACTCAGGAGGAGCGACCGGAGGAGGATCATCGGGTGGATACTCAGGTGGAGCCTCTGCTGCGCCACCACGCCGCCGCCACCGCCGCCAGCGCCGGCTCCGGCTCCATCTGGAGGGGGATACTCAGGAGGAGCAGCCGGAGGAGGTGGAGGATCATCGGGTGGATACTCTGGAGCAGCCGCTGCTGCGCCACCACCGCCACCGCCGCCGCCACCGCCGCCAGCGCCGGCTCCGGCTCCATCTGGAGGGGGATACTCAGGAGGAGCAGCCGGAGGAGGATCATCGGGTGGATACTCTGGAGGAGCAGCTTCCGCACCGCCGCCACCGCCGCCACCGCCGCCAGCGCCGGCTCCGGCTTCATCTGGAGGGAGGGATACTCAGGAGGAGCGACCGGAGGAGGAGGATCATCGGGTGGATACTCAGGTGGAGCCTCTGCTGCGCCACCACCGCCGCCGCCACCGCCGCCAGCGCCGGCTCCGGCTCCATCTGGAGGGGATACTCAGGAGGAGCAGCCGGAGGAGGTGGAGGATCATCGGGTGGATACTCAGGAGGAGCAGCCGGAGGAGGTGGAGGATCATCGGGAGGATACTCAGGAGGAGCAGCTTCCGCACCGCCGCCACCGCCACCACCGCCACCGCCACCACCGCCGCCAGCGCCGGCTCCGGCTCCATCTGGAGGGGGATACTCAGGAGGAGGAGGAGCCGGAGGAGGTGGAGGATCATCGGGTGGATACTCAGGAGCAGCAGCTTCCGCGCCACCACCATCGCCGCCAGCTCCATCAGGAGGAAGGTATTCTGGAAGCGCAGCAGGAGGAGGAGGTCCAACCGGCGGAAGCGGCTACTCTGGAAGCCGCATCGCCCGTCATCGTGTCTTCTAGATTGGTCCAATTCACTAACACCCCATCATTTGCTTGTGTCTTTTATTTTTTGACGTGTACTACTGCTCTGTCATAATTTTTCACAAATAAACTTGTTCTTTTGAACTCAGGTCTCAATTTGTCAGAAAAGTTTTTTAGCATTATCACTTTGAGTATTTCGTTCTTGTTCAAATCTGCATATCTACTTGGTTCGAATGTTCTCGCGTCTTCCGCTTTTCCGACGTGGATCCGCAGTGCTCGGCGTCTCTGCCGGAATCTATGTGGCCACGTGGCAGAATACTCGCACCGGGCTCTCCAAAATCCACGTGGCTTCGTCTTCCTTGTCGGTCGAAGCCTTCAAACAACCTCTACCGGCTCGAGAATCTCTCGTCGACTCGTTGAAAGACGAACAGTTCGATGTGCTGGTCATTGGCGGCGGATCGGCCGGAGCCGGAGTCGTGCTCGACGCGCAGACACGTGGATTGAAGAGTGCGATGGTGGAATACGGAGACTATTGCTGCGGCACTTCCTCCAAATCTTCGAAGCTTCTGCACGGAGGCGTCAAGTATCTGGAGACGGCGTTGAAAGAATTGGATTGGGAGCAGTACAGGATTGTGCAAGAGGGCCTAGACGAGCGGAAAAACGTGATGAAAGCGGCGCCGTATCTCTCGAGAACCTTTCCGGTGCTGGTGCCCACTTATAAGTGAGATATCATAAGTTTGAAATTATCACACCCAATGCTTTCTTTCAGATGGTGGCAATCGGTGTACTACTGGGGAGGCGTTAAACTTTACGACTTTCTAGCCGGCAAGGGCGTCTTGAAGCCGTCAAGATTTGTGAGCAAGGAAGAAGCGCTGGAGATCTGCCCGACAATTCGGAAAGAAGGACTCCGTGGAGCCATCTTGTACTACGACGGACAACAGAATGATGCGAGACTTGTGTTGGCGGTGGCGCTCACGGCGATCCGCAACGGGGCAAAGGTACGCAAAGTTGAGAATTCAGAAGCATGTTATGAGCATTTCAGTGCGTGAACCACACGGAATGCGTCGATCTGTTGAAGGACTCAAACGGAAAGGTCTGCGGAGCATTGGTCAGGGACCACATCACCAACGAAACCTACAAAATCCATGCGAAAACAGTCGTCAATGCGACCGGTCCGTTCAACGATCACATCCGGAAAATGGCTGATGAAGATCGGAAGCCGATGATTCTCGGGAGTTCCGGCATCCATTTGACGATCGCCAAGTATTTCTGCCCCGGAAAAACGGGCCTCATCAATCCGAAGTCTTCGGACGGTCGAGTGATCTTCGCTTTCCCCTGGGAGGACTTCACAATTGTGGGAACGACGGACGATCAAGCCACGCCGACTCATGCGCCAACAGTTTCCGAGAAGGAGATTCAGTACATTTTGAAGGAGATGAACAGAAGTTTCGAAAAGGAATGGCAGATTCGCAGGGAGGACGTGACGAGTGTCTGGTCGGGCATCCGGGGATTGGTGCTGGATCCGAGGAAGAAGGACCACAAGACACTGGCGAGAACTCACTTGATTAATGTGAGGGAACGATGAAAATATCGCAAAGTTTATTCTTTTAGGTCGGACCATCAAATCTGATCACAATTGCTGGCGGCAAACTCACCACGTTCCGTCACATGGCCGAACAGACCGTCGACAAGTTGGTCGAAGTGCACAAGCTTCAGGACCAAGCAGCGCCCTGTGCCACTCGCGGAATGATGTTCGAGGGGGGACACGAGTACAGTCCGATGCTCTACCGGTCCCTAGCTCAAAAGTACGGGCTCGAGGAGCAAGTGGCCACCCATCTGTGCCAAACTTACGGCGACAAAGCTCTCGAGGTGGTGAAGCTGTGCAAATCGACGGGCAAGAAGTTTCCTGCCATCGGACACCGTCTCCACCCCGACTTTCCGTTCCTGGAGGCCGAAGTTCGGTACGCCGTTAAAGAGTACGCCCGGATTCCGGCCGACATTCTCGCCCGCCGCACGCGTCTCTCACTTTTGAACGCACGCGCGGCACGCGAAGTGTTGCCACGTGTCGTCGCGATTATGGCCGAAGAGTTGGGATGGTCGGAAGTGGAGCAGAAGCGGCAGTACGAGGCGGCGATGAAGTTTTTGAGAGTTGAGATGGGGTTGAGCAAGCTGGGAAGAGGAGAGAAGAAGGTCGAGTTGACTAGGTATGGAAAAAGTGAGCGCTTGAAAACGGGGCTCTGATGTTTTCAGCTCGGAAAAATCGGAAATCGCGCAGAAATTCCGGCATCTGGACAAAGAGCAACGCGGACACTTCACAAGCGGAGACCTCCAACACTTTCTGACACAAACGAACCCATCCGAAAAACTGGCGACCGCGTTGGTGGAGGACGTGCTTCTGGAGGCGTCGGGTGGCAATTACTACGTGTCACGGATCGATTTGGAAGACGTAAGTGCTCTCTATTGATAATTGATAGCTGTTTCTTTATAGATCTACTTGAAAAGCAAGAGCGGATCGTTCAAGGGACGTCGTCTGATCGATCATCTCGGAGACCTCGGCGAGTCCACTTTATAAAGTATTCCTCTTCGATTTTCATCTTCTTTGAATGAATTGGATGAGTGCCAATCAAATAATGTTATCCAAATCTTTAAACATAAAATGGTCGACTATAAAGTTGTTGGGCATACAACTTTAAACAACAATTATTGGTTCCCGAGAAATTCCGAACAGTACCATACCAACTTTCATTCAATATCCTGAAAAATGAAATCGGCATATCAACAAAAAATTGATTGAAAATGTATAAAAATTATTGAAAATAAGCACTATTTAGTGCTTTAAAATTGTTATCATTTCATACTTTTAAAAAAAGTGTTGTAAATGAATTGATTCTCTGAGGGGGAACAGAGAATGAATATAGCAAAATGTCGAAAATGGTATTATAATCCCTCCTTCCTATACTACTTGCGTCAAAGATTGATTAGCCTCCATTTCATTCTTTTGTCGTGCTTTCCCAGTCATTTCCGCCCTCTTCGCACAAAACAGATGGCGTTTGGCACTCGGCCAGCATCATTTTCGACGCATGGTTAAACAGTCGCCCGCTGCCTGGCTGGACCCTTTTCGGATGGCATTGTTCTGATTCTTAAGTGGACGATTGGTTATGCAAATGACTTTCAAAGAGGGGGTCATATGCTCGAGCCGGTGTCATTGTTGTGTTCTCTGCTTTCGGTTTCTGCTTGAGTATTGTACAATTGCTAAGAGTTGCCGTTCTCGTTCATGATGCAAATAACCAATATACGATTTCAACAGAGCGCACTTCCAAATGATCCCTTTCTTACCTGTCAAGCGTGTCTAACGCCCCACTAAAAACAATAAACATATCGAATATCAGTGTCTCCTTCCCTCCTTCCTCCCGATCTCGCCCTGTTCAAACAGTAAGAGACTGTGGCGAAGAGCAGAGCAAAAGCGAAACGCTCCTGAAGACGAGAGTGTTCGGAGAAGCGAGAGACGCAGAGGTGAAGCGTGTGAAGTCGCGCAAGCTGAGAGAGCTCAGGAGCCATCCTTCAGCGCCTTTCTCTTGTCTACTAAACTTATCACTTTTTGCACCAACTTCATCATTTCCAGATGCTCCTTCTCCTCCGTCCCATTATAATTCTCATTGTCCTCTACACCTATCGGTTATCTCCGACGCTCGGCTACATGTGTCACAAGTGTGCGAGCACCGACGCAGTTTGGGTAACGCATAGAGAGCCAATGCTCCCACTCAACTGAACCGTTCAGAATTGGGTAAAGTACGGGCTTCCCGTGAGTCAAGGCGATTCGACGGTGAGCGATGACAAGTGTTTGGTGGAGAGCAAGCTGAAAAAGGACGGGGATTCGTGTGCCGGATACTGCATGACCATCAATATCACGAGAGCAGACGGAGAGAGCCAAGGAAAGACTGTCGGTGAGTTCGCAATGCCCTAAACAGTATTATTACTGACCGTTTCAGCAATGGTCCGAGACTGTCACCTCCGTACTCGAAGTCTGCCAGAGTTGAACGAAGGCGATGCGCCGCTGTGCACCTCATTCGAAAAAGTAGTGAACCGTCGCAAGTGAGTTCCCTTCGCGCTTTTTCAAACAAAGCACGATAAATCTTTGAGTGTGAACATCACCACATGCTACTGTCGAGGTCACTACTGCAATGGATTGGGATTCGCCGAGGCGACACGGCATTCGAAAGCGTTGGACCTGCCGCATAATGCGACGACGAAAGCGGAATCGAAAGGATCCACCTACTTATTTTGGTTTTTAGTGCACTTCGGGCTGTTCTCTTTTTTATTCTAGCGACTGTGCTGATACATTGGTTCAGCACGTGTAAGCGGGTGAATAAGGAGGAAGAAGAGAGCTATGAAATGGGTAGAAATGAAGGCAGAGAGGTTCTGAACACCGGTAGTTGATTTTTACTATTTTGGGTCTTGCCACCAAGATTTATTGTAACAGAAATTGTATTATTTTAGCTATGTTTACTTGATTGTTGATCTTTTTATCTTGTTTTCTTATAAAATTGCTCAATGCTTCAATAAAATATGGAATTCTAGTTCATTTCATTCAAAAAATCACAATTCCCTCCGAGAAGAGATGCAAACGCGCCCTACCGCACTCGCCGCCAAACCTCAAATTTCAAATAACGCAACACGTTTTCTCCATTTTTCACTGTTTTCTCGCGTTTTTCATCACCTCAAACATAAAACAATCGTGATAAGCGGCGAAAAATGATGGAAAACAAATTGACAGATGTTGGTTATATTGTTTGCCTCCGTTTTGTTCGCCGATCATCCGAGAAAGCCCTAAATCTTTTCTTCCTAAATAAACTAAACCTAGACGACTTTTTTGCCTGAATACTTGGCGAAAATATATGGGTTTCGAGCCGGTTTTATACACCGCGTCGGCCCTTCTTCTCATTTTCCTCATATTTCTGCTCGCCACCGCTTTATTATTGGTTCGACGCGGCAAATCGGGCAGTGTGAATCTGCAGACGGTCGTGGTGACTCACGAGAATCCGTATGTCACGATGAGTGCCAGTCGACCGGCAATGGTAAGGAATCCAGCTGTGGAACATCTGTTTTATGTGTCTGACCTTCATTCCTTCTTCGTTTTCCAATTCAACCCTTCTCTAACAATCTACTACTTTCAGTCTATTTGAGGCACACATTATTGTCATTAATGCGTTCATTTTGCAGGAAATCCCAGTGATTCTTCACAAGAAAGTCAACATGACCGAAGTCGATCAAAAGGTAAGTGACATCGGCAGAAAAATGCATTTCGGATCGATCACTGATTAACGTTTTGTCCTAAATCTTTTCTTCATTTCCAGCACCTGCCACCACACAATCCGCCTCCACCAGTGCCAAATCACCATCACACTTCGCATAACAGTTCAACCACAATAAGCTCGGCCACCAGCACCATTAACACCACCACAAGTACCACCAAGAAGCCAGCGCTGGCTGCTCCGCCCGCACCTCCTACAAACGCCAACAAAACGGTTCGAGAAACAATTGACGTGAAAAATAAACATACAGAATTCAATTTTTCAGCTCGACACTTCGGGACGCGTGATGCAGCTCAACGGACACGTCGGATTTGACTCTCTTCCTCACCAGCTCGTCAAGAAAGCCGTCGAGGCCGGATTCCAATTCAATCTGATGTGCGTCGGAGAGACGGGAATGGGAAAGACGACGTTGATAGAGTCGCTTTTCAACATGAAACTCGACTTTGAGCCGTGCAATCACGAGCTAAAGACGGTCGAGCTGAGAACCAAAACTTATGGTATTTCAGTTTAATTTCTCAAACATCTCACGACGAATTGCAATTTTTAGACGTCGCCGAGGGTGGAATACGTGTAAAACTGCGTCTCGTCGAAACTGCCGGATTCGGAGACCAACTCGATAAAGATAAAAGGCTAGGCTTTCATTACATTAATTGCGCGCTCTCAACTCGTCATATTTCAGCGCCAAAGTGATAGTCGACTATTTGGAGTCACAATTCGAAAAGTATTTGCAAGAAGAGCTGAAGCCACGTCGCATGCTCCAATATTTCGACGACTCGCGCATCCACGCATGCCTCTATTTCATATCGCCCACTGGACATGGGTAAACAGCATATTTCTCAGTCTAATAACGAATTGATATCATTTTCAGACTGAAAGCCCTCGATCTGGTGACTTTGCGTGAGCTGGCGAAGCGTGTGAATGTGATTCCAGTTATAGCGAAATCGGACACGACGTGCAAAGACGAACTGCTCCGCTTCAAGGCGAAGATTCTGAGCGAACTAAAAAGCCAGAAGATTGACATTTACACGTTCCCGACGGACGATGAGACCGTCTCGACAACCAACAACGCCATGAACACGGCCGTTCCGTTCGCCGTCGTGGGAAGTTGCGACTTCGTGAAAAAGGAGAACGGACAGCTTGTGCGCGCTCGTCAATATCCGTGGGGAATAGTCGAGGTGGAGAACGAGCAGCACTGCGACTTTGTGAAACTTCGCGAGGCTCTCCTGAGGACTAATGTGGACGAAATGCGACAGAGAACGCACGAAAATTTGTACGAGAACTACAGAAAAGATCGGCTCAGACAGATGAAGATTGGCGACGGAGAGACGGGACCGAAGATTATCGAGAAGCTCGCACAGGTAAATAAAGTGGGTCGGGGCACTGTTTCGATCTGGAAAACGCATCAGAGAGTCTACGAAACCGTGCCCCGTCGCCCTCGCTCTTTTCCCTCAATAACGACAAAGTTTCACTGATTCCAAGCGTCGCTTACAGAAACATCGCGAATATCAGGACGAGTTCGCCCGTCGAGAGCTGGCTCTGCGTGAAGAGTTTCAGAAGAAGCTCGAGTTGACCGAATCGGACATGCGAAAGGTGGAGGAGGCGTTGGGCGCGCGCGAGCGGGAGGTGAACGACGAGTACGAGAAGGAGGCGATCAAGCTGGACTCGGAGATCCGCCAGCTGACCGACGAGAGGATGAAGCTGATGGCGAAGGTGTCGAAGAAGCTCAGAAAGTGACGGTCGTGCTGTCAAATGTGAAAACGTTTTCTCTGCTTGCTGCGTTTTGTCTCAATTCTGTACCATGATATTAATCCTTCTCAATCTTACTACCACCATTTCGTTTATTGTATTTCAAATACACACTCTTTTTCGCGATCTTCACCCATTTATTTTCTCCTTAAATTTTGTTTGCAAAATCATTGTCTCGCATATTATACACGCACATTTTACTGGTATTCTCCTATAAACTGTATCCCATCGAAAAAGAAGCCGTCGCGACGATTCCATGTTCAATAAATCAGAAAAAATACAAAATTTATACATTTTAGGCGGAAAAGGAGGGCTTTACTCATAAAGTGGCATCAGTTCGGCTTGAGCAGTCGCCCGGCCCACCTCGTTCTCGCACAAAACTGTGAACGTTCCTGAAAGCTCGGAAGTTCAGCAGTAATCGGACCCAAACTCACCGAAATGGTGCATCTGAACGTATGGAATCGTGAGGCGGCACACGTCGGCCGTATCCTCGATGATGACGTCACTGAAACGCATTTTGTCCTCGTTGAACAGCCAGCATACCTGAAAAAGAGCAAAGATTTGAAAAATCTGGCATCTATGTCGCGGCCGTGGCCGAATTTTCACGTGGGATTGCTTCTGACTCACTCTCGGACGGGGACTTCCCAACAGAACACAGTCGAAGACGGCCTTTCCGCCGATGTGAATCCGCAAGTCACCGAAAACCTGCAAAAACGGTTTGAATTACATCCGTACTAGAATCTCGTACCTTCAAAAACTCGGGGGCATAGTTCCATGGATTGTTGGCGTACTTGTTCTTCGGAATCTCATACGCCAAATGATTCACTTGCTGGAAGGAAAATAACGAATTACTGTACTAGAGGCAAGCTCTGTTTGCTCTAGGATTAAAACTCTTTCGTCGAGCTGCTCAGAGATCTTTGAACAAACGTTCTTTCTCGAGCTCACCTTGGTCAACGGTGACACTTGCTGCGCGGGTCGATAAACTCCATCCACCGTGTCCACGTTCAACGTGGAATTGTACCGTCGGGGCGGTGGTTGAGGCGATGGAGAATACGACATTCCTGCAATTAAAGAATCAATCGATAACGCAAGTTTCGAGTGGAAGAGTTGGTAAGCGGGAAGCCAGGAGAGGAGAGGAGCTGGCGGAAGGGAAACGAGTGCAAACATTTTGGGAGGGATGGGTGGCCGAAAGTGCGCGGGCGGACACAAGAAGATCTCACAGTTAAGAGAACTGAGCTCTCGGAGCACACAGATCTCCGAGAGCGAAACTGTTGGCGAGTCGGAGAACTTTTCGTTCTGCGGGGGTTAGTTGGCTAAGCGCGTTCGAGATCGAGTAGGTGACAGAGTTAGGAACAGATTCGTTCTGGAAATGCGTTATTCTAGAGGTCTCTTCACTGTTAAATTGCAACTTCGTCCTAGTTTTCGATCATCTTTTCAAAGACCATGAAAATACTGTATTAGAAGAGCAGCCCAATTCAAGACTATGTATCTCAGATGTTTGCACAGATATCAAAGAGTTGTCAATTGACAAAATGTTCTTTCATACATTCAGTACATTTTCTCAATTGACAACTTTTTGATATCTCTACAAACAACTTTGATACATTGTCTTGAATGAATGATATTCGGGTGCCCTTCTATTACAGGATTTACGGTACTTCCGTCATGACCGTTCTTTGTAAGCTATTTTTTTCATAAAATAGTCAGGTCTATAACAAATATCAATTATTAATGTACTTATTCATCTCGAATCACACAGTTTGACCGGATATCTCGTGCCGAAAATTCGTTGCAAACCGATTCTGATAAGAGAAATAAAAAAACACTTCTCTCGCCCGATCACACATCCATTTCATGTCGATACGGCCGGCATTCCAACAAGAACGAAACATGTTTCACTCGGAAAAAAGAAGAAGAAGAAGAAGAAGAAAAGTAAGAATAGCGATGTGTGTGTGTGTGTTGAGAGTGTGTGGCTGCTCGTGTTGTTTGCCGATGAACTCCTTCCTTGTGCCGACTTTTGTCTTTTTCACATTTATTTACAATTTTTCGCGTATTTATTAAGCAGAAGATGCGCGGAAAGGGACAAGGGAATCGATGAAGGGCTAGGACATTTTTCGCATTTTTTCCGGGAAACCGAGCACAGCCGTCAGGTAGGTCTTCTTTTCCAAATGGTAGTTGTCCTGAAAATAGATTCACTTTCTTGCTTTTTCAATAAATACGCTCCTCTAGATTTGTGTTCTTGTTTAGGGAAATCTCGTTTCTAACCGGACCTTGTTATATTGCTAATTCTTGTAACTAGACTGATAAATGTTCTAACTACATTAACCAATCCTTGCTGGATTATGTTTAAATTGCAAAATCATCTAACTAGATTCAGAAATCGATAGCAATCTAACAAGACACGCGAATTAGCTAGCTAGCTTAACCTGAGTACGCTGCCCGAAACCCAACTCCCAGAAATGGCCTAGGAAACTTTTAGGTGTGAACGCTCTTCCGTGCTCGCTGAACCGTTCTAGTTCCAGACACGAATAGACTTACATGAAGTTTCGTGGAATTCTGAAGAACCGGAATGAAATCTTCGAAGTAGTCGACAAAGTCTTCCGATTCGATTGGCTCGCCACCCACCAGCTTCTGTTCCTGTTCGTCCCGTCCGGGCGGTCTGGCGGAGATCAAGCAGACTGATATCACGAGAACGGTGGCAAGAAAGAGCGAGTTGTGCGTGATTTGGCTCATTTTTCTGGAATCCAACACTAACTTTTCTAGAAATGACACGAGTAAAACAATGAAAAGAAAGAGGAAGCACAACAAGATTTCGTGGAGTTCTTCGTCGGCAGGAACTCTCTGATCAGAAAGGTTTCAAGATCTTTCGAATAGTTGGGAATGACTTGGGATAACGCAAAATTTCGAAAAATGGGTAACTCTAGTTTAGTGCCCCGCCATCGACCAGCTGATGAAATCTGATGTACTCGCAAAAAACGGAACGAGGAACCAACAGAAAAAAGTAATTAGTACAGTTCGTTTTGATGTTAGTCTCCAATAACATTGGTACAGTGTGAAAAGAGAGGAAAACATGAGAACAGAGAAAGAGAAAGAGAGAAATTGGTCTGATGACGGATCGTTTTGGATGGAAACGAATCGAGAGAAGGAGAGGGAGGAGAGAAGACGTCGAATGGAATGAATGACAACCTTGAGCGGTTACGGTTATTATGTTATGATCGAATTGAATTGAATCGGCCAGTAATGAGTGGACAGTGAAGTGGAAGACGGAATGAGAAGAAGAAGAAGAAGAAGAAGAAGAAGAAGAGGTCGATGCACCATGTGTACCCAAGAAAACAACATTCGTTGAATTTTTATTTACCAGAAACCTATACACCGCCGGACATAATTATAGGTTCCCTTCAATTTTTTGATGATTTCGAAATCTAGGCACTCCACCCAAACATGTTTTTCAGGGGATTTTTGGTCACTCATGGCACCACAAATGTACAAATTAAACCATAAGAGATCAGCGAGAAATTTTTGGAAAAAGTAGCTTAGGCGTTTGTTCTTAATTATAGGTTCACCACTAAAATTAACCAAAGGGTCCACTATCATGGGGGACCAAAAATCCTCTGAAAACATTTTTGGATGGAGTGCCTAGGGTTCGATATTATATGTACAAGGCAAGAATTGAGCAAAATAAGATGATAGGAAAAGTGTTTTGAACAGATCGGAGAGACAATCGGATGCGAAACGATCACAATGTGTGATAAAAGGAAGGTGAAAGTGATGAACGGCATCACGGCAGATTGATGTAGTTGACGATGATGACGTGGTAGTCGAGGAGGGTTCGGATCGCGTCCATGAATTCGTCAATGTTCTCCACGGAGAAACCGATGCGAAGTTTCGCGCCCACCTCGACCACCACGTTCGATTTGGCCGCCGAGCGAGGCGAAATTCCGCCGAGAGAGCTGAAAATGGATAGGGTTCTTGTAAATAATACTGGTTATTCAAGACAATATATCTTAGCTGCCAGTGTAAATATCAAAACGTTGTCAACTGACAAAATGTTCATTGAGAAATTCTCTACATTTTATTAATTAACAACTTTTTGATATCTTTATTGACATTGAAGATACGTTGTTTCAAATGAACGGTATTGGGGTGCCATTCTGTCACAGTATTTACGGTACTCTACTACTGTAGTTCTGAGTTAGTGTACTTCTTTCATCTTGTTATGTTATTCAGAGAACAGTCTATGTTTTTGTTTTTAATTACCCTGTTTTCCGATATATATATCTATACAATTTCCGTGTCTAGAAATCATGTTATGTACCCGAAAATCTCATCGTTCGTAACCTACAGTAGTCAAAACAATTTGTCTCGGTTGATTGAAGAGATATTAAAAAATGGTCAACTAATAGAATGTAAACAACATTTTAATGAGCATTTTAGCAGTTGACATCTTTTCGATATCTCTACCGGCAACTGAGATAAATCGTCTTGAAGAATCGTCGTCATTGCTCACTCTATAGATCTGCTAAGTGTTCGCCTAAAGTGCCTGATGATCTCCCCCGCGTTTCAAACACCTCAAATCGGATTTGAGCAGCTCACCGTTTCACGTCGAGAGCCCAGTAGATGCTCGCCGCCGACGCTTTTCCCCAGATCTTTGTGGTCGAGCTCTTGCACGTTTCTTGCTCCTGAAAATGAGAAAAACTGAATTAAACTTGAAAGATCTCATCCGATTCGCCACCTCAAACCAAAGAGTGGTGATGGCCTCCAACGAGACGGTCTTTGTCTTTTTGGTCGGAAAGTGATAGTTCTTGACGAAAAGTGTGAATTGTCCGAGACGGACGTATTCGTCTTCGTACAGAATCGACATTGCTGCAAATAATCGAGAATGAAAATAACTGAAAAGGGAAAGCGATGATGATGATAATAAGCTTGTTTTGATAGGAGAAGGAGGAGAATTCTGCTCAGGGCCAGTATATAATCTCTTTAAGGAGAGCGAATGTTTTCATGGAAAAAGCATATACGAATATTGACGGAAAAGGGAAAAAGGACACGAGAGTGAGTCTTCATAGCGAGTAGAAACTACTAAAACTTGCGTCAATGATAAGGGATCACTGGGTGTCTGGGATGAGTGATGTGATGGGCTCATTAAGCGATTTGGCTCGACAGACAGACACGCAACTTTCTAATTCACTTCCTTCTAGCACAGATTTGTAAGGAAAGATGTTTGTTCAGTATGCAAGTGCGCTCCGTCGCACTTTGCGCGGGAAGTTTGAAACTTTTGAGACATTGCTCTCACTATCGGGTGATTATTTCGAAAATATCAGAAGAAGGATGAAGAATTTTAGCAAATCTTCATAAATATCGTCTTATATATATTGTCATCTCGCTCGGAAATGAATCTCGAAGATTCTGTGAAAAGCGATTGGCGCGTCAAGAAGGTGGAGAAGATCCGGATGAGTTTCCGGTTCGGAAATGCGAAATTGGATTAACCAAATGAGTCCTCGCCGCGAAAATGCTATCATTCAGGGTTACGGTAGAGAGGAACTTTGAGAAAAAGAGTTGAGTCATGCGAATAACTTGTTCGAAATGACACACGCCGGCTATAGCAGCTAATCCGGAATGGGGGAGGCGTGGCTGAAATTAAGCGGTGGGCGGACTGAAATAGCTGTGAGGAATTCGCCCAGACGGGATTAGGATGCGTACTTCCCAATGGGAGTCCAGAATATTCTGATGGAAAATTGAAATGGATAAAGATGACGTCGATTGAGGAAGTTGAAAAGATGACGCGGGGCTTCATTGAACACCATGAACCGTCTGGAGTCTGGCGGATTAACGGGATATTTAGAGAAATGGTAATCTTATTCCAAACGGTGATAACAAGTAGTATATGTATTTACCGAGAAATTCAAAGCTGGAGGGAGGTGATATTGGAAAAAAATGGCAGTTGGAAAAGATGAGTAATAATTGAATGCATCGATAATATCTAGCAAGTCACTTTCTGATTTCGCTATTGTGAAATCGGCTGAATAGCCGGCTAGCAACTCGCCCTTCTCTTCCTATTTTCTCGCTTTTATATACGGAATCCTCTTCGAATTCTTTGTCGTCATCAGGTAATACGGATTGAATAGGCTCCCCGAATACATGACATCAATCCGAAGTCTCCGTCGATAAATCCAAATCCGCTGACCCCTTCGAGCATTCCCGGCCGTCACAGAACCTTCGATAACAGATGAGCACGGATGAAAGCACGGGATTACGGTAGGCGACGCCGTCAGAAGCGGTTTAGAACGGACTGAAATAGACGGAAAAAGTTCAAAGCACTTTTTGTTGATGCCTCTTTCTTTATCAAGAATGGGAGGTTTCTCAGAAAATGGTGCAGATTATATACCTGTTGAAATGCACTCAGAGCCTCTGTTCAAAGACTATTCAAAGACTAGGCACAGAGATTGTGGATTTGTTCTTAAAAATGATTTAATTGAAGATGCCCACCATAAGTGTGCTTATGGTTAAATGATTTAGATTAAACATTGTGAAGTGCATTGGAAATGGGAAAATTGGCAGATTTACTGCTTATAGAATTGAAAAGGGAATACAGAGCATCACCCAAAGTACCTGGAAAGTACGATGCGAGAGAAAGAGCACCAATTGTTCATGATCAAGCTGTGAACCTTGATATGAGTTTCATATTTGTCGCTTGGCTATTTTAAGACCTGAAAGCAAGATCTGTGTATCCCTTTGAGGAGTTCAACTCTCCAACACCACAAGAATACAGAGTACATTAATTGTGTGCACTTCTGATCGCCAATCGCATATGATACACATTGATACAAGTTCTGTGCAAACACACACGCTGTCAACAGTTTCTAAGCATTTTCTAACTAATCTACGCATCACTTTGCAGATATTTCGAGACCCTATCCATTGTCGAAATCGCTTCAAACTCAGTGATGGCCTAGAAAACTCTAACCATACGGCCCTCGGTCTCAGTTTCCGATGACCATGTTCTGTTGAGTATTGACCCCTCTCAGTCCTCGCTCTCCCGTACAGACTGCACTTTAAGATGATATCAAATGGAAGAGAAATACTAGTTCTTCTCTGTTTTTCTCTCTGACTTCATTTTCTGCGTTGTGGGGCACGCTTATCATGCAAATTCTCTTTTTCTTCCGCTTTTTTGGCTCCTGTGACTTTTTTACTGATCAGACCCGTGAATCATTTCTCTCCCTTCTCCTTCTTCTTCTTCTTCTTCTTCTTCTCCCTCTTCTCAAACTTTTTTCTAATAAATGACATCAAAACTCTCGTCTATTTGCCTTTTTCTCTCGCTCTCCGCCTGCGTCTCTTTTTCATATCTTTCGAAACGTTTCGCCATTTCGCGTCGAGAAGGGTCACGAAAAATAGTATAAAGCGAACGCTTTTCAGGGTGATTTTCTCATTCTTCCATCCAAAATGGTGCCGTCAATAGTCCGGAAAGTTTTGCTGGCCTGCCACGTCATCTTGGACATTTCCTGGAGCATCGGATCCCTCGGATTCTACTCGCCGTCATGGCACTTCGACCCGCAAAAGATCATACAGACGTTCAAGATCAACGGCTACTCGTATTGGGACTCGCCCCTGGACTACGTGGCACTCTGCCTGTTACGTCATGTTTCGCTGCTGTTCGCCATCATTATGGTGCATCGGACGAAGACGAAACGGCTGAAGAAGTTGATGTTGGGATACGATATCCTCGCAATCGTCGGCTACATGTTCGCCGTCGTCAAACTTCTGGCGTTCGACGAGCAGCCAGAACTGATGAAGTGTCCGGGAGTCTATCTGAGCACTGGATCCGCAATTCTGCTCTCTTTCACACTTCCATTCGCCATTCGGAAGACGTTGTTGGTGAAGAAGACGGAGGAGGTTGCGTACGAACGGCTGGCCAGTGAGAGCCAGGAGAATACGAATGTGGAAAATGGTGAGTGGGTTGAGGTGTCGGCTGAACTAAACTAGATCTTCTAGGAACAACGGATGCTCCAGCCGCCGCGACCGCCTCTGATTCGACGTCTAGCACTGAGGAGGAGAAAAAGGAGGACGAAGACGCCGTCTCGAAAGAGGAAAAAGAGAAGAGGCTTCCGTTGAAAACGCACATCTGGCAGATTATGAAGCTGTGCGGGAAGCAGTGGAAGTGGTTCGTCACCTCCTACTCACTCCTCCTTATCACTTGTGCCTGTAAGTCTTTAGATTTTCTCATTCTGACCCATCTCAATTGATGTGTTTGCAGTGAACCTCATCGAACCGGCGCTCTACAGTCAGATGATGTCGGATGCGATTCAGATGAGATCGTTCGCCGTGCTCAAAAAGGCGTGCGTCGTCCTCGCGATTGTTCAATTCGCCGAAGCTACCTCCTCGACCCTGAAGTACACGTGCATGCAGTACGCGGAACGATTGACCGCCCGTCAGATCCGAGTGGGTCTCTTCCGGGCGATCCTTCATCAGGACATCTCGTTCTTCGACGAGAACAAGACGGGACAGCTCATGTCCAGAATTACTCACGACTCGGATTCGATTTCGAACTCGCTGCCCGGCTACATCGAGACGTTCACCACGAATCTGATCAACGTCTGCGGCTCCGCGCCCATCATGTTCTACTACTCGTGGCAGCTATCCATCAGCACCTTCATCACGTTCCCGATCACACTCATGCTCACCAAATACTACGGTCTTTTCGTGGAGAAGCTGTCCGAGAAGGAGAACGACGCGACCGCCGTTTCCAACGAAACCGTCGAAGAGGTGCTTTCGGCGATCCGCACGGTCCGCTCGTTCGCAGCCGAGAAACTGGAGAACGCGAGATACGCGAAAAACACGGACGCGTGGTTCAAGATCAGCATGAAGAGTGTCGTCGTCGGGACGCTTTACAACTACTGCTGGCAGATGATCTGGAACGTCGAGGACATCTTCGTCTACCTGTACGGCGGCTATTTGACTCTGAACGGAAGGATGGCTCCCGACGCCCTCCTCACCTACATCTTCTACCACTGGCGCCTGCATTCCGCGTTGAATGTGAGTCATCATCATGCCCAAATCCAGATTAATGCTTGACCATTTCAGAGCTTCAGTTCTCTCTTCTCCGATCTCATGAAGACGATCGGATCGTCCCGCAAAGTGATCTATCTCCTGAACCGGACGCCGATTCTCGACTACGAGCAGGGCACGGAAACTCCAGAAGTCGTCGGACACATTGTCTTTGAAGACGTCGAGTTCGCGTATCCGACGAGGAAGAACGCGAACGTCCTCCAGGGGATCAACTTATCGATCGAACCTGGAAAGACTGTCGCTTTAGTTGGACCGAGCGGGAACGGAAAGTCGACGCTCGTATCGCTCATCGAGCTGTTCTACGCCCCTCAATCCGGAAGAGTCTTGCTCGACGGAACGCCCGTTCAGAACTTTGACCACCAATATTATCACACGAAGATCGCGCTCGTGGCCCAGGAACCGACTCTCTTCTCGGGAACCATCCGGGACAATATTCTGTACGGAATCGAGGACGGAACGGACGAGGATCTGATGAGGGTGGCCGAGATGGCGAACGTGCACGAGTTCGTGTCAAAAATGGAGAAGGGGTACGATACAAAGTGCGGCGAGAAGGGGGTTCAGATGTCGGGCGGCCAGAAGCAGCGAATCGCCATCGCCCGTGCACTCATCCGCGATCCGCGAGTGCTGATCCTCGACGAAGCGACGTCCGCGCTCGACGCCGAGTCGGAGTCGATGGTGCAGGAGGCACTGAACCGGTGCGCCCGCGAACGGACCGTCGTCGTCATTGCGCACCGCCTCTCTACCGTCAAAAACGCGGATCGGATTGCCGTCATCGAGAAGGGACTTGTGAAGGAGATCGGCTCGCACGACGAGTTGATGGACAACGAGGACGGGCTGTACTACAAACTGGTGAGCAAACAGTTGGAGCCGAAGAAGAAGGAAGAGGAGAAGGCCGCCGTCGACTTTTTCTGATTTCTTTTTAAAAGATATTCCATAGATCTATCCATTTTCTAGTTCATTTTCTGTTGACTGTTGTAGATCTCACCCACGTTCAAAACATTTTTGCTCTCATTTTCCTGTGCTAATGACCTCTTTTACAATATTTATTTTAAAACATCAAATAAATAAACACGTTTTTACGAAAAAAGAAGCTAGGAGACGTTCATCTTTCTTCGGCTTTCTGCACCGCCTGCTCGGCCCAAAAGAGCAAAAGTTCCGTGGAAGTTAGTGCGTTCTGATTGATTTCCTCCTCCGGCTCATCTGGCGTCATCGGTTCTTCCACAGGAATCTGGAATTTAAGAACAAGTAATTGTCGTATTGGACATTTTGATTTCACCTCTTCTTCTTTTTCCGGCATCGGAACGTCTTCCTTGACTTCTGGAACGACCGGATTCGTGGCAAAAGGAATCGGCTTTGCATTCCGTCGCAGTTCCACCCCTTCTCCAGTCTTTTTCGCCGACAAACTGCTCATTTCGAAGTGATCGAAGCACACATATTTCCGTCCGCCTGCCAATTTCTCCCTGAGCTTCTTCTCGAATTCTTCGTCGTCGCCCGACAGAATCTTGATCCATTCCTCTCTAAAAACGACAGATTTTCCATCGTTTCGCGATCGGAACGCTCACTGTTTGTCGGCGACTCTCGTAAAAGTGGTCATCTGGCAGTTGAGCACACTCGCCTTGCAGATCACGCACGTTCGACGACGTGGCTGAGCATTGCATCGTTTATTTCAAAATATGAATTTTCGGAAGCTTACATTCTCATTCGTTCTCTTCGGCTTCTTCTCGTCGTTCGCAGTATCCATCATATTTCGGGAGAGACGCGCCAGAGATCACAGAAAAAAAACAACAAAAAAACGCTCCGGCGCCCGCTTGCCACGCGGCTCCATTGCCTGGAGCACGCGCACGTAACTAGTTTGATAGACCGCAAAAACCGTATTTCATCTTCATATGCGTGCATCTCTGTACTTTATAAAGGAGGTGATGGAAAGGAAAAACATTGTATAAAATATCAAGATTGAGGTGGAGAGGGAGTGGTCAAAATATACAAATATTCAGGGAGAAGAGTAGAAAACGTGGCGACGAGATATTTTCAGAAAAGGTAGCTAATAAAACAATTTGGGGAAAATTGGGGGTGAAACGAAACGCTATTTTAGTGGGGAGAAAAATGGAAATACACACTGTTTCGTCGTCATACCCATATGCGAAATGAGGTTGAAAACTTTGTAGAATGCGAGGAGGGGGGAGGTACTTAACTATAATACAGTGTGTCATGCGTAGAAATAGGTGTCTTGGCGAGGTGGCGCGACTGGGATGTGTAAAGCTTTCGGGAATGGATGGGTGGGGTAAATAAAACAGATGATTATGGAACAAATTAATTAGCAAGTGATCGCTGCACGAGGCCACGCGATTTTCGCCTCGTGTCTTTTGTAGGCGAACATGTGTGGCCTGCTCTCCTTGACTAGCTGCTCATGAACGAGAACGGGGCAGTCGGACGGCGAGAGACAGGATTCGAATCCGTCGGCGATCAGGTACCTGTAAAGAGAAACAGTTTTACTCGGCCCCGCTATGCTTTCAAACTCACAATCCGTGCTCCTCGGGATTGGTGATTCCCTGCTGATGAGCGACGAGTCTGCTCAGTTTCGATGTCGTCAGCATCGGCACTCCGGGGAACGTTGCGTATCGCACACATCCAATAGCCTCGTCAGGAATCGCAATCTTCACGAAAGCGTCGCAGGTGGCCGCGGAGATTCCCTGAACCAGGCCCGCCGAAGTGCCACGTGTCAATGTGGCAGTGGAGAGAAGAGGCGACGAGCAGAGATGGCGGCCTTCGTTTGGCTGCTGAGCGACTCGTTGGTCGTTCTCGCAGAGCCGACGGATCGCCTCGGCGCTTTTGAGGACGTGAACGGCCGACCAGAGCGACGTTAGGTAGTAGGAGGCGTCGGATTGGGTGACGATCGGCTGGGGGAGCAGTTCCCACATGTACCACGCTTCGACTTCACAGCCGACGGTCGACGTGCGGGCCAGAATGTAGACAAACCAACGGACGAGGTCTGGAAATCCGACTGGTTTTGCGAATAGAAAAAGGAAAACAACTAACCATCTCCAGGAGGCAGTCCTCTGTGCCCACCGTTTGCCGGATCCTCATTCTCATTTCCGTTGTTGACCGCCTGACATCCGAGCACTAAACCAACGGCTTTCATCAGATTCTCCAACTTTTTCATCGGCGAATAGTGACTTTGCATCTTCCGAATCAGCAACTTCACTTGCTCCATGATAGCGGTGGGCGGCGTGACGAGATTCTCCGGATTGGCAAATCCCATCTGTGTCAGATTCATCTTGCGGACGGCGTTGATGTTAACCGAGATTAACTGAAGAGCTCCGGCTTTCGAGTGCTCTCTGACCATCACGTGGTAGAGGAGTGGCTTTATTTCGCGGAGCAGCAGTTTGTGGAGCACTGCCTCCAGCACGGCGTCAATGTTGAGAATCTGATGGCTGTTGAGTCGAGCGCTCTCCTCGTCGATGATCCTGTGGAGGTCGCCTTCTCCGTGCTTCACCAGATAGTTCTTCATTCCGTTGATGAACTGTCTCACATTTCTGATCACCACTGCCGGATCCGTTTCCTTCGTGTCTTGTGTGCAGGCGACGAACTGTCGGAGAGTGAGTCCGAAGCAGGCGTTGTCTCCCTCTCTTACTTGTGCCAACTGCTCCACGTACTCCTGCACCGCTCGTCCGATCTTCTCGTCTGTGCTCGAACTGCGCGGGAGTTGGGCCCTCGACGCGCGTCCGCTGAGCAGTGGACTCATAGACGGAAGAGTTGTGGGCAGATCATCGATGGATCCGAACGAGGCGGCGGCGCTCATTCCAAGGGAGTGCGAGAATCTGGAAAGAGCACGAGGGAGACTGCGGATCGAGAAAGAGCCTTCTGGATTGCGACGGAGTGTGTTTCCACCGATGGATCCATTGTTCGTGCGACTGTCGAGAGTATTGAATCGAGAAGATCCTCCGTCCGATTCTTGCTCCCACGCCTTCACAGTCACTCGGTCGCTCGGCAGCGGCCTTCTCTTCTCCGTCTGCTGCCATCGCAACATGTCCTGCTCATCCTCGTCGTCTTCATCGTCTTCGTCAGAATCCATCATGAGACAGTTCGATTCGCCGCCTGCCGTTCGATCGGAATCAGAGTCTTCTTCTTGAATCGGTTCGTTGACTTCTGAAAATAAACGAGTTGAATATTAAAAGTTGAAAGAAATGCTAAACTCACTCAATCCCATCGCCGACTCGTCGCCATGATGTGCCAAGTCGAGGAGGTTTTCCCAGACGTTGGAGTCCCACGGCTCGTTGAACACGGTTCCGGCCACACTGACGGCGTCGTCTTCGATTTCTACAAGTTTAGAAATTAAAAGGCTTTTTAAATTCTCCAACTCACTGGAATGCACATCCAAATGCAATCCGCTCTTTTCACCGTTAGATGCAGTGGCTGCAAAGTCGCAGAGTTGAGCGTAGTCGCTCGAATGCCTCTGACATTCCACGATGGACGGTGCGCCGACGATCGACATGTTCCGATTGTGATGATGTCCGCGCGGTTGTGGCGTCGGAAGAACCTGGAAATTTTGAAAGTTGTGAAGAAGAAGAATAAGAAAGTGGCGACTATTTGACTAAAGAATTAGGCGCTATTCTAGAGGGAGGCGGAGGTTGTTTTGTCAAGATTAGTGTGCTCGAGGACCGAAAACAACAAAAACTGTATTTTTCCGTGGAAAAACAGAAATGATTGACAGTTTCGAGAAATGGCGGATGGGGGTAGAAGACGGTAATTACACGCCCATCATGAAGTCGTCGTTGAAAAGACGATGAAGAGGTCAAATCGAAAGCAAAATAAGGATCAGCAGGTTGAAATGGTAAAGTACAGCGCATCACGAGAAAAAATGCGGATTAGGCAGACCGAAATTGTTTTCCTCGTGGTTCGCTTTGAGAGGGGAAATAAGACGGTCATTATTTTACCATTTTTATGGAAAAACATAAGAATCTCACCTTGGCAATCTTTTGCTGCCGATTTTTGATCTCAAAGTTGACCGCTGACCACTGCTGTGAAGCGCCAGAAGCTGTGCGATTCGCGGCCGCGTTCGAAGGAGCGTTGTGCTTGGCTCTCCGCCAAACCAGCTCACTTTCGGTCGACGAGTTGGCTCCGAGTTGTGGGGCCGCAGATGGGGATGAGGCGGATGTTCTGGAATGAAACGAGTTGGTGGAGTGGATGGGATTGATGAATGTCCTATTGAAAATATGGTGGGCAAAGATGAATGAAGGGAGGAACACTTTCATTTATTGAAAAGGGTGAAAGATGAAGGAGGAGAGGTGGAAGAGGTCGACTAATTATGCAAATGGAACGAACGAACGAACAAACGTCAGTGCGTGTATTGACAAAGACGAATGAAACTAGTCGGTCCGAAAGGATGGTACTTCTAATAGGGACGAGAGAGCGAGGAGTGACCTTCAGGCAAAGTTGAGAGAAAGCAGAAAACATGAAAACGTGGGAGTTTGTCTTATCTTGTCTATGTTCTCTCTAGTTTTGATTGCAATGACTTATCTCATATTTGCTATTGAACCGAAATTGCGGCATACTGTAAGTCCGCAACTCTCAGTAGAAGAGATTATTTTTCGAACATGTAAAAAGACTCGAGCTGATAGTGAGAAAAAATGAGGCATTCAAGATTTCGTAGAAATTTCTGGTTATAACTTTCCTAACATCAACCTTGATCGATGAGAAACAAGAAAACAGAAGTGAAATGAAGAAATAAGCAAATAGTAATCACACTTGAGAATCTGTCAAATTCATCATGGTCAAATCAAATCAAGATCAAGCTAACTTTGTACGAAAAAAATGAAGAGAAAGGCAAGATAGAATTGTGTGTGTGTGTGTGTGTGTGTGTGTGTGTGTGTGGGCTCTCTCTCTCTCCTCTTCATAAAAATAAATGCAATTTGTACGTCAATTACTCATCCTGTTCCTTGCCAATCATCTGCTCCTCTCATTTTTCCTAGTGCTTCGACAAATGACAATTGACACATACGAAAAGCGTCAAGACGGATTAGACAACCTGCTCCTTCGAGCACAGATGCTCTCCAGTTTGGGGTTTGGAGGCACTTGGGAGCAAGAGATGTATTCGATTTCGGTATTCATTGGTGGAGGAGTGAAAAGCAACGAGCGACGCGGAATGAATGCGGAAAGATATCATCTTCAAGACGATCTCGGATCAAATTTCGCAACACTGAGCATCGGAGAAGAAGCTCTTCACTCTTCAATCAGGACATGCAACAACACGAAAACCATGCGCTTCCACTTGATGCTTCTGATCAAGCATCTGCCAGGAAGATCGGGTAGCACCATCTGGTTTAAGAGAAAAATTAGGAAAGGATGCCGAGAACTACAACAAGGTGCGAACACAAGGGCAATCCGTTCACAATATTGTTATTGCGGTCGCAAGAAACGGGGCGGGGTTGGTTGGAGAAGGAGGTGTCACTCGGTATTAGTATTATCTCGCCCCGCTCGCAATCGAACAACCTGCCCGGGAGAAACCGATCGGACGCGGGAGGTCATAATAATGCTAACTGTCTTCATCATTATTATCCACCCTCTCGCTCTCTCCTTCTAATTATGATCCTTTTTATCCCGGGAAAAGATGATGGAAGCAATATTCATGGCGTCATCTGGAAGGATGATTGGTAATCTGATACTTTTTTGTGATGACACCACCGGATCTCGTAACAATACTGTAGGTTAACAAGAACTAGCTACCACTTTACTAACTGAATTTCGGTTTCTCACAAACGTCTGACCCTGACTGTTTCTTTCGGTTTCCCAAAAGTAAAAAAAAGTCAGCAGGAGGTTTCTCTGAGAATCGTCCTAATTCTCATCCGACTTTCGCTACATGAAGAAAATGACAATTCTATCTCTCTGTCTGTAGGGAAAGAGAAAGAACGATGCGTATAATTCAAAACAACGCATGTTGCCGAAAAGGTTTCCTCGATTCTCACAGCGTGAGACCACGAACAATACCTTCTGTTCTCTCTTGAGTGCGCGTGGATCAAACGGGAGGAGGCAACGGCGAATGGTGGGCAAAGTGAGGGTTCGATGACACAACACATAATTAATTGGGTCTTCTTCGCGAAATTCGGAAGGCTCGGAACGACGAGTATATACACAATATGCTAATTATCATCACATGAGAAGAAGAAGAAGCTGCGGAACATCTGGAAGCGCAAAAGTCAGTTAGAGAGCTGCCAATTGGGTGTAAAGTTTTGAGCCCGTGATATTCTGCCGCGGAGCTGCCACCGAAAAGCCGATGGAAAAAGAAAAGAAGGCTGAGTTCTCACCCTCGCGAGCGGGCAACTATACACTATCTATACACATTATTAATAATTTGTAGGAGGACGAGGCGAGCCCGAAAGTGCCCACTGGGGACCAACTTTTTAGAAAATACTGCTTTTTGACCTTCACAATATATGGCTAGCGCAAAACTTTTTTGAAAAGAGCTTCTCAGGGTTGGAGAATGTGCCAAACCGGCTGGCAGGTGCACAACAGTCGAAATTAGTGGTGTCTGGGTATCAAATGAGCACATCATTATGCACGGCTTTCACTGCGCACATTGCCCATTCCACCTCCTTCTGTTCAGTGTGTGCGCGTGCAATCAGTCAAGAGTCACACCTGTCATGTTATTGTGCATTTCCTCTCTCGTGCGGTAAATGAAGGTAGGACAGGCGGTACGGAAGGTGCGTTCTGAGCAGAACAGAACCGAGCGGAAGCTATTAGGGTAAAGGGTTTGGCAGATTTTGGAAGGAAATGAGGAAAATGTTACCAACTAAAGAGAGGTCGGAATGAGGAAGGTGTACTGGACCGAGAGATTTGTTCGGGAAATGGGTATACGTAAGAGCTGACGCAATCTGACGCACTACCCGCGCAGGTGCAGTCTGCAGATCTCTAAAATTATAGAAAAGAAACACAGTAACCTTTAAGGTTACAATCAATTTGCAGAATTTAAACTTGTAGGAACTTGTTCACTTGTAGGCCGTTTTGTTATTACTATAATTTCTAGTGAAAAAGTGAAGAGCTAATCTGCTTCCAATACAGACAATGGCGAATGTGATTGCGTAATTTGGATGAGGGGATACCAGTCAGACCATAAAATCTGCGACGACGTCGAAAACATCATCGACGTTCATTCAGTGTGGGCAAAAACCAGACAACATATCCACAATATCCAATTCACAATCGGATGGGATGAAAGAATGGGAGACGATCGGAACGAAACGATGGTGGAAAAATTAATGCGGAAAAACGGAACGCGAGTGGGCACGTGAGCATCCATCAAAGTGCTCTCCGCTGACTGAGAGCCGGAAAAGAGAGTTTGAGAGCATCTACCATCCCGTGCATTGAAGAGCACGGGCAGAGCAGCCACAAAACAATATTGCGTGTGCGCGATTGCGTGAAGAGCGCACAGGTATTGTGCCGGTGCCAAAAGACCATTTTTCCGCGCGGAAGAGAGGAGCGGCAGCACACAAACCAGATCAATTTTTGACTGAAGCAGAACTAACAAAACAAAATTGAGGAAGGGGAGAGAAGCGTAGACCGGTCAGTAATTCGACAGAAAATGTTTCGAAAATCAAAAAGTTGTGCCAAAACTGATTTCTTCAAATTAATCGAATAAGTACAACATGACTAATTCCTTGATGTTTTCCGCATAAAAACTACTGACGAGAGGGCGAAAGCAAACAAAAATGGTCAAAATGGTCAGCGCGAGTGCACGGGAGACAACGTCTTGGCAGAAAGAGATTAGGCTTCTTGGGACAGCGCTGTACAGGTGGTCAGATGGTCTCTTCGGCATCAGCAAAGGTGCAAAAAGAGCAAATACCGGGAGGCTGAGGGATATGACTAATGGCGCAATATATGCGGGTGAGCATGAGCACCGGTATTGGTTACAAAGGGTTGCGCACGTCAGATTAAAACATTTGTGAGCGCTGATGAGTCATTTCGGGGCGATGATGCCCGTGTCTTATGAAAAAAGAAGAAGAAGAGTATTGGCAAGTTTCAAGTGGGCCATTTCCACTCATCGATGACCTTTTCGTCAGGGAGAGAGGTTCTCACTTTCCGACGAAAGCTTTCGGAGAGAAAAGAGAAGCCGAAAGTGGATACTGGAAATTATTATAAATTGAAGATCCACTTTAGATGGCAAAATTTGAAAGTGTGAAAGTCGGAGATTCTCAGAATTGACTAGGTGTAATACAGTAATCATCTTTTCATTTCGTATTTTCAATTAAGCCTTCCTCACAAATATTTCATAGATCCGTGAGCAGAAGGTGACGACGGATGTTGTCGAAATGAATGAAAAATGTGCGTGCGACGGTGGTACGGCAATCGAAACCACGGGCAGACGTGGCAATTATCCCCGTAGAACCATCAATACCAAGCAGACGAACAACGAAATTTATTTGTGTGTGCGCACGAGGAGTGCGGCCTTGAGGGTTCAGCAGTAGCCAGTGTCTGGATAGGTTTCGATGCGGATGAATGAACGACAATGGAGGAGAGAACGGTCAGTTTTAGGATTCGAACTATTTTCGAACAAGCAAGACTTGTCTTTAAAAAATGTAATACTAACATTGTAAGATGGCTTGCTTGATCATCCCAAAACCAGCCTTTCCATGACTCACAGTCTTAAAAAAGTTCATTTGCAAACACCTAACAATGACTAACGGCGACCTTCAGAATCAGAATCTTCTATTGTTGCCACCCAGCCAAAATGTTGTGATAACTACGCCGTTACCTGTTAGTACGAAGGAGAGAAACTAATAAATGGGTCGGCAAGAACACAAAGGGAGAAGAAGAAGAAGAAGGTGAGATGAAGATGAAGCCGGAAGCGCGCGCGCGGAAAAAGAGGCAACTGTTCCTTCTTTCCGCTTACGATTTACATCAACGAACGAAGGCGAAAAGCAGCGGGATCTAGAGTATTCAAATTAACTGGCTTTTGACAGTTATTCAGGTTTCTCAAGTTGAAAAAGACTCACTTTCGGCGTCCTAGTGAGGAATGGTCCGACGATCCACTGGACATCGAGTCTGACGGCTGTCTTCTCTTGTCAATGAGCGCTTCCAGTGCTTCTCTCCGCTTCGACACCTCTCCAACTACATCGTCCAGCGAATCGGACGTCATCTGTCCCTGTGAGGTCTTCATCGCCGGTGCGAACGTTTTCCTCCGCACAACCGGAGTCACGAGTCCCTCGTTTATCACCATCAGTTCGCCGTCGTTGTTCCGTCCGCCGAGTCTTTCCCGAAGCGCTTTCGCCGATTGTCCGACACTTCCGGAGACCATCGGTTCGGTGGCCGCCATCAGATTCGGCACGGACAGTCTGTGCTCTCCGCCGCGGCTCCGGTCGATTCCGGCGTAACGGTTGGAGAAGCCAGTGTGTTGGGTGGATGGAGATGGGAATCCGTTGCGTCTTCTGGAAATGTTAAAGTTATTGGAAGGTTTAAACGCAAAAATAAACAACCTCATGGAGATCTGTGGACTTGCGTTGGCGCTGTGAACCTCTCCGAATGCCTGTTTTGCGGATGACGGATCCTGCGGCGAGAGCATTTCATTGGCAGATTGAAGTCTGAAAAGAGTATTTTGGTTTTGAAGACTAAAAACGTATTAAATTCTTTGAATAATCTTACTTGCTCTCTTTGCAAACTTTGAATTTCAGCATGATTTTCGGGGTTCTAGAGGGATCAATAATGATTTCATCAGTCAGTTGACATTGCGAAATTAGCGAAGAGAAGCAGACCGGTAGATCAAAAGTGTACAGAAAGGAAGGGGGAGTACAGTGCGCGGAGGGATGACTGATAACCGATGGGGAGGGGGCTCCGCAAGCTCACCGCACAGGAACATGTTTGTCTTCTGGAAAAACAAACAGTACTATCTTCTGGTGCTTTTTGTTCAGATTTACGTGCCATCGACAGAGAATGTTTCTGTTTTGCAAAAGTCACAAGGTGCGACGCTTTTCGAACTTTATCAAAATACTTATCATAAAGTAAACATGCTGATACTGCTCTACCGCACTTCTTAGGTTTTCGTTACGCTAGAGCAAGATAGTCTATTGTTCAGAATTTAATAGAAACATACGAAAAGTTCGAAACTTCAAACCTTCAAATGTTTCGTGGACAAAACGAGGAATTCGGGTGGAGGCGGGAGAGGTCACAAGATTTGCATAATAGTGTCAATAAGCGCCAAGCAGTCAAAGAAAGGAAAGGAAAGGCTTCTCGATTCAACAAAACGGGAGTCCCATTTCAATCGGACAGTCCGTCAGAAGTGTTTACTGGGAGGAACGGGAATAAAGGCCTACCGTTTCCGTCGCAACTCTTCTACACAACTCTGCTGCACTTGAGGATCGCCCGCATTCGCCGGAGGTGTCATCGGAACGCGACCTGCAGGAAGCGGTAAAATAAAAGTTGGTTTAAAACGGTTTCTCCATAGGTATTTTGAATTGCGCGCCGGCAGTTAGGGACAGGCGACTGGAAGGGGAGTCGGAAATGTTCAGATTGCTGGAATGTCCTTAAGGGACAGCAATCTGGGCATTTCCGACTTTACAGGTCAGAAGAATATTTTGGCGTTTCTCAAATATCCCGCACCTATGGGTTTCTCACCAAACTGCGTGTGTGCCGGTCCGGGACTGCTCTCGTTGTGAAATGCCAATCTTTGTGCGTTGCTCTTTCCGACAATTCCAAAGTTGATTCCACCATTGGAAGCGAGAGACGGTCCGAGATCACTGCGTTCGCGTCGCATTGCCAACGGACGGGAACGGCTTGACGAGCAGGCAACTTTTGAAAAAAAAATTAAATGATCAGCTAGGGACCAGCTCTTACCATCATCGTAGTTGGGCGGTTTGAACGTGCGCATCGCCGCATCTGTCAGATGATTGTTGTTGTGATGCGGAGACGCCGTCATCTCGACCGCCAACGCGGCTTCCTGTACAAGATGATGTTCAGAAGAAGAAGAATAGAATAGGGGTGGTTTAGTGAGAAAAAGCAACAAAAAATGGAGGAGGAGGAGGAGAAAGGAGGATCTTCCAACGATAATCGTTGTTTGAAACCAGTGAAAAGAGTGTGGGAGAAGGATGAACGGCTACAGAAGCAAAAAAGAACGAAAAGAAAAGAAGAGACAAACCTTCCAGCCACGCGTGTAATTGTCGTCGTCAAACATGTCGGTTGTCGATTTTACCGTATTCTGCACCGAACCCGCACCCGTCCGTTTTTTGGGAGTTGCGGAGCCGAAAAAGCCACGTGACGGCGGATTGGTGATGTCGAATGCGGATCGGGAACTGCAAGGAATATCGAGTTGGATCGGCGAAGCTAATGATGAATATTGTGTTCTTTTTAATTGAATTCTTGGCTATCAACGGGAACAGATTTCTGTCATTTTGATTTTTCGAACATTGATTGGTCTATGATGAAATGACAAAATTTTTGGAATTTTCGTCTACAGTGTGTGAAAAAAGCGTGTTGGGAGACATAGAAAAGTGTTTTATTCTTCAAAATTTTACGTAGAGCTATTAATATTCAAATATCACAGACTTTCGCGGACTTTTTCCGACGCTCAACCACTGGTCTAGTTACGGAGTGTGAGAGGGCACGATGGCTATCACTTCCTAGTTCATATGAATCATTATATTAAATTTTCAAATCCTAGATACTTACCAGCACCAGCTAATTAGCACTGACGCCATGATTTTGTAATGAAACAATCAGAAACGACAGCGGAAAGTTTATACAACAAGTGTGACTCTGTTGGTGGCTTCTTCGGGGGCAATTCGAATGTGTGTAAGTGAGTGTGTGTGTGATTCGAATCACCAGTCACAAATCACTAACAAATCGTCTTTTTATCTCGTCGTACGCACACACACACACGCACCAGCTCATCGGCCTCCGTTCGTCGTAAATCTCGAATCGAAATTCGGGTTTTAGGCGGAAGGGGCGCAAAAAGGAGAAGGGACAATATTCGTTTGTTCTCTGTCTTATCAACACTTTCTCATATACACAAAGGCAGCGAGTGGGGCCAATGTGTATCCATGTCACTACTTAATTAATAGCTTTCTCGTCTCGCCCTCCTCCGGGATTCGCCGACTGCCTGGCTCGTTTTCGATGACAACATATGCTGTCACAATGTTCTTATCAATTGCAAGTCGAGCGAGTGGGCCCCAACTACCTCATGATAATCCCATTCGAATGAACGAGTGAGGGGGAAGGATCTGATAGAGGGCACTTTCCCCAATACTTACGTCTTGACAATCGGACTCGTTCCGTTCGTGTCCCACGGAGTGAAATATTCGCAATTGGCGAGACGCGGTGTCGAGTCGATTTCCACTGAAAACGCTTCAATCAGTTTCTGATTCTTCCTAAAAATAACTCACAACTCTCTTTCCTTTTGTGCTCTTTACTGGAAGTTCCGAACGAGAGAAGTGATCGGAGGAACGACCGGGGGCGGGAAAGAGTGCTGCTCGTCGACGAGGGAATGTGGTGTTGTGACTTCGGTGACGCGTTTACTGTAACGTCTACAATAGTAAGGGCCAAAATGAAGTGTGGCCCCGCCCACAACGCCAAAAATCCGGTGTTCATAAATAAGGGATACCAGCAGGAGGTCTTCATGGAGAATAAGAGAGAGAGAGAACGATCATAAATTAGTGTGAATGAGTGAGGAAATGCAAGATGAAATTGGGCTAATTTTGATATATTTCTAAGGAGTCTCTCATTATTCTTTCCCTGATTTCTATTGAAACTCACCACTTTTATGCGATCTGACGGACTGCGAACGACGGTCACTTCTAGAGATGTGCACTGAAAAACCACAGTTTTTTTGTGTCAAAAAGAGGAAGAGAGAGAGAGGGGGAAAGTGGTCAGAAAAAGGAGAAGAATGGTAACTTCTTCCTCTTCCCGAGTCGATTCAATACAATTAGTGTCATCGGCAGTTGGAGGAGGAAAAAGTAGAGTAGGAAGGAAAAAAAGAGAAAAGAAGACTAGTTCTCTCGTTTTTCTTCTTCTACCGTATTGTGAAATCGGAGGTTGGATCATCCTTCTTCACAGCTGACCACCGGGGGATTAGATGAGAGAAGAAGAGGTGGAAGAACAGTTTCCAATCCGATTAAAATTACATTCATAATAAGTTCGCGTACCGTCATCGACTCGATCGTGCTTGCTCGGCGGCGAATGCGTGCTCAAGCCACTGTCCGTCTCGTCCAAATCGTGCTTAGTTACTCCTGTTCGGCCGTCGAAAGTCATGAAATCGCCAACACAGACGGTTGCGAAACGGGAATTGGAGGAGGAAGAGGCGCGCGACGAGGAACGTCGCTTTTTCGGCTGAAAATTCTTAACGTTCAAGATCATTTGCTTCCCTTTATACCGTTTTCTGTGCATTTTCTTTCACTCCCATCGCCATTTCAGGCGTTAGAAGCATCGCACTCGTCCGTCTCGTCACGTTTGTGTTATTGTTGTTTTTGGAGTCGTGCACTGCGTAATAGCTACCTGCGGCCGTCTTCGTCTTCATCTGACTATTGTCGTTGCGACCGGCTGCCACCTCATCATATATCGAGTCGTCTTCCCCATTTTGAGGCATGAACCATGTCGATGATGTATCCGATGATTCTGAAAGTGAATGGGATATTGTACATTTCCTAAAGTTCCATGTACTCACCGGCCGCTCCGTGACATCTGGGCATTGTGTTATTGTTGTTTCCAGAAGAAGTTCCGTTGCTTCGGAATGAGGATGCAATCGAATTCCGTGACGAAGACGACGTCGTCGTCTTTCTCGACAATGACATTTCACTAGCCCAGAATTCTGTAAGAACGTCGACGTCAATTGCCATCGGAAGGAAGTGGTGGTGGTGTAACATGCGAGGAAATGTGACAACATTGACGCCGAGGCGCGAGAAAACTTGGGATTCCGGGGGCCGCACGGACAGAAGGGACGTATCGGACGGACGAAATCGCATAAAAAGTTATGGGTTTCTTTTCTTTGCCGCAGACGTTTCGGACACGAATATTCCAACTTTTAGGTCGGACGGAGGGCATCGAATGATTCACCTAGATATCTTTTGAGTTAGAAGCGAGAAATCTGCTTTCAAATACAGTTTAGTTGAACTTCTGACGACGATAGGGCTCAAAAACGAGCAAAAGAACGGCGATGTTTGTGGACAATCAAGGAAAGACTCAACGTTTTCACACTCTGTTCTCCTTCCTTCTTCACTGTCGTCAAAAGAGAGCCAGGATGTCATCCGATACCTGAGCAAGTGAGACCACGGTCGCAAACCGCAAAACGGCACTTGTCGGATGGAGGAGGAAAAATCACGGCGGTTTGTTTTGAAACAAAACATCAAGTGGATGGCAAAATCAAGAGGCAATATTGCTTTCTTCTTTTGTAAGATCAGAAACACGGAATTGTTCAAAGGACTCCCGACCGCTTTCTTTAAGACGTGCCGCCTAATAAACTGCTAATCTAAACGTGTGGTCAAGTCGAGAATGATTGCGCGACGCACTAAATTTCGGTGTGACCGTACGCGCGGAACACTAAAACTGTAATAAACCGGCGCGGACGGTATGAATAGGTATCGAGGGGAAAGTGCGTCACGTCGTCTATCTCTCTTCTTCTCCTCCACTTCTACGAACCACAACAAACAGATAAACCGACAGAGATACAGAGACGACCGGATGGGCACGGAACGGACGATCGGAAGAAAAACAAACACCTTTTAGTTCTGATGATGATGATGATGATGATGATGATGAACACGTCAAGGACGGAATGGATAACGGACCGAGAGTGCGTGCAAACCGTAATAATAGGATGGATTGGCAAATTGGTCTGCCAGCTACTAGCTATCCAGATTATCGCGCACTATTGTGTCAATCAAATGAACATGAAGGGCGTTGTAGGTGTGAAACGTGTGACTATGAATACGGAAGTGCTTCGGGGATCATATTCATGAGAAACAGTCGGATATGATGGATTACTAAGCCAACGGAAGAAAGGGCAAGGTTTCTGATCTTTACACATTTCCATTTTCACTGACTGTGAAGAGGATCGTCTTGGAACGATTCATGGATGTTCAAAAAGAAAGCTCATGAAAATGCTGGGATGAGGTCGTCGTCGAAATTAAAATCATCATAATGATTGGCCGAAAATAAAATAAAACATACCGCGCGAGGGCCGCGATAATGATCGGGATGGCGGCGGAAACAGTGCGATCGGGTGGTGTCACCAGAAGAAGAGAACAATAGAAAGAAAAGGCGGCGAGATGCAAATTTTGCATCGAAAACTGAAGGCGAAAGGAGCGAAAGGAGCGAAATGGAATCCAGATTTTCCCGCATTTTTCTTCAGTCACAATTCTGTTTCCCTCCTGGATTTGATTCGTTCATGGTTCACTTCATCCTCCTTTTATCACAAACATCATCAGTATGGATGAATGAAGAAAGTACTTGCGTGCCTCCTGGAGGGAACTTTTCAACAATAGAACGAGCGGTTGTATACTTTGAGAATAGAATTGTATTTGAAGATTTTGAACGAGGCGAAGCCAAACAAAAACAAAGAGCTAGGTGGAAGACAAAGATCGGAGAGAGCACTAAATGAAGGGAGCTCGCCCGGTTTCTCCAGAAGAATCGTCGCAATAAAAAGAACAACGAAAGAAGAGAAATCGAGGGAGAAGAGAGGGAAATCGAGGATAGAGAAGAGCAGTCACATCTGGGGCACAGAAGCCTTCATCCTCATCAAAACTCACTTAATTTCTACAATATGCGCACGCGCGGATTGCCCCCCTCCCCACTAACCCTGTTCCATCATTGCGATGCTCAGAAGTTGCTTTGTGGTTGTGCACGCGCGGATCGCCGACGGAAGTTGTAGACGGTGTTCCAGCTCGTCTCTGCAGCTCGAATAACAACTATTAGTGTGGGTTGACTGACAAGAAACTCACTCATTGACACAGTAATGTTCGATGAGCATTGGAAGTGATTTGAATGTGAGCGGAGATCCTTCGAGGCGCACAACTTTCGCAGTCAACGTGGCAGGCAATTTCGAGTCTATCGCCGAGAGAGCAGGCTTTGTGGGAATCGTGAGCTTCTCGATGATATAATGATCGATTTCAACGTGTGCTCCCGGAGCCAACCGGACCGACAGAGCCATGCAGTTTTCACGGGTCGAGGCTCTGACGATGAAGTTGCCGGGATCCATTCGACGAAGCAAGTGGAGCACTTCTGGGCGGCCGAGATGGGGAAGGTACCTGCAGAATGTGTCAACTTTTGAACAGAAAGAAACACTACACTCACCAGACGGCGTGAGTGCGTATAATCTGCTCGAGAAGTGTGACGCTCTTCCCGGACATTGAAGACGACGTCGACGAGTTGCGTTTGAGCACAAAGTCCGAGTAGGCGGACTCTTCGCCGCGATCCTTCGTCGGCGTGTTCATGTACATTACCGGCATCGGCGGTCGAGGTCTCTGCAATCGGATCAGATGGAATTCGGGAATAAAAACGTCTGGGGGGACACCAATTTGCCATTTGATTCATCTCATTGGCGGGCGGACGGCGGAGGTCATTGGGTATGGTTTCATTGAGGGTTAGAAGAAATGGGAAAGAAAAAAAAGATGGAAGAACGATGGATGGCTTTGGGTTTCAATTTCGACGTTCAGCCTTTTCGGGAATGATCGATTCAATAACGGATCTAACGACTTCTCAATGAAGACGAAAACGAAGACGATGACGGGTTGAGAGGACAGAGTAAGATGAAAATGCGAATGAGAACGGTCTGCCTGGCCAGAAAGGTACTACCAGAAGAATGGGGGTAAGGTTTCAACATTTTAAGTGGGTTTATAATCGAACTGCACAGAATAGGAAAGACGTTTGCTTCTCAGGACCTCCAGGTTCCTAAAACCCGATAAGCTACAGTTCGGATGAGGTAGAATAGTGCGTGTCTCGCAAACAATAACAAGTGATAAGGACGGGCCGTCTCGTGCCATCATCCTCCTATTTCTTCTGCTCTTTTCCCCCACAACAAAAGACTCATTCCAATCTCTCATCCTCTTTCTTCTTTTCTCGTCTTGCTGCTGGCGGTGGTGGTATTAAAAATGAGTGGTAGTGGAGTGGGGTGGTCGAACATGATAAATTTGACGGACGTACTGATCGAGGAGAGGGGAAAAAAGAGGAAAAGTTGTGAGTGTGTGCACTTTGTGTACGTGTTACACTCAAATGAATGGACACCGCCGCCGCCGCCGCCGCAGCCGCCGTTGCTGGGAGTGAACCACAGCGGTTTTTCTCCGATATTATTATTATTAAAACGTTCCTTGATAAAACGTTTGCCTCTTTTGATCGGACTATGATTCAGAATCTCTCACCTCTTCCACCTCGCTCTGCGTCAGTTCCTGAGCGATGGGACTGCTCGCGTACTCGACAGGAACCGCCCATTCGGCGACCCCTCCGCTCGTGTTATGGAGCATCGTTCCGTTCGAAACGCACTCGGTGATCGTCTCAGTTGATGTTTCGCCTGCAATTTATGATTGAAGATCTGAAGAAGAAGCGAAGCGTTCGATTACGGAGGCGCTACAGTACCCAGGATGAGAATTCTAGTCACAGAAGTGATATAACACTGAGTTTCACATGTGTTTTTTAATCAAAAGGTCGTGCGAAAAATAAATGAATTTTACTAATGTGAAGCCTTTGCGAAGTATGTAAGAGAAGGTGCGAAAAGGGGTAAAAAGTACGGCAGGTTTCTAAGCGAGCGCTGTTAACCTACAATCAGCACAGAAAATAAGAGACGCAACAAGGAATGCTCTGAAACGGCGATCAAAAGTGCAAGTGGATCACAAGCTCTGTCTGTCGATTGGTCCGTCTGGCCGCCTGTCCTTCCACCTGCCTGCCATCATCTCGCGCCTAATCAAAAGCAAACAAACAGGCCGAACGACGACGAAATGCGAGGGAGTGCACAATCTGGAGGGAAGATGACCAGCCTGTCCGGTGCAAACATTTGCCCGGTTTGTCCTCATTTCTTCGCAGAAAGATGAGAATTCGGAATTCCCGAAGGAAGAGGAACTCTCGAAGAAGTGTGAAGCAATGAGAAGCGAGGAGGAGGAATGGCAATGAGGGACGGCGACATCTCCATCGCTGCTTGTCAGCGCCTCCCTCAAAGAAGAGACAAGTCCATCGTTCACTTCTCGCTCTATTTCACATGGAATCGGCGGGACGATAGTAATAGTTGGCTACTACTGGTCATCATCAACCGAGACATCATATTAAGCCGCATGTCTCATTTGGTAGTAGAAAAAAGGAAAGCGCCAAGTGAGAAATTGCGGTGGACTTATTTATATAGTTGACCATGAGAAATAAATTCGCTAAAAACATGTTGGACACTCCTTCTTCCTAGTAGATTTTCAAAAAATGAAGGAAACTGTTGTAGCTCAGAAGCGTCATGTCAAATATGTCCTCTCTGACACAATTCCCAGCCCATTTATCTCACTTTTTCACGCATTTTACCGCAATTTCCCAACCCCCAGCACTCTATAATCAGCACTCACCGAAAGACCGATCCTGACGGTGTCCTCCTGTCCGATCGCCGTCCTCATCCTCGCTCATCAACATTTCTGCCGTCGGAATCGAAGTAATGTCCTCCACTTGCACTCGGATGGCTCCGAAATCCGGACTGAATCTGGAAAAGAGCAGGATGAAATCTAGATGTAAACTAGAAAGCGAAACTTGAGAATTCAATGCCTTAACAAAAATTGTAAGCGAGACGCTTTTCGACACGCTCATTGTAAGAATTCGACGAATTTCTCACAAAAATGTTGAAATTTGCCGGTTCAAGTTGAAACTTGAACCAAATTGCGTAGGTTCCTCATTTCTGAGCGCAGAATAGGAACGTTGGCTTGCTAGGTGAGGAGGTATGAGTGCTCTCATCGAGGGTTGCATTCTGATTGAATGAATGCTCGTGAGTCATCGGAAAAATAAAGCAAGGCGGGGCTTTGAGACTGTGTAAAGTGCAATCACAATCTGCTGATTGGGATATCGGCTGGTTTGAGGAGGGGATACGGTATTAAACTAGCAGTAAAATTCGTGACTTGGCACGAATCTTTTTCGACCGTAACCGACGGAAGTCGCCCTCGCATCCTCCCAGAAAAGTGTTCACTCACTCTTTCCGCGAGGATCCATTGCTGCTCCGTCTGTTCGTCGCACTTCCCGCCACCACCCGATCCCGGTATTCGAGCTCCATCATCGGCATCACCGCCACGCTCGCTCTGCGTCGATTCCGTTGGCGCGTCGCTTCGGCCGACTCCTCGTACGCCGACAGCGGTCGTTCGTTATCTTTGCTACTGCTGCTACTGTTCGTTATTGTCGTCGTCGTCGTCGAAGATCCACCGCCACGAGAACGAGCCGCCGCGATGGCTCTCGCCGACATTGTCTCGTTGCGGGGGGAGACAACCTGAGGAGAAAGAATGAGAAGTGCGGGTGAACGGGCGGCCAAGGAAAAAACCGAAATGGAATGCGATGGAAAGGGAAACACCGAGAAGGGCACACGTTCCCACCACACACACACACACTATTCAAACGACGATGGAAAAACTGACGGAGAGGGGAATGGGGAGCACCGTCATTTTTATTGGTTTTGCATGCGAAATAGAGAAAAAGAGATATTTCCATGCCACGAAGGCATGTGGGATTCGATGGAATTTCTTGGAATTTATATTGATCGAAAAGCGTCTCGTGCTTGCTAGAGATTATCAAACGTTTCGAAAAGCAATGACTGCATTTTCTTTTCAAAGTTCGGCGCTACAGTAAACCTTCTCCTCCAAATACTTACCAGCTCTGCAGTCTCAAGATTATCATAACAGCTAACGTCTAACGAAGTTGTCGGGAATGACATTGGCCGAATTCTGGAGGTTCTCGGCTCCAGCACCGACTCTTCCAGAATCCTCTGAAGCTTCTCCCGCTCAATGACGATCGGATGAAGGGTCTCACGACGAATAAGTAGGGCATTTTTTCGAAGACGAACTTCCTTTATCTCTTCACTTTTCGCCCGGTTTTGCAACGATTTGCGGGGTGATGGCACGGGCGCCTTCGCACTTTTTTGAACGGCGGAAGTGGAAGTGAAGAGGCGGCGAGGTTTGGGCACCGGCGCCGCCGTGGTTGCCGTCGGAATAGGAAAAGAATCAGAATCAGCCGAAGACGTAGAAGGAATAGAAGAGGTTATCACCATCGTGTTGTCAGTTCATCCAACGGATCGAGTATAATCAATCGTCGGAAAAATCGTCTACTCCGTCCGACGACCCGCGTGTTATGGAGGCGGGCGGCGAAAACAGAGCGGTGAGTCACACGGGGGGAGGGCGGCCAGCGACTTTTTCGATTTGACAAAGGCACCCTCGACGACGACGCAATCGGTTGCGAAACGAAAAAGCTTCAAGGGTCACTTTTGGCGTGTGGCGTCCCGTTCGCGAATGTTCACGGTCGGCCACCAACACGCAAGTAACAAATCAATCGGAGGGCGGAGACGACGAGGCGAACATGATATGGGGACGGAGGAAGGAGGAGAATGGCGCCGGCGGCGGCAGAGGTGGTCACTTTTTGACTCAGTCAATGTCCCATCTAATGTGCCACATTGAGTGAGTGAGTGTGATCGCAACAGGAGTAACCAACACGGCTGCTTGAAGGGGCCGATCACATAGAGCTTTGAGCCTGATGCTTCCGGAGATCTTGGCGTCTCTGCTATCAATTGCGAAAGTTTCACTTCAACCCACAGAAAGTGTTCCGAAAGATAGTTGCAAAACTCTTCAAGCTCTAAAGGGCGTACAGATTTTTAACGTGCGCGATTCTAAGAAGATTTTGGTTCCTTTTTCTAGCCAGCCAGCCTCCAATTGGAAGTTTCCTACCACCGGCTGCCCTAATTAACCAATTCAAAGAAAACTGTCAAATCGTGTAGCCGTCAATCGAACCGACTAATTCTCCGTCCTCTCGCTTCTCCCTTTCGATAAGAACGAACAACGGATGACAAAGCGCCGATTGATAAGAACGACGGGAAACCGGCGAGCGGAGCAAAAGAAAGAAATTCCAAAGAGGCGAAAGGAAAGAGAGAAGAGAAGAAGGGCAAACTAAAGAGTACACCTATTGTCGCGCCTCACTTATTACACCCCCTTCATTTGCCCATCATTCACCAGACACCATCAGCCCCGGCGTCGTGTTTACCGAGCGAAGGTGTCGAATATTTGGACAGCACAGTTATTATCGATAAAAAGTGTAATTTGAAGAGAAGAATAAAGGTTAAAAAACAGGTAAAATCACACTATGCATTTTGAAACATAGCTAGATCAAGTGTTTGAAACAGAAATATACGATTTTTTGAAGAAAAAAGTGAATTTTGTGTCGAACGCAAAATACGGTTGACAAAGCAGGTCCGCAAACACCGTCACGTACGAAAAGCAGATTTTTCAACAGCATTTATAGAAAAACACCGTTTTCTGTTATTTTCATAGGGAAAACTAAAGGAAAACAGTCATCTCAAATCATTTTGATGTTATTAAAGAAAGTGTACATCCATTAGCGCGTAGATCCAGAAGAAAGAGAAAAAGTTAGTGAACCCATTCGGACATCAATGCCCGGCGCCAAACCCATTAGCCCCGTAAATCCGATAGATCCAGATGAAGCGTTAATGAAAGAAGATGTCAGAAACAGTCAGAAAATCACGGTATTCAACTGAAAGAAGCAAATCGAAGGAATCCACGCGCAAAGTGCGTCCAGCAGAACGTTCGGCCTCAGTTTGCGGCGAGATGATGATGGGTGAAAGATGCTAAATGTGCAAACAATTGGCGGAAAAGACGGACGGAAAGAGGGGCGCTAACCGCCAGGGAGCCGCTGCCGGTCCGCGTGGAAACCGTGCTCTTGACGGGGAAAAATGAAAAGGGGAGGCAAATCCTTGAAACATACAAACCACTGGTTAGTAAGTACATTGCCACAAAGTTCCGGAACTTTCACATTTCCACAATCTACAGGAGCATCACAAAGACACTAAAAAAGCGTATTCATCTTATAAAAAATGCAGAGAACTGGCAAAAAAACTAGAAACTGAAAAGAAAAAGAGTCAGGTTATGTGTGTGTGTGTGTGTGGTATGGCTAACTATACACGCGGACAAACACCATAAGAAGCCGTTTGTTTTGTGTAGACTCCTCGAACGGAAGCCCTCCTCCAACCTCCTTCTCGGGTCGGGTGCAAATAAGAACGGAAGAGTTGAAGAGGAGGAGGCCGCCGAAGATGAGGTAAAACAAAAAAGGATGGACAGGGCAAAAGTCGAGCAAATCGATCGCTTGTTCCTTTCAAATTATTATGTATAAATGAGAAGGAGAGGGGGAAAATGTTACAAAGGCGAACGAGTTGGTGGCGGGTTGTTACAATTCGACGGGAGCAGCAAGGTGATAAGTTGAAGGGCAAGTCCCGCAACGATTCGGAGATGTAATGGATATTGGTGACGATGTGATTCTTGAGCGAACAGTTCTGTAACCCAGTAACCGCACAGGATTATCAAAAAATGAGGGGTCAATAGAAGTGTCATGTTCTTCAATTACTCACAGACCGACAAAGTTGTGGAGCTGTAACTTCCCACAGAAACCTTCCATTTACCTCTAACCTGGCTCATTTCGAAGAACAGAATACAAATGAACTTTTATCAAAAAAGGAGAGATCTCAATGTTCGATTTCTGATAAGTTGAAAAACCGCTAGTCGCGTGGATGAAACGCCGGGCCGTGATTCTGTGGACCTCTGGAAGGGGTTAGTCCCAATACGTAGAGCTTCTTTTGATAATTCAATTAGTCCAGTCTCCTTTTTATTCTCTCCACTCGACTCTAAATATTTCCCCCCTTCTCCGTGTCATGTTCTTTTTCTTTCTCACTTTCACTCCCCTCTGACTCATGCAAACATTTCCCGCCTTCCTTGCCGAAAATTGCCCATTGAACTCGCTTTCTCTCCAAACACGGGCTGTTCTTTCCCTTGTTCCTTCTCTAAAATCCCCGAAATTCCGCAATTTCTGCCCGTCGCCGAGTCCCTCTTTCCGCCCCCACTGATCCCTTCCAACTGATCTTCCCGCTCTGAGATTCGGAGGGAAATCGAGAGAGTGAAAGGGAGGGAGAGACGCAGAGAAAGATAGAGCTAGAGGATGTGTGTGATAGAGGAGTCGGATCATGCTGTAAAGAAAGGGGCGGGGCTTCGGGAAGAGCGACGGAAGAAGACAACAACAATCAGTTGAGGAGCATCCGAGAAGTTCGTATCGATTTTGTTATTTTCAGTGTTCTCACAAATCAAGCAATCACGCTCTATCGTTCAATTTCATTCAAATCTTATTCAAAATGCTCTTCTTTTCACGTGTTTTGGGGTAAGCGTAGAGATTGATTGCACTTTTAAAATTTCAACAAAAAACAAACTATTTCACTGGCCTAAAAATAGCGGTTTAGCGCGATTGCCCGAATAAAACGTACACAAATCTAAGAATCAAGAACACATTTTTCTCTCTCCTAATGGCCCAATTCCACCTCTCTCCCTCCTTTTTTTTTCAAAAAACGAAAATGTTTTAAAGTTTGTCCCGGCTCGTCGGTGCCGTCAGAAATCACTTTCAATCTTTTACGACGGCAGAGATTCTTTCTCGAGAAAACATGTGCATACTATAACGTTAGCCGATCGGGGTTCTTCTTTTGTCTTCTTCGTCTTCTTCTTCTTCGTCTTCTTCGTCTTCTTCTTCCGCTTCCCTGCTCATCGTCGTTTTCCTTCAGATCATGGTGAAAATAGTGACGGACGGGGAGTACGTGCCGTGGTACAGTAGGCGAGCGCCGCCCGTCTTCTGCTTCCCCTGCGTACCCGCTTACATGGGTATTTGGCCTGCCAGGTGAGACAATTTGACAATAGTCCACGAGATCCCAAATCACAACTGACGCTCTACTTGCAGAAAGTGCATTCTGATCATCGGAACGCTTCTGTTCTTCTTCGGAGTCATCATCCTCCTCGCCATGCTTCTCACTTGCATCGCAGTCGAATGTGCCGGAGTGTGAGACTTCCCTTCCCTCCCATCCCAACCTTCCAGTTTCCTTCCAGTGCGTCCGCCCTCATCCCCCTCGCTCTCATCCTTCTCATCGTCGGAATCCTTCTGTTCCATTGCGGATACGCCGCCCATCTTCTCGACAATCACGGACAAATCCCGATCAAAAAGACGACGACGACGACGACGACGACCGTCCACGACCCGGAGTCGCACGAGGACGAGATCCGACTTTTCGAGAATGTCGATAGACCGAATGCACCGGCGGTGAGTTGATTTGATCATTCGAGTGATTTAGTTTGAGGTCCTAGTTGTTTGGTTTCAGGTGAAACAGGGATTCTGGCAGTTCGACGAAGATCAGTCGTGGCAAAATGCTTCCAATCCGTACCCAATTCAGTGAGTTTTACAGGTTTTGCGCTCTATTGCTCACGTGGCAGCCGCTCTTCCATTCCGTAGCATTTCTTGGCCAGCTGCCGTACAAAACCCACGAAATTCAAAAATCGCGCAAATATTTGAATTTCATCAAGAACCAAAGAAAACTACGAAAAATATTCAACATTCGTCGGTGTTCTGATCCATTAAAACCTACTAATTCTGGAAAAGTCGCTCTACCGCAATACCACGTGAAAACGAGACCGCGACCGTGATCTTTTCCAATTTCACATGAAGAGCGGTAGAGCGCGACTGCCAGATTTCTGCGGCTACAATACAACAACACATTTTGAACCGTACATTCTCGTTTTCTTCTTCTTCTTCTTCCCCAAACAGCGCCTACAACATACAGAACACAAAATAGAACAGCATCACAAAACCAGCAGCTTCCCCGCGTTTCTATCTAATCATTGGTTTCTTTTCAGAAAGACACTCAAAGTCTGTCTCGAGCGTCCACAATACATTTGAGCTTCTTCCCGCCCACTACTGAACAATGCCCATTTTTGTTGAGAGTTCTCATAAAACTGTTTTTTGACAACTTGAATCTGAGTCTGCATACCTACCAAATAAACAAACGCTGTACACTTTCCGTCTCTCTCTCTCTCTCTTTCTCTCTCTCTCTCCCCCTGTCGTTAATCCCAAATCTCTTGTTCAGCGTGATTTTCACACACTTTCCAGGCATGCTAATCGGTCTTCTCGCCTCTTTCGGCGCCTGTCTTCTTCTCGGAACTCTGTTCGTTCCCATCAAGACTTGCCCGCCAACTGATGGATTTGCCACGCAGTTGTTCATGTGTTTGGCCGGATACCTCGTCAGTTTCGGCATTTACGCCTACATGCACTTCCCCGGAGTGTACGTTTTGGCCATGGTCGGAGGTGCCATTTGGTCCTCTAGTGAGTCTAAGATCACTTCAAGAGCATCTGACTCTGATTGCAGCCAACTGCTTCGCCGTTCCGATAATGGGCCAGGTGGGGATGGCGATGTTCATGCTCTTCGCCTCTTCGATCTCCTGCCTCACCGGCTGGGCCATCTCCAGATTCGGATTGTTCGGCGTGCCGGCTGCGGTTCCGCTGAGCGTTCCTCTAAATTACATTGGCATTTTCCTTCTCATCGCTGGGTTCGATTTCAAACAGAATCTCTGAACGTCTCAATCAGTTCCAGTTCCGCGCTCTACCCGTTCATCAAAATCAACGTCTTCCGGGCGCTCAAACCCGTCGATCCGCACGTGCACGTCGTTCCGATGCGAGTTCTGACAGAGTTGGACGAGGAAGTCGTCGTGACGAACAAAGATCCAGTTGAAGTGAAGAAAGGCGACGCCGAAATGAGGACGTCGATGGGGAACGTGGCCGCGTGGATCGGAACGGTACTCACCGGACTTTCGTTGGGTGTCATGACCACTCCGGTCACTCTTCTCATGGTCAGTTTGAGTAGGCTTCCTTCCAAAATGTTAGTACTTGGTTTAGAGTTTTTCATATTGAAAGTTTGAGTCCTGTCGGATCAACTGATCTGGAGATATGGTATTTTGGGGCCGAAAAACACTGGTATTCACGGAATGTAAAGGTATCCAATTGTGCTGAAACTTTCAAAGACGATACTTGAAATCAAGACCTATATCTCGAGACGATAATTACATGGAAAAGTAACATAAAAAATTAATGTCAATATTGTGCTGAATAACTATGTAATTGATCTGTTAACTCCAAAATTCGTCATTCTTGAGATATGGTCTAGTTTCTAAACAGTAGATCTCTTTAAAAGTTGAGGTTCCTCCAGATGATAGGCCAAAAGTCCATGTCCCCGGGTATCTCCGTCCTGTGCGAATGCCAATTTATGCAGTATTCAGACGCGTCCGGACGTGTACCCCCTGCCGTTCCCGGTCGAATCGTCCGTCTCGTTCCACTTCTCCTTCTTCACCGGCGTCCTCATCGTTTCGATCGCCGTCTTCCTCGTCTATTGTCTGATTCGGTGACTTCTTCGATTGCCTCTTGATTGAATCCGACGTTTGCAGAAAGGGCGACGCGGTGATTCCCGCCCGCAACGTGCTCCCTTCCGTGCTCAGCGGCGTCTTCTTCTCCGTCGCCATGGCCTTTTTCTTCGTCGCCAACGAGCAGTTGTCCCCGACGATATCGTATCCGATTTGCATGATGGCTCCCGGATTGGTCACCTCCGCCTGGAGTGTCTTCTATTTCAAAGAGATCCAGGTCAGTAGCACTTCCTTCTCTTTCGACATGTTCCGAGCTTTCAGGGTCGACGGAACTTGCTTCTGCTCGCCGGCGCTTACACGTTCACTCTGATCGGAGTGCTCGTGATTACTGTCTCGCGAATAATTCAATTTTGAAAGGGACAAGCTTTATTTAGAGAAGAGGGAGAAAACGTATATAAATTTGATAGACAGAATTGAGGAAAAACTGTGTGACAATTTTATACAATACAAATAATTATGTGTGGGCGCAGGGCTTTTGGTGGGGTGTGTGTAGAGTGCAAAACATAAGCAATAGCTGCTGAAATCTACTTGATCGACATTACATTCTACAAGAAGACACGCATTTAGATGGGGTTGGGATGGGGGGAGGGAGAGAGAAAAGCCTGAAAAACGTCAAGAAGCAATAGAGGTGCGGGACGAAATGCGGAATTTTTCGGCGGAGTTTTTTTGGGAAGTGTATGTCAAAATGGCAAAGTCAAGAAGAATGGTGGCAATAAATGGATGATTTACTGATCCTTCTTCTCCTCGGGTGCGACTGGTGCGCTGCGAAGGAATGGAAGTTTCTCGTCGATCCTGAAAAAGCGAACAATCAATTGTCATCTCTAACTGCGAAGTATTCGAATTAATTCTTCAGATTCGAGTTATAAAAAAAGTCTTTCAAAAACACTTACAAGTTCTGCACATTCTTGAGGTGTCCAGAGATGGTGGCGAGATGAGGGTCGATGGCCTCCTGGTTAGACTCGTAGACCTTTGGCACCGAGAAGACTCCGAGGACGGCGAGGATGGCGAGGGTGAATCCGGAGAACCACGAGGCGATGTAGGTCAGAGACCAGAGGACAAGTCCGAACTTGATAGACTCGAACGGATTCTCGACGAACACGAGCTTCTTGAGGGTGTTGGCGGAGGAAGTGGCGTGCTCGACGAACACATCGGCCTGGGCGTGAACCTTCTCCTGTGGAAGCGACAGATCCTTGGCCAGAATCTCTGAGAACGGATGTTCGGCATCGGTCTTCTTGATTTGCGACTCGACCTTCTTGAACACGCTGAAAATGCCACTCATTCAGGGTTGTAGCCTCCGTGAGTTCGTTCGTCAACTTACCGGAATCCAGCGGCAGCAACGAGAGCTCCGAGAAGCGTGTAGGTGATGACGGTGAGCAGTGGATACTTGGCGAGGATGAAGAGAGCGAGAAGGACCAGCGAGAGCACGACGGCCGACTTCTTGGCGTCACGCCAGTAGATCACGTCCAAGACTGAAAAAAATGATTGAAAGTTGATTTAGTTTCCCAGACCTTTCAAGCGTTTCCCGATATTTTATTTGCAATCCCATTTTTTCTGAGAAAATGTAGGATTCCCTGAACAAATTCCAACTCATCGTCCATCTGATGGACACTTTACCCGTCAGGGTGTCATTTTCCCGGTTTTTTTTTCCACTGATAAGATAGACAATCAAACAGCGAACCGAACAGAGAGTACTCGCCTTTTTGACATTGACAACTCGCCATTTTCGGGATGAGGACTGAACAGAAATCGATCGAGATGACACGTGTTTCAAGGAGACGCTTTCGAAACGAAACGAACAAACAAAAATTTAGCGGTAGTTGCAGGAGGTGGAAGAGGAGGAAAAGAACGAGTGGGAGTAAGAGCCAACACCTGTTTTCCTCCCGCTGGGAGCTCCTCCTTCTCAGAGCCGCTGCCGCCGCGGCCCGATCCCACCCAACCTATCAGCACTTACTCTTTCCAGGGAAATCGGTGGCGGGCACCCACACGGCCTGCTTTGACGTCTTTCTATTGTTGAAACGAGTTTGAGCCATTTTTGGACGAGAGCCAACACAGACCAACGAATTGAAGACGGAGAAAGACTGAGCGCGTTGCTTGCTGTAGCACGAGAAAGTGACGGCGACGAGACGCGATCGAACGGCCGACGCGTATTTGTCTCCACCCCGTCTCTCCTCTGCGGTCACCACCGTAATCGGCAACCGATCTCGCCAGCCGTCCATCGCCCTCCGCGCAACAAAAACTATCTCAGCGAGCGCACGGTCGGCGTCTCTCGGATCGCAACGCTGTCTCCCTACATTTGCAGTTTTCGAGACCTCCAACTGCCGTGAGGACCGCGCGCAACGCAACAAGGCTGTTGCTGCTGCTCTCGGCGTCTTCGGCGTTTTCTCTCTCTCGCCGTATAGTATGTCGATATCTTTTTTTATCTATACGACCAGGTCCCGAGACGACCACTAACTACTTCCTCCGTACAGCCAATAGCTAATAGTAAGGCCAGATTGAATAAAAACCACCTCTCATAAATCCGTACTGACCTACTCTATCTCCCTTAATTTCCCCTATCAAACTAGTGATGCGGAGTGTCCTCATAGAATTAATAGATCACTTCTGTGAATATTTTCTTGCTGACATAAAAGCGAGGTTGAGAAAATTCGTCCAAACAGTTCTATTCATAAATCTCATTTTTTGGAAACCCAGTCCAATGCACCCCAACTTGAATCCGTACCCTCTTTTCGCTGAAGAACTCCAGAGTTCTTTGAAAATTTGTACGCCTCGTGAACACTGACGGCGACTCCGGCGACGAGTGCCACGTGGAGTCCAACACGAAGTACAATGTTGACGGCGAACGCAACGAGCGCGTACACTCCGCGTCCAATCGCTCCCAGCTTACTCATCGCTTCGTTTTCTTCTTTGTTCACTTGCGGAGGGTTCTGTGTGCGACACAATGTTTCACGTGAAGAACAGGAGATAGGCGAGCGATAACGAGAGATAGAAACGAGAGAAGGAGAGAGAAAGGAAAACAACACGAAAAAGAGAAACGCACGGAAAAGGATAAACGAAGATCGAGAACATCACATCTCTAGGGGATAGTGCCAAACTTTTGCAACAATAGAAAATGTTGCGAAAACTACAATCACTCATAAACTACCGGGGTTCTAAGCAACTACTTTTTTTTGGAAAGAAAGAGATTCCGCACAATTATGGCACAAAATTTGCCAATTCAAAATTATCATTATAAAGCAGAAGGTGACAGGAGATTTCAGGCTAAACGAATGAAAACCAGCGCAACTTTCCATTGTCGGATGGCTGACCTTCTTGCCGGTATTTCAACCAGAATCATAATAAAACTGGTAGAATGTTGCGAAATGAATGCACGTGCCTTTTCCTTTCCCCTTTCCATAGTCAATTATGGTCACATGCCCGCCCGGGAGCGATTGGGTTCATGAATAATTAGGCGTGCCGCAGAGAGCGCGCGCGATTGGCGAGTTTGAGCCAGAATAAAGTGATTGGGCCGAATAGTGACCGAGAAAAATGATAGTCAGTTTGGTGGGAGGAGAAAGTGACGACTGATTAAAAACAGTCAGAAAGGCACGAGGTTTGTGGGGTGAACAGAAACCAGAAATTGCCGTGTTCAACACAAAAGTAAGAAATGGTAAACAAGTGAGCGCGAATTGTGAAATTGGACGCTGAATTAGGTCTAATCAGAGTGAAAGGCGCCTGCGTCGAGCCCACCGAGGTGAATAATAATTATGGGAACACGGATATAGATAACTGCACGGCTCTCCATGGGACGCAATTTTCGGATTAGCGCTACTCGCCGGATAGAAAGAGCTCAGGAGCTCAAATAGGAAAGAAGCAGGAGGAGACAACACATTGGGAATGATGAAATGGAATTGAGCGTTGTCCGCATCGAAGGGCGAAGCGAATAGCGCGCCAAAATTCAAATTCGAATTGGCTGTCTCTCTCCGCGCTTCACTGTACTATTTCGCAACATTGGTGCAATGACGCTAACCACAACATTCCTTCTTTTGTTTCGCCAGTAAGCCGCTGATGCTTCTGTGCAGAAACGCAATTGAATAAGAGAATGGAGAAAGCGTGAAAGAGGCGAAAACTACGCGGATACTTAAAAAAAATGGAGAAAAACGGCAAAGTTTGGGTCAACTTGGCGGGACAATGGAGGGTTGGTGTTTAAAGGCGCATGTACAAATGTTGGAGGCAGGTCTTGGCGCGAATTAGATTTTAGTAGAGAACAAGAGGCTTTTGGGAGCGAGTTTTGAAAGCAAGCTTATTAAAAAATAATGGTAAATGTACTTCATTCGTTCTCATGTAATCTCATAGTCAGATGAATCTAATGTGTCTATGGAATTCTCGCTAAAGTACATCTTCGTGCACAGGCCTGAAAAACAAATTAGTTCAATACTGCGCCCGCAGACAGGGAACGACGAAAAGAAACAACAACATGAGACCCTGAAGAAGAAGATGAAGCACGTGCTCCACGCGCACAAATATGGGTGGGCTTTCGGCCGTCCATTTCGCAGTACTGGTCGTTGTTGTCGACGTCTCTCTCTCTCCAGAGCTTCCCTTCCGACGGACCATGTGACCACACCCTGGCGTCTGCCCCCTCCGCCCGACGTCCGTCTATTTTCGCGCATCGTATCGACCGATGGGGTCCCTTCCCTCCCGGTTTGGAGTCGTATGTGCACCAAATTGAGCTGCCCTTCGTCTGCTTTCTCCGCCCGTTTCTATTCCACCCGTGCTTCCTCGCCAACCCCTATTATTCTTGTTGTGTGTGCTTCTGCCTACTGCTCCACCACCACCATCACCACAATTTGGCGGCGAGCCAGCTAACCAGCGGCCAGTGAGCACAAGCCCTCTTCGGGAAAAGCACAATTGGGTTGCCGCGAAAAGAGAGCGTTATACCCTCTTTGTCTCATTTCGAATTCCACACCAAACTCTTACCACATGGCGGAATCGTCTTGAAGTCGACCCACGGCTCTCCGTGATGCTTCAGAATCGAGTGATGCGGTGACGATGGGTGCGCTGCAAAAAACATTATTGTGGAAAATGATAAATTAGACTTACAATGATGATGAGCCGGTCCCAAGTTGACAGTGGACGGCTTCACATCCTCATCGCTGATATCCTTGGGCGGAGTCGGTGGACGTGGCACCGTCTCAAACTTCTGATGCCCGAAAATCTCGTCCTCCGTCAGTGCCTCTCCGACGGCAGCGCCGAAAGCGGCTCCAGTGTTCGAAGTGATCAGCGGATCGAAATCGGCCAGATCGTCATCGATCTTGTTGTGCGCGGCGGCGGCCTTCTCGACCTCTTCCGGAATGGTTAGCGGCCCCTTGCGGTCGAACGTCGTCTCGTCCTCCTCCGGCGTTTGGTTTCCGAAGTGTGGCTTTTCGGCGGCAACGTCTTCTTCGTCGGCTTCCAATGGTGGTGTCGGATCGCGTCCGCGCAAGAAATGGTCGATTTCGTCGTGAACCTGATCGACACTCTCGTGGATGTCGACCAACTGATCCGGAGTGATTGGTCTCGGGCTCGGCGCCTTGTGTGCCGGCTCCTCGGGAATTTGATCCTTGACAAAGTCCTCGACTGCCTGCGGAACAGTATCATGAACAAAGTCACCGAGTCCATCGTACGCCTTGTGCAGCGTGTCGGTCACTGGCTTCTCGACCTCTTTTATCTTGTGCTCAGCACTGTCCAACAATTCCTTTCCGATCTCGTCGGCATCCTCCACCACGTGTTTTGACAGCTCCGACGCCGACTCGACAGCGTCCTGGACGAGTTTGCGAGCCTCCTCGGCGATCGGAGACTCCAAAAGTTTGGCGGTGGCGGCGTCCGCATCGCCGAAACCGTAGTTTTTCTCGATGACGTCGTCGCGATGAGAAAATGACATCTGAAAAAGGAGAAAATATAAAAATTATGGCATTGGAGAGAAAACGTATCAACATCGTCGTACTCTACACACACATAAACACAAGAGGGGTGGGAGGAGAAAAGACGAAAAAGAAGACATCAATATTTTTCTGGTGTCTCCTTTCAAAATTAACGGACGTGGAAAACGGACATTGCAAACATTCTCGAACGTCTCATTTTTGCAGAAACCATGAAATCAGTGATGAGCATCGACCGAATTTCTACGCTTTTTCTCATATTTTTCCTTCACATTTCACTGGTTCATGGCCAGCTGTTGGCGTTGGCGTAAGGGATATTAGAGACAACAGGGAAACACGAAAAAGTGTAATTTCCGGAGATTTCCGCCTTTCTCTCTCTCTCGCAATGGAAACGAAGGTGTTCGGGGGGTGACTCAGCCGTAAAACTGTTTTTCCTATTTCGAAATCGCGATTGTGCGAGAAGTGATCGGAAACTGCACAAATGTTTCAAAGCCTCCGGCCAAAAGTAAACAAGCATTGTTTCGGGCGCAAAAAAAGGGGGAAAAGTGAGTGGAACGCTTGTTTGTCAGTGTTCGCGAGCTTTCTTTTCTTTTCAAACGACAAAATAACACAAAAATGGGAGGGGAAACGAGTGAGAACATTGGGGCGAAGAAGACGAAGATCGAGAGAGAGAGAGAGACACGAGGGAGAAAGAGTTGAAGGCGTTTGCGCGAAAAAGCGAAAAGGCACATAAATTTCCGGAATATTCAAATCGATTCGAATTATATGTGTCCGGGGGCGCTGGTTATGGAATATAAGTTTGTCGTGTTTGTGTGCGTCGGCGTGTGTTTCGAAATTGGCAAAGAGCGACTGACCGGAAGCGAGTGAGAGAGCGACGCCGCGGCATTTGAGGTCAAAACAATTTACGCGCGCGCGCAGAAAATTTGCAGAGTAATCGGAGACTCGGAATCTGAAAATTAAGCTTAAAAGCTGCAGATTCTCAACTTCCAGATTCCGAAAACTCGAATTTCGTCTGCAAAACTCTTAACTAGCCACAAAGTACGACGATCGGTCACACACTGAACCGCGCGAAGATAACAAATGAAGAAAAAGAGTGTGAGTAATCAGCCCCGCAGAGTGGTCGTATCTTTTATATTCCCGTTCATTCGATGGCTTTTTTTCATTTCAAATGGGTCTTGTGATAAAACCGGGGGTGAGGGGAAGTGTACTTGACAAACACACGGACACTACGTTGAGAATAAAATGAAAATAATAAAAACGGGAGACAACAACCGACCCACGAAAAAACAACGAAAACCTTTTCTCCAGCTGGCGTTTCACTTCGTTCGATGAACACGAATCCGTCGTCGGCCTGGTCCCGTTGAGAATTCTGAACACGGAACACATCACAACATGCACAGTTTGCTATAGAGCGCGGTTGCATTCACGTGAAACGTTGAAAAATAGACACCTGGCTTTCGGGGATTATAACCGATGAAGCTCCGAATATCATGGTCATCTTTTCTAGTATTTAGTAGTCAAATATGGGCCCTTACTAGTGCCGAAATTGGAAATTCGAGACGCGAAACCTCAAATATCCAGTTTCACCATATAGGTCGCCCGGGGACCGCCCGATTTTACACGCGTGGTCGAGCGAACCGCGCCGGATTGTTCTGGATGAAAGGAAAATTGGTACGTTGAACGTTCAGGCCGTTTATAAAGAGCAGCGGAACGAAAAAAATGTGCAAAAACGTTTGGGAAGAGTGCACGCCCATAAAGTTTATGGTGCAGAGTAGAAGAACGCAGCTCGTCTTTTCTCAGTTTCTTTGGAAAACTTTGATAGTAAATGGAAATGATTCAGATGCAAATATTAGGGAATGTTTTTTTTTCAAAAAAATTGCTGCAGTACGATTTCAAGCAGAGCCAGTATCTCTCTTTCAACTTTTCACAGCTCCTGAACGCAAATCGAATGAAATGAAATGTTCATCACAATATTCACAAAACTACATCAACCACCAACCACATAGTTCTTTTTCGAGGATAACCCACCACATCATCGGCCTGAAGGCTTCCGAACACCGACTGCTGCATCGGATCGGCGACGGGCGGCACGTAGTCGTCGAGTCCGTCGTGGTCGACTTTCTCGAATCCGCTCGAATCGATGGATCCTTCGGCCGACGGGCGGTCCTCCGCTTGCAGTTTCTCCAGGAATTGAGCCGTGTTCTCGAAGCCAACCGGCGGCGCGTTTGGCGACAAATCCGACGGGGAGTCCATGGATAAATTGGCGACTAGTTGGACGGGATTAGTGGACGGCTCGAGGTATTGGGAAACCTGAAATGAATAAAGAATGTTGCGGGATTAGAGTGGAAAAGAGATGAGAAAAGTGGAAAGGAAAGATACGAACAGAAGATTGGAAAGGAAGAAGGTCTTGTCGGATGTTCTCAATGGCGGTTCGGAAATTTTGACGATCGCCGAATGAGGAGATGGAGGAGAATGAGTCACGACGAAACGATGGATCGTCGACTGCAAAAGGCGGAGAATTGGAATGAGGAGATGGGGAGGTCACACGGAAAGAGTTAGTGAAAATCGATAACGGTTCAAGTCTGGAATGTGAAAATGAAAAACGGTTAAAGTGAAGAGAGCACACGAGCTCACTGGAAGTATTGAATCTCTGAATAGTTCGTTCGCTGAGGTCTCCAATCGAATCGAGACACTCGCTCCCTTCGTCTTCATCGTCTCCGACATTCGCAGTCGTCAGAATTCTAGTCTCCACTGGCTTCTCGAGCACCTTCACCTCCTTCTTCTCCTTTTCATCCTCAATCTTCTCCTGTGGAGAATGCGGAACCGAGCGCATATCCATCATCGGAACATGCTCGTATTCTTCAAGAACACTCGGCGAGAGAGGGGAGAGAGCCGCCTCTTCCGGTACTTTCGGAGGCGATGAAGAAGTGATCACTTCCAGCGGTTTGTCCAACATTTCTTCCAGCGCCTTCTGCTCTTCGGAGTAGCTCCTGCCGAGTTTGATGCTCAGGGGGCCGAAACGAACTTTTGACTTTGGAGCTCGCGGCGGACGCTGTGGCGTTTCGATGGGCGTGAATTTGGTTGGCAATGGAATTGAAGGTTCTTCTTCTTCTTCTTCTGAAGAAGCTGAAGCTTCTAGAACTTCTGTGGGAGTTTCAGAAGGCTTCTCGGGTTCCGGAGTCTTTTCCTCGTCTTCGAAGGGAAACTTCATGTCGGCCAGTGGCTCTGGCACCATCTCGCTGAGCTCCGATTCCGTGACCACTTCCCTCTCTGCCACCTCCTTCACCGCGTCGGCAATTATCCAATCGACCATCTCCTCCAAGTACTTTGTCGCCGGTTCCAACAACGGGATCGGCACGTGGATGACGTTCGGATCGTTCGAAATGTCGAGTTCCATGAGCGATGGTTCCGACGGCACCACCTTCAGAATCTTCAACGTCTCCACTTCTTCGGGTGTTTCTGTTTCAGTGGTGCATCCAACTTCAGCGACCAGCGACTTCAGGGACTGAAGGGAAATGACGTCTTCATCCTTCCACTGGCGAATCGGACGGAAGTTCAACTCGCCGAGCGCGTCTTCTTCCTCCTCTTCGACGTCTTCTGAATTTGAGAATTTGACTTCGGTCCCAAAAGGAACATAGTCATTTCCATAATCCGGATGATCTTTCGGAATGGAAAAGTGCACGTCGGTGATTTTATGGGGAGTTTCGGAGGAAGTGATGGTGGTTTTTGTGATGCTTTCTTCGGTCTTCGGTTCTGGAACTTCCGTTTCTTGAATAACTGGAGCAACATACGCATTTTCCGTGGCTTCTGACGTTTCAGGAGCATCTGCAGCGACGTCGTTTCTTTTCACCCGTTGGATTTCTTCAGTAACACCAGGAATGTCTTCAGGCACCTCTTCAGTTTGTCCGGCGTCTTCAACTTCTTGAACAGCACCAGTTTCCATAGCAGAAGTATCGTTGGCGATCACTTCGGGAGTCGAGACGGCTTCGAAAAGCGGCTCTTCAACCTGCGCTACAAGATTCTCCACGGCATCGTGAACATCCATTTCAGTATCTTCAGTCTTCTCCACGTCATCAGCAGAAGGCGAATCATCGGTTACCGCAGAGAATCTTTCCACAATTTCTCTAACTTCAGGGACGTCGAAGGAAATGTTTTCTTCAACTTCATCCACAGCTTCACCATCTTTAGCAACGATCTCCACATTGTGTTCAATTACGGCTTCTGGCGTCGGCTCCTTATGGTTCTGATTTTCCCTGAACGTTTCAGATGTGTTGACGGCAACAAATTCTCCTGCGGATCTTGGAAGATTAGCATCGACACGAACTCCTTCCTCGGCTTCAGTTTCCAGCTTCTCCACGGCGATCGGGATACATTCTGGCTCCTCTGGAGGTTCAACTTCTGTCAAATCAGAATCGTTGGCTTCTGGAGTCTCGATGTTTTGGAAATGTTTCATACTTTCTCTGGATTCTTTTCGGATATTCTCCAATTTCTCGGCCGCTTCCTTCAGTGTCTGCTCCACCACTTCCTCTCCGTAATCCTTGAATTCTCGTTCTCCTTGTTCTTCGGGCGTCGGCGTATCGACAGACTTCACAAATGCAGTCCGGAATGCTTCTTCCTCCTTAGGATCTTCGACCTCATCCAACGTGTCATCAGAAGTCAAATGCACCTTTTCAATGAGTTCTCTTCCGCCTTCCTCGTCAAAACTTGGATTCTCAAGGATGGTGACGGCTTCTGTCGTCACAGTTTCCTCGTCATTATCTCCAGAAGTCTGTTGGATAGGAGTGAATGTGAATTCTGTCACATGAACGTCATCCGGAGAATCGGCAGACTCGACCACGTTGTCCAGTTCTTCAGATGGCGGAATACGTTCAACGATAAACACGTCTTCCGGGGCGGCCACGGCGACATCTTCCATCAAAGGAATCGTGTAGATGAGTTGGAAAGAAGTTTCATTCGGCTCACGGAACCACAGATCCACACGCACGTTCTTCTCATCCGGCTCAATCTCCGCCAAATGGTTTTCCGCTTTGAGAATAGTGTAAATCAACTCGAATTCGGTCTCCTTCGGCTGTCGGAACAGCAAATCGGTCTCCACATTCTCGTCCGGATCCTCGAACACGTCATCTTCCAGTGGCTCGTTAAGCAGATCCTCGGGCAGTTGGAGCTCTGGATCGGAGCAAGAAGAGCCGATGGAATGAGAGGGAAGGGCTTGAGTCAGTGGTTCGTCTGGTTTTTGAGTGAGAAGGGACACATCGAACTGACCTAAAAATTTGGGGTTGGAGATTGATTTTACAATTGATTAAAACCGAACTAACCTTTTTCAGGCTCCACCCAAATGGTTTTGACCAGCTCGAAATCGGTAACATCTCGCGGCTTCCGGAATACCAGTTCCACTCCGACATTCTTATCTTCATTTTCAGTCGGGATCATCGTTGCCGTCAAAAGTGATATTGTGTGAGAGTGGGGAGTGGGAGCCCGTTTCGAAGCTCCTCCCGGCTGCTCTGCTCCATTTCACCATGTGATCGCTGGCTCTGCGTCTCCGCCGGCTCATTGTGCTCTCTCGGGCACACAACTGGCCCCCCTCAGGTGTCTTCTCTCTTTTGCTCACCCAAAAACTTTTCCTCTTCTTGTTTTTCTTTTCGTGTTGTTGTTCTCTTGATTTTTCTCGATTCTCTTATGAACAGAACCCTAACCCGATGGGGAAAGGAAGGTCTCAAAGTCTATATGAGTGTGCGAGTTCGCTCCACTGGACATTTGTGCGTGGAGACGATGTTTTCCAGATGGAAATTTGCTCAAATTCGCTTATTTTCTTTGAGTGAATAGACTCCGATAAGGTCAGACTGAAACTTTCTCTATACCAACTCTGCGAACCATATTAGATCTATCCCAGTTCCTCTTGTTTCAAAATCGAAAATCAAAACTTTTGATCCAAACGGAATCCATTCGTTATCAATCGTAATGATAACATCTTTTGACTATAGCAAACACAAATAATTTTTCAATTTCGCCTCATTTGTTGTTCATGAAAAGAAGAAAGATCTAGAGGGAATCGAATGAAAACAAACAAACAAACAAACGAACTCGTTACTATACTTTTGTTCGATTCGATTCGATTCGTCCAGTCATTCATTATTATTATTGTCTGTTCACTCGCAATCACAAAAGATACACACACAGAGACAACGAGACGGAAAGAAGCACGTGTCGAGGGCGGAGACAAGTTCAGATGGAATCAGAGAACGGAAAGGAGACGGTGATGGAGAAGAAGATGACGTCAAGCAGGAGGATCTCGTTTCACGAGAGAGAGAGAGAGAAAGTTATGAGGAAGAGTAGAGTTATCGTGTTACACAAAGTTAGGTCGCGTAGTTTTTGATGTGATTTAGTGAGAGAAGGACATATTATCCCTCCGAGCTGGTTGAACTGAGATTTGGACCCTAAAAGTTGAGGTGCGGAGTACTGGGAGACCAGAGGAATACGGTAGCTGAGTAAGTGAACAGATGTCCAAATTTCTTTGCATTTTCAATGCGGGCAACTTGAAATTGAACTCATTTTGGCGGAGAAATAGAAGAAAGGGTTACACGAACTTACTTTACATTTACGAATTTTGATTTCGAAATCGATTATAACGTGACGGTCAGACCACGTGGGATGGGTCGATTTGAAAGTCAACTACTATCTATCTAGACGAAATATTGCGAAACCAGACAGTTCCAGGAACTTTCACTTCTACAAAAACATCAAAATGACACGAGAAACTTTAAAAAGAACATCTTTACAAGGGAATAATAGCAGCAACATGGTGCTTCCGCCTTCGGCCGCACCCAGTCGAGCAAATGAAATGCACTAGAAGGCTCGAAGAAGGAGCTTGCGGGCAGTAATTACCTGCCACACGGACACATTCAAATGGATTCAGAGTGAGAGTGTGAGAATAGGGGAAAATTTGTGAATGGCACGGAGGAGAAGAGAGAGAGAGAGAGAGAGACGCAGACTCCGAGTGGCCAGCGATCGGCCGCGTGACCGCATTCGAACGTTTTTTAGGAGAAAGATGGGGGACTACGTGATGGATGGACACGCGCGGTTTTGATAAGGAAGGAGGACGGGGGGAAAGGGAAAGTTTTTGGTTTCACTTTTCAGTTACTGCTTGCCAAAACGCTTCAATAATCAGATAATAGAGTAAGAGAAGGAAGGAAAAGGAAGAGAAATGATGTTGACTGAAAAGGACCGATCGGTAGGAGAAATGAATGATGTCAAATGAAGACAGACCTGGTTTTGGACTCGGAATGGGCATTTATTTGACTTTCGGATTGAAAATATACAAGAACTGGGTCTAGTAGGTCCCAAAACGGATCAATCTGTTTAGCTCACCGAGATCTTTGACAAAACTCGGCCGCGGCCACGACCCACCGATTCGCTTCTAATGTTACCGTAAGAAATTTTTGAAAATGTTTGAGAACGCCTGTTGATTTCCAATTGCTAGTGACTGGTTCTCCAGATGTCATTATATCATCCTTATCACTCTCACTTTCAGATTTCAATTTTCAACGAAATCTGTGAGGGGGAAAACAAGCGGGGAGCGCGTGGTCGTGCGGTCATCTTGTGCTCGCCCCGACGCCTCTTTCTTATCGCCGCCACCTCAGGATCATCAGGTCAGCTGAGCGACCGTCAAAGAGGCAAAAGACGACTGATAGCGGAATTGAAGTGTGGGTGGAAAAGTGACGGAAGGAAAGTCAGCCGAGGAGGGGGACTGAAAATGAATCGTCCGTTTCCTTGAGATTCCGTGATGGCCCGAGTCTGGAGGGAAGAGAAAACGACGGCGGAGGAGGGGCATTGCGAAATGAGGTCGGTTTGCATGTCGCCGGGGTCCGTCCTCCGAAACACGAATTGATCCATTTTGGAAGCGACAGCCACTGCTCTCCGTCCGCCACTCTCTCTCTTCCTCATTCTGGACATGGGAAAGAAAAGAGCAACGCCGAGCAAGCACAGCCCCAAACTAGGCAGCAGAGAAGAGAGCGCGCAGAGCACGGAGACGCAGAGCTCGGCTGAATGGGAACTGAGTGACCAGGCGATGGATTAGAAACGGAATTCGAGAGCTTTCGGGGGCAGCTGAGAGTGAGCCGCGAATTACCGAGAACGATTGGAGCGAGGGGTCCGATTGCAATGCAAATTCACTGGAACATTTGCATAAAATGAAGGGTTCACGAGGAAATGCGGTTGAACACAAACGACGGAAACACGGTGTCCACAGTACTTGGAGCAATGTTGTCAGTCAATTTTATCAGCCGGCAACACGTCAGTACAAGTGATTGGTCTTTGTAGGCTCTTCTGAGGCAAACTTCGAGATCAGAACGTTCAGATGACAATGTTTAAAGAGTTAAAAACTGTAACACCTAGATCCCGGGACATTTCAAAACGTCTAGTCGTTGGGTTGCCACGACGTCCGCCCACGGTCCATGGCGCCAAACTCTCTATTAGTTTCAAAAAAGCTTTACTTTTGTCAATTATTCCCAGCACTATATACTTTCTCCTCCCTCTTGTTGAGCTCATCAAAATGCACACACCATTGCACTTTCTCTCCAATTCGTTTCCGTCGTCGTCTTTTCCCATTTTCTTCTCGGTTCTGCTGTGACACCACAATGAGAATGGGGCGAAAGTCGTGCATAAGGGGACAGCAGCCAGCAGTCGCGCTTTAATTTAGTGTCTCGTTTCGAAATGTAAAAGACAATGGGAGGAGAGGAACGCAGTGGAAATGGGGAGAAATGAATACCGAAAGGGGAAGCTATGACTCTTGAAACAGGCAGGGCAGGGAGAAAAAGGAAAGACCGAAACGCAACTCCAAACTACGAACACGTGTTTCTACGGTCTGTTTTTTACGATGTGTCAATAAAACACTCGTCAACACCTTTTGATCTCTGTGACAGGTGTGAAATTCTTGAACGGTCCCTGGCCCGGACGCAATATTCGCACGATAACCGGTTGACAAAAAGGGTCTCTACCCGCACTGTTGGCGAGAACGATCCTCTTTTTTTCCTCTTGCCCAGAGTGTCTTCCCAAAGGCCACTGCCTCGCCTACGATCACATTAAAGGCGCATCCATAATTTCAGTCATTTAGACCTACCACACCGCGAGTGACTATCGGCTGCTTTTCTGCCTGTTTTGGAAAATAAAATAGAGCCATTTTCGAATTATTGCCCTCACAATGTCGTTCAGAATCACGAAAATGAGAAAAATTAGTTGAAATGGTGTTGAAAAAAGTTCATTTTGACGTTGATAGAAGCAAAAAGACAGGAGAAAGAAAGACCCGTCGAAACAATTTGATAGACATATTCTTTCACCAATCCCGAGTTGAACTGGTGTTTACACTGCTCGGCCGCCGACTAGAACCATTCGTCTGTGGGAGAACAATTCTGAAATTACACCCTTTATTATAGGGGCACCGCACAGAAATGGCGCTCTGTTGAGAAACTCTTTTGCAGTGCAAATTTTGCGACCTCGGGGCCGAGTTTGAAAAGTTAGGCCACGTTTTCAGTGGAAAATTACTTCGCGGCCTAGAGATACGGCCAGATTGCGAACAGCGCGCCCTTTCTGTCCGGTGCCTCAATAATATTTCAGCAAAGGGTTTGAGTATACTCACCCGTCTCGATTGATAGCCAAATGGCTGTTTTTTCTGGTCACCGACTGGCATAAAGGCATGAGCGGAACGAGAAGAAAACAATTGGATTGCAGTTCTCGCGGCAGACTTCGTTCACGGGAAGTGCACGTTGGATCCGCCAGCGTCCCGCGGCTGAAATCGATGCTTAGTTTTTATGTGGGTTTGACTAGTTTACTGATTTTGATTTTTTCGTGATCACAATTGCGAAAAGTCCCCTTACTTTATCCAGCCTCTCCCCCCTATTCTCATTGCGAATGAAGCGTGAAAAAGTCAAAAGGAATCAGTGTTGCGCCTCGTCTTTCCCTTCTTCTTCCCGCTCAAACAATCTAATCACATTTAGGCGCACATTTAGCCGGCGGCGCCAAAAAGACGAGAATGAGGAGAGACTGCTCCCGGTTTCTCTCACCGGAAATGATTGACGCCGAGATGTCGCTCCAGAGTTCGTCGGTAGACCACCGAGACCGACGGTGACGGCGTGAATCGGGAGAGCACGCCCACGTTCGTGTGCCGTCGCGCGTTCGTCAGCCACGTCATGTCGTCTTTGAGCGCGCGGCGATGGCGCTGCAAACAGAAACGAAAATTAGATGGCACAGAGTTTTGAGTGGGAAAAGTTAGGTCTGTGATATTGTAAGTTCTGATTGATTGGAATAAGATAGTATGAAATTCAGTTAGGTCCCTATCAAATGTGACCCTAGGAACTACCTAAATGCTCAAGTACCTTGCTCATCCAGAAATAGAGCACCGGATTCCAGACGATCGAAGTCATCGCAATGACGTGAACATTCAGCAGTTTGAAGTACATTTGATCCATAACCATCACTTTGTAGATACTTTGAAACAGATCGAATCGCATTCCGAGATCTCGAAACAAATTCACCGCTGACAACGGAAACCAGCAAGCCATGAACACAATGACCATCAGAATCAGCACGTACATCACTCGCCGCTTGCGCACTGCCGTTTGGGCCTGAAACGAACAAAATTGAATCAAAAAGGAAGTAGGGGGCACCCGGAGTTGAACCGACTATACCCCCACTTGTGCATGTTATGAACTGTCGCGGAAACAGCCATAAAACGGGCCGCCGCGCCAGACCACTGTCTGCGTCTCACCTGCTGCGCCGCAGTCAGCATCGATCCCTCATCGACCAGCCAATCGGTTCGCACCTGAAGCATCAAGGGATTGATCGAATTTGTGGTCGATCTGGTACCTTCTGAAGAATCTTCCAGTAGCAGAATGACATAATAATGGCAGGAACTATCAGTTGGATGATGAGCAAACTTGTCGTGTATATCAACTTGGACAGTTTGTCCGATTGCCAGTTGAATTCGCCGCAAAACTGCAAATTTGGAAATTCGACTATTTGCAATGGGGTTTGTCGTTACATCACCACAAAGCGTCACGTTTTCGATGACCATCGTCTTCAAGTTCTGCGAGTAATAGAGGGGGTAACTGGCGAGAAATGCCACGATCCAGGTGAACATCAGCAGCCACTGAAATCATTGTTTCGCTCTACCGCACTTTACGTAAATCCCGGCAGTACTGCGCCTTTAAATGTCTCAGCACTGCGACTACTGTAGGTTACTGTCAACAAACATTCGAAGCGTGAAATCTATTGTATAATCAAAAAGTGCTCTAACCCTAGCGTGCCGGTCGGACCACGGCTCCCTGAGCGGCGTCACAATGCTCCGATAGCGGTCGATGGCGATGTAGCACAGAGACCACGACGAAATGAGAACTGAAAACACGGAAATTGAAGTGACGTTCCTCTATTTTTAGCTTTCCGTTTTTGCCGAGCAACGTTTATGTACTCGTTGAAACTATTTGTTTACGAGTTACGTTTTCTCGTTGGAGCACATTTGCACACTCACCGGAAAACGCCTGACAAGCGGGCACTAATTTGCACATAAATATGCCGAACATCCAGCGTTTCATGAACGCCAACACCGGCGTTATCGGCACCGCTGTGATGCACAGAAGCTGCAACCGAACACACTTTTGAGGAAATTTAGGAGAGAAAAAGTTACCAGGTCTGAAACTGCCAAATTTATCAGGAAGATGTTCGCCACTGACATCTTCTTCCGCAGAAGGATCGACGAGATCAGCAGGCCGTTTCCGATGACTCCCGTCACGAAAATGAACGTGTAGAGGGAGGAGTAGGCGAGCTGGAATGAAGTGCAACGTCAGGAACATCGACGGGATCTTTCTGGAAACTCACCCGAACCTCCAGAAGTACAGTCCAATCGTTGAACTGCTTGAGGATGGCGTTCACATCGATGCAACTGTTCTCTTCGACGCCGTCCATCTCTTCCTCTTCTTCTTCTTCTTCTTCTTCCGAATCTTCCCTATTCTGCAGTGAAGCTTCTAGAAGATGCCTGAAGAAGAAATGAAGAAAGGGCGGGCAAGGAGAATCCGTGGTGCGTGAGATTCGAACATTTGTTTTGTTTTCTCTTTATTGAGGAGAAGGAGAGCGAGTTGATTGGGCGACTGAGACGGAGAATTGAATAAATAACCGTGGAAGGAGGAGGAATCAATTGGAAGAGGACGACTACGACACCAGTGAGCACGGCGACAGAACACATCACTATTGTGGGGAGAGACATGGGAAGAAGAAGAAGAAGAAGACGTTCAAAACGGTGTATCTCACGGTCTGTAGACATATTTAAAACAGTGTTCAACTGTTAAAAGTTACACAATGTTTCAATTATTAACTTGCCAACTGTTTTGCATCTCTACCGGCAGCGGACATAGATTGTTTTGAAAATGAATGACTATCGGTAATCTGAAAGTTGTTTGCCTACGATCAGTGTCAAATCAACATCACAGTTTGCTGAAAATACCAAAAAGTACACTTTCGGGGCAACATTCTCGTGAAAGAGTGCCAAAAGTCCAAAAGTTGGTTGTTCGAATAATCAACATCCTGTAATATTCGAAAAACAGCCGGGGCCGAAGAAATTGATTAATTGAAGCTCGATAAAAGTGTTCGTGGGCTTTGGCCATTGAGGGAGGTGTCCTTGCCCTTTTCCTTCCGCCGACATGTTCAGTTTTCACCCTCTCAGCAATTTGTGATCTACTTGACACTGCCGCCGAGCCTTCGTCAACTCGATTCAAAGTCCTATCCATTTACAAAACGCGAGTGCGGAAGAAGAGGAAAAGATGGCGCGGCCCGCTTCTCATTCCAATTCAATTGTCTTTGAGCGTTTGAAATCGACCGACACTCACACCAAGTATACATACGTTCCGTCGGGGGAAACAAGGAGAAGAAGAAGAAACACCGACGGACACTCAATAATTGAATTCCGTATTTTAGAACTGTGTTGTGTTCGGTGAACTTGGAAAAGGTCATTTTCTCGGAAAAGTTTTCAAAACATGTTCAAAGGGAGGTCCTAGCTTGGACAATGATCAAACTTGAAGAAGTTGAACATGACAAATTAGTTCGTCCCAAGACAGGACTGGTAAAAAGGCCGGCACAGGCTTTTCGGAGGTATGTATACCGGAACATTCTGTCGGTCTGTAACTTGACCCCGAAAGACTTCAATCCGAGAAGTTAGGGTCCGATCGGACTGTTGAAAGTGGGTCAAAAGTTCAGGCCTAGATAGGCCTTCGAAAAGTTTGAGGCAGTCTTTTGCCCAGCACACAGACTGTTCTACTGAAACATTTATCAAGTCGTGGATAATGTGCTCGCTAGTGAGTCGGATCAGTTCGGAGGCAAATGATCAAAATACATTTTCAGAAGCTGCGAAAAGAAGTGATGATTCGATCGGAGCATTTCGAGGTACTCGAGAACGAAATGGAATAGAGAGGCCGCGGGCGAATTTGTGCCCGTCCGAAAAGATGGCAAAGAGGGGGGGGGGGGGTGTGCTCGATAGGTGGAAAATGGGTTATTTGGAAAGGAGAAGGAGGAGAAGAAGAAGAAGAAGAAGAAGAAGAAGAAGAAGAAGGAGAAAGGGGAGCAGATGATGATGATGATGATGATGAACCTCGGGGCGGAGCAGAGTGGCCAAAATAGTTGGGCAAAGGATGCTCCTCCTTTCTCTCTCTCTCTCTCTCTCTCCCTCTTCTCTCCCTTTCAAATTACGTTTCATGATGGAGATGATGCTCCGTATGAGCACAGGGATAGAGAAAATGGCTGAAATGGGGGTGGCAGTGTGTTTGGAGGTTGATGCGAAAATGAAAACTAAAACTGAAAACTCCGTCCGATTGTGTGTGTAATGGTGGCCGGATGGAGTGAGAAAAGAGAGAGAGAGAGAGAGAGAGAGAGAGAGTAAATTGAAGTGGCTCCGTTTTATGGTTTATCCTCTTTCAGCTCTCAATTTGAGTTGAGTGGCACAGCCATCAGAAATCTTTAAAGGGAAGGGAGAGAGTACGGTAGGTGCCGCTCAACACCATGAAATCATATTAAAAATTGTGAATACTTTATTAGGCATTCGCATTATTCTGATCCTTAAACTCGGTGCACAGTCCCCTCATCGATTCTTTGTCATCCTTCTCAGACTGCTTTTCAATAATAGGCGAAATGCTTCGCTGGGACGGCGCTCTTGCTTCCTGCAACAACACAATTTTACCCCTCTACAGTCATTTCTAGTACCGGTTTCATTTTCGGAGCCTGTGCGGACACACTGATTCCGGCCTCTTCGTCAAGTAGCCAAAATGTCTCCATCACTCCTTTTCCCTTGATTATCACTTCTCCGCGCGATTCGGTTCGGAATCCACCGACCACTAGTGTCAGCATTTTATTCGCTTCTGCGGTAACGTGGATTTGGCCGGCTGAAAATGATCGGGGATTAAGAGGAATAGGTTAAGTACGTTTTCTGTTGCTCTCCATCCGACTGGCCTTGTTGACCGCATCTCCGAACAGACAATATCTGGGCATTGTCAATCCGAGCCCTCCACTGATCCTGAAATGAATCAAATCAAAACGAGCTAGACTCTGGGCTCTCACCACAGTTAATACCGATTCTCAAATTGATCCGTTCCGCTGGAAGATGTTGGACTCTAAAGTACTGCAGACTGGAAAGGATGTGGACCTCGCCGGAGCACTCGAGAAGGGAGGGTAGGGAACGGAGCCCGGAAGGAGACATCTACAGTTTTGGAATCATTTGCGCTGAAATTCTCACTAGAAGTTCGGCGTTTGACTTGGAAAACCGGAAGGAGAAGCCAGACGTCATCATTTATCAGGTGAAGAAAGGAGGTCACAATCCGATGAGACCGTCTCTGGAAACCGGCGAAACTGTGGAGATCAACCCGGCACTGGTAAGCTTTTGTCTTTCAATCGTTAATCTATTTCCTTCTTTGAGCTCCATTTTGTGAGGGACATGTGGACAGAGCGGCCATGAGAACGACCGACGATCAAGCAAGTTAGAAATCACTTGAACGGAATGAGGGACGGAAGAAAGGCGAATCTGATGGACCACGTCTTCAACATGCTGGAGACGTACGCATCGACATTGGAGGAAGAGGTGTCGGACCGAACGAAAGAGCTTGTGGAGGAGAAGAAGAAGTCGGACGTGCTGTTGTACAGAATGTTGCCAAAGTGAGTTTAAGTTGAATCGAGAACAGTCCACATTGTTCGATTTTCAGAATGGTAGCTGAGAAACTGAAGTTGGGACAAGCCGTGGAGCCGGAGACTTTCGAGCAAGTCACAATATTCTTCTCCGACGTCGTTCAGTTCACCACTCTGGCAAGCAAGTGCGCTCCTCTGCAAGTGGTCACTCTTCTCAACGATCTCTACACTGTATTTGATAGCATCATTGAGCAGAATGATGTGTACAAGGTCTCGAGAATCCAGTTCGAATCGAACAAAACAATTGGCATGAACACTTGACGGTTATGGGCACAGGGCATTTTTTGAAAATTGGCATGAACCCTTGACGGTTATGGGTACAGGGCATTTTTTGAAAATTGGCATGAACCCTTGACGGTTATGGGTACAGGGCATTTTTTTGAAAAATTGGCATGAACCCTTGACGGTTATGGGCACAGGGCATTTTTTGAAAATTGGCATGAACCCTTGACGGTTATGGGTACAGGGCATTTTTTTGAAAAATTGGCATGAACCCTTGACGGTTATGGGCACAGGGCATTTTTTTGAAAATTGGCATGAACCCTTGACGGTTATGGGCACAGGGCATTTTTTGAAAATTGGCATGAACCCTTGACGGTTATGGGTACAGGGCATTTTTTGAAAATTGGCATGAACCCTTGACGGTTATGGGTACAGGGCATTTTTTGAAAATTGGCATGAACCCTTGACGGTTATGGGTACAGGGCATTTTTTTGAAAAATTGGCATGAACCCTTGACGGTTATGGGTACAGGGCATTTTTTTGAAAATTGGCATGAACCCTTGACGGTTATGGGCACAGGGCATTTTTTTGAAAAATTGGCATGAACCCTTGACGGTTATGGGTACAGGGCATTTTTTTGAAAAATTGGCATGAACCCTTGACGGTTATGGGCACAGGGCATTTTTTTGAAAATTGGCATGAACCCTTGACGGTTATGGGCACAGGGCATTTTTTGAAAATTGGCATGAACCCTTGACGGTTATGGGTACAGGGCATTTTTTTGAAAATTGGCATGAACCCTTGACGGTTATGGGTACAGGGCATTTTTTTGAAAAATTGGCATGAACCCTTGACGGTTATGGGTACAGGGCATTTTTTGAAAATTGGCATGAACCCTTGACGGTTATGGGTACAGGGCATTTTTTTGAAAAATTGGCATGAACCCTTGACGGTTATGGGTACAGGGCATTTTTTGAAAATTGGCATGAACCCTTGACGGTTATGGGTACAGGGCATTTTTTGAAAATTGGCATGAACCCTTGACGGTTATGGGTACAGGGCATTTTTTGAAAATTGGCATGAACCCTTGACGGTTATGGGTACAGGGCATTTTTTGAAAATTGGCATGAACCCTTGACGGTTATGGGTACAGGGCATTTTTTGAAAATTGGCATGAACCCTTGACGGTTATGGGCACAGGGCATTTTTTGAAAATTGGCATGAACCCTTGACGGTTATGGGTACAGGGCATTTTTTGAAAATTGGCATGAACCCTTGACGGTTATGGGCACAGGGCATTTTTTGAAAATTGGCATGAACCCTTGACGGTTATGGGTACAGGGCATTTTTTGAAAATTGGCATGAACCCTTGACGGTTATGGGTACAGGGCATTTTTTGAAAATTGGCATGAACCCTTGACGGTTATGGGTACAGGGCATTTTTTGAAAATTGGCATGAACCCTTGACGGTTATGGGTACAGGGCATTTTTTGAAAATTGGCATGAACCCTTGACGGTTATGGGTACAGGGCATTTTTTGAAAATTGGCATGAACCCTTGACGGTTATGGGTACAGGGCATTTTTTGAAAATTGGCATGAACCCTTGACGGTTATGGGTACAGGGCATTTTTTGAAAATTGGCATGAACCCTTGACGGTTATGGGCACAGGGCATTTTTTTGAAAAATTGGCATGAACCCTTGACGGTTATGGGTACAGGGCATTTTTTTGAAAAATTGGCATGAACCCTTGACGGTTATGGGTACAGGGCATTTTTTTGAAAAATTGGCATGAACCCTTGACGGTTATGGGTACAGGGCATTTTTTTGAAAAATTGGCATGAACCCTTGACGGTTATGGGCACAGGGCATTTTTTTGAAAAATTGGCATGAACCCTTGACGGTTATGGGTACAGGGCATTTTTTTGAAAAATTGGCATGAACCCTTGACGGTTATGGGTACAGGGCATTTTTTTGAAAATTGGCATGAACCCTTGACGGTTATGGGCACAGGGCATTTTTTTGAAAAATTGGCATGAACCCTTGACGGTTATGGGTACAGGGCATTTTTTTGAAAAATTGGCATGAACCCTTGACGGTTATGGGTACAGGGCATTTTTTGAAAATTGGCATGAACCCTTGACGGTTATGGGTACAGGGCATTTTTTGAAAATTGGCATGAACCCTTGACGGTTATGGGTACAGGGCATTTTTTTGAAAAATTGGCATGAACCCTTGACGGTTATGGGTACAGGGCATTTTTTTGAAAAATTGGCATGAACCCTTGACGGTTATGGGTACAGGGCATTTTTTGAAAATTGGCATGAACCCTTGACGGTTATGGGTACAGGGCATTTTTTTGAAAAATTGGCATGAACCCTTGACGGTTATGGGTACAGGGCATTTTTTGAAAATTGGCATGAACCCTTGACGGTTATGGGTACAGGGCATTTTTTGAAAATTGGCATGAACCCTTGACGGTTATGGGCACAGGGCATTTTTTGAAAATTGGCATGAACCCTTGACGGTTATGGGTACAGGGCATTTTTTGAAAATTGGCATGAACCCTTGACGGTTATGGGTACAGGGCATTTTTTGAAAATTGGCATGAACCCTTGACGGTTATGGGTACAGGGCATTTTTTGAAAATTGGCATGAACCCTTGACGGTTATGGGTACAGGGCATTTTTTGAAAATTGGCATGAACCCTTGACGGTTATGGGCACAGGGCATTTTTTGAAAATTGGCATGAACCCTTGACGGTTATGGGTACAGGGCATTTTTTGAAAATTGGCATGAACCCTTGACGGTTATGGGCACAGGGCATTTTTTGAAAATTGGCATGAACCCTTGACGGTTATGGGTACAGGGCATTTTTTTGAAAAATTGGCATGAACCCTTGACGGTTATGGGTACAGGGCATTTTTTTGAAAAATTGGCATGAACCCTTGACGGTTATGGGCACAGGGCATTTTTTTGAAAAATTGGCATGAACCCTTGACGGTTATGGGTACAGGGCATTTTTTTGAAAAATTGGCATGAACCCTTGACGGTTATGGGCACAGGGCATTTTTTTGAAAATTGGCATGAACCCTTGACGGTTATGGGTACAGGGCATTTTTTGAAAATTGGCATGAACCCTTGACGGTTATGGGTACAGGGCATTTTTTTGAAAAATTGGCATGAACCCTTGACGGTTATGGGCACAGGGCATTTTTTGAAAATTGGCATGAACCCTTGACGGTTATGGGTACAGGGCATTTTTTGAAAATTGGCATGAACCCTTGACGGTTATGGGCACAGGGCATTTTTTGAAAATTGGCATGAACCCTTGACGGTTATGGGCACAGGGCATTTTTTGAAAATTGGCATGAACCCTTGACGGTTATGGGCACAGGGCATTTTTTGAAAATTGGCATGAACCCTTGACGGTTATGGGCACAGGGCATTTTTTGAAAATTGGCATGAACCCTTGACGGTTATGGGTACAGGGCATTTTTCTCCAGCGCCGTCGCTTGCATCACCGTCTTCTTGGATCCGTTTTCAGAAGCCGCCACACACGTCACAATCACTACAATGAGTATTCGTACACCTTCTTTTTGATTACAGATCTTCAGATATTGCTCACCCCTTCCTTTCTGTTTCACCGCCTTCACCGCAGTTCTCATGTCGTCCAGACTCTTTGACGACATTTGATAAGTGTATGCGAATGTGATTTCGCCGTATATCGAGACCACTTCCTGAGAGACTTCGATGCTATTATACGGGAGTTACCGTACCTGGACATCATCTTTCAGCGATTCGCCCTTCTCCTCGTCCCCATCGTTCGAGTACATGTACACAAACTGACTCCATTCGAACTGCTTCATCGTTGCTCGAATCGCCAGAGCCAGACTATACAAATTGACGGAGAACGGCACCGTCGTTGGGAATCTGGAGCTGTCCGTCAGATCTTTCGACGTCGTCAGACCCCACTCAAATATCGGGATATTGTAATAAGTAGCCAAGGCGGAGGCGGCGAGTCCCGGGCGGTTGCAAGTCGGCCCGAAGATCACGTCGACCTTCTGATTCTCCAGAAAATTCACCGTTTTGCCGGCCGCCAGAACCACCTCGCATTCGTCAAACTCGGAAATGAACCTGTATAACATTAGCTTTATATAACCCCGAAATGTTCCAGTAACTCAAAATCATAGTTATCCAACAGATGTTCCTTCTGAATCCGATCCCTTGACACCAAAACTGCCGAAGCGGAGGTACGGTAGCCGATGGCCACTTCCATCGAGGTCACATTCTGTACAAAAAGGAGACCCACTTTGATAGTTTGTTTCAGTTGACATTCAGCAATGTTCTGAAGATGAACTGTCTACCGTGAGCCAGAAAGAGCCTACCGTAAGCCAAAAAGCGATGGGGAAGAAGAGGTATAACTTTTATGCGATCGAATTGAACTCTTCTGTCGACACTTATGAAAATACGGGGAAGCCCTTCTAGGTTTGCCCCACCCGCCTGCTCTCCGAAAGACTTTTGATAAGCATAATAACGAGAGCAGTTCTACAGCAGAAAACATAAAGAGGGAGAAGAAGAAGAAGAAGAAGAAGAAGAAGAAGAAGAAGAAGAAGAAGAAGAAGAAGAAGAAGAAGAAGAAGAAGAAGAAGGATGCACTTTTGGGAAGCATCTGAGGGACCGGCTTGTTGACTGTACATCATAGATTGTCCCTTTCATGTCCTTGTAACAAAAACGTTTTCGTTTTTTTTTGTCATGTGCTCTGACGAAACAGCACGAAACAAAGCCTCGGTTGCAGGGTGATTAGTATTCGTACGTTGTGCAAATACGCAAGAAAACGGGCTCAATGACGAATTTAATGGTTCTTCGGCCCGAGAAGAGGACCCCCTTGGCTCGCTCCTCAATTTCGTGCCTCTCTTTTTTCACTTTTAATTTCGGACCCTAAATCCACCCTTTTACCGGCGGCACGGCACGGCGAACTGCACGTAATCTCGGCATCTTATGCTTTCCACACACTTTTTGTGGGTAATCTTTGTGAATTCATTTAAACAGTTTTCAAACTAAATGATCACGAAATGAATTGGTCAACGAATTCTGAAACATCTCGCTTGTAAACTTTTCGAGCCCGAATTGCTGCGAGTGCGAAGTTCATTCCATTTTCAATCCATGCCTCTCATTCCGAATCTCCTCGAAATGATGTCAACATTCTGAATCTGTGGAGTGCGGGCGGCTCCATGAGCTGCACAAAAAAGAGTTTTCTTCGAAATGGCCGCGGGCGATTCGCAATTCGATGGGCTCTTTAAGCCGGGCCGGGAAAGTTTTAGGCGAATATTTTGTCGTGAGGATTTTTATGCAGTTGTCTGACTTTCACTTCCTTTTCCGTTTCTGGACGTTCTTCACTGAATGTCTTTCACTGTCAATTGCCAGAATTGAGCGAAAATTCATTTTCAAGCTCAAAAACCAAGAATCTTCAATTCCTCGAACGCTTTTTTCCGTCTTGACACTTTATCTTTTCGACAACCGCCGAAATCCGATCCGGTCGGGGTGAGAAGGTGAGAAAATTGTAACATTCGGAGGAGGTTCAAAAACCGAAACGTGTTGATCATAAGTTATGATTCACAACAAAGTACCGTAGTCTGGCGGCACTTCTCTTTCTCTCTCTCCCTCTCTCTCTCTCTCTCTCTCTCCACACTGACTATTGTCCTTGGCACATGTTCAAGGCTCTTCCGGCAGTCCTGAGTAACTCTTGAGAGTTTCAGTGACGAGATTTCCTCTCCGATTGACGTCTTGCATGACATTCCTTTAAGGGTCCCCGATCCAAGGTTCCATGACGAATTCGTCCGGTGACCAGATGCTCTCGGCTCCCTCTGAGCCGACAATATTGCTCATTTTTGTCGTCGCGACTCCAAAATAAGAAGAAGAAGAAGCGGAAAGTGACAACAAATTCGCTCATTTCCGGCCCCTCCGTCCGTCGTCCCTCTGTCCGTTTTCTTCGTTAGTACCCTGTATCCTTATACTCTTCTCACACTTTTCCCTCTTTTTAATGAAAAACTGCGCGCGCGGAAAGATTCATCAGGCTGGAAACTGATTCAGAAAAGGTTTTTGATCGACTGAAAGGGGGCCGAGATTCTGAATTCTGAATGCGTTGAGCGTTTAGTGAGCTGGAAGAATTCGTATTTTAGAAGGTCAAATTATTTTTTTTAGAATCATGTCATATGCTAATGATGTTGGAGAATTCAGAATGACTAATTTCAATTCCACTTTGGGCTCTCAGGCAAGTCGTTTTTTGTTTAACCGCTGGCCTAGGATTTCGAAAGTATGGCAGAGCGGCTGCAACGTGAGCACCAGAGCGCCATTTCCTCATTCGTTGCTCAAGTGCAAAACTTCAAAGTGTCTTGAAGAAGTCTTGTTGAATCAGAGCACAGTTTCCGACGGGTTCATGTTCATTTTCATTCAAATTACATTTCCTCTTTCCCCCACTTCAAGTGCTTCTGGCTCAGAGCTCCGAGAGGGAGTCACAAGCTTCTTCTTCTTCTTCTTCCACTGCTCAAAAATCTTTTCAGACATTTCTCGATGACTAACCGAGGATAAATGTTTTCGATTGCGAGTATTCTAATCGGTTTTGTAAGCGTGCGCGTGTGTGTGTATGTGGGAAGAAATAAAAACAAAACCCGAATAAAACGGTAGCATTAGAGGACTTGTAATCGGATTGCGAACATCTCAAACAACCCGGCTCTTGCCGAAGATTCTCGAGATTCTTCCCGATTCCATTCTCTGTTGAATGTTTTGTCGGTACCCTAATCGAATGAGTTTTTTGGCCCACAAGCCCGTCTGTCCCTTCTTTTTCCCAGCCTCGAATAGACGAAAGAAGTGGAGAGAATTATGATGACGCGCGCACTGATCATCGGAGAGTTCGAACAATCCGCACTGCAGTTGAATCGTCTTTAGATTTAGCGAAAGAGGAATAAAGACTTCGGACTTCAAAAACCAAAAAATGAGCTCTCCGACTATCCGTGCACAGATTCACGAGAATCGTACTTTCTCCTGAATTCGCAGACTCGCTCACACACTCTAATCGTTCTAAAACTACTCTGCATTGCTTTCGTGCTTTGTTATTTTGCTACTAAAGTTCAAAGTTTCACTCCTCGTTCTCCTTTTGTCTGTCTTCTCGGAAATTGTGTTATTCTGCCTCTTGTTTTTCTTTGTCTGCTCTTGATCTTCATCTTCATCTTGAATGAAGCGCATCCCACACCCTGGTCTACTAAATCTACCTTCTCATTTTTCATCAAGCGGTCCCCCATCGTTTTACCTCCCCGGAGTGGGGCTCAATTGAGAGCATCTTCCCTCTTTCGCTTTTTTCCGTTTTGTTTTTGTTTTCAAGGATGCTCAAGAAAGGGGCAGCAGGCCACACAGACACAATTGATAGGACCCAGATAATCGGGTTAAGGCAAAAAAGGGAAAGGAGGGGAAGGAAGAGGCATTCTAGACTTGAGTTCCCTCAAAGAAAGTCTGTATTTGTTCTGAAGGTAACTTTTTCTATGTTAACTTTGAAGCCCTGTATCTTGAGAACCAATTATTATTCGAAAAAGCGGTCAATTGAGAAATTGTTGCAAATGTTGTGCTGAATATCTTTGTAGTTGAGCATTTTGCTTCAAAACCTTTGATTTTCGAGAAACTTCAGTTCAAAACTATGCCAAAACATCAAGCCCAGATCAGTAATGAGGTCATTTAAACAACGTTAGCTCAAAATCAGATATGATCTGTTCATTTGTTTGTTAAGAAGACACGGAAGTGTTCGTGCTGAGTGCCCACCCGGTTCGGATGTTCGGCGGCGTCTCCACCCATCATCATCATCATTCTTTTCTTTTCTTTTCCCCATCCGTTTGTGAGAAGAAGGTGATAGCAAGAAATACATCCTGCATTTGACATTGTTCCGTTTTTTCTTTTCCCCCTCCTATGTCGAAATCTCGTTCTCGAATTCGCTCCCCGGCACACTTGAGGCCCCAATGCACTTCTCACTTTGTTCCAGTCCTCTTTCTCTCGCTTTCAGACGCTTTTAGGAGACCATTCTCTGGGGGATTTCCACTCTGAGTACACATCTATCGCGCTCCACCGCACACCAGACTTTTGTGGCGCTACTTTACTCAAAAATACCTTCAACTGGTAACGCCCCGGACTGTCACTCAAGTGGTCCCAGTGGAAGGCTGCAAAGGCATTTCTCTTGTTTTGTTGTTCGAGGGATTCCAAGTGAATTTCCTGCCGGCAGACGACGTCTTCAGGCTCTCGTTTGATCTGAATCTGAGGACCTATAAGTTTTACTGTACTTCAGAAGTGTGAAACTTTGATAATCTGGTCTCCGAGCACTTGAATCCTCTCTCTCTCTCTTTTTGTTCCATTTTCGGTTCATCATCCCTTTTCGCCCCACTCCCCCTCCTTTCTCCTCTTTTTGAATTCCCCCAGAGATCTCGAAAAGCAGTTAATCAAAAAAAGAGGACTCCTGACTCTTTCAGTGGCAAAAACTAGGCGAAAACCAAAGTTTGGGTCGACATTTCACATTTCACATCCTTTTTTACGCAATTGACATCTCATACACACACAAGGTTCCTTGACGTGTTTTTGATGGTCTGATCTGGCTGTAATCTTCTTTTTCCAATAAAAACATCATAATAAGCTGGAAAAGGAAACCTTTTCGATCGTGTTTTTCTATGACTAAGGCATGATCAGAGATGACTGCAAAAAAGTAGCATTTCCTTTGTACTCTTCCCTTTTGACAGCCACGGCAATTAGAAAAAAGGACAGAAATTGGAGGAGCACACGGCATAAATTACTCATTTTTCGCACATGAGTGACATATAAATTAAGAGTACTTTGCTTCTTCGTTCGAAATACATCGTCTTGAAGAAACGGTACTCCTTCGATAGAGACGTACTCCAGATACTGAGCCAAATCAAACTTCAACAAACTCTCGGCTCTCAAGATCAGAACTCAAAGCCCAACTTTTATCACCCAATCTGGCTAATTCGCTCCTTGTACACAAACCCAAACTTCTAAACCTTTTTCCCCATTTCTAATCCGCCTAATGCACCGTAATCTCACTACTCATCTTGTCTCCTCGTCGCCTCGACTTCCTCTTTTGCTCTTGTTCCTAAGCCCCGCCCACTTTTTTCGACGCGAGCCCAGGCTTCTTATTCGCTTTCCCCGCTGGCTCTCACCGCCTGAAACTGCTACACCTTTTCATTTATAAACTAATTTCAGTTAAATGGAGCAAGAATACAGTGTAGTGGAGGGTACAGAGTTTCCAGCGAACTCCAATTGCAGTTATTTTGTAAGTCTGCCTACAATAGAAACAATGTTCAACTTTTCGGGTTCAGGGCACGGACGACGTGATCGGAAAAGTGTTTCTGATCGGAATATTCGCCACGCTCATCGCCATCACCTCGATCATCTTCAACACATTCTACACGATCGTGTTCATTCGGAATCCCTTATTAAGGTATCATCACTGATGAACATTTTGATAGTGTGTAGTCGGTGAAAAATATTATTCACTCGTAGACGAGTGGGCAATGGTTCAATGGACAGTTCAGAGAACACCGATCAGCTGGAAGAGCGCAAACATTTTGAAGCTCAATGTGAAACTCTGATTACAGACGGAGCGGAGTGTTCTACTTTGGCGTCATCGCCGTCATCGACATTATAATGGGTATCAACTACATTGCAGTTATGGTCGTTCCGGTACGTCTCTATTAGTCACTGCCCCTCGGAATAAAATGAATTTTCCCCCGCCTAGCAGCTGCCACTTATCGCCTAATAGAATCTGGGCGCAATTGAAAAGCAACTCAAGGTGTTGCGTTTCGCAGTAATTCGAGAGATGTGGGGAAATGAACGTTTACTGGAAAAATACTGAAATGTGATATCGGATATTATCCTGATCTCGAATTTCTTCTGAAAATTGGTCAAAATGCTCCTAGTAGTTGACGTGAGAAAGAGCGCATTTCGAAGCGTTTGCGTTCAAGATCTTATGAATAATTTAGGGGAGGGAAGAAAAAGACGGATTGGAAGGAAAACAGATTTGGAAGAGAATGAAGATGAGATCATAATACTGGTCACTGCAAACCTTTTTGTGGTTTCTTAAAAGCCCCACGCGCACTTCCTTTCCGGAAATGGTTTCCGACTCGGAGCACTTGACCCTAAAGTCTTTGAGCCACAGGAAATCATTGTGATGATCCTTGTTCAGGTGTACATGGACTACTACATGTACCTTCCGCTCTGGCACCTCTTCCTATCCTACTTCCGTCTTGTGATGACCGAATCGAATTGCGCCATGTTCGCCTCGATGCTCATGATCGTCTTGGCGACAACCGAACGATTTCTGAAGACGTTCGACGGAAAAGCAATTTCTGTTTGTCGCAAGTGAGTGTGCATCTCTAGTTCTGATAATAATCTATTTCTGCTGAAAGCTCGAAACACAGTAACTGCGAATAAGCGCATCCATTTTCAGATTCCTCGAACGAAATCGGTACGGCGTCAGTGCATTCTGTATAATGCTGGCGTGCGCCTACAAGTACGTCATCTACTTTGAGCTCGACGTGGATCACCACGAAGAATGCACCGGATTCTCGTGAGTTTCGCCCGTTTCGCAACCACTTTGCAACCGCTCCCCCACTTTTGCAGTGAATACGAGATAGTGGCCGGAAGCTACGCGATGGACCCCACGTACCGCCTGTATTTCATGTTTCTCCTACGGAATACTCTCGACCGAATCCTTCCGTTCGTCCTCCTTCTCACCATGAACATGCTGATTGTGAAGGCGGTGAAAGAGGACGAACAACGGAAGTTGCAGAAGGAATCGGTGGTGAGCAACGGCAAGAATGTGAATCTGAAGACACATCGGAGGAATGTGAAGGACGCGACGCGCGCGTTGATCAGCCTCGTCTCCATGTACCTTCTGTCCCAGTCCCTTCAGGTGAGCGACCAAATCAGAGGGCGAATAAAGGCTGCTTCTTAGGTGTTTTTGACCGTGTGGGAGACGATAAACCGATCGAGTCTGGAGGACGGATTCCCCATCATGTACTCGTATCTCAACGATATCGTCTCCATCTTTACACTTCTCGCAAGGTCAGACCGGTTGAAATGGAGAGTGCAAAGCCCGAAGATCGGTTTTCAGTTGCCTGCGATTCCCAATCTACTTCTGCTGCAACCGTCTCATCCACACCGCCTCAATAGACACGCTGCACGGAATGCGATTGACCTGCCTTATTGGAAAACCTAAAAAATCACAGGAATACTCACCAATCCACGGCATTCCCAACTCGCTGGACTGCGGGAGCCATCGCGGAGACCTCGGCGGCTCGAGAACCTCGTTGAGTTCGCCGGACAGTTGCTCAAAACCGTCGGCGGTTTACGACGAAAAGTTGCAAGAGTGGCGGTTATAGGAATCATTTTGTCGGAAGATATTTTCCGTTCGTGTTTTTCTCGCTCAAAATCTTTTTTTTTGAAAAACAAAAGGGATTATCATAAATAATGAATAAATACAGCCAGGAAAGAATGAAACATGAGAGTCTAGATAGTAAACGTGGAAATTGGAGATTATAAATCGCTGAGGTCGTCGAAATTGCGTCCGTACTTCTTGCTCGGAACGAACGGTTCCCATCTTGAGGCCGGATAGATGTGCTTGTTCTTCTCGTACCACGTCCGCAGTACGATCTTCGCCGGATGCGATTCTCCGTAGTCTAGAGCCGCGTCCTGACGGATTCGGACGTCCGAGGCGGCGTCGAAAACAAACAGAGGGCCCGTTTTGCCCATCGCTTTCGTGACGATGAAGTCTTGGAACGTGTAGAAGTGCGGGATGATCAGGTCCTCCTTCACGAACATCAGATTCTCCGGTGTGCACGACTTCAGCTCGGTGAACTCTTTTTTCAAAGCCTGAAAAGAAAAAAGATAGTTTCCCGAAGGGACTCTTATTCGATCGATAATTATCTAGTCCCCTCGAAGGAAGACAGGCTGTGCGGCTCACTCATTCCGTCTCATTCCTTCCACAATGCGGTCGCTCCCTCTACTCAATCTTCTTCTTCTCTTTTCCTTCCCTTTTCCAATCCAATCAACTGGATACCTAGAAATCCATCTAAAGAGTGCTTTTGCCCTAAATGTAACCGTCGAAGTGGCCGAAGAAGTCTATTTTCCCGTCAACAAGAAAACGTTCAACTATTCTTTGAAACCAAACACCGAACGGACGCTAACGAACATCCCAGCCAAATTTGGCCGACCTGGCACGATTCTAATCAATAGTGGGCCAGTGGAGAACTTCGGAATCGAGCACGCCATTTTTGAAGCGACGAGATGGAGCACGCAACAGACGGATGTCAGCTCAAAAATGATTCATCTGCCGTTCACTGGATTCAGGCTCGTTATCAAATGTGATAGGTTAGTACTTTTGTCATGTTTTATAGAAAATCAGAAGGATTGCAGGAACTGGTACGGTCCCCAATGCGACAAGTATTGCCTCGTGGAGCTGGCGCAAGTTCACAAACTCCGTTGCAATCAATTCGGAAGCTTCGGATGTCCGGAAGGATTTTTTGGAAGAAACTGCACAAACTCCATCACGAATTCGTTCATGAGCTGCAGATGTCAGAATGGAGGAAAGTGTGTCACCACATTCGAAGGACTTGTCAGCAAACTTATCTGCGAATGTCCGCTGGGCTTCGAAGGCAAACGGTGCGAGAAACTGGCGTGGAACTACTCTGACCCGTTTCGAATGGGATTTCACGCTTTCGAAGGAAAGGAGACAATTGCTAAACAGTTTGTGAACAACAGCCAAGTTGACAATGAACTCTACTATTCTAATAACTTATCGAAATTTTAAAGAAACAATTGTTTTATAAAATTTTTCCGCTAAAAGCGCTTTTTTGAATATCTTCTTGAATAAATGCTCATTTTTATATGCTTACCTCAATTGCTCTGCTGAGACACTGTGAAATAGTGTTCCCCTTCTTCACTTTTATGTTTTTTCGATGCGACGATCCGTCCCAATAGGCGCACGCCACAGTGATCTCCTCATTCTTCTCCGTCTCCTGCTTCTCACGCCATTCTGCAGCTAGCTCTTCTTTCTTTCTAGAAAATAGTTTTTGATCTGTGTTCTGCCCTCCAAACCGCCAAAAATGAGCACTGGCGGCAAAATAATCCCATTCTTCTAGAACTTACCGTCGAATCATCTCCTCTCGGTCTTTGTCCGGAAGAAAACTCGTGTCGACAGTTGGGTCCATTCCAACTCTCTGTAAACTTTGAAGATGTTTTCTTTTTTCTTCCCTTTTTGCGGAAAACCTTTTTCTGAATGACCGGCGCGCCGTCTTCCTCATCTTCCTCATCGAATGCAAAAGATAGCACGCGCTTCTGAAAATATTCTTATCCTTCCTTTCTCCAGTTGTTTCTTTCTTTCTTTTTCCACAAAATTTGCTTTGCTTTGCGAGAAATTTCCTCATTTTTGCAAAACGTTCTCGAATGTTCCACGAGGTGCACGCTTTTTCTCTGCGTCTCTCCGAAAGGTCATCTCTTGCCTCTTTGGGTTCTAGAATGTTCTAGAGCCTAGGAATCGCATATAAAAGAACCATTTCTGCCATTCTGTCCATCGCAAATTCTGCACAAATCGCCTACAAGCCGCCTACAAACCGCCAAATCCACACCTGGGTATGTTTTTGAACGTGCTCCTCCTTCTGTCGCGCTTCTTGCGAATCTTTCGACTTTTCGGTGTTCCCAGTGTCTCCGCGAGCCACTTGCAAATCTCTGAAATTATTTTGTAAATTCTCCGATAAATTTTCAAACATGTGAAGCGAAACCTGTTGGAAATTGCGTCTTTTTGCAAATTCTTCATGTCGTCCAGCGACACCAAGCCATAGGTTTTTGCTTTGAGCGTCTCCTCAACGGTCTCATAGTTCGCAGTAAACTTGTTGGTAATGCCCACTTTACCTAGCAAGGTTCCAAGTTGTTTTTGAGATTTTTAAAAATTCTGCTCGAGAAAACCTACACTTGGCCTTGTCCTCTTCCAACTTTCGCAACTGCTTCTCAATATCCTCCTTTTCGCGTTCACGTTTTTTTGCCAGATGAATCAAACGCCCTTCGTCGGCACGAGACATTTTGAATTCTGAAAATGTATGAAAATTTTCATTTTTTCTTGGTTTTTTTGAAGCGACAGGAACATTTTCCCGGCAGTGACATTCGCAAAATATTAATTGTACAATTTTAGAGTAAATTTTCCGGCATCAAACAAAGTTTCAGACTGATTCTGTCTGGAGAAACCGGACAATCGCGCGAATTTCTAATGGAAATCCAACATTTGTCGGGTCGGGGTCGCGGCCGGGTATTTTGTGAGAAACCTAGTCCAATCTGAGCAAGCGCGCCCCTCTGACAACTTTCCTTCGAGAATGTTCTGCCAAAAAGGACATTTTTGCATGCAGCCAATCAGCGCAGTTGGCCACGCCTCCCTTCTAGAACATTTCACCTCTCGTTCAAATTTTTGCAACGGCGCGCCGGGTCTTCAGAGCTCTCATTTCCCCCGTCTGCGGTTGTTTCTGCTTGAATTTCTGGGGGGTTTTTCCGACTTTTCCTTTTTCAGCCTGAAACGTAGCGTAGTGTGGGAAAGTATTACCTTCAATCCTTTTCAGCTCTGGTATTTGGGCCCAAAATTGAGCTGATGTTCTAGAACGTTCTGGGTGTTTTCTATTGTTATCAGGCTAAAGCGGCAGACTTTCATTTCGTTTCGCTTCGCTTTCTCTTATTCGCCGCAATAATTCAGTATTCTTCCAGAACCATGTCGTCTGAGAACGGAGAAACCTTCGCATTCCAAGCTGAGATCGCTCAGTTGATGAGCTTGATCATCAACACTTTCTATAGCAACAAGGAGATCTACTTGCGTGAATTGATCTCTAACTCGTCGGATGCTCTCGATAAGATCCGCTACCAGGTATGTTGCTCTAATATTTTCTTGTCGGCGAGATGCTCATTTCTCATTTCCAGGCCCTCACCGAGCCATCGGAGCTTGACACCGGAAAGGAGCTCTTCATCAAGATCACCCCGAACAAGGAGGAGAAGACCCTCACCATCATGGATACCGGAATCGGAATGACCAAGGCCGATCTTGTCAACAACCTTGGAACCATCGCCAAGTCCGGAACCAAGGCCTTCATGGAGGCTCTCCAGGCTGGAGCCGACATCTCCATGATCGGACAGTTCGGAGTCGGATTCTACTCTGCTTTTCTGGTCGCCGACAAGGTCGTTGTCACCTCCAAGAACAACGACGATGACAGCTACCAGTGGGAGTCTTCCGCCGGAGGATCTTTCGTTGTCCGTCCGTACAACGACCCAGAACTGACCCGTGGTACCAAGATCACCATGTACATCAAGGATGATCAGATTGATTTCCTCGAGGAGCGCAAGATCAAGGATATCGTCAAGAAGCACTCTCAGTTCATCGGATACCCAATCAAGCTCGTCGTCGAGAAGGAGCGTGAGAAGGAGGTTGAGGATGAGACCGCCGAGGATGTCACCGAGGAGAAGAAGGAGGGAGAGGTCGAGAACGTCGGAGAAGACGCTGACGCCGAGAAGGACAAGAAGAAGACCAAGAAGATCAAGGAGAAGTACTTCGAGGACGAGGAGCTTAACAAGACCAAGCCAATCTGGACCAGAAACCCAGACGACATCTCCAACGAGGAGTACGCCGAGTTCTACAAGGTAAACCTTTACTAATGCGTTCTGTGAATTCGAATTATTTTATTTTCAGAGCTTGTCGAACGACTGGGAGGATCACCTCGCCGTCAAGCACTTCTCCGTTGAGGGACAACTTGAGTTCCGCGCTCTCCTCTTCGTGCCACAGAGAGCTCCATTCGATCTGTTTGAGAACAAGAAGAGCAAGAACTCTATCAAGCTCTACGTTCGTCGTGTCTTCATTATGGAGAACTGCGAGGAGCTGATGCCGGAGTACCTGAACTTCGTCAAGGGAGTCGTCGACTCTGAGGATCTGCCACTCAACATCTCCCGTGAGATGCTCCAGCAATCCAAGATCCTGAAGGTTATCCGTAAGAACCTTGTCAAGAAGTGCATGGAGCTCTTCGACGAGATTGCTGAGGACAAGGACAACTTCAAGAAGTTCTACGAGCAGTTTGGAAAGAACGTCAAGCTCGGAATCCACGAGGACTCCACCAACCGCAAGAAGCTCTCCGAGTTCCTCCGTTACTCCACTTCCGCTGGAGAGGAGCCAACTTCCCTCAAGGAATACGTCTCGCGCATGAAGGAGAACCAAACCCAGATCTACTACATCACTGGAGAGTCCAAGGAAGTTGTCGCCGCTTCGGCCTTTGTCGAGCGCGTCAAGAGCCGCGGATTCGAGGTCCTCTACATGTGCGACCCAATCGATGAGTACTGCGTCCAGCAGCTCAAGGAGTACGACGGAAAGAAGCTGGTTTCCGTCACCAAGGAAGGACTCGAGCTTCCAGAATCCGAAGAGGAGAAGAAGAAGTTCGAGGAGGACAAGGTCAAGTACGAGAACCTGTGCAAGGTTATCAAGGATATCTTGGAGAAGAAGATCGAGAAGGTCGCTGTTTCTAACCGCCTCGTCTCTTCCCCGTGCTGCATTGTCACCTCGGAGTACGGATGGTCCGCCAACATGGAGCGTATCATGAAGGCTCAGGCTCTTCGTGATTCATCCACCATGGGATACATGGCCGCCAAGAAGCACCTCGAGATCAACCCAGATCACGCCATCATGAAGTAAGCTCGATATTTTAAATATATCATTCTAACTTGTTTCTTCAGAACTCTTCGTGAGCGTGTCGAGGCTGACAAGAACGACAAGACCGTCAAGGATCTCGTTGTCCTTCTCTTCGAGACTGCTCTTCTGTCTTCCGGATTCTCGCTCGAGGAGCCGCAATCGCATGCTTCCCGCATCTACAGAATGATCAAGCTCGGTCTTGATATCGGAGACGACGATGTCGAGGTGCCAGTCGCTTCGACCTCGTGCACCGCCGAGGCCAAGATTGAGGGAGCTGAGGAGGATGCATCCCGCATGGAGGAGGTCGACTAATTATCTAATTTAATTTATCATTTGTTACGATAAGATCTCCCGCAAAAGACCCTCCGCAGTTTTACTCCAATCCTTTATATCGAACCCAATAAAGGCCCTTTTATTTATCTTTTTTCACGTGTTCTGGTTAGAAAGAAAAGGTACTTTTAGCAGGAAAAAATATCACTTCTCAACTCTGTCAATAATGATCGAAATCCTGTTCGAGGTTGTCGTTTTCCTGATTATCTCATCAACTCTGGCCGTTTGTGTTATTCCTGAGCCGGTCTGTTTCGCCTCTGTCCTCTGGACTCTTTTCTTTTCTAGGAAAAGGCTTACACTCCACGCGAGCGTCCGCCGTTTAACCAGAAACTGTGGGAGCCAACTCAGGATGTGTTCGAGAAGAAGCAGTTGAGCGATCGATGGATGAAGCCGCCGAAAGAGGAGAAATTCCCGACGGCCGCTTTTCCGATGGCCAAGACGCCCGGAGGACCGGCTATTCCTGTTCGGGACACTCCAATTTCTCCGATTCGGAACGCTGTTTGAACTTGATTTGATGGCATGTTTCGAATGAATCATTTCCGTTTCGTGCTCTCCCGGTCCTTTCAATTATCCGGGCCCTACACATATCGGTCATCTGCTCGCGGACCTAATCCGGTGAAGCGTAGGTTATTCGGGGGGTCGCGGCCGAGTCGTCATGGCTACCGACTAAAGCGGAAAGCCGCTTTGCTGTGCTCACTCGCTGCCCACGAAAGCTTAGAGCTTAAATATAATATTCCATCCACTAGCATTAATTATGAAGGGGATCGCAGCCGGAGGTGCGCCACACCAAAACAAACGTGTTATGAGGAAACCGAGAGCGATTAGGGTACGTTTGCGGGGACTTTTCCCGAAGATTTTCATTTTTTGGAGGCTACGCCGAACCAGAACTGTTCGAATCAGACCCAATTGGCACTGAAAATAGTTCTGATTCGGGACAGTTCTTGCTCGGCGTAGCCTCACCTTTTTTCAACTAGTAGTGGTAACAACTTTTAGGGAATGCCCTCCTCAACTGCTCACCGTCGCAAGAACGTCTCCTCAACAGTGCCGTCGACTTCCAACCTCAAAAAGAAGGTGCAAGTGGTCGAACCGCTGCCTAGTCAATCACAGAATGCGTTGGCCGATTCGCGGAAAGCGGCAGAAGTGGAACGGCGGCTGGGAGTGGTCGTGCTGCACAAAGAGCGACTGAAGGAGCGGGCGGACAAGTTGAGCGGCGAACTGAGCAAAACCCGTTCAGAGCTGAATGCGACACAACAGGAGCGCGGACGTATGCAGCAGTTCTGGAGGATCGCCGAGAGCGGACTGGACGAGGAGAGGGAGCGGACGCGGCAGGTCGAGAAGAGCATGTTCCAGATGAAGACGCAGCAGGCGGAGCAGGTCCAAAAACTGCAACAACGAATCCGAAGCCTGGTATATTATGCGAAAATGCACCGGAACGCCTCGACGGAAACTGAGCCAATTCCTCCGTGCGGAAGTCTTCGGAGCATGGAATCGCAGACGATGGAGGAGCTCACAAAGGACAAGGCGTCGAAAATTCTGAGAGAATCCGACGACCTCCTGCTCGCGTTCATTTCGGAACTCGAGAAGGGGAAGCTGGAGGCGCAGAGCGAGCTGAAATACGCGATCGTTCATCTGGAGCAGCGGATGAAAGAGGAGAAGGAGGTGCAGATGGAGGCGATGAAGGAGGAGCGGGAGACGGAGATCGAGGAGATCGGACTGAAGCACATGGAGCAGATACGGACGATTGAGTCGGCGAACAACGAGCAGACCGCCATGATGCAGGGCAAGATTGACTTTTTGCAGGTGAATCCCTAGAAGTTTTTTGGACTTTAAGCGAAATGTTTCTTCCAGAATGAAGTTTCCACCCTCCGGGATCTCCGTGATTCCCTTTCGATAGATCTGGTGGATGCTCGTGAAAAACTGACGGAGCAGGCAGTGCTATTGGGCCAAAACAAGGCGAGCATTGACGAGATGAGCAAGGAGATCGCACGACTTCAGGAATACAAACGCAACTTTCAGGTTTGTAGAGATATTAAAAAAAAGTGGTCAACTAATGAAATGCTCACATTTTCGTAGTTGATAACTTTTTGATATCTCCACCGACAGCGGAGATATATCGTTTTAAATGAACGGAATTTCCAGAGAGACATGCGAAACGTGGAGAATATGCGAAAAGAGGTGGAAAAGTACAAGGAGATCAACGAGATTGTGATGGGCGAGTTCGGAAAAATCGAGAAAGAGCGGGACGAGCTTTTGGTGGAAGTGGAGAAGAGTTTGGGCAGACTCGAGGTCAGCAACCAGAAGCGATTCGCAGATATCGGAAAGCGAAACTGAGAAAACATTTATTGCGTTTAAATTTTTTGATAAAATTCATAAAAGGCACATAGAACTTTTTTTTCAATACATGTCTTTTTGTGTGTTTAATTGCAAAGAGTGAGCAGGAGCACCAAGTGGAATCGGAACCTAACAATTGTTTGATATAATCGATTTGGAACCAAGAATATAAGAATAGATAAAGAAAAGAAAAGGAAGAAACGAATCAGGCCCATCCTCCGGTGAGCTTGTGGAAGAGCTCTTCGTTGAGCGTCTGGGACTGCTCTTTGCTGCGCATCGAAAGGAAAATGTAGCCGCCGATGAACTCGTGAACCACTTTGCAATCGGCCGAAAGCGGCTTGAACTCGATGTCCTCGTCTTCGAATTGGATCTGAGAAGAAGGGAATGAAGGAATGATCCAAATGGTGCAGAATGTCTACTTACCTTCAGATGCCGAATCTCCCAATTGACGTGCCACTTCTTCATGTTCGCAAACCGCCACGTCTTCAAACTCTCACCGTTGTCCATGTTCAGTTTGACCAATCGATTGATGGCCACTCCGATGAGGTCGGCCTTGCGTCCGTTCCGGAATCGCACGATAAAGTAGTGGACGCCGTGCTCGGGAAGTGCCTGCCACGCCCGGATGTACTGCAGTTTAGCCTCGGTGGCCGAGAGCTGACGCACGTTTCCGTGCGCGTCGGACACTTTCTGCTGCAGAGACTGCTTGCTCCTGGCCCTGCGCACGTACTTGGACGAGATGTACTCGTCGACGTTGAAGTCGTTCGGAAGCTTCACCGCCTGCGCTTTCCGCGACGCCGTACCGTTCTCGTTTCCGTTCGCTGCAATTCAGAAAGATTCATTTCAAGGAAATCTCAGCAATCACTAACCACTTTGCATCTTGAGCAGGTTCTTTATGCTCTCCACTTCCTGCTGATACGACGAATCGGCCATGGACTTTCCGCGGGAGGCTAACCGACACGCGGCCATCCACCGGGCGTACTGGTGCTCCGAGTCGCATTTCAGAATGAAGTCGGACATTCCCTCGGCAGTCGGCACCAAAAGTTTGATGTGGTACTTCTGCTGACTCACGGAGACGTCCGGACTGACTTCACAGCCTTTCAGTGAAAAGTGTCCGAGGGGTGTGGAGTTGACGTCGGAGGAGCTCTGATGGTACGAGAGATAGAGGTCGCGGAACGAGAAGAAGGCTCTCTTGAACCCTTGAACGCCGCCAACTTCTTCGGCTTCATGTACTTTAGATAGTCGGCGAGTTCGGGCACTTGTGTCAGGTCGGACCGTCTGTTGAGTGCAGCGGCATCCAAGTTCTGCTCGAGTTCATCCAGAAGGATATCCACGTCATCTTTGTTGTTATCCTCCGGTTCGGGCGAATCTCTCTGGAGAGTGGCCTGAAGTTGGAGAGCGGCAAACAACGTGGCTTCTTCCTCGGTGTGGTCGAGCTCATCGAGCAGAATGCTCCACTTTGCCTGCTCGTAGAGTTGGTTGATACGGACCGGGTCGTACTTTGGATTCAAGTCGAAGAAGTTCATGTACTTGAATCGCAGCAGCACAATATCTCCCTCGAAGACTCCCTGCTCCATAAGGGATCTGCTCGAGTCCAGCCATCCTCGATTGATTGCGGCCTTTTCGATGTAATTCTGCGGCCGGAACACCGGGGTGTCCCGACTCGGAGCAATGCGTGGAGAGTGAATGAGAGCCGCGTCGAACTGTTCGTTTTCGAGCCCCTCGCTGAAGCTGATGCTCGGCATGATCGGCGTCCTCCTCATCGTGTCATTATAGGCTCCCGGGGATGGACTGGCGCCACGTGGAAGTGTTCCGTGACGGGGGAGAGTTCCCATCTCGTGGGCGTTGAAGATGTGACCAGAAGAAGAGAGTGCCGGGGACTGTCCGCGACGACGCATGTCCAGGTTGGATTGGGAGGCGAAGATCGGCGCAGCCTTTCGGAGAGTCATCGGGCCGACCGACTCCTCTCCTGGGCGGATTGACTGTGGGCCGGACATGTTGTCGGCGTCGGAGGTGCCTTTGCGAAGGACTTCTGGGGGAATGTACCGCTTCAACGAGAGCTCTTCCGAGTGCCGGACTCCGATGTCCCTGCACAACTTGGCCGTCGCCTTGACAATATTGACGGAGAAGTCGAGTCGGGCGTCGATCATTTGCATGTCTGGCAGCTGGATCCGCGCGTCCTTGTGCATCGGAGTGAACTCCAACTGTGTTTCGGCGGTGATTCCGTTCTGATCGAGTGTGGAACGCGTGTGCTGCAGCCATCTTCGTTTCTCCGGCCACCAAAGCGCGTGGTCAGACCAATCCCGTTCGACATCTGCAATATGAATGTTCAGTTCCGGCCCGTGATGCTAAAAGAAGACATATGTTAATCTGCCCCTTCCTCTTTCTGGGTCGGACCATAAAATATTTATGGATCTCTTCCTTTTGTCGAAAGAATGAACCCCTCCGCGGCTAATGTTGACTATTCAAGTGCGCTCGCTAGCGCATCTCCATAAGCTGATTGTCTTGGCCGCCTTCTAAAGAGCAGAGGGGTACACAAAGTAGCGTGCTCCACACAATCATAGGGGGTTAGATTCCCCACGGGACCAGATATCATGAGACTTTCGGCTTTTTCTGCTTCCTGCTACTCTGCAGTCTGTTTGACTTGTGCTACACTCAGAGTTTCGCGGTTCGTATCGCTCCGTATCTAAAACTATACTGAGCAGCTACTCAACGAAGTAATACGGGCGGGAAACTCAAGTAATGTTCGAAAATGCTTGCCGTGAATCCCACAGAAATGTCATCATAACTGTGCGTGCGTGCGTGCGCGACGACCTTCCTTTTCCTTATCTTTTTCTCCTAAAAACCAATAGCTTCTTTTTGATGTTCAACTAAAGCGACTTGTGTTGTTCGACGCGCTCTCGGTGGTGTTGGAAAGCAGAAGGAAAAAGAGAAGATATCTCGGGGAGGAGTGTAATAAATGCGGGGGCGAGCGGGTTGCCGAGGAGCCGCGATGGCACACAACTGATATGATGATCAGAAATTGTAGGCTGCGGAAAAGAAAAGACTGACCGCATTCATTGACGAGCTGAAGCATGAGTCCTCCGATGTGAAGATCCCCGCGCACGTAGATGTTTCTGAAGTTATTCAACTTTTATAAAGGCTAGCATTATCATTGAGAGCAACCTCTGAATGTTCAGATCAGTGACCAGAATAGGCAGTTGCCAGGATCCATCGAGGATCGAGGATCCTTCGACGAGATGCGTCATGGTTAACCTGAAAGCAAGCAGGGACTATATGACCTATATGATCTGGGAACGAGAAGCCGTGAGATGTTTGTTTGTGCGATCAATTTGATATCCACACATGTACGGGCAATACCAACAAAAAATCGATGAAACTGGTGGGAACGTATTGGAACGCCTATGCAAAGAGAGGCTGGCCGGGCAGCAGGCGGACGGACGGACGGAGCAGTACAACTGGCCGGTCGTCCTCTGATCGGCGGTCTCTTCTTTCTCTCTCTCTTTCTCTGACTCAGGAGGGGGGGGGGGGGACCAAAAGAGGCGAGAAGTCGAAGAGACGCAGCGAATCGGTGAAGGACATTTGAACGAGCGAGACGCAGACGCGGCCAGCAACATTTTACACTGTGTGAGGAGGAGGCCTTCCGAATGGATGGATGTATGGATGGATGGAAGAAGAAGAAGAAGAAGAAGAAGCTGGAGGAGGAGGAGAAAGAGAAAGAGAAGGAAGTATTGGATATCCGAGTAGCTACGGCTTGTTGCACATGAATAGTTTATGGTTGATGAACACGTACAATTGGGGAGAGAGGTCGCCGAAAACCATTTGGAAAGGACTTTTATTTGAAAAAAGAAGTTCACACTTCTAAAGTACTTCAAACATCTCACACAGAGCCTGAGGGTTCCATCATTAAGAAGTCAATTGGTTAATTTTACATTGAAAGTGGGTTTTCGAACTTTACAGGGTGGTCCACCGTTACCCGTACAAAAGTTTTACGCGGCGCGGCCAAGATCATTTAGCAGTGGTTCCAGGCCAATTTGGCAGCGTTCATCCAGAAGGAAGAATGGTCCGATTTCTCGCCGGACTATTTTTTGTTGGACTATTCGTTGTTGGGGTTTTACAGGCCAATATGAAGGCTAAAGCCCAGACAAGTAGGGGAGTGATAAAAAATTCCTTGCCAGGTAGGGGGTCAATTTGTTCACGGACTTCCCGCGTGCCGCGGCAGACGGTTACTTCGGAAGTCATCGGGCTGTCATTGTTAGGAAAGGAGGTCGGGTGCAACACTGTTAGCTTATAAATATTGTTAAACACCTTAATGAACATTTTGTTAAGTCTCATGTCTTTCTGACTTCTAGTTTTGGAATTACACAACTTTTATTTTGTACGGGTAACGGTGGGCCACCCTGTATAGTCTTGGTCCGATCGGGCCGGTCAATTTCACGCTGTCTTTCGGTTTTCGGAACTTCTGGCTCAGTTGGAATGAACATCAACCGATTATTCCTGGTTTGAAGTACTTCTGTAACAGTTTCGATACGGTAGGACTGTATGATCTGGGACCCAGTATTTTGCAGAAGCCATCATTTTACCAAATCACCACTCTTGTCTACATTCCTGACATCAAAAACTGCCTCAAATTCGAACAATTCCTAGTTTGGAACAGCATGGCAAGGCAAGTGCGCCCCATCGCACAACCGGCTTGAACGGGTCCCCCACGTCGAACGATATCGATATCATTCGTTTCTGAGATTTTGCTATCATTTTCTGCGAAATTTAAACGAATTCCTAACCGTACAACACGAAATCCGCAAGATTTTCTATTTACAAAGTGTTTTTATTCATCTCTCGTTTTTTTTTCCAGAAAGTTAACGAAAGATGGAAGACAGTGAGAGATCGCACATCACACACCTTTACTTTCGACTCGAAGACAATGTAGTCGTGCCTGTGCGGGTGGAAATTTTGAAGAAACTTCCCACCTTCGAGGTCTTATTGCTATTCGCGTCTGACGAGGAGCTGGAGAGGCCGATCGACGTGCCCGGAACTTCGGAGGCGTGGATTCCGTGCATCCGCTGGGTCGAGTATCACTTGGGAATGTCTCCGATGTCGACCGTCCTCACCGCGTGGGTCATCGCGTTCTTCCGCAGACACCGCGCCAACATAACTGCTATCATCCGATTGGCGCACTTTGCGGGCCTCGACAGCATTCTCCGGTACACGGATCATCTGATTCGCGTGGGATATTTGCCGCAGAACTGGATAGCTCCTACTCAGTTATGGTAACAATTTCCTTTGAATTCAACTGCCGAATGCCATGCACTCATTGCCCTCTTCCCAATAAATCCAATAAATCATCCGAGTTCGTTGTACGTCAGAAATCACAGACACATCTTCTCTTCCGAAGAGAGACTCCAGGTGATCAGAAGCCTACAATTAGCTGAACGACGCAAAAGTTTCCACGTTGCTATGGCGATAATTCTCGTTCGGTTCGTTTCATTTCCCCCACAAGAACAGCTCCCGACGTACATAAGTTGAACTTCCCGGACGTGGTACATTTGAAATTCGTTTCGCAACCGTTTAAATACTATGAACTGTTTGAAGCATTCTTTTCGCAACCGTAACCGATGAGAGCTGGTTGCGAAACGTCAGATTTCTGCTCGTACTCTCTTCCGTTTTCCAGAAGATCTCATCAAATATTCAGAATGTGTGGCCCTGCGGAGAAAAAGATGGTCTTCCTGCAGGCGCCGACCGGCGAAGTCTTCCCGATCTCTCACGCGGCGGTGCTGCTCGCCAAGTCCATCCCGGACATCCTGCACATTTGCGGGATCGAGTCGGTCGCCGAGTTCGGTTCCGAGCCGATCCCCGTGCAGAAGGGAGTGACCGGCAAGTCTCTGGAGCTGTCGATCGAGTGGTGCGAGCACTACAAGGACATTCCGGCGCCCGATCTCGGAGTCATCACACCCTGGGACGCCGCCTTCTTCTATCAGAACCGGCAGCATCTCAAGGCGCTCTTCCTCGCCGCCAACATTTTATTCATCGAAAGGCTCGAAAGCGTCGAGGAGACTGTCCGGCAGATGGGATTCCTCGACAAAGCATGAGTTTTCCGTGTTTGTCCTAATAAACTTCTAAATCCAGACTCTGTCACACAATCACTTTATTACGCTCATTAGCAGCGGAAATTTCGGATAAATTGGGGCGATGTTGGGGAACACGTTTTGAGATCAAAAATGCAATTTCGAATTTAGAATGAGTCGAACATAGTACAACCATAAAAGGATAGAGATTAAAATGTTTTTGAGTGGATGGAGAGTGAATATCATGTTACAATTAGTGTATGATAAGTGAGGTTCGAGGAGAGTTAGTTCATCGCGAACACAATGTTCTGTCGGTCCATGACGAGCACTCCGTTCGCCGTGTATTGGTCCAGACACTTCTGCAGGGCCACCTCGCTGATTCCCTTCCGAGCGCATCTCTGGATGGCGTTGTTCAAGGCGATCGGCTCTTGGTTCGAGTGGTACAGCTCACGGAGCACCGAGAAGGCAGCGTCAACTGGGGCCATGCGTCTGAAAATAGATAGTTGTTACTCTGTAATTAAGAAACTATTTTGAATTCACGGTTACTGGGGAATTAACGGACTACTCACTTCTCGATTCTGGTCTGTTCTGGTCTCAACGAGTCCTTGGCAAACTGCATCAGACGCAACGCCTCCTCCACATCGCTCTCGTCGACAATCTTCGACAGACGGAGCTTGGCGCGAGCGGTGGCCATTCTCACGATTCCGAGAATCATACGCGGCGAGACGAAAGTCGGATCGGTCGAGTGACGAGCGTCACGGCGCATTTCCACGTAGGCCTCGACGATTCGCTCACGAAGAGACGGGTCGATAGTCGGCGTGTAAGTCTTGCAGAGAGAAATGTACTCGCGAAGCGTCTCCAGAGAGATGAGATCCTTCTTCTCACGATTCGGATGGCATCCGTGCTGGTGCACGTAAGTGATGTGTTCGGCCAGGACCTTGTCGTTCTCGCGATCGGCTTTGTCCTGCATGAGGAGGATCAGATCGAAACGGGAAAGAAGAGCAGCCGGAAGATCCACGTTCTGCTCGATCGATCGTTGCGGATTGTAACGTCCATAAGCCGGATTGGCAGCCGCAATGATGGCAGTGCGGGCGTTCAATGTGGTCATAATTCCTGCTTTGGCGATGGAAATGGTCTGCTGCTCCATAACCTCGTGGATAGCGGTTCGGTCATTGTCCATCATCTTGTCGAACTCGTCGATGCAGCAGATTCCTCCGTCGGCGAGGACGAGAGCTCCCCCCTCCAGGGACATCTCTCCCGTGACCGGATCCTTCATAACGGCGGCGGTAAGACCTACCCCAGATGATCCGCGTCCAGTCGTGTACTGAGAGCGAGGAGCCAGACGATTCACGTACCCGAGCAACTGAGACTTGGCCACTCCTGGATCTCCCATCATGAGCACGTTGATGCATCCGCGAATCTTCATTCCGTTCGACGAGTTGTCATTTCCTCCGACCAAGGCCATCAGAAGGCACTTCTTGACGTCAACGTGCCCAAAGATTTCCGGTGCGATCGACGCAGCGAGAGCCTCGTAGTTGTCTCCTTTGCGACGGAGCACGGCGAGCTCTTCGGAATGAACTCCGCCGAACGTCGGATTATCGTCCAGGTTGTGGATGAACTGAAAAAAAAAATAAATATAAAGTTTTCAAATTTGAAAAGTTACTTACATGAGCTTCCAAGTAGGTATCGGCCACAAGACCTCCAGTTGGTCGGAAGCCCGATTGGAGAATGGGCAAGAAGATGCCGGACACCTGGACAACATTTCCCGTATTGCACCGTCTCGTCATTTCTCCATAAACAAAGACTGTCATCGTACGCGGAATCGATCCGACTGGCACCTGCTCGCTGAGCTCCTGGATCTTGAGCTCTTGAAACTTGACAAACTTGGATCCTCTCAGTTGCATGTGCAGCCTTCCGTTCGCTTTCGCCTCAACGCACTCCTTGTTGGGGCAATTTAGTGGAGGGATGAACTGCATTCCCTTCACAGGCTGGAATACTTCGGCGGCGCAAGTGTCGCACGTGTAGGTCATCACTTCAACGCACGGCTTCACCTCCGTCGCACGGATCACCACTCCTTTCATCGACACGAGATGACCTATCTCCGTTGCTTTGATGTCACGGACACACGTCTGATAGGCCGGGTCACTTGTCGTGAAGTAGACTTCGAAGCGTTGGAGCAACTGTGGTGGGTACTTCTTTCTTCTGTCTGCCAGAGACACCTCCTCCTGAGCGGCTCCTTCCGTCTTGTCCATGTGAATGCGTTGGAACATGTAGGCGTCGAGGGCGTCGACGACGGGCGGCTGCTTGTCCCCGAGGTAGTCTTGAATAATCTCAGCAACGGTGTCTTTAAACAGGACTTCGTATCTGGAAATTCATTCTTTGTTTAGCACAAGTAATAGTGGAATGTCTACGCTTCAGAAAACTGTTATTATGTAAACATCGTCATTTCTCTGGAACATTCTATTTTTTCCGTACCTCTTAGCGTTTCCAACAATCGACTCAGCGAGCTCGAGCGCGTCCGGGATGTCAGAATCCTTGATGTGATCAATGTCAACGACCATCGCCTGCTTCTCGCGACGAGCGATGTCGAACACTTGATCGCGGTACGGGAATTCCTGAAAATTGATTGTAATGAATACAAAAAACAAAATTTCGGGAATTTTCAAAAACAAACCTTTCCATCGGCGTTATCCTCTTCGTCTCCGTGGTATTCATCGATGAATTGACGGATTTTTGCCTTCTCGGCGGCCCAGTCTGTGTTGTAAGTCTTGCCTTTCATATTGAGTTAGAAGAGACGCGTCTGAAATTCAAATAATCAGCAAAAACCGTTAAAAATCTGAGAAAATCGGTGCGGAGAGATGGAATTTGCATGAAAAGGCAATAGATGGCAGGATCGCTCGTTGTTCAAATTTCGCGCGTTGACGTCACGGGTCGTTGCGAGACCCGTCGGCGTGCAAAAGTGTATGCGCCTTTGAAAGGCTGCCGAACATGGACTGCACGATTTTCAGCTGTTTTGCCAAGATTCCGAGTTGGAATTTTGATATTTTTTCTTTAAAAAAATTTAAAGCTCTTATAAAAATTATATAGTAAATCTACAATTTTTTTCACGCATATTGGCTGTTAAAATTACCCTCAAAGCAAACAATTCAATATCCGTAAAAATTTCCTTTTCTCTGTTCATTATTTGTTTTTTTTTTTGTAATTCATTTCAATTTCCCTATGTTGCAGAGTAATTATGGTCGCCTGGAGAGCCGCTGGACTCAACTACGTCCGTTTCTCGCAAATCGCCGCCGAGATCACTCGCAAGTGCACCAAGCCAGTTGGAGGAAAGGCCGTCGCCAAGAAGCAAGGGTCTTCCCTCAAGGTCGGTATTGATCTTTTCTTGAAGCATTTAATTATTTCTGTATATTCCAGGTCTATAACTGGGAGAACGGAAAGCAGCAAAAGTAGAAGGTTGACGTCGTCGCAGACGCAGTAGTATTCAGATTCCCTTTTGAATACATTCCCGTCTCCATTCCCGATTGTTTGTTCTTATTTTAAGTAGATGATGATCATTTGATATAAAGTTTTACTTCAAAGCAAGTTGTTCAGATCATATGCCAAGTTTTTGTATACCTTTTTCATACTTGGTTGAGTGCATCGTGTGGCTTTTATAAACTTTAGATTCAGATCCTCATACAGTCGATCAATGTATTCTCCAAAACGGGTAAAACTGAATTTAACGAGCGGAATGCGAAAGCGTCCGGATCGACCATCAGAAGAAAACCAAGAAGAGCTCTACCCGCCGACGGCTCTAGCTCGGAACGGAGTCAGCCCATACTTCATCGGCAAACCCCGTCGAAAGCATGTAAACATAAATCACGGACCCGCCGCGGCGTCCGGACCACCTCTTCCCTTTCCACATCGAGTAATAGATGAAAGAGACGACGAAGAAGAGACGGAAAAGGTGGTGATTGAAGAAGAAGAAGAAGAGGAGGAAATAATCGAGATTCCACTGAAGAGGACGGAAAATTCTAAACGAAAGCTCGAAAATCATCCACTGATAGGTGAAAAATCGAGCATCAAGCTCGATGATCTGGCTCAGTCGTTGAAAAAGTCGACAGAAGAGAACAAAAAACCGTCATTCGTAATGCGCGGATTCGATTTCGGAAGCGATGAGAAGGTGGTCAAGATTCGTGATAAGATATGTGATATTGTGGATCCGACGGGCGCCAGAAGGTCAGATCCGAACTTTATTCGTCAGATGCATGAAAACACCCTCAAGGGGATCGAGGTGGCGTCGAACCCGAATTTTAAAAGAAAAAGGTGCTGGTTCAGGCGAAAAAGTACCGAAAAAAGTGAATAACTTGTAATTGCCCCATAGAGAGCACTTGTACATCAAATTTCAGATAGAATATTTTCTCTCTCACTTGAAATCATTGTAGAGCCCCCACGAAAAACCGCGCCGCAATCCAATCGACTCTCGGCTCGATTTACCCGTCATTTATGACCGCCGGCGGATCGGATCCGCACAAAGGCAAGTTTCAGGTGCCGCTGGACCGTCAAAACAGCACTCAATCAAACGGAAGCCAAGGAGCAATCGGCCTCCCCCGCAAAACGATAGCTCCTGAAATACCGAAACGCTCCTCGTTCACGAATCCATCGTCAATTATCAAAAAGGCGATGGGAATGGAGACGGATGGCGGCGGAAAAGACGAGAATGTCAGTGGATTGCGGGCAGAACCGACGCTGAAGCATTTCGATGAGAATATCATTTCACTCATCGAATCGGAAATCATGTCGGTGAACACTGAAATCGGATGGGATGAGGTCGCCGGATTGGAAGGAGCGAAAAAGGCGTTGCGGGAGATTGTTGTGCTTCCTTTCAAGAGACCGTACGCTCTTACTGAACAATTTCAATAATCTCTCTTTTTTAGAGATGTTTTCACTGGAATCCGTGCTCCACCGAAAGGAGTCCTTCTCTTCGGACCGCCCGGAACCGGAAAAACCATGATTGGCCGTTGCGTGGCGTCCCAGTGTCGGGCCACTTTCTTCAACATTTCCGCCAGTTCCCTCACTTCGAAATGGGTTGGAGAAGGCGAAAAACTGGTGCGCGCCCTGTTCTCCGTGGCCCGTCTCAAACTGCCGTCCGTCATTTTCATCGATGAAGTCGACTCCCTGCTGTCCGCCCGTTCCGAATCGGAGCACGAATCGTCGCGTCGCATCAAAACAGAGTTTCTGGTGCAATTGGACGGTGTGAGCACTTCTCCGGACGAACGGCTTCTCGTCCTCGGAGCCACAAATCGACCACAGGAACTTGACGAAGCCGCCAGAAGACGATTCCAGAAAAGGCTGTACATAGCGCTTCCGGAGCCCGAATCACGGTCGTTGATTGTGCAGAACTTGCTGAAAGGAACCCGCCACGAGGTCAACGAACAGAATTTGGAGAAGATTTCGCAGCTGACTGACGGATACTCGGGAGCCGATATGCGACAATTGTGCACTGAAGCGGCCATGGGCCCGATCCGGGATTTGGGTGACGAAATTGAGACGATTGACAAGGACGAGGTGAGTTTTTCGGTGCTGCTCCGAATCGGAACTTCCCGAATCAGAACTGGTACGAATCAAAACCGATTAGCACTGAAAATAGTTCTGATTAGGGAAATTCCGATTCGGGGCAGCACCCGTTTTTCATTTTTTGTAGGCGCATTGCGGAATGACGTCACTAGAAACTTATCAAATAAACAAATATCATAAGGACTCTATTTCATATGTTCTTGTTTTTCCCTTCAAAATGTCACCTGCAAATGCAAATGCCCCCATTCTAGTACACCTTTTCCGACAAATTCCGCAATCTTACTAGTGTTTGCGGAAATTTTCGAAAAGTTGCGAAATATTCGCAAACAGCAGCAGCATCCGCCTGGTCAGATGACGACCAAGAGAATGACGTCAGAATCTCCTTTTTTCTAAAACTAACTTCAGATCCGCGCCGTGAACGTGGCCGACTTTGCCGAAGCGTGCCGAGTGGTTCGTCCGACCGTCGATGAATCCCAGTTGGACGCCTACGCAGCCTGGGACAAGAAGTTCGGATGTCTTCCGCCGCCACTTTCCCGTTAATTGCTCCCCTCCCCTTCTTATCTTGAAATTATCTGAAAATACGAAAATATCATTGAAATTTCCCATTTTCCAGTTCCAAACTGTCAAATTCGCCCGTCTCTCAATCATTATCGTGTACCATGTTCGTTCAATCATCACTCAAAGATCTTCTCTATCGGACTCCTCTATCCCTGTTATCTCAACCTTTTAATTCGCTTTTTACCAATTTTTTCCTATAAATCTCAAACCTTTTTTTTGAGATCACTACCGATTGAAAGGTCTGAATAACCTTTGAATTTCTCTAAAAATCGTTTTAAAAAACTGCCCAAAAACTGTGCTTTTGCAGAAAATGCCAATCCAAGAGTTGAAAACTGGCGATGACGTGGCCGCGTTCATCAAAGATCCCACTCCGGCGGTGCTCCACTTCTTCGCCACGTGGGCTCCGAGCTGTGATCAGGTGAACGAGCTGCTCGACGACTTGCTCGCCGAAATCGCGCTTCCCATTCGTGGCGCCTATCTCGACGCGGAGGCTCTTCCCGGAATCTCGCTCAACTTCAAGATCACCGCCGCCCCCACTCTCGTCTTCTTCTACGTAAGCGAAACTCTCAGCGATCAAGGTTAATATAATATTTTTGTAGCACGGCAAAGAAATTGATCGTGTGGATGGATTTGTTCCGCAAGAAATCCAAAATAAAGTGATGAGAACTGCGAGCCGTTCTCTCGCCGATAGAAACGCCGCCATGGATGCTGCTTCTGCCCCAGTCGCCGAGCAATCTCCAGACGACGTCAAGAATGCTCTGAACGCCCGTCTGAAGTCGTTGATCGAATCGAATCGCGTGATGCTCTTCATGAAGGGCTCCCCGGACGCTCCGCGCTGCGGATTCTCACGCACAATCATCGAGCTTCTGAATTCGCACAAAATCGCGTTCGGCTCTTTCGACATTTTCTCGGATAACTCTGTGCGTGAGGGCCTCAAAGAGTACTCAAACTGGCCCACCTACCCGCAGCTCTACCTGGACGGAGAACTCGTCGGAGGCCTCGATGTCGTCAAGGAGGAGTTCGCCGATCCGGAATTCATAGAAAAGCTGCCGAAGACTCGAGAGGAGAAGCCACTGAAAGAACGGCTCAACGAGCTCGTCCGTCGCAGTCGGCTCATGCTCTTCATGAAGGGAAATCGCGAGCAGCCAAAGTGCGGATTCTCGCGTACCATCGTGGATCTTTTGAATCAGGCTAGAGCCGATTACGAGACTTTTGATATTCTGGAAGACGAGGAAGTTAGACAGGGACTCAAGGTAATTCTGATAGAGCGCTCGCTGTGATGACAAAAGTGTTTCCTTCCAGGAATTCTCCAACTGGCCAACGTACCCGCAGCTCTATTTGGACGGAGAACTCGTCGGAGGGCTCGACGTCGTCAAGGAGGAACTTCTGGACACGCACTTCCTTCGTCAAATCCCCAGGATCCGAAACGAGTGATTCGCGCAAACACAGCTACAATTCACTCGAAAAATGCAACAATTTCTCCCCATTTACTTCTCCAAGTTCTTTCGTATCCCCACAAATGTTCCAGCTAATTGCTACCGATAAATTTTTATTATTATTCTACAAAGAAGGGTGCATTTGGATATGATACTTGGTTTTTCAACGATATGCAGGGATGCGTGGCGTCTAGACCGCTTTTCGATCGTAGAAGGCGACGGTCGAAAATGCAACCGAGAGGGCGACGAATAGGAATCCAAGGGCGCCAGCCAACGATTTAAACACTGAAAATGGACAAGAATTGTCGATGGAGCTCGTCTTCTCAACTCACGATTCTCGAGGCAAATTTCGGCAGAAAAACGGGAATCGGTCAGGAAAGAGGCCGACGGATATCCGGCCAGCCACATGAGGTTGTATTGTCCCTGCACGAAAGAAAAGATAGGATGACAAGTCCCTTGGCCCACTTCTTACCATATCAATAATCGGATTGGTGTTGAGAAGGACGGCGTAGGTGAAGTTTGCGGCCGAACTGATCGCCTTCTGGAATTTGTCGCCGACCTCGAATCTCACATCGTTGTTCTGAAGGAGGACGATCGGCGGAAGGAACGTCGAATTGACGAGATGAAGTCGCGGGAAGTAGATGGGAGCATGGCCGATGTGCGAGTTGTTCCAGATGACGATCGAGCCCCAGACGGTGCGTACGCGCTGGTACACGTTGGTCGGAAACGGAACATCAGCTGCAATGCAACATTTGGAGCATTCCGGACTTGTCTGATCGGGAACCCACACAAGTTGGCGATGACAATGTCGCCGATGACGTGCGTGCAGAAGATTTGTTTTTTGAGCAGCCAGTGCAAACGCAGCACGTCCTCCTCGTTCTTCGCGCTCAAATCCTGCCCGCTGCACCGCCTGTACTTCCGGTAATCCGGTCCGAATTCGGCCTTGGGGGCAGCAATGGAGAGCACCGCAGAGCACAAGAAAAGTATGATTATTGGGAGCACTGGAAGAAGGGAAAGAAGAAGAGAAAGAAGAAGGGGAAGACGGACCTCTCGAAGTCTGCATAGATGATTGATTGAAGGTAGGTCCACCGCGGATGCAAATCAAAAAGCAAACTGCTTAGAACGCCAAGGGCGGCAATGATTTCACGATTCCACGGATGGAAAGGTCAGAGCATTACGTGGGTGCAAACTTTCATTAATTTTAAACTTCAAAAAATTAGGACACTTTGATCTTTCTGCCCTGCGGACGGCCGTAGCACGAGACTCCGATGAGCAGAAGACTGGCGACGAAGCACATCGACGCGAACGAAATTGTCCAGAATTTGTAGCCTAAAAATAGGAAAAATAGGAAGGAAGTGCGCTCCAGTGATAACCAACTCATTTCGGGGCACGTTCCGGTGAGGAAGTGGTTTTGAGTAAAGAAGATTGGTCTTTTGTCGATCGCCGCCTTGTGCAGAGTATAGTGTTGGCTCTGGAAATGAATAAGAATTGCGATGAACCGCAATCGGATTTGATATTGTAAACCTCGGTCATGTAAGCGGGCCAGTTGTTGGTGAACCAGTAGCAGATGTTCGCCTGCGTGGAAACCCGGTTGAGTCGTGCACCGATCGCCAACTTCAGATTTTTGTTGTTTCTGAGCACAATCGCCGGTCGGACGTTGGCGAGGATGACCCGAAGGTTCTGCAGATTCACCGAATCCGCCAAATCGGTTGTGTTCTCGATGATCAGCGATCCATAGAGTTCCGTGATCGTCCAGTAGCTAGGCATTCGTTTTGCGTTTACTGAAGGTTTCGTTGATTAATCTTTTTTAGAGTAAACTAACCCAAATTGGCAATGACAATGTCGCCATAAACGTGTGTGCACGGCTTCTCAGTGAGCAATCCGAGCTCCAAATCGCTTCTCACACTCAATTCGGTCCCGTTGCACACGGTCTTGGTGGCCGAACCGACGATGAAAAGCGAGAAGAGCGACCACGTGCTTAGTACTGTAATAGTTTGTTGGAGCGCGATTGTGGTCCGACTGGAACTGACCCTTTAAACTCATCATTCCTTAGGATCTGGTATTCGACAGCAAGCGATTATAAGGAATGTGATAAAAGTTCGAAAAGAGTAGAGAGAAAGAGAAGGAGAAATGACGTGGAGGTCAAGGGAAAAGTAATCTTCGTTAATCTTCGAATAATTTGCAATCGTGTAAAATGGATGATCGCCAATTTCTGAAAATCTTCCTATACGGTAACCTGACTCGCTCCCTCCCTCCCAGACACTTCAAACATCCAGTTCCTCCGATAGCCATCTGGTCGACGACTTTCCTGCTGGCGGCAATCCGTGTCTGGCGCAACAATCACCGAGAGCTGGATGGCGAAGCGAAAAGAATGCCGATCGAAATAAGAGCGCCGCCTCCTCGGAAGCACAAGAAGAAGTCCGAGGCAACGGCGAAGAAGGTCCCGACGGCTGCGGCCCAAGTTGCTTAATTGTTGCTCGAGGAAGTCATCTAAAAAAAGAAGTTTATTTCACAAACTTCGTCGAAACTTGAACGAGAAATAATGTTATGACACAAAAATGATAATATCACAAAGCTTGTCAAGTTTTGTTGCAGTGAACGGCGGTCACATCCCGTCCGAATGCCTTCTTCTTGTTGGCAACAGCCGTCACTCCTTTGTTCCCCTTTGAGCGCTTTCGAGCCAGATACTCCGCCCACGTCGGGTGGTCCTCCAATTCCAATCCTCTCTTCGGGTCCTTTCTCATCACAGCTCTCTTCTTTTTCTGACGGAGAATCACATTCGCGTCTCCAATCGACATGATCTTCTGCGCATAATCTCTGCACATCTTCAGTCTCATTTGATGAGCCTCCTCGTGGCGTTGGGCTTCCGACGACTCGTCTTCGTAAACGCACTGTTCCAGTAAATAGAACCAGCAGTGGAGGGGGTTCTTCCTGTGCAGCCAGTGCGAGTACTTCAGTCGGGTCGCCTCCTCGCACATGTCTTCGAAGTCCTTCCCGACGTTTGACTCCTTTTGGGCGTGGTACATGAATTGTCGGATGTTGCTTCTGTTCCTTTTGAGCAGCTCTAATGACACTCTGAGCGGCACGTAATTGTAGTTTTCTGGTCCTGAAAGTAGTGTTGATAAAAATTGAAATTTCGAGATTAGAACTTACTTGTCCAGAATTCCAAGAGGGTCTTCATATTGATTGGTTCCATTGAGTGTTGCATAGTTGGTTGGGTGCGAAAACGGACAATAAAAGCGATTGGCACGAGTGGTCCCACCGATAGGGGTCAACTACGCTTTGCGTGAAGATGAAGATGTGTGCAAAAATGACGCAGTGGGTCAACTGTGCACAGAAACGTATACAGGGTCCGCCAACAATCTCGCAAGGCAAAAGTCGTCCGAGCCTGGTGCTCTCAGCCAACTTTCCTCGTTTCATCAGCAGTTCCGAATGGCCAACGTCGTCACCGGATTTGAACTGTTCTGCATGGGGAGTTGTTCAGTCGAAGGTTCAAGCACATTCACATCCAATTTGGAGTCATTGAAGAAAAGTTTGGAGGCAAATGGGCTAAGCTATCTCCAGAATACCTCCGTGCCACAGTAGAGGCATTCCCGAAGAGACTCAAAGATGTTGTCAAGAACAAAGGCAACCGCATCGAGCAACTTCAATACTTTGAATGTGTTACCATACTTTTGGAGCACGCTGTACACAACAAGTTTATGAAACGAAAACATTTATCATGAAACTATCCGAAATCTCATATAAACACTATGAAAAGGAGGACAAGATGTAGATTAGCTCAAGTCCTTCCTGAAGTTCTCAAAGTAGACACTTTGATCGGTGTTCACATGAATGTGCAACTTGTTTTTCAGTTTCACCCGATTCAGATGAGCTGTCTGCAGAAGAGCCACGATGGAGACGACTGCGTAGATCGGGTACGGGGCGTTCACTGTAAATGAATCACATTAAACTGATAAGTAGACATGGCGATATGGCTTTTTTTTCAAGGCGGCAGTAGCAGAAAAAGCTTACATTCAACCAACGAAATGTAGAGTGACTTGGTGATCTCCGGTCCGTATCTCAGCAGGAAAATGAATATTGTGATGTGAATAACCATGAAACCCGTTTGTAAGTCTGCGAATCTTTTTAGTGTTCTCATAGATTTCAGATTTTGCTCCAAAGAATATCGATTAGAAAGCGAGGAGGTCAACGACTGTTTCTTTCGCAGTTTCTAGAACATAATTCATGATTAGAGCGTACTTTCAACTTGCACCTACCTCATTAACTTTGAACAGATAGTGGAAGAGTATTCTGGAGAGGATCTGAACTAAGATACTTCCTGCCGCTAATTTCTCATTGCTCGACACTTGGCCCACTTTGATAGCCATACAATAGTTCATGACTGGATCGTCGAATTTGAAGTTACTGAATGCAATGTACGTGGGGATGGAGGCCAGTAGAATCTGGAAGAAATCAAAAGTCATTGACATGACCGCCATTCTCACCTGCAGAACCACCATGGCTAGTCCGAGAGCACAGCCGGTGTGCTCGTAATTTGAAGCTTTTCGTGTTGCAATATATCGCTCGACGACCAACGGAACCGTAGTGGAGCACACCATCCAGAGGCCGGATATGTACAGAAATCGGAAGACGAAACAGCGCCACACGGAAGGCGCCATATCGCAATAGTCGTAAACTGCGTAGTTGAAGAGATCAAGAGAATGGAGCACTATTCTGCGATGAAACACAATATTATAGATCTGCATTTGAGGACGTTACCTTGCAGAACAATGCAGAAAGAATCCGAAAAGATGCACTTGGAAGATGATGATAACGTTGATATGGAACAGACTAGACACTCTTGCGCACCAGATCGCATAAGTTGCCATCAAGATCAGTGGAAGGGCGACGAGACTGCAGAGAAGGCAAAAAATGAGGGAGAATCTGAGGACCAGCGATCCGGAGAGAGATTCCATTACTGCACAGTGATCACTATCATCCATCTGCAAAGAATATCGAATATGGGAGAAGATTTCAGCGTCAGCGGATGAAGGCTGAAGTAAAAAAGTCAAGGGATTTGCAGAAGTATTGTCAAAAGTTAAATAGTTTCGAAAAAAGAAAAAGTTTTGGTGGTGGTTTGTAGATCAGAGAAAAAAAGGAAAAAACGGAGTAGGACGGGCGTGAGTGGCACGATTCGGTGGGAAATCTAATAAGGAAACGTGTGTTTTGCGGTGGGGAGCCGAGCAGACATATGATCATGGTCATGATGACAGATTGAAATGTTTCGGTGACGTTGCGAGCGGGTTAATAAGTTATTCGACCACCAGATCTCTGGTTGTTTTATTCTCGGTTGGACTAGACGCGATTTGCAGAAAACCTTCCCGTTTACGTATGTACATAGTGCGGAATACTGTAAGTACAGGAATAATGGGTTCAACATATCGTCATGTCCAGATTCTCAGTGAGCAAATGAACATGTTCAGACGGATCAGTTCGCTAACTCGATTCGTGTGCAATGTGTCACTAAATGCAATTGACCGGTTGGTCTGAGCTCCTTTTGGAACATGAGTGGTTGACAGGAGAATGAATATAAACGAAGAAGTGTTAATGTTCTGACAAACTGAAACGAAAATGTGACTATGAGTCTGTTCGCGTTCCGATGTTCGCCTTGTTTGTTTTCACTTCTGGTAGAGTGTTCGAAATTTGCGATTCTGAACGTGAGAGTGAGAGTGGGCACAAAATGAATTGAAAAACGAGAGAAGAACAATGACAGAGGCCCTGTTTTGTATCAAGTCAATTCAGAATTCGCTGAAAATGCGTCAGGAGTGATGAAGTTCAGGCCCAGAATAGCCTGATCTAAAACAGTCCGTGAGAAAGACGAATTTATGCAAGGAAACGTATTGCAACCATGGGAGCAAGCCGGAAATAAATAGATGCAAATAATTAGGTGTAGCTTGATATGCTGTGAAGTTGATTGAATTAGTTTCAGCTGATTCGAAAGAGGGACATTGGAATCAATGGATTAGTGTGCACAAGGACGATCGGAAGATTGAGATCAAACATTCAGAAGTGGATAATCGAGATGGAAGGGTTCTTTATGAAACTAACGGCATGTTTGGCCAGTCTGGTCGTTCCTTTTTCCTTGAGTAATTGAATCGTCTGACGTGTTGAATAGATCGCTGAGAAGAAGGAAGATTTCAGGAAGTTATTCGGATTTCGAACTGTTTATTATATGGACAAGTAGAATGAGTTACATCCAAAATACTATTTTGAGAAACAAGTAAACGCACTTGGTTAGAGGTAATTAGAATACTCGTTCTGAACTTTCGGAGTCTAGTTTCCGTGTTGAAATAACTCGAAAAGGTAGTGCTTGTTCAAAATTCTTGAACATGTCAGACGACATAAGCGTGTCCTCCAGTGACCGTGAACATTTGTTTGGTGGGCTCCGCTGGGGTCGCTAGCACAGACGGGAACACTGATTTTTTGAGGAGACTCAGCCGTTCGTTGAACATTAACATTATGAATCTGAATCTGTTTCATAAAAAAAAGTGTCACAGGTTCAGGTAAACTCACCCATCCATCACGTGAATAGTCTGCCAGACGAATGAATCGCAGATGAACGTCCAGAAGCGATTCGTCATTATTCCACTGAAAGTGTCTGTGTCGATACATTGAGAGTAGCAACTCGCTTTACCTCAACTGAAAAGTGAAGACGGTGTCCAGAAGGAAGAGGGCGTCTTGAAGAACAGTTTGAATGAACAGCTTCATGTTCGACTTGACTTTTCTCCACTTTTGCTCGTCCCGACTCGTTCGCTGTTTCTGAAAAGCGTAAATTTGCAAAGTTTTCCCCTGTGAGAAAGTACCAAGTAGAACACTGTAATTCTCAGGAAAGTGGCGATGTTGGCCGCGAGAGCAACGCAAAAGATGGCAGAAACGACGATAATCATATTGCTCCCGGATAGTTCGATGGACGTCAGACTGTACGTCAAGTGCTCCGGGGAGAAGAGAATGTACGAATCGGATTCTGAAGAAGTTTCGCGAAGAAGGGAAAGTGGTATAGGATGCGGGGAACCACTCACGTATTCGCTGATAAGTCTCGAACGCAATGTTTCTGATTCGGTCGGCGACAATCAGACAATTAACGATTACGGTCACTTTGATCGAGCAGATTTTTTGATAGCGGAGTGGGAGGAAGATGGCTGTGAATCTATTCAGAGAGATGTAAATACTTTGGAATTCGTTCATCACGAAAATGTTCAGACTAATGCACAGCAGCAACGATTCCAACCAATTCGGGTAGAAGGAGGAGCCGCTGAAGAAGTGGAGCTCACAAAACGCGTATTAAGAAAAGCTCACATCACAGCAATTGGCACGTAGACAGTCAGAAACGGGACAATCAGGGCAATGCTGTTGTTGACGGATCGGAAGACGCAGATCAAGTTGAACGAGGTCCGCTGCTTCTTTTCAGACGCAAACACGTAGACTATTGCGAGATTGAATATGAGTCCGAAGATTGAGCTCTGAAAGGGCGAGAGAACAGTGCGGGACATAATAGTGAAAAACCACGGTGTTCTTTTATACTTACCAATATCATCATGAACACTGCGACCAAGTTCGTAGAGTTCTGGATGTTGTAGACTTTCGCGGAAGACTCCGTGCCGGAACTCATTTTCGAATCTCTCGACTATAGTGGGAATAAATGCGCTGAATGACTATTGTTGTTGATGACTCTCTTTGAATTCATGTGATTTCTATCCGCACGCGCTCTTCTAATTGAGCTCTCGACCGCCAGAAATAGATTAATTAGCAGGAAAAATTACAAATCTTCATTTATCATTCATTATATTCTCAATCGTAAATGAACGAGTCTGACCCGTTCAACTGATGAAATATTGTTTTTTTGGTATCAATCCGAAATGAGAGAAGGAAAGAGAGAGAGAGAGAGAGAGAGAGAGAGAGAGAGAAGAATGGACCGGTGGCAGGCTCAATCGAGATCGGAGAGGTCGGCTGAAAGCTTGATGGCTGGAAGATCATCGCGGAACCCGTGGCCGACCTCTGCACGTCTCACACGCGCTGACCTATCAGAGAAGGCTTCTGATATTCCGTGAGGGGGATGAGGTAGGCGGGAACAACAACAAAACAACAAGAAATGGATAACAGAAGTTAAAATAATCGGTAGCCGTGGAGCATCATCGGGTCGACGATCGTGGAGCCCGCTTCCGGCAGCAGAAAGTGAGCGTTGGTGCCCCAGAAGTCCGATTGTGTCAGCAGACGTTTGCACTTCTGCAAAAGTCGAAATAGTTTTCGAAACGAGTCTGATGCTCAACAAATACCTCATGCGAAGTGGTGATAAACGTTCTTTCATGCTCTTTTCTGGGTGCTGAAGGTGGTGGTGGTTGCAGAATGGGTGTCAACTGAAACAGCAACCATTGCACATGCTTCACACTTTTAGAATTACAAGGTTAGAACAGAAAAGTGGGAAGACGAAGAGGTTTTCGAAATTCCCGCACCCGCTGCATTCATCAGCATTAGCAGATATGGATGTGAGATGTCTCCAACGGTTGGATCTATGTACTGTCTGGGTCTCAGGTCAAACAAACTTCTGGGGCCAGCTTAGGGTGTTAGCACATGCAAATACGGGTTAGCGTGGCATAAGAAGCATGAGGACGTTTTGTTGAGCACTAAAAATTGCTTACCGGTAAGAGTTGGCTCTCGGCAGTGGCCACAATCCGTTCGGCCTTTTCTCTAACGTTGAGCAGATTGAAGTCAAGGAGTAGCCGGTAGGTCCATTCTACAGTGAAGAAGGTGGCGGCGTTCGAGGGGAATGCTCTGGAAAAGAAGAGTTCAATTTCTCAAAGGATCCGAATTGGACTAACCTGATGAGTGCCGAGTTCAATCCGATGAAGAAGGATCTGAGTCCCCGTTCGGAATAAGTCTGTCGGATGCAATGCAGGTAAGACTTGTACGAGTTATCCGCCTACACAACACAGAGTGTCAAAACAGATAAGCCCATTCAAGTGCTCACCTGGAATCGCGACTTTATGATATCGGTTGGGTAGTTGAAGAGCCACGAGAGCATGCCTGCTCCGCCGCCGGCCAGAAGCAGTTGCATCGTGTTGAGGGTCTCCGTTTTTCCGTTTTTGCACATGCTGCGTGCCATCCACTCGTACGAGGCGAAGTAAACGCCGAATGCGGGCGCGTCACGGGCCACCGTTGCCAGGAACCCTCTGAAATTAACTTTTTCGATCAATTGACGTCATCTGATGAACAGGAATGATCATAACAAAGATTATGAATGACGGGCCGAAGGGAGCGGCGCATGTGACACCAATTCATCAAGTGATTTGAAAATAAAACTAATACTGACATTTTTTTATGTTTTGGAACGTGTGACTGCATTGAATGCGACCGACTACGTGACTATGAAAAGGAAAACTTCTGTGCTCACCTGGTCAACGACTTCAGCCCGTGCGATCTGATCATCTGTCGCGTGGCGTCGATCGGTCCACTCATTTTGTTGTGTGCCGTGTCGTCCTGGATCTGCAGCAGAAGTTTCACGCGCTCCGTCGGCGACGCGACCACACTCTGCGCCACGCCGGCGGCCGCTCCTCCGATGAAGTGCGAGCTGATCGAGTCGGGATCTTTCAGCTGACGACACGCGGTGCCGTGCACTGCGAACACGATGGCGTTGATGGCGGACAGCGAGAGCAGCGGCGATGACATGCCTGCGAAGAAATTGTTTTTGTTGATTTAACAAGTGTCCAATTTGTCCCCTTCCATTTGGATATTCCGTGATAAGAAGGTCTTTGATGTGGTTTTCAAGTGGGCGAAAGGGGCGAAGATTTACAACGCTGATATAGGAGCGCGTTTTCGACGGATTGCGACGGTTTGTCGGCGACAGAATCAGAAAAGGCGAAGCGGTCTTTCTAGTTCACGCAAGTCGATCCGTGAATTAATTTGTGAAAAGCTCACCCTTGTAGAGGCCGTGCACTCCTTCCTTCTGCACAATCGTCCGGAAACAATGGAACGTGCCACGGTACACTGGATTCGCCGCACTCTGGGTCTGCAGGCGGACTTTGACGGTGTCCAGAGGGTGTCCGGCGAGCACTCCGGCGGCTCCTGAAACATTTCCATAAAACCTTGTGATCTCTAGACTGTATTGGTCCCTAGTCTCCAGTTCCCTTGCCCTTCTTCTCTAATTAAACTTTTTCAAACTTTTTCTCAATTTTTAGTCACGTGGTCGAAATCATTCGACACAAAACAAGGTATTCGGCATATTTATGACCACTTGTCGCTATCCTTTTACAAGATAATGATAAGATAATGAGATTCGAGAGGGAGAGGAAGGGAGAAGAAGTAAAAGAGAGAATGGAATGATTGGAGAGGGTGATTGGGATGAACTTCGACAGCTTTTTCAACGAAAACCGACAACTGACTTTTGAAATTTCATTGGCGCCGCGACAGGAAATGGTTTGATAAACTTTTTGGCAGAAATAGAAGTGAGTGAGTCAGACGACCGCTCTTTTGATTCTTCAAGAAGATTGGGATTGCGGTTTCCAGAATTATGCTGTGCTAATGAGTTTTTTCGCTAGATTCGGGTTAGCTTTTGAAAAACGAAACTTTGGGATTCGATTGATTCAGTGAAAGTCGGTTTCGACTACATTCACTCAAACTCTTTGCTCAAAAACTTCACAAAAGTGCGAGAAATAAGGAAAGGAATAGACTTTGTTGGAGACAAATTCTAGTTTAAAATACTGTACTCTCCCAACCAATTCCAACCATTTCAGAGACTTAAAAGGAGTGAACAAACCTCCAAGGGATCCGGCGAACAGGTCGATGAGCGCACTCATTCTGTCGGTACGTTCTGAACGTAAAGTTGAAGGAAGAGGAGGAGGTGGTGGACGAGAGAATCGTTGCCAGCTTGCGAATGAAACCAATCCAAAAGGAGAGAAAAGTTGGCCGAGTGGCTCTCGGTTATAAACACATGATGGTCAGGAGACGGAGGTGGGAGGGCCCGAGAGGTACTTCTCCAACTTCTCCTTCTTCTTCCTTTCTTCTTCTCGAGATGGGGTTCCGCCCGCCTTCTGATTCTTCTCTCTCTCTCTCTCTCTCTCTCCGCCCTCGCCGTCCTTTCCTTCTTCCTTGTGCTGCTGATTAGTTAGCCGAGCGGAGAGAGAGAGAGAGAGAGAGAGAGGCCCGCCTCTATTCGTCGATGATATCGAACAAGTCGATCTGACGCCAATCGTGTCGAAGACAACCAAGAAGAATATGACGACGCGGATGACGATCATAAATTTCCTTCGTGCCCTCTCGTCTCTGCGGTCTCTTATCAGAAGAGAAGTAGAGGAACGGCGGAAGAGTTGGAGGAGACAAACAATGGAAAAGGGAAAGAGAGAGAGAGAGAGAGAGAGAGAGAGAGACGTGTTCTGTTTGAAATTCACTGTTTTTCAACGAAATCGCACCTCTTTTACTTTCCTTTTCGAACGTTTCTTGACAATCGTTTACAAGTTTCTCTTAGTTGTAGTAAGCTCAATTCTTCCATCCTTTGATTGACTTCGAGTGATCTTTGTGCTTGGAACGGTCGAAAATGGTTCGACACATCCAGTCTCCAAACATCACATCAATAAAACGTCTGCAAAAGAGATGATAGGGCAGTGAGATCTGATCCTTTGCAACCAAGTATTTATATTTCAAGTAAGTGAGTGAGAGAGAGAGAGTGAGTGAGAGAGAGTGAGAGAGAGAGAGAGTGATAGAGAGAGAGGTGAAAGTGAAATTGCAGCAAAGAGAGAGACAGAGAGCAAAGAAACACACGATTCAGAAGTTATAGCACACTCGAGGAAGCTTTCGACTTTCGGCCAGTCAGTTCACAGTACGGCAGCTTGAAGTTGTAACATTTTCCGATGAGGAAATAAAGTCAACGCCCTTCTCAATGTGATCTTAAGAGCCAACGGTTTACAGATGTCACTTGAATCAAAACGTTGCATTTTGTGATAAGAGGGTGGTGTTTGAACATGTTTTCCTATCTCTTTTGAACACTTTAGCAAACGGTCCAAACAAGACATGTACAATATATACTTCCGCTAAAGGTTGGATCATCAATTATCCGATCGGACCGTAACTTTGCAAAGTGACTTTGCTGAATCGATCCGTATCGAATACCGTACCCTTAAATGCAACGGTAAACTCAAACCTGTGAAATGTTCATTTCGATAGAACCTATTTCCATGCGTCGGACCAAAAGACTGATGTGCGGCCCCGACCGTGATCTTACCTTTAATCTAGATGTACCCAAGAGTGTGTATACTTTAGTCCAAGTTCCTATCTGATTCCTGGTCGCGTTTTTAGACCAATCACTCCCAACGTCCGTCTGATCTCAGAATCGGACAGTGCACATGTTCGGTCCGATTTCAAATGGGCACTTCTATCGCTTTTTTAGACCGACCTATTCCGAAGCCTACCTGATCTGACCCAATAATGTCAAATTTACTTAGACAGCAGCTGCACTAGGGAGTTCTAGATGAATTGAGAATTGCACATCTTCCGCACGAAGTGATATCATTCCGATGTGTGGCCGATGATTCGGCGAAACTCAAAAGCTGACGACGTCATCCGATCACTCCTCGCCTTTCTCTTCTTCTGATCTTCCCACGTGGAGACACGCGCATTCGCTTCCTGTTTACCATCGGCGGCGCTGTCTCATCGAAGAGAAGAAGTCGTCGCGGCCACGCGGTGACAAGAAGAAAAAGGAGAAGTCGTAAAGAAGTTGTACTTCGCCCTGGAGTGTCTCTGCAGACCGTGTGATAATCTGCTTGTCACTCCGTGTCGGCACAATAAATCATCTAGCGACCGGGGGCGACGACGACATAAACGAGAGGCAGAGACTGATGACAACGGTGAGAAATCATGAAAAGAGTGGCGTCGGATTGCATAACTTTGAGACTTCTTCACACCCAGGGGAAAAATGTGAAAAAAGTCACGTAATCGTTACTTGGAACATCACGAACGGGTCTCGAGGCGAACTTTTGCAAATCGCATCGAGACCCGCCAGGCCGTCTCCAGCTGATGGTTCCCGTCTGACGATGACCGTCAGTTCATGGAATCAGATCCAATCCGCCACACTGAAAAGGTTAATATGAAGCGGAAAACAGAAAAGGATATTATCGATACTAAGAAAAATCATAATAATAGAAAACAATTATTGGCAATTCAAACGGTAATGAAGAGATAGGAGGAAAGGATGGGGGTGAGTACCTGTACAGAAGCCGAAAAATCGATGTAAGTATGTGGGGGAGGAAAGGCAGGGAACAACATATTCCAGTGTTGTAAAGCGGGAGAAGTATGGACCGTTTTTGGTTTAGAGGCGTTGTGCTTAAAGGTAGAAAAAACAAGTACAGCAAGCTCGATAGTAGAAAACATTGCAAATAATGATGGAACAAGAATAAAAGGGGGCGTCTTGAGAATTGAGAATCTTCAATTGGGAAAATGGGAACTTGGAAAGTTGGGGGTCAAACGCGTCAGAGAGAGCAGATCTTGATGTGGAGGAGGAAGGTGATTACATGGAAAGAACAGTGTCCGTGCCGAGGAAGCTCGCCGTCCGCGACGCTATCGAGGCGGTGTCGATGTCGTGGAGAGACCATTCGCCGCCGCGACCCTGCAGCAAAAAGTGATGTGTTTGTCAAATTATATTTTCTGCAGACAACTCACCTTTACTCTCAATTCCATATCGTGGAACTGCTTCAAAGAGTATCGATGTCCGACGGAGACGAACGTGATCTTCTCCTCTTGCAACTTGCGATAAATGGCCATTTCGAGTTCGAAGCCTATCGCCGACGTGGATTCGTCAAGGAATACGATGCGCGGCTTTGTGTAGAACACGCGGGCGAGCGACATTCTCTGCAGTTCTCCGGGCGATAGCGTCTTCATCCAGTCCCACTCGATGGGAGTGTCCAATCCTCCGCATCTATCGATAAGATGCTCCATTTTGACCCACTCCAGAATTCTTGTCAATCTCGCGACGTCCTTGTCCACCTGCAACGCCTTCACCGGGTACACAATCTGTTGGCGGAGAGTGGTGTTTCCGGATGGGAAGTATGGTTTCTGAGCGAGGAAGAAGAGGTTTTGCGTGAGACGTCGCCAGTGACAGTCCATTTTGCCGGAGGAGCAGTTCCAGAGGCCGGCGAACATGCGGAGCAGCGAAGACTTTCCGGCGCCACTGTCTCCCGTGATCAGCAGAGTTTGACCTTGAATTATTTGCAGAGAAAGCACTGAAATATGTCAGATTTTTGCAAGAAATGAGCTGTGAAAAACCGACACTGCACGATCAAGTGTCCGTGGTCGGAGGGCGGCGAAAGGGTGGCCGAGTCGATCGTAATCGCGACTCCATCGTCCGGCCACTCCTCGTCGTCCTTTGTTTTTCCGCCGAGTAAGTACTGCGCCTCCTCCTCTTCCTGCTCGTCTCGCTCCAACGATAACTGCTTTCCGTGGATCTCCTGCATGTGACGTGTCGCCGATTTGTCGTCGTCGTCCGAGGCGATCACGACGACAGACGAGGGGACTGTGGAGGGCGGACGATCAGTTTCCAGGCAGTCTGAGTGGAGCCGGTTTAGCTCTTCGTGAAGTTCCATCACACTGAAACCAGAAACCATAAGATCTTTGAGGGCAGTGAGAAACCTACCGATGAGTGACTCCGGCGAGCTCTCCAATGTCCCCGGCAAGCTTGAGAACTGTCGAGAAACTGGAGATGAGGTAGAGGTAGATGAACGCATTCTGAAAATGAGAACTGCTTAATGTTTTTCAGTTCCTTCTTCATCCCCCAATGACGCTGCTGTGTTCGGATTCGAAATGGGGACAGAGTGCGCGACAGATGTGCCTAGATACTAGAATATAACGGACGACTCTTTCGGCGGGAGAGAGAGATTAATTGGTTTCGACTTTTCGAGAGCCCCATTGTGCATTTTAATTGATAGAGTGCCATTTATTCGGCCCGTCTCTGTGTTCTCTATGCTTTTTTATCCGAGTAGAAGCTCTAGGGAATTCAAATTCGTTGATTAAACCGAGTTGCATTCCGAATTTCCGATTAATCATCATCATCGTCAGCCCACAAAAAAGAGCGGCTCGCTTTTCTCGATTGTTGAGGAGAAGAGAAAGCGTCAGCTGACATCTCGTTTGTCTTTTTCTGGACACAAAGAGACGGAAAAGGAGGAGCACCATCTGTTCTCTGTGAATAATCGATCGGTCCCCTCTGAATGCTCTGTGGTACGGAGAGTTCAGTTTATAAACTGAGTATCTGGTTACAAATTGTCTAAACTTTTTGGCTTGTAAACTGATACGAATACTCTTTTGATTCTATTCCGAAAAGTGCAATGACTTTTGATCTATTCAAGTACTTTCAGTTGCTTTTTTCGAAGATCGCTAAAAAGTCCCCCCACAGAAAGCTTGCTTTTTTCGTGTCGCAGGCCAATCCTCAAGACTCTTGAGCGCATGACGACGGGGCCAGAAAACCAAAAAACAAGCGTTTGAAACTGACGCGAACATGAAACTTGAGAACTCGTGGGCTAGAGTCGAAACTTCTCCAAATCACTGGGGTGGTTTCGCGGTTTCAAAGAGCATATTTCATAGTCTCAAGAACGTTTCTAGTTGTCTGAAAGTGCGGATTTTTTGACGTCGTTTCCATGGATGTTTGCTCCCCGCGCTCAACAAAAGGAACAAATTGCTGTCGGCCTCGCAATCTGGCTCCGAGTCTTTCTCGCTTATAAATCGTGACGAAATGTCGTGTGTTTCGTTCGTTTTCATGAGGATAATTACGACGCTGTTGGGTCGTGTCCGTGGAATGGAACGGAGAGAAACGCTTGCTACTATTATTATTATGACTACAACGACGGCCGGCAGGTGCTGGCGCCACTTTCCGCGCGGAACCGAACGGAAAACAAATCTATGCAGTGGGAGATGGGCGCCGAGTGGATAAATAACATCCATTATTGATGGGTTTCGGAGGCTCGCAGCCCAAAAATTGAATAGTGCACGCGAGCCGAAAAGTTGGACTTGTTTTGAGAGAAGATACCCCAAAACCCATTTAAATCGAACACGGGATGACAATCGTATTTCCCAAAAAAGAAAAGCGCAAATCCAATTTCCCAGAAAATCCTTTTGTATTGTTCGCAAGCTAATCCCTTTTCACCATGACAACAATAGTGTTATCATTAATCAAAAGCCGCCTTCTTATCACTAGTATATGACTCAAACATCGAAGATCATTTTTTGCACTTCACAAACTGTTTGCAACTCACTTTCGAAACGATGCCGGTCAATTTGGCCGGCGGGACGTCGTCATGGATATGAGTGATGAAGACTGGCACTCCAATGATCAGATACGAGAGAATGCCGCCGAAGTAGTCGAAGACGTTCGTGATGCTGTTCAGCACCATTCGCCATTCCGTCAACGACTTCTGCACATTGATCAACGCCTTCAGCTTCTGGTTCGTCATGATATTCTCCAGAACTCCGGCGCGATAGAAAGCGATCGCTTCGACGTTGGAGCGGACTTCCATGTGTCGCTGCCGGAAGTCTCCCTCCATCCGCTCTTGCTCCGACACTTTCTGCACGATGGGCGACAAAACGATTTTGTTGACGGCGGTTTGGATCATGAAGTAGGTGTAGATCGCTGCGGGACCCACCCATCCGGAGAATTCGTACGTCAGATACGTGTAATATCCGATGATAAACGGAGCCATCACTACCGGGGCGAACAGATCGTTCGACAGAATTCGAGTCGCCTTTTCGATGTCTTGCGTTAGACGTTGATCTCTGAAAAAGAAACCGAATTCGAATGGAAAAATAGGAAAATAGAAAACGAACGGATTATCGAGAACGTCGCCGGAAGAGGAAAGTTTGAAGAATGCCTGTCGCTTGAAATACAAGCGGTGCATTGTCAGATTGCACATTTGTCGACTTTTGATCGCCAGCATGTTCGCCAGATATTTCACGAGCGAGAGTGTCTGCAAATTCGAAAACGTTTTGTTCAATTCTTCAGTTTAACTCGAGTTTGAACACAAAACTCACAAACGCTTTGCCAACAATGATAGCTGCTCCACGAGCACACAACAGTTTGAACAAGTCGAGATCTCGGTTGCCGAGTGCCTCGTAGAATAGACTTGGCTGAATGCCAACCAAGAACGTCATCACTTGATCGACGAACGAGGAGACGAGCACGGCGACGGCGGTCCACACGGTTATCGAACGGCGGTGGATCGGAAAGAGGATCTTGAGAAGACGCCAAAACCTCCGGAGGAAGAGAAAGTCGAGCGCCAGACGCGCCATTCTGACAGGCGCGACGACTACACGATCTGCAAATTTTGTTGCAAAGTTTGGATGGGCGGGGGAGAAGGATAAGTTTATGAAGCGCGACTTTATTTTTAGGAAAACGGGAATAAATGAAAGGAAAGGGGGATAGACGGGATGAACACGTGATTTATTGATAGATAAAGCTCACTAAGGGATGCTACGAATCCCGGAAAAGTTAAATTCTGAAAACTAGCTTCTCCATGGTTTAACTGTTTCAAATACAAATGGTATTATACAATACAACAACAACGCATATTTTCACCAATGAAACCAAGAGACAAGAACAAGAATGCAAACCTTTTTTCTCGGTTCGTATCTCTTCGAGTGCGATTTCAGATTCAGATTCCATGAGATGAGTTCCAGTGGATGCTCCTGGAAAGGAGCAGTGTTCGGATGCATGCAGTGCGACAAAAAAGAACCGAAAAATGACGAGACTAGACACGTTCTATTGGCTTCGAAACTAAAAGCAACCGAACAACGTAAGAGTGCAGTTATAGCTATAGGTTATGAAAAGCGGAGAAACGTAAATCCGTGATGGAAAATGAGCATTCTCAAGTGATTTTGATCAGCTGTACACGTACGTACACAGTGTAAGAGGAGGCAGAGAGTGAAGGAGAAAAGAGAAAGTGAGGGGGAGGCGAGAGAGCGGCAGACGCAGACGACAGAATGGATGGGCGGGGGCAATTGAGGAGAAGGAGACGGACCTCGTGCTTCGGGCGGCCAAGAGCCCAGGGACTGTTTGGATAGAGAATCAGAAAGAGGTCTAGAACAAGAGACGTTTATCTAGGAAAAGAAACTGAAGAACCTTGGAGCCTATATTTTTTAAGTCTGGCTTAGAGTTTTGTGCATTACTAGAATTTTTTATAGCTTTAATGATGAATCCAACCTTAAAAAAAAGAAGAACAACTGAAAATAATGTACTGTAGAAATTCAGAAACGTTTCCATCTTCGCGATGCAAACGCGCTCTATCGCTCTGTAGAACCGCCAATTTTTTTCCCGTTTAAAAAATGTTCAGTTTCAAGACTGAAATTTTCCATTAAACTCTGAGAAACTCTGAGAAAGTTTTCAAAATTTCCCTCTCAAATCGCTCAAATTGCGATCCAGATTTTGGAGACTATTGTGAGTTCTCCTCTGCATTTATAGCTCAATTTCGCTCAAATTTGTGTAATTTCAGCTGACGGCGAAAATCCGATTCCTCGACACTTGCGGGACACTAAAAAGAGCAAGAAAATAGACGAGAATATGAGTACGAAGCGAAAAATTGCGATTTCTTCGGGTGAGCACGGCTAAAATTGCATTTCCGATTGCGAAACGCGGACTTGCAGATTCCGAAGATGATATGCCGGTGAGGAGGACGAAGAAAGAGGAGCAGAAAAAGGAGAAGACGGCGAGTCCGGCGAAAAAAAGAGTACGTTTGGATGTGCCTCATTCCTCAGAAATTCACCGTTTTCCAGACGAAACCAGTGGTCGTCAGTGACGAATCAGACGGAGAAAAGGCTCCTAAGCAGAAGAAACTTGTGAAGAAACCAAAAAGAGCAGAAGAGAGCGAGGTAATCGTTTAAATTAGCGAATGCCAATTATATTTCACATTGGCAGGCATCCTCCACCGAAGACGAGCTGGTACGTGGCAATACGGAGAAAAAGAAGAAGAAATCGGGAAAGAAAGAACTTCCGACCGGTCAGAAAACGTTGAATTTCATGAAGAAAGCCGCTACCGTGAAAGCTGACGAGCCTAAGAAAAGGACCGAAGAGAAACATCGCACTCCAGTCAATCCTGCTGATTTCTTCAAAACCACACCGGGTCCCGCCGCGAAAATCGCTCCGAAACCTGCGTCGCCAAAGAAGAAGAGCCATCGGCAAAGGAGAACACTAAAAAAGTTACCGAGACTAAAAAGAAAGTGTCGGACGACGAATTTGTGGATTCTGATGACAGTTTCGACGCCTTTACTCCAATTACGGTTAAAAAATCACCGAAAAAAGCGGAAAATGTTGTGGAGCCGGTAAAACACGTATCGAAAAGGGCAGAAAAGTCTCCAAGAAAAGAGGAGAAGCTCGACACTGTGAACAAAAAGTCGGTTCCGAAAGTGAGCAGTCAAGTATCCACGTCATCTGTAGATTTGCAAGAGAAGAAGCCCGAGCCGACGCTCTCCTGGGTCGACAAGTACAAGCCGAAGCGGCTTGTCGAGCTCGTCGGCCAGGTTTCCAATGACAGTCCGATGAACAAGCTGATGGGATGGCTCAAGGATTGGGCCAGACACAATTTGGGCGAGGGCGCCAAGATCAAGAAGCGTGAGTGCTGCTTTCATGTTGTTGTCCTCTCAAATTGCTGAAATTTCCAGCGAAGCCGGCGCATTTCATTGTGTCGTCAGACGGAACTCCATTCAAAGCGGCTCTTCTGTCCGGATCTCCCGGCGTTGGAAAGACAACGTGCGCCTACATGGCCTGCCAACAACTGGGACTCGAACTGGTCGAAATGAACGCGTCGGACGTGCGAAACAAGAAATGTTTGGAAGCGAAGGTGGGACAATTGTCCGGCTCCCACCAGATTGAGCAGTTTTTTGGAGCCAAGCAGCACTGCACTCCACAGGATAATCAGAAAGTCCATCACGTTCTCATTATGGACGAAGTGGACGGAATGTCCGGAAATGAGGACAGAGCCGGAGTGAGTGAAGAGATTTGAAACACCTTCTTGAGAATCCGTTTTCGCAGATCTCGGAACTGATCCAGATCATCAAGGACTCGAAGATTCCTATCATTTGTATCTGCAACGATCGGCAACATCCGAAGATCCGTTCGCTCGCCAATCACTGTTTCGATTTGCGGTTCCAGAAGCCACGCGTCGAGTCGATTCGATCGCGAATGATGACTATTTGTTCGCAAGAACGGCTGAAGATCACGAAGGAGGAGCTGGACGAGCTCATCGAGCTGTCGGGGCACGATGTCCGACAAACCATATACAATCTGCAGATGAGATCCAAAAATTCGAACTCGAAAGTGAACAAAAAAAATGAGGCAATGGTAAGGATCATTTGGAGTGGGGCGCTGGCGCAGATGTTCTCTGGCACTGGCCAAGTGTCCGCCGCGTCATCACTTTACACCTGTCATCAGTCAGAGCCCTCCGGCACCAAAAACATGTGGTCCGTTTAGTGCTCGAATCGAAAGTCTTGAAGTCAGAAAGGGAATGGGCCTTCTAGAATCTGTTGATCTATAAAACCTCTTTGCAGGATCCATTCCAAGCCGCCCGACATCTTCTGGACCCGACGACTTCTCTGATGCAGAAACAGGAAATGTTCTTCGTCGACTACGGAATCATGCCGCTTTTCGTGCAGGAAAACTACATCAACATGCGAAACGACCGCGAATCTCCTCGCCAAACGCTTCATAATCTGCGGAAGGCGTCCGATTTCATCTCCCTCGGCGACCTGGTCGACAAGCAGATTCGTGCCGGCGGATCTTGGAAACTGCTCAACGAGCAGAGCATGCTCTCGGCCGCCCTACCCGCGAAAACTATGAACGGACCACTGCACGGGCGCCTCGGATTCCCCTCGTGGCTGGGCAAGAACTCGACGGCCGGCAAGAGGAAGAGACTGCTGCAACAGCTCGTACAGCACACTCATCTCAGGCGAGCACTTCCGGATATTATAAGTTTTTCTATAGTGATTTTGCAGAGTGTCAGCCAGTGGCCATTCGTTCGCGACCGACTACGCTCCGATGATCCGTCGCAAACTCACGAAACCGCTGCTGGAACTGGAATCGGAAGGAATTCCGGCTGTGATCGAGACGATGACCAGTTACGATCTGATCAAGGACGACGGGGACGCGCTGTCCGAACTGGTCACGTGGCCCGGAGGCATCGATCCGGCGAGCAAGATTCTCGGAAAAGTGAAAGGCGCGCTGACTCGAAACCTGAACAAAATGGACAGAATGCTACCGTACTCGATGGATGAGGTGGCGAAAGGGAAGCGGAAGGGCGTGAATGCGATCGGAGTCGAGATGGACGCCGACGGAAATCTCGTGGAGAAGTTCGAGGACGAAGACGGCGAATCGGACGAGGACGACGGAGCGACGTCTTCTGAAGTGGTCGTCAAAACGAAGACGTCTTCTGATTTTGTACTAAAAACGTCTTCTGGTGCAAAAGGACGTGGCGGAAAAACTGGAAGAGGAGGAGGTCGTGGAGGAAGAGGCGCCAAGAAATAATTCCGTTTTTCCACATTTCTAAGTACCTGTCAAATGTCATGCTAAACTTTTGATGATCTGGTTTGTAAAATGAAACTATTGTGCGGTTTTATTAATCTTGTTTATTATATTTGAAGAAAAAAGGTATCTGTATCACAATCTAGTTGGCATGGGACGAATGGGAAATTGTACAAGATTCAAAAACATTATGCAGGGGATAGAAACAGGAAGGGGGATCATGGTGCAAGAATAAAACAACGAAATATTCACATTTTGTGCGAAAAAAAGCTTGGGACAGAGATTCTTCTGAGAAATGCAAACTCGTAACAAATCGGGACGGAAACCTAGAGAATTGCGGAAAGGGGCCCGTCTTCCGGCTTTTCAGGCCGTCGACGGGCCCCGCGGCCTAATGAGCAGCAAAAAGAAAAGGGAGCAATAGGGTGAAAAAGGGGCGGCGAAAAGATAAAACAAATCAATAGAAAATGAAAAGAACCGGGATTCGGAGATGGAGATTCGGGCACTATTAACTAACATTTGAGGGGAGGATAATTCTGATGATAATGGCTCAGAAGCCTGGCCTTTTTTGTGTTCAGACGTCCCGAAATGGCGGTTCGTCGTCCGTCGGAATGCTTTTGTAGAGGCGCTGCGGAAGGACCGGCGATGAATAGGCGGGCGGCGGCGAGTGGAAATGGGGTTCACATTCGGAAGAAGAAGAAGAGGAACAGCCGGACGAAGAAGCACCCATTTCGGCGTCGATTATGCACACCTGCAATAATTAGAGTATTTTCTAGATTTTTGCCAGGAAAAACAGTAGTCAGTTTGCGTGGTATCACCGGACCCCTTCAATTACATCCTTATGTCAAACCATTCTAATTTTCCACACAAAAGTCTATTCATCTTGATTACCCTCTTTTCTCTTCCTCTCTCTCTCTCTTTCTTTCCCGCGCCTTCTAATTTTCATTTCCGCCCGACGCGCGAAATGTGGCGCCACTCAATTCCATCAAGAACAATAGGATAAGGTGTTACCTTGTAGGTGGGCGGCGCCTTCACCGGCGTCGACGGCATCGTCGTCATCGGAAGCGGAGACGCTCGTCGTTTGGCGATGAACTGAACGTAGCCCACGCGGATTGCCACGAAAAGGCCCACGATGCAGACTGGAAACGAATATTTCAAGTGGAACTGGAGACTGATTGAACGTACACAAAATGCAAACGAGAAAGAGCGCATTGCTGGTCAGTTCCTCCACTTCCGCCGCCTTCTTCTCCTGGTCCTTTCCGCTCGAATGATGCAGATGATAGTTGTTGATGACGATGAATTTCGGCGATTCGGTGGTCGTCGATTTTGCCACACAAATGGGTCTAGAGGCAATCATTTGGCACGTGGCTCCGGCCGAACACTTCTTCGTCGAACAATCGCGATGCTCTCCGATTTCGCAGAATTTTCCGGAAAAACCGAAAGGACACTGACATTGGAAGCTGCGGCGGTCCAACGAGAAGCATGTTCCTCCTGAAATTAACAAGTAAATGAATTCCAGAACCTTTCCCACTTGCTTCCCCTTTTCTGCAAAAGATTTCTTCAAATGGTCGTGGTTGCTCCTTTTGTTTTATGCGTTACTACCATGTTTATGATCAGATAACCCCCTCTTTTATTACTCCTCGCCATCCCGAATTTCCATATCAAAGGGGGGACACTTACCATTCTGACAAACGTGGTCTTCTTCGGCGGAGCATCGGACACTGCTCAACGGCGTTTCGCAGCGAGCTCCGATGAATCCGAACGGGCAAGAACAGCGGAAGCCGGACGTAGAGGAAGGATCCGTGGAGCACTGTCCTCCGTTGCGGCACGGTTTTGTCAGCGAGCACGTGTTGAGGTCTGGAATCGGGTGAAAATGGGATCAGAAAGCATCATTGCTCACTTACCGATATCACAATTAGCACCCATGAATCCGGGTTTGCAGTGGCACGTCATCGGAGTGTCGTTGCGGCAAGTTCCGTGGACGCATCCGGGACGCGGAAAACACTGCTCGCATCGAGTTCCGTTGAAGCCGGCGGTGCACTGACACTGCTCCGGAGCCACGCATCTTCCACGTCCGCTGCAGCCAGAGGAGCACATTGCTGCAAGAAATGAAGTTTCGAAAGGGCACATGTGTGTGTGTTTGGTAGCACCAACTAACAGGTGTTTGAACGAGAAGATTGCATCGCGCAAGAATAGTTGGAAGGAGCTAATTGCGTCGCTTGTTAATGTAACTAATTGGATTAGCACTAGATCTTCGAGATATAAAGTATGTTTTGACAGGTTACGCAATCCACCAGGTGTGAGCATATTCGAAACACGGTTCACAGTTTTGGGCGGGCTTTTTGGAGTACCACTAGGATTGATATTGAAGCCATCTATTTGTATAGTGCAAAATGTATGAGAAGTGCACAAAACAGTAATATTCCTCCAATCCGATATCCCCCAGAATCGGCCTACCGGCGCACTTTTCTCTGCCCGAATGCATTGTATACATATCTCGGTGGATCGAGGTTAATGGGCGAGTCTCTGCTAATTGGAAAACTAACTCCGTTTCTCCTGCGTTCAATTTCAATTCTTTCTCCCTTCGCACCAACCCCCACCACCACATTAACCTTGTCCATCAAAATCTGCCTCTCTAAAGTGGTGCTCGAGTGAATTTCGGATGGGTTTCCAAATTTCACAGAAATATTCACATCGATCATTCGCCAATCAATGTGTGAAATGAAGAAATGCGCGAAAATGTGTGTTGTGCCGCCCGCGCGAAAGGCGCGCCACCCTTTGATCTCTTGGCGCCCCCATCAACTTGTCACCAGATGTTCCAGTTAGGAAAGCGGAGGGTAATGGATCGGAACGAAGGCACTCACGAATTGAGCAGTCGGCTCCCGTCCATCCGGCCGAGCAACGTCGTTCGCCGTCCGTCGAGCACTCCCAGTGACGGTCTCTGTCGTGCGGGGCCACGCAGTATCGGCCGCACCGTTTTCCGTGGTAGTCCCTGGAAAAAGGAAGTGATTGGCTGGACAACTTGATTCGCTTACGTGGCACAGAGGTTTCTGAGCTCGACCGTTACATTGAATCCTTGGTCGGTGAGAATCACTATCGGTTCGGTTTGCCAATCGGTGTCGGCGAGTGGTTTGTGGTGTTCGAGGGCAATTGTTTCTGGAAATTCATATTACATCTAGTAACCCCCTACTAAAACGTATTTTCACACATGCCCACACGCGTGCCACCCACACTCATATCAGCTCTGTGAGCAAACAGAAAACCCTTCCATTCGGGCCTTATCGCTCTTCTTACCCTGTGTCTGCGGATCGATCAATTTGAGGTGAATATCGAATCGTTCGCGGGCCTCTCCTTGATAACCGCCCGTTTTGAAGCGGAGCGGAGTGCCAGCAGTGACTTTCCGAGCGGGAGTCAGGTCATCGGGCGCCGGGCACTCGAAGTTGGCGCAGACGGTCGGCTCAATGATGATGGTGCGAGCGGAGCGGACGATGAGTTCGACGGCACCGGAAGCGTGGACGGTGGAGGCGATGAGAAGCAGGGAGAGAAGGAGCACTTGTGGAAGGTTAGTCATTGTACAGAGTGGGTGTGAACGGGTGAAAAATACCCTGAAAAAGGAGAGATGATGAAGAAGAAGAAGGAAAGAAGAAGGAGGAGCCGAAAACGAAAACTTTACGAAAAGTGATATGGCGAGCGGGAACGGGAGATTGGCTTCGCAATCGAAATCATATCATATTCAACACAAAACAATACAAGATCCTATATCGAATAAAAAAACAAACGACGAGGACATTCAATTAGAAAAGAGAATGTGTTCCGTTTCTAATCAAAACGACACTCTCTACGAAATTGAGTGCTGCAGACAGCGAACAAGAAGACACTGCTGCTGCATCCTTCGGCCACGCCCACAATTGGAACCAAAGAACCATCCGGCTGTGATGATGCGAGTGAGGGAGAGAGAGAGAGAGACAAAGAGAGCGGGAGAGTGCGCAACAACTAGTTGGAAGGACTGAATGCCAGCTGCATCGGAGACAGTGTGTCACGGCTTTTTTCGCCTTCTGGAGCAGTGAAGCACAAGACAAACGGGACTGTTTGTACTTTTGAAACATCATTGCAGCCTTTGCAATGTCTAGACGGGACCGAAGAGGCGCAAACACTGAAGCAAAATATACAAGTTGACAGGCTACAAGGACGGAATGGAATTAAAAAAGGGACGGGACTTTGATAACCTTCGAATTCGATTTTGCCGCCATTTTCTCTGTGCCCAACCGGAAGAGAGGCCGAGACCACGTAAGAGCCATAACCTGGCGTGTCATGTTGTCATGTTTACTAGCGGCCGTTGCACGTTCGTCTAGAAAGTGCGCCATAAAACATGATGGACACGAGAGATTGGACAGGACCATGTCGGAAGTGGCCCACGAGACGGTGTGCGTTGACTACATTGAAAGCGTTCTCGCCTTAAAGTCATCGTGAGCATTACATAGAAGGTGAAAGTGATGATAAACAAAACTTTGTGCACACCTTTTCGTTCCCGACGATCATTAAGTGTGACGGACCCTCAAAGAGGACTGACTAACAGAGGCAAAGCCGCCGCCACAGTCAATTCGCGTTGTAACCGCGAACGGTGTGCTCCGTTTAGTCACTGAGGCAAACACGCTCTCTTTATAGTGTCAGAATTAAACGCTTGGGCTGTAGACTTTAAAATGCTCAAATAGCTCAAAGATCTCTGCGTGGGAATTGCCAAACAAAGCGGAATTTTCAGATCAACAGATACTTCTCCTTTACTTGATCCCAAATCGAAAACGAGCAAGTTTACAGCCAGAAGCACCTGCAGTACAGTATAATGAGGTGGGGCACTCCTGTTGACTGTCGTCATCTTTCAGAAAGGTACCGCCCGGAGACAACGGCAGCTCTTACGCAACCTCATTATGCCATGACACCGGTTGTCATTGAGAAGAAAGAGGGAGAGAGAGGCGGATCAGAAATCTGATGAGGTGAATCGGAAATTAGGAAAAGAATCTATTTATCCGGGCGAGACGGAAGGAGATGGAGAATGACCGAACACTCTTCAACATGGGGGATTAGGAAGAGGAAGTGATTTACAGCTACTGTCTGTCTGCTCGTTTTGATAATTTGTTGTGCAACCTGTTTCGTCCTCTTCGAGAAGAAATAAAGACGTTTTTTTGAGAACTTTGAAAGAGAACGTCTCAGAAAACACCTGGCGGTTAAAGTACCTCTATTAAATATTCAAATTTTGTCTCCCCCTTACTCAATCCGCCACCTTATTTGTCAGGGACGGACGGACGGGGGCGGCACAGTTCAAAGTGGCATTCATTGTGTTTGGAAGCGTCGGAAGTATTTAGGTGATCGTGACAAATTGGACGGCGCCGCCCAGCGAGTTTTCGCTCCTCTTTTCCGGCTAAAAAATTCCAATCTTCTTGAAAATCCGGATGAATTCGTAATAAATTCGGAATCGTAATTGGAAGGAGAGAGGCTTTGGAAAGAACCGAAAGTGAGAGTACTTGGGTTGAACTTTTTCCGTTGCGAGGCCCAACCAGGTGTTCCGCAGCTAGTTTCACCCAACTTTTTGCAGTTTGCTCGCGCCCCACAAAAAGGCAGCTGTTTAGAAATTCAAAAAGCCTCCTCCCCGTCCTTCCGCTCCGGGTGTGTTGTTCTTTTGGCATCACAATAATTGACAATTATAAATGACACGTGTCAGTGTGCGCGGCGCGGACATCTGCGCCACAACCACCTGCACAACTTGAATTCTCAATGATGGCGACGAGATGAAGAACGGAGAAGGATGCGCTTGTTATCAAATGATGGGCAAGCAGGTGGAGGAGAACTGGAATCAAGCGCGGACGACGAATGGAAGGATTTGAGTGGGGAATGCGTACTGGGGAAGAGCTATCCTTATAAAACTGACTATCGCTTACCGAAGATAACTCAACCCTCAAAAAACAAAAAAGTCAAACTGCAAAAATTTGCAAAAAAAGGCGGCGCTTCGCTTGTTATCGTTATTTGTACGCAAACACATGCTTACAGTACTCCTGCCAAGATTGCGTTTTCGTGCCAAGACCTAAACACGCATAGACTCGGCGCATGAACGACAGAAAGGGCCCTGCGACAACGGAAAGGAACTCTGACGACAAAAACGATTCGTAAAACTGAAAACTAATGTTCTAATTAGTGCAAAAGAGTGAGAAACACTGATTTTTCAGTAGGAAAGGCACGGGGAAAATGTATAAAACTAAACAGAAAGAGAAAGGACAGTGAGTCAGACTGGAAAAGAAGTGGAAAGTGGCGGACATCTGGCGCGCATGTTTTCGGTCACAACACTCCGTCGAGCAACGTGTCCGCCATGTTTTACCACTCGACACGAGGTGAGATCGAGGTGAGAAAAGCGTCGATTCGGATCTTGAAAGGGAGAGCATCGCGCTGGAATATGGCGACAGATGGACGGGCACTAATTGGACTTTAAAACTATAGGAGAAATCGGAAAAAACGAGTTTTAGACGGTTTTTGTTAATAAAAGTGAAGAAGCGGTAGAAATGAAGCGAGAAGTCACAACAAAAGCAGTGAAAATTGAAAATCCGCGAAGCAGGTACGGTAGAAGTTTAAAGGCGCAGTACAGAATTTGCGAAAATTGAGAGTCTGAAAATCGCTAGAAATAGGTTCTACTCGGCTGAAATCAACCAATTAATCACAGAATTTGTTCGATGTCAACAGTAAGACTGGAATTTGTCTACAACATCACGTCTACACAGCTCGACAAACTTTCAAGAGAAACCAATGAAAAAGTTAAAAGTTTTCGCAAGAGAGGTCCATAAAACAGAAAAAAAGTCCAATAAGCTTCCGATTTTCGGAACATAAATCGGAATGGACAACGATAAAACGGACCGGAGCCGCTGCTCATCATCAAATCATCATCGTGCCGGCTGAGACAGATGCTCTCCGATTGAAACATGTGCTCTTTTCGAGGCGCCACGTTGTCAACGCATCGCATCGTTTTTTGCTGCGATTCACTCCGCTTCGACTCGAAACGCTTTCTTATTTCACAGCAACAGATGTGGCAATATTGGAAGTTATATTGAAAGCGGAGGAAGAGAAAAAGGAGGAGAAGGCCGGACGGAAGAGTAGAAAAGCAGCATCGCGAACATTCTTTTCATATCTTTATTGTCCCGTGCCCACGAAATCATGAACACCTCTGTTTGTTGTCGGTGCATTTGCATGAGAATGCGGAGACGAGCGCCGGTGGTTCCGATTCCCAAAATATTTCTGCTCGGTCGTTTTGTATGCAGTCGTTTGACGGTACGTGGTTGGTTCAAGCAAACTCGAAAATCTGGACTTCGGCATAAGGGCGAAACAAAAATACCAAAGTTGCAAACAAAAACGGGCAGAAAATACTATTCCAGAAGTAGAAACGTTAAAATTGGAGTAATTATCGCCAAACTCATCTGTTATGTGACGTGGCAGTTTTTCAAGGTGACACCTCCTCACCTGTCTCTTGCAGCCCACAGGCCTAATTACTGGTGTTCTCACTTGCACAACCGGAAGGACGGTGCACATATATTGACAGAAGTGGGTCTCACCACGAAATCGATTAGTACTGGTAATGTGTCTGAGTTGGGACAAGTTCTGATTCGAAAGTGTTGTGCCTTGGAAGCTGTTACAGTAGCACTGCTTAATGAATATTTTGTGGTGAGACCTGTCGACATCGAAAAAGTAATAAGAATTTATAGAAGAAAAATTCGAAAGAAGAAAGTATAAAAAAGCATCATAAAAACTGAGCGGTCGGTCTCGGCGCAAGTCACTTTTCGTGGGATTATTGTCCAAGAAGAGGCGTTTTTGCAATGAGTGTTTGTCCTGAAAAAAATGAAATTTCAAGCCAATCTTTTTAGAGCTTTAACTGATAAGTGTTTACCTTTTCAGGCCAGATCCTTCTCATTTCACAATATGGACACCTGCATCCAATGAAATGAGAATGACACCTCGTTGCGCCCCGTTCAATGGCCCAGAAGAGAACACAAACAGCGCATCCTGCAGGTGTTCTTTCCAAGTTCGTCCACAAAGATGTGCCGCCCGTCTGCTGCTTTCCGCATGCTAATTTTATGCGGCTTTGTCATTACGCAAGCCTCATCTGATCCGGATTATTTACATTTGGAGCATTGGATGCGTCTCGCCAAGAAAGTTGAATCGTAGAGGGATCTAGGAAGGGTGATTCTTGAACTTCCAGAGGAAAACTAGGAAAGTTCGCTCTGAAAATAACATTGCAGCAAGAGAGAACGCCCTCTCCTGTTTATTTTTCTCGGGAGTCTCTTATTTGTTGACGTGATGACACGAGCGCCTCCAGGATCATCATTCGGCTACACTCTCGACTACCAGTCTTGCTCTGTCATCATTTCTCTCCTTCAGGGCATGGTATCCTCCGGAAAATTGCTGACTAGTACTAGCAAAAAACTGCTAGACATTTCGCATGACACACGCGCTGCTCCAGGAGCTGCAAGTTCGAGAACGCGCTCATACGAGAACGCACTCATGACGGCCAGTGGCCTTCAATGTCGTCTTCAATGTAAGTATCAAAGTCTACGGAAATGGGAAAACACATTTTCAGGCAGACGGTCTGATAATGATGAATCCGATGGGACTCCGTCAGCACAAGTACATCCGTCCGATGTCAAGACTTCAGCGCAACGAAACGACTTACAACTGCCTGCCGAAGTTTATTGGCGATGCGAAGCTCTACAAAAGTAAGTTCAACGGTCTGAATCCCTCTGTAAACTTGAAAGTGTTGCAGTGTACCACTCATTCGGCCTTAAAGTTCAAGACGGCGAGGAGGCGATCAACTCGCTGAAATCGGTGATTCGATGCGGACTCGAGACGACTCTTCCGTTCATTCACAAGCTGAACGAGCACAAAATCCTCAAGAATTTTATGATATTCGCCGGACGGGACATCATTGTCGGGCAGGAGATCATTTTCGAGGCGGTGGAAGAGTACAAAGGACTCGATCGATTCCATCGGAATTTGTCGATAAGATTCTGAAGACGTTCGTCGAGAAGAAGGGAACTTCTGTGTTTGTGGCCAAAGACACACAAGATATCTCAACAAACTCGAAGAGTTGCGGCGGAAAATTAATTCTGATCAAAAACCCCTACTACACTCAAAACTACACTCATCACCACAAACACACGGCTGTCTGACCACACACACTCCACGTGACCGAGAACGTCCCGGAGATCTTTTCTTTTCTCTTCCCAACTTGTTTTTTTCTCACGTGTCAATGCGCCGCTTTCTCTCCAGTGTTCACTCGAGCCAGCCGAAATTGTACGAGAAGTTGGTGAAATTCGAGACGGAAAAGGGCAAAATTGTGGATTTGGCGGCCGTTTATGAGGTAATTTTCTTAAAGATCACGTCGAAAGTGGGCTGTTTGTGCGCTCGCTTTTTCATTTTTACGAATTTCTAGGCTAGCGGCCGGAGAATTTTCTTGCCCACAATCTGCAATATCATTTCAGGATTCGCTCTCTGCTGGTTCTGCTCTGGGCACTGTCGTTGGATTCCATGGCTCTCCGGGCTCGCACAAAGATTTCAAGTACATCAGACATCGTCTGGACGACATGGGAATCAGGTTCATTGGAGTCAACTACCCGGGATTCAAGCATACTACCAGTTAGATGCGAATATCTACACATTTTTGCTAATACATAATATTTCCAGCGTATCCGGGTCAATGTCACGGGAATGTGGAACGACAGAGATACTCGGAGGCTCTGCTCAACGAGCTCGATGTTCAAGGAAAAGTGATAATAATGGGACACAGCAGAGGCTGCGAAAACGCTCTGATCACCACGACTTCCCGCGATCCGCACGGCCTGATTATGATAAATCCGACAGGACTGAGAATCCATAAAGGATCGAGGCCGGAGGGAAACTGGAGTCGTTGAGCTACGTGCACAAGAAACTGCCGAAAAGGGTTGGCGACGGAGTGATGTATCATTGTGAGTTGTTTTATTTTGAACCTCCCCCCAATGGGCTCCGCTGCAGTGCTCAAAACAGTCGGGTTAAAGTGAAGGACGGCGAAGAGGCGATCGCGGTGATCCGAACGGTCCAGAAGTGCGATTTGGAGAAACAGTTGGAGCACATTCTCAAGTTGAACGACATGAAAACGAAGACGATGATAACTTTTGGAGGAAGGGATCATGTGGTCGAGAAGGAAATCATTTTTGAAGCACTTCAGAAGTACAAGGGATTAAAACACTTTGTAAGCGTCTAATGTTTTCCGTAGAATAATAGTGCAAGTTTGCAGAGTTTCAAGAAAGACATATCGGACGAGGAGAGGCGAGAGATAATTGGAATATTCAAGGATCACAAGGGAGCTTCGGTGTTCGTCGCCAGCGACAATCACTTCCAGAACAAGAAGCGAGCGGATCTCGTTGCCGAAGCTGTTCAGTCCATGCTAGTCCACTGATCTTCCATTCCACACAAATGAATCCTTTTCTGTTCAGACTTCTAGTAGACCAAACCACAACAAAAGGCGCCGGTTCAAATCAGAAGCGGGCGGACAAACATTCATATTATTTGTCTGCTAGAAGCTGTAGTTTGGCATGTTCATTCGGATTGTTCTGAAGCAGTCCCCAGCAAAAGTCTCCTATTTTCCCATTCACTCTCCGAAAAACGATAAGAATTGCATCAAAACTGTCCGTTTTGAAAACAACAACCGAGATCGTTTTTTTTCAATTAAAAACCTCCCAATTTCCATCGAGAAAAATGGATCATTTGGTGGTTTATTTCGGGAAAACCGCCGCCTGTTTTCATCTTTCTTCCTTTCAAAATTCCTGCCAGACGAGCTGATCCGTGAATACTTCACAATTCAGGCAATGTCGCTCTATCGCAATTACACGGGAAACCTCGGTCACGGCCACGATCTTTTCCAATTTAGCAATGAGCGGTAGTGCACGATTTGAAGACGTCTGAGGCTGAAATTCTAAGAATGCGCGCATTGTACTTTTGAAAATTCCATCTCGAAAACATGGGGATTATGTGCACTTTCAGAGAGCACGCCACTTTTAATGAGGCACGTCTCAGGTTATCATTCCGTTTCCAGCTAATCCTCTCTCCACATCTTCATCCCAGTTTTCTTCTGACCAGATTAGCATTGTTTACACGTTTCTTCTCCGTCTTCGAGACACGAAATCCGCTTCCGGTCGCTTGTTTTTCACCCATACGTCGACGTACTTTGGCGCGTAGAAAAAGTGGTAATTTGTACGGGACTGGACCAGGGCTGGGCAATTTAACCGGCCCGGGCTTTTCGTTGGCCATTGACCTGGACTTTTGAACCACTTGCACTATTCGGATCGGACCCAAACTTTGCAGGCTTCTTGGGCATGGGTTGAAGCATATTGGGACCAAGTTTCAGCCCGATCGGAGTAATTGGTCCCGAGAAATGTGGATCATTGGCCGTAATTGGCCGGAAGCCCGGCCAATGATCCACATATCTCAGGACTCGACGATCCGATCGGGCTGAAACTTGGACCCAATGGCCCTCAATCCAAGTCCAACAATCCTGCAAAGTTTGGGAATATTGCAAGTGGTTCAAAAGTCCAGGTCAAGGGCCGGCCAACGAAAAGCCCGTGCCGGCCAATTGCCCAGCCCTGGACTGGACGATGAAGCACGTGCTCTCTCTTATCTCTGGCGCCCTCCTACGGGCATCGAACACTCTCACGAAGTACTCTGTCTGGGCTGGTCACAGCTGGAATTAGACACCCTTTCACTCCTTTTCGCGTCTTTCTTGCCTTCAAGTATAGCAACCACTTTTTGCTATTTTTTCTCATTCTAGACTAGTCACATATCGAATTGCAGGGAATGCGATCGCAATACGACGACAAAAAGTTCCGCGCGGACGAGCTGGATGCTCCGAAGCTGTACAAGCGAGTCGTGAAGTTCGCCCGTGACAACGGAGAACAAGTCGAAGTGGAAGCGATCTACGAGGACTCGAAGAAGGAGGGATCTCCGTACGGTACCGTCGTCGGATTCCACGGCTCCCCGGGCTCTCATCGAGACTTCAAGTACATCCGACAGATTCTCAGCGAGAATCAGATCCGCTTTATCGGCCTCAACTACCCGGGGTTCGGAAAGACCGCTGGTGAGTTCAAAAATGCACACATCTGTCTGTCCACTTCTATTCTAAACTTAAGGTTACAAAGATCAGGCGAACACCAACTCGGAGCGTAATAACTTTTCCGAGGCTCTGCTGAGTTCTCTCGGAATCCAGGGGCGCATAATCTACATGGGACACAGTAGAGGGTGCGAGAATGCTCTGGAGACAGCCACCAAACGAAGTGCTCACGGACTCGTGCTGATCAATCCCACGGGATTTCGGTACCACAAAGGAGTTCGTCCGATCTATCGCGCCGAAGCGATCAACCGTGCTTACGGAGTGCTTCCCAAGTTCATCGCCGATCCAATGATTGTTGGATGTGAGTTTGGTTTGTCAATAAAGCGCACTTACAAAAATGTTTCAGTGTACAAAACCTTAGGCTTCAAAGTGCGTACTGGGGAAGAGTGTATCAATTCCCTGCAATCCGATATCAACATGTCCCTCGATAAACAGAAAGACCCGATTCTGATCTCCAACCTACAAAATGTAATCCCAAGAATGGAAATCAACGCAAGTTAAACCAGAGTTCAGATGAAAAAGCTGATAATCTTCGGTGGAAAAGACCCAATCATCGAGGAGGCCATCGTCGAGGAAATGCTCAAAAAGCACGAGGCACTCATTTCCTACGTAGGTCACCACCCGCTTGCCCTTCCCAAAATGTATTCACCCTTTCAGGACTTCCGCACTCACATTGGAGAGAACGAGATCGACCTGGTGAACGGCTCGTTCAGCAACTACCTCGGGGTGTCGGTCTACGTAAAACGCGACAATCACTATCAAACCAAGTCGAGAGCCGATCTGATCGCCGACGCGTGCCGTCAGATTCTCGGAATGGCGCTCGATCCGTTGCCGGGAGTTCGCAGACTGCCGCCGCCCGGAAGTCTGTTCGGAGAGCCCGACGGCGATGAGAATGAAGAATAATCAAGTTCCAAACTCTTCCATTCCATTGTGTTTGTGTGTTACTTATTCATATTGACCCGAATAAACATTCCCTTATCACTGCTGCCATTGTGTGTATGTGTACAAACAGAGACGCAGACCACCAAAGAAGGCCGACGTTTCATACGGTCTGTTGGAATCGAGTGAGCTGGAAGGTTATGAAATCAAGGGCTGGTTTATAAGCAAAGAAGGGTGTCAAGTCCTCCTACTCCTTTTTCAGCTCTTTGTCTGTTGTTAAAGTCCAAACACAGTTTGTTACCCACTCCAGTCGTGTGAAATCCGTCGATTTGCACCCGTTCAGCAAGTGCTTCTTCCAGATCTTTAACTTCCTCGTCCGCTGTGCCAAGCTTATCCCCCGCGAGAATTGGATCTTCACCGCTTCCGACGACACTTTCATCCAAATTGTTACGTCGTGGACGTATAATTATTGCTTATTGATCTACGTTATTCTACCCGCTAGTTTTATATATTCAATTGTCATCATTCCGGGCTCGCCCTGCTCCAGAGAGCGATCTCTCATTCGTCCATCTTCGACGGCGACTCCTTCGATGAGCTCCACACGTTCGTGGCTCACTCCGATTTCATCCGCGTGTTGGCCGTCCATCCCACTCTTCCCTACCTCATTTCGGCGTCCGACGACACCACGATCAAAGTGTGGGACTGGGAGAATCAATGGCGATTGGAGCGGGAAATGAGAACTACGTGATGCAAGTTTCCATCAATCCCAATGATCCGTCGGTTCTGGCGAGTGTTTGTTCGGACAAAACCATAAAGTTCTGGCGATTGGGAGAAGAAAAGGTCGTTCGAATTCTGGAAGGAGTGAATTGTGTGGAATTCTGTAAAGAGGACGGAAAAATGCTGTCAGGATCAGATGAGACGTCGATTAAAGTTTGGAAGGAACGAAAAGAGGTAAAGTCTTCATTGTCAGGGCTTCTACTATTGTTCGTTTTCAGAAATGCCTCCGAACTCTATCGGGACACCACCACAATGTCACGGCTGTCTCCCAACACAAACAGTTTATTCTCAGCGCGTCAAAAGATGTGACTAAGGAAACATATATTTTCAGTCTGGAAAAGGTTCTGAACTACGAGATGGGAAGGGCTTGGAGTCTGTGCGGCGGCGAGGAAACGGTTGCCATCGGATGGCGATTCTGGAGCCGTCGTGTTGAAACTGAGCTGTAACTCTACGTTTCGTACCAAATGAAGTGCTTTTCGAATATTTCTGAAACTTTGATCACCCAACGACCTATCTTTCTGTCTGTGTTCTTTGTCTTTCTGCCCGTCTCCAACACGCTACACTGTTCCTTTTTCTTCTTTTCTCTGCACCCTCTCACTTTCACGTACTCTCTCGCTCCACTCAACCCTTCTCCCCAATTTATTTTTATTGTTCTTTCCGTGTTCAAAAAACGTCCGATGATAACGGCAAAACTGTTGGGACGGCAAGCTATTCGAGAATTCGGCAGAAAGATGAGCGACGCGAAAATCTATAGGAAACTGATCAGATTTGATGCGGAGAACGGAAGGAACGTCGAGTTGGAGGCCGTTTTTGAGGTTGGTTTTTTTTTAATCGAAACTTTTCTCTAAATACCTTGTCTTTTTGGGATTCGCTCTCTTCCGGCTCATCAATCGGTACGGTAGTGGGATTCCATGGCTCCCCGGGGTCCCACAACGACTTCAAATACGTTCGGGACAAATTGGATCAGCTGAACATCCGATTCATTGGCCTCAATTACCCGGGTTTTACCTTGACTTCGAGTAAGTTTTCCGTACTTTTCTGTTATCAATAAGTTCCAATTCAGGCTACGAAGGTCAAGAACACGGAAATATCGAACGTCAAAACTATTCGAATGCTCTGCTGAATGAGCTCGGAATCGAAGGGAAAGTAGTGTACATGGGACACAGCAGAGGTTGTGAGAACGCAATGCAAACGGCCGTAGAGAGAAATGCTCGGGGACTGGTGCTCATTAATCCGACCGGACTCCGGATTCACAAGGGAGTCAGTCCGATGTTCCGGCTGGAGGCGATCAATTCGATTTACCGAGTGCTTCCGAGCTTTCTGGGAATGCGATGATGTTGGGAAGTGAGCTCGGACCGTCGGAGCTTAAGTTTCATTTCTATTTTTCAGTCTACAAAGCAATCGGCTTCAAGATACAAACGGGCGAAGAGGCGATCAATGCGCTGAGGTCGATGATCAGAGTTTCGCTGGGCGGACAACTCGAGTTCATTGAGAAGACGAACGAGATGAAAGAGCTGAAGAAACTGATCGTCTTCTCGGGGAACGATCATCTCGTCGAGCAGGAAATCATCTTCGAGTCTCTGGAGAAACACGAAGGACTACAACACTTTGTAAGTCCTTTGCGATCAGATCAAATGGAGTGAACTATTTTCAGAATTTTGACGATGTCATTTCCGACGAGGACAAACAAAAAGTGCTGGATTCATACTCGAACGACTGGGGAGCATCTGTATTCGTCGCCAAGGACACGCACTTCCAGAACAAGTCGAGAGCCGATCTGATTGCCGATGCGTGCCAAACCATTCTTCAGGCGCCGGCCGCCAAGAACAAACTTTGAAGGAAGAATAGATCCACTTGTTTTAGTGTACATGGACATAAAAGTTTTGATGAAATTGTTTACATTTGACCACCAGAGCTGTGAAACAGAATTTAGCGGAATTCCGCCTTCCGTTTTGGCTCTGTTTTGACAGGAAAACTCAAGATGAGAGAAAGAAGGACCGCCTTGTCAAAGAAGCACTACGGTATTTCGATCGGATTCAAACTTTGCAGGTTTTTTCGACTCGGATTGAAGTATCTCGAGTTCAAGTTCCAGACTGATCGGACTGTCGATGCGTGCACAAACGCCAAACATTTGCGTGGTTCTCATTCCAATTGATATTATCACGTAATCCACTCTCTTCAATTCCCTCCAACTCCTTCTGTATGCAAATCAAATGACGTAATCCCTCCGTCTCCTTCTCTTTCCTCTTCATCGTCGGAGGAGGTCGGCAGATTAGAAGAGTATCGCTCTCCGCCGTTACGCGCAATCGACTCTGACCTGGACACGCAAAAAGAAAACACCTCGTAGGCAGGAAAAGTGTGAATGAAGGGGATGAACTTGCTTTCGCACCTGAGCAAACAGGATTGACGCGTCGAGGAATGGGCGGAGAGATCAAAGGCGAGATTTGCCGAGTTATTGGGTACCTATTCGGTGTCCGGGTTTAGATGAAGCTTATGCATCACTACAGTACTCGTTTTCTTGAAAAACCAACGCCCCAGCACAGCTGCTGAATTCGTGTCGAACACCTGTTTGAAGCCTCACTGCCACCTGCACCTGCAAAACTTGCTGCTTCCGAGTCTCGAACCGTGGCGCGCAGATGGTTCACTTTCTCCTTCTAAAGGACCACCTGGCTAATACAGCTGCGGATTTCAGTGTTTATCAGAAGAAAAGGCACAGAGATGAGAATGCAGAAGAAGGGGATCGGGACGGAAAAAGGAAAAAAGTCAAGGTTGGAATGGAGATCGACAATTACTCGTACTAGAAGAACACTGATAGAAAGGAGGGGATTGGTGATTATGATTAGGCATACAATAATTGTTGATCTAGACGTAGAACGAAAGGGAAACTGAAGATGGGACTGGCGGCGGGAGCATGCTTGGTGGGCTCGGCTTCTTCTGGATCGTCGCGTACTCGCTTCCGACGCTCACCATGCTCTTCTTCGGCGCCATCGTGTACCGGTCCTCCTCTTCGATCGTGTACACTCTGTCCATTCTCTTCTCCGGGTTCACAAGCATCGACTTCGTCTCCGGCACCGCGTATGGGCTCGGATCCTGTCCACGGCTCAACGCATCGTCGCGTCTTGGCTTGTACTTGTAGGTGAAGCAGGCGACAAGCAAAAGAAGGACGACGAAGAAGGCGGCGATGATGTAGACACCCAGGGAGTAGCCGGAAGCGGTGACGACTGGAGTTCCGATCGGGGAGGGCTGAGTGGTGAGACGGACTTCACAGAACTCGCCGATGAATCTGACGGGGCACGCACAGAAGACTTTCGGGCCGTTCGGGAAACATTGAGCACCTGCAAACGAACAAGTTCTTTTCGATCTTGAAAAGGATCTCAGACTAACCGTTCAAACAGGCGTCCTTGGCAGTGCAGGCGTCCGATTTCGGCGCGGTGAACTGAAATTGACTGAATCCGGGTATCTCGCACTTTTCTCCGGTGAATCCGTTCGAGCACTCGCAGATCAGGTGCTCCTCAAGCATTGTGGAGTTGATCGGATTGTGGATGAGCGAGGAGACGCATGCTCCGTCGTTGTGGCAGTTGCATCTTCGAGGATCGACGACTGAAAATATGATTATGATTTCCAGACGGTTGACAGAGAAAAATCTAAAGGAACACCTGACCAAACAGGAGAACCGTCAAAAGGGAGGGGGATTAGCGGGGAGAAAGAGTCTTACCTTGCCCACAATGCGGTCCCATCCATCCGACATCACACCTCAGCCGTCCCTGCGCATCGCATCGCTTCCTGGCCGCCTTCGCCATGTGTCCGTCGCAGAACTGATCGCACTGAGGACCAAAATAGTTGGGAGCGCAGCTGAATCGAGTGGACACACTGAACGAGACCCCCGAGACGGTGGTGAACGTGTCGTTGAACCAGGGCTCGTTGGCGACGAGCGGCACGTGGCGTTGAATGCGATCGCTGATGGATTCGCGGGAGTAGGAGTCGATGAGTTGGATCGTGAAGTTGAAGACGGGCGTGAACGAGTCGAGGAATATGACCTTGACGAGCGGATGGTAGGGAAACAGCTTGTGCACTTGGGTCGGCGCTCGCTCCGTCGATGGTTCGGTGTCAATTTCGTAGAGGAACGAGACACGGGAGGAGGATACAAATTCCTGATGAGCTTCCAGTCTGGCACTAGCCAGAAGGGGAATGGCGAGGAGCAAAAGAGCTCGGAGGAGCAGCATGGTACCTGCAACACAATTGTTTGTGAGGAGAGCAAATAGATGAGCCACGTGGCAAGGCGACACCAAGGGGGAAAGAATGCGAGTGTGGTAACCGGAAGATAATCGTGTGGCGGTAGAATGGTGTGAGTGACACACGCCCCGCCCTTCACATCCGGATGGGCGGGGCCTAGACTGTCTGCGCACTCTTTCTCTCAGATTACGCACCATAGTCAGAGGGACTGCTGATATCTATGGACACGGATAACGGAAATGCAAGGAATATTGGACGGAGAAAGCGTATTGGGAGTCTTGAGAAAACAACAAGCAAATTGGAATTCTGGATGCTCGGTCATCTGGAATCAAGAAGCTAATTGGCCATGAATGGGCGCAAAAACAACCGAGAGAAACGGGGGAAATCATTGGAAATTGCGTGTTTCTTTAGAAAAGTGCTCCTCCAGACAGAATGGAAACAAAAACGAAGTCTAGAGGACCACAAAAGAGAGAGGATTTTGGCTGAACAATGGGTTACAACTGGTCCCCCGGGTTATTCGAATTCTCTACTCAGGTATGCGCGTTCGGAATGAATGGAGAACGAGCTCGTAAACGACACTAATATGGACGTATTGTTCTCAGAACCTATGATGCTCACACGTGGCTGACAAAATCGAAAACGGAAGGAAGACATAGATCTTCTTCGCTTTTACGAAAGTGAGAAGTGGAAGTGAGGACTGGAGAGCACACGCGCGGTTCTCTCTTTTTCCGGCTGAGCAGTTCGTCCGCACACGAGTCTAAGGTCCAGGATGTGAACATCTAGACGGCTTGAAATGAGCAAGTTGGGACACTTTTCGGGAGCTACAACTATTTCAGTTCTGGAAACCATGAGGCAAGCAAGAGATGACAAATGTTGCAGATGTCCCGAAGTGATTTATTTGCAAGATGACATCTATTCTTTTTCGTTCACACCCTCCAAAGTGGGTCAATTTTGAAAATTCCTGTTTTACGAAGTCTCGATAGCTTCTGGAGCACTTTTTCTCCAGTATTCTCCTCAATGTCCTACAGTATCAACTCTCTCTCTCTCTTTCTCGTTCTTTTTGTCGCCCTACCACGTCGTCTTCAATCGGCATTCTCCAAAAAGAGCGGTGCAGACCATCTGCCACGTGGTTTGTTTGTTTAGTCCTCAGTCGGTTTCTGTGTTACAGTGGATGCGGCTCAAACCGGAAGGAAAAAAGAACGACGGATTAGTGTCTTCGTGACGTGGCAGCTGATCGATGTTTGTTTTGGCTCCGAGGAAAGTGGAAAAGTTACTGTGAAAAGAGCCGAGCGAGCGCTCAGGAAGGTCACCATCGGCCTGTTTGAAGTTGGCTCGAAAGGTGTCCAGAAATGAATGAGGGGTCTTTTAGAGTATTTCAACTTTATGGGACCCATGAACAGTAGAGATGGGCTCTCAGAACATGTGGTTTGAAAGATCTTGGAGACTGTTGCAGCTCTCTGGAACTCAAGAAACTTCATCGTCCTGTGGAATGGAAGTTGACAGTAAATCCTGACAAGATTTTCCGATTTCATGTAAACCAGTCCCTGTCCACAAAAGTGCTCTCAATGTACCCGATGTTCCTGTCCAATCTGTTGTTTTCCGATGCCGTCTGACAACCGGAAGATGAAAAAGAAGACGTGTGCGGGCGGAAGACAGCAACACAAAAGGGACGAGCACAGCGGGACGGCCGACAGTCATCTAGCCCTCCTCCACACGTTGCACTATTGTGACGTGGCAAACGGGGGATGGGGTGCGAACAGGACGGAAACGGAAACGCACAGTGAGAGCCATCGATCTACTGAAGAGGAAGGACATTTTGGAACTGGGACGTTTTACAGAAGAAAAGGATAGTTGCAATTAATTCATGAGCAGTTCGACATTCTCCAGATGCTGTCCAGACTTTGAAAAAGGGGAACTTTTTCAAAATTGACCCCAATTGGAAGGAATGACACTTTGCAAATATATCATTTGGGGGCCATCTGCAACATTTATCATCTCGCTCACACCCTGTTTGCTTTATCGTTTTCAATAAAATCGAGGACATGTGTCCTCGAAGTAATTGATATTTGACACCTTCACAAACACATTCAAATTGTTATGGATGAGCCGAAATCTCAAAGCTGAAAAAGAAATATAGTCGCGGGGCGGGGTGGAAAGAGAAGAGAATGTGTGTGCGGGGACTCTTAGTTGGGCGAGCGCGCAGGCGACCAAATTTGAAACGGAAATAATTGAGGGACCTTGGAGGGGAGCGAAAGAAAGGTACGCAAAGAAAGGATTCATTCGAGCACACAGCCCACATTTCCCGCTTTCTGCTATTTCTGGGCTCAGTTTTCAGAAGAGAGAGAGAGAGGGGTAATTGTTCTGACGTCAGAGATGACGAATTGCAAGGATCCACGCTGTTTTCAGGGGAATGAACATTGTTTAACATCACCGACACTTTTCTTTTACGACCTGTGCCATAACAGTTATGTTTCACAATAGTTAAGTTTTGAGAGAGGCTATACGAGAACGTTGTTAACATAAAAATTAGGCTTGAGTTAAGATATAAAGAAATCAAAAACATTCAGAATGGTATCTTAATAATCAATTTGAGCCAAATATTTGCTCCACTCGTCCAAAAACGGGGGAACAATAATGATGAAAAGAACGGAATGGATCGGTTGTGAAAGAAATGAGCGTAACGGCATTTCTTCATGGGCGTCGTCGGCGACGGTTGGCGTCGGCGATCCGGTAATTTGAGAAGAACACCTGGTGGCCCACGCACAAAAATGCACTTTTTATGGGGACGGAGACGGACGGAACGGGCGCCACAGGTGAAGGTTTTACGATGATTTCCGACGGAACGCATTGAGAAAAAAGGGGGAGTAGGAGTAGGAGAGTGAAAGGATATGATGATGTACTTCCGCGAGTGCTTTCAAGGCAAAATCATATTGAAATGTGTATATTGTACATTTCGAAGAGAAACAAACCGTAAACTCAAATTGTTGGCCCTGGATCTTGCATTCTAATATTGTCGATTTGAATACATTCAAACCCCCTTTCTCATTTGTCACCTCCCCAATTTCCTATTTACACGTTCATCAATCAGCCCTCATCACCAGGAGACCGTTTTCCGGAACACGAAAAGTGTTGCCAATAAGGAAGGATTACGTCAGTAAGGTCGCGGTCCCAATTAGTTGCTTCCGTGTGCAGGTGGTTTTAACATTATGCATAACGAGAATAGAAGAACAGGTGTTAAACAGTTCATTTTTAGGATGAAAGTTTTGGTTGATACGCAAAAAATATGTCCAGGTGGTCAACGACAGATGGCGGGCGCCCAGCTGGGCGCAGAAGAAAAGGTGCAAAAAAGGGAAGAGTACTGTAGTTGTCTAAATGGATTTTCGACCGTTTCCAACTGACTATGAAAGCTAAAATAACTGGAAGACTATAGAAAACTGTACATCATCCACTAAATATCCACGTCTTTGCCACCCGGTCTGTCTGCCTTCAGTAAAGAATCGCGTCTATAATTATCCAAAGGACGAACGAAGAGACGGACGGACTGGATTGAAATATGACCGTTCGGACACATCATTTGCAGACGACTCGAGAATAGTACAGTTTCATTGAAGAAACGAATGAAAAGAGTGGAGTGACCGTGAAGGAAAGATTAGCAGTTTCATCCGATTATTTAGTGGTTTCGAATGACATCTCAAGAAAGACTTCGGCAACGATCTTCCGGTTTCCGCTTTCCGCTTTTTGAACATTGAAGATTCTGATTTCAAGGTATTCCTGGAACAATTATTGCTTTCAAAACAGGAGGAAATCTCATACGCACGCAATTGTTCAAAATGGATTGACTCTGTCCGCACCGTGTGAAAACAATCACATCGCTTAATCAATTGGACTCCAAGTAGCCAAATATGTAAGTATTGAACACGCATTCTAGTTAATCAGATTTGCCCCCAAAAGCCTTTGGCCTAAAGGACTACACTCTTTCGCTGACCAAAACATCGTTTACCACATAATTCGAGAGCTCTAGAAAAAAAAACGAAATTACATCCCTGTCACCCACCAATTGTTTCAACTTCCTACCCTTAATTGACGCCTCCACACATTACATATGAAATCTTGACCTAAAATTTCAGCTGTTCATTCTTTGCTCCTGCTTGTAGCCATGGACGTCGTCAACTTGATTGCTGCCGTTTTAGTATTTACAGTAAGTTTCGCCACCAGAGTTTCCCATTTTGCAACCGATTTCTTCAGAATGCTGTCTGCGGGATCTGCTTCAGCACTTGCATCATTTACATATTCTTCGCCGAGAAACAGGAAACAACTAGTTTCAATTTGATATGTCTATCACGCGCAATCAATAACGTCCTGGTGTTGATATTCGATTTTCTGATTCTCACCTTCCCCACAACACTTTTGTAAGTCGGAAGGATCCAGTTTCAAAACGTTCCTTTGCTATTGCAGATCCGTCAACTTCTATCCGATTTCTCTGGAAGCCATTATCATTATTTTAACTGTGAACATCTATCTGGTCAACGAATTTCAGACCGTTTTGATAGCCGTTAATCGATTCTTCGCCATCTTCTTCCCCTTTACCTACACAAAAGTGTTTAATCTCAAATTCACAGGGGTTTGTGTTTGTTTGAGCAATTATGTGAACAGGAAACTATGAATTTCAGGTTTTTCTGGGATTGATCTATTTGAACCGGATTTACGCAACAGTCAAGGAGCTTTATCGCCAGTTTTGTGAGTCTGAAAACGGAAATTGGGCAATTCGGAACAGTAATTTTCAGCAAACGACTGTGAAGTGTATTTGAGTCTGGAAACATTCGGAACCAAGTACGGCAACGAGAGCTGTTCGGCGATAAATGAGCTGAACGACGACGGAACGGTCATAGGAACACTCTTCTTCTTCGCCTTCACCATTATTATCAACATGCTCACTTTCGGCCGAATATTAGTGTTTTATTTTGTAGGAGTCAGCCTTTCGTCACCCCTTTTCCGTAATCTTTGAGTCTTTCAGAAGCAAAACATGGACACTGAAAGTCAGAAATCTGCTCAGAAGAACGTCCGTCTCTTTTTCCAGACGGTTCTCCAAGACTCTCTATTCTTTGTGGATGTTCTGTTCACTTTCAAAATGAGGTCAGCTCTGGAATTCTGTTCGAAATATCCAATCCCCTTTCAGTTATCTGAGCACTCACCGGTTCTGGTTATTCGTCAGCGCCGTTCTCGTTTGGGAGTCGATTCACACGTTGGACGGGTTCGTTCTCTTCGTTTCCTTTCGGATGTGAACATTGACATTTAGCCTAATCATGTTGATGTTCTCCGAAAGACTGACACTTCTGAAGACCGCACTTTTCCGATCTTCAAAGATATCGGCGTCTTCGTTTAGAACGTCTGAAATGAGAGGTCACGGATCGACAACTTTGGCAAAAATAGGATAATTGCAAATGTTTGTCATGTTTACAAGACACTCTTTGAGTCATTTGGAGAACGGTTGCACAATCAGACGCATTTCTCATCACTTTGAGCGAATTAACTTCATAGAAACTTTCTTATAACTTCTTGCCTGATAAAGCCGAGTTCTCGCGTGAAACAGTCCCGTTCGAAGCATTTAATATAGATTCCGTCCGGTTCATTTCTCTCCGGATATGTCTTCTTCCCAGCCGACGACGTCTTCTGCCCGTCCCCCGGCTCCTCCGAGTCCATCTTCTTCTTCCCTGACTCCTGACGCGCAGAGGGCAGCAATCGAGTGAGTGCTTTCCGCATCAATTCTCAAAGAAACATCCATTTTAGGGAGGATGACGACGATGAAATTAGCTGGGATCCGTACATTGTAGTCGACGAATGTTCCGACGGAAAAACGCTGGAATCAGTGGCGCCACAAGTGCCACGTGGCCGCGGATCCGGTCCTGGATTCCGATGATATTCGGCACAAGTTTAAGTCGATCACTTTCTTTCGTTATCTTTTAGTGATAAAAATTAGTAATTTGTTTATTCAAGTTGTAATCGGATTGAAACAAAACTGAAAGTAAAAAGTCAAAGTGTCACTTAATATCCTTGAGAATCGGATAGGTCCTTCCGATGCTGTGACAACTCCACCGGATCTTGAATCCACGGCCGTCGTTCTCCGATTTGGTGTCCGATTGGAATGTGAACTTCAGATACCGATCGTTTGTGTCTCCTTCGAGAATCAACTCGCGCGGATCGTTCGTTTTGAATGTGCACTCTCGGATGCGCGCTTTTCGCATCTGCCCCTTGAACTGAATCTCAATCTCCAAATACTCGTCCGTTGGATCCGTGCACTGTTCCTTTGTGTTGAGCACTCCGATGTTGAGATCGGAGAAAACGATGGAACAGTCGTGACTTCCTGGCGGACGGAGTGTGAACCTGCAGACATACACATGGTGCATTGACCATAGAAGATGCAACTCACACTTGACTCATCGATTTGTTATACCCATTCGGATATCCGATATTCGAGAGCACTCCGTCCATTTCATACGAATCCGCAAACTGAATGCGACTGTCCGTCTCGCTGACGACTGTGAAGTAGGACGCATCGTAACCTCCACGGCTCACAGTGTTATCCGACTGGAACGTGGCGGTCAGATCTTTTCCAGAAGTGAGGAGCGTGTTTGGAAGCCTCATTCCGCAGTGTTTGGTCCCATTGGAATCAGTCTCGGCTAACTGAAAGACTTTGGATGAATTCTTCAAAGTGAATGAATGAGCCAACCTGCAGATAATCGTACTTGCATCCCGTCTCGTCACTGGTTTCCAACGAGAAATCACTAGAAGATGGAGAATTTCAACTTTCCAAGTTGTCTTCGACTTACGAGAATGTGATCATCATTTTCTGGTTGGAAGACTCGAGCTTCGTGACACAAGTACTGTTTTTCGGGTAGGATTGTGGGAAGTCCGGAGATGTTAGACGGCCCGATTTGATGGTGCTTGTGTCGATCGTTCGGTTGCAGTCTTAAATGGGACAGGTGATTACGTGGGCAGGCTGGACGTGTATGATAACTTACTATCAAGCAGGCTATACTCGAACTTGAACGAAGGTCTCGTGTTATTCTCAGACTTTACAATCTCGGCGGACACTATGATCTGAAAGACTTACTTCAGAGAAAGGTGCACATTTCCTCAAAAGTGTACCTGAATAGTGTTGGTATTGGAGACGTGATGCGTGGGAACATTCGTTCCGCACAACTTTGTAATCTTCCGTTGGTTTGGCTCGCGAGCACACGCTGGATGTTGGCATTCGTTGAGGGAGCCGACGTCGCGGATCTAGAAGTCATTTGATATTGTGGCGGCTCGCGGTTGAGATCATACCTCAACATAAGAGTCAGAGCAGTCGCCAGCCTTCGAGGGAATGTTGAACTTTCTGAAAGATGTTTTAGTTCTAGAGTATCGGATTGCATAATCTTACTTGAAATTGATGATGATCGGCTCTGTTTTGGAGCCCTGGATCATAAATCGACACCGTTGATGAGTGCGCTCTTTGTCCGCTTCTTTGTCTGCAATGCGAGTTTACACATGAGATTCCCTGGAACAGAACAATAACTGACTCTCTTCCTTGGTGATTCCCTTGTAAACCATCGCTTTTGTGTCGCTCTCCGCCTGCAGCCATCCTCCGCACTCGTTCTTTCTGACCATGTACGAAATGTTGAATCCCTTTCCGCTCTCATCCTGATCCGTGTCGAACGTGATGAACGCGTGTCGGTGCGAACTGTACAACATCTTCGGGTACGGAGTCTTCTTCGTGCAAATATCGCCTGCGAGAAGCGGCGAGAACGATTCCTGTCCGTCGTAAATATTCAGAGAATCGATGCATTCTGGCTGGGGAGTGACGCCCGGCGGGTAGCGAAGCTTCTCAGTGTCCACGTCATCGATGCGAATGACGAGTTGCGAGTTGACCGGTCCGCTGATCGTCCATCCACAGACAAGAGAAGGCGGATAATTGCCGTCGTCATCTTTCGGAGACGTCAGCGTTTGCCACGTGTCGGTGGCAGTCACTTTGCCTCCGCAGCCGTCCTTTTCGCCCAGAGTTGAAGTCACGTAGAGCTTGAATCCGCCGGCGTTCACGTTGAAATCGGTTTTCAAGTGGATGAGAAGATTGGGACCGGAAGTGTACATACGGTACTTGGGCGCTCTGGAAAAGGACCGAATAATATAGTTCAGTTATAAGACGTGGATACTCACTTTTTCATAGTCCCACAGAACTTGCCCATTGTCTTGTTGGCGATCATTTCGGACGAATCGAAGAATTCGACAGAATCGGCCGAGCAGTCGCGGAAGTCTTCGAGATTCATTTCCTCGAACCGAATGTTCAGTTTCCGATCCGAATCCGTAGTGATATTCCAGACACAGTCCAGGTCTCTGGCGTACGGAAGAGGGAACGCGGGGCTCGTGATCTTGGCAATGCGCTTCGTTCCTTCGCGAAGATCAAGGTTGTCACCACAGTCTGAAAGAATTTCATAAATATTTCCACTGCAAGACTTTCGGACTAACTGTTAATTGAGTAAGCCAACTGGAATCCCCGGCGATTGACAAGTGTGGTGTCGTTGAGGTAAAATGTGAACTTCTTGTCCGTCACGAACTTCAGTCCAATTGGGCCCTTGAAGATCAGAGGATCTTCCGGTACCGGAGAGCCTCCGCAGATGTTCATGACCGTTCGATCCGTGCTCGCTTCGATGATTTGAAGATAGTCTTCTTCGCATGGGAACCGACCGATGGCCGCTGAATGAATACGATAATATAGTTTTTTTTTTACAAGAGACTTCAACTCACATTTAGTGCTTGCCAAATCGAAATCGGAAAACTTGAGTGCAATGACCGCGTTCTGATCTTTCGGCGCAATCAAATAGGTACAAGTGGACGCCTTGTTCGGGTACCCTTCCGGATAATGCGGGGACGTGATTACTCCGTGATTGAGTCGGTAAACAGTTCCGCACACTGCTTCCCAATCGACTTTGAATCCTTTCGCTGTCGTTTTCGAGTCGGTCGTGAAATTGAGCCGGATCCGGTTGGATTCCGAGCTGAAGTCCTTTGGCTGTTCGATTCCGCACAGTGGATTCTCTTTCTCTTCGTCTTGGAACAGGAAGTAGTAGTCTCCGTTGGGCGAGTTGGCTCTCGTCGAGTGCTCCTGAGAGATCACCAGCCGATCCTTCGCACAATTCGCCGATGTTTCGACGTCAAAATTCCGGAACTTCAAGTCCACATGGTATCCCAGGGGTACTTGGATATCCCAAATGCACTCCAGTCCATTATCATAGTCCTTTTCTCCAAAGTCGGGCGAATGGATCACTCCGGACATTCCCCTCGAGTGGTATCCGCAGTCGTCATTCTCGCCCACAAACTCGTACTCCAACTTCCATCCGTCACTTTCAAAGTTCGCATCCGTCAACCAGACAAGTGTGAGGAACCGCCCATGACTCCGAATTGTCTTGAAGCGATCCTCGAGCTTCTGCTCTTGCGATCCGTCCATTTTGTGGCAGTACTTGTGAATGACGTTCACATCGGCCTGACGTCCCTCGCCGACGATTAAACGGTCGGCGCTGCACTCATGATCGTACTGTATTCGCATCTCGACAATTTTGATCTGAAGTGTTTTGTTTTCGGAGGAACGTTGCGTAAGGTGCGGGGGAACTGGGGCACTTGAAGATGTATAAAAGAAAAATGATGGAAGAGGCGAGAAACATCAAGAATTACACAATGACCACTGTATTTTGGACACTTCTACTTTTGCTAGTTTCAATTATTTCCGGGCAATTTGTAAGTTTCAATATCTGTTTTCTCTAGAAACCATCTCCATTACAGTACGGTGGCGGCCCGATGTACTACGGCGGCGCCTATCCCCCAATGGCTTATGGCCCTGGATATGGGGCAGGATACGGAGCGGGATACGGTGGTTACGGTGGCTACGGTGGCTATGGACAAATGGGTTACGGTAGCAATTACGGTTATTATGGCAAATAAATATTATTGTTTGTACCTTGACAATCTGTCCTTCGGGTGCTTCCAAATGCCATCGGCACTTGGAATTCGGCAGATATTTCAGGCCGGCTCCGAAGTTCGGACTCGTGATTTCGCCAGCGTTCGGTGATCTGATGACGCCCCCGCACTTTTGGATTTCGATCGTCAGATTGAACTCCTGAGCTGACGTTTCGCGGTAAGCCTGGCTGATCCATAAATCGACTTGCGAGTTGACGTAGAGCATTTCGGTGCTGTTTCCGCTGACTGTGGACCCACAAATCATCCTGTCGATTATCGGCTCGGCGGCTGCAGAATTAGTTGGGCACTTTGCATTCCATTCGGAGAACTCACCCTCAACTTTGATGTGTGCATCCCAAGCCAGACACGAGGAAGTCTCGCGTTCGATCACTGAATTCGAGTCGTAGTTGTCGATTTTGACGGAAACACTGCCGAAGTTGAGTGGTTTCGATATGTGGATATGGCAGAATGCTGAAACTTGGAACACTTTTCAGAGTTTTTATTCAAGTGCCCTTACCATCCACAGAAATCGCATTCGGATCGTCCTTTTTGAAGGTGAAAGTGCCGTTATTCTCCACTTGGAAAGTGCATCCCTTGTTCTGTTTGTTCGCCGGAATCACAAGATAATCGATGGTGAACGGAGCGTAGAATGTTCCGTTTCCCTCATCGTCTCCGTATCTTCCGATGAGCTCACGGGTGTTGTAGTCATCGTAGACCACTTGAGCAAAGTCGGTGAACGCGTTGTACTCCTCTTTGTTCTTGCAGAAGACGTGCGTGTAGGCGACTTGTTTGATCGGCATGTTCCCTTGGACTATTTGAACATCCGGGAAGCAGTTGTCGCCGAAACGTTTGAAAAACATATCGTTCACATCTCTGTAGCCTTCCACGTCGATGAAATTGATTCGGAACTTGTAGACGAATCCGGGTTTCGCCTTGAAATCCCAAGAACAGTGCACGTGTGGGAGGAGTTTTCCGGGGTATCCGGGAGGTTTCAAAGAGCCAGCGGCGTCGGTGATTGTCCCACCGCAGTCTGAAAAAAGGATGTGGTTCCCAGAAAGTGAAAGAAGCCTTACTAGTTTCACTGAGCTTCAGCGATAAGTCGAATCCGCACTTTTTTCCATTACAATACTGGCGTCCGCCTCTCTGAATAAATAAACATTTCAGCAGATTTCACATAGACAAACTCTCACAGTAACGGTAGAATTGGAAGTGAACTTGACGGTCAACTCATTCGACGCACTTCTGATCCAATCATCTGGAAGTTGTCTTGCCACACATGCCGGTCCCATCAACGCGTTTGCGGTCGAGTTTCCGTCCAGAATGCTCAAGCTTTCCATCGTGCAATTCGGATTGTACAGTAGCCAGATGTGCTCCATTCTCGCCTCGAGCATGTGTGTGTTCGGACTGCGGATCTTCCACTGGCAGTCAATCGGAGTGGAGAACGGATCCGGGAAGTTGGGGCTGGTGACGTGTGAAGTGACGTTCTCTTCCACCATTATGGTTCCTCCGCAGGTTGCTGTAAGATCAGTTCAGACTTCCGCTACATTCACTCCACTTACCAATCTCATAAGTGGCCACAAATCTCTTGCTCCTTCCGTACTCGGTGCTGTGCAATCTCATGTACAAAAAGCTTCCAGTAGAGAAGATCGTAGACGGAGCACGGTTTCCGCAGTACCTTCCGATCAACAGAGAGTGCTTAGACGGTCCGTCGCGCACTTCGATGTAGTCCAGATACTCGCACTTCCCGCTCGGAGTTATATCGATGTCAAAGTTGTCGGAATCGAAGGTGAGCATTACTCGATGTCCGTTCGGCGCCGCCATCACGTATTCACACTCCACAGAGTTCGGAATTCTCTTCGGGAACTCGGGGGATTGGATCGTTCGTGACGGATCTTGCTCGCTGAGCTGCAGTACTCCGGACGGGCACTCAGTGACCACTTCCTTGATCCGAAGACGGAAACCTTTCCTGCTCGATGCTCTCGCATTGTAATTGATGCACAAATATCCTCGTCTCGAAGTGAAGTTGGCCGATTCACCTCCCAACGTTCCACAGAATCTGGAGGACTCTGGCAGAATCGTGTTGCCGTCGGAGAAGCGGTCTCCAAGAATGAGCGAGTCGGAATAGGTGCACGGACTGTTCTCCTCAATGTCCAGATCCAATACCTCAGCGAAGATCTTGCGGTTCGACTCGACGAATAGCGTGTGCTTGCACTTCCATTCTCGGGGAGCCAGGCCGGAATTGTAGTTGGGAGATTGAAGGTAACCTTCGAAAGTGGTCGAAGGACGGATGTGCTCGAAGGAATTACAGGCTGAACGGGAAGATTAGAATGCTTTGGCAGAACTCTACTCACTCAATCTGTACAATAATCGGAATCCGACTCCATGTCTCGACTTGTCCGTTATGAAATGAATGTGGAGGGCTCGATTGATTGAGAATTTGAATGTGCCGTTGGAACGAGCCAATTTACAATGCTTGGCGACATTTGTAAAGTCGATTTCAGAATCTTCATCTACTTCTCTGAAACACGGGGAACATTAACGCTGAAAGGACAATGTGGCTCACGGTCGATCGTCGAGCTGCGGACGGAAAGTCACAAAGTCGTAGGCACAATCTTCGGTGTCTTCTAAATCCAGAAAATCGAATTTCAGCTCAATTCCGGTGAACATTGGCCGTGTCATTGTCCATCTGCAGTGCAAACTCTCTTCGTATCCAAACGATTGGCCTGCCGGAAGGGGACTGTTAATGGATTCCCAATCGTACGAGGGAACCAGCGAGCCTCCGCAGTCATAGACTTCTGAAATATGAAGCTACGAGCTCCTGTAGCTCTTTAATTTCTCACTTTTCTTTTTCTCTTTTTTCGCAGTCAAGTTCTTGTAGTTCCGCGGAACAGGATCCCAGGTGAGTGAGAACCGATCTTTCGCTTCTAGCTTTCCGATCATAAAGATCTTCCGTTTCGCAAAGTACTTCTCAGACGGCGCCATCACTCCAGACACTTCCTCGTATCCAACCGTTTCGAACTCGTCCGGATTGTTGGTATCGGAGAACTGAAAAATAGAAAAATCACACGTTAATATTCGAAAAACGACTTACTCTTAGCCAACTCGACGGATTCGGCAGGTACAACTCGGAAAATGAGACCAGCATCGTCGCATTTTCATCCTTCACATCCAGAGTCCAAGTGACGATCTCTTGCTTATCTATCACTGGATTCGAGACGTACCGACTGGCTGGAGCTCCTCCCGGCCATTTTTTGTAAAAGAAGAAGAGCAGTGGGATGTTGGGATTCGGCTCCTCGTCGTCCGGATCGTCGTCTTCGGTGGGCGGGCGGAACCGCAGGAACACGTAGAGTTGTTGAGAGGAATACAGTTTTCCTGTCTCCAGAGGCTCACAAATGCGTTCCACAAGACGACCGGACGAGTTGAACTCTCGGATTTCGATGTAGGAATCTGTGCAGTTCGGAGTTGCTCTCAAGTTATGCTGTCTGAAAGGAAACAATATTCGAACGGGATGACAAAGATCTCAAAGACGGACTGGATAGTAACTTGGACGTGGTTTCCGATGTTGTTCGAGACGGTCCACGCGCAGTCGAACGGCTTGTCGAGTGCCCGAATGACTGGAGATCTGACGTATCCCTCCTGGTGTCTGACCTCTCCCCCGCAATTCCTCTCATCCGTACTGTAGACGATGACGGCGGAGTGTGGCGCACTCGCGTGCTGCACACTGATCATGATGTCCTCCTCGGCCGAGTACTCTTTCATTGTCGTCCGCGAGCCCAGCACTTCCGTATACTTTAACTCTCCGCCCACGTAAATGTCGATTTTATCGTCGTCCGAAGCCTCGTCCGATCGGTTCTGCATTCTGTACTCCTCCAGTCGGATGAAAATCTCCGAATCGTCCGGATCTTTCCGTTTGATCGTCACATTGCACACATCGTCTCCTTCGTGGAACATTGAGATCGTCTGAGGTATCGTTTCGGCATAGACAACGCCTCCGCATCGGGGACGGACGGAGAGCCGGACTCCGTTCTTTTCCCGTGCTGCTTCTCCGCTCTTCCACCCGTATATGTTTGAAGCGCCTTCGAAGACGACCAGCGATTCAGATGAGTACACTTCGATCACCTGCGGAGTCGTCGATTCTTGGCACACCTTTTCGTAGATGAGTTCGTTTGTTCTGGAAGCGAAAAATAAACAGAGAAAGTTAAAAAAAAACTCACGAATTTCCGTTGAAGAATGTGAGCATACCGTCGGAATACGGTAGTTTAAAGCGACACGTGGAATTGTAGGTCCGTCCCGGAATCGGGAAGCTCGCCGAATTGCGCTCCTCGTGGTAGTTGGGCGAGTGGAATTCCTCGACGGTGATCTCAATGTGATAGCCGTCCGGAGCACGGAACAACCACCGACACTGGATTCCCATCGGGTACGGAGCCGGGTATCCGGGCGAGACGATGTTGTTCACGATCCCTCGTTCCACTGAAAACAATGGGTTGGTACTCAACTTCTGGCGATTATTAGTTTTGACTTACAATCTATGATTCCACCGCAAGTGTCAGATGGCGAGTCCGGTGGAATGTCAATAAATTCGACGGTTGCATTGAAGAAGATCTTATCCTTCGAAGTAAACCGATTCTTGTCCAGCTAAAGGTTTACGTTTTTATCGAGAAATTGAAAGATCTGAACTAACCGAGATAAGAATGAATAATTCGTCGGTTTGCGAAGAGATGTTCTTTCGAGAAGCGGCCTCACAGACAGTGTGGAATGCCACTCCAGATGCGTTCGATTTGCCCATGAACACCGCCATTCCATTGAATCCCTCTCCACCGTTCTGGTACTCACAACTCGAGTCCGGAAGGATGTCGAATCTTTCTAATCTCAAGTTGATTCGCTTTCCGATCGGGGCTTGGATCCTGTACTGACACTGGAAATCATCGACTTCCGAGTCAATGTGCTCCTTTTTAATGATGATCAATCCCGGCTCATTGATGTCTCTCGAGCAGCCAATTGTGCTCCAACTCAGCCAGAATTGATTGGTGGGCGTCATGTGGCTGATATAGGTCAGTTTCATAGTGTTATGTCGGGATCGAATGGTCCTTGGCACCGCCCGATCACAGTACTTGTTCACAGAGTTCGTCACGTTGAACTGTGTCCTGTAGGTGATTTCCGCCTCTCCCAGGTCAGTGTCGTCCACTTTTAGCATATTTCCCTGACAATCATAGACGCTGTAAAAGCCCTGCGAGACGGAAAAGTGGTGCATGGTCACGAGGATCTTGTTTCCTTTCGGCACTTGGATAGTCCACGAACAGAACTGATTACTGTACACTTTGTGGGGGTATCCGGGACTCTGGATGTTTCCAACAATGTCGGAGAGCACGATTCCCGAGCAGAGAGTTGTGAAATGGCCAGAGAAGCCGAACAGCTTCTTGGCCTGGTGTCCGGCCATCTGGCTGTACTTGATCACCAACTCGTTGTCGTCCGAAGTGATCGGTTCGGAGGCCATCTCCTTCATGCAGTAGCGTTTCAGATGACGGCTTCCCAAGCGAGGACTGTCGTAAAACTGCAAAGTTATTATTTTATCTCAAGTTGTTTCCCTTTCCTGATCAGTAGGAGAACAGTGCTTACATCAAGTCTGTTTGTGGAGAAAACGGGACAGAATCCGGAGCTGTCTCCTGCATTCAAGTCGTCCAGTGCGGTTAGACCGAATCGGACCTTGTTTCCGAGTGCCACGGCCACCTTCCACTCGCACTTCATGTTCCTTCTGTCGCCCAATGGGTATTGAGGGGCCGAAACCACTCCGGACAAGCCATCGATGCGTCCGCCACAGCCTGAAACAGTAGGGAATGGAAGTGAACTCTGAGGGAAACTCACCAGAAGCGACCGTCTCGTAGGTCATGTTGAAGAACGTGTCGCTCGAGTCAATAGACTTGAAAATGACGGTGACCCGATTGCTGAACGATCGGAGAACCGGATTGAAGTTCACCTTCGGCGTGCACACTTCTGAATCGCCGGGCAGATAAGTGAACGGAGGAGACGTCTCGGATGGTCCGTTTCGGAATTGCAGACTGCTCTTGTCGCACGGCAACGTCATGTTGTTCACGGTGATCTGGACGCGTTGATTCTCGTGCACGGCGATGTGGAATGTGCACTTTTCATATCTCGTCAGCTCCGGCTTGAACACCAACTGACCGGAGGGCGCCGCGAACGTGAAATCGCAGTTGGTGCTCCGGCTGACCGCCTCGAACTTTGCGCTGAATCCCTGGCCGGAAACCGATCTATCCGACACGAACACAATCGCCATCGTGTTGGTTTTACTGAAGATCGCCGGGGGGATCAGAGATCCGCAGAACTTGCCGAGCAGTTCTCCATGGACTGTTTCGTTGTGGTACGTCGAGTAGATCTCGACTCGATCGTAATTACAACTGGTGGCCGGGGTGACTTCCAGGTCGAACGTGTCGAATGACAGTTTGACGACTTTGGACCAAGAAACGAAGATCTGGTAGACACACTGCATGTGCGGAAGGTATTTTTCCGGGTAATTCGGAGAGGACACAACTCCAGTCATGCTTGAGAAGAGACCTCCGCACCCGACGTCGGTAGTCGTGTACTCTAGAGACAGTCCCTTGTTGTTCACGTGTCCAGATGAGGCAACTGTAATCTTCAGGGGACGGACGGCGGACACAGCCATCCAGTTTCCTTCGACAAACGGAAAACGGGGACAAACGTAGCGACGGTTGAAGAACGGATTATCAGAGCGACCGCCGGAGAACTGAAAAGTATGTATTGTTAGAAAGGTTCTTCAGAAAAACAGAGTCATCACCCCAATATAATCCGGGTAAGTATCCACGTCTTTCGGAGCGTAGAAACACTCGCTCATCGGCAGAACTCGAAGACCAATTGTCAAGAATCTCAAATTGATGACGTGAGTTCTTGGTGCCTCGATGATGTAGGTGCACGTGCCAGCTGACCCTCCGTCCGGGAAGTTCCATGTCCGTAGCGTTCCGTTTCCGCTCACAGTTTTTTGACATACTGAACCATTCGAAGTATTAAAATAGTTTCTCCGGGTCCCACTTACACATCTCATATTTGAGCTTGAATCCCTTTCCTTGGTCTTTCCCGTCGGAATGGAAATGAAGAACTGCCGCCGGATTGGGCACCACAAGTACGTTAGGAGGTTTCCTCGGATTACACCCCTCATGAACCATGTCTCCATTTCCGTCGTGAATCTTCAAGAAGTCTTCTGTGCAACTTCCCATATCCATTATCGATCGGTATCCGTAGAGTCGAGAGAAGCCGGGACTGACAACGCCCAACGGATTGTAACGACGGAAGGAACGGTCTGAAAGTGTTGGATATTTAAACATTTTGATTTAAATACTTACAATGCATTCCAATTCCATTTGCACTGAAGCCGGAGAAGATGTCGAACTCGTCGAATGTCAACTGAATGACCATGTCGCCGCTGTACGAAGCATTGCTCAGCGAGCCATTGATCTTCCAAGTGCAGTCCATGTTCGGAGGGTACAAACTTCCAAAGTTGGGAGATGTGATAACTCCGTTGAAGTCGAAGTCATCCTTGTCATTGGTCAACTCGGCGCCACATTCTCTCAACGGAGTTGCGAACTTATAGGTCATTGAGAATCCACGAATTGTCTCGAGTCCAGAAACTCCCGGAAGCATGTTGGAGACGAACGAAACGGATAAGAAGGGGCCGGTCGAGCGTAAAATCTGTTGTTCTTGAGTGGAAGAGCACGTCTCGAGGATGCGGTGACGGTCGTACGTCGAGTATCCGTCGAAGATCTCCAGAGAGTTCTGATCGCAGTTCTCAGCGTCTTTCGTGTGCATTTGGATTGCTGGGATCGTGATTTCTATGATCTTTCCGGCTGGTGCTGTGATGAACCATTCGCAAGCCACGTCCTGTTTGTTTTGAGGAACCGAAAGTATTCCCTCGGGTTTGTTGGTACGGTAGCCACATTCTGAAAATGAAAGTTATCAGTGCATCACAATCACGGAGTAAAATAACGCACTTCTTTCAACTTTAGCCCAGCTGATGCCGAATTTGCCCTGTTTTCCTTTGAACCTCAACAACGCGCCCATCGACGTCATCGTGATTGGGGTGTTCTGCAACGGAGCCTGCACACTGTTCTCGTCCCCGCAGAACGTCGCCATTGCCAGTCCGTTGACCGATGGTCCGTCGAAAAGAGTCAAGTTTCCGTCAGTCGTTGTGCAGTCCGTCGGCCCTTCTCCCTCGTTCGAAAACCGATCGAAGGCAGTGAAAGTGATTTGAAGAGCATTGTTGGGAGCGGGTCGGTTGAACACGAAATCACAGACGAGCGAATAGTTGGAGGTGTGGTCGAACGAGTACGTGCCATTGTCAGAGTTGAAATGTTCCCCGCACTCTGAATGTGTCAATGGAAAGCACTATAGCGTAAAGCCTAGAGACATACCTCCTTCCTGCTGCTCACAAAGGTCTCCGAAGAAGCCGGCTGTGCACTCACAGAAGTAGAACTTCTCGTTGAGTCCTTGGCACGCTCCACCGTTCAGACACGGTTCCTCTCGACACGCACTCACTGTTTCACAGTGAATTCCGCCAAAGTACGGTTCACAGTGACAATTGTACGCAGTTTCATTGATAGGCTGAAAGTTCGGTGAGTTCTAAAGAGTGACTGCCCCGTAATGCTGACCTGACAGCTGCCTCCGTTGACACACTTGTGATCGTTGCAGACAGAGCTGAGCGACTTGACACATCCGTCCGGCCCCATTCCTTGTCCGGCATAGCCGTCAGGACATATGCAGTTGTATTCGCCGAAGAAGAAGCCGGGATGCGGTTTGCATGTGGCCAGAGGATGACACCTGTTCTCCTTGCAAATGTCCACCACCGTGCAAGTCCGTCCGTCGCCGGTGTATCCGGCCTCGCACGGATCACAGTAATAGGCGCCGATTGTGTTGTGACAACGGGAATGGGCCGAGCACGGAAGGTCTTCGTCGCACTCGTCGATGTCGACGCAAGAGTTTCCTTGGGCTGTAACCATTTTTTTTTCAATTAATCTAAAGATTACTGTAGCTGATTTCACTGCAATACAAACCTGGCACATTAACTTACATCTGTACCCTACCGGACATCCGGAGCACATGAAAGAGCCGGGCATATTGATGCACTCGACCCCCGGATGACACGGATTCGAATCGCATTCATCGACGTCCTCGCAGACCGGATTATTCTTATCCGACGACACTTTGAATCCCCAGTCACAGATGCATTTGTAAGAGCTTCCAGAAGACGCTTCGGCAGTCGGATCCTGGACGGTCTCGATGCAGTGTCCGTGCGGTCCGCACAGTTCGAAAGTCTTTGAGCAGGCGGACATGTGGAATTGGCACAGTGGTCCGTGGTATCCGGACGGACAATTGCACTCGAAACCTCCCCTTTTATTGACGCACGTTCCGTTGTTCTGGCATCCGGCGATGGTTCCGTTGTAAATGGAACACTCGTCCACGTCGGCTTCGCACGTTTCTCCGGTGAAGTGAGGAGGACAGAGGCACAGGAACTTGGTGCCGATGCGCGGAATGCACGTTCCTCCGTTGCGACATCTAGCCGTCTCGCAGGCATTCATCACCAAGATTTTATTGATTTTACTGTAAGAATACTGCGATAGGGGGAACAGATCCATTAGTACTCACATAATCTGTCGTGTCATTTTGACGAGCAATCCTCTCCGCCTCGCATCCCGCAGATATTTGTCCGCCTTCCATTTTTTCAGCGCATTCACCTCTTGTGACACGTTTCGTATCTGTGAAAGAGAGAAGCGTCGCTAGGAGGAGAAGAGTGTACTTACTGCTGTCATGAAGATTTTGGAGGCATTGAGCATCGCTCGAATTGTGGATGTATGGAATACTTGGCGGCTTTGGAGAGAGAGGAGCAACTGTGCACTGTTGTCGAAACGACGTACCAGATTGTTGAAGGAGGCCTGAAATCTCGAGATTTAATAGGATGCAGTTCATCTTTTCTATCAAAAATACAGTACTTTAAGAATTTCATAACGTGAACTTCCCTCTTTTCATTATTAGTTTTTCAACTGCGTGACCTCCCGCATCCTGCTGCCCAATCCACGTGGCAATGCCTTTGCGTTGGTGACCATCACTCGGCCAGTCAGTTCTCAAAAAGCTCAGCGAGAAAATGGGAAAGAAGAAAGGAGATTCGGCGTCGGGAGGAGGAGCGATCCCCGAAGGAGACTACGAGAAGGGAAAGAAGGTGAGTTGGTGTCTGTACGATGGCCCGCACTCCCGCCCCGCTTTCAGATCTTCAAACAGCGTTGCGAGCAGTGCCACGTGGTCAACTCGTTGCAAACGAAGACGGGCCCCACGCTGAACGGAGTGATCGGGCGCCAGTCGGGACAAGTGCCGGGCTTCGACTACTCGGCGGCCAACAAGAACAAGGGCGTCATCTGGGACCGACAGACTCTTTTCGAGTACCTCGCCGACCCGAAAAAGTACATTCCGGGCACTAAGGTATCATCTCCATTCCTTTCGCATCCCCATCTCTCTCTCCGTTTCAGATGGTGTTCGCTGGGCTCAAAAAGGCCGACGAACGGGCCGATCTCATCAAGTTCATCGAAGTGGAGGCGGCGAAGAAGCCGACCGCCTAGACGGACGGCTCTCGTTCAGTACAAAGTGCATGGAAAAAGTTATAGGAGTAATGAATGTAGATGATGTTTTAATGAAGGTGGAGAGCATGAACACTTTTGTTTTATTCCTTTCTTACCGTATCCGGCAACCTGGAGACGTCCGTGTCCTCCACATAGATCTTTCCGTTTCCGGTCGTCTTGAAAGTAATGTTTTTGTCTTTTCCGGCATGCAACCACACATTTCCGTCGACCATCAGAATTCGAGATCTGAAAAAGAGTCGTCGATTACTGTAGCTACCGTACCACCGTACCTGGTCTCGTATTCATCCTCAATTCGAATCTCGTCATAGTCGATGGCGGCAGCACTTATTAGGAGTCTTGAAGAAAACAAGAGCAAATAAATTACCATTAAATTGGGTATCATTGCGTTTTGGTAGGCTGAATGAAGGGCGAGTTTGGGGAAAAATGAGTCAGGGTTTGGGGCGGAGTTGTTTATGATATCGATACTCGATGAGCAAATGTTTATGAATTAGGGGGCAGGTGAATAGTTTACGTTAGTTTACGTAAGAGAACACCTCCAATTGAGATTGGTTTGCAGAAAATTTCGCAACCAGGGACCTCGACTAACCCTCGACTATCATTACAATTTTTGAGACTTAACTTAGAAACTAACATTTTCGTGAAATATTAGACACCTCAGATAATGGAAATGTGATCTACACAGTTACATAACAGTTAACGTATCACCAGTTTGCGATGGAGCTCAATTCCAATCCACTTCTCCTTCTTCTTGTCCATCCCGAGTGTTCTCCCAGAACAGCTCTTCCTGCTTTCTCTCTCTCTCTCTCTCTCTCTCTCTCTCTCTGTTTCCATCAAGTGTCATTCATTAGTATTCGCATTCCTTCGCTCCCTTTCCTCTCTTTCAAGAAAAGACACATAACTCAATTTCCGTCCCCTTTTTTCTTCGGGCCGTCTGTCCGCGTCTGCTTTGCCTTCCTGCCCAAATGGTCAAGAACCCCCCCTCTTGCCCCCAAATGAGTGACATTTCTCCGGAAACATTCTCGCTTTTCCATCATTTCTTATGAGTTCCGGTGATTTTCTGAGAAACTGAGAGGCTCAACGAAAAGAATCGTTCTTCTTGAGAAAGTTTGAGAATGTCTTGAGATAGTTTGAGGACGGCTTTGATCAGAAAGAACTGAGAATTTATTGAAAGCCCATGCCTACTGGCACAATCCGTTAGATCTTTATGGATCCATGATTACTTGGGAATGAAACGTAAACTAGTGTCGAAACTATAACGAACAAGGAGATTTCACTGAAATCTCCTTTTTTTGAAATTTTACCTGAAGACCCGGTCGCAATGTTCGCGGGAGAGCCGCGCAGCCGGCTGTCAATAAGGGTCTCTACACTCACTTTTGGCGAGAACGATCCTCTTTTTTCTCCTTGCCCAACCCGTCTTTCCAGAAGGCCGCGTCGCGCGCACTCACTATTTTGTCCAATCGCTGCGAGAACAGTATTTGACCTACCCTACGCGAAACGTCTCAAAGACCGAGAAAAAAGAAGACACCCAAAAGAAAGTGAAAGCAACCAAAGCCAACCTAAAACTCATCAATTTCGCGCGTCGCTTTGAAATTCATCACTAAAAGTTCCTCTGCTCGCCCCATTTTTCGGTGCTTTCCCCCCATTCTCACCCTCTCCTTTTCCCGCCGCCCATTTGTCGTTTTTTCTCGTTCGAAACCCGCACAAAACTCATCAATTTTCAAGGCTCCGAGCGGCGGGCGGCGCCATGTTCTTTTTGTTTCGCCTTTTTGCTTTGGCTGAACGAAATGTTGCGGATTTCTACTTTTCACACTACTTTTTAGCAGATAGATGCGAGTGTTTTCAATTTCTGCGACGATATCGAAAACTGATAAAAATGCAATTTATTTGCGCGGAGAAGTGAAGAGTAACGTTGTTTTTCCGGAACATTGGAGACGAATCGGAAATCGAAATCCTCAACACTTTCGGTTTTTTCTTTGCCACTCGTAGGAAGTAGTTGAGCCTAGAACGTTACCTCTGAAGGTATCTTTTGCACAAAGTTGCACGCACTGATATTTTGAAGCACTTGCAATAATCTGATCGGACTGAAACTTTGGACCGAAGATACTTCAGTCATTTGCCCAGCTTTCATGCACTTTCCACTATAATCCAATTCTATTCTCAACTCGCAGCTCATCCAGACAATCCTCATTCTTCTCGGTCGAACAAAGAAAACGAACATTGTGTGATTGGAATTAGAGACTAATCGTTTTGCTATTCTATTCTAGCTCCGCACGTGAGTTCTTCTCGAAACGCTTCGCAACCGAGACACTCTGCAACCACGTATAATGGAGCCAGAGCCAGATATTGTTGATTCTCCCCTTCTCATTCACTTCTTCTCCCCCCACCTCTGTTCTGCTCCCTTTTGTTGTTATTGTTGTGTTGTTACTATTATTACTACTTCTTTCTTCTTCTTCTTCTTCTTCTTCCTTTTCGTCTTCTTTCCTTCTCCTTCTTCTTCTCTTTTTTCTCTTCTTTTTGGCTGAGCTTCAATTGCATTTCTACTCGAGTTACTCGGGGCCCACCACCACCACCATCCTATTATTCTTTCCGGCAATTCCTTCTGTTTCCCATTTGTGTCTCTGTGGAGGTGAGATGCGAACAAAGTATAAATTGTGTGGTTAGACAGAAACGAAGGCGGTGCATTGCAAATGACGTGAAGCGGGATATTCAGAATTGGAAGAATCTGAATCAGTTTTCACTTACTTTCTATTTCTGCGCAGGCTTCTTATTAGGTTTGTATTGAAGTGTCTGGGGTTGAGCAACCCGAAGTTGACGTCGATCGGACTATTGTAAATTGCTCAAAAACCTGGCCCACTACTGAAATTCCCGCTGAAATTTTAATTCCTGACATGATTTCGAGCTCTTGAATCTTCAATATCTTCTCTGAGATCTCATTAGAAAGTAGTCGAATCTTTGGCTCCAAATATCTCCTGGTGCACAGGCCGGCAAAGTGTAAGGGGCACTGGAAATGGTGAAGCTGTAACTTCCCACAGAAACCTTACATTTACCTCTATCCTGGCTCCTTTTGAAGAACAGAATACCACTGTACTTTTATCAAAACATCAAAAATCCCTTTTGCTTGATTTCTAGAGATACATTGGAAAACCCGCTAGGTATTGCGGTAACGGTGTGGTCTTAATTCATTTTCAGGTAGAAAACAGCTTCACTTTCCGAACAAGTGTTATTTCACGAAAAGCAAAAGCGCTGATACGCAATTCAACAAATTCTGTAACCTTTAAAATGATCTGTTTAGGTTTTGAGGCGGAAAAACGCATTCGCGCACTATCATATTTCACCGCCATCTTCTTCCTCACTTGCCCATTTCCTCTTTTTCCATTTCGCCCCCCCCCCCCTCTCCATTGGGCACCAGTTGACGTCCTCGAGTCTATAATTAAACGGACTCCTCTTCTCCTCTCCTTTTTTTGATGGTTTTCACATATAATTTTCAATTTCCGGTTTGCACCACCACGCACTTTTCGTCGCGCACAACCAATTTATTGTTTTGTGGTGCTCGCGCGGAGCCGCTCTCCGCGACGTCCCCCCTATCATAAATTTTGCGTCGCCGCTCGGACCGCTGCCCGTTTTTCCATTTCGGTCACTCTTCGTTTTATGGGTTTCGGTGGCCGCCGGCCCATTCTCGTTTCGAACGTGCTGCCCAATCTTTGGACGTTTCGCAACCCACCGATTTTTCGATCTCTCACTCCAGAATGTGTACAAGTTGCGAAATGAGCATTTCCATTTTTTTTTTGTCTAAAGGCTATAGCCACAGCAATTCTGACTTAGGGTAAGGGGAAGAAGTTCTGAGATTGGTCACGCAAAAGCCCATCTAAGAACATGTGCTCCGTTCTAAAAGCTAAAAAAGAGCAGCAATTAGAAGCGCTCCATTTCCTGCTTCTTCCGGAACATTTGGCTCTCGGCTCCAATTTGCTCATCAATCGGTCATGTCTCATTGGCCAATTCTTTCTTATTTCTCCCCTAACCCAGTTTCTTTTGGCTCCAGCAGAAGCTCATAACGCATTTCTCCTCGCTGCTCTTTTCATTACTCGGAAAGGGAGGAGAAAGTGAAAAGAATCCGTGATGAACTCTTCACAAACTTCTTGTCCCCGGGGACCTTTTGCCTCCCGAAAAAGGTGTGAAAAGATGGATGGATCCCTTTTTCGTCTTTTTCGTGCGCCCAGAAAACGCACTTTCTTCATTTCATTTATATATGTTTGAAAGAAAAATTGGGTTCAGCGCATAGGGAAAACTGAGGGGAAACGGGCGGCTGGATCCAAATGAAAAATGTGTCCCGTTCGTCCCCTCAGGGGGTTTGGGCAAGATATACATGTGCACACGTGCTCGTTTTTTGGGACGAGCTTGTAGACGTTTCCCTCAAAATCACTTTTCGACAAGAACCAAAAAGTTAGTCCTAATAATGGTCCGTGAGTATTTCGACTTGGCTAAAACAGTTTCATTTGCACTCTTAATCTCTCTTCGCTGAGCTCCTCACTTTTCAACGTTTCCCAATATTTCAGCGATGCCGACACCTTTCTTCCTGCTTGTTTTCCCCCTCATCGTGCTCTCCTCGTACGACGAAGATCTCATAATCGAACGTCGGCCTCACCACGTGGATTGGGAGGATCTGTTCATGGAGTACAATCGGTACAGCGCTCCGAATCGTGTCCGACAAGAAGTGAACGTCACGATCGAAGTGGTCGATGTCCGCGAGGAGAGAGTCATTTTCGAGATGAACCAGAACTGGAGGGACGAACGATTGCGATTTGTGGGCGTGGCCAGAGTTCCGGTAAAGTTCAGAATTGAGAATGGAGGGATTATGGAAGAGATTGCAGGTTCCGTCGCACATCCAACCATGGTACCCGGACACGTACATCAGAAACGGATGGGATGTAGTTGTGGAGCAGAAAGTTTGGATCTTAACTACGACGGTACATTCCTGCTCAGACAGAAGTATCAGGCGACTGTCAGTTCCGACGAGGCGACGAAGGTGAGTACAACTTTCTATGTCAAATTGATAATAACAGTGTTCCAGGACCTCTCACTGGTCATCAGTTCGTTCAACAACTACGGTACTGACCGTATCCACTTCAACCTGATCGCCTCGAAAGTCGACCTTCCCTCCCACTCGCATATCACTTCAAAACTTTCCGTCCGCAAGTTCGACGACCTCCGCTTCGACGATCTCGAGATCACGGTCCATTCCAGTCCGCTCGCTGCTGCGATCATCTCCAACTCCACTTACTGACACGTGTCACTCACCCCATTTAGTACATCCATAACCACTTACTTTTCGCTTCTAATAACTTCATATCAATTGGGTTTCTTTTTGTCAACACATTTATCTAAAGGAAAATGAATAAAACATGACTGAATTCGAGTGAGATCTGAGTAAGAGTACACCGGAAATGAAAGAGAGAGAGAGAGAGAGCTTTGAAAGGGGATTTGAACGTTAATGAAGTTATAAGCACGTTGGTAAAGGTTTCTGTCTTCTGAATACCGTTTTAGTCGGGATATTCTGAACGGCAACGTCTTCGGCAGTCGCAGAGACTACAATTTGGAAGATTCTGGACTGCTGGACGTCGTAGAGATTGTTGAAGAACAGGATGAAAAGACAGAGAAGTTGGAGGACGCACACCTTCGGAGGAGCTGCAAAACGGGTGGAATAGACGGGAGAACTTCGTGCCCATTCCTACCAAAAGTGTCACAATAGATATTATCTGCATAGTCTTGGATATCCTCTTTCAAAGGAGCATGGGCGGTGATCAGGACCATAACTCCAATGCATCGGAACAAAGTGGGCATCCCAAGACTCTGAAACATCAGTTTCTGTGTTTCCATTCACAAGTACGCTTATTCACTTCCGTGAAGTTTCTGAGCATCAGTTTGGACATTGACAACATGAGCGCCATTGAGAAGCAAATAGTGTCGTAGGGCAGGTCTGAAAGTGACGGAAATCATAGAGTTTGGAGGAGTTGTATTCTGTTTCTATTACATTTCTTGTCGAATACAACGTGTAAGGCTGAGAGAAGAAAATAGGCAAGGTAGACGAGCACTTCGTTCAGGACATAGGCGGCGCCTGAAATGACTTACTACTAGACATCTTACTAGATTTCTCCGACACGAAAGCTCCCGCTTACCGATGAACGCGGACGTCAACGTTCTCTGCTCCATAAAAGTGTTTTGACGTGGATGTACGCGTTCAAAATCATCGGAACCATGACGAACAGCAGGCCGTATCGCATTCCAGTCTGCAACATTCGAACGAGTGTTTTGTTTTTGTGGATTGGCATTCCAATTGGCAGACGTTGTAAACTGTATATGTGGCTACGAAAGCAACGAAAATCGGCGTGAGCGCGTGCGGGCGCGGTTATCCAGTTTCCGCTGGTCAAGTATATTAGGAGTGTTCCAAAAAAAAAAGAAGAAGAAGAAGCGAGTATGAGGGTGGAACTGTGGTGATTGATAATATTTGATATGAATGTCAGAATGGTACTATGAACTTCGAGCAGTTCTCCGAAGCTGTTTCTTTGGCTTAAAGCAAGTAGCAACCAAAAATGAAACTCTTTTGCAGTCACTATTCTATGTTCCAAGAAGCCAAGCCAACCGAAGCCCTTATCACTTTTCTCTTTTGTCCATCTACCCTTCGCTTCCCTTCAATTTCTCTTTTTTCCCCCGATAAATTCGCTATCATAATGTGGATGAATGCAGTTCATCTCTGATCGCGATCCCGTTGTTTCCCTTTTCACCTGGACACTCGAATACAACTGTGTTGCGCGGAAGATCGACGTCGACCAATCGTGCTCGTACGTTTCGTTTCGCTTCTGAGAGAATCGGCATTTCGGGTGCCAAAAGGAGGCAAAAACTCACGTTGCAGAAGCTGTAATTTCCGAATCCGAAAGTGTAGTGGGACATGTTGAAGACGTAGAAACGATTCCAGGATAGGCCCAGATTCTGTTTGGTTCCATCGTCGTTGTAGACCCAGATCTCGCCGTTTCCGGTCTCGTTGAACTGAAAGAAAAACATTGGTTCTCAGTTTAAAACTATCTGAATTCAAGGGTCAGACAAGTTCATCGATAATCATTACAGATAAACATTGAAATAGCATAGCAACCTAAAGCATTCCAAGTATCTTGCACTTTATTGACAATTTTACCTCATGGAATTGGTACCCTAGAATCATGTTCAATTGAGTGCAAAACTCCTATGAGCTACAGTAATCGTCTAAATGATGATACAGAAATGTGTCAACTCTTTTTAAGCGATTTCCTACAAACTCTACAAAGCACGCCCTTTTTCGGCTTTAACCGCTACTGTATTACTGAAACAATGATTCACCTGAAAAGTCTCCTTAACGTATTTCGTGTAATTCGGATTCATGTCAATTTCAGTGACATGCGGGTGAGCAGCCACCCAAAGAGCAATCGAATAAGTGCAAAACGGCACGATGCCGAACACCAAAAGGGCGAATCGGAGGCTGACGTGGATGTGAGCAATGTCTTCTTCTTCTTCCGGAGCACGAAACGGATGAAGTCTCGTTTTGGAAGAAGACCGAGACGGAGGACGATGCAAGTGTTTCGATATTGTCATTGATTCTAGAAAAGGCATGAAGATAATAGATGGAGAATTTATAAATGATTCTGGAAAAATACATATGAAATGACAGTGATAAATGAGTGATACACAGAAACACAAAAGAGGGTACCCGTGTGCGCATTACACAGTGTATGAATGATGCGTAGAAGAAAAAGGAGGGAAGGCAGGCAGGCAGGGAGGCTACAAAAATGTCCCCCCGGCCGAAATCAGCAGTGTCTGGGTGCGAATGACAAGAAAAAGATTGGGTGATGCCACAGAAAAGACAAGGATCAGACGGTGGGGGAAGAAGCCGGCGGTAGGAGACAATTATAAGAAGGGAAGCGAGGAAATGTGTGAAGAAGCCACTTGAGGGGCGGAAAAAGGACATCGATTGTGGAGGTACATGAAGAGTGAGATCTAAAATATTTACTCGGTTGTTATGATATTCATCCGCCAACTGAAAACGCTGTTCTTTCAATCGACCCAAATGCTTTAAAACGAACGGCTTCACGACTTATTACTCATCGCGACCTGACATCTATTTGCAGCGGCAGCGCTAATAAAAGTCTTTGTACAGGATGTGTACGGTAGCTTTCTTAATGGAATCGATACAATGTTTAAAAAGTCCACTGAGATCTTATCTGCCAGTCTATTTTCTTGTATACGTCAAAAATGATCGTGATGTAGGCATCTTCAATTTTAAGTGTCATGACGTAATCTAGTCGGCCATCTGATTTGTGATCCACAACATTATTTCTTCTGCATTTGAGTCAGAAATCGTCAGCTTTTTCGCATGGGAACCGTTCTTATTTATCTGTTTTGATCGAATGCGTTTGTAGGATGATCAAAAGTACACTAAAAACTTATTATATCTGAGAGGATCGGATGATTAGTGTGCTTGACTTTTTTCATGGATTGCGCAATAGAAACGTTCTAAGAAGGAATGGAGCGCAGTGTGTAGGATGGACATGGCTAATGATTTCGATTATGAAGGCGCCTACGCTTGGCAACCTAACAATCTCAACGAAAAATGTATGGAACGGTAGGTTATCCAAAGATTTCACAGAAATTTACATTGTTAAGAAATCGAAAACAAAAGCGGCTTTCTGATTGCAAATATTAAAATTGCGATGGAAAAGAAACAAATCTAGAATCTCGTAAGCATCACAACAATGGCTTGCTAGCCTGAATGCGAAAGTGGCTTCCTAACGGGATTACGCATCAGTGTAAATGATGGGAGGAACTTTCCGGCAAACAGTGCAAACCATGTACACTTTCAGTTACATGTATCCCTTTCACTCGAAATCAGATCAAAATTGCGTTGCGTCACGAATTAACAATAGATTGCAGGCAGCGAAAGACATTCGGAAAGCTTTTCTAGGCAAATGAGGTGCGTCTCCCAATCGTTCAAGGCGATCTTCCGTGTTAAACCTGAATAATTTCTGTTTTTTGCGGTTACATGACGTTCGATTTCGTGTTTTGAAGGATATATCAAGCTATGGACATCAGACAAAAAACAACCGGTAACGAGGCTTTACCAATGGCACGCAAGTTCTGTCTGTGTGTGATCTGATCGAATGATTTTTTGATGACTGGTGATTAGGTATGCCAAGCGCGTCATTGGCAAGCGCATAATGGAAAACGTTTCTGAGGTGATTCAATGGGTTGATGTTTTTTCGGAGGATAACAAGAAGGCGCTTGATTATCACCTTGGCCTGGCTACATGTAGGCTTCAAAATATTGCGCAATTGACTAGAACATTCCTAGAAACCATGTTCTTTCTGACCTGCAGATCACGTTCTCGTCGGCGCTCTCCTTTATCCGAATACTTTTTGTGAATATCTACAAATATCGCGACGAACACGATGAGGAATCCGATGGCCGCCCAGAATGTGAGCTCGTGACCGTACATGATTGTTGACAGAACGATGGAAAGCATCTGGAAAAGAGAACGGTGAGCAGGACATGAAGGGAACGGAACCTGTCGAATGGTCATGATCACTGCGAACACAATCGGTCCGAACTTCTCGATTGTCGAGTAGATGAAGATCTGTCCGATGGCGCCGGACAGAGACAGAAGAAAGACGTCGCGGGAGAAGTCGACGTGCTCGGCTCCGAACTTGAGAGAAGACCACAGAGTGCCCTGCTCGATCAGGGAGACGGCGCAGAAGATGGCGGAGAAGAAGTTGACTCCGAACATCATCTGCATTCGTCAGATTGGAAAGGAATCGAGTAGAGGGGATGGGGTACCTGGTACTTGGATACTTTCGGTTTTGTGTCGAAAAGCGCTTTCTGCCAGTTGAGTGTGAATGCGTCGAACAACAGGTATCCGGCCATCAGGACCATTCCGGAAAACTGAAAATAACCTTTCTCAACAATTTATGTCATTTTTGAGAGGAAAACAAAACCCTAGAATTGATTGTGAGATGGCCAGATCGCTTACCGAGGTATAAGTGATTGTGGAGCTGCCGTTCGACGAGCTGAGCAGGAAGAGACTGGCTCCGAAGGCAATGGTGCATCCGCATCCGTACTCGAACCACGAGTACTTCTGCCCACGCACCAGCCGTCCCATCAGCATCGTCACCACGACTTTCGAGGCTTTGCAGATGGTTTGCGTGGGGAACGACACGTATTTGAGTGCTTCGTACTGGCACCACGACGAGATTGTGTTCGAGAACGAGGTGTACGAGTGGACGTAGAGCGGAGGCACGTGCGGGGGTTGTCTGCAATTGGGATTGCAGAAATTTGATGGTGGGGAAAGTTGGTGCTTAGTGTTACTTTGTCCAATCTTTCGTCAAAATCAAGAAGCTGAGCACGAGAGCCACTATTCGATTACAGAATATTAGAAATTGGGTTTCGCCGAACTTTTCTTCCTAAAATGATTTGATTACATTGGTTGTTTGTGAGTCCGTATCCTCCTCACCACTTCCAACTCATCGCTCCTCCGATACCCGCGCGTGATAATTCTCTCCTGCAGCACTCCCATCGCCACGAGAGTCACTTGGATTCCGCTGAAGAAGAATAGCAGGAGTACAGCGGCGTGGATGCACTGATTCCGCGTCTGCGGCATCGGATCCGTAACCTTCCGCGCGGACGCCGTCTTCTCGCCCGTCGGAATCAATTGATATTCGGGGTTGCCGACGGCGAAGCTTCGAATAAGCTGACGGATTGAGAACTGGGGGCATTCGAATGCTGAAAGGAGTTTGTTCTGGTTGGCACTGGTGAGAATAACTAACCGTGTCGATTCTTCCGGACGTAACAAATGAGGAGAGCGGCCGGGATGGCGACTGTCGAGTATCCGAGCAGAATGAGAAGAAGACGGAGGGGCCATACCAACTCATCCGGCGGTTTGTCACGGGCCTAAGGTACGAGATTTGTTTGAGGGCATACTAGAAGTCAGTTTAGATTCTAAGCAGCTATTTCCATTATGTTGTGAGATCAAACATCTAGCTAATGCGCTCACAACTTTTGATCGCTAAAGGCGAAAGCAGCTCTGTTCAAACAAAAAAGGAGACGAGTATGATTTTGGATTCTGCGGCGGAATCAGAGACTATCCTACGAACATTATCTAATCTGCGTTTTCAATTCTTATACCTCAATCAAATACTGGAGAAAAGATCCGGAGATGGACTGAATCGCGTACCATCCTCGTTCCCAACTCAACGGATCCATTAGGTCAGATCAGCGCCGTTTGCGATGTTTATAGATTGAACAAATACACGGCCGACAAAATGCGTATTGTTTGTTCAGATTTCGAGACAAAATTCAAATCGAATGAACACACGGGCCAGCAGAAGAAGAAGAAAGGTGAGATCGATTCCAAAAATGCGGGGCGAAAAATCCCCCGTTGGTTTAATCGGATGGAAATGAGAAAGAGAGCGGGTAATCCTTCTCACTGTCGACCGGTGTGCAGACCGAAAAGCAGAGTGAATGAGCGGGGCGAAAAGGACGATGTGATTGGAATCTCTCGTCCGAACGGATCTCCTATCTTTTCTTCCCTTTTCAAAGGTGGACGCTCGGACGATTTGCAAGAGGACTGAGGAGGTCGGGAGAAGAAAAAATATGTCTCTGATGTTTTGAGACAATGTTTTACTTAAAAACAGATGTGGCTCAGAGTTCACGTCCCTTTTCGCCCAAAGAAAAAGAAAAAGCAATGAACAAACCCTTACTGAAATACTTTGAAGAGAATGTCTGTGGCCCCATATATATTATGAAGGTTTGCAATATTTTTAAATTAACAGTCGGTGCTAAACGCCTTTGAAATGTACTAAAATGAATACCACTTGAGGTTGGCCCGTATGTATTTCTATAGTTTTTTAGAGCATGGACCCAACTGTTTTGGCAATTTTCAAAAAAAAATCCCTGTGAGAAAAAAACCGTTCGTGGTGTCGGATCGTTCGGGATGTTCATGATCATCGGATAACATCTCTCTACCTTTCCATTCTTTAGTCCCTTTCTTTGAAATGCAGATTCTCAGCGATAATAAATTTTCTGTTTCTCTTACCAAACTCAGAAAAGCTTCCATTTTCCACGGGTGCAAACGCGCTCTACAAAATATTTTCGGACCGGCCAATGTCGCCGGTCGCCACGTTTTAAATATTCGTTGGCGTCGTGCCAAGTCAGTGATAATTTAATATTTTATTTTATTTCACACGTATTACCCCGCTGTGCCCCATTTTTTAGTGCAAGTGAATTTGACCGAATATTTCTCTACTTTTTTCGGCGAAACGTTATCTCCGTTCGGAGATCAAATCTTCGGAACCACTCACCGGGACATCCATTATGCTTCGATCCACTGCAGGGATTCTGAAGGGTAAACATCAGTTTCGATAGTCGATTTGAACTAAGGAATTTTTAAAATATTCAAGAAATTTCCATATGTAAACGGAGAGCCGGGGGAACGAGCCGAATAGGCGTGTTTGGTCAGCATACAAAATAATTTATCATCAAAAAAATGTGGGGCGAATGGAAAACTTTCTGGATTTAAAATTGAACACAACGATTTTAGGGGAGAGAAATTTGAAGAAATCGATCGATAAGAGAACAATGATTGAATTGAAAAGAAAGGTAAAATGATAAGGATAGCAGGAACAGACGGGACGAAGCTTGCGAAGTACTCGAGAGGATACTCGTCGAATTTTTGGATTTTTAATGATGAAATCCGACAAATATTCACAATAACCTCTGCGAACTTTCTACAAGGACATTTCGGGAAAAAAGGATAAAAGGTAATAAAAACAGGAAGCTGACGCAATCCTTCTACTTCTCGCCCTCATCCGAATCTGAATCCGACTCCGATGAATCAGAAGACGTCGAAGAATCGGAATCGCTGCTCTCCGACAGGTCCGTGTCACTGTCGCCCTCTCGCACCTTTTGCTCCTCCCCTTCCTTCTCTTCGTTTCCTTCTACTTCCTTCTCCGCCGGAGCATCCAAAGTCTCCTGAGCAGCAGCCCGGGCGGCCTCTTCCTTCTGCTTCTTCCATCTGGCGGCGGCCTCCAGCAGCTTGAACGATCCTTTGGCGGCCTGATCTTGCGGGAAAATGTAGTCGAAGTACTCCTCCCAGCCGGCGTCCACGCCGTCTTCCGTCTGGATCTGACGACGCTTCTTCACTTTACGCGGCATCATCGCTTCCACTCTGAAAATCGGTTGCAATCGGTGAAAAAGAAACGGAAACTACCTCTTGAGCGCGTCGACATCTCCACTCTTTGTCTCGCACTCCTTCCACGCCTCCAAAAGCATCAGCCTCTCCTCTTTCTCCGCATTTTCTAGTGACTGATTCGCCTTCTCGTACACTTTGCGAGCTCCGTCGAAATTTCCGATCGTCTGCTCGAACTCGGCCATCGAAATCCACACTTTGATGTGATTCGTCCGCTGCAGAAGTGTCTCGTACAGCTCTCGTGCCTTCTCGTGTTCTTCCGATGCGATTTCAAAGTCGATGTATGCTTTCCACAAAAGTTCGGGCATATCGAGTGCCGGTTGTTGGACGGCAATGTCGAAAACCGCGCGAGCACGGTCCGTGTCTCCCAAAAGCGTTTCCAATTCAGCGAATTTGATCCACGTTTGCGAGCTTTCCGGCGAGTTTTCCAGGAATTTCTCGTACAGTTTTCGGCAACGATCGAATTCGCGCAGCTGCAGTTCCAGGTCAATGTAGGCGCGGAACAACTTGTCTTTCGGGCACTTTCCGATTGCGACACCCTGAAACCATACGAACTTAAAACTTGGGAAAAATGAGAGATCAATATAAAGCACATCCACTTCTTCTTTTTCAGTAAAACTAACCAAAATTTTTCTGGCGGCTTGCAAATCGAGTTGTCGGATCTCAAAATGAGCGAACAGGATCCAGACCTTGGCAAAAGTGAACACTTTGTGCGGAATGATCTCCAGACATGCTTTGTAGACCTGGCGAGCCCGTTCGAAGTCCTTTGCGACAAGTTCTTCGTAGAGGGCGTAGTTGATCCAGAGATAGATGTAACGACGCCAGTAGCGCTTCTCCTGAAAGAACTGACAGCGACGATGAGGAACTTTAACGTGGGATCGTTTGGGGAACTTTGTTTCATCCGAATTTTTTCAAAATCCTGAATCTCTTACCGAGTGAGGCGGAACATTCGCAATGGCTCTCTCGTAAACGTCCTCCAACTCCTCGCGGTCCGTTTCCTCGTTTTCCAGAAGTCTCAGATAATCGAACCACGCATCGTAGTTATACCCGTTCTCCTCAACCATCTTCTCGTACTGCGTCTTTCGTTTACTAATGATGACGTCCTCGATTCCCACTCGCTCTCCGAACTTCTTCTCGTGCTGTGTGTAGTGTTTGAAGATCTCCTCGGTCCGATTCGACGGCAGACTGTCCAGTCCGTACTTGAAGATGGCTCTCGCTCTCTCGTGCTCTTTCTGTCTCTCCTCGAAGAGTGCGAATGCGACCAGAACCGTCTCATTCGTATCTTCCTCGCCGAAGTATTCCATGGCTCGTTCGTAGGCCGCCCGTGCATTTCCAATGTATCCGTTTCGCTCCTCGAACTTTGCATATTTGATCCAATTCTGTACATTCACTCCGTGCACGTGCAGGAATCTCTGATAAACCGAACGAGCCCTGTCCACTTCTTTGTATCGCAGCTCGAAATTGATGTAGGTCTGCCACGCCTGCTCTGGCGGTTCCCACTCGATCCACCGTTCGAAAATCTGTCGCGCGCCAGGAATGTTCTCGATCACTTCCTCCATGTACGAGTACTTCAGCCAGAACTGCATCGCCCTCGGCATGATTGTGATGGCTCTGTCGAACACGTTCCTCGCGTGATTGATCTGTTTGCATCGCATCTCCATCTCGGCGTACTGTAGCCACACACTGATCGATCTGTGATCCACGTCGAGAGCTCTCTCGAAAACCGACCGGGCCCTCTGGACTTCGCCGATTGACTCCTCCCACTTTCCGTACTTTATCCAGTTGGCCAACTGCATGCGATTCTTGCGGATTCCGTCTTCAAACTCCTTCCTCTTTTTTCTCTGGTACTCTTTCAGCTCATCCGGATCCGTGATCTTGGTCTTCGGTGCCGGAGGAATCAATTCGAGCTCTCGCTCTTTCGCCTCACGAAGCAGCTGTTCGGCGGTGATTTGGAGTGGAGCTGGCGCCTGAAATTGGGAAAAATGGAATTATTGATTGAAAACATTGATAAAGCTTACCTTATTCTTGACTTTTGCTGCCTTTTTCGGAAGCCGAATGGGCTTATTGCCCGGCATATCCGTTTCCTCGTCACTCATTTTTGATGACTTCTAAAATGATAAAATGTTAAGCTGGAGGAAAATTTAGGAACTCAAAAGAAGAACAGATAAGGAACCGTTGTTTCAGTAGGTTCATTAATATTTGAATGAAGCGCCATTACTAAACAAGGGGGGGGGGGTGTTAAACAGCTTCGTGGCGAGACCGTCCGCCAAAGTTAATGTCAGCACGCGCCTTTTAATGATGACTATTTTGCAGAACCAGAACCTTCGAAGACGCTGAGCTCTGGATGATTTCTATATTTTTTTAAAATCAATTTTATGACACTTTTTGATTAACGAGAGCCAACCCGCATACAAACCCCGCCTTATTCGAGAACCTATAGCCACTTTAGAACATTTATTTAAATCTTTAAAAAAAATTTATCGAAAGAGTGCAGTGGTAGAATGGGAATAAAAAAACGAACAAAACGTATTGTATTAATTTCCAAAAATTTTCTGAATCGACAAAAACGAATTTCTTGCCCCGCAGAAAAAATCAGCTAAAATTCTGGCATTAATACGGAAGGAGGCACTTTTTAAAATTGATTTATAAAAGAAAATTTTTTGCTTTTTTATAGCAAACTGCCAGAAATTGTAGAATACTCCGAAAACAGATAAACCCGCGGAAACAGATCTTCCGAATTGCGCCAATAATTTCGAAAAACAGAGGTGGCCGTGCGAATCCTCGGCCGCGACCGCGCCCGCCAACGGCAGCACATGATTATTCGAGGGTTGTTTTGACGGACGAAACCTCACCAATTCCGTTCGATTTTTACGTGTTTTCTTGTCAAAGTTTTATCGGAGAACGTTGAAAAGTAATTTTTAATTGTAAAAATCATAAATTTTGTTCATTAATCCTTCGGAAACACAAAAGTTCCCGTTGAAATTCGAATTGTCATCATCGCACATAATTACCTTAAAATTATCATAAACTTGTAAGGATGTTTATTTTTAAAGAGAAATACATTGATATCATAAGAAAATATCACATATCAGGAATATTCCGATTCTCAAAGTTTTTGCTGTCAAGATTCAGTAAACAGGGTAGAAAATTCAAAAATTCCGAATTGGCGCCCTCTAATTTGAATCATAGCATCACCTCCCGTTTTTTCCATTCAATTTTCATTCGGTACCCGAACGTAAAATAGCTTCAAATCGTTCATAAATATTTACGAACTCGTGTCAGCTCTGTTTTCTTTTTTAGTTCACGAATGATCAGTGACCAATTGCCGTGTTGTTTTTTGTTTTTCTCTCAAAATGTCTGAAGAAGTTTCGACAAAATTTCAGTGAAGATTGTCAAGAAAACTTGCACTTTCTTGTTTCCTTGTCGCAAAAAGTCATTCGGAAAAAAACATAAAACCAACAACACCTACACGTTTGTCCCGATTGTTCCCGTTATTTTTATTCCTTTTTTCGGAATTCTCCCATAAAAGTTCCCACACAACGCACCACGCGTTCTCTCTTTTCCTATCCTTTGGCTGTCTGTCGTTTCCGTGTATTGTCTCTTGCATTTCTGTCAGTTTTTTCAGCGATTTTCAGCCGATAAACGGCACCAACTCACCGATTTCTTCACAAAACGTCTTCATTTTTCTACACAAAATCCTGTTTCTTTATTATTTCTTTTTTTGATTGTAGCACTCTCAAAACATGGTAGGTAAACGGTCCGCGTCCGCCACACGAGCCGTTCTATTTGAGAGTGATTCGGAAGACGACATCTCATCCGGCTCGGTCACCGAAGTCGAGGACATCGAGGAGGAAGACGCCGATTTGGAGGAGGAACTCGATGTGACTGACATCGATCCGATGGCCAGTGATGGTAAGGAAATCATTTTTCAGAGACAAAAACGTAATATTTAGGAGAAGTGGACGACAATCCGGACGACGTGGACAAGAAGCGCGAGAAGCACTTCCGCAAAGAGATCTGGCAGCTGAAGAAGTTGCCGTATTACGCTGAACTCGAAGAACAGGCCAACCAGCACTTTCTGATGATCAAAAAGGGGTTGGCGGAGTCTGTTCTTCTCAGCGACGCCTCCACTGGATTCTGTCATTGGACCATGGAGCTCGACAAGTACATTGACTTCTACGGAAGACGCTTCTCGAAGGAGGAGCACATCCAGCTGATTAACATCTTTTTGCCGCTCGTCAAGAAGGGATGCATCTATCGGAATGTGAAAATAGCGATGCGCACGTTGTACACTCTTCTCTGCAAGAAAGATTACCTCACTCGTCAGGACCTGGTCATCGATTGGAGACCGTTGATGGATCTGTACGTCGAAGTCGCTTTCAAGGTACGGCACTGTCTTTTTGTTTCTATTCAATTCAACTATTTTCTTCAGAATCTGGAAGAAGACGGAATATTTCTGCTGCCGACGGTTTCCGTTCCGATCTCCACACGCTCATCTTCTACGCGCGCATCTATTTCTCAGATGAATCCGTGCAGGAAGTGCTCGACGAGGTCCGTCCGTACATGTGCATTTGGGATGAGTCGTGTCTCCGCTACTGGAAGCTTCTGGACCTGTTCCTGTGCACCTCGATGCCAATCGAACGCCAGTTTACCCACGGGACCGGTGTCTGGTTCGACGAGGCGTGGTACTGGTACGAGGAGATCACGAACAACTCGCTGTTCGAGACGCAAGCCATCAAAATGTTCGCTCGTCTCTCGGTCGAATGCCCCGGTCACATCGATTGGACCGATAAACTCGATCTGATCTTCTCGCGGCTCCTCCGAGCTCTGCGTCTCGGCCACGTCACGGGACTTTGTCAGATTTTCAACCAGGAATACGGAACCATTTGGCTCGTTTTCATGATGGGAACGAAGGCGCACACAAGCTGATGAGCCACTTGAAGGACCTGTTCAACCAGATTGAGTCGTTCTTGCACCCGTCGAACAACGGACTTCACACCCAGCACATCATTATTCTCATCTCGAAACTGCTCTCGAACACGTTGATACGCTTGAAGAGAGAGAGAAGCGAGAAGACGCAGCACAAGACCAGAACTCTCACAGTGGTATGTTGCAGAATGAATTTTCAGTAGAAAAGTTATATCCTATAATTTCAGATTCCGGAAGAGATGCGTCTGTCGCAAGCAAACCTGGACGAACTCGTCACCATGGTTCTGCCATGCCTCAAACTCATCGCCTTCACGAAAACGTGCAAGGAGCTGGTGAGCCCGACATTCCGCTCCGCTTGTCTTCTCTGCCCTAAAATCATCCTTCCCGTCGTCCTCGACATGGTTTACCCGGCCCTCGAGACCCTCGTGGAGCCCCACAGACTGCTTCAAACTCTCGGAACTCTGCTCGGAGTGCTTATTCCACTGGTGAAAGATGAGCCGGATGCGGAAGGAAAGACATACCGAACCCACGTGATCACCATCATGAATTCCCTCCTCCCGGGTCTAGATTGCAACGATATCGGAAAGTGCATGACTACTTATCAGATCATCGGTGTCATTGTCAACATGATTCCGGTCGTCGACTGTTCGGAAGCGGTCCACACTAGATGCGATCTCACGGAAGACGAGAAGGAACTGTGCTCGGCCACTGCCAACTTCGACTCGATCATCTCGATGCTCATGGATCGGATGTTCGACATGCTGATCGCAGTCGGACAAACTGCCTCCACCACGAGCACCCATGGATCGATTTCTGCGAAGACGGGCAACAACATCGAGGATCAGATCTTCCACCGAGGAACTCTCTCTATTTTCAAGGGAATCTGCAGAAACAGCTCCACCGATCTGTTCCAGATAGCCGTCAACAAGCTGTACTCGGTCGCCTGCGAGCACGTGTATGACAGCCGAATCGCGAACGACGTGATTGCGGATATGATCCAAGTGTCTTGCAAGTTCCGTCCAGAAATCGCGTTTTTGAAGTTCTTCAAGTTGACTCTCACAAAACTGCAGAGCTGCATTTCTGGTAAACGCGTTTTTCCTTTATTCACTCAGAAATTGAAAATTTCAGCTGAATTCTACACGGACGAAAAAGTGGACTTTTCGACACTCTGGTGGCTCTCGGTTGCTTCGCGAATCGTGAAAGTTCATCCGAAGTTCCTCCTCGAGAACTGGCATCTCGTCGAAACGCTCATGGATTTGGTGATGCCGCTGAAGAAATGCACAGTTGCCACCGAAAAGGCGCTGCACATCTTCGACAACCTTCTGGAGCAAATCACCTCGATTCAGATAAATTCTTTAGTCGAACGTCGTAAGATGTATGACATGCCTACCGATCAGTTCCTCGCCATCCGCCATTGGGCGGCTCCAGTTGATAAGAAGACGTGGAATCCTGAGTGGATCATTCCGACACAAGAAGCTATTGATCGGAGCACACAACTGCTCCGCGCCTGGTTTGTGCCTACCATTGATGTGCTCAACAATCCGAATGGAATTCCCAAAAAAGAGCTGTTGCACCGCTTGTTCCTGATCAGAAGTACACTACTCGGATCGTGCTTCTCTCTTCCGTTGCTCGAAGGAGAAATCATTCCACTCACAGAATCCCATATCATCAATTCGGCCCAGGAGCCCGTTTCCGTAGTGAAGCCGAAGGCAACTCCTGAAATTTCGATCGACGGACGGAATGTTCGAGAAATGGCACTGGACTGCACAATCGGCCTGATTGATTGGCTCCTCGAGCACTCGCCGGATGACGTCAAGAGCATTCAGGAGGCGATTTCAATTCTCAGAGGGCTTCCACTGAATCGCGGTTACACCAAGGAGCTCTACAACACGAGTTCGACGAGTTATCGAGTCACCAAAACGATGCTGTGCGATAAATTGGCTGGAAACCGAAGCAATATCGAGATGATTGTGGAAGAATATGTTATGCTTCTTCATAGAAAACGCATTGCGCAAACTCAGGGATGGCATTATAACGAGAAGCACCGACGAATTCAGGACATTCTGTTGAAGGTCGCCACAAGCACGTACAGTGAGGTAAGGATGTTTTTGTGAACCTCGTTAATCTCGATTGTTCGAATTTCCAGAATCGTTCGAAGGCACAAGCAATTCTGCTGGCGAAGCTTCGCGAACATCCGTATTCGTACAAGAAGATCGTCAACGACATTCTTGCGTTCTTGGAACCCGGAAACGGAGTCAGTCACGAGCAGCTGAAAGGAGCACTCTACCTGCTGATCGACGGAAAGAAGCAGTCTCTGATGCTGCGAATGGAGTTCGAGCAGCAAGCCAAAATGTGGCCGGCTCTTGTGAAAGTGCAGCACAGCGAAAAGCCGTCGATCATTGCTCTTCTGGAAACTGCACAGAACATGATTGTGGACAACTACGAGAGCTATCGACTCAAGTACGAATGGGACGAGAAGAATGTGGAAGCGGCGTGGAAGCTTCTGAAGGCCGCTGACGAGTCTTCACCGCTTCACAACGCTGAGCTCCTGAAGGGACCGAGTCAGGAGGAGATTCAGAAGTATTCGGGATATCTAGAGGAAAAGTACACAAAGGCAAAGGCTTCCTATTATCTGCTGATCGAGCGTCTCTTTGCTCTTGCTCAAGATCCCACTCTTCATTGGCGTCCTCTCGATATGGCCTACTCGATGCTCTCAATGCAGGTTCGCCGTGACGCAGCTCTTCCGGACGGCGTCATCAAAATGTTCGTCCGTCTCCTCATCAACGACACCGTCAAAACGCGAAGAATTGCGTCTGCCGTCGTTGCCTCTTGGCTCAAGATCACAAAGCCGAGGGCGCTCAAAACAGAGTACGTGATTCCGTTCAAAGCGGAGAACACGGGACCCGGAGCGAAACATCCGATCGCGTACGGATTCCGCGCGGACAACCGATGCATGATGTACGAGGAGGAGAAGCTGCCGAAGACGGACGAGGAGTGGAACAATTTCCAGTTCTGTGCGAAGCAACACTGGGGAATTTACACGTGGCCAAAGAAACTGATCACTTATGCTCCGCTCAAAGATCAAACCGCCATTGACCGGAACTACGAAGATTTCTCCGATGTCGAAAAGTACATTGTGGACACTTTCAAAGACGAGAAGTTCATGACCCGACTCCGGGAGCTCTTCTCTATTGAGATGAAAAAGGAGGACGAACTGTTCAACGCAGTCCATTTCTCGCTTTTCCAGGGACTTTTCAGGTACCAGTTTTTTAATTCTTTTAATTCTTAAAAGAAACGATTTTGCAGAAGCTACGGTGACGTGTTGACTCAGGACTTCCGTGCCCAACTTGAAATCCTTTTGGCCAGTCAGAAAGAGTACGAGCAGAAGTTGGCTGCCGAGATCACGGCCGGTCTAATGAACGGCTCAAAGCTGTGGAAGTACGAGAAACAGCGCAAATTGTGGAACTGGCTCGATCCATTGCTCACCAAAACGTTCGAGTTGATGAAGGAAGAAGGGCTGCGGAACTGGGGAGTGGCCATTGCGACCGTGTGCGGATGCTCGGAGCCCCGGATGCTGAAGCCACTCATCGATCTGCTGTTCAAGTTGGTGGAGAGACCGACGGAGAATGCGTACGCGGCGAGCAGCCGCATGTTCCTCATTCAGTCGGCGCTCTGCCAATTCGAGTGGAGAGGTGTCGAGTTGTGGAACAAATTGGTGGATATGATGAGGAATTCCCTCGTGCAGCCGTTTGCAAATCTCAGAGATCGTCTGGCTATGTTAGTTTACCTATAAGTTGGATCTCGGCTCATTTCATTCTTCAGCTCGCTCGTCTCTGCCACTTGGTACGACCTTCCAACCGTGTGGACTGATCCATCACTTCCAAAGCGTCTTCAGCCGCCGAGAATCGCAGAGATTACCGCTCTCTACCAGGAGATGCTGAGCAGCTGCTGGGATGAAGTTCGTATGGTTCGTGAGTCAGACATCACTGCCAACGGTTCGAATGGAGCCAATGGAGCGAACGGAAACTCGCTAACAGTGCCAAACGAAGCCAACGGAAACGGGAACGGAGCAGCTGGCTCAATGATCCAGTCTGTATCCAGTGCATCGTTGGCCGAAGTGTCCGAAGTGAAGAAGCAGGCTCGGCTCACCCTACGTGCCGCCATTTCGTTCGTCTTCAACACTTGCAATCAGTCGTACGATGCCTATCCGCCGTGCTTCATTCCGATGCTCCCTCTCTGGTGTCACTACTCGAACGACGTCGGAGACGAAGAACTGCAGAAGACGTGTGTGTCCTTGTGCATCGGACAGATGGAGGCCATCTACATCTCCCCAGAGAATGCGCCGGCGGCCGTGCAGCAATTCCAGCAGATTCTGGGCTCGCCGTGCTGGTGGAAGTCGAAGGTGGCGGCGTTGAAGATGATTAGAATGCTCGTGTTCTCCAATCGATACGTGTTCCGAGCCCACCGGGATGAGATTGGCATGCAGTCCTTTTCATTTCTTCTCACTTATTTTTCATTACAGGAATGATCCTCGTCAACTCGTTGAACGACAATCAAATCGAAGTGCGTGAGAAGGCAGCCGAGTCGCTCTCCACCCTTTTGCAGGCCAAATTCTTCGAAATGACGGCCGAACTCGTTCAAAAGTTCAGCTTTGCGGCTCACTCGAAGGACGCCATTCAGGCTCACGGAGGAGTACTCGGACTGTCGGCTATCGTGCTCGCCTTCCCGTACTCGGTGCCGCCTTTCTTGCCCGGTGTTCTCATGACCATTTGTCGTTTCGCCACTGATAAAAATGCGACGATAAGAGTAAGTATAGAAAATTCAGGAAATATCTGAAAGCGATAATTACAGGATGCTGTGAAACGTGCTCTGTCGGAGTTCAAGCGAACGCATCAGGATTCGTGGCGCGAGCACGAGCAACAGTTCAACGAGGATCAGCTGATGGTGCTCCGTGACTTGCTCATCTCGCCCAACTACTACGTTTAGAAAAACTTCGCTATTACTACTGCGTAGTGATAATGATAGTAGTCGTATGGAATCGTGCTGAGAATTTCAGTGTTTTTCCATTGAGCGCGTATCTTCTGTACTTTCCGCCCACCTCCGATGCCCCGCTTTATCATTTCGCATTTCGCCGGTTTTCCACTTTTTCTTTCCCTTCTCTTTCCAACCTTTGTAACCCTTTCCCTGTTTGTTCCCATTTTAAAACGGTGTTCTTCTCCACTCCAACCCTTTTCTCTTTGCGGCCCCCATCCCAGTTTTATTTATATTTTAACCTTGCTCATATTCACCCAGTATATTTATATTTTTGATGATAATTTCGGTAGTTTTTACATTAAGACCCCGTTGTTCTCTGCAGCATCTGCACTCCACTCACATTTCACGCCCGGAATAACTAGTTTTCTCGTTTTTTTCCGCAGCCTTTTCTTCGAATTCTGTATAGAATGGGCGGAGCAATCTGTACCCTATCCTATCATTCACTATATATCCCCCGGGCGTGGAACGAATTGATCAGAAGTTGAATGAATAAATATTCGAGATTGAAGTCGTCCCCCGACACCTTTTTTGTAGTTTTTAGCCTACTGTAATCGTATAGTCCGATAATCTAAAATTTCTGATTCGTTATTGTGGTGTTCTGATCGATTTTGTACATTTTCTTACTCGGCCCTGTTTGTTGAGGTACTTATTCAGAGCGTTTTCTTACTCTTCTATTATTCAGCGCCTAAATTCTCAAATTTGCAGATGGAACGAAGTGCGCGCGCGTGGATGTCGATCGTCGTCGTTCAGGCGATGGGAAGTGTGTGGATGTGCTACGCGAAGCAGTCGGCCGCCTCGCATTACACCTCCGCCTCGCCCGCGCTTTCCAGGGCTCACGCACTTCCTCTCGCACTCGTCTGCGTGTTACGGTAAGAAGGTTTGCTGCTTTCAGTTGCAAAAATGAGTGTATTTTCGTCTTGTATGCGAATTTTGTATGAAGCAAGACCAGGGATCTGGACTTTTAACATTCTAGTCTTAGTTTGGAATATCCACCTTAAAATTGTCAAACCGATTGGATCATCTTACCTGGATATAAGGTGATTTACGGCCGAAAAGCACTGGCTTTTTGCAAAAACTAGGCTCCAGAGTTAATAATCCGATCGATCTGAAACTTAAACCGAAGGCCGGCATCTCTTCACCATTTGTTTGTCCTAAATCTTCTCTTATTCTCCAGAATCGTGTTGATATTCGACTTCCGGAACCTGGCGGTCCACATCGCCCACATCCTCCTCTCCACCATCACAGCCATCCACACGTTCGCCGAAGTGTTCTTCTACCTATCCATGTCGTACGGCATCGTCACCGTCACCGAAGTCACCCTCAACAGCTTCACCGTCGTCGTCATGGTCACCTTCTTGACGTCTTCCGCCTTCTCGGAACCATCAACTGTGGAAAAGAGAAGAAAACTCGGAAGGTGACTGCGAAGCATTATATGGAGGGAGACACGCTCACTCCGGACGAGGACGACGAAATGGTTCAGGCTTACAAGAAATGGAAGTAAAACTCCGAATTCCTCGCTTTCTTTCAAATTTATCACTTCTTACCAAGATCTTCTTCTCTTTGCTTTATTATTAACACCAAGATCTCTATGTACTTTTTAATGAAAGCTTTATTTATTCGAGGCAGTGTGTGCAAGTCGAAAAGTCATTGGGTATTAGGGAATGAAATCATGGTGGAGAGGCAAGGATCGAGTCTCTACTTTCTTCCGTAATAGTAATAGTACGGCGAGGTGTAGTAGTAGTAGAGTGGCTGAGCGGCCACGTTTCCGGTCGTGGCTCCGCCTGACGTCGTTCCCGACTGATCGTACTGCACATTCTGAGTTCCCTGAGTTCCCTGGGAGCTCTGATCGTACTGCACTGGCTGCTGCTGGGCTCCCTGCTGGTACTGAAGAGTCTGTTGCTGCTGCTGTGGGTACTGTTGCTGTTGGGTCCCTTGTTGCTGGGCGGTGTACTGCTGAGTTCCCTGAGCATACTGTTGAGTTCCCTGAGCATACTGCTGAGTTCCCTGCTGGGCGTACTGCTGCTGCTGTTGAGCGCTTCCGTCATTCTGAGTCTGTTGCGTGGCTCCGGTGGCTCCGGCGGTGCCCACAGCGGCAGTCGGATAATAGTAGTACATTGGCGTGTAGTAGCTCGTCGGGTAATAGTACATATACTGAGCAGAAGCCACAGCGAGCAGAGAGAACAGAGCAAACAGTCTGGAAAAACGAGAATGTTATGGAACAGTTATGGAACACAGAAGAACACCACAACATTGGTTATTCAAAACAATATATCTCAGCTGCACCCCAATACCGTTCTTTCGGTGGAGATATCAAAACGTTGTCAACTAAGAAACTGCTCATTAAACATTGTACACATTTCATCAGTTGACAACTTTTTGATATCTCCACCGAAAGAACGGTATTGGGATGCCGTTGGTAATTGCTAACTCACGTGTTCATTTCGTTCGGTGGTTTGAGACGCTTCGAAGTGAGTCGAAATGGTGCATCTCCCACGATTTCCGTGCCTTTTATACCGCCTCAATGGGAGGGTCGGGTCTACTCCAAACACTTACTGTCAATCAAAAAAGATTTTTATGTTGTTTCTTTTTCTTTTTTCTCACACACACACAACTGCCAAGTTCGCTGGCACAAAGTAACTGTGCAAACTTGAGGTCAAGAGAGCCCGCTCGCGAGAGATCGTGGGCGGCAGAGAGACGCAGAGTTTGTTGACGCACGGCGCGGACTTCAAAGTGAGAATGGGTTTTTCGATGTGGAAGCAGGAGGATAATGATCAGCAACTAAATTAATCTAAAATTAAACTTTCGCTTGAAAAGTACAAGCTCTATATCGCACAAATTGAAAAAATTAGGTAAATTACGCCCTTTAGAACTCTGGATTACTGTAGGTTACTGTAGTCCCCTCAAAGACCACAGGTAAACATGTGTCAATGTGTGTTTCTGTGTGAAAAAGCAAACAATTGCGCTCATCCGGGAGTACACGTAAAAAATGTTACATGAGTATTTCGGGAGGGGACAGAGAACACTTTGTTTACTGGAATGCGCCGAGGAACACGGGAAGCAAGACTCTTGGCAAGGATTACGGTAGATCTGAAACTCTGCTACATACGATTCATAGCCGCAATTTCACCGTGACCCTTCTTTTCGATCCACGTGGCAATGCCTTTCCGTTGATGACCAACAATCGGCCAGTCAGTTCTCAAAAAGCTCAGCGAGAAAATGGGAAAGAAGAAAGGAGATTCGGCGTCGGGAGGAGGAGCGATCCCCGAAGGAGACTACGAGAAGGGAAAGAAGGTGAGTTGGTGTCTGTACGATGGCCCGCACTCCCGCCCCGCTTTCAGATCTTCAAACAGCGTTGCGAGCAGTGCCACGTGGTCAACTCGTTGCAAACGAAGACGGGCCCCACGCTGAACGGAGTGATCGGGCGCCAGTCGGGACAAGTGCCGGGCTTCGACTACTCGGCGGCCAACAAGAACAAGGGCGTCATCTGGGACCGACAGACTCTTTTCGAGTACCTCGCCGACCCGAAAAAGTACATTCCGGGCACTAAGGTATCATCTCCATTCCCTTCGCATCCTCATCTCTCTCTCCGTTTCAGATGGTGTTCGCTGGGCTCAAAAAGGCCGACGAACGGGCCGATCTCATCAAGTTCATCGAAGTGGAGGCGGCGAAGAAGCCGACCGCCTAGACGGACGGCTCGCGTTCGAAGAAAGATTATAACACCCAAAAATGGTATTGCTGTTTAATGAAGAGAGAAATAGTAAATCTGATAATCTTAAAAGACAAGCAATATGTTTATTGAATTCACATAGAAATGAGTCTAAGTATCAAGTTACCAAAATTCAGAATTCAGGGTAAATCACATGCTATAATTCTTGTCATAACCGGTCAGTAGGATATCTTGTCTAGATGCTCCATATTCTTCTTCGGAAGCTTCTATTCCAGATGACTTAACGATAGTTCCAGATGATTCGGATAATCCAGAAGTTTCTCCTGATCCATCTTCAGTTGTTTCTGTTCCTCCGGATGCCTCTTCAGAAGCTCCCGAAGATTTCTCAGCTCCAGAACTCTCATCGGCTGACTCTTCGTTTCCAGAAACCTCTCCCGATGCTCCGGATGCTTCTTCTCCAGATGTTTTTTCGGTCCCAGATGACTCAAAGGTGTCGTCAGCTGATCGGGAGGATCCAGATGTTTCTTCGGCTCCCGACGCTTCTCCAGAAGACTCCTCAGTCCCAGAAGCCTCTGCTGATGCTCCGGATGCTTCTTCTATCCCCGATGACTTAAAAGAGTCGTCAGATGATTCGGAGGCCCCCGAAGATTCTTCGGTTCCCGACGCTTCTCCAGGAGCTGCTCCCGATGCCCTCGATGCTTCTTCTCCAGAAGCTCCTTCGGTTCCAGATAACTCAACTTCTCCAGAAGCCTGTCCAGATGTTTCAGATGCTTCAGCATCTTTCTCGAGTGATTCAGAATACACCGGAGCTTCTGTTTCCTTCGGTTTCTCCGTTGAATACACTTCTGTGGTCGTGGTCGTCGCCGGCGTCAACGTCGATTTCTCATTTCTGGCTCATCCAAAAACGTGGCAGTAACATTGTTTTTCTCCGAAATGTTCAACGCTTTCGTCTCATTTTTACTGTACATGTCGAGGACTGAAAGGAGGAATTCTCCGAATTTCTAAATGAAAGGGATGATCTTACTGAGCTGATCCAAAGTCTTCACACTGATGTCCAACGGCGATTCAATCGGTTTTAGTTCGGGGAGAGCACGTGGCAACGGGACACCGTTTTCGTCAAGAGGCACCAGGTTGGAGAGCTGCAATAAGAAAAACAGCATTCCTTTAGAAGTTTCGACTGTACCAATTCGTCTTGCATGGTCCGCTCGTTGATCTCTTTGGCCGCCTTCTCCGTGTACATCCGTTTCAGTTCTTCGTCCATTGTCGAATCGATTCGGTGCTTTTTGAGTTCGGCATTGCTGAAAACGGTTCGAGTTTATGAGAGCACAGTTTAATGGGGTCTACTTGTGAATGTAGGCGCACTGGTCGGGCATGAACATTCCCATGACGGGCCGCAGAACGGAGAGCTTGTTCTGCGAGGCGGCGATCGGACGTACGAACACTTCGGAGAGGAGAGTGCCCGCGGAGCCCTCGCATCTCGTGTTGAACTTGGAACGGATGCAGTCGAGCATGCAGTCGCCGATTCTGGAAGCAGTATTGATTTACAATTAAACGATTCGTGGATACCTGCACAAATCATTAGTAAACTGCCGAAAGTTGTCCATGTTCTGCTGCGCTGACTCCGGAGTCGGCGGTTTTCCGACGTTCGCGAGCATGTCGGCCCATCCGTTCGCCGCTCCTTGGGCTCCTCCTTGCAAAATGGCCAGCGGATTGGGATTCGTGCCAGTGGCGGCGCCGACGATTCCGTTCACTCCCTGCTGGATCGTGTCTTGCATCATTCCGCGCATTATCCAGTTCATGAAGACGTTCTTCGTTTGGCACTGGTCCTCGCACTCAGCCTGCACTAATCCGGCTTCATCGTCGATGCACTTGATGGTGGCATTGAATGCGAGTTCCTGCTCGACGCACATGTAGTGGAGGCCACTCGTCATCATCTCGAACATTCCGCGATCGTCGTTGTTGCATCGCGGATCTTCGTTTACACAAATACCAGCGTCTTTGTATTTTCTGCAAATTGAAGCATTTGGGAAGAGAAAAGCGCGAACAGTCCGCACTTGCAAATCCGATTGTATCGTTCGATGTGGCTCATTTCTTGGAGCACGAGTCCCAGTGTTTCCTGCAAATCTTTCGAACAATCCCGCGGGCATTCTCCCATTTCATCAAAGTTGATTATGAAGTTTCCGTCGTCATTGCTCGGCAGACTCTTAGGCGCGCCAGCTCTGAAGAAAAATGACTTTTTAGAGGGATTTTTCACGAAACACACGGTGAAAAGTCGTCAAGGGGCGAGGAAGGAACTTCTGAAACTCGGAACATCGCCGGGTCAATGAGCTCGTTGTCATATTCAATGTCGGTGGCATTTCCAGACGACGTCTTGTTTCCAAAGACAATTTCATTCTCTTCGGTCGAATTTGTTGAGTTTTGAAGCAAGTTTTCAGGGAGCGGTGCCTGTAAAGCCTTATTTACTTTTGCCGTTTTCAAATCTTACCGTTCTCAACTGAATCTCTTCCGTTTTTGGCCACCAGGGAAGAAAAGATCTGAGATAGGCATTGGTGGTTTCGAGTTGATCCGTCGGAATCGGGTTCTGGTGGGCGGCGGGGAGAAGTACGAGAAAAAGAAGGAGAATCAGTGAGTTGACGGACGGCATGGGTTAGTTTAGACGAAAAGTCGGCAGATATTCGACGAAATCTTGAAAACTGCGCACATCGCGCCATTTTGCGCCTACCGTACTTTAAAGGCGCATAACAACTGTTGGTGAACATTCAGACCAACTTCACCGAGAAACAGCCTAAAAGTTCTAAAAAACGATAAATTTGCAGAATATTTTCGATGAATACAGCTCCCGACCGTAATCCGTCCAAATTGGTGCTCATCTGCCGAAAATGCACCATCTGTCTCTCATATTACCCCCGAAGATTTCTGTGGCAATAAATATTCACAAAAAGTAATGAGACGTTCAGAAATCGACCACTTTGCGAGCACTTCTGGATTTCATCTTTCAATGCTAATTGCATTGCCTTAAAACATGTAGCAACATTTGTTATTAGTATTTTGCGTGTCAGCTGTTGCGATGACCACGAAGAATATGAGGAGCACGTCAAAAAGAAACGAGCAGTGTAATGTCGTTGGCGGCAAACTTTCGTGCGGCTCTCACACCGCTCATAAATATTTTTGATTATTTTCCCCAGTGTAAAGAACATGTACCTGGGATTTTCGTGATGAGACCCAACATCAAAGTGTACTCGAATCGGCTACAATATTGAGAGGTAATCCGGCCCGAAAGTATCACCGACACAGACACTCGGATTATCGTCCTCTCATTGCCCTGTCGTCCGCAATAAACAAATGCGTCTGCCAGATGTGTTATCCCTTTCGAAAGCAGTAAGCTCCCCCCGTTTTCCTATTGTGCTTCTTGAGCATCTGCATGATGATTGCGGCTTTATGGCTCTCGACACGCACCGATTTGGAGCCCAAAGGCCGCTTTTTCTGAAGATGTGTAGTTGCAATTTTTCGGTTTTGGTTCGTGCGACAGAAGATGCATTGTGCCTATGAAATGTTTTCACGAAATTCTTCTGTCTGTTCAGTCCTAGAACTGCGTTATATCAGCTTACATACTGAAAAAGAAGAGCACTCCAATACTGTTCATTAAAAACGGGTTATCTCGGCTGTCTGTAGAGATGTCAAAAAGCGGTCATCCGATAAGATGTACACAATGTTTTATTGACCATTTTATCAGTTGACAACTTTTCGATATCTCTACCGGCAACCGAAATACATCGTTTTGAATAAAAGGCATCGGGGTGCCCACTATCTGAGCTACAGTTGCCTTATAAGGTCGTCAACTTGCAAAACAGAGTTTTTGGATAGAAGATTTTCAAATGTTTAAAACAATAGATTGCTTCTGTACACACGAAAAGTTTTATATCCTTCTTAACAACCAACTGCAACATCAGCTCCATCGATCAGTCGGCTTGCAACAGTGTCCGCGATAATTCCATCAACTTTTTCATCGCTCCGATCCGATTCTAATTTCTCCATTGTTGACATATATATATGCGCACCAAGTGCCCAAAAAAAAAAGAAAGAAACGTTAAACTTTTCGCCCCGCATTTTCCTCCGAGGCCTTTTTTACGATTCGATTTTATGTATTGCTTTTGGCCCGGACCGAAAGAAGGCAGAAGGATAGGGAAAAGTGCGGAAGAGAGGGAGGGAGAGAGAGAGAGAGAGAGAGAGAGAAATGTAAAAGTTTGCTATTTTCTATTTTCTATTCTCCATCTGTGGAGGGAAGAAGAGTGTTGTTGGTTTCCAGACAAACATTCGCGCGTACGTCCACTCCTTTGTCTTCTTTCCCATTCGTTTGTTCACTAAATTCGTCCAGGTCTTATCATTCGGGTCACGAACTTTTGATTGTTAAAGAAGAAGCCTTTGCAGTTCTTGGAATTGTGAAAAGAAGAAAACCCGCAGTAGTTGGAGCTTTTCAGTTGAGAAAATTCACTTCCAAGTCTCGGAAGGTCTTGATTTTCAGCCGGAAATAATGTTAATCTTTGGCGCTCTAATGCACTTTGAGATCTTCCAATCAGGAAAACTGAATTATATTGAGGAAATGCATCTGCCCTGATTGAGGTCCAATTCCGCCCATTGGGATCAAAAGTAGTGGAGTACTAGGTAATGTAGGTCCTGGTGAACCATAGTTTTAAACGGGCAGTCTATAAAGTTTATGGCATTCTACAAAGTTTGGCCTGGAAATTATAAGTGTTGGAATCCGTCTTGACCGTCCAGGTCCATTGCAAGTCTGGTAGAGTCTTCAGATGAGGTCAAGTTTCATAGTCCCAAACATTGTGCTCCTTTACAACATTATACTTCCCTCCTTATCAGTAGTGACCAACGCACTCTTCTCCAAGTCATTATCACTATCATTTACATGTATTCCTCTTCGTGCCACGTCTATTCGATCTCTCTCTCTCTCTCTCTCTCTTCAATATTCATTGCCTGCCATCCATTTTGTATACATATACATGTATTAATTGTCGGACCCTCGCCCATCGGAAGAGCCCTACTTCTTCTTCCTCTCCTGCTCCAAAATGTGCTCGATTGTCTGCGTCTCTGCAGTTGTGCTCCTCCCGTCTGGGTCCCCCTATCGATTCAGATTTCGAGGGGGAAACCGAGAGAGTGTGTGAATTGGGGGAGAGGGCGAGAGAAGTCAGACACGGGTTTCATTCATTACTTATTCAAAGCGGCACCCACATAACTTTGTGTACTCACAAGGCCCTCGATCCAACCAGTATAATCAGTGTGGACATTCACAAACTTCCGATCTTAACTCTTCCTAATCGCATCAATCTTCAACTCTTAGTCTTGAAAGCCCAATGAGTTCAAAAGACCAAGGCTTCCTAAGCCTGTTTTCCAGACAAGCTTGAAAATGAACTGAAAATCATTTTTCTAATGAAATGCTGATTCATAGCCGAGTTTTATAAGCTGGAAGGCCTCATAATTTGAGTTGAAAGGCTTCGAAATGAAAGTGTGGGCGGATAGGATTAGGTTTAGCCAAACCTAGGCTACAACCAAAACTTTATAGACGTTTCCCTTCAATTATTATCTATTCAGGTAACTTGATACGGCCACGTAACTCGGGTATCAAATGAATACCTAGTTAGTTTATATCTTTCCTCCTTCCTCTTTCCATTTCATTCGAAAGTGAGAAGCCCTCGGTGCGAGTGCTAATCCTCAATCCTTAAAAATCATCCCACCCCTTTCATTTTCATTTCACTCTCCTTTCCCATTTGCTCCGAGCTTTCTCTCTTGTTGCTCTCGTTACTCACGCTTCACCAATTCCAGGAGCATCTCTCTTGCTCTTTGTGCTCCTCTCACTTTGGATAATTCTAGAATCATGTTAGTGGCGGTTCGTTCTCGATCACTCTAATCAGGTGTCATTTCAGGAGCAGTGTCCGCTCCGACATGCTCAAATGGATCGCGGCGGTCGGCGTTCTCGTCTGGCTGACCATGTTCCTCTTCCTGTATGCCCAGTTGAACACCAATTCGAGTAAGAACCTAGTTGGACAATACACCGCCACCTCCCACTTTATCTCACTTCCAGGCGGCGAATCCATTCGAGCGTGGCGACAAACAAAAGAAGCCATCGATAAGCTGCAGGAACAAAACGATAATTTGAAGATTATTCTAGAAAAAGAGAGGACGGAAAGGAATGATCAGCACAAGAGAATGTGAGTGTGCCCCCTCCCAAGGGTTACGGTATTCAAGGAAACGCTTGCAGACTCGAGCAGTCTCATCAATTGCCTCCTCCTATGATCGGACCTGTGAATCAAGAAGTCGTCAGGGAAGTTGTCTTCAAGCCGGACGTGCTAGGATCTGTGGAGCAAGAAGTTCACAAGAGAATGCTGGACGACAGGATACGAGAGGTAATTTTCGAGTCTACAGTAATCCTCTTCAACTCTTCATTTTAGATGTTCTACCTATTGCACAGTCAATCGATAGAAAACTCCACGAAAACATTGATGGAGAATCAAATGCATTCCCTGATGGCTCTGTCCGGAAAGCTGGAAAAACTGGAAGGTTCCGAGAAGGAAAGGGTGAAACGACGGGCTCAAATCGCGGAGAGAATTCTGAAATCGATCAAGAAGCTGCAAAATCCGGACAGCTGCGAGAACGCGAAAGACGTTGGTTTGCAATTTGGATAAGGAGTGCGGGTTCGGGTGCCAACTCCATCACGTCACTTATTGTGCGATCACTGCGTTTGCCACCCGAAGAATGCTCATTCTGAAGAGGGATGGAACCTCCTGGAAGTGAGTTGGCAACTGCCTGAATCGGAGGATAAACAGCTCTTTGGCAGATACTCGGCGAAAGGTTGGACGTCCGTCTTCGAGCCAATTTCAAAGTGCTCGTTTGAGGAAGCAGTGGGGGTACGTGGGCCGTCTCTGGGGAAATTTGTGAAAACTTTTTTGCAGCGAACTGAACAAAAACCGTTTATGGAGGACTCTCCGGCAAGGGTGATCGCGTTGGGAATCGTCGATTCGATGACTATCAAGTAAGGGTTGGAAGGACCTCAGAGCATTCAATACGGACAATTCCAGACCGTTATTCCTACCGCAAGCCGTTCCGGAGCAACTTTTGAAGAACATCAGTGCCGTCCACTCGCATCCTCCCGCCTTCTTCGTCGGAACTTTCATCTCGTACCTCATGCGCTTCAATCCAGAGACCATCGCCAAACTGGATCAGGCCTTGAAGGTGATTCCGTTCTCAAAGGGACCGGTGGTCGGATTGCAAATCAGACGGACGGACAAAGTGGGCACGGAGGCGGCGTTCCATTCGCTCAAGGAGTACGTGGAATGGACCGAAATCTGGTTCAAAGTCGAGGAGAAACGGCAAGGAAAACGACTGACGAGGCGCATTTTCATCGCTTCCGATGATCCGACAGTGGTCCCTGAGGCTAAGAAAGAGTGAGAGAGAGAGAGAATTCGGCGAGTGTTTCCGTTCCGATTTACTTCCAGTTACCCCGAGTACGAAGTGTACGGAAGCACGGAGATCGCACAGACTGCGCAACTCAGCAATCGCTACTCGGACGCCTCGTTGATGGGAGTGATCACTGACATTTACATTCTCAGCAAAGTCGACTACCTGGTGTGCACTTTCTCCAGTCAGGTTAGTAGGGAACGTACTTGACGTGTCATGACGTGGCATTTCGATTTCAGGTGTGTCGAATGGGGTATGAGTTGAGGCAGCCGTCTGGTGCGGACGATGGCTCCAAGTTCCATTCTCTCGACGACATTTACTATTTTGGAGGACAACAAGGTGAGTTTATCTCGAGAACCAATGGTTTTTTGAAAACGTTTTCATCACAAAAGTTGTTCCAAATCGTATGCTTAACAACTTTGTTATTGAGCATTTTATCTTAAAACGTTGTATTTCTGCGTCTTTTTCAGCGCACGAAGTACGAGTAATCGAAGAGCACGTGGCACAGAACAGCAAGGAGATCGACCTGAAAGTGGGCGACAAAGTGGGAATCGCCGGGAACCACTGGAACGGATACTCGAAAGGAACCAACCGGCGCACGTTCAAAGAAGGCGTTTTTCCGTCGTACAAAGTGGAAAACGATTGGAGGATATTCAAGTTTGATGCTCTTTTAGATTAATCATAGCCCCCTGCATTCACCTGCATTCACTTTTCTAGTCTGTTTTTAAAGTCTAATTTGAGATTGTATTCGGGTTCAAATCAACACCTTTGCTATCCATTTCTTGCGGTTTTCTGTTCTCTTTTCTGTGATTATTTATTTGTTAATTTGAGAAGTATAAGTTGATCGTCCAAATGGGTGAGACGATCGGATAATAATAAATGAAGATGAAAGAAGATGTTTTGGCGGATAAAAAAGTGAAAATTCTGAAGTGTTATGCATCTCTCAAAACGCTAAACACGTTTTTTATTGAAACACACCAGCTGAACTTTCGGAGGTGTTGTCTGGTTGGTATAAAAGACGCATCGGCGTGGCGCAAATGCTTCTGACATTGCGATGCCAAAGTTTCTGCTTGTATTCATTGCGACTTCCGTGGCTTTGGTCCATGGTCAGCACGAATCAACTGCGGATGACTTTCTGTGGAACCGCTGGGGTGAGTACTTGCAGCTTTCCTTCGACAAAAAACGACCAGATTTCATTTCCAGAACCCCGTACGATTGACTGTGTGAGCAGCGGAAAGAAAGACGACTGTGTGCTGCTGGCTCCAGAATCTAGAATTCCATTCGATATCACCAAGTTCAAGTGGGGTACATCTACCCTATTCATTTGCACGGCTTCTATTTCAGATGTCGTCGCGAGCCGATGCCCCAACAACCTTGGAACACTCTCGCAGTCAACTCGACCACCCGACTGGCTTGCCCACTCAACTGTCCAGTTCACTTTGACCTTTCGGTTAGTTGGGCTCTCGATTTGGGATTAGAAGTCTATGGCAACTCACGGCTCTATCTGAGCAATCAGGTTCCAAAGGCAGGATCCAGGTCCCATAATAATAATCAGGTTTCATGAATAAACAGGTCCCAAATATTTAGAAAAGGCAGGTTCCGAAGATTATACAGATTCCAATTTTCAAAAAATGCCTTGTACCCTTGACCGTCAAGGGGATCCTGGATCCTGCCTTTGGAACCTGATTACTCAGATCGTTATTTCAGGTATTGCAAAAGCGTCCGTACGTGAACAAGAATTGTCAAAAGTACTACACTTACGGAAAGTACTGGGACGCGGCGGCGAACGACTGGTACATCTGGCAGACTGAGCCGTGCGTCGCCGCCATTTCCACGCACTGCCGCTTCAACGACGTGCCGATCTTGCAGTCGCCACTGAAGACGAGTAAAGGAAAGAATGCGGAAGAGGCGAAGATCGGAGGAGCATCGCAGACGAAGGCCAGCGAGCAGAGAAGGTTGTGGCCGTTTGAGGAGGCTCTGTTTTCGTTTTTTCTGCTATAACTTATTGATTGATTCTTTATTTGTGAACGAAATAAATACATGGAAATGAAAAACACGTGGATTCAGATTCACAGTGAACAAAGATCGAGCTCAAGTACGGTAGATCTGATGGCATTTGGGAGAGTTTGAGTGGCCCCTCACTCGACAACAGTAACATTATGATGGACAGTCTCCGGCTGCTGCTTCGGACTGTTCTTCACGAAGAACACGAGATAGAGCAGAGGGACGATGGCCAATTGCGACAGGAACTGCACCCATCGGATCATTCCGAATCGTTCTGTTTCTTGGGAGCAAGTGCCGCCGGAGTCAGAGTGGGACCGGGACTGAGACGGTAGAGACCGGCGAGGATCCAGTCTTGGAGGGCGGTCGGGAAGACACTCAGAGGGACGAACATGAAGATCGCATCCCAGCCGGGACAGTAGCGGAGACGCGGCCACCAGGAGAAGAGTGCGTGGGCGTAGCAGTCGACGACCCAGCCGATGTTCGGATTCGCCACGATGTTCACGCCGCTTTCCCATGCTGTCTCGACTGAAAATATAAGTCCAAGGTCTACAATGTTCCTCTAAATTTTAATATATCAAACGCCAATGCTACTTGACAGGCGTTATCAACTGCTTTCCACGATAAATATTGGAAATGTTTTCCGGTGTCAAACTCACAGTTCTTTCTGTACTCTTCGCCGTATTCCTCCTTCGTCTCCACCGAAAGATTGTTCCAAATCTTCTGGATCCTCATCTTCTGTGCCTCGTTGTTCAGCAGTTCCGTCTTGAAGCACCCCGGCTCGAGAATGTGCACGGACACTCCGTACTGTCGCATTTCCAGCCGCAAGCAGTCCATGTAGCCTTCCACGGCGAACTTGGCCGTCACGTAAGGAGCCACGTAGAGTCCGTGGAGTCGTCCGGCCGTCGAGCCCATCGTTACTATCCGTCCGCGGCTCTGTTTGATCAGCGGCACGAAGGCATGGCACATTCGGATCGCGCCGAGCGTGTTCACGTTAAGAGAGGAACTGTATTCGGCCACAGAGCACCAGTCGTCGGGACCGTGGATCGAGAAGATGCCCGCGTTGTTCACAAGACCCCACAGATTGGCATTCTGCTCACGGAGCACTTTCTCGACGAACAATTTGGCAGAATGCACGCTTTCTTCCTTGGTGACGTCCAGTTGGAGAGTGTGCAGTTGCCCTTGGCTTGACAAATTCGAGCGCCATTCCTTTTTCAGACTTTCCATTCCCTAAAACGATATTCTTGAGCCTGTTCCAGGTTTTGGGAATCCTAGACCCTCCGAAATAATCAAAGAAACCAACTTGTTGTGTGAAGCAGGCGGCGAACACATTGACACGTTTGTCAAGCAATCGCAGGGCGAGAAGTCGTCCAAAACCGCTATCGCAACCGGTTATCAGCACATATTTTCCATGGGATTCCACGTGAAAGTGTTCCAGAACGAAACGACGGAGAAGGAAGTAGAGGAGACAGAGAATCGGCGGAATGAAGATGTAGTCGAGCATTCTGAAGGTTGAAATTCGAAACGAAAGTGCAGAACAGGGTTCTTCACGGAAAGTGGGGAGACCTTGGGCGCTCATCAATCAAACGAATCGACGGGCCGAATTGGTAGGTAGGTAGAAGTTAATCGGAGAGAAATTGGCATTTCATTTTCAAGTTGGAAAAGAAAGATAATGATAAATAGGTTATGTGATGGAAAGGTGGGAGGAGACATCGAGTATTATTGTATTGTTTGATCCGTGCATCCAAACTCTCCTTATAAACCTCTCACAGCCCCGCCTCCTTCATCGGTCCAAGTCCACTCTTGCACATCAAGCATGACGTTTGCACAAATCACGGTGGAATTCTGAACTGAGTCATATTCTCGTCGTCCCGCGCTCTCCGCTCTCTCGTCCGGTAGCACGAGCAAACAGAGAAGGAGACATCGAGAAGTCGGTTAGGAAGCGAGGAGAGGACAAACCGATTTAGGGAGGGAACTGTTTATTTCTAAGGACTAGCATTGGGTTTTCACAACTTTGATAACAGCTGTACTTTCAGTCGGGTAGGTCTTGTCACGAATGGCCCACCTTGTTGCTCTCAGGGGGATGTGTCCCTTAAATCTTCTCAGATAGAGCCTCAGAAGTTGAAAAGTATTCATGCAGTACACGATTTTTCTTAAAAGACATCTTTCCTAACTTCTGAAACCTGTATCTTGAGAGCAGGTGATTATTATGAAAAGTTTTCAACTAAGAAATTACTTGAAATCTTGTGCTAAACATTTTTGCAATTGGTCAATTTTATCGAAACAGCTTCCTCTTTGAGTTATGATCCTATTTCTAAACAGCACGTAACGATCGGAAAAATGATTGGATTCTATGACAAAATTGCTCAATTATTCCAGTTTGAGAGTGTCCGCCACCAATCTGAAGGGGCTAATTGACAGTCCGAAGAGCGGTCAGATCCTCCTTTTTGAACAATTTGGGTCAAGTGAAAGTTTGGTAAATAACCATGAGGACTTTTGGATCATCGAGGAGGAGGATGTTGCGAACCAACTTTTTCGAGGTTGCTTATTCAGATTTGGGGTAGACAAGGCGAGGGAAATGTAGTCGTTGAAAAGATTGTCGAGGAGTCTGTGAAAGAGGTACAAAAAGTGTGACTCCACAGTAGTCACCGAGGAGATTCCACGAGAAAACGAGAAATAGGCGAGGAAGGCAAGATCGTATCTGGCCCCCGAGTGTCCACAGATGAAACCTCGAGAAGAAGAAGAAGAAGAAGAAGAGGGAGAAGGAGAAAAGAACGGGACGATGACAGTCGGAAGAAGAAGAAGGAGAAGAAGAAGAAGAGGAAGATGAAGCCAGTACCGGCGCGCCCATTAACAACATCCAGACTGGATAATTGGACGACGATACTCAATTGTATCTACAATATATACAAATCGTGGTCTGTATTTTTTCAGAAGTCGATGAAAAAATGAAAATGTTGACAAAAACAACGGCGAAAGCTGTTTTCACATTGCCTAGTTATTCGATGAAGAATGCTATTGTGGGCCCCCAGAAGTCTGACAATGTTCTGCAACCAGTGCTCCGTATAAAGTTGCGAACAAAATGTGTCCATGTTTGTCCTTTGTACCCCTCATACCGCTACTGTTCTGTTCGCCGCCAATACATAATCTTGCGTGAAATGCGATTTCGTTGGCGTCTCTCCGTCTCGCGCACTCTCTCCGTTTGAATGTGTGCCTCGGAATGAAATCACTTCTTATATTTATTTATTGTGTGTGGCAAAATATACAAACACTCGGAAAAGGACATTGAGAAACGGGAGCTACAGTAATCCTCTTCAGAGGGTACTGTGGCTGTTGTTGTTGTTGTTGTTGTGGTTTTGCTGTTCGCCGGAGACGCAAGAGTTGCGCTTCGAGTCCACCTCGATCAGAAACGTTTCCATGGGCTCCTGAATAAAGTTTCAACGGTTTCGAATGCAAACTTTAGCCCACCTTCACTCCCTTTACACGTATCTTGCCCCTACTCTGCACACGGTATCCGCCCGCCTGCAGCACCCTGCCCATGTCCGTCGTCGCGTGGATCTTCCTCGGCTCGCCGTGTGTGTCCATCCGACTCGCCAAGTTCACCGTGTTTCCCCAGATGTCGTACTGCGGCTTCTGTGCTCCGATCACACCCGCGACGAGCGGACCGACGCTCATTCCGATGCGCAACTCGAAGTTTTGGAACGAGTCTCGGTTGAGCGCGTCGAGGATTTGAGACATGGCCAACGCGAACTCGATCATCAGATTCGCGTTGCGGAACGCCATGTTGCCGTGGCGCATGTTGTTGTTGAACTTTCCGGAACTCTGCTTCTCAAAGTAGATCTGAAAGTAGTCGAGAGTCTTCGAACGTGTGCTCCACTTCCACTCACATCATCATAATCGGCCTCGCTCTCGTTCAACCCGGCAGCTGCCATATACGTACTTCCGACCGTCTTGATCTTCTCCACACTTGAAAACTTTGGCTTCGAGAGCAATTTGTCGAATTCGCACACGATTTCGTTCAAGAGTCTCAGACATTCCAGCTTCCGATTGGTGTCCCATTCACTCCAAAAGTCTTTGAAGTTCGGGATCGACGCGAACATCACACATACGTTTTCGTGTTGACGGGCGTAGAGTTCCTGTAATGAATACCCAACGAGTTACAGTAATCTTTCAGTGGCACAAAGGCAAATAGTGATTTGTAATGAATCGTCACTTTTGCAAGGTGCAAAACTTCTTTCGTAACACTTATTTGTTCGTCGAAAATGAGTCAATCGCACATTTTGATCTCTCTTTTTCATTATTTGCCTACTGATTATCATCGCCTCAGAACTCACGTTGACCGCCCGATCGGGTGACAAAAATTTGGCGGCGACACTTGAGGGAAGGATGTTTTCTATGAGGATCTTGTTGATATCCTGCATCGTTTCCACGTCCCGCTCCTCGTTTTGGAATGAAACGTGGCATGCGCTCTCTCGTTTCCGCTCGTAGTTTGTCTGAAAGAGGGACGGTGAGCAAAGAGAATCGAGAAATGACACTTACGATCCAGTCGATGAAGAAGAGGAGAACAACTAGAAGCGATAAACTGATGGAGACTATCGAGAGATGATATCTGGAAACACACAATATCGGTTAGTCTTGTTGAGCGTTCTGACCCCATATATCCAACGTAAACTTCCGCGCCATATGCTGGGAAAAGAGAGAGTAGAACTTGGAATATGACAAAGTCGGCAAAGAAGAGGAAGCAGCGATGGGAGTACGGTAGGCGGTAGAGAATGAAAACGGAGACGAGGTGACTGACACAGCTGGGAAGGAAGATGAGCGAGTTGAAGGCCATCACACCTTCCAGCTTCGATTTCTTTATTATTATCTGCAAATGAGAAAGTGTACTCTGAGCACAGCCCAAAACTTACATGAGGTCCTATCGGAATGCAAGCGGATAAAATGAACGAAACGGTAGTGATGAGAGGTCTCGCGTACGAGCAAACACGGTCCAAAGTGAGAGCATTGCCAAACCCATGATTGTGAAAAACTGTTGAAGAGATATTTGTTGCAGAACGTCAGATCTGTCATTCATTGACACTGTATTTATGTTGAATGGGTATTTGAGGGGATCTTACGGGCAGTACAAAGCGCACAGGAGAAGATTGCGAGTGCCGACGGAACACTGACGATCGTGAGGAGGACGCAATCGGAGAGATTGCACGTGATCGACTTGCGACTGAAAGGCCAAAGGAGCTTCGGAGAGGCAGGAATGGTGGGCAGTTCGCAGTTGAACATTGAGTTTATACTGTAAACCCTTTGTACTTTTTATCCGAAAGATCCCAGAGCGCACTTGTTGAATGAAAAGTTTGTCAGGTTGTTCTCGATGAGTGTCATGGATGGAATGGTGTTTATGTAAGTGGGTCGACGGGCAATTTCATCCTGAAATCGACAATATTTACAGATTCAAATTACGCGCTGTTCCACTTACTGTGATCAGAGAGGGGTCATGGCAAGTCGAGAACTTTTTCTTGTTAAAGTTGGCGAACGGAGTCTCTGCTCCCCAAAACTCGACCATCTTCGACACCTTCGCTTTCATGCTCATTCTGGACTGGAGTGCCGGACTGGTGGACAGCCGACTGTTGCGGTAGATGGAGGCAGTCCGTTCGATCGCAGACGTCTTGTCCGGAAGGATGTGGTACGTTGGTTGGCCGTAGGAGACCACGTGCGGATCGTCGGCGCTGAAAATGTTTGTATGTCAGTAAAATCACCAGACTAACAACTCACTTCGCCTCCACAATACAGTAATCTCCGAGTAGCATGTCCCTGGTCGATTTGGTGATGTGCACTGCTCCGGGCACTCCGGCCGACTCCATGTGGTTAGCCAGAGTGACGTCGTCGCTCCAAATGTCGAACTGCCACTTTCGGAGCCCCATGATTCCGCAAAGCACCGATCCCGTGTGCACTCCGATTCTCATGTTCACATCCACTCCGGTTGCGATCCGGACTTGTCTGCAAACGATCTCTGTGTGTTCATCTGATCCCCGAACTCACTTGATCGTATTTATCATTTCTAGTCCCATGACGACGCACATGTCCGCGTGATTCGGACGGTTCACCGGCATTCCGGACACACAATAATAGCAGTCGCCGAGAAATTTGATGCGCATGCACTGAAGTCTCTGGGCGTCTCGGTCGAATTTCGAGTAGAGCTCATTGAGAGTTCGCACCAGATCTTTGGCAGTCAGTTGAGCTGCCAGCACTGTGAAGTTCACAATGTCGGCGAAGAGAATGCTGGAAGACCCATGTTAGACATGTTCCATGAATTCATGCTCACCTGACATTATCGTGGACCTGGACGTGTAGATCATGGAACAACTTGTGATTCTTCGAGCTGCTCTTTCCTGTTCCGGTGCTACTTGACTGAATGATACTCTTGCTGACCTGATCGGCCAAGTACGCGGGAATGACGGATAGCAGCAGCTGCTCCTGCCGATCTTTCAAAGTCTCCAACTCTGTCCGTCGGTACACTGCTTCCGTGAGCTTTCGCGCGATTTCAGCACGATTTCCGGCCTCATTCGAGTCGGCGACCACGCCCACAATGGCAATGACGCCTTGATGAAGGAAAAGGGAAAGACACTGAAAAGCAGGAAATTGTATTCTTTCTCTCTTCGCCGTTCGCTCACCGAGCACAAAAACAGTGTGTTGGCGTTGAGAGCGTCCCAGTTGATTGCCACAATCAACAGGAAATTGGCGACGATCCAACTGACGGCGACGACGAAAAAGATGCGACGATGACGTGGCAGAATGAAGAATTGGATTACTGTAACTTCGAGTTAAACAGAATTTTGTGGAAAATCAATGACCTGAAGCTATGCAGAGACTCGTGTAAAGTGCCGAATGATCGTGCTCATTCGTGTGAATTCGCTCGCGGCTCACAAAACTGACGACGGGCAGATGGAGGATCCACGAGAACGCGGGCAGAATTACACAGATTGAGAGGGAAACGAGAACCAGACCGATTCCTTCTTTCTGAAAAAGTATGCAACAATTTGTCTGTTTCTCTGACATTTTGAAACAATCAATTTGAAATTTGACCTACCGGCTGTCTGATGCGAATTGCAAAACACGTAATGATGAGATATGCGATGAAGAAAATGGATGCGTAAAAACAGAAAGGCGACCACTTTTTGACCTAAAAATAAGCCTTTGCGATCCGTGGGAACAATGCAATCTAATCCGCCGCTGACTCACTCGTTCGTGATTCTCTTTGCTCTGCGGTCGGTCCTCGGCCTCCAGCATCAGCACGGCGTAGACCTCGGAGAAGTAGTACTCGATGAAGATCTGCGCGGCCGCGTAGATCAGCAGCCAGAAGTGGATCGTGTGGAGGCGCGCCTTGTCCAGTGAGCGCCAGTGTTTCACCAGCACCGAACGAATCTCGGCTCGCGTCGTCGACATCTCCATCACTGTCGACATTGCGCGCCTGAAAAAGGAAGATTCGAAAGAGTTTTTGACAGATTCTATTGCGTGTCCTTTGACGCCAGAACATTTAGATGTTTGATCCTAGGTCCTCCTAAGATTAAAAGAGAAGCTCGGCAACTATTTCAATTTTGAGAAGGTGGAAGAACAAGGAACGGAAAGGAGAAGCGGAAAGAAAAAGCCGGGGAGGTACCTCTTCATTGTGCTTCGTTTTCTGAGCCCGTGTGTTTTCAGCATGTCTTTTTTCAAGCAGCAGTAAAAAATAAATGTGTGCCGGAGCAGAGGAGCGCAGGAGCAGTCAACGAATCGTGGGTAAGACGAGGAATAATGAAAACTTCGTCTTTTCCTCCTTCTGCATCATCATCATCATCATCGTCGTCGTCGTCATCCTTCTAACTTTTTCGTCTGGAGCAGCTACCCGCCCAAAACAAACAGCCGCAGGGCTCAACGCTTCCCGGAGCTACCAGGATCTATTCTCTCTCTCTCTCTCTCTCTCTCTCTTTTCAGAAACATTAGGATCGATGAAGTGAGGAAATAGATGGAAACGGAGAAAATATGAATAAGCAGTCTTCCGGTTCGTGCTCAATCTTCTGACGTGACGACTCGAATGATGGGGATTAGGATATTTGACCTGATAGAAAGAAAAACAAAGAAGAAGTGACAAGACAGGGGCACAAAGATGAACAAACACCGGATGACAAATCGAATTTCTTCTGTTGTCAAACTTCATTGCCGCGAATTTGAATTTCAAAGCAATTTGCGTTTACGGAAACAAAGACAATTGGATTCACACTGACAATAGTGTTCTAGGCGATCTAAAGACTAAGTCTACAGTCCAAAGTTCACATTGCCGCTTCAGAAATGTGGTTTCTATGCTCTAGCGTTACCGTGGCCGTGGCCGAGTTTTCGCATGTGAAGCAAACAACCAGCATGACATTCCAAGAAAGATTGAAAGGCTACACAGGTGTCGTAGTTGGTAATATGTTTAAATACGGAATCCGAACCTAATTATAATGTCGCTATTTCTGAGAATATGATATTTTTGAGCGCCTCGAGAACATTTACTGAACTTTTTCGGTTCTTTCAGTTCCGCAAATCGTCAAAGTATAGTAAAGTATAGTTGCAAAACGTCAGGGTTGCGAACTGCACCGATTCGACTATTGACGGAAAGATCCCGCTGGTGTTTCTCGATCAGAAAATGGTTTTGGAATCTTGTAGGCAGCCTGACCAGTCAAAGAACGGATGAAAAAGCTGAAGCAAAAACGTTTTATTATGGGGTGAACCCAGAACTTGTTGAGAACAAGAGAATGAATCGAAATTTCTCGAATCCTGTCATTTTCACATCTTCCCTCTCATCGCGCAAACCCGTCAGAATAAGAGCCAACACCAAAAATGGGATGAATCTTATTTCCCTTCTCCATTCGAACCAAGTCTTCCACGAAAATGAAAGCGCAAACTCTTGCGGAAATGAATTCTCTCTCTCTCTCTCTCTCTCTCTCATACAAGTTTCACAAATTTTTTTCCGGAAAACAAGAGAATAAGAAGGATGCAAAGATGATGGGAAGAGGCAAAGAGCATATACTCCACCTTTTTGCGTCAAGAGCCCTTGACGAGGAAAATGATGCATATCAATTAGAATCAGAGCACGAGCAAGCTTCTAGAACTTCCAAGCTCTCCAAAGTTTCGACTGAAACTTCTAGGCCTAGCAAAAGACCAAAAAGTTCAACGATGGGGCGGCATCTCGGATTTCAACTGTTCAGACTCACTTCGAAAAAACGAAAATCTCTGGCAAGACGTATTTTCGTCAAAAAGTGACAAAAAGTCGGAAAGACAGCGGCGCCAGCGAAAACAAAGACGATAAAGGAGGGGTCCAAGTTATGACTTCCACATCGGACCCGAGAGGACAATTGCTCATCTCGAGCGTTTCGAGCACAAAAAGAGCACGAAAACACCGGGCTCTGGGAGAGGGTTTTTAAAGATTTGGAAATTTTGGATACGAACATGATAATTGCTGGGCCGGCCCGGTCTTTTCAGGTGTTCTATGCTTTTGTTGATTTGGATGAGACTCTGCTGAAATTGGAGACGATGTTTTGTTCTGTTTGAACGAGAAAACAACGAATTCTAGAAGAAAAGGTGTGTCCCAGGTGATTTGAATGTCATCTGACTTTGCCATTTTACGTCTTTTTGCCATTTTTGACCCACTAATCAGAAGGGATGGAATCCGGCAATCGCGCTCTACAGAAGAGTGCGGTAGAGCGCAACTGACAGAGATTACTGTAGAAAAAAAGAAGAAAACCTAGTCAGAAATCGAAAACGAAAAGGCGATTCCTCTTCTTTTTCATCTTCAAAGACGAAAAAAGCGTCGGTGCGTCCACACACATTTTGGTTTTGTGGCGAAGAAATTCGAGAAACATGAGACATTCGGGACTCCCGAAAACGGATGGATGGAGTGCCAAAATCGGATGAAAAGGCAGAAAAGGATGATGATTGACGTTTCGTTTTCCATTCTCATTTCTTTTCCTATCCTTCCATTCGATTGAATGTTTCGACTGATGGATGAGTCTGGGATAGGAAGTGAAAGATGGAAGAGAATCTTGAAAGTGACTCGATCACGATAGCTATTGTATTATTATTGCGGGCCCGCGATTACAGGAATGGGCGCAAGAGCAAAGCCACAAAGCTGGGAAAAGAAAGTCATCGCCGGCGCACTGTCTCCCTCGCGCCTTAGACCTGGATTCGAATAATAAGAGCGCTGGCTACGTTTTGGTAACAGAAATCTCGCATATCGTTGAGAATTCGCAGATTTTTTCCGATTTGAAGGTTCTAGTTTGCCGCATATTCGCCTATTTTGATCTCAGGCAGTTGAGCCGATTGACATTTTCAATTCCACAATTATCTTACAGTTCAGTAGAGCGCATTCAATTCAGGCATGTCAGAAAAAGGCGAAAGAGATGAGGCAACAATGGTGATCTTGAATGGGGAATTCTAATTTCGCGGAGGCTACAAAGTAATCGAACTCGCACGGAAAAGAACTGTCCGTGCGAAATCTATTCCGTTGTAGCCTCATTTCGCGATTTCGTGGCGAGACCTTGCGAAAAAGCAAGAAAAAAAGGAGCGAAAAAGAAACGGCGGCAGGGAAATCAGAGGAAGAAAGGAAAAAGCAAAAAGATGATGTTTGCCTATTTCCGTTTTCCTATTGAATACCTAATCATCATAGTGCGCTCGTCGACGCCTCAAGAAATTCCCTTTTGAAATTTCGAAAGCGCAAATGCATGCAGAAATCCGATGTTTTCAGACAATTTCAGAAGAATGAAGAGAGCGAGCGAACAATTGGGAAAATGAGCGACGGCGGAGGGAAAGAGCCGCGAAGATGGAGAAGAAACACGAGCCAATTTGCGCGCCAATTTTCGAATTTTCATCTCTTTTCCACACGTTTTGATGGGAGCTAATTTGGGAGGAAAAGAAAGATCGGAATGACGGCAGAATTTGCACAATTCCCGAAGATTCTGTCAATTCGCGTGACGCAGATCTTCCAGGAACAGCCTGAAGTTCTATGTATTGTCCCTCTCTTAACCTATTTGACGAATAAAAATGCAAAGTGCGCGAAAATCTTCATTGTTTTAATAATATTATTATTCTCGCAAAGAGTACGATATGAAAACTTTAAAAATATCCAAAAAATTGATGCTTTAATAAATATTTCATTCTGGCACGCCATCGTCAGATTGAGTGCGCGTTGAACTTCGATGTCGGATGGACGGAGAACGAGGCATGAACGATTGGAACGAGTCGCGGAGTTCGTCGATTTCGGGAGACGTCAGACCCTGAAAAAGTGAAGTCAATTACAGAGAACGCCCCCCTTTTGTACTTCCAAGGTATCCAAATCGACAGGCCTCGAAGTGCCCACACATCTTCCGATTAGCACGTCGGCGAGGTCGAAGCACAACTGAAAAAGAGCACGTTATCATGCAGATTCACTTCCTTCCTAATCAACTAACACTCTGAAAAGTGTCATCATCCAACGACGCCTCCTCTTCGATAATTCGAATGACCGCCTGCTCGTTGGCCGATTCGAAGAACCGAATTGCTGAAATGAACACGTAAAAGTGGTACGGTATCCAGCAATTACTGTAGGATGTTAGGTTTCCGGCGAGTTCGTTAGCGGCTGGATTGAAATTCGACGGCGGCTTGGCTCCGATCATGTTCATCCTCGGGAACACGTAGCACGTCACAAGTTGCGGCCGCTCTCCGCGACGATCTTCTTCTTTCTCGGTGCCAAATGTTCTGGAAACGTTAATTAAAATTGGAGTAGAGTTTCCAGTTGTCGAACCTGATTGGTTGAGCTCGAGTGAGGAACAAATTATGGGCTTGGTTGACTTCGGTGAGATGATCAACGCATTTGAAGATGTTCCTGAATACAAAACAATCAGTTTGCTACGGTTCTCTAAGTGCTGTCTGACATTTTGAAGCGCTCGTAGTCCTCAATTCTGGCCAACTGAAAAACGATCGCAGGGCAAATCCAGTTAGGAGGACGGATGACAAACACGTCCGGCACATCGTGCAACGGTTCACATTTCTGGAAACACGGGGGGTAAATGAGAGCGCAGAATAATGACGGACTCTGTTGATGAGATCCGAGTCGTAGGGCCAGTACATCGCGTGCAGATGGAGGTGGTTGACGGACGCCTGGCCGAGGAGGCTGTTGAAGAGAATGTGGAACATTTCGTCGTCCACGAGAAGCATCAGATCGACGGCGATTCGGACGGCTTGCAGGGTGAGCACCTGTGGACTGCACTTGTTCACTGACGGAATGATCAGAGAGTGATCTCGCTCCAATGGCGACGCGTTCACAGCCACGAGGTGCCGATCCAACGGATCATTACTAATCGGTTTGTCGTCGCATTTCAAGTAGAACAGAATCTGAAAAAAAAAGACTCTCATTAGAGCGCGCTTTCTTTTCTCCTTTCTTAAAACCTCCTTGTCATGCAATTTCGTAAAATTAAATCTCAAGTTGTTGAATGGCTCTCTGATGTTTTTGAAGTGCATCGGCTTCCGTCGCAACTCGCCTCGTTCCATGTTCAGCTAGAATATTCTGCTGGTTTACCGGTTGCGACATAGAAAAGAACCTGCATGGATAAGTCGTACTTTCCGTCCAGACATCTGTACATGCAATTCAGCGAATAGTTGAACGCATTGTACTGTTTCGCGTTTTCCCAGCGCTCGTGCAGCAGATCTTTGAGCTAGAAACCCTATTGTTTTTCAGAACGAATGGCAATCACCGACTTGTTTTTTCCCCTCGCCACCTCCGTTCGACTGCCCATTTTCAGGCGCACAGCTTCTCAAATCGAGAATAAATCGCTGGTCAAGTAGTTGAAGTACGGGGCGGAAGAGGCCGACGGAGAGTATTCGGCGGGCAGCTGAAAGCATTTTTCAGAAGTTTATTCCTAGTAATCTCTTCCTCTTTGAGCAGAATTCTTTCTGTTTATTTATATGTTTTCCGGAGAAGTCAAGTGTCAAAAATCAGAGTGTGACCGAATTTAGCCGAAATTTATATTGTTGATGACGTGCTCGACGATGTCATCAACATTTTCTTGAAATTCTCCTCCAGAATTTCTCCTCAATTCCATTTTGACTTTTTACGACTGTGAACATGTGGACACGCGCTCGTAAAGTACAACCCAATTGGAGCCGAGTTGAACAAAAAGAGAAGAAGAAGAAAACGCCAAAAAAAGAAAAGAGCGAGTCGGATTGGTTTGGTGTGCTAGACTTGCGGGAGTTGTAGCGGGTAAAGGCGTTGAGTGATAAACGAGCACACTTTTAAGCGAGCGGTGGAAATGTATAAACAGCCGAAGAAAGAAATGAAGAGAAAAACTGAACTCTGGGAAATAGTTATTGCTAATTTACTGGGATTAGATTGCAAATTCTTCTAAATAAACGGATACATTTTCTAATTAGATTGACAAAACAAAATTTGTCTGATTAGATTGACAAAGAACTGATATTAGATTCACAATTCATCTAATTAAATTCATAGTTCATCTTCTTTAGATAAAAGTAAATTACCAATCTAATTAGGGCCGGTTATAAACGCGAATTTGCTAGCTAGATTAATAACGAGTTCCCTGAGAAGTGACTAGATGAAACTGCAGAAAAAAGTGTTAGGGATTACGATATTGATAACGTATAACGTACTTTTGAAGATTCAGAGACTATGGATGAAGTCAACTTTTAAAAGATTAAAACATCTAGAACCCACTAACCTGAATCGAAGACGCTGATCTTTGCGTACGCGCGTTGGCGCCCAACATCACGATTTTCCGCATCGGCATTCCGAGCGCGGGGCGGGGTCTTCTGGAAGAAGATGGAGTGCGAGGATTAGAGAATCAGAAAACAGCGTCAACGGGAAAAAAGAGTTACGCGCGGACGGATTTGACGAGCAAAAGCTATTGGGAGGAAGAGATGAAGAAGCACACGCGAGATAAATAAGGAAGACACGCACGAAAAGGACGCGCGAGATGAGTTTTCAGTTTCTTCTCGCCTCGTCCGGTCTGTTATTGGTTTTTGGAAGTGTTGAAGTTTAGTAATGCGTTTATAAATATATGCGCTCGCTGCATTGGTTCAGTGTTCTTGGACACTATCGGCATTTTTCAACATTGCCGATTTTCTATTCAATTCCATATCAAATCTGACCAATTTTACAGCTTTTGGCGATTCTCTGTCAGAATATTTTGAAAATCGCGGTAAAACTGAAGGATGAAAATGCGCTCTATTCAGAATTAGTCAAAATGCTGCAAAAAAACTGAACTTTTCCCTCATTTTTTTACGATGAAATCTCAATTATTATTGTTTTTTTTAGCACATTCCCTGCAATGTTCCAGTAATTATTTAATTAGCTTTATTTTACTAACAGCAATTTGTCAAATACTAGAAATTACATTTGCACTGCGCTGAGCTAGACAAACGTGTAACATTCATAAAACGAAGAGAAAAAGTAGACACAATGGTCAGCAGCCGTACAAAAAGTGTAAGAGAGTTCTATAGAGTCAAGAGCCGATAAGAGAGAGAGCCCGGAACAGTTGGGGAAGTGTAGAAGGCCGAAGGCAATTGGAGCATGAACATTCTCATTAATTATCCTCTCCGCTTTTTCTCCTTATTTCCCCCTATAATTCATCTCTTTTTTTCTGGAATTCCACACCCAATTCTTTCAGTCTTTACTCGCCAGTCGGTCATTTTTCTCTGTCGTCTCTATGCTTCCTCTCTGCGTATCTTATTTCTCTGCTTTCTCTCTCGCTTTTCCGCCCGAGAATACATCGATTTGAACGCTCCGAACATCAACTATTTAACACTCCCCTTTGACTGCGACAGCTGACTTACTGAATCAAAAATAAAGCGTTTTCACGTTTTCAGCTCACTCACATCCCTTTCTTCTTCGGAGTTTTTTTCCGAAAAGAAATCGTTCGTGACACCGAATTTGGTGTATGAAATCGCATTTCTGTCGCCTTTTTCCTACGTTTCTGCTACTAACAAGTCGGACGATGGCCTGGAGATCCAGCGGACTCAATAACACGGACCTTGTGAACAATTTGAGAAGTGAGTTTCTAAGTTAGATTAGGCAAAGCAAACAATTGAAAGAAAACGTGCGTATTTCGTGTGAAATTGGCGAAAATAAGTAGTCTCCAGAAATCCCAGAAAAACAAGGCGAATAATTTGGTTCCGTGTAATTTGAGCCCAAAGACTGAGAAGAAAAATGAAAACAAATTTCGAAATTTTAACGAGAAGCCTTTCACTGCCTATTGATTGGTTTTCCCTCAGAAAACGGCTGTTTTGCTGGCGATCGAGTCGCCGAAGCCATGAAGGCCGTTGATCGCGGCGATTTTTCGAAACGAGATCCGTACCAGGACGCTCCGCAGAAACTGGGATACAATGCTACCATCTCGGCACCGCACATGGTACGAAATTAAATCAAAACCTAGTTAGCTAAAGTGTTTGCTACGAAAATACTTGAAAATCGAGTAAAAGTTTTACGTTTTTCGCGAAGAAAAAGACTGAAAGTCAATTGAGCTCAATCTCACACAAAACGATCAATGGCACATTTTGACAGCACGCAGCTGCTCTCGAATACCTCCAAAACCACCTGGTCGCTGGTGCAAACGTGCTTGACGTGGGCTCGGGAAGCGGATATCTGACGGCGTGCATGGCCTATCTGGTGGGTTTTTGGGGAAAAGCAGAAATGCTCTGGAACACTTGTGACTTTTTGAGGTCGGAGAAACTGGACATGTGGTCGGAATCGAGCACATTCCAGAATTGGTCAAACTCGGCGAACAGAACATCGGAAAGCATCATAAACATCTGCTGGACAACAAAAACATTGTGCTCATTGAGGTGAGAATTCAGAATAAAACGACTTCTTGCACAATCGTCATCATTTTCAGGGAGACGGTCGTTACGGATACGAGGAGCGAGCGCCGTACGATGTGATCCACGTGGGCGCTGCGGCGAGAGGAGTGCCTCAAGCGGTACGTGAGTTTGTGGCGAAAAGGGAGAAGAAATGGACAAAAAAGAAAGAAGAAACTCCTTCGTTTGTCCTTTTTTCCAAAGGAGCACATGATGCACACACGCACAAATTGAATCGTGAATCGACGATGAGGTGCTAATCCGAAAGGCCGTCAGGCAACCCGGAAATAAGATGTTGAAACTGAATCCACGTTGAAACGATCAGGAATTAGCATAATACGGTGTCGAAAAGTCGAAACCGAAACTGAACGAATCGTGGCCAATTTGAAAGTCAAATTGCCGTCAATTCATGCGTTTTTTTTCGCAAAACTCTTTCCATAATTTCAGCTACTCAAACAGCTCGCCGAAGGGGGACGAATGATGATTCCGGTGGAGGAGCCGGACGGAAACCAGGTCGGGAAACTGTTCGGGGGAGAGGAAATGACAATTTCGAAAGTTTACAGGTGTTCAAACAAATCGACAAAATTAACGGAGAAATCCAGCAGAAAGTGGTTACAAACGTCGTCTACGTTCCACTCACGAATCGCGAAGATCAGTGGAATGTTTCGTGATCTGTTTTCCTGGGCAACATGTACATTTATTTCCCTGCTCTCCTGTTCTCTTCCATAATAAAGTCGCCATTCGGGGCATTCCCAGAAAACGTTCATTCCAAAATCACAGGTTCTCAATGGCGGTCTCTCTTCCGTCCTCGGCCTTCACTTTCTTCTGAACACTGACCAACTCGTCGAGCACATCGGGCATCTGCGAATCCCATTCAGGCAGCATCGGCACGTACTTCTCGTGCACATCCGAATTGATGTTGGGATCGCGCGACAGACGATTCGGACGACGGTTTTCCGTCGGACGGGGAGCACTTGACGAGCAGTGAACCACTGTTAGAACCTGAAAGTGTTCGGTTGGAAAAGGATTCTGATGGCAATGTTTCGAGATTACCGAAATGGATACGTTGAATAAAAAAAGAAGAAGCATCCTTTTCGATGGCTTTTCGATGGGAAAACTCGGGTAGAAATAGAGATATTTATAAATGAAAAAAGAGAACCGGTTCAAAGTGACTAGGAAATAAGGGAACTCCGGGTCCTCACGGCGGAACTTCATACCTCGCGTGTTAGAGGCTCATCAGAAATGCTCCGGAAATGTGCATCAACCACCATCTTCTTCTTCTTTCCTTTTCCCCTTTTCCCCTCAAACACATTCCTCACAATTCCACTTGGAGTTAGAAAAATGTCCGAAAGTTCGTCAGCTCGAAGGGAGACTTTCGGAGGAATTGTATTCCGCATTTACGTGAGTTTAACATACAGAAAGAGCCAGTTTTTGTTTCGTTTTTGCCTTCGGGCTAAATTATCATTCGTCACTTTTGGAGCAACCTGTTTTCAGTCAATCCGCGGTTGGGTGCGACGAGCTCGAAAGCGACTGGCGCTCTTCCGAAAGAATGACGTGGACGTTGAGACGAACTTCCGCGCGGCGCTCCGAGAAGAGCCGGAAGACGAGAAGCCGTCCTCCAGACTCTTTTCGTTCACAGTCGACGAACGCGGCAACGCGTTCTACCTGTGGACGTGCCTCGTCTGTCTCGTCGCCCTCCACCCACTCATTTTCACTGCTCTTTCCGTCTTCACCGATGTGCATCCGTTTCTCCGCCGAACGGGACCAATCAACCTGCTCTTCAATCTCATCAATATTCTGGATCTGATGGCTCACACTCGAATTGAGTACGTGGAGAACGGAGTGGCCGTCAAGAACCTGAGCAAATTGATGCACCATCGGATCAAGTCGTGAGTGGTGGAACAGTGCGAAGGAGAATTGAAATAAAGTGGTTTTTGGCAGAAAGTTCTTCATTCTCGACTTGTTGGCTGTCGTGCCAACTGAATCGCTCGAGGTCTTCGGGGAGAGCTTCTTCTTGGCGAGGATCAATAGATTGTGCAAGGTGCTCCGAGACTTCGAATCCATAATATCTGAAATGTTTCAGTGCTACCGTTTTTTTGACTTCTCCACCCTAACCGACACTCGCACGACTTCTCCCCACGCATTCGGCCTTTTCAAACTCATATTCATCTGTTTTGTGATTTTCCACTGGAACGGATGTCTCTACTTTCACATCAGCAAAGCTTACAATTACACGAGTAACTCGAAATCATATCGGTATCAAACTAACATGTGACATTTCCCTTTCAGCCGCACGTTTGGAACACTGGATATTCTCCTACGACAAGATTATCAACCCGATTCTGGCGGATTGTGTCACTGAGACCTTCAACGACAAGAATTTCTGTAATGTGGATGACTTTTTGATCACCACTTTGCCGGAAGACGAAGTACAGGCAACGGTGGGCGCGTTCATGAGCACTTGGGACAACAAGTGAGTGCAATCATTGAAGTCTATTGGGTCCAGGACTAGGCAGACTATTCAGAACGACAACTCTGAAATTCGCCAACTTTTTCCGTCAATACGCCCTCAGCTTCTACTGGTCCGCCCTGACCCTGGTCACCCTTGGAGAGCAGCCGTCGCCTTGCACGACGTTCCAGAATACGTTCGAGATCGGCGACACGCTCCTCGGACTCGTCATCTTCGCCGTCATCGTCGGAGACGTCGGTAACATGGTGGTGGCGATCAACTTACGCAAGTCCGAGTTTGATAATGTGCTCGATGGATGCAAACGGTTCATGGTTTATCGGTGAGACTGGGGGTCGGGCGGGAGAGGCTTCTGATGATGATGTGAACGCAGAAAAGTGCCGAATCTTCTTCGAAAGAAGGCCGTCGAGTACTTTGGATACGTGTGGGCTCACGGCGGAGCACAAATCGATGAGGAGGAGATTGCAGAGTTTCTGCCGCCCAGGCTTTTCGGTGAGATCGCTGTCGAGATTCATATGGACACGTTGAAGAAGGTGAAACTGTTCGAGGTGAGTTCAAGGTTTGAACTATTCGAGGCTGTGCGAAGTCGACTTTTCCGGCCTGTGCTGTTGTTGACGGGTGATAGTCGAGTCAAGGTTTTTGTCACTTTGAGTTCTGAGAAACTTCAAATCATAGAAACAGAGTCTACATGTTTGCCAACTCCTCCGCTGACTCATTTGTTGTCTCAGGACTGTGACCCGCGCCTGTTGTACGAGCTGATTTTGAAACTACAACTTCGAGTCTACAGGTTTGTCCATTGCGTCCCGTGAAAAGAAAAGCACGTAGACGTTCAGCCCGATGGACTACATTTGTAAGAAGGGAGAAGTCGGAACAGAGATGTACATTGTGAAGGAGGGATTCGTGGAGGTGGTCAGCGAGGACGGGAGAACTGTGAGTGCACTGGACACCTGAGCCCATCTCAATCCGATTCCACACAGATATTTGTCACTCTGCCGGCTGGATTTGTGTTTGGAGAGCTCTCGATTCTGAATATACCCGGGAACAAGAACAAGAACCTGAGGACCGCCTCAGTCAGGTCCAAAGGATACTGTGATTTGTACGTTCTGCACAAAGAGGACCTGTGGGACGCCCTCCGAGAATACCCGCAGGCACGAGACTCTCTGATCGAAAAGGGAATTGAGATATTGGAAAAGGATAAGATGATTGACAGTAATATGAGGGATGAGGAGGAAGAGGAATTCCACGGTCCCATGGAGGAATACATGACGATTTTGGAGCAAGAAGTGCAAAAGCTGACGGCTTCGATGGATGACGCCGAGCAGAAATTGCACGTGAGTCACCCAAGAATCCGTTTGTTTTCCAATACAAATGCGTCAGATGGCATGCTTCTTTCAGCTTTCCCAACAACAATTGAAGGCACGATTGTTCGGACTGGAAATGGAATTGATTGAAGAATTCAAAGAGATGAAAGCGATGGGATCGAAGAAGAAGAACTTGACAATAACCGGTGAAATCATTGTCTTGTAAAGATTCAACTAAAAACAAATAAATAATATAGATTCATCATCAAACTCTTTGTGCGCAAAGAAGTCAGAAGAGTCCCCTTGGGTAAACAAGGAATGTAAACAAAGTGTTTTCAATTTGACTCGCATCGAGAATCGAGGTCGATGACCAACAAGACGGACGTTTTGTTCTAGTCAGGATTCCTCTTTTTTGAATTTGTTGACTTCTAGAAAAGTTTGACTGCAAAATCTGAAATTCGGACCCGATGAAGTTTGGGTGGGATCGAAAGATTGGAACTCGGTCAAAAGTCCAGGGCTTCGTCCTTCATTTTTATGCTTTTTCGATGCTCTTTGGGCAATTTCTGTATTTGGAACAATTTGAGCTTTGGACGCCATTCCATCAGATCCTTTTTCTCAAATTCAGTAAAGATCCAGCTCGCAATCGGCTCGGCAAACACTCTGAACGCGTGCACTCTTGATCTCTCCCATCACACCATCTTTCCGTTCTTTGATCCCTTTTTCTGCCCTTCCAAACGATGCCCGCCCATTCCTTCCCCCTTTCCTTTTCTTTCTCTCTCGGTCTCAATCAACACAACAAAAAAGTTCCACTACTGTACAACAGATGACAATGGTCTCTTCTTCGTCGTCGTGATGATTGAGGGAGGAGACAAGGAGACGGTCATAGTCTTTCCTCTGGAAAAAGGGAAACGTATAAAGGGGGAAGAGGTGTGGGAACGGGCCGAATTATGATCCTCTCCCGTTACTTTCTCGCCCTCTCGTCTTTCTAATATGATTTCTCTGGATTTCCAATACCTTCCCCGACATTTCTCTCTTTCTCTCTTTCTCTCTTTCTCTCTTTCTCCTCTAGTAAAGGTGCGAGTGTTTCATTTCCAATTCATTGCCAATTCTCTCCAATTTTCCACTCATGTTCTTCACGCCTTTTCCTTTTTTAGTCTAATCGATTCGTTTCCGGCCAGTTTTGTTGCAAAGCGTTCACGTTTTTCCACCTTTTTCACTGTTCGAATGCTTGTAATATCATTTGCTTCCACAACTATTAGCATTGCCCTTTTTGTTATGGAACGACCTAATATTGTAGGAAAATATTTTGAGCGAGTACGTTGTTATTGCTCATCTACAAAAACAATCAACAATTAGGCACTCTTCTTATTCTAGATAAATGCTACGGTAGGACTCGCTTTCATCCATTACATAATAATTATTGTGCGACCACTTGTAGCCTTCAAAAAGAGTGTCATCCATCCATCACCAGTCTCCGCAAGCAACTTGCAAAGCTTTTTCAAGTTTTCCACCAAGCACCTCCCCTTTTTACCCAACCATCCACATCATTCCCTATCATTTTGTTCTTCCGACTCACTCAAGCAACCCCCTGGTCCTCAGTGGAGCGCACTTGCTTTCCCTCTGAAACTTGGAGATCAAAGGCATTGAACAGGTTGCGCAACATGTCCGAGATGCCAATCGTTTTCCTCTTTTTACACCTTCTCCTCTCTCTCTTTTCTCTTATTTCTAACGTCACTTTTCGCTTCCCTTTTGCCAAAGGTTACGAAGGTCGACTATCCGTTTTGCTGCCAAAAATTGATTATTTTCGAATTTTTATTCCGTAACTTCCAAACGCATTTTCTTATTGTGAGTGTTTGAAAGTATTTCTATGAGGGGTTCGTTGTTTCAGGAGCAAAATGGGATCGAGTCCTAGAGTTCAGAATTTCAAACGTCCCACCGTACTTCACAAGGGACAGAGGTGAGCATGCAATGGTCTTGACAGCTGATCAGTCGGACTATTCAGAAGCCGTCTGCCGGCCACGTACATTGCTCCAGAAGAAGTCTCCATCTGGGACATCATCAAACCGAATCTCGGCAAAGACTTTTCCCGCTTCACGGTGCCGGTGTTCATGAACGAGCCGCTCAGCTTCCTGCAAAGACTCTCTGAGAACGTGCAGTACAATTATCTGCTCGAGAAGGCGGCCAAGTGCGAGGATGATCTGCAGAGAATGGAGTACGTCGCCGCGTTCGCCCTCGCCACCGTTTCCGCGAATCACAAGCGCCTCTCGAAGCCGTTCAATCCGCTGCTCCTCGAAACTTTTGAGCTCGAACGGTGAGTATCACATTCGTTTCCATTGATCTCAAATATTTATTTTCAGAAACGGCGTTCGTTTCCTGGCCGAACAGGTGTCTCATCATCCGCCAATCTCTGCCGTCTACGCCGAATCCGACGAATTCACCGTAGAGGTAAGGGGGGGTCTATTACGTAAATGCTTTTTCCTTCTTCTTTTCCTTCTACTTGCTAGAGGAAAGCAGCAGCGAACCGGTCCTTGCGCAGTCAGCGAGAAGAAAAGTGAAAGTTGCAGGGTACCGTTGAACCGACGCTCGGATTCTGGATGACCAAGTTGATTGCCAATCCGCACGCTCACCTCAAATTAACTTTCAAAAAGTAAGGGCACTTACAGAGATAGAGATCCCGTTTTTTCTTTTTTTCAGATCCGGCGAAACGTACTCTTGGTCGGCGCCCAAATGTGCCATCTACAATGTGATCATGGGAAAGATGTACATGAACTTTGTAAGTTCAAGTTCACCACACCGATGCATGTACTGTTCCCTTCAGACAAGTCACATGAAAATTGAGTCGTCCGGCACGTACGACGCCATGTTCTCATTCGAAAACAAAGGATATTACAACCACAAAGGCGGCGACGTGCACGTCGAAGGCCACGTCTTCGAGGGCAAGAACAAGGTGAAGGCGCTCTACGGCAACTGGACGCTCTTCCTCGCTTCCTGCGAGCCCAACGACTTCAAGACAAACCGCAAGGAGTACGTGCAGCTGTTTAACGAGACAGTACTTGAGAAGGATCAGGGACCGGTGCTGCCGGGCTCGAAGATCCTGTGGGTGGCGAATCAGGTGCCGAAGCTCTTCGACGAACAGTTTCATTTCACCAACTTCACCCTTTCGCTCAATGAAATGTACACGGGATTGGCGGAAAGGTGGCGCCGACGGACAGCCGGAGACGGAAGGATATGAAGGCGTTGGAGGAGGGGAAGAACGAGGAGGCGGAGGAGTTCAAGCACAAGTACGAGGAGGAGCAGCGGAGCCGCCGAGCCAAGAAGACTGGCGATGTGCCTCTGTGAGTTGGGAAGAATCATCGAAGACTCGAAATGTTTTCCAGGTGGTTCGCGAAGAACGAGGACGGGCACTGGGCGTACAAGGGCGACTACTGGGCGCGCGAGTTCTCCAGCTGCCTCGACCTCTTCGAATCGTGCGACAACAACAACAGTTCCCGCGAGCACAGCTCCTCCTCCTCCTCCTCCTCGTCGGCCGACTAAATCACTTTCTCATTATCTTTTCCAAATGGGTATTTTGCAATGCCATCCGTCCCGAATGATATTGTCAAAGAACGGAAGAGCATAAATGATGTGTCGTCTTTTTCTCGTTTCTAGGGAAATTGGAAAACGAAAACGAAAATGAGTAATGAACACCGAGAAGAAGAGGAAGATGGACTCGTTGCAGCGGCGGTAATAGGTTTTGAAGAGCCGCTTCTTTTTCGTTTTAAATTGTTTTCTCCCGCCTTCACCACCCCAACCCACTTCAGTATTCTCGAAACTTGGCTTCTTCTCCTGAATGTTCCTTCAATGCTCATTCCTATTCATTACTTGCTCATTTCTGATCTCCTCTCTAGACTCGCTTGATCTCGGAGGCGCACGAAAAGTTCAGAAGCCACAGGATCCGCAGAAGAGAGAAGAAGTAAACATTGCGGTCGTTTATCAGGTACAGGACTTATCTCGAAAAGAATAGAAAAGTCCGTGTTCCAGCACTACGCGGGACGCTCCAAATCCTACGACAAAGCATTCAAAGAGGTGATCCGCAAAATCAACGACGCCACAGCCGTCTCGTGAGCAATTGATCTGATCCAGCCTCGAGCACATCAATGTTATTTCAGAAGTCTCCGCCGTCTGGCGACTCGTTACATCTTCTCGGCGGTCGATTGCATCCTCCCGACGGGCGCCTTCTACGTGAAGGAAGTGCTCGATTGTCTGTGCAACAATGTCACCTCCAACAACGTGGCGCTCATCATCTTCGTGACCGCTTCGGAGACGTACGATTCGACTACGGCGGCCGAACAGTACTTTCTGACGGCCGCAAGTTACACTGGGATTCCGATCATTGCGTGGAACGCCGATAATGCTGGATTCACTTTTGAGAACGATCTCAGTCCGTACAGGATTATACAGATGGCGCCGCCAATCGAACATCAAGCCAGGTACACATAAATAGCTGCTATTTTAAAGCTAGACTAATCAGTGCTTCAGGGCCATGCTGGCTTACTCCGTCGTTACAATTGGCCCAAATTCGGGTCGTAACTTCTGAAATGGCCGGCAATGACCGGTTCGTGACAGCAGTGCGCGAAGAGTTGGAAATGTTCTCGAACAAATCGAAAAAGTTTGAAATGATCCATCACTGTCACATGGACACCCGCAACAACACGGATGTGGATCTGAAGCTGGCCGAAGTGAAGAAGAATCAGGCGAAGATCATATTGCTGTACGCAAATGCCGCGCAGGCCGGAGCCATCTTTTCGGTTAGACACTTTCCCTTCAGAAATCCGGTTCATTGGCTTTTCAGCAAGCAGAAAAGCATGATATGATCGGAGAGAAGTACTTGTGGATCGGAACGCAATCCGTGAAAGGCACGCAGACGACGGTGAAGGCGTCCGCGCAAGCCGGAATGCTCTGCGTCAACTTTCATACTGGTGAGCCCTTCTTTTAATTAGCGATAAAGATTCTCGGTGTGGTTTGCAGTGTCGAATGCAATGTTCGCTCCTCGCGACGACATCCTGCCCTCATTATCCAACTGGCACCCAAACTGTTCGGAGCCGCATTACTGCAACTGCGCCCCAATGAGAACTTTCCGATGCGATCGAATGTTTCGTGTCGGAGCGAGGACGGAGATCCGTATTGGCAGAACGGAAAGTACATTTACGAGTGAGCAGAGAGACTTTAAAAAGGATAGTTGATTGAAATTTCAGTCACATGAAGGCTGCATTCGTAAAAGGGAATCCGTTCCATGTTGACGACGGCCACGATTCGTTCTTTTACACGTTCGAGAAAACCGGCCGCCTACGGAACTCGATTCTGCAAATTTCAAACTTGAGAACGAATTCAAAGGGAGAGAAGACGTGGGAAAAGGTGGGCATTTTTACGAACAACGAACTGAAGATGGCGGACGTGCAGTGGCCCGGCGAGCGAGCGAATCCGCCGCAAGGGACCGCCGACAAGTTCCACGTGAAAGTGGTCACTCTGCACGAACCGCCCTTCATAACGGTGTCCGACGTGGATCCAGACACCCAAAAGTGTCCGGGCAATCAGGGATCGATCTGTGACTGGGGAGACGTCGAGTACACCGACGAGGCGGGCGTCAAAAAGTGAGATCCTTCTTCTGATGTTTCTTTTATGAACAACTAGAACATTCCAGAAACCGAACGCTGCTTAAATGCTGCTCGGGATATTGTGTGGATCTTCTGAACAAGTTGGCCACCGACATTGGCTTCACGTACACTTTGTACAAAGTTCGCGACGAGAAGTGGGGTCTGAAGACCGAGAACGGGTGGAACGGCCTGATCGCGGATTGATGCACAACAAGGCCGACATGTGTGTCACTTCCCTCAAGCTTAACTCGGAGCGCGCCCGCGACATTGACTTCTCGCTGCCCTTCCTCGACACCGGCATCTCGATCATCGTGAAAAATCCGCAGCGGAGTGCTCTCGCCGACCGCCTTCCTCGAACCGTTCGAGTATTCCACATGGGTCATCATCCTGTTCGTGTGCATCCACGTGGCAGCCATCTCGATCTTCGTCTTCGAATGGGTCTCGCCGTACTCGTTCAACATGCAAAAGTATCCACCGCCGGGTATTTCGATTGGAAACTTTCACGATTTGACAAATAAGTGGGTTTTTTCAGAGCACAAGTTCTCCTTATTTCGCTCCTATTGGCTCGTTTGGGCGACTTTATTCAGTGCCAGTGTGACTACAGGTATTATCTTACTTTTTCTTGACACCGAAATGCTATACTCAGATGTTCCCAAGTCTACCGTATCCCGATTGATGGCGCTCGTCTGGGCCGCCTTCGGCCTCACCTTTCTCGCAGTTTACACTGCAAATCTGGCGGCTTTCATGATAACAAGGGTTCAGTATTACGATTTGAGCGGCATCCATGACCCGATGGTACTTCCCGGGTCCGTTTGAATCTCACTCACTTCTTTCAGCTGAACTTCCCTCAAGATCAGAAGCCGCCGTTTCGGTTCGGAACTGTCGACGGAGGAAACACTCACGAGACGATGAAGCGGAATTGGCACAAGTTTCACGAACACTCACAGCACAAACAGAAAAGAGATATGATTCAGAATGCACGAGTACGTGAAGGGCAACAAGTTCTTCCGAATGAACATCTCCGCGGGAGTGGACGCCGTCAAAAACGAGTGAGAGATCGCATTCAGATTCCGCTGAAAGCGTGCTCCAATTTCACGTTCCAGAGAGCTCGATGCATTCATTTACGATGCGGTGGTGCTCGATTATTGGGCGGGCAAGGACGCGAACTGTGCTCTGATGACGGTCGGAAAGTGGGCGAGTATGACCGGGTACGGCATCGGATTCCCCAAACTCCCCGCACACGGCTCTGGTCAATCATTACATGCTACAATATCAGCAGAAAGGTATGTAGTTGCGCTCTACCGCTAAAATACGCCTGCTCTTTCATTTTTCACAAATTCTAGCCCAGCGAAATTTTTGCGGCCAAGTTGGGAGAATGTCTGTAAACTGAGCAACAGATTGTTTTCAGGAGATTTGGAACGTCTCCAGAACTTCTGGCTCACCGGCGCGTGCACTCCGGACAGCCACAGCCAAACCCAGTCGGCTCCGCTCGGAATCGAGAACTTCCTCTCGGCATTCGTCCTATTGGCCGGTGGAATTGTAACGCCTTTTTCCCTGCCCAATAAATCAGCGTCTCTCCGTTCAGATCGTCAGTGTGATTGTGCTCGGATTCGAACACATCTACTGCATGCACCTGCGGAAGCCGCTGCAGAAGATCGACCCGAACGGCTGGTGCGGCATCATCAGCATGGCCATGGGCAAGTCGCTGACGTTCACCGAGGCGGTCGACCGGGTTCAGGAATGGAGATCCCGGACTCAGTCGCTCGCGAGCAACAACTCGCCTCAGTTGAAACGGCGACGCTCTGCCAACTTGTATGTTTTTTAAATGAAAATTATATCAAAAAATAAAACTAACTAATTCCAGAAAACCCGCGGATGAACCCCAAGAGGCACAACAACGTCGCCGAAGTCCTCGCTTTTTACAAGTGGAGACGAATCTTTAATTTCATCTTGGCACATAACACAGAGTTTGGGAGGCTGGCAAAATAATGGTAAAATAATGGCATATAATAAACATGAAATTGAAAATATATATTTAGACCAGAGATCCGCGTAAGTGAAAATTTCCGTTGGGGAATGCGGATTTTTCGATAAAATTTATATGCGGATTGCGGATTCCGCGGATCTCTGACTTAAACTACAGTATACATAGAACATTAGTATTCAAACATGTATTCTTCCGACGAATCATAGGCATACGAATCATCCATCTGTCCGGCATCCTCTTTGGCACTCTCCTCCGCCTCCATCGCCGCCCAGCGTTCTTCTTCTTCGTCCGAATCACAAGCGTACATCGGTTTCGGAATCAAGAACATCCCGTTCCCCAGGGGCTTCAAATAATATGAGTCGGAAGAATTATTCTGTTTGACCGGCTCCGGAGCTTTGCGCGACGGAGCTGTCGTCGAATCCGAAGAATTGGAAGAAGATGGGGTCGACGAAGAGTTGGTGGATGAGGATGGAACGGAAGACGGAGACGGATGCACAATAGGGACATGAATGGCGTTCGTCTCTTTGATGGCTAGTTCGGCAAGTGATGCATCGATTTGTTTTACAGTAGCCTTGGATGTTTTTACCGGTTGCCTGTAAAAAAGTGAATTTGGCCAAGGCTTTTGAGCTCAATGAACTTACTTCAGAGGAACCACATCTTCGCTCTTTTTCTCCTTTGTCTCAGTCGATGCATCGATTTCTTTTTCTTTGAGCTGGTCGTGCTGTCGTCTGAAATGCAGATGTAATTCAAAGGAGAATCGAATGATGCACGCACTGTTTGCAGCTCATCAGCTGAATCAGACTTTCCGGCAGGCTGCACCCCCGTTTGCTCATCTCCACCAGTTGGGCTTTTATGTTGATCAGCGGAGTCATTTTGGTGATAATCGTGTCGATTCGGACGGTGCACTGCTCCGCACGGGCCAACTTTTCAATGGATTTTAGCGTTTTCGGGAACCAAACCACTTTGTCTGGCAAATCGAAGATTATGTACTGAAAATTGATTTTTTTATAGTTGCAGCCGAATTTTAGCGTCTGAACAAACCTGCTTGAAAAGCGGCAACTGGATCTTCTCAAAAGCGTGGATATTAGTCAGCATTGCGAATCTTCCGGCTCCTGATGCATTCATAATCTGTGTCTTCAGCTTCTCCACGTCAACGTCGTCGAGCATGTCGTTCGTTAGAATCTTGGTTTCGATTCCAGACGTTTGCACTTCAAGCGATACGAGTCTGCACGTTTTCGCATTCCCGAACAGCACCAGAATCGGACCTAATTCGTTATGCTCTTCTCTATTTTCAGAATTGTTCTTCTTCTCTTACCCGTGCTGTTCGTGATCAGTCTAACAAGAATATCGACTTTCGGTGCGATCTCGAACACGTTTTCCGCGTTCTCCTCGCATCTTTCAGCGCTGTTCGGCACCAGATGTCCGTACATTGTCGCTTTTCGCTCCGATGCCATTTCTCTGGAAATAAGAAAACATATTCCTAGTCTGCGGACACCGCGCGGAAACGATGACGTCATATGGCCAATTGGCATAAATTTTAACACGATCACGGTCTCTCAGGGATTTGAAGTGAGGAAACAGCGGCGGAAGAGGCGTTTTGAGGAAACTGCGGCGGAACGCTGTTTCGCCAAACTCAAATCGTGGCGAGACCACTGCGGCAGCAGCTTTGGCGAAACGGTGGCGGATTGCCGTTGCAACGGAAAACGACGCACTGTTCTGGCGGAGTTCTGGCGAAACAGCGGCGGCACTGTGGCGAAGCAGCGGCGGCGCTGTGGCGAAACACGGTTGTAAGTGGGTTCGACTCGCTTTCCGCCGCTGTTTCCTCACTTCAAATCGCTGAGCTTCAAGGGTTCTAATGCTAAACACAGCGCGCTCGTAAATTGTGGAGTGTCGTTGTAACTTTTGAAAATTTGCAGGTCTAAAAATGCAGTTCAATTCGAGTTTACGACCATTACTTCCTTCTTTTTGACTTGAAAAACGTCTAGAAAACAATATTTTACTGATTGGAACCCGTTCTTCAGAATTTAGAGTTTCTCATGTTTTTAGCGTCTTTATCGCATTTCGTCAAAACTTCAAAACTTTATATTTCAGCTCATTTTGCATTTCATGAGCCCAACGAACGATAAAAATGTTCGCTGAATCTTTCTTCACAAAATTCAGGTTCCGGCGGTTAGTTTTCTTGAGCAGTTTTCGAAAACTATTTGAAAAACATCAAAATCCAGGCCAAAACCTTCAATACTAGTGCTCTAATTATTCGAATCTAGGTTTCAGGCGTACAAAAATAGGTGTATTGTACAGAAGACATGGAAAGAACGCGAACACCCGTTGAAAATTAAATAATCGGCCGCCGCGTAAATCGACACAGCCCGCCTGTTGCAAGTGAGGGAGACCGTGCACGAATCGATATGGGATTAATGGAAAAATATCCGAAAAATCAACATGCACACAAATATTGTTAGGAAAAAAGCATTGCATTTATGTGGAAAGAAACTAACCGGAAATTAGTAGCAAATCATATGACAAACGGGAGAAAAAATGGAAGGACCGAGAAAAGTAAATAATTCGTACATAAAATGCAGTTAAAACATGGTTATGACTGAGCAGCAGACGCGGCCAGCGCTTCTCTTTCCTCTTTTTTCTGGTACCAATCGGCTCGAAATTTCTCGTAAAGGACTGGAAACCATTGAGGCAGATCTTTGTGAAATTTGTCGAGCAACTGAAAAACAAACAGATGAGATGAGATTGCTCAACCTTAAACCTTGTAATATTGTCCCAAATATTGTAAATCGGCTTTTTCGTCAAACAGTATGTACACTTTAATTTGGACGGCGGCCCTCGATGTCAGGTTCTCCAGCTCAATTTCCATCATCGTTTGGAAATACTGGCGCTCGGGCGGATCATAGAAGATGACCGAGTCGACGGTTCCTCGGTGCACAGACTGGATCGAGCGCCAATCGATCACCAGAACTTCCACTTGTCCGTATCGAAACTCGTAGTTCTTCATTTCCGCAACTTCGTTAGTGTCACCTCTGCACACATAGTTTTTACAAAAAAAATTGCCACGAAAAGTTGCTTACTCTATAATTTTATCCACCAAGTAAGAGCTCGTCGGCTCTCCAACATTCTGCCGGTTTCTCAAGTACGTCATCACGAAAATGCATTGCATTTTGTTCTTCGTGACGACAAGAATGCGTTCCTTGCGTTCCGCTGGAAAAATAGGAAGCGTCTTAGTGTCCGATGAACATTTTTAAATTTAAAAACATACAGTGATATCGCTGATTTTCACCGAGTCTCATGTTGCGCAGATTTGAAATGGTGTTGACACAAAGTTGCAATTTTTGTGCTTTTGGTGTCATTAAAAGCTGAAATTGTTGTGAAATTGTAGATTAAAAACTGAAATCTTACCTTCGCGAGCTCGAAAGTCTTTTCGTCCATTTCGACCCCGTTCTCAAGTTTCTCGGCCGCCATTCGGTTCACAAACTCTTCTGTCGGCACCACTAACAACAACTTTATCTCTTTGAAAATCTTTAGAAGACTGAAAAAGCAGTTTTAAAGGTATTTGAAACTGTTCTGAGCAACTGACTTAATTTGTTCGACCTCCACGAACAGGTTGTCTCCGCCCCCAATAATGCTTTCGCACGCCTTCTTGCCCTCCAGAAGAGTGCTCGGAGCGTCGACAAAATCAAAAAGAAAGAGATAAGTGGTCGGAGAATGAGCAAAGTATCTCGCGATTGCGGCACACGTATCCATGAATATCGGTTCCACCGGCATATTCTCAACGCCCGATATGACAATGTGTCGGACGGAGAGCCTCAGATCCGCCATCTCTAACTCATCGTTCGTGTCTTTAACAAACTTCAGAACATCTTTGGCCGATCCGACGACTATATCGAGTTTCGGTCGTTTCTCATGTTTATCCTGAAGACGTCGAAGAGGCGGTGCATTCCACGGACGTCCGAGATCTCGGATTTTACACCACTTACGCCTTTCTGTGAATATACACTTTACGCATCGAACTTTTCTGAGAAAATGTTGCTTTCTTACTTATCAAACTGTTGTATGCATCGGATGCTTCAGCCCTTCCCGCCGTGACGACGATGATCATAGGAAAACATTTCTGAATAGACAGAGAATTACGGTTTTGTCGTATGCTTAGTAATTTCAGACTTTTGGTCGGTTTTGAGACGCTTGCACCAGTTCTATCAATCCTTGACAGCAGTAATCAATAGGGACTGGAATTGAAACGAAGCACAGCATGTGTCTGATGCCGTCATGCAACAGATACTCCTTGACAATGTGCTCCAACTTTTTTCCGGTCCAGTCCGTTAGAAAACTGCTAAAATTCTTCAAAGCATTTTACAAATAACCGATTTGTTTAGCAACTTTATGGAAAACTGTGCCAGTTTAACGCCTAACTCGTTGCGTTCGATAAACGGCGAAACGTCGTATTTGTGCTCTGAATTCGTTGTGTTTGGATTATCTAAACGGTTTTCCCACTTTTTCTGGGTTCTGGGTCACCCCAATCGGGCGTCGCTTCCAGAAAAGCATCAAATTTGAAGGAACCGCGGTTGGCTTCGCCTGTTTGTCCAATTATGTTCAAATCGAAGACTCCTGCAAAAAATAACATGCGTGGTCCTGTCTGTGCAGTGAATCGTACCCGCACTGAGTTGGCTTATCCATTCCGGCCCGGCCATGTGACTTCTTGCGACCTGCAACTTCTACATGCAGTTTTCATGCATATTTATACTTCGGAGAGAAAATTTATGCGCTAAGCAGCTCGGATTAGTAATTTATAGAAAAACATTTTTGAGGTTATTCATTGTTATTAAAAGCTTATTACAATTTTTTAGCCGCATTTCTTTTCAATTCTTCCGCACGCAAATGTTTTCTTAAAAACGAACGTCGCCGCCGAGTGGGTCGATAAAATCATTGTGTTGCAATAATGCAAGTGCGCTCCGCCGCACCGGGTCTCGCAACGAAACAGCCGCGTCGCGACCGTACTCGCATAGCGTTCTGCATTCTTTTTTCGCATTTTTTGGTTCGCCCAAATTTTTTTCAACGTCTTTCCAATGGAATTCGGCGATTTTCTCGACTTTTTCGGATTTTTGAGTAGATTTGAGAATAGTGGATGATTCCCGTCGGTTCAGATCGATGGGAGCATGATTAAAATCCATGAATCTAAGTGAAATGGGATAATTCTCAATCTTACTCGGCTCTTGCACAGCTGAGGTATGTATGTTTCGTATTTTTGTTGCGCTTGCATCGTTTTAATAATTTTTTTTTGAAGTATGGGACGTCCAGAGTTCAATCGTGGAGGTGGCGGAGGTATGTTGCAGTTTTTGTCGGAAATCACTGGATTTTCTTGAAAAAATCAATAAAATTTCCTATTTATATTTTTTGACAGGTTTCCGTGGAGGACGCGGTGGCGGTGATCGCGGAGGATTCGGTGGTGGCCGCGGAGGCGGTGATCGCGGAGGATACGGTGGTGGCCGCGGAGGCGATCGTGGAGGCTTCAGAGGCGGGCGCGGTGGAGGATTTGGTGGTGGTGACCGCGGAGGATTCGGTGGTGGTGACCGCGGAGGATTCCGTGGAGGAAGAGGCGGTGGTGACCGGTAGGATATCTCGAGTACTTCGGAAAAAACTAATTTCTTGTTTTAGTGGTGGTTTCGGAGGCCGTGGATCCCCGAGAGGAGGATTCGGCGGACGTGGATCGCCAAGAGGAGGAAGAGGTTCCCCACGTGGAGGACGTGGAGGAGCCGGTGGAATGCGCGGAGGAAGGACCGTTGTTGTCGAGCCACATCGTCTCGGGGGAGTCTTCATTGTGAAAGGAAAGGAGGATGCTCTTGCTACCAAGAACATGGTGGTGGGAGAGTCTGTGTACGGAGAGAAGAGGGTGTCTGTTGATGACGGCACTGGCTCGATTGAGTACCGTGTCTGGAACCCATTCCGTTCTAAGCTCGCTGCTTCCATCATGGGCGGTCTTGAGAACACCCACATCAAGCCAGGAACTAAGCTTCTCTATCTCGGAGCCGCTTCTGGAACTACCGTGTCTCACTGCTCCGATGTCGTTGGACCAGAAGGAATCGTCTACGCTGTCGAGTTCTCGCACAGATCCGGACGTGATCTTTTGGGAGTTGCGAAGAAGAGACCGAATGTGGTTCCAATCGTCGAAGACGCCAGACATCCACACAAGTACCGTATGCTCGTCGGTGAGTTCATGCTTCGAGTATTTCTTATTTTTTTGTTCTTATTCAGGAATGGTTGACGTGATCTTCTCTGATGTCGCTCAACCGGACCAGGCTCGTATTGTTGCCCTGAACGCCCACAACTTCCTCCGGAACGGTGGACACGCCGTCATCTCGATTAAGGCTAACTGCATCGACAGTACCGCTGAGCCAGAGGCTGTCTTCGCTGGAGAGGTCAACAAGCTGAAGGAAGAGAAGTTCAAGCCGCTCGAACAGGTTACCCTTGAGCCGTACGAGAGAGACCACGCTGTGGTCGTCGCTACGTACCGCCCAGTCAAAGGAAAGAAGGTCTGATCTCATTAATCATTGTTTTTCTTTGTTACGTTGTTATATGTGTATCTCCCATCCTTATCGTTTACACTTGTTTTACTTGTTCCTCAATAAATTTGTTGCTGATGTTACTTAGGATTCTTAGGACCTTTTTCTTATCTTGGTTTTGTACCATGCTTATCTCTTTTCCTTATATTGTCTAGTAATTTTGTCTAATCCGTTTTTGTAGGGTAATGGCGTCTACCGTGCAATCGGTTCAGACCTTCGGTCGCAAGAAGACTGCTACCGCTGTCGCTCACTGCAAGAAGGGACAAGGACTCATCAAGGTCAACGGCCGTCCTCTGGAGTTTTTGGAGCCCCAGATCCTCCGCATCAAGCTTCAGGAGCCGCTTCTTCTCGTCGGAAAGGAGCGTTTCCAGGACGTTGACATCAGAATCCGTGTCAGCGGAGGAGGACATGTCGCCCAGATCTATGCTGTCCGTCAGGCCCTCGCCAAGGCTCTGGTAAGAAAGCGGAAATCACTTCGAAAGATTCGATAGTGTCTCTTCAGGTTGCCTACTACCACAAGTACGTTGATGAGCAGAGCAAGAGAGAACTGAAGAACATCTTCGCCGCCTACGACAAGTCCCTCTTGGTCGCTGACCCAAGACGCCGCGAGTCGAAGAAGTTCGGAGGACCAGGAGCCCGTGCTCGCTACCAGAAGTCTTACCGTTAAATCTTTGTTTTGTTGCACCATAAAATTGTTATTAAAAGCAACGGTTCATGAGAAGAGATCAAAGAAAAATACTTGAATAGTTCAAAAAGTGAAACTGAGCAGCAACATATCGAGAACGAAGATAAACAGAATTCCGGCGATAAGATCGAGTCGCGAATGCTTCGGCTTTCTGGTGTAGGGCACGTCAAACATTTGCACGGGTTTCGTGCTGAAAGGTTGAAATCTTGGAGTCAGTAGATCGAAAGGCTTTACCAAATGCATTCGGTCTGGATCACATTGATTCCGGTGCCGTTGATAGTGCACGTGGATCTCTTCTGGCGGGCACGACTACATCGGAAGTCGCAGCAAGAGTTGAACTGCTCGCACGACGAGTATTCCGCCTGAAAGTCGATCATAAAATGGTCGAAAGACTCGTCGGAAACCTTGGAGATGCATTCCTGCGTGTACACTTTCGGGTGTGATTCGGAAACGCACAGAATGGTGAGCAGGGACGGAATGACTATTGTAAATCGCATTCTGTTCTGCAAACTGATTAATCTCGGCGGAAGTAGCGATCGTTTGACACTTTTCTCTGCGTTTCCCACACAAAAATGTCACTTTTCCAGGCGGTTACGGGGTGAAAATCGGAGCGAGGGGAACTGGTCTTCAAATTTACCTTTTCCACTAAAAATTAGCTGTTATCAGCCAGAAAGCGATTCTAATTTACAAAAAGTCACGAGCAGAAATTGTTTTGGACTGACTGAAAAATTTTAGGGCTCGGATAAGCCTGTTTTTTTTCAGTATTTGAAAAAAATTCGAAAATGTGTTGAGACAAAAAACGTTCTCTTTATATACCGTTTCTGTCCGCTCAAACCCAAAAACAGACGAATGACATTGACCCAAAAGGAATTGGAAAAACGAAAAACGAAAAAGTAGGTAACTGGTGTTAACGATGGGAAATTATTTGGATGCAGCGGCAAGAGGGCGAGAGATTGTTTTCGTTCACATCCAATATGTTTGACAAACAAATGCGTTGAGGGAGAATGAAAATAGTATTAGTACACAATATTTTTTATTCACAATGATCGTTCCCAGAAAAACACAGAGAAAAAAGGGAGAAAACGTATACTAATAATAAGAAAGAGGGAATGACCTTCGAACCATTCGAAACGAAGGGTTGGGGGTCAGTTCTAGACCGTCTCCTTCTCCTTCTCTCGCTCTCTCTCTCGGCAAGGTTACACAACAGATGCTTCGTCGTCGTCGTCGTCTTCTTCTTCTTCTTCTTCTTCTTCTTCGGCAGCCCAAACACTTTCGATCATCAGCCTGCTGACCTCGTGTAGCAACTAACAGGTTACAGTTCGCATGGCAACCTAAGCAGTTCACGTGGCCGAGGAGTCAGACAATGCATTGAAAATACATTGTACGAACTCGTAACTCTGAATTTCATGTCGAGGGTTAGACAGACTGTTTCATCTGAGAGGAAATATGCGTTCAACGGCTGTCTGTAATGGCAGAGCGTCTTACTTGATGCAGCCCGAGGACCGAAGGTTTGGGACTGGATGGATGTCGAGTAGATCCGTCTTTCTCACAGGAAATGTCAAGATTAGGGAAAAAGAACGCAAAGAAGCGAGAAGAAAAAGGACGGCCTCGAGAGTCCGAAGGATCTACTGAACTCTCACTTTCACTTCCTGTACTCGACATCCAGCCGATCCCAAACCTTCGATCCTTGGACTGCATCTAGTAAGATACTTTGGCTCTGTTTTGGCTCAGTCCACCTCACTACCCTTTCGTGATTGTGCAATCGTGTGTTCAGCATGTGGAGTCTTTGTATGTTCTTCGCAAAACGGTTCAGCCAGACCATGTTATCATTTGTAACCAAATACTTCGAAATTGTCTGAAAACGAGTAATCCATAAGCTGACTCAGCGATCAACTGTTCATGAAACTGCTCGGAAAGTGTGCTGATCATTGTGTGACTTGAGTATTCACCCACGTTGTCAGCACGCGTGCTTGTTCAATACACACGAATACGAAAAAGTTATTATCTTTAAATGCAGTCACAATTTTCCGGTTGCAAAAACTTGTGGAGGTCAAAGTGTTTCATTTACAAAAGTGTTTTTTCGCTACCTGTAATAGTCTCAGAATATTCATATGGCACTGGGTAGATAATTGAGAAGGATTAGTACGGGTGGTTTGGATGTAAATGGATATATATAGGCACAGGTACATACAGTAACCGTCAATGGAAGTTACAGCACAGCCGACGGAATCGTCTTGTACTTGACCATCTGGTACTGGTCCACGTAGGTCAGCTCCTTCGTTTCCATGTGCGTGTACACGGCGTAGACGACTTTTCCGTCGGAAGTCGGGATGAACGACGTGGATCTGCCCCAGACCATGTTGCCGTATTCGATCAGATCATCCGCTGAAAAGGAGTAAGGGCATTGGGTTGACTGAATAGAAGTGGAACTTACAAAGACTCCACATGCTGAACACATAGTCTCCTTCCTTGTTTTTGTCCGAATTCAATTGCATCAGGAAGGCTGAGTAGTTGACTCCGCTGCACGGCCACGGAAGAGGCGTGAGGCCGCAGTCGAGATAGTTGAGACCGCAAGAGTCTCCGGGCCACAGACCGTTCTGGAAGGAACGGGTTACGGTAGAGATGCGATAGGGGGACTCACTTGTCTGTTGCAAGTCTTCTCGAGAACCGCACTGCCGCCCTCGCAATTGCACAGTCCGTAGTTGGCTCCGGCGATGCCGATCATCACTTCAACCTTCTTGTTCAGCGGCAATCCGAGGTCGCACTTCCCGTCCGACGCACTCACCGATCCTCCCTTGATAATCTTTCTGGCGAGGGTCACTCCCATGCTGTGGCCTACCACCGAGATTTTCGGGGCGCCCGTGTAGGCCAGCACTGCCTCCAGAAACTTTCTGAGTCGGATCAAATCGGTGCAGTCGTGGGTTCTCGACACGGCGTTCAGGGCGTTCGTGTCTTGCCAGGAGGTGGCGTACAGCTCGGCGACAGTGTAGCCGTGCTCCAAAAAGTATTGGATGGAATTGGACCAACCGGTGGCGGAGGAGGAGCGACGGAGCGCCGCGTCCGAGTTTCCGTGAATGAACACGACCGGAGTGTTCGACACCTTCGGCGCATTATCCGTCTTTCCTCCGTACGATCCCTGAGTACCGTAGTCGGCACGAACGAAATCGTAGGCGGAGTAGCCATTTCTGAAAGAGTAACGGTAACAGAACAGCCACACTAATCGTCCACTTACTGTGTCAACCACGTCTGAAAGTCATCAGTGAGCGGGCCGGCAATGTCCGATGCACCATGGGCTAGACAGGAGAGAGCAGAGAGCAGAGCAACGAGACGGAGCATTCAAGCACACTTTTCAGAGAAAGAGTCAACTAAACCTTTCTCGCTTGCCCGCGATTCTTTATACCTGCGAGCCGGCACGTTTCGGACCGTTATCAGCACATGGCGTGACGTCACTAATCGCTGACTAGGTCACGCCCACTTCGTGTGTGCCTACAGAATTCGGTGGTTTTTCATGGGGAAAAATGAAGGAACTTCTTGGTTTGGAGATCAAACTCTATGCACCCCCGTGCACATGACAAACACTTGTGTATTGATGTCGTCTTATGGCCGAAGTAGAAGAAGAGATTAGGAAATCATTGTTTGTGACATTGGGAAATTGAAAATGTTGAAGGCGGAATTAGGAAGTACTTATCGTTCTTCCTGACAATCATGTGAGGGAAACGAGTCCGAAACACTTCTGCACCAAATACGACAAAAATGATGCAGATTTTCACAATTTACCGTGCTCAGGAAATGATCAAGACAGAAGATTAAATAAATGAAAAGAGATCACAATAAAATCAGTGTGTCAAACAGTTTCATTGGCTGTTGGCGTTGGCGACGAACTCGAGCACCTGATCGTAGAGTTTCTTCTTGGCCTCCTGCGGAATCTCTCGTCGTGCCATGTCTTTGACGGCGTCGAAAGCCTCTTTCGCACTCACATCATCGCCGGCTTTCTGTAAATTTCAGGTTAAGTAAATTGTTTTGAACGGTCAGTTTCGTTTATCGTGAAAATTTTAGACCGAGAGCAAACAAAACGAGTTTTTCGAAATGTTTGATAAAGCGTCGAAAATATGCTAACCTCCAAGAACTTTTTGACTTCTTTTCTCACTGATGTTTCCCACGCGCTATTCTGAAGATTGTTGAGCAAGGTGGACTAAAATTCGGGCATTTTGTGTGAGAAAATAGAGCTAATTTCTCACTTTTACAAGTGCTGATTCGCCACTGTCCTGGAATTCTAGTTCGATTGCTTCTGGCTTTTTACGCATGATCATATCATCGTCCATAGTGAATTTCGACTGAAAAGTTAAACAAGTAATTCTAGAAACACGAAAACAGAGAGAAAATGGCTGGAAAACAAGTAAAAAGAAATCGGGTAGATTTACGATAAACAGCGCGCAAGCGGAACAACGGAGCATCGTAATATCCGCGAAAGTGTTGAATTCAAACGTTGGCCGTGAGAAACTTCGATTTTCCGACCGATTTCCTTTGAATCTTGTTCTATATTTTTGGTTTTCAGAAAGAAATGGATTTTCTGCATGTTTTAAAAGCGCGGAAAAAATATCTGCGATTTCCGTCGACCGTCTACGAGCAGCTCGAATCGAAGCACTATTTTATGCCCGTCGGAGAGACTGATGATCACGTAAGATTATAATTTTTCTATTTCAAAATCCGGCCAAAAAAAAGGTTCCAGGACTCCTGGGTAACTGCCCGATTCTCGCCACATCGGAGCCAGGAGCACATTCTTTACATGGGCGACGATCCCGGAAATATTGGCGTTTTCGATGTTCGCAAGTTTCACGATCGATCCGTCCCGGTGGAAGAACGCCAATTGCACTGTAAGTGAACCAAGTAAACTTTAAAAACAACAACGATGAGGTGTTTAGTCTTTGCTGCCCACGACGGAGCAATCATGGATGTGGTGGGTGTGCCGCACAAGGAGTCACAGATCGTGTCGATTTCCGGCGACTCGACCGTCAGATGCTGGGATTTGAATCAAAGTGCAGCAGATCGTAGTTCACACATGTTTTATGGGCATGACGGATCCGTCAGATCCATTTGTTTCGCCCCTGATGATCCAAGTATGTTCATAACTTTCGAAAGAAGCTTGATTCGAATATTGAAAGTGTTCCAGACGTATTCGTAACGGGCGCTCGTGATGGCCAGGTCAAAATCTGGGACATGCGAATCTCTCCGATTCGGAAAAACGAAGAAGAGTGCCGCATCGCGAACATCACCTACAAAACCGCTCATCCGAGCCAACAATCCGAAAAACCGGCAACTCCGAAGTCGAGGGGAAAGGTGGTGATGAAAAGCATGGGAGCGAGTGTGACGAGCGTTCTTTTCCTCGATGAGCATCACATTGCAACTGCCTCCAGTTGCACACAGAGCGGCATTCGCGTCTGGGACATTCGGAAACCGACGCGGAACGGCGAAGGACAGCCCGCGCGGATTCTGAATGTGCCGACGACGTCGAAGAAGAAGGCGTTCGGAGTGACGTGTCTCAGCGTGGATCGGTTCGGAAATCGGCTGTTCGCCTCGTGCACCAACTCGACCATCTTCGAGTATTCAGTTCCGTCAGCCACACTTACACCAAGTAAGTCGCTCGAAATCTTTGCTTCACAAATATTATTTTTGCAGTTAACACGTACACGGGCGCCACAATCCGTGACTTCTACACTCAAATCGCGTGCTCCCCGGTCTCTGACGCGATCGCATGTGGAAGCGAAGATCAACGGGCGCTCATATGGGATCTTCAGGACCAATACACTTATATGAACGATCTGTCGACTGCAGACGAGATAGATCGTAGGAGGACTCAACTGCCGAAATGGTCATGCGGTGGACATTTACGCAAAGTGCTGAATGTGGGATGGAGCGCTCAGGGCCGATATTTCATGTCTTTCGACGAGGTCGGAGTTCGATTGTGGGCGGAGCCTCGGGAACGAAAGCCGTGGCAGTGTTGCGATCACGACAAACCGTCTGAAACAACAGAGCGGGATCTCGGATTGGCGTTCGAACCCATTAGGTTGTTCGAAATGGCGGAGACGGATTCGGCGATGTCGTGCATCGACAGCATCTCCATTTCACCCAGACAACGGGGGGATTCCGGAGTGTTCGGATCGCCGCAGAAGGTGAGAGGACCGAAGAGACCGATTGTGGAGAGCCCGTTCAAAATGATATCGAGCAGTCCGAAAGCACTGAGGCTCAACCGATCGCCCATGGCCAAAATGAGCAAGTTAGAGACAATTCGAATTCTCCATATTATCCTGAACTTCCAGACTGTCATCTTCCCCATCCTCATCCTCACATCTACCCCTCCAACCAACTAACCTGAATGCTGTGAATCCACAATGTGCCGGCTTACTGGACTACACGCCTCGACATCGTTCCAAAAAACGCCAAAATCCGTTTTATTATGAGTAAGTTTCTTCACTTCCAAAGCAATCTCAGCGTTCGTTGTTTTCAGACACCCGACGGAAAATCTTCCAAACTTTGTGTACGACACATTCATTAAAAATATGCTGGGCAAGTCGAAAGAAGAGGAGGGATCGACGCAGAAGTCGCTGAGCAAAACGAGTCAAAAGAGGATCGAGGACTGGTGGCAGCAGAAGACCGCCGAGAATCTGAACACGGCAGCGAGGAGGAGGCTGCCGAGTGTCTCCGAGTTCGGCGAGTCGGCGTGCTCCAAAGTGATGAGCGAAACTGAGAGAATCGCGCTGACTTCCCCTCGGAAACTGGTCCTCAAAATCGCCTCCACAGCCAGCACCACGCCCGTTTCGCACCCGAAACCAATGCCCCAGACACCCCGCAAACCAGCCGGACATCGCCGATCCAGTCGGAATCTTATGCACTGGCTGAATTCGACAAAAACCGACGCCTGAAGCTCAGTTTCATTTTATCTGTACAATGATTTTCTCCCTCCCTTTTTGTTGATGCCATATTTAGCTGTCTGTAGGCCCCGCCTTTTGCTCTAACACAATGTCAGTTCTAAACTGTAAATAATTTGGTATCGGTATGAAAATAAGGTTTATCAGATGAATATCAGAAGAGGCGTACTTAACTTAAAACTTCATTTTTCGCCTACAATTCTGTAGGAACACCCGTATTTCGCTCTCTGATTTATCACTTTTCTTCTTCCATTCCGTTTCTCCTCATCATCCCCTCCCAAACCCGCGACTGATCGTCGTGCGGAACCGATTCAGAAGCAGCGAAGATTGGGCGGAGCGCGTCGAGGCGGCAGAATTGGTGGCCATCTTCCGAACGGCGCCGAACTTTGATCTGACCTCGAGCATCAGAACTTGAATCGCCTGGAACGCCTCCCGGTTCACCTGGTTGATGCGATCCTCGGGCAGGGAGAAACCGGTTCTGAAATGAGTGGCGTTGAAGGTCTTCTGAGAGTATGAAGAGCTTACTCGTCGTCCACCGGCGACAATTCCATCGTGTACGAGTACTTGATACCGCGCGATTTGGCCCAGTCATCCGATGCTCCCGCAGCTGGGTCTGAAAGTGTCGAACTTGGAAAAGTTTACAATTTTCTGGAATATCAAACTCACAAAGGCCGTCTCCGCTGTTGACCACCGTGTAATCAGTGTTATTGACCGCTTTTATAGCCGTCGCCATCGCTTTTCCCACCTAAAACATTGAGTTTTGTCTCTAGCACCTCTAGCGGCTTTAGGAGCCATTTTTAGACCCATGCCCAAGAGGATTCTAAGCCATTTTACTCAATTGTAGGCCACTTGATACCAAAACCGTCACGAACCTGAATCAAGTCCTGCACGTCGGCCGGGTACTGATGCATCGTGTGTCCCCACGGATACAGGATCTCTTGTCCGTACGAGTGCAACGCGACGTAGCCCTTGATGCGCGCCTCCTCTCTCTGAATCGCATTCGTCAACGCCAAGACCTCCGGTTCGGATTGTGGGCGAGTTCCGCAGAAGATCTCGGAGCACTCCATGTGGCTGACGCCCTTCGTTCCCCAGAAGAACGGATAGTTGCGGTTGGCGTCGGCGCCGCCGCATCGGCTGTTCGTGAAGCGCGAACGTGTCTTGCGCCACATCCGATCATGCGTGCGCGAGTATTCGTAGCCGTCCGGGTTGGTGTTTGGCACGACCACCAGTTGCACGTGGTCAATGAGATCACGGAACGTCGGCTGGCTTACTATCGTGTACACCAGGTAGAGTGCCACGTTGTACGAGATCCACTCTCTCGCATGAACTCCCGCGTCAATCCAGACGATCGGTTTGTCCGTTCCGTCGTCGCCAATCTGGAGAAAAAAAGGAAAGTGCGCTCTACTGGCAATCAATAAGAAGGAGAATAACTCACGCGAACAGCAGTGATCGAGCGTCCTTCGTAGGATCTTCCCAAGTTCTGAAGCTTCACAATCTGCGGGAATTGCTGGGAAATCGAGTTGACGAATTGCATTTGCTGAAAAAGTTTTCCTTCGAAGAGAATTCAAGGTGAACGCCACCTCGTCATAACTCAAATACCGATTGTTGACGTCATGAATGGTGACGGCGCCTCCGTTGAGATCTCGTCGCCGACGCACTTTGAAAGTCTGCGGGTTGACGTCTGAACACGATTGTTACACCGCCGCTCGAGATTCTCTGTCGTACCTCTCATCCGATACGTAATATTGTTGGCGGCAAAGTTCGACTCCACTTTTGACACCGAATCTTTGTCTATAAAGTAGTGCGCCTGCTTCAGTTTCCAGTTCTCGCCCAGGAAATCCGGCTGAAAGTGAGCGGGTTTGCAGTGGAACGGAGCCAAAACGCACCATAAACCCGAGATGCTGATCGATCTCCTGAACAAACTTCTTCACCCGTGGCTCTTGATAATTGACCTCGAGAATTTTGAACCTGAATTCAAGGATATACTGCAGAGAATACGGATGCAAGCTTACCCGTCATAGCTTTTGTACTCTGCTGAAATTCCACCCATTAGGGCTAGGGCCAGAAGAGCGAAAATGTGGAGCAGCATCTTTCGGAGGCCCGCCGCTGTAAAAAGAATGGATTTATTGGATGAGGGGAAGAGAGAGAGAGAGAGTGAAGAAACGGAAACAGAGAGGGGGCGACACGTGCAAAAAGTGGAAGGAAAAAGAGTGAGAAAGTGGAAAGTGTAGGCACGGACGGGTAGGTCCGAAGAGCAACCGGACTGAAATGCTCTCGACTTGAAGGGTTCAGATCACAATTTTAAGAGCAACCAGGAAGTCGATCCCTTTGCACGCAGCAATCGCGCTCTACTGCACTCCAAGGGGAGTTCGGGTTAACCAGTAGGATTGCGGTAGAGCGTAAGTGGCAGAATGTGTCAGTCTAAGCATCTCGACAGATATCGAAACAGAAAGACATCTAGGTGCGATCTAATTTTAACCAAATTTCCATTGAAAAAGTGAACCAAGTTTCGGTGTGTGTGTGTGTGTGTGTGTGTGTGTCTGGTGATATGAAAAACTAGGTTTTGAGTTCATGGTCGGCCGACGAGAGAGTGCGGGAGACGGAGAGACGCAGAGAACGACAGTTTGTTTGCCATTGGGAAACAGAAAGAACGGCGCACAAAATGGGGGCGAGAATTGGAAAGAAACTGTGAGAGAATTGTTACAAAACGAAGATATATATCAGTGACACAATCAGAAGCGGACAATGGGTTAGCTAAAAAAGAGAGAGAGAAGAATAAGAAGAAGGAGAAGGAAACTGTGAAAAATTGTTAAACTTTTGCCCCGTCTCATGGCCTTGTTCTCTTGAACAATACATACTAGTCGATTTTTTGAAACGTTCATTGCCACGTATCAAACTGACGAACAAAAAAAAGAGAGAGATAATAGAGGACAAACATCATGAAACAAAGATAACAAAACGCAGATAATGTTTTGAGAGAATTTGATGTTTTTGGACTGACCGACGTCAGCGAGTCTATGGATAGGCAGAACCGGAAAAAAGTTACTCTCGACAATGGTTTTATTCGGGCAAAAAGTTCAAAACGAAAAACGATTAACGCAAGTTGATTTTGGAAATGCGATCGGCCGCCCGTGCCTCCGCCGCCTCTCGATCTCGCTTCTGACGGATGTGGTTTTCGAGTTCCTGAAAGATTTGAGCCCGCTCAAAAGACCTCTTCTCAATTCACTCACTTTTCTCTTTATCTCCACGAGATTGTCAATGTTCGGCTCTTTGAACGTCTCGTCCGTCATCGGATCCTGCTTTTTGACCTCATCTGAGTCCAGGGCACTTGTCTGAAAAGTTGAGAGGATTACGGTAAATCGACAAAAATGAACCTTTTGAGGGTAAATGCCAATGAACGATTCTCTCCAGAGATTGAACGGAGACGAGGCGCCCATGACGTTCTCGGCGCCCGGCGGCATTCCGATCGACTGCAAATGTGTTTAGTTCTCAACAACTTTGGGAAATCAGTAGATAAGACACTCGCATCATCAGATAGAACGACGTCAAAAAGTAGACAAGAGTGCAGTACATCTATTTTCCCGACTTCAAAAAACGGTATCTCGAGAACTAATGGCTGTTTTCAAAAGAGTTCAACTGTGAAATTGCTTCAAATTCTATGATTAACAACTTTGTAGTTGATCATTTCATGTAATTTGTCTCCGTTCTCGAGATATAAGCTCATTTCTGAACAGTGACCATAGACCATAGTCTTCTGCGCTGCCTCCAATCCGACCGTGATCTTTGAGAGAAGTGATCTATACTACACTCAAATGTTTGTTTTTTGAGGATCTATCTTTCCTGCTAGTCTACAGTTATCTCACCTCTAAACTATCGAATCCACACTTGACGAACATTGGCTTGTTGTGATCAGTCATGTAGCCTTGCGGACAGACTGTTCCGAACGCGAAATGACTCGTCATATTCTTGACCAATTTTGGGAACTGCTCCATTCTCGACGAGTACATCATCAGATTGGCACCGAACGAATAGGCCAGAAAGCGGAGAAACTGGCACAGATTCCGTCTCTTTTCCGACTCGAAATTTTGGAATTCGTCGTATTTCGAGGCCACAATCGTGACGGGCAGAAGGCACGGAGTGCACATTTTCAGACTGTTCGCATCGTATTTCTCTAGGCGCACATTCATTTTTTCGGTCAATCTGGACTGGAGGCTGACGTCCTGTCTGCCGAGCGTTTCGATAATCTTCCGAACCGTCTCGGTCACTTTCTCGATTGTCGTCCACATTTCGTCGAGTTTTGTCATGTCGAGCAGAATGATTAGTGAGCAGATTCTACAAAAGAGATGAAAAATGGAAAAAGGGTAAGAGGAAAAGCTCACTCGACAGTTTTTGCGTTGATCGGAATGGAAAGGAGCTCAGTGACCGAGTGTCCGCCTCCGAGTTCCCACAAATTAGCCACGTCTTTCACCTGAAAGCTGAGTAGCCGTCACTTTTGGGACTAGTTGGCGAGAAACACCTACATTTCCTCTGGTCCTTCTCGCGTACGAGTACTCCAATCCGACCGACTCTTTCAAATCCTCTTTCCTCTCCACAAAATTCATTTGGAACGACGACTTGCCCTGTATTCGAGACGGAAATGAAAGTCACTACACAAACCCTTACACTTTTCCGATTTCCGGCAATTATAATGTGGGCTTCATGACGGCGACGCACTTCTGATACTGAAAAACGACGTTGTGAGCCAGAAAAGTGTGAGATAAACTCACGATAGTTAGTGTCGGCGGCCGCTCCATTTTCGTCGTCCAACTTCTGCTCCAACTCGGCCGCTTTTTGTTTGTTTTCTGACAGTTTTTGCTTGGCCAAGTCCCAAATGTTCATAGTTCAATTGAAAGTAGGCAAGAGAGAATGGAGGGGGAAAAGTGCTCCGTGAGCCAGAAAACGGGAGGGGATACATGCTTTGCGTTGCAGTTGTCATGACAACGAGCGGAATGCAAACGGGAAGAAGAAGGAGAAGAAGTCCGTTCGGTTTGACATCAGGGCTGGACAAAAGGCAAACGTGCAGGCCTCAAAAAGCCTGGGCCTTTTGTCCAGCCCTGTCTGAAACTAAAGGAAACTCTGTAACTAGACCAAGCAAGTCTTTATTCACGTTCAAACTTTTATATACAGAAAAACAACACAAAAGTTTCGAATAATAATTATTAGGAAAGATCGGAAGATCATCAACAAGGAGAATCACAGAGTGTAATAAAAACAATGCTCTTATCTCTTACGAAATGTTTTCCTCGTGCCCGTCGTGCACTCCGATTTCCGTCCACTCGTCCGGGTAATTGGCCGCCGTCAGCTCGGATTCGTTCATCGGCCGATTCACTCCTTCGTCCAGAACGTACGGGACCGCCGATCCGTAGAGTACGACCGTCTGAAAGAGGGAAATGTTCAGAGAGGAAGCATGGAGGAGCGCTACCTTTCCATCCGTCGTTTTCCTTTTGCAGTAGAGGTCTCCGGCGTAATGGGCGAGGTTTTCCATCTGGCCACTGGCGACGATGGATTCCATCGAATGTCCGAATATGCGGTGGGCATCTTTCTGAAAAACGGAACTTGTGTGCATTGCATCCGGAAAAGTCTGGCCATCGCGCTCTATCGGTCTCCGCGTGAATTCAGTGCAAAATTGAAAAAAGATCGCGATGGTGCGAATTTGCCAGAAATTTGCGGGGCTAATAATCTGAAACACTTTCATTCCGTTACTAGGCTCGTTACCTGCAAATCAGTGGCAAACTTTTGCAGATTGCAGCCTCCGTGATGCGCCGTCTGCAGCTGGAAGATGGCCTGATCTAAAAACAGATCCAACGCCTTGTTGCAGCATCTGAATCCGTGAGAGTTCAGGAAGCACTTCGGCGGCGCAGGCGTCGTTGTCGTCGTCGTCGTCGTAGTCGTCGTTGGCGCTGCGGTGGGGTAAGTACGGGCAGGAGTCGGATAGGAAGGAGTGACGACGACGTACGGAGGGGGAGTCGGGTACGTGGACACCGGGAAGGCGGGCGTCACCGCGAACAGACCGCCCGAGTAGGAGCTCTGGGGGATGGCGTGCTGGGCGGCCACTGGAAGAGTGTTGGGTGCCACGTAGGTGGATGGAGCGGTTGCGTAGGCGTTGGCTGGAGGAGTCTGCGCTGGGAAGGCTTGCGGCTGAAAGATCGGTCGCGTCATCTCATCTATTTCAGAAACTTTCTCATGAAGCGCATTCAACTGAACTGGAGGCGTGAGATTGAGATTTGGCTCTCCACGAGCTCATTAGCCCTCTTATTTTCAGCTTCACACAACTTTCTTCGTTTTCCTTTTTTCCCAGATTATGTAATTCTATAGAAAATAGGTGATACCTGAGGATAAGGATTATGATTCCTGCCTTGATAGTACCTGTGTAGGATTGACATCTCTGCTGACATCCGAGCTGAAATAGAGATAACTTTTCATTCCGAAAATCCATATGTTCTAATACTTACCATTCCTAAAAACCACGCATTCACCAGGCCAACGGTGAGTAGGAGGATTATTGTAGGCCGGACGGACAGGGACATGTCTGTAAAGGCAAGTAGGAGAAGGTAAACAAGTATGAAGAAGTGTCAAGTATTAGAATTGGAAGAAACCACAAAAGCGAGAGGGGTCTAAACCCGAATGAATGACATAAATGAGGAAATGTCTAAAGAACGCGAAGTGTTATATAAGCAGCTCGTCCTTTCTTCCTCCCCCCTCCTCTCTGTTTCAATTCTCGTCGGAGGAAAAAAGGGCGGATACACCTCGCCGCTTGTCTTTTCTTCTCCTCTGTCTCCAGAAAAAGGCGCATCAGGAGGCTTGTAAATCAATTGGATCCGACACATGGGAAACGCAGTTCTCATCGCGAAAAGCCAACCGAGGCAGGGGGGTAATCTCGGGGATAGTTCGGACGAGGAGGGAATTGAATACATAATCAGGCGTGCGCGCTCGTGAGAATCTTAGCCATTCTTGAGAAACTTGTGGTCGAAGGATAGTCTCAGGCAGACTGGAGATGTACAATATCTACCGTAATCCCGATGTCTCATGGTGAAGCTGCCAGTCCATTTGCCAATTTTGTGTTCTGGTCTTATCACATTCGGGCAAAAGTTCGTTGAAATCTTCTCGTTTCTAATCAACGATGACCACTACACATTCATTTTGGGTCTTGGCACGAACATTTCTCTGCTGGACTCGGTTCATTCTAGTGGAAAGCAATAAAGCTTTTAACGAGATGATACAATTGATAGGAAATGAAATGACCGTGGCATCCACTTCTGACAGATGAATCTCACCACTACACATGCCGTTATCATAATAAGCCGACGGTTTTGGAGTATAATTGGACAATCGAATCTGAGAAAGAGGGAATCCAGTCATCTGAAGTCTGAATTCTACAAGGCACCTTTTCCTCGTTTTTCTCGCCCCGACCACCACCTCATTTTAATTGAATTAACACTTGCCTGAATAGCTTCTTCCTATCCAGAGACGTTGCGTGCCCTTGCGGTGAAACCGATTCTTTTCGGCCAAAACTGCCAAAAAAGCGTCGAGATACGCGGCGGGTTCTCGGCGCGACGATCTGATTTGGTTTACCAGCGAACAGAGGGCAAACGAAGTGAAAGGAAGTGATGCGGGGATGGCCTATGAGTTCACTTTTGAACCTGAACAAATCGACGATATATGATGATCATTCCCTCCTCTGTTCAATTCCATTTTCATTGTCCTCCACTCCCTGGAATCTCTTCTTTGTCCAATTATGTAATCATCCGAGAAATCAAGATAAACGAGTCTCAATTTGTGTTGAAACTCGGGGTGATGCCTGCGAAGAGCGATGGATGGAAAAAACCGAAATATAATCGGGGTGGCATTTTTGCGGCGAGATCGAATTAATCACACACCATAGCGTGACGGCAAATTAGTGTGTGATTGAGACACAATTCTCGCGTCTCATCATTATTGAAAAGTCAACAGAAAGTGGGGAAAAAAGAAGAAAAAGATGAAGAAGAAGAAGAAGAAGATGAAGAAGGAGAAGTACAGATCTCTAGGGTATAATGAAACTTGGTGTACCGTTCTAGAATGATCCACGTCATTACTTTCCGTCCTCGTGTTTTTCTCTTTCTCAGTATCCCACACAACTTCTCCATCTCGTTTTTTAATCATAAATCGTGAGAAACCGTTGTGTCTCGTTGCTCTGACCATCCATCTCTTGTTCACAATCCTTTTCCGTTCAAGCCAGAACGTTCTGTATCCACTTTCGATTGTAGGCTCCCATGACAACGAACGCACTGAGTTTGGGTCGGTTCCGATCCAAATCCATCGCCGACGTGTTCACCGCAACGGAAATTGAAGATGACAAAGAGGACTTGTTGCCAAGGGAGCTGCCAGGTAATCGGGGCGCATTGAACAACTCTTCGAGCTAAACCGATCCATTTCAAGTTTTGGGAACATCATCTTGAAGTACTAGAAGGTCTAACTTCCAAGTTTGGTGAGAGTTAGATGAATAAGAACCGAGAAAATACCGTAATAGAAGGGCACCCTAATACCGTCTACTCAAGTGGATGTATCTCAGCTGCCATTGGAGATATCAAAAATGTGTCAACTAATGAATTGCTTGTTGAAATATTGTTTACATTTTATCAGTTAACAACTGTTTGATATCTCTAATAACAGCTGAGATACGTCCTCTTGAATAGACGGTATTTACATTAAAAATTTTCAACTCGTAAAGTCTGCAGGAACCATCCGGAGCACCCTGGAAAAGTGGAAGAGCTCTCTGAACTTGAACATTCGAAAAAACACTGAGCAATCAGTGGAGCAACGGCGATCTCGAGCCAATTCGATATTCACCAGACCTCCGGTAAGACGCAGACTCTCTTTTTCGGCCATCTCGCATTTTCAGACTCATCCGCATCCACGCCGTCAAAGTTTGGCGGAAATGTTCCGGAAACCATCGGGGATTAAGGATGATATCAAGGTGAACTTTTTGGTACAAACTTTAAACAATCGGAATCTTCCAGAAAATATGGGAAAAGCGTCCTTCACTCTCGCTTGCCGGACTGAAGAGTTCGTTTAAAGAGAGAAAATCTGGTGATGGAGGTCGTAGTCAAGGTCAAAGTCAACCTCGAGGTCAATTTGAAGACCTCGAGGTGGAGGTGCTGGACAACGAAGAAGAAGAAGGCGGTGCGGCACCTGTTCCAGCCTTTTTCATTGTTGACCGAAGTGCTTGGCACTGGAAGTCATGAACTTGCCGTTTTGTGTGCATCATCTCGATAATAACATAATGAAATATTCATTGAGTTTGTTTGGGGCGAGAGGCAAAATCATCATTAGTTAAGTGCTACTACACAAAAAGAGCGTTGGTGGGAGAGAAGGGACTAGGAATGTTTGGAGTTTGAACAGAAAACACGTAGAAACAGACAGAGCGAGCTAAACAATTTGGGGAAGTTCATTTGCACCATCCACTATCAACATCATCATTATCATTTGAGAGAGAGAGAGAGAGAGAGAGAGAATTGCCACGTCATCACTTTGTTCACTTTCTGCCGAATCCACGCGCCGATAGGATGACGAGCCGTTTGAGGTTGGTTCGTTTGCTCAGTTGCTGCTCGAAATCGTCGTCGAATCCCCTCTTCATACGACCATCCACGTCATCCGAAGGGATCACTTCGTCCAGAATCTCCCGGTCGTACAGCGGCTGCCAGAAGCGGACGGTTCGGCTGCGTTGCACTTCTCCTGAAAACGCGACATTTTCGATTATTCTTGTTCCTTATTCTGAATAAATAATATTCCCAAACAGCCCTTTGCTCAAGTCAACTATGGTGTACAATAGTTAAACTGTGAGAGAACACAAGAAACAGGGTTCTAGGTATGCATAATGCACAAACGTCATTAATTTGTCTGATTGTGTAGAATGGAGCAAAAGGAGTAACTAGACCCATTCACAGACTTCTTTTTATCTGCTTACCCTGAACCAACGAGACTCATCCGAGACTCTTACCTGGCAGAACCGAGTAGGAGAGGACCGTCGAGCAGATGGCGGCCAGCAGGAGAAGACGGACCACGGCGGACATCCTTTTCGTGTGTTTTACCTGCAATTCGACCGTTTTGCAAGTTGTATATACGTGCGGAGCGAGTCAAAACGGGCCACAATTGAATCAGATCAAGAAGAAGAAGAAGAAGAAGAGAGGTGTGCGTGCATATCATACTTCTATCGGAAATTCGATTATTGCAAGGTGGTGACTGCTCGTTTTGTCATCTAGTGATTCTTGATGGGATCCCAGCTCACCGGCCCGCTAACGGAAGTCGTTTTGTTCGCAAAACAATAAAAACACAGAGTGGGGATGGAAAATAGTTTGAGAAGGGAAATAATAGAGGAAATTCCAGAGAACCGAGTAATTTTCAGCGGATTCGGAAGTTGCTAGCTCGCGTAACCAACGGGAACCTTGTTGCAGACTCGGAGCACCGGTGACATACAATTTATGTTTACGGCGAATGTGTGTCAAGTGTATAATATACTTTTCGTGCGCGCGTAGGCAAAGCGGGATCAAAAATGGAATCGGACATGTGTTTGGGCACAAAAGTGACGCTCCTGTGTGGTGAAGAGTGGTTCGAAATAATGAGAAAGCTACACAGTACATTTAAGAAGAAGCGTCCATGAGTCAAAGTTTCCCTCGAACCAAAAAACGTCTGCTGACTTGCTGACAAAGCAGAAGCTCGAGATGAGTTTGCTCATTAGAGCCCGCCGCACGACGACCGCCGGAACTGATTCTTTTCCTCCTTTTGTTGGCCCTCCCTCACACTCGGAGATGGTGACATCAGAGAAAGTTTCTCACTAAATTTAACACGCGAAATCCGATTTGAGATGAGTCTCGTCGTCGTGGTGGTTGCATGATTTGTGATCCAAACAAACAAAAGTAGAGGGGCTTAGTGGACTGGGCAGGAGGACTAAATATAGCATCCTACTATTATTGTTCTGGAGGGAGAAATGGTCCGTTTTGAGGCTGACATCATAGGTCCCCCGACACGTTTTGGGGGCCGTTCATCTTGTCGAGCACACTCACGTGATGTCACCTTAACGACCTGGTAGGCGTCCCGGAGAGTAATGAGAAGTTGCGCGGGCTGTCTGAGACAAAACGAATAAGAGGTGGAAGAGAGCAAAACTGAGAGAATTGTTTCCGCAAAAGATTTCAGCGGAAAGCACACCGCTTAATTTCAACTCGAATGAATGGCAAGGACGGCCGTCTTGTGACGTTTGCACCATTAATTGAAATCTGTGTGTGTGTGTGTGTCATCAAGAAAGAGGAAGCTGATGATGGGAGGTCAGACACATCTTCTGGAGCACCGACTGCACACTTACGGGGTCCGAAGATTACAGAAGAAGTGCAGTGCGAGCACCCAAAGGATGAGAAGCAAAACGATGATAATCTGGACGTCTTAGAACAGAATTCTCAGACTCTGAGAGTGATAAACTCTAGGCTCCGCCCACATTTGCGTCTCCGTCGTCGTCGTCGTTGCCTTATCCGGCTCTCCCTTCCGTTTTCTGCCAAGTCTTCACAGGAAAACCTGCCTAATTTAGGCTGAAAGGGTGCTCTTCTTTCGTGGAATGTGTTCCGCGTTGTGAACACCACTGGAACAAGGAAATAAAATATTTATGGAGCCGAGGCACCTTGCGAGCGAGCGGTCACAGAGATCTTCTTGTTCCTGCTCAGTTTTAGCACAGCCTTCCCCCCATTCAATCTAACAAATATCGGGGGGTCCTGAAACGAACACAAGGCTGTACCGGAAAGTGACGACACAGACTGGAGCAGCAGCAGCAAAAAGAAGCAAAGATGAGAAGAAAGGAAATAGGGAAGAAGGCGGATCCGGAGCCCATGTGCCTTCAGTTATTTTTAGAATCCGCCAGACTTTGAGGACCCAAATCCTACGGAAAACGGGGGGTTATATTGGACTTTTGAGCTCAAGAAGTTATTGGGTGGTACAGAAAACTGACAAACTTTGATCAAGTATAAATGAAACCGGCCTCAAAAAGCCCTGCCCCAGCCCTGCTCCTAACACTATGGTGCATCATGGAAAGGAGGTTCGAACAGTGCACACTTTGATGGTGCTCACTTCCAAAATCTACAGTATTCTTAGGAATTGTCGTAATGTATATGATACTGGACACACTTAAAGTGGATCTATGATAGCTGTAAACAGAACGCGAGCACTAGTGGAGTTCTCATCGGGAATCCACCTATGGCTTTTTCGAGAAATCAGATGCCGAATCCGAAATACACACACACAATTAATAATGCGCTCCGATTATTTTAGGAACAACAATAGAGACAAGTGGAAAACAAGCGGCGAACGGAAAACTTTTAGTCATCTTGTTTTCATTTCTGAACAAACGACACATTTTGCAAGAAAGTGGGCGGGACCGAACTCAGTTTCAAGCCGAAAACACTCGAAGAATATGCGGCCCACGTAGGCGCCGTCGCCGCGAAGATTGAGAATTCGGACGGGCAGGAAAGGGGGCGTGTCCAGGAAATACTCAGTCCCGGGGGGCTCGTTTTTAATTGAAAAATATGCACGAGGATCACTCTTTTCGGCTCTTGAAGATTGTTTGAAATGTCTGCCTTTCACGCTTTGAGGTTCCGAAATGTTTGACATCATCATCATCATTTTCTCGCAGCACGTGAATGTTTCAGTTCCTTATCAACTTGGCCCAACATCAGCGTCCTCATCGCATTCATTTTCTATGCACGAGGCGCCCACGTTTTTGCGCTATCTTCGAACCTGCCCTCACAAAATTTATTGATGTTTTCCACCGAATGGATCGTCGGAATTGGGGGGATGTCATCAGGCGGGAAGTCATTCCACTGAACTTGGACCATTCTCCCGTTTTAAGAACAATATTTGATTTGATTCCGGGAAGAAATGTATTTGCGCTGGCGGAATCTAATCAGACTCCCCATTCCCTGGAAAAGGGCACGCTCTTAGATTCCGGATCGAAGTGACAGCGTCTGCAAACGATCACCGAGCCACTGATTCCATCGGAAACATCAGTAGAGCAAAATAAAGGGCACGGCACACACACTCATCTCGTTTCCGGAAGACGTAGGGGGGCTTCGGCGGCTGCCCCACTCGAGCATCCGCCCTTTTACAAGGTGGTCAATTATCGCGAAGGGAAGTGATCATCCGTGACCGCTTCTTCTTCTTCTTCTTCTTCTTCTTCTTCTTCTTCTTCTTCTTCTTCTTCTTCTCCGTCTACATGTTGTTGTGCTCAATGATGCGGCTGCTCTTGAGCCAAGTTCAAAAAATGACGGCCGCTTGGCCTCAGTGCGAAAAGTGAGTCAAACTGCGCGGCGAAGCGGATAATAGCGGATTCATGTCTGCAAGAAGAAGAAGAAGAAAAAGAAGAAGAAAGGGGAAGAGGAGGCGTCAGAACGAAGAAGAAATCAGAAAAATGACGAGAGTGAAAGAGAAAGGTTGCGAGTTTTAGAATGCTTGGATCTCGAGAACCAGTGGATAGTTTGAAACGTTTTCAACTGAAAAGTTACTCCAAATTTTGTGCTGATCATCTTTTCAATTGACCATTTTATCTCAAAATGTCTAGTTTCTGAGTTATGAGCCAATATCTGCACAGTATTCATATTCATTCACCTAACTGCAAAAAAAAGTAGGTACAACAGTTAAGCGTAACTTTTGTAGGTTTTTGGTTCTATCCTATGACTTTTTCAGAAACCAGTATCTTATACATATCACGTTTGTGTACTCTAAAGAGCAAACAGTCCTGAATGATGTTTGTTTACCCGAAACACCGCCAAATCGCAATAGAGCCGAGGGCCGGCCAGACACATAAAAATTTGAAAACAAAGAGAGCAGAAAACAATTAATGTTAATGTCGAGATCTTTTCCTACGTCACACACACACTCACCCAGTCACATGTCCGTTCCTACGGTAGGTTCTGATAAGACAAAAGAACGGAAATCAGCATCGGAAGTTCGCCTCTTTAAAGTTTCGAGGACAGCCAGGCGGTGTCCGGACTTGGAATTATCTGAACTTTGAAGTGTGGGAGGCCTTGGGGGAGCGAGATAATCAGTTTTGTGTGTTCCCGGAATCGTTCTGTTTTTGTATATGCTATGGTTGGGGGCCCGGGATCCGAAACCGAAAGCCCAAAGTCCGAGCGACCTTTTCGGGCTCAGCCGGCTCATTATTATCTTCTTCACAATAGACCCGGAAGCCCATGGAAGTGACAGCGAAGAAGAACTGCAAAAATGCATTGATGCTCTAATCTAATTTGTGCAAAATGCAGACTATTACATCAAAGTTCGCACCAAAGTTACGTGGGCGTCGAAAAGAAATTCGCGAAAATCCAGAGAACTCTGTGTCACCGTAATCCGTTCATTTTATTTTTAAATCTGCACGTCAGCCCCTCTTGAAGTCTTACCAGCACCGGATAGTGAATTAGGAAGAGAAGTAGGAATGGGGGGAAATGACACATTAACTCTCGGGGATTTCTGATTCGATGACCTCACAGGAAATGCCGTGCGCCCAATGGACCCTCATGGAAAGACGGGGGTCAAGGGGGGGGGGGGTCTGAGTCTAGACGAACGCGTTTGCAGGATTTCGCAGTGACATTCCGACTGTTCCCAAATCCCGAGATTTTCAGTAAACCGCTTCGTTCCACTTCAGTCTTCAATGACCTCAGTAGACACGGCTGTCTGCTCCAAGTAGACTTCTATTCTCTGATCCTCTCAAAAGAGAGACAAAGTGCACAGAGACACGTGGAACACCCACTCAACCCAAGAAAAGAAGCAGCACAAAGCACAGAAGGGGTACACAGATTTGGAGCAGTCCGAGTGGAAACAATGCGTAGAAATGAATGAGAAACGGCGCCTACGCGAGTGGAAATGTGCGTAATTTGGGAGTGAACGATGGACAATTTCATACGGATCAGAAGGAAAGGCTTCAATGATCAGATCAGAGAGTATAATTGAGCACTGACTTAGTTTTGACTGGTCGTTCCCAAACTTTTCGGTGCTTATTTGTACCGGTGCCCAGTTGCATGGGCGGTTCAAAAAGTGCATTCATTTCGTCTCGAATCGTCTTCAGAACCTGTTGCGTCTTCGGGTTTCTCCCGACCGATCACTTCCGTTAATTTGATAGGGAAACCGAGGAAAAAAGGGTGGGGAGGAGTAGCGGGAAAAAAGTGGGAGATTAAAGAACACCCCTGTGACGCAACGGGAAACTTCTCTCAATTTGAGTCGTGAAATGTCTCACGATGGGGGAGCTGGTAAACCAATAATATTCATTGAATTCAGTTGAAATGAGGTTTATCTTACTTCTTTTCAGAACTTCCGTTGAACAATTCGTAGAATGGAATAATAATAACCGGAAGCTAGTCCAAGTATATAATATTTTTCAGTGTCTGGAGTTTAATAACCGCATAATTGGAGTTTAACTTCCGGGCTTACATTTCTCATTATGATCTCTAAAGTTATAATACGAAAGCTTCTGTTCCTGGTCTCATAGCTCCGTCTGATCAGAAACTGCGGAGCTTCAGAGACTAGAAGCCCAGAATTGAAAAACTAAAACACGATTCCCCGTGAGAATCCCTTCATGAACCTTGGACCTCTGCAGAATTGTGACGCGGCGCTCTTCTTTTCTATTTGGCACCGATGGGTGTTGAATTTCAGACGGAAACCAAGCAATCAAGACCTCGTTTCGATGGTCAGTGATCTTATTAAGGGATCTACTCGAATCGAGGGGTCGGCCAAAGACTTTGGGCATTTGCAGGTGATAAGGAAGTGAAAGTGAAAGTGAAATAGGTAAACAGTCGGTTACGGTCGATCGAGGAAAGTTGTTGCACTGATTTGTTCCAAACATGGACAATTGATGAGGGGCTATATCGAGATGATGCTCAAAACGTTCGAAAGTCCACGAGGATCGACACAAAGTTAGAAAAAAGGGCGTACAATACTTTTCAGCTCAATATGTACATTTATTATAAACACACTGCTCATCTACAAGAGAAAACAGTGCACATTGTGCACAGATGAGATTCGAATGTCAAAAAAGAGACGAAGAAAAATAAATATTGAAACGATTTAGCAGTAGCTTTTGCGAGTTCCAGTGCGGAGAGCCATGCGAGTGGTGGCCGGACCTTCCGGCTTCAGGCCCGCAGTTCCCTTGTGCTCCAGAACCTCCGACGGCTTCTCCTTCTTCAATCCGCCCTTTTTGGCTTTCGGCGCCATTTTGTTCTTCGCCAAACGCTTTTTTCCCATCGTGCCGCCGGTCTTCTTCATCGTGTACTTCTTCTTGGTCTTCATCGGACCACCGCTGGTCGACGGCTGGTTCTTGTCGGTTTTCTGGAAGCATTCGATTACGGTCTCCTCTCCTGCCACGTTTCTTAGAACGGGAACAAACTCTCTAGAGTCCCGCGCCTACCTTACTGACCGACACGTTCTCCATCTTTGACGGACCTCCTTGAGCAGCATCATCGGCTGCGTGGCGATCGGAATGCCCACCTGCAGCATCTTCTCTTGCTCTTTTCCCATGCGGAAGCTCCCGGTGGCACCGTGTCCGCGAGTCTGTAAATGGCCGATTTCGGCTGTGCAAGAAGGCATAAACATGTTGACGGGGCGAAGACAAAGACCCGATAAAAAGAGGAGAGGCAAAGGGCGTTAAGGGAAATGGGCCGCCGGTAAACAAAAGTGCATTCACAGTTCAGCCTGTACTCCACGGATCTCTTTACAGATTGAATTCTCACCTGTTCAATGTCTCCATTGTCGACCGCTTTCTTGAGAACGGCGCGAAGATGACTGTTCACCTGAAATTAAGTTACTGTTGACGAGCACACATTCACAGTCTGAACTCAAACCTTTGGCAAGTTCTCGCCGACGTGGTAATTCTGCGCGATGTACTTGAGAATCGCCGCCTTGCTGCTGCCCTTTCCGTTGTCGATTGCTTGGATTGCGCCCTTGATCATCTCCATGTAGCTCGGGTGGCTTTGGGTCTTGTCGCGATGCGGACGTCCGAGAAGGACGTAGTTGAGGGAGACTTGCTCCGTCGAGGCGTCCAGATGATTGGCCATTTGGATGAGAGACGCGGTCATTTCGTCGAATTTCAGAGGTTGTTGCTGGAAGCTTGTGATTCGGAGTTGGCATTAGAAAAAAGGTATGGTAGTGTTCGGATTCAGAGAAAAAGGTATTACCGTGGATTCTTGTGCTTGAATTGCAAAGTCTAGACACATTTCGAGCAAGTGGATTCAGCTGCTAGTAACAAGAAATTGAGTGGAACTGATTTCCGAAACGTTAAAAAAATGTTTGCCGTACAGTTAATGATTACTACCATCATCTATTGTTAATCCTCAACCAACATTTTATTCAGGAGAGAAAGAGGAGAGAACCAAGAAAGTGGAAAATGGAGGAATGGCTGAGGGGCTGAGGCCGGCCGGCCGATGCAAATGGCAAAAACAAGTACGGAGAGCACGAGGACGGTAGAGGCGGCAGACGAACTGGCGGTGAGGGAAGGAAAACAGAACAAAAACACATGACACGAGGTCTCTGGTCGACGGGCACCGCCGCCCTGTTTACTCCGGGCGCCAGAAAATGGGGGGCACGTGGTCGGCCTGCCGTCGCGTTTCTTTCCCAATCAGAAGTGTTCGAATGTGTGGACTTTGAAGGTGGATTCAGAGGTCGTTTGCATCATGAACACTGCAGCGGTAGACGCCCGAGTCAAATGTGTTGCCACAGACCGGCAAAGTCTACGGAGCACTGGAAATTGTGAAGCTTTAACTTCCAACAGAAGATAAATTGAAAGTTTACCGACGCAGGTCATTACTTGAAATGTTTGTAAAACGAAGAGTTTATGAAAGTACTGAAACCTTATTGAACACAATTGCCAAGTGGAAAACAAAACGGTGACAGTGGGGGGAAGAGTCTATTGTCAGATCAGGGGAATGAAGAGGGTGAGAAGAAACGTGCACTCCATGCTAGCTCGTCGGGAAGAGCAGAAAGGTTACAGGAAAAAGAGGGATTAGAAAGGGAAGCGGTAAAGTACGGAGCATCACAACAATCGGTTCTTATTATTGTCTTTTCAGAATATTTGATGTTTTTTTTTAGAATTGAGAATGGTGGCTTGTCAAGAAAGTTACTCGTAATTGGGAGGAGAATGAATCGGGGCGGAGAGCTGGAGGGATGGAAAGAGTTCGGAACGAGTGATTCCGAATGGAATAGAATGCTAGGAGAACAAAGTGAAAACGAAGGCGAAAAGAAGGCAAATGGGCAGGAGGTACGAGTGTGTTGAGGTGGAATTGCAGCCGTCCGTGTCACAGGACTGCACACATCCTTTGTACTGATGGCCTTCGTACTTAAACTGCCGCAGTGCGATATCCGAACGATTTCGGTGTCGGCCGTGAGGGTGCCCGAGTCCAGAGCGCACGTTCGGATCACCAGCGTTTTCGACTCGTTGTCCGCTGCAATTTAGATCAGTTTAATGACCGCAAACAATGATTTCAACAATTAGTACCCTAACTTGGAACGATTAAGTGCCCTGGTATTGAGTAGTTTCAGCAATACTTAGACTGATTCAACGATGAGACCAAGTCCCTCAGTTTCTACTCAACCTCATTCTGTTACTATCCAATCAAAATCCCAACTCACCCCGATATCCGACAATTTTGATGCAGTGATCCGCCGGAAACAGTCCGTGCCGTCCCTTCTTGTACGCCCAACACGGGTAGTTGTAGTTGGCGACCGAGGAAGCGTCTCTGTCCCGGGAGGAAAGGTCCATTGTCGAGTTGAACGGATCCTCGCAGCCTTTGTTCTCGCCGTCGAACGAACTGCACACGAAACAGCCGATGCCCGACACTCCTGTAACTCCTAAAGGTGTGGCGGTGAGAAATTGCCATAGAGGACGGAGGATTCTTTCTAATGAGCGGCTCAGAAATGAGATCTTCAGAAAGTTTTGATTGCTAGGCATCTGAACCTAGATCGTCTAATTCCCCCCACTACACCTCTCAATTGCTCTCTTTGCGTGTACAGTACCTTCCATGACAGCGAGAAGAAGCACGAGGAGTACGGTGGTGTGTCTGGAGACGGGCGGCAACAAGAAGAGAAGTGCTGGCGTGGCACGGGTGGCAGACGACGTCGACGACGGCTTGGCGGACGGGCAAACGAGGCGGGACATGCACTTTCCGTGAGTCTCGCCCCCGATGGCCCCGCCTCTCCGGTGAACAGCAGAGCAACGAGACGAGCGGCTCCGATGGCTCACTAGAGGGAGAGAGCCCTGGTGATGATTGCGGGAAGAGCTCTGCAAATCGGGAATGGTTTGGGAAAATAAGCTTTTTCGGTTAGAAGGTTCGGATACCACGACGGCTTCGAAGCTCTAAGCTCCACAAAAGACATAAAAAGTGGAGGACGTGGGCGTTCAGAGTAAGCGTGTGCGTGTATCATTTAACGGCTGGAAGCTCGCGGCAAAGTAGGAGGAGGAGGAGCAAAAACAGGCAGGAAATTAACGGCGCCGTCTTCTTCTGGAAACGTCTTCGCTTTTTTTCCCTTTCTTGATGACAAAGAAGAGCCCGATGATGATGGCGACAGATTGTGGACAGAAGAGTGTATACACAGTGGGGTGGTGGAGACGGAAAAAGAGCAGAGAAGCGGTTGAAGAGGTTGGCTCCAAGTGCTCTTCACCTTTCGGAGGAGGCGCCGTGTCTAATGAGAAACAGAATCCCGTCGGATTATTTTGGAGTTTCTTGAGAACATGCATTTTTGACTGAATTGTCACAGAAACAATGCATTTCTAGTGACAAAATGACGAAATGTGTGCAATTCGAACGAAAGAACGCGATTGGCAAACCAGAACTCGGAATGAAGAGCATCATCGCGTGGTGAGCGTGCTCTGATCCGACTGGTTTCTCTTTTTTCTGAAAGAGAAAAGGCCAAAAAAGAAACACGAAAAGGGAGGGTTCTCCTGGCAGCAGCTGGAAACGGGGGCCAGGGTATACGATTACGTCGCTCTCTCAGCGCCCCCCTCACCAACTTCTTTCCTTTTTTCGTGTGTGCTCCTTCTTTTTTCTCCTTTTGTGCCGCATGCGTGAAGAAGAGAGCGAAAGAGGCAAAGAAAAGCAAAAAACACGTTTTGGCGGGGACCAAGGAAAGAGGAAGAGAGAGAGAGAGAGAGAGAAATGGATGCACAAATATTTTGACCTGCTTCTTCCGGATCCGAAATTATGGCTTTTCGCTGGGAATTTGGTGGCGGCTAAGGATCTGGTAAGCAAAAAAGGTGCCAAAAACTTCTTGTTGACCTTTAGTCGTGAGTAGAAAAAGAAAGAGCAATGAGAGAAAGTCGGCAGGAAGAAGAGGAAGAAGCCGTTGGTAACGAGTTTTCCATTTCTCTAATTTTTTCTGCTCCCAGACAAAAAAGTGCAATACGAGATTAGATTGCACCACGTGGTGACGTCACAATCGGAGCCGCCCGAAAAAGAGGCAAAAAAGAGCCGAAATTGGAATTGAAAATGAAAGTTAGCTTTGGTTGGTGAGGAGCCGGAAGAGCAGGGGGAAATGGGGTTAGCCAGAGAAAGAGAGAGAGAGAGAGAGAGGAGAGAGAGAGAGGAGCCATCACTATTTGCTGGTATTCAAGTGTATCACGTTACCAATTAAATGGAGCTCCTCCGAGCCAGGAGCACGCACAAATAGGGGCGAAGAAATGGAGCGGAGAGCATGTTTAAGAGCAGAAACACAAAATGAATTATGTAAAAAGGGACGGACGGGCGGTGCTCTGGAGCTGCTCTCCGGAGAGACATGACCTCGAGTGTCACTAACAGAAAAAGAGGCTAAGGATCGAGATCAGCCGGCTCAGTGAGCATCTGAATAATTCTTTTTAACATTACAAAAGAGCGGGTACTGGAAATTGTTTTTAATGGATTCGGTGCAGACTTTGACGGGCTGAAACAGTTATAGCGGAGAGAAAATGTTAAATCTGAATTCAAACAATTCAGCATATCAATCTCTTCAGAATCCGTCCGTAAATGTTGTAATAGCCGGGCACGCCATAACTGTTCATTCATGACAATGTATCTTAGCTGCCTTGAGAGATATTGAAACGATGTCAACTGACAAAATGTACGCAATGTTTTAAAGAGAATTTTGTCAATTGACTACTTTTTGATATCTCCACCGACAGCTGAGATATACCGTCTTGAATAAGCGGTATTGGAGTGCTCTTCTATCACATTCCTCAACGGTTCATATGAAAACATTTATTGACCATATAGTCCATCAAAAAGGTTTTGCCCGAAAGTTTCTCGGATCCCACACAAAAAACACTTGCTCAGTGGATCCTATTTCTCATCTGAACATCCCCCCAGACAGCCAGACACCTCTGATTGATTGACAGCTGAACGTGTGTTTCCACATGAGGTGTGTGCTTAATTCCACACCGAGAAGCCAATAATTATATGCTATTACATGTAGCTGGAGCTCTCAGAGACCTCCGAAAAGGAACAAACAGTGGAAGAAGAAGAAAGAGTAAAGAATGAGGGAAGCGAAAAAGGAAACAGCGAAAAGGGGAGGGCGAGTGGAGGGGAAAACGTCATCAGTGGATGCAGCAGGATGCATTTGATTATTTGACGACGTCACAGAAAAAAATCATAGTAAAATGAAGAGGAGATAAAGAGAGAAAAAGAGCAAAATGGCTTTGTATCAAACTTGACGAAAAATGGCTCTGTGTTCGATTCCCCAATTAATTTTCTTTTGCTTTTTCCTCGCAGGAATAACAAAATTCACTTTGAACACGCACAAAAACGTGGCCATCTCTAATCCGTTCACCCTAGGGATAGAGCCTCAAACTGCTAGTACTAGAACCGCTGCGAAACCGATTAGCCGAGACTAAAGTTTGCGAAACCAAAAAAGCGTGGAATCGGCGCCGGACGAAGACAGATGCACGAGCGGCGGAGGGAAACTAATCGTCGTCAAGAGAAAGGGAAATAAAAATTTGATCGATGTTATCCTTAGGACTGAATGCATTCGGGGCGAGCGCCGAAAAGTTTAAGATGATGATGTGCTTGCGGACGGACGGCAATCGAACGAACACAACTTTTCATAGTAGTAGTAGTAGTCGTCGTCGCTGTTATTTTGAAAGGAATCGAGGAGAGAAAGCAGGTGAATATCGTATTGCTCACAGCTTTTACCACTAATAATGAGAACCATTTTCGGGAAGCAATAATAATAATAACAATAATGGAATAAATTGAGATGTGAACAATAATATGTATTGCTGGAGGAAAAATGCAGTGCTTACGTGCAAAATTTCTTGTGAAAAGTGTAAAAATCCCTGTTGAGAAACGATGTACATGAGAAGACAAATGAGAGGGATAAGGCGTGGAGGAAGTGACGTGGCAAGGATTACTGTACTGAATTTCGCCTACGTCTACGTAAATTCAAATCCAAATCCAGATTCAATTCATTTCCATCTGAAGCAACAACAACAGCGACGAGGATGACGACAAACATTGCATTCCAGTGCCCTAATCCCTTCTATTTTCAATTTCCTCCTCCCCATTTCGTTTTTCCTCGAAAAAGATGGGCGCCAGATCAATGAATCATACAATATGAAAAAAGAGAAAAAAGAGCACAAAAAGAGAGTCATAAACGGGTGCGGCGGCTCCGGCAGCTCTCTCCCGGCTCTTTGTGGGTGCTCAGAGAGCACAGAAAATCGATGATGAAGCGGAAGGGAAAGAGGGAGAAGAAGAAGAAGAAGAAGAAGAAGAAGAAGAAGAAGGAGAGAAAGAAAAACGAGGAAAAGCAAGAAGAAAACGAAACGAGAGACGACGGACCACTCGTCCTGCTCCGCGGAGCTCTTTGAGGGCTCCTAGAGCACGGACCCGGTTTCCCTTCGAAAAGAATGAAAGAATGAGTTCAGTGGGCTCAGTTTTCCTTAAAAGCAACTGAATTTGGTACAGTCAAAGTGTGGAATACTGTAATAGAAGGGCACCCCAATACCGTCTCTTAAAAGTCATGTACATTTTATCAATTAACAGTTTTTCGATATCTGTACAGAGAACTGAGGTCCATGGCTTTGAATAGACGGTATTGGTGTGCTTTTCTATTTCAGTACTAACGGCATATATTCTACTACCTAAAAACGTAAAAATTCAGTATTAATATTGTAGAAGTCCTTCGCTATAGAAGTAAATAACGCAAATCAAGAACTTTGGTCGTCCCAAGCGTTCCGCTCTGACTCAATCAGATCAGAAGCTAATAGCAAGAGAGAGAGAGAGAGAGAGAGAGAGAGAGAGAAAGAGTGGAATGTTCCAGTTGGATTCGACGTAATCTCCTTCATCTTTGCCGAACACGAACAGCTGTTGACCTTCTCTTTTTCCTCTTGAGCAAAGTGAGCAAAGTGTTGCGGTTTACATTACACACGAGAGAAGAGTGACACTTGTGTGGAAACACTTGCAAATGAAGAGCTGTCGCTGGAAAGGTTTCCGGGAATCAGTGGGCTTTTGGTGCACTCGGGTTGCATAGTTCTCTTAAAAATGAAACTTCAGGCATGCACTCTTTTCCAGAACAAAGACACATTTGGAGAGGATTCATCGCAAACACGCATGACTTATCCTATTCTGACGCCAATGAAGTGCACATCTTCAGCTGTGCTCTGATCATCTGAAACCTTTCATGCAAACTTCTTTGAGAACAGGCACAACAGCTCATTTCATAAACTTCTAGAGTCTATCATCATTTTTCTTCTCTTAGACACACGAATGTTTGCCCCGAAAAATGCCAAAACAGGCGTATAATTAATGCAATGCTCTTTTGCAAACAAGCGAGGGCGTGGCTTCATCAGGTGCTCTATCAGGTTATCACCTTTGTTTTTTGAGGGCTCAGCTCCCAGACTAAACTCATTTCCCCCTAATAGAAATGGCCATGCACACGCACACACTCACGCCAAACTTTGCATTTGGCTCCGTGCGATTCTGTTCATTTTTCAGGGATGCAAGCGGTTACAATATGCCAGTTAATCTACGGAGTTCCCTCGCTCTTCCTCATGATCTTCTTCTTTTGCCTTCCGATTTTCGATCGCAAAACGTTCCGAAATCCGTTTTATAATCTCTTGCAAATTGACATTTTCGTCGTGAGTTTTGTTAATTTTTAACGATGGAACAGTGCTGGAGGAATGGTAATCTTTTCAAGCAAAATACTGCGGCTTTTATGCCTGAAGATGGACCGACTCAGAATGCGTGTACTCGGTTTCCCACATCATCCAGAAGGCTTCTCTGACGTTTTACTCTCTTTGGTCTTTGCACGAATGATATCACTGCCGACTTCCGCTGAAACTGACTTGAAAGCCATGAATTTCGTGTTGAAAACCGCAATCAAAACTTCAAAAGGTTTCAATCCGATTCAGCATTCCCCATAATTTGAACAAAAGTACACACTTCGTAAACTGCAGAACATCACGTGCTACCTCAACTCATGGATCGCACTCCGGCTGCAGAAAGAAGAGTTCGGAATGCACATTTTATATTTTGGAGTCAAAAGTGCCCGGCATTCTGACGCTCTCACATTTTGGGGTTATTCTGTGAGTCTGCTGGATAAATGACACAAAAAAAATAAAATAAAAATGGAATCCCTTTCCTCCCAGATATTTTCATCTTCAAAATGTCACCGCTCTCTCGCTGGTTTTGTACCGTTTTACTGCAGTTCACTGGATAGATTCTGAATTGGTAAGGCCTGGTCTCAAGTGTCCACAAGTGTCCCTTTTCAAGTACTGGAAACGGTGGAGTTTCGTGATTCCGATATTCGGATTGGCATACAGTTGTCTGGTGCTCTCTCCCTGGTGGGCGACCGGAACGATGGTGACGAGGGTCGAGTTGAGGGACGGAGAAATTCACAAAACTGTGAATATGGTAAGCGATTCCTGGGATTCCGAAAAGAAGACTCTTGCAGCCGGCCCTGTTCATCCAATCCTCGTTCAACCCGATTTTCGCAGTTTTCTACTTTCTTCTCGTTCTGCTCCTTGGCGTGTGGACGACAACGACGATGGTCGACAGATGGAAAAGTACTCTGACTCGAAAATGACTTTTATGCAAACATTTGCAGAGACTCAGTCCACGCGCCGCAACACGTTCTGCAAGAAAATGACAAGAGTGGTGTGTTGCAACAGTGTTCTGATGTCGGGCAACTTGATGTTTTTGGTGGGCGACAGAAGAGAAAACAAAAAAGGAATGAAACTTTTCAGGTAGTAGTCAGTCTTTTGCTGATATTATCGCCGGTCGAAGCAATGTCAATGTTATTGCAAGCAATCATTGTCACTTTCACATCCGATCTGGTGAGGATCACTGTGAAACACGCAAGTAATGCTAAACTTGTTCAGTTCACATTGGCAATGCCGTACATTTTGCTGCTCTTCGACTCGAATATCAGAAGAAAGTTCGGATTGGAGCATCACGAATCGCCCACATTCTACTCGATTTATCCTCCCCCGGAGAACTGAGCTTATCGATCGAGTATTTTTATGTTCAGTTCTCAAAAAAAGGGAACCGATCTTCGATCCATTAAAGACGACCAATTCAATGATATCATCCATCCCTTCTCGTATCTCCTCCCCTTCAATTACTGTCCCATATCGCTCACTTCTTCTCCTCTTCTCACTTTTTTGTCCACCGAATTCGGCGAGAACCGTTTCGAAGCGATCGATTGTCTCCGTCTCCTTCTACTTTTTCTTCTTGTTTTTCAATCGTCTCCTTCTTTCATTTACTTGTTTAGATTCGATTTGCCAAAAGGTTAATTGAAGAGTGATCAATTTGAGAACCTGTCTCATTCAGTCTCTCCATCCGTTCTTTCCCTTTGTTTCAGTCCAATATTGTCCATACTTCAGAAATGTGGCCCGTTTTCCTTTTGGGTCTTGTCGGACTTGCGCGGGCCGGAAGTCCGGGAACAAACGGAGATATCAGTCAGCCGGCGATTCAGAAGGAACTAATCGATGAGGCAAAGGTTCGGAGTGCGATAGAGCGCGGAACTTGACCCAATTTCTACGGTAATAGTTGAAATAATGAATCTCTTCAGGTGTACCTGTACAAGTTTGGTTACATTTTCCCAAATAAGGATGCCAAGTCGATCCAAGATCCAAGCCAACAGCAGATAAAGGACGCTCTTGTGTGAGGGACCGCTGACGGCACCACTTGAACGGATAATATCATTTCAGCCGCTTCCAATCGGCATTTCTCTACTACTCTTCCGGAACGGTGGACGTGCCGACTCAAGCAAAAATGAACGAGTGGAGATGTGCAAACAATGACATGGAGAAGGGCCAGCCGATCCCACGTAGGCGTCAGCAATCACTCGGATCTTTGACCGTTCCTCTTTCAGCTGCATCGAAAAAAGAGCTGTGGACAAAGAAGACGTTGACGTGGAAGATAGTGAACACGCCGAAGACGCTGTCAGAGGCACAGATCAGATCGGGAGCCCAAGAGGCGTTCGATCAGTGGACGAGAGCCAGTGGCTTCCAGTTTGTGGAGAAGAGCTCCGAGCAGAACCCGGACATCACCATCACTTTCTACGATGTTCCACAGAGCAGCCTCAAGAGTCAGTTACCCCCAATTGAATTGAAACGTTTCATTTTTGGCTAGTTACAGTTGCCGGAAGTGCTTCGAAACCCCACAGTTCTCACATAATCCTCGACAAGAATCAAGAGTGGGCGTACAAGAGTCAGTCTCCGATGGGCATCTCCCTGTACCACACGTTGCTCCACGAAATCGGGCACATTCTCGGGTTGCCACACAGTTTTTATAGAGGGTATGCTGTGTGCACTTTGAAATACTCATTTCTAGTAGGTACGAGATTTCAGTTCCATCATGCACCCAATCTTCAAGCCCGTTCTGCTTCCGTTCGGCACCGTCGACATTGTGCCGAACGTCGATCGTCTTTCCATTCGAAAACTTTACGGTAGGTCTCACTTTAGGATCTAATTCTAAACTTTGCCACGAAATCGACCAGTTGTCCTTCACAGTACCTGATGCCTAGTTTTCGATATCTCTGAGGAACATTCTGATTTCTGGGGAGATCACAAAATAAAAAAATCGACCAGGAGATCAAAAAAGAGATCACAAATTTCAAGTCCATTCTTCGCATTTTTCTGTGGTTTTTTCCTTTTGAACAGCTGGCCGCTTCTCACTTTTTCCCTCTTCCCCTCAAATCATTCCGCTCGAATCTCACTCGGCACTCCGCGGCTCACTTGGCTCCTGCTCTTTCGCTCTCTTTCTCTTCGGCCAAATGAACTTCAATCTGTCCTTCTTGGCGTTTGTTTTCTGGTGCACGGCTCCCAATTGCACGTTTTCTGCACCATTTGACACCGAGAATACTGTGCCAAATACTGTAGATGTTGATGAGGAAGCTTCAGGTTTGTAATCAGATGGTACTCTTTTTGGAATTTCTGAGGAATGCCTCTTCTTTGGTCTGTCTTCGCGAGGATTAACCTGGCTACAGAATGATTCCTTGCGTGCTCGGTGAGCCGGAATTGACCGGAAACATGTGACATTCAATCCATCCATCATCCCCTTTCCGTTCTCGACTCCTCACCGCTTTTTTGCTCTCATTGCAGGCCTCTCTTCCGTCGATCAGCCAGCGCCGTCAAGTGATCTTTCGCAGTCGAAATGCCCGAAACTCATTGATTCGGTCGTTGCCAGTGAGTTCTCCGAAATACTGCGAGCAGCGGTTTCAATGGTTTTCAGTAAACGACCACGAATGGCTGGTGTTCCGCGAGAACAAAGTGTACAAGGTGAACAATCGGAAGTTTGTCGACTCTGGCCGTCCCATCCAACAGGTGTTCCCACGCGGACCGCAATTTGTGAACGCTACTGTATCTTCCGGCGCTCTCACGCTCTTGTTCGTCGAGAGAACCATTTATGGATACGAATTCGACGGAGTCCAATTCACGTATGTCTCCTTACTGCAGACCAGGTTATCCAGTTGGGTTCAAAGACCAAACCAGTGTGCCAAGCTATCTAAACTCATTACACAACAAGTTCAGCTCCTATAGCCTAGTGTGAACTAATAACAAACTATTGTTATTTCAGTGAAGCCGCCAACTACCCGAAGGAACTGCACGACCGTGTGCTCTTCTACCCCCAGGGAGCCTTTCCGCTCAACAACGGAAGCGTTATCCTCCTTTCCGTAAGTCATCGCCTCTTTCATTTCTCAACTTTTTTACGCTCTGATCACAGGGAAATGTGTTTGCCACGTACAACGTCAACCAGAACGCGCCGTCGTTTTTGAACGACAAGAACCGATACTTCCCCAATTTGCCGGAAGACGTCAGAAGTGGAGTGGAGAAGACGCAAGGATTCACCGACTCTTACTACATGTTCGATGAGGCGACGGTCAGTTTTCTGAATCTACAAACCGGTAAAATCATTTCCCTATTTCAGGTATCCGACTACGATATGAACTCGAAGCAGGTGTTGCAGTTGCAGAACATTCCAGAGTTTTTGAAGTGTGCTTGATGCTTGTAATGACGTTGTAAATACATAAATGAATGCTACTAATCGTTTTATATTTGATTAAAATAAATGATATTAAGCGGATGCCACCTTATTTATTGTCCGCCTCAGAATGTTCCATCGCGATCTTCCTGATTCCACAGTTGTGAACACTTCCGGAGACCTCCGATCTTTCTCTGGATCCGGAGAAGACAAAGAAGAAGAAGAAGAAGAAGAAGCGAAAGCGAGATCATCTTCTGGATCGAAGTCGACGACGTCAGAAGCCAACTCGCTGATTGTGTTCAGCTCGTTGTCATCTGGTATCATGAGCTCTCGGGCGGTATTCTCGAATATATACTCATGAACTTCTGTGTCATTCGCCTTTTTCTCGGCCAACACTGAAATCATCGGGGTGTATCTTTTTAGAATGACTCGAAGACTCACCGAAAACCGATCCGATGCTGTGAGAATTGTGTCGTCGATAAAAAACGAAAACGGAAATGAAGAGGAAAGTGAAATGAGTTGGATGACGAATAAGAGTCTGTCTAGGAGCAAAGAGTCGTTTAGAAACGGAAGGAGCAGGTTCGAGAGGTAGAGAATTCGGAGGAGGTGATCGAAAATCAGATTGAACAGAACGGACACGTAGATGAATGCTCTTCCGAGCGGGTTGTACACGCCACAGTTCGCGATGCCAATGCACTTGTCCAAGTACATAAAAACTGCAAATGTGTTAATAGACGACAGTCACCAATAGTCAGTCACTCACATCCAACAAATGGATTGATATCACAATTGCCAAGTACCACAAACGATTCTGAAACAACGTTTTATATCATAAGCCTTGAGGAAACGTGCCACCCACTTCCAGTTTAATCAACAACGTCATGGCGACAATAACAGACGTCAAGTTGATTACAATAAAGTGGATTAAGGCTTTTGGCGGCAGAACAAAGTCCGCGTAGAATATTGAGTAGATCATGAAATTGGACATTATCACGTAGAACAGCTCTGTGGACACGAGTATTTGCAGGTTTATCTGTTCCGGAAATGGGGAGAAGCGCTGAAAATGGATTCAATGAATTGAATGTGAGAATAGAATCGTCTCACTTGAATACCTTCGAACATGAGGTAGTCCATGACAAACTTTGCCTGAAAAGTATGCACAGCTAGAACTGGTTCAAAACTTTTATGACTCACAATAGCGAAGAAACTCAGAACGACGGGTCTCGAGTATAGTTTTCTGTGCACAATGATCAGAATCAGTCGGAAGGTCAGCAGTACCACCACGAACATCGAACACATATTCGCATAGTGAACGTCATTCCAAGAGGGTGTCCATTCTACTTCGAACATTCTGAAACTGGTGAAAAATGAGCGAAAAAGTGGGAAAATAGGTGGGAACGAAAAAGTAGTAAAGGGAGAGGTAATGAGATTGAGAGACAAAACACGAGCACCAGTCCAGACTACTTTTTCCCGTTCATTAATTTCCGGTTTCTGGTAAATAGAAAACAAGGAGCAGGGAACGGTCATGTCATGCTCAGCTCCAGAATATACATTCGATGACGCCCCCCAAATTGAGTTGTGACCTCTTTTCAGTCGAAAAACGTGAGGGCAGGAGAGTCTTCAAACTCTCGTATACTAAATGAAGGTTTCGGTTGTTGTTGACAACCAAAACTGGTGATCAGAAAAGCTATAACTATCATCGAAAAACTAGAGAGTATTTTTGAGAAAGCACGCATTTTCTTGGCCGAGTTACAGTTAGTCAACGGTTCAAAGACTAGATGTTCCTCAGAGACCACATCAACAACTGGGACCATCTACTTTTTAAGGACATGCATGGAGACTTATTTTCTATTGCATATCACCTTTATTGAAGTATTCAATGATCTAGAAAACGTGAGCACACTCCGATTCTGGGAATATCTGCTTGTTTTCTTGGTTACTCTGTCTGCTCGAGCCAAAACGTGAAAACAGTGAGGCCTGCGCACTGACGGGAGATTCGGGGAAATCACTCATTATGCAAAGTTATTTGGTCAGGACTTGCAGAAGAAATTGAATCAGAAAAAGTTGAATGAACTCAATTCTCAAGCGTGCGCCAAATTACTACTAAACTTTAGCGAATTGAGAGTGACAGAAAATGATCGAAACGTTATGAATTAAGGCTGGCAAACAAGGAGCGAAGGCAGCTGAAAACCAGAAAACCCGACTAGCACCTGAAATCGGGAAAACGCCGAGAGACGCAATGCTTTATTTCTGATTGTGAGATGATTGGACCCGAACAAAAAGTGACTCAGGTAATAGGAAAATGTAGAAATAAGAGAAAAAAGTTCAGAGCTCTCTGCGTGCTCGCTCCTCTTTCTCTTGCCGTCTTCGTCGTTGTGTCCGGCGAGAGCTCACGAATTTCGGGTGTCGACGCACGTGCTCCACAATCTGAATATGCCCTTTTTCAAATTATTTACAGAGAGTCTCACAACTATTTCTGTTCGGAAAAAGACTAACCCTGAAAAGAAGGTCAGTAGTTTCGAGTCTAGTTTAATTTTGTTAGGTTTGTTTCACTTTTTACTTCCTTGTTTCGCTACGACTGACCTTCTTGACTTGCTCTCGGAACTCGTTCACATCGACATGATAATTCGCAAACTTCAGATGCTTTTCACCACTCGACGGATGCCTTCCAGCGTCATCAGACCGGATTAATTCGAGCTGAAACTTGTTCTTTGTCCCCTTCTTTCTTTTCTCAGTGACTCACTTTATCTTCTGGCCATGTGAAATACTTCACACCTCGGAGTCTGGCCAGATCGGAATAGCAGGCGACGTCTCCGCAGTTGTAGCTGGAATAGTTCGAGTCAGAAAATGGAGTGAAACGCATAACTGACACTTCGAAAACTGCCGCCCAATCGGGTAAAAAGAGAAGATGAGTGAGGCCGGCGCCGTGCATTCCGATGAAAATGTCCGCTTTTGAAGTGGTGTTGAGTTGGGCGAGAAATGGGATCCGTCTGCAATGAAAAGAACATATTCTGAATTCTGATGACACACTCACTCATTGTAATCGACAACACGAACGCTCACATTCGGCAGATGACCCAACGATCGGAGGAGCTGAAAAGAGGACAACTGCTCGGTGGGCATTGATTTCAAGTGAGGGTGTCGGGTGGTCGGGGCGCAATAAAAAGTAGTATTACTGCAAATGATGTCCTGCTCAGACGGGCGGCACGTTATGAAGAAGAGAGGGCCACCCAATCGCCGCCAGAAAATGACACTTGTTACGTTGGCCAGAGACGAATCTTGTCATGTTTCACTCTCTTTTCCATCATGAAATCTGTTGCAGTCAATCTTTTCATACTTCTTTCTGTTCAACATGCGCGTGTTACTTAAATTTCTTAAAGTTGGACACAATTTGAGATGAGAATGGACGTGTTTTGCTTGGAAATTGAACCTACGATCGTGGCATTTCAAATTGAATGCGCTCTGTTCGAATTGTGATCTAGGATCCGAAGATCACAAAAGGAGGGGGTTTCTCAACAGAGAGCATTAACATTGAAATGCCCCGATCGTAGTTTAGATATTGAAGTTTTACAGTGAAAATACTTGAAGTTCAGTCACTTTCGGATAATTCAAAATGCTCCCGTTTCAATGAAGACTGTTCAAATGTTGTTTTTCACTTTTGGAAGCCGCGCATGAGCTTAATTCAGAACTCTTTTTGATGGGCCACGGAAAACAATCAATCAATAGCCATACGTCCCGGTGCTTCCCACCAATTTTTCATCCGCATCCTGCTGGCTGAATGTTCTGGTGCTGCGTCTCGGGTGCCCGCAAGATGCTTTCAGGCTTTCCGTCGGGGTTTTCTAAATGATGATGATGCACTGCTCTTTTCAATTTTACACTCTCTCCCCAGAGAGAAACCGACGAAGCGCCGGGGCCAGTCAAAACTTTCGTCTTCGTTCTTTCTCTCATTATCTCGCTTCAAATTATGGCGGCACCTGTGCCATTTCGGATCGATCAAGCCAAGGTACGCGAGTGGCAGTTTCTTCGGAATCTCATCCCCTCCAAACCCCCCATTAAATGACCCACTGTTGATCATAAATTCGATGACATGTGTCGGGAGCAGCACGAGTGAGCAAGCGTTTCCGTCTTTTCATTTCCGACCCGAAAACAAGGTCATTCGGACGATTGTTTTATGTTCAGAGCATGCCAAACTTTCCGCCCACTGTCTACTACCGCGACACCTACGGATTCGACGACAGGCCCAGCGAGTCCGACAACGACAGTATCACCACCAAATCGACAGGTCAGCAAAAAAGCGCTCTTTCTCTCTTTCTCTCTCTCAAAAATCCAACGTTTTTCAGTGACAGTTCGCACGACTTACAATATAAACCCGCAGGGCGGCGGTGGAATGGCCATCAACCCGACCTACCAGCACATTCATAGCAGAAATATGAATGATCAGACGAAGATGATGAACTATTCGCACGCTTCCAATTCGTTTCACGTGAGTTGGTCGTTAATTCAAAAAAGTAGGGATGGGCAAAAGGCCGATCTAGACATTCGGACCACTTGCGATAACCGATAGAGTCCAAACTTTGCAGGCTTTCTAGTCTTGGATTGAGCCTGCAAAGTTTGGATCCGATCTGATTATTGCAAGTGGGCCAAAACTGCAGGCCTGCGAATGCCTTGTTCAACAGTAGTTTGACTGAATGCTCAGGTGGAACAACTCGTCACCTCAAAGATTTTGACCCCGAATCCAAGGACAATACTCATTTGCGTACTGATAGCAGCTGCGAGTGCTATTCAACTGGTGAGTCTCCTCCTGATTCGCCCATTCTCTTGCTCGTTTCAGTTGATATTCTCAATGATCGCAGTGTTCTACGACGGTCCGTTTCCATGGACCACTTTGCTCTGTCTACTCATGATTTGCAATTGTCTCGTTGTTTTAACGTTCATCAGATGTCAACCGACACGAGCATGGCTGGCGAGTGCACAACTGACCACATATCGTGTCTATCGAACAAGTTCCAGATTGCAAGTCTCATCGCCGCCTCCACGTCCTTCATCGAGTGCACGGGACTGTTTTTCTGGACGGCCCTTCTTGTCAGTGACGAAGAAAAGTATTTGCAGAAAGTTGGGGCGGACGACAATCGGATTGTGACGAGTACGCGGATTGCCATGTACATGTGCCAGATGCTTTTCGCTCCGATTCACTGTGAGTTTCTGGATCTATCTAATGAATTGTCAACGATCTTTCAGTGATAACATGCGGATTGATAATCTGGAAACTACGAACTCAACTCTCTCCCACCGATGAAATTGTCAACGGATACTTTCTGAGTGAGCCCGAACTCGGCCATCAGGTACAATAATCTCCACTTTCGTCTTTTCAACTCCGAAGTTTCCAGAAGATATTGGTGCCAATTGAACTTCGTCAAATTCGAAATGATAGCGACGATGAGACGGATAACGCTTCGATTGGAGTGCAAACGAGCGGTTCGCGCAAAAATTAAGAAACGTTGGGGTGGCAAAAAAGAAGACAAAGTCTTTCACAATTTCACATTTCACTTATTGAGTTGATGACACAACTATAAAATATTTGGAAGCCCACCTCTTTCACATTCAAAAACTTCCGAAAGGCGGTTGATCGCGACAGAATCACAATGCGAACTTTCTCCAAATCAGCTTTTTGTGGCTTTATCCCGAGCCTACAAAGAAACGTTTAAAAAATAAGCGGGGAAACTGTTGACTGACTGACCTGTGAAGTATGAATTGGGAGAACGACTTGAAAAGTGAAGAACCGGTGCATCCTTGCGCCAGCGGGGTATTGTAAAAGAGCCCATTTCGCTGACGAGCCAAGAGGGGAAGCATCACGTTTCGGAAGCACACACGCTTTCCATCTGCAGTCATTCAAGTTGATATTATATTGCATTCTTATACGTTTCTTACCCAATTCCTTCAGCTCAAAAGGTCGATGCTTTGAGAACGCTTTCCATGTGACTCCGTACATTTTGTCAAGAAAGCCTTCCGGGTGCTGGAATTACTCACTTTCAGCTCCTCATAAAGTTGTGTAACTGTTACCGTATCCCACCAAACAATGTCCACGTCTTGATCGAAAGTCTGATTGATGTGTAGGGATGCATAGAGGTTCAGGAAATCGCAAAAGTGATGGTACCTTCAAATTCAAGACTATTTTAAGCTAAAAAAGGAAAAACTGACAAGTTCACAGCCGCGTCGAGTTTCATCACAATAGTGGGTCGTTCGAAAATGAAATCACAGAACTTTTGGTTCAGTTGGAAATCGGGGTTCGATTGGAAATGTTGTAGTTCGTCGGACCTGAAAGATAGGTCAAACAAAAACAATCAAATGTTGAGGAACGCACCAACTCATCAAGTATCCCTTCCATTCCAAGTTCTTCGCCAACAACTCTCCATCGAACTTTTCGCATTTCCCACCGATCTGTCCACTTTTTATCACATCTTGTCGGTATCGGCTCGATGTTTCGTGATTCAGATTTGAGAAATCAAAGAAAACGTTCGTTCCGACACAGTGAGTGAGCTGATCCGAACACGAAAGAGTGGACGCATTCTGAGAACGATCGAATAGTTTTTCAGACTTTTCACAGCTACACCACCTCATGTTCCGAACTACAAATCTGATGTTTCACCATTCTCGGTGTCAAGTACCCGAAATCTGCCTGCTTCCAGAACGTTTCCTCAACTTTTCTGTAAAATAATATTAGCTACGAGTCTTCTTTCATTCTTACGAATTCAGATTCTTGTCACAACTGGTGAACTTGCTCCTGAACCCCAAAGAGCTATTCTTCTCGCATCCATCTTCGAATCCAAAGCACTTTTGAGTGGTTAACTGAAAACTTCTAGGATTACTGTACCTGCGAAGTGACTCACCTCCAGTTTGCACTCCGAATCGGCCAGACATCTCTCCCTTAACTGTGGTCTTGTCGCCACGTGGTATTCCAACAATTGACGAGGCAAATTCAAGTTTTTGAGCCAAGATGAACCAGAAAAGACTGTTGAAAATGAAAGAAAGATGATAGAATACAAGAAGGGATGCAGCATTTCTTTCGGGAAAACTTTCCACACAAGTGTTGGAGCAATTGTGAAAAGAGCTATGGAAACGGAAACATTTCAATTATTCATCACTCCATTGTGCTCTGAATTTGGGGGAAAGGAAGAGAGACAGAGAAGGAAAAAAAGGGCGAAGAGATAAGGAAGGAAGGGAGAGACGCAGACGTGTCAAGGTAACACGGAAAAAGATAATAACGGTTTGTGAGGGGGGTGTCCGAACGAGTGAACGAAGGACGGAACGGACGGTTCAAGGTTATCGCCTCGAGAACACTCGAGAAATGGGAGGTCTATGCTTTAGAGGAAGACAAATGACAAAGCACATGAGAATGAGCAGTTTGTGCTCTTGCATTGTCCAAATAGCCACGAATGGCTGAAAACTTACCACTTTCAGAACAGAATCGTTCCGTTGTTGCCTCAAATGTATACAGTTTTCACGTTAACAGGTTCGTCCACTATTTTCCACAAAAACATGAAAGAATGTTTATAAATCAGTTGGTACACATGTCATTAGTTTATTTACAAGACTCCTGAGTTGATGTCCGATGCTGACGTAATCAGTTGCCGCTGGCATTGACCAATTCGGGTGCACGGTACGCCAATTCTGTCATGCTTCCCTGAAAATTATTCGGGAATGACGCAACAGTGCACCGCCCTTACATTATACACTTTTGCCTTCACGCCGCTTCTCTCTAGAGCCACAAAAATGACGGACGCCTGGATTCCGGTGTTGCAGGCGATGTACACCTGATTCCCGGCGGTCAGTCCCAATTTGGCCACCTTCGCGTCCACGTCTTCTTTGCTGATGAATCCGTCGGCTCCGATGACTTCGGCCATCGGGAAGTTTATGGCCCCCGTCACGTGAGATCCCGTCGCTTCTGGAATGAGTTCATTGCCATCTCAGGATGAATTGAAACGCGTACTTGTTCCCGGATAAGTGGTGGTCAAAGGCTCTTGTCCGGTGAACTGGGGAACAGTCCGCGCATCGAGGTAGTCGACGTTTTCGAAGCTGTTGAATGGAATCTCTTCGAAATACGCCAAGATATCAGTATTCAAAGGTTTCGCGTTGAAATTGCCCAGTGGAGGGCTCACTTCGTTATTGTCAGTGGCTCCGCCGGCTGCTTTCCAAGCGTCCAGACCTCCGTTGAGAAGGGAAACGTTTTGGAATCCATAGACCTACAAAATCACTGAAAACCGGCCGCCATATTCCGAAGAAAACGAACCTTGAAAGTCCAATAAGCTCTGGAAGCGAACATCATTCCCTGAGCGGGTCCTCTGCTGTAAATCACCACGTGGTCCCCGTCGTTTACGCCCAAAAGTCGGATGTATTTTTGGAAAATCTCTGGCGGATAAAGATCGTATTTGATGTACTGAGATGGAAAATAGGCGGTATCCAATCCGAAATGACTGGCTCCCGGGATGTGCTCACCGGTGTAGGCGGCCACTTTCTGAAGAAAGTCTAGGCTGGATTTGAGGAAAAAGTGAAACTTACAAAGTCTTTCGTGAGCTTTTCAAAGTCTCCATAGTAGTTTTTCTTGAACTCCTCGAAGTTGCGAGTCGCAGTTGGAGCATATGTTGCGTCGATCACTTTGACCTTCTGAAAACAAGGATTCAGTTCGGATCACTTTGGTTTTTTGTTGTTTAGAACTCACATTAAAATTCTGAGTCAACCACTGCGGAGTGACAATGGAATTGACGTTCATCGCTGCTCTGGAAGAATCAACCGAATAACAATAACAGTTAGTAAATAACAGAAAAAAGACGACGGACACGGTTAGTAGGAGACGAGAATGAGACGGAGAGTGAGAGACACACCTTTTCAGCACTCCACTTATCATCATTTGTCCGAAGAAAGCGGCGGGTAGAAGGCCGCTCTCCGCTTCATATTTATAGTCATTTTGTTTCGGAAAAAGGGAGAAGAACTTCTGATTAGCTAGACTCACGTACGAGTTTGATTGCGGGAAAACGAGGGGAAACGAGAGAGAGAGAGAGAGATGGCAAGAGGCACGTTTGAACGGAAATGCGAGAGAGTGGAGGGTAGGAGGAGAGTGAAGAGAAGTGGGGGGCAAATGTAAGGGACTATCGGGTAATCTCAAAATGCACTCTGTTGAGGAACCCCACTCATGTGTGATCCCGGAGGCCCAGTTTTCGTGGAGCGAAACGAGTTACAGTTGGTTTTCATTAAAATTCTGGAAGAATATTCTCTGTTTTTAATTGGCGCCGGGCTGAAGATCACAATTGCGACAGAGCGCATTCATTATGAAATGCCCCGAAAGTACAAGGAGGCCGGGAAAAGGAAGGACAAGGGACACCAGACAATCATTGTTAGTTGATATTTTGGACGTGAATTCAACAAAATTGCTGAAGAAGCAACTGATTCCCGTGGAAGTTGTCTCGATTGTGTCAGATTGAAAGTATTCACGTGAATCATGTTTTTCTATTTGCATTTGGATGGACGCCAATTTTGGGCTCCCCGACGTTTCGCAACTCGACGTTCCAAAACCGCTATCGCTGAGTAGAAACGTCGCTGTTTCGAAATTCAGGAGATACTGTCAAACATGGGAAACCGCCTGCGCACTCTGTCGCCCACTCGTGATCTTGCCTTCCCCATCCATTCTCCTCATTATCCAGTTCAACGGCGTTCCGAATAAGTCCTTTAAGCCATTCGCCTCCGACGTGTTAGCAGTGTGGTTTGCAACGAGAAAGTGAAGAAGCGACTAGTCCACTTTCTCCCCGATTCTTCCATTTTCATCCGTCATCTTATCATTTGATGATAGCTGATGATCACTGTGTGTCCATCATCTAATATCTCTTCTTTTCCTTCTGTTTGCTGTTTTTTTGCCCCCTATCACTGTTTCCGCTGAACAACGGCAAAGAAGGAATAAAAGAAAACAATAACAAAAAAATATGTGTGTGTGTCTGTCTGGGGGCGAGAATTGGCCGAAAGTGACCGTCGATCTGTGCTGAAATTTGCGAATTTCAGGCGGGCGGGCAGGTATAAAATGGAGAATCTACCTAATCGTATCATTTTCTTCTTCTTCTTCTTCTTCTTCTTCTTCTCGCCCGGCAACTCACTCACTTTCCATTTCCCTTTCTTGACCGCCTGGTTTCGTTCTTCCTTTTCTTCCTCTTGATTCAATTTCATTTTCAATTCATTTCAGAAAATAATGAACTCCCTCCTGAGTACGTTTGCTTTTCTGGCGATCATCTTGGCGGTTAACTCGATGCCAGGTCCTCCTGCCTTCCCCATTGTGAGCCTTTCTTTCAAATTTAAACCAAAACTAGATCCGGCGGATGTTTTTAAAGAGCTCCCGTGCCCGCATACCCAGATTATATTGGCATTTTCAGAAAGAGATTTGTGCGGCGTACGGAGAAAAGTGTGTGAACAAACTCGGCCGAAATGACTGTCCGGCGAGAGTGGTCGAGTGCGAGAAGTACGCCGATCAGGGAATCAGGACTACCTGGTCGTTTTGTGAGTGGGGCAACGGGTTACTGTCTGTGGGTTGGAAAAAAAAGTAGAACTCACAAGGTTTATTTGACAAAAATACCGTATTCTGTTAGAAACGGACACTCTTCTCTGGAATCTTTTGAATCGATTGCCCCCCACCCATTTCACGTTGAAACTGATACTTTGAATGTTCTAAATGGTTGCAGGCATGTTCTCCAACAACTACGACCTTTCGACGTGCCACGAACGCATCCAAATCGACTTCCAAATCATCCAATCTTGGATCAGCAAGGACCAATTCAAGTACTTTCCGGAATAAACGCATGCCCATCGCCATCCGCATAATACCTCTTTCGACCAACGGGATTCTTGTAATAAAATAAAATAAACGTTCTTTTTCGTTCTTTTGATTTCTGTGCGAACAGACGTTTCACAAGACCCTCATGGCCCATTTTTGTGAAAATGCAGAAAAAGTGGCAAGGAAAGTCTGCCAACGTTTCATCTCCATCCGATTCTTCAGAATACAGCACCAGCCCGGCGCCACTTTTGTTATCACTTCCCTTCTTTTCTTTTTTTTCCGTGATCATATCCGTTTTGTTTGCCTCTTCTTCCCGTCCCTCTGTTTTTTCGGACCGTGACGACGACGATTTATGTTGTGGCATTGGGAGAGAAAATGGAGGAGAATGGGGAGAGAGAGAGAGCATCGGAGCAATTGGTGCCAATCAGTTGATGCTCGCACAAACGTGCCAAACAACACGATGAAAAGATCAGAGGTCCACAAAGAAGAGACGACACAACAAATAGTGAAGAAGGAGGGCGAATGCGAATGGGTTACGGTAGCTAGTGGGTCCTGGGATGTTTGGTTTGTTCAGTGCACAGATTGGTAACAAACTTGTTGAGATGAGCCGAAAACGTTTGCTATCAAGTCAATCGGTTGATTCTGGAGAGTTTTCGGTCACCAGCAGCACCGAGCAGCGCCTGGGAGTGTTTGGGTCGGTGTTCGGGTGTACAGTGGTTCCATGGAAACTATTCAATATCTATGCAAAATGAGGGATCTGCCTTGCAAGTAATTGACACCGACTCATCCAGAAACTTGGCACCACAGTTGAGCGGAAATGCCAAAAAACTGAGCCCAATTTAAAGTTATATTCTGTTTCAAGCTCTTCCAATAATAAACTTTTAATCGAATCAGACGCATCCCCATATCTACCGTACCTCCAATCATCAGAACGTCCATCGCATATCAGTTGTTTTCCTTCGTGCTCTCCGATTTTCTAAACCGAAGCGATTGTTTGGCAGTTGTCATCTCGCCCTCCTTCTCCTCCCTTCTTCTTCTTCTTCTTCTTCTTCTTCTTCTTCTTCTCTCGCTCCGTGCCAAGATTAATTGGCCTCACTTCTCAATTGTCAGGGCACCGCCCATCTTCGCTCACTCATTCCATCCGCCCCATTTCATACCAGTTCATTCATCGAGCCTTTCAGATTATGAAAATGCTTTCGAATCTCATTCTTCTGTCTTCCTTGGCGATCTGTGCGACGGCGGCGGTGCAGTGCAAGTACGAGGGAAAGGATTTGGATCACAATGAGATTATCGTAAGATAAATTCTTTGCTTTATACATAAACGCTCTGTTAGGTTGTTCAAAACGCCTTCCGTATCAAGTGCCTGACGGAGGACAACGGATCCTGGAAGACCGAGATTGTCGGATGCGTGACTCCGGACGGAACCGCAATTGATGCCGGAGACAAAAAGGAAGTCGGAGACAAAGTTCATGAATGTGTGAAGAGCGAAGGAGGACAAGTGTCTCTGAAGGAGTCGAAGGGACGGTTGGCCGCCTGTCCGGGAGGACAGAAGAACGGTGAGCCAGTCGGCGGAGAGACAAGAGTGTGACACTCTGATTTGCAGGCGAGGAATGGCAGGAGAAGTCGTTCAAGTTCACTTGCGCCGACGGAGGAGTCGTCAAGTTCGTTGCGTGTGTTGGACAAGACGGGACCGTCATCAATGCGGGAATGACTGGAAAGATCGGAGGGTTCGAGGTGAAATGTCTGCAGCACGCGAACGGAACGATCACGATGCAAGCGGCCAACGACCCGAAGAGCTACGAGTGCAAGGCTAAGGACGGATCGTCGAAGAAGAACGGAGAGGAGTACGTGGAGGGTAACTTTGTGCGAAAGTGCGAGGACTACGGACAGGGCAAGATCGTCGGATGCTTCGTAAGAGTATCAGAATAGAAGGGCTTCGATTACAGTAGATTTTGAGGCGGAGACCGTCAAGGACACCATCCCAATCAACAAGAATGTCACGGTCGGAGAGGTGACCTACAGCTGCTCGAAGGACGGATCCAACTACAGCTTCAAGACGTTCAACCAAAAGGCAAACTAGCCGTTTCTGACAATCACAATCCTTTTTTGTGTGTGAAAGAAGAACATCGGAGAGCAATGAATAAAGTTTTTATGTTTGCACTGCTCAGTTTCCATTCGGTTTCCTTGTTGTTGCACGTTGTTCAGTTGGTCTCACAAACTCAGAATCTTTCAGAAGCCAGTCGTTTATGCGATGTGCGCCCACGATGGGAAGCAGTACGAGAACGGAACCACTTTTGTTAGTTTGGTAGAACATTCGACAATAGTTGCGACTGGGTCGAACTTAGGACTTCACTTGAAAGATATGAGTTTCAGCTGGCGCAAGGATCGTTCCGCATGAAATGTGTGACTTTCAAGAACTTGACCTCCATTCTCGAAGTCGTCTCGTGTATCACACCCGCCGGAATCGAAGTGAGACCCTGTCGCCTACTTTTATTGGATAATTGCCCTTTCCCCTCCTAGATCCCGATCGGTTCGCAAGTGGAAGAAAGAGATAAAATGTTCGAGTGCACCGCCGGAAATGTCACATTGAAATCGAGTCCCGGACGGAGCGGACAGTGCCGTGGAATCTACAACGTGGGCGACGAGTGGGTGGATGATCAGTTCAAATTGCGATGCGCACCGTACGGAAAGGTCGAGCTGAAGAGCTGCATCACAAGGACCGCATCGAGATCCCGTTGGGCGAGGCGAGGAGAGTGCCCGCCGGATACGCGATGGAATGCGTCATGATCGATGGCAACGTGGCACTTCAGACGGCGAAGACGTTCGATTGCGAGACGGGAAAAGGAGAGATCAAAAAGCAGGGTGAGCCGTGTACAGTATCCATTGTTGTTCTAACCCATATACACAAATCACAGCCAATTTTCGTGTTGTCCTCCTCGCAAATTGACCTTTTTCCTAGGCGAAACATGGAATGAGGGCAATTTCGTGCGTCGTTGTGTCAACTACGGAGTCTCGTCGATCATCGGATGCTACGTGGACGGAATCGGGACGATGGGACTGAATCAGAATATCACTTCGGCCGGACTCGTCTACATGTGCATCAATCAGAACGACCAGTTCAAGTTCCGCACGCTTGTCGCCGAAAAAACCCCGATAGTTGCCTCGAAGACTTCGCCCAGTCCGTGAACTGACTCGTTCCCGCTTCATTTCGCTTCACACTGATATGTATTCTATGACTATGAACCGATAATAATGACAATTGTTGACCCGCTAATAATTTGTTTCGCTGCTCATTGAATGTTAACATCACCATACTGCTGCTTTTCGCTAATAAACCGTTTTGTTTCCAGATTAGCTGATTAACCTCCAAATTACACATACATTGTAGCCTTCGGCTTTCTAAAAATTTTGAGCACGTGCAGCGTCAGATGAAAGGCGACTGAGAAAGCTTTTCCTTTCGCCGTTACTGAGGCAACCGAAAGTTTCGTGTGGAGCCCCCACTCTGCTGATTTCACGTCTATTATTGTTTACACTCACACGAAAAAAAATACATGGACTGAGCCAAGCGTATTACTAATTATAACTGCGCCATCGAAATGATAATCTATATCTTGGCGCTCCTGATCATCATCGCATCCGTATCCTTTATTCTTTTCGCGCTGTACACTCTGCACAGAACTGTGACGCAGTGCGTACTGCAATGGAGGAAAATGAGCTCATCGCAGACGCTCAGTGTTTATATCATTCCGAATAACGGCACTCTCGAACCTTTCTGATAATTTATTATGATTACTTGTTCTATTTTTGAGTTTCTCATATTTGTTTCTATTGGTTTTTTAAATTAAAATAAACAGAAAACAATGAAAATCTCGAGTTTTGTTCTGGTTGCAACCGGTTGAGACGCAGACAGTCACGCGGGACGCGTCAAGAATTTATTGACGCATCTCTCGTTTTTTTTTTCTCAGACAACGATTTCCGATGTATCGGCGGAAATTTGAACATTTTTTGTTGCTTTGTTGAGTTTCTATGTTTTAAACACTTTCTGTTTTTAGCAGAATGACATCTCTGGTCGCATACGGAAGTGACAGCGAACAGAGCGGCGGGGAAGACGACGACTTCTTCGGGAAAACGGCACCGAAACAGGCGGAAGAAGATGTCGAAGAAAAGTCGAGCAAAACAGAAGAAAACATTGAAAAAACAGATGCCACGGTATATTTTAAAAGTTCAGCTTCTTGTTTAAAGGCCGAAGCGTGTCATTTTCAGGGAGAACAGTCGAAAAAAGAGGGAACGCCGACCGTTTCGTCGTTTTTCTTTTCGGGCGACGACGTGGGCGAAGGATCGAGTGATTCTGATGAAGAAGAGGGCGAAAGAGCTGCTCCGAAGAAGAAGTGGAAGGCCGGAGAGTCGGCGACAGAGCTGGATCGCGAGTTTGTAAGTTTTTGAAATGAACGAACACTTTTCTTATCAAAAACGGTAATTTGCAGACGAGCGCAATCTTCGACAACGATTACGCACGAGAAGAACGAACGAACGCCCAGATGCTCAGTCGGCACGTCGGTTTATCGGAGAAACCGACAGAAAAAGAGCGGAAGAAGTCGAAATTCACCTGCAAGTCAGTTTGATTCACACTTTTTCACCAAGAGTTAAGAAAAATTCCAGAAACTACCTGAAAGGAAAGTGCCGTTTCGGCGACAAGTGCCGCTTCTCGCATCCCGTACACAACCGGTCATCTGAGGCAGTCGACCAAGTGACCATCTCATCGGAAGCCAAGTTCTACACATCCGAAACGCCCGAAGCGCAGATTTTTCACTCGAAAAAATTCAAATCAAGCGCAGGCCAATAAAGTTTGTTTCGAATAATTATGCTCGACTGTGCATTATCGCAAAATCAAGAGATTGTATGAAGATTTCAATTTTTGTTCGTTTGAACACGTGCACATTCAATTGATCAATCTCGTTAAATAAGTGTGTAGAGTTCAGAATGTTTACAAAGAAGTTTCATTATTAAATACATGCTGAATAAATAGATGACAAAAATAGCTTTTCACAGGGCTTTTGCTCTTCGAAGCGCACATAAAAACATGATTTTTGTTTTTGTGTGATCCTCGTTGGCCGGGTCACAAAACACATTGATGAGGGGCAGATTGACAGAAGTGGGTTCGATGTAGGCCAGTTGGAAGATGAGATCAGGCGGGATTCGACGGATCAGAAGACGTTTCGTCTCACAATCCGGCGCTCCGGCGATCGATTTGATCAGTTTGAGAATGGTGTTGACGACGACGGTCAGTTGGGCTGAAAATGGAACATTGGGACTACTTCTAACTCGCGTATCAACAATTTCTATAAACAATTTTCTTTTTTGCAGAAAGTGAAACGCCCTTTCTGTTTAGACTGAATATCACATATCAACTGCTCATCGCTTCCCACTCGCATTCCCTTCTTTACTAAAATTTCGTCCAGAATGTCGCGGAAAGCGCTATCGCCGTCCGATATCGCCTACTTGCGAGCGGTCGCCAAGAGCCGCGTCTTCCAAGAGCTCACCGATTCGGACGCCTCTCCCAGGGATGTTGTCGTCGGAATCGGACGGATAAGGGCGACTCCAGACGCCAAAGAAATGTGGGTGTACTCCATTCTAGGAGGAAAGAGAAGGGGAGAGAGAGAGAGCATGTAACTAGCAATTAGCGCCAAAAGCTTGTGCTGCTTCACCGAGTTTAGTCATTCATTCACCTAGCGAAGGTAGCCCTGCGAGCCAACTCTTTTTGTTTCTCTTTAGACTTCTGCGTGTCTAAGTTGCACTCTGCCACTTAGAAAATGTCGCTTTTTTGCCGAGATTCGATGACGTGCCAGCAAAGTGTCCTTAGTTATCTCCCCATTTCCAGATTCACTGCCGGCCAAGAGATTCTCACCGACGTCGACAATCTTCTGATGGGCTCCGACGACGACGATTTCCTATTCGGCTCGCCGAGCACCATCGGACCGCCCCCTCCGGAAGACTCTTACGCTATCTTCTCGCTGTCCTCGTTCGCCTTCAAGTTCTGGTTCCTCGTTCTGCTCGCCCTATTCCTGATCATTTCGGCGGCAATCTTTCACTTTGTCTGTTGGGGACAACAGGGAAATGTTACTCGTTGGAATTCGATGGAAAAGGACGGATTGGACGATGAGGAGCGGGGCGGCGGCGGACCGACGGAAACGACGACGATGGAAATGATTGCGGAGGCGAGGGACGAGCAGGAAAACGAAGAAGAAAAGGACGACGCTGCGAGCATATTGGTGCTTCGGGAGGACTAATCAGATACAGTAAAAAACACTTTAATAGAAGATCACCTCTCTCCCAGACGATGTATGTCAACTGCCGAAGGAGTTATCAAAAGGTTGTCAACTAATGAATTGCTCATTGAAAGATTGTCTACATTTTATCAGTTGATTACTATTTGATATCTTTAAAGGCAGCTGAGATACATCTTCGAGAATAGTATAGGGGTGCCCTTCTATTACTGCTTTTTCGGAATGATTAATTCAAAGTTTTGCGCCCGTCCAAAAATAAACATTTCTCACCTTTTCTGAGTGTTTTCTAATCGATTGATGGATCGATCGAGCAGTTCGGTCAGCAGGAATATCCACTTTTCCCTCCGTTCGGGATCTTCCAGCTCGGGAGCTTTCACTTCCGTCGAAATGTACGTCTTTCTGACGGGCGGACCCTCTTTGTGAAGACGGCCGAGTGTCCATTCGGCCATCAGCATTGTCTGTGTCATCAGGCGAACGATCGCGAGAACGGCAAGCGGATCGAACCGTCCGTCGGTCCAGCACTTTTCGACTTCCTCGCTGAACCAAAAGTCCATCATACTCTCGTGCATCCGAATGATCGAGTTGTAGTCGTCGAGAATCAGCGTCGGCAAAGGATCTCCGTCGACGCCTTCATCAGTTCCGCACATCTCGTTTTCACAATTTTGTTAATGTACAACTGCAAGACAAGAATTGTTACAGAAGCTTTTCAGATGCCAACTCACATGTATCCACGTATTGAACTCTCCCGCAGCGTTCATGTGATCCACGAGCCGGAGTGCATGCGGACTGGCCCACGCCTGCTGACGCATGTAATACCACGCATGTTTCAGTTTCACTTGATCCGGTTTCTGAAGGAGAAGAGAGCATGTTTGAGACATCATCTGAATGGCATCGGACCAACCTCATTTCGCTCGACGAACGGACAGAATCGACGGGCGGAACTGAATGTGATGCAGGTCACTTCGGGGAAAGTGGGCGCCTTCTCGACCATCACCGTGAAGATTTGCGAGAGGGTCGAGCGGATGAACTGCCATTTGAGCGCCGGATCGCTCTCCTCTTCCGACAGCGTCGACAACATCGAGTCCTCTTCCGCGGATTCGGTCGCTATCGGCACTTTTTCAGTTGCCGTCGCACACTTATCGAGAGCCGATGCGAGGGTAATTGCGAGAGATGTGCGGGCAGGGGAATCCTTTTCGCAGTCGAGCCATTGAACGAGACATAGGAAGAGACAGGAGACGGGCTCGATGGCATGGAGGAGATTCTGGAAAGAAAATGAGATTGTGCACGCAGTCTGACACTCCCGCCTACCACCATGTTCTCCTCGGCTGATCTCCGATTGATCCGATGCCTTCGATCTTCGTGCTCCTCGAGCAGCAGCTTCCCAATCACTGGAACCACCGCAATCAACGCGCCCATGTTCAGAGTCTCGCAGTCGGTTTCCCAGAACGGATGGCCTTCTTTCAGAATCGTCAAGTACTTCTTGCCCGTTTTCTTCGAGATCCTCGGCAACGGACAATGCAGTGCATTCCAAGTGGTCGGCGCTTCCGGCTCCGGTGGGCTCCTCGGCTCCTTTTCGGTTTTTTCTGTTGGTTCTTCGACGGGAGCCGGAGAGAGAGAGCGAACCGTAGAAGGAGCCGGAAATGGGGGAGGAGAGGGAACCACAGGATTTTCCCCCGGATAGTCATCGATCGGCTCTGGTTTCACCAGTGTTTTGGCAACGATCACGGTGCCCGGGACGTTTGTCTGATCCACAATCTTGATTTCTTCGTCCTTCTCTTCATCCTCTTTCGGCGATTTCATCTCATTCTCTTGTGTTTCTGTCTGTTCACCTTGGGATGGGCCTTCAGCTGATCCTTCAGCTGGTTTTTCGGAGGGATTCTCCGCAGGTTCTACAGCTTCTACTTCAGCAGGTTCCGCTTCCTTTTCGAGAGCTTCTGAAGTGTCCATCGGCTCTTCCTCGTCCGGTTTCTGGTCCGTTTCCTCCTCGACTTCCTCGCTTGGCTCCTTCTCCTTCTCCTCTTCCGGTTCTTCTTGAGCATCTTCTTGTGCCTCTGGCTTTTCTTCCTCCTTAACCTCTTCCGCTTCCATCTCCTCGTCTTCTTTCACTTCGTCGTCGTCGTCGTCTTCTTCGTCATCGTCGTCGTCCTTCAGCGCCCCCATTTCTTCCTCCGGATCCGCTTCGATCCCGACTTCACTGTTCGCCACTCGCACCAACATCGCCGCTTCTTGCCGCAGCATTTCCCTCTCCTCCTCCGTTTTCCCCTCCGGATTCTCGTTCTTCGTGACACGTTTGATGTACCACATTGACCAGTTGAAACTGTAAAAAAGAAAGAGTTCATAGTGGTGGGTTAGACGTCGAAACTTACAAGATGCTTCGTTCCGCATCCGTCTTTGCGTAGCCTCCATTGACGAAAAATTTGATGGACTGAAAAGTTTACTCATATAAAATGTTTGCTAAAGATCCTTACCAGACTCGGGTTCTTGATGAGAATTCTGGCGAGAAGAAGGAAGGTCTCATCGAAGTCCTTCATCCGATCTGCCTGAGTTCTGCGCGCTCCTCGGTTCTCCTGAGCATCCCTATTCTGCTTCGAAAACGTGTGTCCCGCCTGCATCAGCTTTCCCTCGGCCATCAGAATCGCCGTGATCGCATCGAAATCGTCGTATTCTCCGTGCCGAATTTTGCGTTTAAATGTCTCGTGAAAGTCGGCGGCGTGCCCGAATTCCAGGTTCATCACCTCTTTCACAGCCGTCAGAAGTCTATGGATGTCCGTGTTTTCGATCACTTTATCGTCCGATTCGGCCAATGCAATCAGATTCGCGTTGGTTTTCATGTGCGCGCGACGACGAGTTCTGAGCTCGTCGGTGGCTTCTTTGCCGATGGACTGCTCCAATTCATTCAAAAGTGTCAGGAAAGAGGCGTTCTGCCACGTGGTGTCTGCTACATCGAACATCTGAACACTGAGTTGAGTACTGTTCCAAACGGATTCCTACCTACCATAGTCAACTCATTCAAAGCCTTCTCCAAACCGGCGCGAACGTCTTCCGGCGTCACCTTCCCACTTCCGACCAAACACGCGATGATCTGCGGCAGTTTCTTGTAGAAGAACGCGGTGGATTGCCATCGGAAGTCCACTCGGTGCTGCTTCGGCAGGTGCAAAAGTTCCATGGACTCCTCGCACTTTAACAGAATGGCTCCGTGAAGAAGGTCGAAAATCACCTCTTCCCAGGAGATGTCCATGATTTCCGCGAATGTTTGGACGGTGTTCGCCACGTGTTCACTCGAATCGTTGTATTTGAAGCAGGCGAAAATGGAAACGAGCGCTCGGATCGACGGATTTTTGTACTTGAAAAGATTGAGTCCTTTCGGTTTGTACTCGAACTTGGGCTGATTCGCGACCTTCGCGTGGTGCTCCACGAGCATCTCCATTAGTCTCTGACTCGGTCCGTCCCGATTCTTGAGGTTTTTGAAGGCGGCACAGCACCGGTCAAGGGTTTCCCGTACTCCTTGAGCAATGGGGGGCATCGAGAGAAGGATGTTGCAGAGCTTGTCGTGAATGAGAGCGGAGAGGGCGTCCAAGGGCGCTTCGTACGGTTTCTGGCTGGTCTCGAACTCGGTCTGCATCCTTTCAATATCGTCTTCATCGGAGAGAACGTCCTAGAAAATGGAGTACACAATTATTTTCAGTTTAAGGACTTTATTCTATAGCTCTCACAGTATCTAATGTCCATCCCTTACAGTTTAAAACAATATTCTCGTAGAATCTCTTACCAATATCAATTGTGTCAAAAAGTTGAAAGTGGGCGACAGAACGGCGAGCAGTGCGTCCGCGTGCTTTCCATCGTCGAATGATCGAATTCTGCAAGTGTTTGTACTCTTTGTACCCTTGAAGAAGGCTTCCTTACTGCACAAAGTGTATCATATCCTTTGCCAAATGACACATTTGACATTTCATGTAAACCTCGCCGACTTTTGTGTTCACAATACTGTGTAGAACATGATTCCAGGCAAGCGACTGAAAAAGACATGTTCAGGGGAAGAAGGACCTTTCTGGCAATGTTACCTCGTCGACGACGAGACCGAGAATGTGTCTGTGGAAGGTTCTATCGATGTAGCTTCCGTTGAAGGCCAATCGGACGAGAGTATCTGCAAGAAACACGATTGTGTGCAAAATTCACAGGAAAAAGACGTACCACTCAGTTTCTGAATATCTATTCCGGGGAAATCGTTCGGTCTGACCGCCAGGCTCGGTTCCTGCAATTTCTGACGCTTTCCGCCGCACGGTCCACGCAACTTTTCCACATAATCGAGGATTAGCTGCAAGAAAGTCGATGGGAAATGGATAATATTGGGGGAAATATTTGCAAAAACTCACTCGTGCTGAAGAATCTATCTTAATCAGTCCGAAAGTGCTCATTTTTGTCTGGAAACTTCCCAGAAACTGTGTGAAAATCAATTATAGTTCGATTTTCTGGTAAAGGGGACAGAGAGGGGAGGAGAGAGTGCGCGGGGAGAGGGCACGCAGACGTCCAGTAGAGCGCATCTGCTGACTCGGCCCCACTATTGTACGACCACAATTTATGCGATTCTCACAATAAACGAAACAACGGTTCATTTGTAATGGACAATAGCAAAGGAGAAGAAATGTTAACAGAATCCACAAGTCTTCGGACACTTCTCAGTCATTATTTTCTGGTAACTGGGCGCTGAGCATAATGATGACGTGGCAGTGCAGGATTTGGAGTTGTCGACGCAATTCGAAGGGCTCCCGGATCCCTCGATCTCTTCTGGAACGACTGACACCGCTGCTTGGGCTGAAAGTGCTATTTTCATTCTCAGACAACGGGGCATAATGTTCTCGCCTGGAACGGCTGCAAACCGTGTACGTGTCGAGTGCATGACGTCGTCCAGATTCTTCTGACACCACTCACAAGCACTTCTGCACACTTTGAACATCACTCCTGCGTAGGCGGGTGCGTTACATAAACTTTTACGGTATTCGCATTCCAGAGAAACGTCGCGGCATCTGAAACGGAATGCCGCCACAATTTCATAGTGAAACGATAGGATACCTGGACAATTCCGCGTGCACCGAATAAAAGAGAAGGGAAATTAGAGTGATTGTGATTGAACTTGACTTCATAATTTTGACTTTATGTTAAAACTGTGCTCCTTTTATGCTCCTCCAATTACATGTGTGTTCAGCTTGGCATGAACAAAAACAACTTTTAACACGGCAAAACAATAACATGATGTCGGTTTTTTCGGAAAAGTAGATGATATACTCCGGAAGCGATTTACCCTTCCGAATTCCAAATATCAGTCCACTCTCACTCACACCAGGTAAACAGCGCCCGAAAAGTGAAAACAGGTGAAATTGAGCTGTTGGAGCACACACACACATCTGAGCGTTTTCCGATTTCCATTCTTCAGAATATACTCGCCAATATACGATTGTAGTTCTCTCATATCAGACATCTCTGTAACTTTCCTCCCAATGGACTTATTAGCCTCGCCCTCTCTCACTTTTTGTTTTTTGTTCCATAGAAGGGGAAGTGGGTAGAAGAGGGGAGAAGATTCGTGGAATTTCGGCACCTCGTCATAGTTCGTCCTCTTGTTTATGTCACTTTTGTGTCTGTTACCCGGAAAATAGTTGTATTAAAATACTATCGCGGCTTTAGAAATGAGACTAAATTCATAGGAATCGGGGCGCGGTCTAGGGTATTGTGAACTAAATCAGAGATGATCGCTTCAAGTTCCTTCAACTGTTCGGTCACTCAACTTGACTTTCAGCTGCCATCATTAAAAGTACGACTTTTCGGTCATGTCATGTCTCATCTGATGTTTGGAAACCTATCTTAGCACTTGTGCTCTTCGACATTCCGCCGTCAACTTGTTCACTTGCTCAATTCAATTTCTTGGAAAAAGAGTTGTGACAAGGCTCGTCTCCTCCTCCTCCTCGTTCACCCCCTTATTAGGAGAAGTATCGGCACGCGAGCCCCGCGCGCAGTCTCGTCTCTCCGTTTTTATCGATAAGCTTGAGCCCGAAGTCCTCGGGCCAAGAGTTAAACAGATCAAACACCGTGCGGCATATTAGAGCGTACTCAGCTCGAGTGTAGGTACGTCAGACAGACGACGTTTTTCAATTGTTGCTTTCTATCGTACGAAAAATCATCTGATGAGACGAAAACGTGGCGAAGCGGAACGTGCCGAAGAATAACAAACGAGCGTTGACATAGTGAACTCTGACTGTTCCAGCGCTGCCGAATCTTTAAACTGCTTTCAAACATTTCTCACGAACAACTTTGAGCGTTGGATTCCCAAACACCAGTTTGACCGCCCCAGTGCCAACCCATTCATCATCTCCATCACCACTATTATCAACAGCCCGGTCATGCGCGGCTCTACCGGAAATCTATGGTTTCTCGTCCCCCTCCCCGCCTCCTACTCGTTCATTTTTGCCCGACGAAATACCCGCCAACATTCTCACCTGTCTCGCATTTTGTCTCCTCAACTGACGACCAAGAAGTGACGTTTCACAATTTGTGTAAAATGTCTTTGCCACGTCACAAACACTGACTTCAGAATCAGTAGGGCCAGCGCGAAGTGACGTGCTCGGGAGCGGAAAACATGTATGGAGCTGGATCACATTTTGACATTCCAAAATTGGCGCGTTTTTTGTGTGTTCCAGAACTCTGCGCCATTTCTCGAACTGTCTATTTCAACTTCTTATCCATAATTCTCACAGTTTTCGAACATATGTTTTGTTATATTTGGAAATTTTGACGTGGAAATTTTGCAAAACAGGCGAAAACAGGCGCCTGTTCTGCAACCCTAGATTAGATAAATGAAAAACGTTGAGAACGTGCGGGCCGGGAATATCTTTCGACGGTCCGAAAAATCACAGCTATAAAGTTTACAAATTCTGATCTTCTGTTTGTTGACCGATTATCGCTCGCCCAGACGGTCTACCTGAACCAATTTCCTCTCTTTTCGCCTCGATTGCTTTCTGTTCTGATCTGTGAGGTGTTGAATACAATACATTTGTGAGGAACACGAATGGATTTCGTAGAACACGTGACACGTTTTGATCAGATGTACAATACTGAAACTACATCCTCAAGGCTACGTATACAAAGAGGGTTTTGATTGGTGAGAGAGCTTGCTTGTCCCGCCTCTTTCATTCTTTGCTATTCAGGCCTTCTTTGTCTATTTTCGGCCCGTCAAATAATAAGAAACCCGTCTAGCCGAACTTTTTCCCCAGTGACATGTGTACGTATAAAAAAGAGTATTGATAAGTGAGCGGCCGTAAATGGTAGGTTATAGACTGGTCGGTTGGCTAGCCAACGGGCTCAACACTCGGCTCACCGCTCGCCTTCTGCTCACGCTCCATTCCACTTTGCGCAAGTTCCAATCCAATTACGTTTTTATTCCAATTTCGCGCCCGCCTTTGCTGCTTGCTCTTGCCAATCGTTTTTTTGATACCTCTGACGTTTAAGGCAGTCCTAGACGCAGCCTGACAGCTGAGAGAAAGTTCCCGTTCGTTTTAGCTCAGCACACTCTAGTTGACCTGTATCTTAAACTGAAAGATTAGTTACAAGTCCTGGTCATTTATTTTGATGATGATCTCAATAGAAGGTCAAGCAAACATTTCAATTTTGGAAGTTGTTTTCTGAAAACTGGCAACGTCTTCTACCCGAGAGCCATCGGTCAAGTTTTCGCTAATCACACGCTTCATGCACCTTTTCTTTGTTATTAGTTCTCTTCTTCTTCTTCTTCTTCTACTTCATTTTCGACTCGTTTCAGTTTCAGAAACAGTTGGAGAGAATGGGCGGTCTGTGCTCGACGGAAACCTATTTGCTCGACAAGGAGACCTATAAGAAGCAGGTGATTCCGAGTCCCCTTTCTCAGAAAACTAACTTAAACATCATCGATTGCAGGTGGAGCAGAACAAGACGATCGAGAATGCGCTGGAGCAGGACCGCAAGGTCAAGATTCTCAAATTGCTTATTCTGGGTCCTGGAGAATCGGGAAAGAGCACGACGATCAAGCAAATTAAGTGAGCTTCTACTCACCAAAAAGTGACGTGGTATCATTATTTTCCTTCAGAATTATTCACGATACAGGCTATTCGACAGAAGAGAAACTCGTCCGACGACACGGAATTTACATGAATATTCTGGAGGGCATCGAGGAACTTCATCTGGCAGTCGTTAGGGAGAATATGACCTACAGGAATCCAATGTCTTTTGTAAGTTATTGTGATTCTGGCCATCACTCACATTTTTCGTTTCAGGACCACATCCAAGAAGTTCGGCAGTTCACCGAGAACTTCAAAAAGTCAGAAGGCGGCGATAAATCGTTAGGCGCCGAAGTGATCAATGCCATTCAAAAGTGAGCAGTTATCCAAGAATAACACATTCCTCAATCGAAACTTCCAGATATGTGAAGGATGAGACCGTAACCGTGATGCTCAGGGACAAAACTGTTTACAATATCGATGATTCCACTATTTAGTGAGTTAATCTGACCTATTCCATACAATCAAACACAAATTCTCTACAGTTTTCTGGATAACTTCTCACGGATCATCGAGAAAGATTATCTTCCGACAGAGGACGACATTCTGAAGAGCAGAGTGCCGACTTCGGGAGTTATCCAGTACAAGATCATGCTCAAGAACTTCAACTTTAAGTGAGCGTACCGTATACTGTACCTACCGTATCCACTGTGTTCAGAATCTTCGACGTCGGCGGTCAGCGAGCGCAACGGAGGAAATGGCTGCACGTGTTCGATGACGTGCACGCTGTCCTCTTCATCACTTCGCTTTCGGAGTACGATCAGATGCTGAGAGAGGACTCCACTGTGGTATCTTTGAAATGTTCTTCTGTTCTCCGTTCTCAAAAGCGCAGTTTAGAATCGGATGAAAGAGTCGTTGAATTTGTTCGAGAAGATTTGCAACGGGAGGTACTTCTACAGCACCGCAATGATTCTGTTTCTCAACAAGATCGACTTGTTCGAGATCAAAATCAAGCACATCAATATTGACGTGGCACTGACCAGTTATAAAGGTAAGATTCTGGGACCGAATTGATGAATTAGTCCTCACCGATTCACTTGTAGGACCGCAGACGCGTGACGATGCTCTCGATTACATCAGAAGACGATTCATTTCGTTGAACAAGAACAAGAAGCGCTCGATCTATGAGCATGTGACTTGTGCCACCGACACGGAGCAGATTCAGGTACGGCAATGCACTTGAGACAATAATACGGCAATTACCCTCTTCAGGTAGTCATAGATTCGGTGATCGACGTGGTCATTCAGCACACGATGCAGAAAGTGGGAATTCAGTAGAGCCTCTCTTTCCACTATTCCGTTTTGCACTCGGGTATCATGCTCACTTCTTTAATTATTATTATGTTTCTCGTTTCCACTTTCATTATATTGCGTCTCGTACAAACTTCCGTGTTCCTCAAAGTACGCTTTCAATAAAGCAACAAACATTTTACTTCCTAGATGAAAACAAAACGAACAAATTACACGTTTGGTACTAACGTCTAGCCGCAACTCGGTTTGAAGTTTGTGACATGAAGAATAAAACCTACATATTGTCAATCATGCTGCCTGGGATTCCTAGAATTGTCAAATCACAGGCACAAAGCCATTAATCTCAGACGAGAGATATAACAGCATTCCAAAACTTTTGGAGAACTTTTATACTCTCTTTTCTCTCTTTTTCTTGTTGGTCGAAAAAAATATAAATGACTTTGAAAATGAGCGGGTCTTACGGGCTCATGTTTTCAAGGTCTCTCGTATTATGGGCAATTTTCAGGCTTGGCAGCTCAGTCACAAGACGTACTGGCGTCAAAAGTTCCCCAGAAGACAGTTCTGAAAGGTCAGAGCCCCAATGATGAGCGAAAACATCATATTTAGTGGATTTGCTCCAAATGCTTGTGAATCCAGAGACCAGAGACGAATCAGCTATATCAGTTACAATCTGCACCCCTAATATCAATAGATTACGGCATCAGTGCTGACCAAAGTTTGAATCGAATACAAAGTAAGTAACTTCAGGCTCTTGAGCAGAAGAAGCAACCATGATTCATCCGATCCCTCCGACATTTGTAGCGGCTCTGGTGGAACCAGCAGCTGACACCGATCAGAACTCATCAATCGCCCCGTCTCCGGCAAAAGTAACTTCCGGACCATCTTCTGGCATGAATTGCGGAGATAAGCATGGAAAAGAGCATCTTGATCAGTAATCTTCAACCATTCTGTTTTCCGATAAACCTGCAAAGCGATGTACGACCTTCGCCCTTCTCGTTTCTGTTCTGTTCCTCAAACATTGTCATAAAACCGTATCAATGCCAGAATTTCGAGACGAAATTTCTTCATTTCGATAAGAAAAAATGTGAACCGTATTGACAGAAATGTGATTAGGCGTGCAATAGTTGGGCGATGCTCACGGAGCACAACGAAAGAGAAGCTCGGAAGTTAGGACGGAACGACGAACTGTTCCACTCGCATTCCACGGTCCTTGATGTTGGCGCCCGAGATCTTTCTCTTGTACATGTCGTCTGAAAACGTGATTTTGAAGAGGAGTCAACCGGGGTCACTTATTATCAGGAGAGGAACAAGATCATGTTCTTCTTCTTCTTCTCCTGGTCTCACTTATCAATCACGCCATTCAAACAGAGATCGAAAGAGGAGGAAACCCCCCGCTCGTCTGGTTTGTATAATGCGTTTGAATCGATTGACGAGTGACCTCATTTAGGAGAGGGGCACTTAGAAGTCAGTCATTTGAATAATTGCTCACCTTTTCCCTTGTTATGCTCCTCGTTGACGGCGAAAACGGTGTCGAACAAGTAGAGGACGAAGATGAAAACGCTGAGAACACGCTCGAACATGATGATTCTGCAAACAAACATTGAAACTTATTTTGAAGTGAATGTTTTTTTCTAAAGCACAAGAAGAGAAGTGAGCCCTGAAGAAGTGACTAGGACGGTATTAAATAGAAAGATTGAGAGGCGGAGGACCGATGGAGAAGGAAGGAAGGCGACGGCAGGAGGCGGGTTGGTGTTTGCAAAGATCAGAGGGGCGGAGATGCAGACGGAAAAAGACGGGTGCGGACGGGGGGAAACATGCGGAGGGACACGGGCTGAACACGTGGACACGCACTGTGAGGCAATCTGATGGGCAAGTAATTCCAACTCGATTCTATCCCTCTCTCGCTCTAAAAGTCTATTCGATCTGAAACTGGGACAGTGCATACCGTGAACACTCTAATAGAAGGGCACCCCCAATAGTGTCAATTCAATGCAACTTATCTCAACTCCCGATAAAGACAGTGAAACGTTTTCAACAAATTAAATGTGTAAATTGTTTTTTTGAGCAATTTCTCAGTTGACAACTCTTTGATATCTCTATCGTCAGATGAGATATATTATTCTAAATAAACGGTATTTGGATGCCCTTCTATTACAGTATTTACGGTAGATGTTTCTAAGAACTTTTTGCAGGAGTCACTGGGTCTCAGAGCATACAAACTTCTAATAGTGAGAGAACTTGTGAGATGATAATAACTGAACAGAAACGGAATGGATTTTGCAAGATCTCTGGTGAAATGAAACTTCATACATCTTGCCGGAAGTCCACGTGAAACCCATCAGCTCCGACAGCTCTCTGTCTTTTTTCGCCAGTTTTCCTGTTACTTGCCGGAGCCAGAAAGAGCCGATGAGATTAATGGAGAGTGTAATAAGTGGTCCCAACTCTCGAATCTTCTTTTTAAATGTTTGACCCCGCGAGACGCCCCATGATTTCTGCAAAAAGAGGGAAACCAAACTCTTTTCTTGATCGAAGAACCTCTGCCCACGAGAGAGAAAGACAAAGAGGTATTTACTTGGTGACCCTCTCTTGTTGCCCAGCCGTCCTTGAAAAACCGAGGAGAAATTGTTGACTCGTATGTGTTGTCGTCGGAACTGAGAAGGAGGACGAACTGGAACGATTGTGTATCATGGACGGTCCCTTTCACGTGGAACATGATTGTTATGATCGTAATGTTCCTGGTCTACAACATAATACTAATGATAACGAGAGCAGATCATCGGAACACTGATTACGGTATCTTTTCAAAGACATTTCGCAAAGATCAAACCACCTTGATACGTGAGATCGGAACGGTTTGGGTCAAGAATTACGAAGATTTTCAAGGTCTTTTCGACGACAACTTTATCATCCTCCAACATCTGTTTTTTCTTCGTCGCTGCTGATCATCCCATCTCAACCTATCACATCAGATCAACCATCAGAAGGAACAAATCCAAAATGAAATCCAGTTTCGCTTTGAAATCAGTATGAGTGTGCGCGTTTCTTTTTGGGTCAGTCACATGGTCGGGCGGAAACATGTGATTTTGGATGACCACGTGAGCGATGCTTCCGGAGCGAGAACAAATGAAGAGCAAAGGTAGGAGAAAAAAAGGGATTCTTAAATGACAACTTATTTGTAGATCGTGGAAAACACAACTTTCTTGTGCTACAATTGTCTCGGAAGTGCATGTTTCCTAAAAAAGTGTCACTAGAAATGAATGGTTTTCGATCGCTACCGTCCATGAACCCAATAATCCCAAAAATGAACGCAGCTGATCAGAATCAAAGAACAACCAGTCGATTAGAAACGAAAGTGATCATACTCTGAGTGGACGTCTCGCTCGTTCTCTGCTTGATCGTTCTCTGGGCGCCACAGAGTAGACGAGAGAGCAGCAGGCAACAAGGAGAAGAAGAAGCTCCGTGTGAATTGCATGCGTCTTTGTTTATTTCTCCTCGCAACTCGTTTCCAATTGCAACAAAAAAAGGGGGAAGAAGCATGGAGGGACGGGCGGGAGAGAGCAAGAGAAGGTGTGTTTGCTCATAAACACTTGTGTACAGTTGTGTATGTTCTCGTGTGCTCCGCGAGCTTTTCCCTGCTGGAGAACTTTGTTTTTCAATGCGAATTCAAGAAGTTAAAACGTGGGCGACTACTTTGAAAGCTGAAGTTTCAAAATTTGGGAGAAGAACCGTTTCAAGGGCATTATGGGAGCACTGGGATTTTGGATGAACGGGTTATCAAGACTTTTCTGTTCTTTTCTGTACAAAAAACTCTTTTGAAATGTCATAATTTTCAGTGTTTGAAACAAATTGTAAAATCGACGAGCCTGGGATGCACCGGTGGCAAGAACCTTTGTCGAAGGACCACTACGTACTTGGGGAGTTTGTTAGGGAAAATTGGGGCTTTTATTGGTTTTAGCTCAATTAGAGCATTTGGAAAAAGACGAGTCAAACGCCAGGGAACACCTTCCACAGATTTTTCCACCCGCAAAACCACTGGTTATAGTGGTTGCTTCCGCCCAAACCGAAACTCCTTAACCCAGGGTTCCTGTTAGCCAGAGCTGTCGTATATAAAAAAAAATCGACTCGCTTCTGCTCTTCTTTTCTTCTTCCGCGCCGCGCCCATTCGGGACGACGTTCCTTTTTGTTCGGCGAGAGAGAGAGAGACGCAGACGGCGAAATCTCCGCTTCTTTTTCCGCTCCCGGCGCTTTTTGCTACGTTGACGGTGCGGAAAACGACGGAATTTTTAGGCGAAGTGTGGAATTTGTCGACGGACAAGGTCTCCTGATGAGGCAAAGTAATTCTTTTTCGTTTCACAGGCAATTCGAACGACGAGACAACGCATTTTTCGGACCTCGGCGGAAACTCGATGAGAATCCTGTGCCAGGAGTGCTGCTCGGCGCTCGCTCGACTTCCACGATTTCTTTTCGGAGATTGTTCGCCGACGGACATTTTGCATTCCTGCAAGAGATTTGTGCAAAAAGTAGTAGTTTTTTAGTCGTGATTTTCAGAAAAACTGAAAGCCAGACACTTTTCTGGTGCTTCGTCTATCAGTCGATTTCCGACCAGTTTCTTTTCTCCCATAAATCCGATTGACTTTACCACTTTGTGTTTTCCCTGAAAAATTACGATTGACATTTTGTCGCTCTTTTATCAAGTTTTGTGCAGTTTTCCTGGCCAAACACAGAGACTAGGCCACTTTCTTAGCTTTTCCTTCCTGAAATAGAGTACTTTATAAGAGAAATACGCGCTGCCGTCGCTCTTCGTCCTCTTTTTCTCGCCGCCAACGAATCCGTCGACGGGAGCCCGTTCCACTCAATTTTTCAGGTCAATTTCGGCCGACGATTGTCTGGATGCACTCTGAAGATGACCAGAAAAGCCTTTTGCCCGACTAGTCGGGCTGTTTATCACGGAGATTTGAAAAATTTTGTGTTCGGGCGAAAAATCGATTTCCAGTTTTCAAATCAAACACTTTATTGTTCTTTCGAGTTTTACGTTGGGAGGGAGGTTCATTTGGGGTTTTTTGTCGCAAGTCTTCTTGACCCTCAGATCATCCGATTCTGCGCCACTACAACTACCAACTCCAGGTGATTACTGTATTTGCTTGAACAAACTGAATTTTTATACGACGAAGTCTAGTGTAGGCATCAGGAGAAAGTGGCGCCCGTCTTGGCCGTTGAAATGCGAAAGGGAATATTATTCGTCACTGATCTTCATCGTTTTCGCTCATTTCCCTCTCATCCAGCTAATAACCTCGTTAAAAAGGGTAAAACACTCCGTTCAACTGGCTTTTCCGCTTTTCAATAGCCGAGAACTTGCCCGAGAATACGGGAATGATCTTGTTTTTTGTATGGGCGACACTTTCTCCAGTTCCTTTCCTCGGCCTTTTAAAGTGAAGAGTTTTCATCGCAACTTCCCTTTATTCCGTCAACATCAACATCAGAAACGGTCAAAATTCGTCGCCCGCTCTATTTCTAAAGTTTCTCATCTATGTGTCATGCAATGGTTCGCAGTTTTAACTTATTTTCTGGTTTTTGTTGAATTCGAGTTGTGTGACTGCTGTATGGCAACACAGGGATCTTCGGATGTGGTTGTGACGACAACAGCTGGTTCCACGGATACCACCACAACTACGGAATCGACTACTACCACAACTACCACGGAGTCTACCACAACAACTACAACAGAAGCAACTACGACAACTACTGAACCTACTACAACAACCACTACAGAACCTACTACTACTACCACTACTACGACAGAACCGACGACGACGACGACTACGACAGAAGCTACGACTACTACTACAACAACCGAGCCGACCACAACTACAACTACAGAACCTACCACTACTACCACTACTACGGAGCCAACTACTACAACAACTACAACCACTACAACCACAACAACTGAACCAACGACTACGTCCACTACTACTACAACAACGACAACAACAACGATTGCAACAACGACTACAACTGCTGGTGAATTTTCTTTGTTTCTCCGACTAAAGCTTTCGTATTTCAGCTGGTTGCGACCCAACTGTTATCAGTTATGGAACTGGAGATTCGAGTAGCCCGCAGGTGAATGTCGATGTTACCTATTCAGAGTAAGCCTTCATTTTTCTTCTCCTCTTCCAATCTCAATGTTTTCAGCTACACCACAGACGGCACGACTTCCTCAGTAACAGTCACATGTTCCGCCATCAACGGCTACAACGTCTACATGCAATTCAACGTGAACCAGGGAGGTCCGTCGGAGAACAGCTCTTATCCGCAGAGCATTTCGATCACTTTGACGTGTTCCGGCACTTCAAACACCTGGTATTACGTGGTTACTATCAGCGGTGTCACCTACACTCGAGCCGTCACTTCGATCACTTGCCAGCAGGCTTCCAATTCGGGATAGAGTTGAATGAGTCTCAAATAATAATAATAATAAAGACTGTTTTCATCGAATAATAACTATTGTATCCGAACTGAGTCGGCGATTCCGAAAAACACGGCATAATAAAACTACTGACGAACTATTAGAACAATTCCCGAAAATCGAACGACGCCTCGTCATCCATCGCGTCCCAATTGACGTATTCCGCGAGGGTGCCGCCTCCGTTTGCAGACACTGTCACTTGCATACTTCCGTTCTCCGAGTCCATTTTGAGCATTTGCACGTCCTGTTCTAAATGTCTAACTGCCAAGTGTGTATTTTAACGCGAATTATATACTAAATGAAGTGTGACATGCAGATGTTTTTCTCCTTTTCCACGTACATTGGTCTAACATTTACTCGAACTTGTGACCGATTTCTTAGTTCCAGGACATATTTATCATCATCACCGCGATTGTCTGGTTGTCAGACTTAATCTAAAGAAGCTAAGGTTTACAGAAATCAGGCTTAATCTTAAATATGAATTCTGAGATCAGCATGCTCTTTTGTCAAGTTCTTTCTCTATTCAGCGAGATATGATTAATCTGGGGGTCCTAAGAAGCCGAGCATTGTCGGTGCCACAATGAAGGGCATGCGTCTGGCTCGTCACAAGGTTGGACACATTCGGATTAGGTGCTAGGTATTTAAATCCGGTCTACGGTACACTCGTCCTGACGAGGAAGCCTTCCGACCTCTCCTTTTCTTCCTCTCTCACTCACTTTTTATCCACTTTTTTGGGTGCTCATCATCTTCGTTAAATGCAAATACCTCTCCTTTGTTTACTTTTCAACTGAATCACGTATCCTTCCAAGACGGAGACACCCACTTTCTCTGCGGAAATGAACCGAGTCCTGCGCGGCCCATCATTATAAATATTCTCTTTCGGGACCTTTCGAAATGAGAAAAGGAAATGATGAGCTGGATTTCCGGGACGATGACCTCCGCCCACCTCTTTTCACTTCGATCCAATTGAAACTTCAGATCATCATCCAGATGCAGTCTTATTTTCTATTTTTCCCTTGCTAAACAGACTCATTCATATGCTTCGTCATGTTTTTTTCCAAGTTTTTGATAGAGCTTCGAAATTTAGAGCCTTATCAAAGATGTCTTTTATTCAGAAATGTTCGCTTACACACTCAAAACTGCTCTCGGCTTCGGCCTCGGTCTCATTTCCCTGTGCGGACTAATCGTTAATTTGGTCGTCGTGATCCCAGTGTACCGGTTGGCGTTTGTGCAGAACAAGAGCCCGATCTATGTGATCTCGTTCATAAACATCGTCACCGATATTGTGAATGTTCTGATGGCAACCTTCTATTTGGCACCCTCAATCATTTTCGAGGTGAGTTTGATCTCGATTCAGTGCTTCCTATTTAGATTTCTAGACCTACTTCTTCTCGAAGGAAAAGACGGGAGCGATTCCCAAACTGATGGGGTCCACGTTCATGTTCTGCTGGTACCTGGGGTCCATCACTCAGATTGTGATGGCTGTCAACCGTCTCGTGGTCATCTACTACCGTCGAAGTGACCTTTTCACCCGCAGAAACATCTGCATTCTGTTCGGCTTCCTCATTCCATTCAGTCTTCTCCTCATGTACATGGCCCAATACGGCTTCCCATGTTGCGCCTTCGTCTTCGATCACACCGTCCTCTCCTACTCCTATTACCAAATCGATGACCTCGACAACTATCCGAACATGTTCATCGATCTTCCGTTGAACTTTACCAGCTCTACGATCGCCACAATTTGTTATGCATTGGTAAGCGAGGATTTGGCGGTGCTTGGAATAGGGATAGAGAATCCATTGCTCAGATTGTTTGGACGGTTCGTCAGTCGACCAAAGGGATCGCCGCTTCTCTGAATACTCAACAATTGAGACGATCAAGGAGAAACCGGGAAGTGACGTAAGGCGGAGTACATAATGGCAAAACGATAATACTCTGAGAATTGTTCCAGATATGCAATGCAGTTCTGTTTCATCTCCATGTTCTACACGTTCTCCTGGATCACCTTCCGAACGTTTCCGGTGCTCATCGGCGACAAGGGTCTCGAGTGGTTCGTGTCCATTTCGACGGCAGTCACCATAAACAGCAGTGCCAACGCGCTTGTCTACCTAATTAGCAATCAAGAGGTACCCAATCCGCACCTCATAATTTCACATAATGCTCTTTTTAGGTCATTCGCAATCTGAAATCGAGTGGATTTAATGTGTTCAAGCGTGCTCAGACGTCGTCCGACGCCGCCATCAACTCGACCGACGGGCACAGTGTCATCCGTCACAGTCATAACAACACCACCACAAATACCTCTAAATACTAACTTGTTCAGGGCCTCGTCAGAAGATATGAATTGTAAATAGATATATATCTATATTATTTTGCTCTATCTGTATGAAATTAACATTTAAACGTTGATAAACATCGACGACGAACTGAATCCTCGAGAGCGCTAATCAACAGAAGAGGTCTCTGGTGGCTCAGTTCATGGATTGTATTTTCCGTTTCCTCCGTTTCCTAGTCGGCCTATTTCTCGCAAATTGTTATAAATACTTACTTTCTTTAATTTGAACATTTATATTTGCGTTTCAAACAAAGTGCACTAGAAACTGCTCACGTAACAAGTAGAACCCATCAATTACGCCTTTCCGCTGTTTGATGTCCCATTTATTTCAGAGGATGCTAGAAGTGACCGTGAAATTCTGTCTCGGCGTCCTCCTCGGCTCCATTTCCTTCTACGGCCTTCTCGCCAACATTCTCGTCGTTCCGCCCGTTTATTGGTTGACGTTCGTGTCGAAGAAGAGTCCAATCTACGTGATTTCTCTTGTGAATTTGTTCACCGATATGCTCAATTTGTTGCTCACTTTGTGCTATCTCGTGCCTATTATTCTGAACAGTGTGAGTAGTGTCACTAGAATAAAAGTACGTGTACTACTCGAAGGATTCAGGCGTTCGTCACTTCCAGCACCAACGATATGCAATTCTCGTTCTACATTGGAACGTGTTTCATGTTTTGCTGGTATGTCGGGAGTATGACTCAGATAATAATGGCCCTTAATCGGTACGGTTCTCACTTATCACAATAACTGAGTGATTTGCACTCGCAGAGTCGTGGTGATCTGCTCGGGATACAAAGATTTCTTCACTCATCGAGTACTTCTTCTCATCTTTTCATTCATTTTCCCTACCGCAATCGCCTTGACCTACCTCGCCCAGTTCGGTTTTTCGTGCTGTGCTCTGGTGTACGACAATCGGATACTGTCCATCCGTTATCATTCATTTGGCAATGCAACCATCAACTACTCGAACCTTTTCATCGATGTTCCCCTCAATTTTGGCACTTCAATGACTGCCTTCGTTTGCTACAGCATGGCAAGAGGAAAGGTAGAGGAAAGAGAAGAATTTAATCGTTTTCCAGATTATATTCGAAATCTGGAAAACGAAAAAAGCGATTGGAGTTGAGGTGGCGGCACAATCGAACCATGTAAAGAGGGAGATTTCGTAAGTGCCTTCATGAAATACATCAAATTTGTCTCTCGCAAACTTTTCTGTTCTCAGGTAATTTTCGGCAAGTTGTCGCAAGAATCGGCATCCGCGCCGTTTTCTGCGGCAAATTGCTGTAAGGGTGCCGATTCCGTGCTTGCTACGCGCTGAACCTTTGCTGCTTCCTTGCTTTAACCCTGCTCCCATTGCTGCTCCCGTGCCGCTCAAAAATCGTGCTTCCCTCCCATCCCACTTTTTCTTGTTGCACGCCCTATCCATGCTGATGCCATGTTGGATCCGTGCGTGACACATGCTCACCCCAGGCTATCGTAGCAACTTGCTGTTCACTTGCCCGCTCGCGCGCGCCCCACCCTTGCCGAAAATTACCTGAATTCACAGTGTCCCGACACAGTCGTGCCACGAAAAAGTTTTCAGCAGCAAAACGTGAAAAGTATTTTGGATTCAGATATGCAATTCAATTCTGTCTCATCACGATCTTCTACACAATCAGTTGGATCCTCTTCCGACTCTTTCCGATCATTCTCGGCAATCGAGGCATGGAGCTGTACTGTTTCGTAATGATCGCAGTTTCCCTCAACAACAGCGCCAACGCCGTCGTCTTTATCATTTTCAACAAGGAGGTTCGTGTTTCTTTTCCGTTTCATTTCGGTTCTACTCTGATCTGCTCATTCAGGTCCTCCGTTGCATTCTCCGCAGTCGTTTCTTCCTGTTCCTCCCGGCAGAACGGTCTTTTCGAGAACGAGAACGCCGCATTCGAAATTGTCTCATCGGCCAATTAATTGCCCGTCCTTTGTGAGGCAATACTAGACACTTTTGTAAGGTCCATTAGACGCGTCTCCCCGCGCCGTCTCCACCTCGCTTCCCATCACACAATCTAACTGGAATGCTTTCAGATCGGATCCTCAGCCACCGACCAGCCTCGTCCGATCAATCCATTCGCCACTACATCCGGCCGATCCAGCTCCGTCGCATCCGACTCCCATACAAGCCTCCTGAATGGTTTTCCTGATAATCTTTCTGCCTCGTTCGGACCCCTAATAAACCGTCAATCTAAATCGAGCTAGTTACACCTTATTCTTTTATTCATAATGAAACTGTTATATTGTCATAATCTCGCACAAGGATTACGGTGGAAAGAATGACGAGGTAGTACAGGGGAATTGTCCGTTTGAATCTGAACTCGAATTGAAATTGAAATGTTTGAAGTCTTCTGGATGACCGTAAATTCGGTAGTAGATCCTTCCGAAATCAAGGATCCCAATTTTTCGGTTCAAGTGTTTGGCCGTTAGAAAACCGGAAAAAAATGACAAAGAACCAGTGAGAATTTAAGAGATTGGGAGTGCCACAGGGCAACGTAACGTATCAAAAAGTTTATTGCACACGAATGGGAGGTAAAGTACAAAAGGTCGAAATTTCAAGTGTTTTGCATAATTTCCTTGGCGATTCTCTCGAAAACCGGCTCGAACAGCTTGATTCCAGCGGCAGTTATGTGGATTCCGTTGTCCACGTGGGCCAGCATCGTTTCCGGGTCGAAAGTGAGGTACTTGTCGTCCCTGAGAAAGGTGTGACTGAGATCGAATACCTGGAAAGGATTACTGTAGGGTTACGGTAGCGCATTATGGGCTTACATGGCACTTCTGGCACTCGATCATACTGAATCTCTTGCGTGCATACTTGATCTGCACTTCCGCCAACTTTTTATCCAGGTGCAGAGAATCGAGTTCATTTGGTTTTGTTGTGACAAAGTGCAAAAATCGACTGAGGAAACTGATATCGTAAAGTGGTTGCGGTCCCAAAATGTAAATCTTCTTCACAAATCTGAAAGTTATTGTTCGTCATTCTGGGTGTACAAGGGTGTAAAACCTCTCATAGAATGCAATGTTCTCATTCATTTCCTTCAAAAGATCGTCATCGTCAAGCATTGGTTCGTTTAATCTCACATGATATCTGAAACATTTCTTCGATGATAGTTAGGGCAAGTTTGGAATACCTGGAAACAAGTAACAAAACATCGGGTTTGTGAATTGCCACCTCTTTTTTCCCCACATCCAATGCAATTTGAGATTCAGAACTCACGGCATGAGTTCCGAGATTTGCTGCAAAAGTGAAACTTTATGTGCTGGATCCGGAAGTTGACTCACACAAAATCGAATAGGATCTGTAGTCCGAGTAGTTGTAGTTGAAGTGCGCCCGAATGTGCTCATTCAGATTGGCCACATAGCTGTTCCCAATTATCATTATGGACAAGTTCCCCGTGCCTTTCTGAAGCAGCAGCAACCGTAACCCTACTTTTCACTTTCAAATCAAGCTACCGGATAGTGGCAGAACGAAAGCACTTTGATATTGTCATAGTTGAGTTTATCCTCAATGCACACGTCTTTGACCGGCTCATGCTCCCAGATATTGGGAAGAAACGCCATGTTTCTGTCGACTATATCTTGCACTTCTCTCGTATAATGAGGCTTCCAGAAAGAGTGCTCTTTCACACTGTACTGAAGAAAAACGTTTCCGGCGAAGAGCGCAAGGATTAGAGGAACGAGTTCTCGGGTGCTCAGCTTCAGATACTGCTTTTCAAACAGATGATGGAAGAGGACCGAAGACACGAGGGTGGCGACTGAATTCGAGAGTGTCAAGGGTCTGTGTTTTAAAAAGAACTGACCAGTACAAAACAATCGATCTTTAACAGAGAATCCGGTGAATATGACTATAATGGGCCAGTGAACCAAGTAAACAGTGTACGAAATGTTCCCCAGATAAACGAGCGAATTGGATCGCAGAAACTGAATGGAAATATGTAGTCTTATAATAGTTTTGCAGATACCTTGCTTCCCTGTGATTCGTTTGCAATGACAAAAGCCGCGGCAAAAGTAGCAAGTGGCCGGAGGATCAGAACTTCGATTTCGTATGGAACAATGCAGGTTAGAATGACAGAAAGTGCAATTGTGACCATATCTTCTGTATGTGCCACTTTTTTGCTGTGTTTTTCTGGGAATTCGTCATAGGATTTGCCTATTTTGCTCCAATAAAAGGCCACGAATCCAGCGGAGAACTGCCAGAGACGGAGCAACATGAAGTTGAAGCCAAACGACGGATTGATGAGGGCAAAGCAGATGAAGCCGAGTACGGTAGTTATCGTCACGGCGATCAGCTTCAGAATATTATTGTTCAGGAATTGAAGAGCAAAGAAAATGAACGGGACGAGCACGTAGAATTGCATTTCGACTCCAAGGGACCACAAATGAATGAAGGCGTTCAGGGAGGAACCGTCGGCGAGGAACTGCAATTTAGGGGTAAAAGAACTGAAAATGAACGTCAGTGACCTCATTGAAGTAGTCTCCACTGTCTGCAATGAACAAATGATTGGTGACCAAAAATAGAGAAGAATGGGAGTATCGTTGATTTGGGAACCACCAAACTTCGGCAAGATAGAGGTGTACCAGAATCAGAGAGATGAATATGATGAGGTAATAGAGAGGCAGGATTCGTTTGGATCTTCGGGAGTAGAAATCCAGTATGTCCTGCACATTTTTTATCCTTTTCCGCGACAAGTTTGACGCCATCAAGTAGCCGGAAATGACGAAGAATCTGAACAAACGAGGATGGCGTTTAGAAGGAAGTATTATAGATAAAACTTGCATGTCAACTCCAAGAAATCCATTAACGAAAAAAGTTGGATAAAGGTGATAGATGAACACCAAGAAGATGGCAATTCCTCGAAGGCACTGAATATCTTCTCGCATCTTCCGGAGAATGAAGAGCTACATTTCCTCGGGCTTCTTATAAGCTGTCCCCACTTTTTTCTTGGCGGAAACAAGCAGAAACTCAATCCTATATATCATAAACATTTACAAATCGCGAGAGATTGATCTTGCGAACAATCCTGACCATCAAAAAACGAAGAAGCAGTCCATGAGGGCTATGAAGGAGATCACGAAGGGAGATTACGGTCGTTTCGGGAAGTGCAAGCGGAAGGCGTCGGGAGTCCACTGCTAACCGACTCTAGGAAACATTAGGGGAACCGTTCATTCTATGCGACAAAAAGATAATTCCAGAAAATCGGTTCATTTTCCTGGATCATCAATCATCAATCAAGTGAACATTGGGATCATCGGCATGCGCCAATCGATTGTTTATTTGTGCTGATATGTACATTTGCTAACTGTAAGCGAGAACAACATTGGAATGAACATGAGTCAACAGTCAAATATATCGGGCTCTGAGAAATCCACTTTGAAAATCTCGAAGATTCTGGCCAATTCCATCGTTTTCCTCCGTTCCATGTGTATCTTTTTGACCGAATTCACGACGCCCATGAGCCGAACCAACCGGCCCGCGTAGTTGGATCGCATTTCCTCTTTCAGGTAGTACGTATGGAGGTTATCCGCCAGTTCATCGCTCACTCTTTCGCTCATTTCAATCACTTTCCCTTGCATTTGCTTACCTGAACGACAAGTAGGATACTTTGATATTAGTAGTACGGTAGACGGACTCACCTGCAATCTGCCAGCTCATTTGCGAGAGCATGTAGGCCATTTCGATGGAGGACGGTCTCAGATCCAGCAATGGTTTCGCAACCTGGTCGAATAGTTTGTACATGGATTCTCGGAACATTCTATACATTGAAATTGTAATTATATTCAGAAGAAAGGGACTCACTGTTTAACTTCATTGCTCGGAACGTCTGTTATTTCAGAAAAGTCAATCTCGAAATCTATTGTGATCATTTGTTCGTTTGAGATTGCAAACTTCTAAATTAACTTCTTTTTTTGTTGGAAATATTGATGTTTCTATTTGACTCAAACTCACTCTCATGTTGACCGCAGAGTCTCCGAACATTTTGACCGACATTTCAAACCTCTCGAACCTTCTCCACATGTTCCAAACGGCTTTAAAGTATTGGTACTACAAAAAAGGTGAATTTAACATTAACAAAATCACCAGTTGCCACCATTTACCCTCTCATCAGGCTCGAGCTTTCGGAAATCTGGAAAGTGTTTCAGCCACCTCGCCACGACTATCATCTGCTTCTCGAATATGGCGAACATCTGTCGGACGGGCAACTTCTGCAGAACTTCCATCTCTGCCTCTGACTTCTGCTGATTTCTCCACTTTTTCAACGCGTGATTCGCAATCTCCAACGTGTTCATTTTCTTCGTCGCCACATCGACCAGCGGCGATTTCTCGTTGAGAATCTCGCGGATCTTGCTGGCAAGCGCCGAGATGTCCATGATAGTTCGGGGTTTTCCGAGCAACGAGGCGTCCGGGTAGGCGATAGACTTCAGTTCCTGTGCGGGTATTATCGGCGTGTCGTCCTTCCGTTTTCTGCTCGTGGGTATCGAGTCACGATTCCACTGCACGTCTGTTCGGAACACGTCTCCATACTCGTAATATCATAGTTCCACTCACTTTCTGGCGTCATTCCGAGTTCCACACACTTGTTGTATCGACAAAATCTGCATTGATATCTGTCCGAACTGCTCACAATGCACTTGTCCTGTCCTCCGCGACATTTGTACTTCTTCTGACGACCCATCACCACTGTCCTTCTGAATCCAATTCGGTTTTTCATTAAAATTCTCCCAAAACGAGCTCACCTGAAAAACGCAGCACACGCTCTGCACGAGAGCACTCCAAAATGCAGGCCGTGTGCCGAGAGCCCACAAACTTTGCACGTGGCATTCGACGAAGGCGATGTGGAGGATTCGGATGAAGACGTCGAAGGGGGTGAGGACATCCTGCAAAAGTTGCAAAGAACATGTTTTTGTCAATCAGATCATTAGTCGTCTGTTCGACGAACTTCCTTTATAGGTTTGATCTGTAGACGACGTCACAGGTCGGATCTGGCGATAAGATAACGAGTGGACAGAAGGCAGACACGGAAAATAGATAGCTCAGGGTTGTTTGACCTGATCGGAGACCTTATTTGGGTGGAACAGAAGTGAAATAGACAAATGTTTATTGAACGAGTTGGAAAACATTGAGTGAACGGTTTTTTTTGGTTTCGTTTCATAATACCCTACCTCGTTTCTCAATGATCTTTCTGACTTCCGGACTTTTTCATCTGAACCTTTAAATTATCTGAAATGAGCTTCTGATTGGACTATAGTCTATAAACAGAAAGTTGGGTTAGTATATCGAAGCAGCTGTGAAGTAATATAGACAAGGACACTTCTGGTGAACACTTGGACAAGGCTGAGACCCACAGACGTTTATTATGCACATATCACTAATACCTCATCCTAGGAATCGAAGATCTCGGGCTCTGAGAAGTCGACTTTGAACACTTCGAAGAGCCGTGCCAATTCCAACGTCTCCTTCCGCTCCAGGTACAACTTTTTGACCGAATTCACGACGCTCATGAGTCGGACCAGCCGATCGGCGTAGTTGGATCGAAGTTCCTCTTTCAGGTAGTACGTATGGAGGTTATCCGCCAGTTCATCGCTCACTCTTTCGCTCATTTCAATCACTTTCCCTTGCATTTGCTTACCTGAACGGGAAGTAGGATACAGTAATATTAGTAGTACGGTAGACGGACTCACCTGCAATCTGCCAGCTCATTTGCGAGAGCATGTAGGCCATTTCGATGGAGGACGGCTTCAGTTCTAACAGGGGTTTGGCCAGCTGATCGAATAACTTGAGGGTCGATTCTCGGAACATTCTAGAATGGAAAAACTCGTTCAGTTTGAAGTGAAACCCCCGGAACGTACTGTGTGATTTTATCGTTCGGACTGTCTGTTAGTTCCGAGTAATCAATCTCGAAATCGATTGTGGTGATCTGTTTATTCGACAGTGCAAATTTCTGAAAAAAGGTGGTCACTTAAACTTGAACTGAAGGCAAACTCACTTTTATCATGACTGCAGACTCTCCGAACAGTTTCAACGACATTTCAAACCTTTCGAACCTTCTCCACGTGTTCCAAACTGTTTTGAAGTATTGATACTACAAAAGAGAACAAGTGATTAGAAAGTAACGTTGAGATGAGTTTACCCTCTCATCAGAATCTAGCATTCTGAAGTCTGGAGACTGGATCAACCACTTGGCCACGCCTATCATCTGCTTCTCCATCAGCACAAACATCTGCCGCACCGGCATTCTTTTCAGCACCTCCATTTCGCTCTCCGATTCTGCAGCTTCCTCCAGTTCTTCAGCGCGTGATTCGCAATCTCCAACGTGTTCATTTTTCCTTGTCGCCGCATCGATCACCGGCGATTTCTCGTTGAGAATCTCTCTGGCTTTACTCGCCAACGCCGCCATATCCACCAACGTTCGCCGGTTTCCAAGTGAAGAAGTTCTCGGATTCACTACCGAACCGTCGTCTCGCTTTGCGGTTGTGGTGGTTATTGAGTCTCGATTGAATTGTACATCTTAAGAGGAATCATGAATATTATCGTGTTCCTCCAACTCACTCTCCGGCGTCATTCCGAATTTGACACACTTGTTATAGCGACAAAGTCTGCACTGATACCGGTCCGTGCTGCTCACAATGCACTTCAATTGCCTCGTTTTTCCACGGCATTTGTACTTCTTCTGACGACCCATCACTATTGTTCTTCTGAACTTTTAGCATTTAACCTTCTAGATCTGTGTGTGCTCACCTGAAAAACGCGGCACAAGCTCTGCAAGCAAGGACTCCAAAGTGGTAGCCGCGGGCTGTGAGCCCACAGATCTTACACGTCACACCACTAGGAGGGGAGGATTGTGACAGAGAATCGGACGAACACGGTGATTCCATCGGAAACTAACATGGGCTCTTTTCACAGAAATTCAGTTTCCAGGTTTCAAAGATATGTAACACTGAGGATTGGTCAACCTGATCGGAAGAAGATATGAGCACAGAGATTCAAAAACTGTTCATTATCTTTTGTAAATGTTCGGAATACTTTTGATGCATATATTATCGAAGAAAGTAAAGCTAGCAGATGAAGAGATCTTTATCGGAGAGTCTGATTTTGAAGACGTCGAACAGCTCGCAAAGTTTCATCATTTCTTCGCGTTCCCGCTCGATCTCCTTCACGTTGTTCACGATTTTCATGAGTTTCTGGAGGCGCCATGCGTAGTTTTGGATGTTGCTCTGCACGTAATGCTCGTGCAGATTCTCGGATATCTCGTTGAGGAACGCTTCTCCAACGTCCGCCGAGTACTTGTCCAGTTCGGTTTCTGCAAAAACATTAGGATCGATGATATTGAGAAGAGTGAGTATTCGAACCTAAGCTGTTCCAAACCAATTGACAGAGCATGTAGGTCATTTCGATGGTGGACGGGGAAAGTTCGGCCAGCGGCTTGGCCACTTCCCGCTGCATTCGCCTCAATTGCTTACCGAACAGTCTGGAAAAGGTTTGGATGGAAACTCATATTAGGACTTTTTCGACAGACTGATTCATTTCCTCGTTCGGTCTGTCCGTGATGTTCGAGTAGTCAATCTGCACTTTATTCAGGTTTGCTGCGTTGTAATTCGAGCACACTATCACCTAAAAAATGCTTTCATTTTCAAGTCATCTGAATCTCAAACTTACATTTTCTTTGTACACTTTATGACCGAATGTGTCCACTGATATCAACCATTTCTCAAACTTGCGCCATCTCATCCAAATCTTTTTGAATATTGCCATCTGAAACGACCTTTTTCAATGAAAAGGGAGTCGAAACGAAGAGAAAACAGACCTTCTCCTCGAGCGGCAGACATCGGAAATGTTCAGAGTGCAACAGCCAGTTGGCTATTCTCACCAAATCGTTCTCCCATTTTTTTGTTCGGAATCTCCACCACTATCACTTTTTCAAACTTCAAGTCTCCAAACTTTCGTTCCGAACGATAGTTCCACAGTGCAAAGCGCATCCGTTCCAGAGTATTCAGTTTGAAATAATCGGCGTTTATCAGTGGCGGCATCGACTAAAAATGGAGCGATTTTTCAGCCGAAACCGAAAAGTTAAGAAATTGAAGAGACAGACTCACACTGGCCAGAATCGTCTTCAGTTTGTTGAGGGTCGGTGTGACATCGATCAGAATTTTTGGATTCTTCAGGCTCTGGTACAGATGTGAATTCTGCACTGGCTCCAGAGCCAAACTGAACGATCCATCAGGCGAAATATCGTCAAACGATTCGGAATTTCGATCCAATTGCACATCTGGAAGGACAGTCACAAACTCCGGTACTTGTGATCAGAGAAATGACGCAAAGCCTATGTGCAAATGCATTTCGCAACTCACTTTCCGGTGTCATTCCCAATTCCTTGCACTTTTTCAGCCGACACGCTCTGCACTGATATCTGAAAACGCAACGTGTCAGCCGATTCTCGTCGCTTCGAAGGACAGGACCTCACCTGTCATTGCCCGAAACGTCGCACTTTCCGACGTTCCGCTGCCGACACTTGTACTCTTTCTTCTGGACCCATGACCGTCTGGAAAGGTACTTGAAGGTCTCTGTGACAAGATATTGTATGATTACCGAAAGAAGGCGGCACAAGCTCTGCAGGAGAGGACTCCGAAGTGGTTGCCACGTGAGGGCATTCCACAAACGAGACATTTGGCGGACGGCGGAGACGGAGGGTCCGAAGTGGACGGCGAGGAAACCGAAGAGGAGGGAGTCAGCGAGAAGTGGGTGTCGGTCGGCATCTTCAGGAACACGGGCAAGTTGAACTGTGTGCTGGAAGAGTTCGATTGGGAGACAATCAAGTGGTAGCATGCGAAGATATCAAAAAGTTGTCAACGTTCATTTTGTGCGTTCATTTTTCAGTTTGTCACTTTGCATATCTCTACGGGCAACTGAGATGAGTGGATTGGGTAGAAGTACCGTTTTTTATACGGTTGTGAAAGTGAATTTCGAAGGGAAAAAGAGGGAAAACGCGGGAAATTTCAAGCCTCCACTATTATTTTCCCATTTTGTTTCGGTTTCGGGTGACCAGAAAACGCAAAGATGCGCAGAGAGTGAAAGAGAACAGAATATTGTACTCGTTGCTGTAAGAAGGGCATAGGAAAGAAGACGGAAATGATGGAAAATGTGTTGTTGGAATGGGGCAAAAGCCGAGAATTCCGAAGTAATCCGATAGTCTTGGCTTTCCTGCTCAACACCTTCAAACCAAGAAGAAAGTGTACGAAAGCAGCCATGGTAACACGCAGAAAAAGAAAATGATGACAAATGCTGCCGTTTGTCTGTTTCTCTCTGCTCTCCTCCTCTTTTTTCGGTCTCTTATCAGTTACGCAGCCATTCACAGGGCACCGGAATATTTGAAAGTGTTATCAAATCAGAAGAGAGACCGTAATGTGTGGCGAAATGTTGCGAAAGTTGCATTTCTACCTGAAGAGATGATGGAAAATGTGAACTCGACGCTTCGGCAAACAATAGAGTGCCGAGAGCGGTCTCCGGGAGGAAGAGAAATGAATGTTTGAGGTGAAAAGAGAGGCGGAAACGCAGGCGTCGAAAGGGAAACCACCTTGTTTCGATCGAGGAAAAGGTGATCTTCAACAGACCACACACAGAGAATGAACAGTCATCATTTCGTATCTGACTACTCTGTGACTCCACGGAACTCTATGTCCCCAGCACCATACTTGAACATACAACATTCGGAGGAATCAAAATACAAAGCACACATGTATGCTCCCTGGCAGAATCTTCTCTCCATGGTAACCAAATCTCGGCTTCGCCTGTTCAGGGCCAAGTGGGGAAGCAAGAGGATAGCAAACGAGGTGGGAATTCAGGAAAAGTAAAGATTCTGAAAGATTCATCACATTCATAACAAGTTTCACACGCAGTAATCTGCAATCGTCATCGGCCAAATGGTGAATCTGGAGAAGCGGAAGAAGAACGACGAAGAGAAGAAGAAGAAGACGGGCGCCACGTCCATCTGGTCCTCTGTTCGCTCTGTTCTGTCCATCTTTCTCTCTGTCATCATTTTTCTCGTCTTCCACATAACTTATTCATTTGTGATTGAACACTAAATCAGCGGAGAAGCGGAGACTAGAAACAAGAAAAAGGGGAGGAGACGAAGAAGAAAAAGGAGACGTGTCAGGTATCACAAGTCGAATGGAACGAACAAACAAAATGACTGTCGGAAAGCTCGGAAGCGACAATATGGAAAACGTGAAACTTTTGTGCCGCATCATCAGACAACCACAGCGAGTTTCCACTCTCGCTCACCACCGCCCGCAGTGTTGTCTACCCCCTTTGCGACGACTCTCTCTTATGCAGCCGTGGCCTTACGGCTTGCAGCGTCGGCCAGCAATCGGCGGGTCGGGGTTCGATTCCCGTGCGCGATGAAATCTTTACCATCTTTCGGGGCATAATCATCTTGATGATAACATACCCATACGCTGAGCGCCGCTTTTATTTTCATTTTTTCACCTAAGACGCAGAGATGAAAAAAGGACGCAAAGTTCAGTGACCACCTCACCGACAAAACTCGGCGCACACAAATCACGGACCACGCGTGTGGAACAGATTCGCAACTAAAGAGATTTTCTGCAAGAAAAAAGGGAAAACGAATTGAGTTGACAAAAGTTTATTGGGTTCCGAGTTTCGATTTCAGATCCACAAGCTTTGCAATTCCGAGAAGTGAATCTGAGCCGCCGTCTCTCGATTGTTCCTCGCCAAATACGGATTATGATTGGGATCTATGCGGAACCGACTGATTGGCAGATACTCCAGAAACTTCTTCCTCCAATCGTCCACCGCAAACACCAAACCAATCACGATAAAGAGGGGGTTCCTGGAAACATGGATAAACTCAAAACTAATGAAGAGTCAACATCATGAATGGTAAGAAAATCTGGTTCTGGGAAATGACCTCGCCTACATTCAGTCCTCTCGAATTCTTAATGAACTCACAGAAATAACAAAATTTCGGTGGCTTGACAAAAGAATTCAGCTCTCGGCACTCCAGCAGTTGCCAGAACAATAACCAGAAGGAAGAGCGCATCGAACCCTCCGGCAACAATTGCCAAACGAGAAGCCACCTGAAAGAAGAAGAAGAAGAAGTGATTCCAATCGATCGAAGCTCACATCCATAGAGCGCACGTTCTCCTCGGTTTGAAACTTGGCCGCTAATGAATGTTTCGTGATATTGGTCGCCAGACGCATTCTGTTTCGTGCGCAGGCGTTGTAGTAGCGGAGAAAGAAAATGTACTGAAACGAGCATGTATTGTCTTTGTTTTTTGGACGATTGCAGTTACCGGAATGCACACCAAAAAGCCAATGGCATTGAAACAGAGTATAAAATTCAGTGGGACAATGTGAAAAGAGAAGAAGAGACACATAACGATGGCTGATGTTTGGTGGAGGATTTTTAGAAAAATGGAAAGCCATCTTCTTGGTTTGAACTCGTAGTCACTGAAAAGGAAGTTGTCGGTTGCAAGGTGTTTTAATGGGTTCATCTCGATCAATCATTTGTCAGTGAAGGGGTTTTGAGAAGATTCCAAAATTCCAGTTACTCACTGAACCTAATGATCCGAAGGAATAAACGTACCTTGCTAGAAAAGTGGCAATTGATCTTTCGATTACAAATAATGAGATTCCGCCGGTCATGATCCCAAAATAATGCCAAACTAAAATGGAGCCGAAGAGCAGCGGGACTGACTTCCAAGATAACTCTAGCTGCAGATAGGATTCATTTTCGAAGCCAAAGTAAGTTTTTGAAGGATCTAAGAAATCAAACAACGTCTTTAAAAGAAAGCAAATTCTATGTTACCCCCGAGACTGATGATTCCATATTTATACGGAAATATGAAGATGACTCCTAGTAGGCACTCAAACCAACTCGAACAAATGGACAATATAATCCACGTGGCGCTTGCGTGTAGCCTTCTAACCGAGTAAACGACGATAATTCCGTGAATTGTGAGCCACACACTCAGAAGGACCAGGATGGCAGTGACGAAGAAGAAGAGCAAACTGATCCAATTCAAGTAGGAACGGTCGTTGAGCGCATATGAGGGAACCCAAAAGTCTATGGAGTTTCCGAAAAGCAGGTTCATGGGGAAGAGAACAAGTTCTTGCCGGAATCGGGGCTGTTCGGCGAGTAATTCGACTTCGACGGCACGTGGCGCAGAAAGAATGAATGGGCCATCTGAAATGAAAAACACTCGTATTTTTGTCGTGAATACACAATAATACGCCTGATTTTGAGAAAAACGAACGAGAAAAGCAAATGAGAACAGGTGACAATGACCGAGATTTGTGATGTTGGGGATTACTGCGAAACTGTACGCTTTCCAATTGAACCACCCTTTTCAGTTGCAGAAGACTCTCTCCTGAAACGTTTCAAAGCTTTGAAGCCGGTGAGATCTCCGCTCCGTTCTTCATTCTGATACTTCCGTTGACCTGCCTGTTCACCCCAGTTCTATGCAATACTTACAGTCAGACAACCAACAATCTTGTGATGACGTCATTTGCAATGCACGGGTTACTGTCCACTATTATCGTGTTGCACATTCACAAACCATGTCGGAACACGTGCATTCAACTCTTCAAACATCATTCGAAAGGCATCCGTCACTGTCAGAGAGGACGAATCGACAATGACGTCAAGCGTCTGCCACGTGGATTTCCGGTCGAATGCTCAGTTTCAAACTTGTTAAGCTACCAAATGAATGTTCAAATATCTGGAAAATCTTTCATGACTAATTGTAAGCGGCTAAACCTTACCTGAACTCTGAAGATTGAAGATTTCATTTAATTTCATTTGTTCGCCAGGGATCAAAGAATAGTCATGATTAGGTTCCGTTTTCTTTCTCGAGCCATGATGTCTGCAAACTCCTTCTTTCGACATATATGCCCTGCGTCGCAGACTTTGTTATCGGTGTCATCCTCCGTCGGTCCCTCTTGCACCCAAATGGACACCACTCCGCACTGGTGACCCATTCTACCTTTCTGTTCCATGCAAGTTCCGTAACCTCGTTTGCTGAAGATTATTCCCACATAATCTTCGTTTCAGATTATCTCAATTCTTCTTCTTCTTTTTCTTCTTCTTCTTCTTTCTTCTTCTGATTCGTCTCCAATAACAAGTCCATTTTCTTCCGATTCGAGACAAAACTCCATTTTCTTATTATTCGCCCCTTCGCACATTCTTCAGGGAGCCCCCGTCAGAAGAGACACACCAATCTACGGGCTATTGATGATGATTTCCGTTGTGGATTGCCAGAACTCGTCTCGTTTCCCTCCACTTGTTTTTATATACTTTCTCAGAATTCCCCCTTCGATTTTATTTTCCCACTGTCTCAAAATTTTGAATTGTATAGAGAGATGCTCGGGTACTTCAACAGAACACATTCAAAGTTGGATGGCACGTGGCGCGCTTTCGAATTCTTTTTCTGCCTGGAAATTGCGTTCATTGTGTTCAGGTAGAAAGAACCGTCCGTCCGATTATACATACATCAAATGAAACCTTTTTTCAGTATGGGAACAATATGCTTCTGGTTTTCCGTCATTTTGACTGCCAAGAATATGCATCGGAATGTGCGGATAATCAACGCGTTTTATTATGGACAATACTTGGTGCAACTCAGTTTCTGGGCCATTCAACCCGTTTTCATACTCTACGGAGCTGTTGATGGTATGCTTATGAGTTCAATAAGATTAATCTTGTTCGTGTCTGCTCGAAAATCCTATCATCCATCTGTTCAATGACCACAAATTTTGTTCAAAAAAGTGAATTGAAGGCAGAAAAGCTAATATATACGAAAGCTAATAAAACTCACGTCACTTCAGATCGTAACAAATTCTCAAATGAACTCTTCACGTTGTGCAGCTATGTCAGAATTTGTGGAATGTTCTATGGTAACAGCTAATATCAAAAGTGGTTGAGTTGACCTAAATTACAGCTTTCTGTGCACTTCCGGCAATGGTCATCGAACGGAGTTTCGCCACTTTTCTCGTGGAGGATTACGAGCGGAAGCCGAACGCTTGCATCGGAAACACGACGGTTCTGATTCAATGGACGATCGCCATTGGAGTGGGAATCCATTTCAACAAAGGTATCACTCATGGTTTTCATGTTTCGAGTCTGATTTCATGAGAATTCGTCAATATAACGACAAAGTGATTCAGTTAATCCCTTTGATTCCATTCGAATGTTCATTTTGAATCAAAGAGTCAATGTGTACCGAAAACCCCCTCAAAGTGAACTTTTCAGCAAAAAGTACATTGGAGCACACGGTTGGAGCAATAGTCGCGAATTTTTTGGCGGTTTTGGTGAGTCAAGTGACAGAAACCTCATTCGCAACACAAACAATATTGTTCAGCTGAACAATTTCAATGAGCGGGTGAACTCAAAGTACTATTACGCACTGGACAGGGTCACTTACTCACTTTCGGAGAGATTTCAGATAACCGAGAACATTCGGGTGGCAAAGGTGAGTGAGTCGTCATGAACGAACTGAATATCTCAAGGTTTGTTCAGATGTTCAACATCATAGTATGGTCAATCGGCTTCTTCAATATAATTGTGAACGCCTGTTTGATAATGGACAACTACGACGTTCCGATTACAGTGAGAAACATTGCATCTGTCTCTTGCGACTTTTCCATTTTGAGGTAACAGACTTCGATCAAACTGTTCCATCCCAAATGTTTCAGCTACGGACTCATAGTTCCAGTGATTCATTATCAACAGACTGAATCTTGGAAAAAGCGAGTTTCAGTGATATTGGTACGACAAGATTCATTTTGCGATAACTTTAATGCTTGCAGAAAAGTTGCTTCCAAACAAGGAAAGTGGGTCCGTTGAAAGATACATTTGGGCAAGAGATGACGTCACAAACGGCCGGACAGGAGACCACTCGGTACTTTGAGATGCTTTCGAATCAGTGGAAGTGAAGGCGATGCGAGAGAACTATGAAGAAGAGGATTGCGTTGAGAAAGAAACTATTGAGCAAGAGGCCACAGGAAGACGTGCTCTTTTCGATCACATTCATTCGGATCGTTTCTGAAACTTTGTTCTTTTCGATAACTATTGTTCCCTTACCGTATCTGAGGCTATTGATGGCCGGCACCCAGTCCTCTGTCAAATTCAATAAATCACTGATAACGAAACAAATCTCCTGAAAAACATAACAGTTCTTTCAGACGGGGAAATGATACGTTGAAAAGGTAGGGGTTGTAATTGATATTGATGGCTGGCTCGTCTTCTGTGCATTACGTACAGGTACATTTTGATCAGAAACTCTGGCTCTATCTGAATGGAAAAAGGCGAGCGGGCAACGTATTGATTGGTGTTCAAACAGTTTTGAAAGAAATATGACTAGTGAGCATTTTGAAGGCCATAGCGGGAATGTTTTCTAGGTGAAATGCTCTTGAGAATGTGTGCAGTTCTCATCTGAAATGAAAGTTGAGTGGTTCTGAGATTCTGCGCTTCTGGCACCACAGTATGACTCCAAAAATGGGTCGCTAGTGTTCTGACTTTCAGAGAGGGAGAATAGCAGAAAAATAGAGGAAAGCGCCCTCATCTGATCAAAAAGCAACGAAAAATGAGTGAGACTGGTGACAAACCACAATTATTTGGCTTTTGAGTTCGGACACACCCCAGTACTCACTCAGACTCTTTCAAACATCAAACCACACACGCACGTCAACCTTTCTTCAGAAATGAAGTTTATCATAAATCACAAGCTATATCGTAAGCTAGGAAGGGCAACAATTAGAAGAAACAATGATGTGATAGGTTGAACCCGAATGTACGTGGCACTGGAAGATCGGTCTCGATTCATGGCGTCCATTTGAATCTTTTCTGAATGGGTCGACGATTAACTAGATTTGAAGAGCTTGAGTACCGCATCTTTCTCCGTCAATAGTTGGAACCCAATTCTCCGTGGAGTTTAACACATTTCGGATTCCGAAGCAAATACTCGGATCCATCAGCAGTTGTTTATTGTTGGAATTGAATTGGATCGAGTAAGGAATGTCGGAACGAACTCTCTGTAAACGGCTTCTGCTCAGAGACCTTCAAAAATTGACTGTGACTCACTTTTAAACTCGGAAACGAAACGTTCACCAACTGCGCATTATCATTGACTTTTATTGCTGCTTCGCCGGCTTCCAACGCGGCCACGTATTCCAAATCATCGAGAAAGTCGATGCTCGTCAAATTGGTCCCATCGATAGTGAGACTTCCGAAAATGCTCCTCACCGTCTCCAACTTTCCCACGTGCTCCTCGTCACCACTCTCCACAATCACATCGCCGCGCACATGAACACACCCGGATTCCATCTCGGAAAGCGTGGAATTCTCGAATCCGCACACTTTCTCAGTGGCATTCAGGTCCGCGCTGATTTCGCAATACTTTCCAGTGATAAAGTTCAACGAAGTTTCTTTGATTGACAGAAATTCGTCATTTCCTCGATGGTAATACAGAAATCGGGCGAGAGAGTGTTGATGTCAATGTCTACGCGGGTGTAGTTCGGGGACGGCGACGCCAATTTCTGAACGTTGGGTTTGGGATGTTGAATAGAATCGATCGGTTCGGTTACTTTCAAGTTCGGCACATTCAATCGCGTCATGGCTTTATTCGAAGCCAAATATACTCGACACGAAATGGAAGTCAAGTTAGCGAGCCCAAGCTCGGTCATCTTCGAGTTTAGAATCCACATAAAGACGCTGTCATCTGAACACGTCATCTAAAGTGGATTCGCTAAAGGTTTGCATGACTCACCACACTCGACACTCTCCAATCCCTCCAAAAACCTTCCGCTCGTGTATTTGGTGCGAGTCACAACTAAGCTGCCCACAAGAATTTTCATGTTTTTGAAGGCGGAAGTGAGCTGAGCCTCGGTCAGATCTGTCTCGTGGCCAATGTAGAGGTCGGCACACACCGTGCTGCACTTCCTCGGCCATTGCTTCAGAGTTTCGGACGAGAGAATGCTCCGGTCGAATGTGCAGACGTCATCTGAACAGAGTGAGAGAGAGAGAGAGAGTGATACACTTCCTTTTTGTGCATTCTTACCACAAAGTGAATTAAGGAGACTGGCAGTTTCATTTTGAGCTAAAGATGAGCCGAATAACAGAAATATCAGCGCTAACATTCGACGCCTTCCTCTTCTTCTTCTTCTTCTTTTCCGCTTCAAAAAGATCGAAATGCCAATCAGAAAGTTGAGTTGAAGCGAGAACAGAATGAGTAAGGCAGGTGTGAGAATATAATTATGTTTGTCATTTCGCATTCGCACGCCTGCGCACACAGCTGAAAGCACCCGAACCAGACTCTTTTTGAGGTGAAACTACGGACGGAGTGATGCGTGCGTTGCGGGTACCCATAGAAACGAATCAAACGAATTCATCAGTGACCGAAAATAACTGAACATGAGGCTTGGAAACGGATTCAAATGAAATGACAGAGTTCCAGTGTCCTTTTCGAAACTTTGGTTCCGAGATGTCGCGGTTTTGCATTGTAATGTTTCAGAACTGCCGAGAGTCAGTGAATTGAATAAACAAATTTGTTTAAATATAAAAAACTGGAGAAGTGTGCTTCGAGATATCAGAATCTTGTGCCAATAACAAAGAAAACAAGAATGAGCTGAACTAGCACATCTCCACATCTCCCTTCACAATGACTGTCTACGGTGCCTTGTCTATCGATAACCTCTGAAAAGATAGCCATAATATCATGTGAACACCTTCATCCTCTCTCTCTCTCTCTCTCACCGCATTCTTGTCCATCAAAGAGCACGTTAGTAGTGATCAGACTGTCCATCAACGCGAGGCAAGCCGAACTATTCAAAAGTCCCGCTCCGTTGTCTTGAAATGAGATTTGGTACTTGCTCAAAGAGTACACTCTCTGAAGTATTATCATTCTTGACTTAAACCAGATCAATTTACCCTAAGACTGGGTAGGCTGGAATTCTGAAGTTGTTTGTTGAAAGTAACTTGGAAGCCAGTGGAAGTATCTGAAATGATTCAAATGAAGATGCAAACGGGATAGCTGGAACATTCCCAAACCATTTAGAGATGCAATATATTGAAGGTTTGCGAGGAAACTGAGATTTGTGAGCGTTGTATTCTGAATTGACAGTGTTCCGTAGATGCTCTTCACCGTTTTCAGCTTCTCTACATATCCTTCGTCGCCCGAGTTCACGGCCACTTTGCCCAGGATTCCGACGCAGTTGCTCTCCAGAATGCTCATCCCTCCGAAGTCACAAACGCCTTCGATAGTCTCATTCTGACAGTACTTTGCTTCGATCGTTTGAAACTGTACGTTGTTCCTCATGAACAGGTCCATTTCATCTGTGGTGAAACAGAAATCCGGGTGCACCTGCTGGACATTCAGCAGAAACGTTCCTTTGCTCGAGGTTAGAGTCTCAAATTGAGATGTTATTCCAATCGAAATGAAATTAACGAAACGAACCGTCAACGAACTCATTTCCATCCTTGTTAAATTGTAGTTCTCATGCAAATCCATGTCATACTTCCAGTATCTATTCGACTGAATCGATTTCAAACTCTTCATAAACGACAGGTTCGGAGCGTCGGTGTTCCACAACTCGAAAGATCCACTGATGTTCTGCACGTTGTTCAGCGGCGACATATCAGTTCCAGACCATAAAAAGATGTCTGTGATGGTTGTGCCACCTAAAAGTGACGTGCAATTCTTGAAGTTCTTCACGGTGTCCAAGTCGATTCTACCACTAACACATCCTGAAAATAAACCAATTGTGACGGAGTTTCTAAATTTCCAACCTTCACAATTTTTCATGTTAGCGTACACGTACATGTTCGCGGTCGTTCCATGATCTGCACAAAACTGGCTCGCATCCAGAACAGTGTTGTTGTAGACGTAAAAGTCACAAGTGACATTGGTCAGGTTTCCAAACACGAGTTCCTCTAGGATTTTGTTCAAATTTATGTAAATACCCACTGAAAGTAGTGCGATTTTGAGAGAAATTAAGAACGGAGAGCTCACAAGGATCACAATGAATCTGTTCGAGACTGGACAGAAACGAAGTGCTTTTGTATTCGGTGTTCGTGATCCAGAGAGCTCCTTTCAGAACCTTCAAGTTTTTGAAGTAGGGAGTCAGATCGAAAATGGAGAGATCTGCAGATAAAGTCAAAGAAATGACACCGCAGACAGTGCTGCAATTGACGGGCCAATGAGCGATGGACGTCGAGTTGATCTCCGTTTCGTTGAACCAACATTCAGGATCTGAAAACATCTGACAATCGTTCCTGAGCGCCTGAAAGTTCACATACCACACGTGTAGCTCGCCGCAATTTGTTCCTGTGGAGTCAGCCAATCTGAACTCGAAACAGTTGGAGAAGCATAAAAGAGTAGAAGAAGAAGAAGCATAATCAATATTGCCGTGAATGAAGGAAATTGGAAGGAGAGCCACGGCCAAGGCGGTCATTATTTCGGCATTTAGAGCACCGAGCATTTTGAGTGTAAATGGCAGTCAAATATTTCGAAATGGAGTGTAGGGGCAAGTCGAGAGTACTGTAGACACACACTATGTGACCTTTGAATGTTCGAGATCATTAAAACTAAAGAAGTGAAAATCGATAGGCAGATATTTGAACGTACCGAAAACAGCTAAACAAACTTCAGACTACAGGGTAACAACTTCCAGCAAAGACACGAAAGAAGTTTGAAGACATTTGAGTGATTAAGAAATCTGTCGGATGTTCTGAATTTGAGTATGCAATTGTGTTGGACAGTAATGAGCTCAAAATACAACCTGCAGGCATACAGCAAAGTAGAGATCATGCTCATTTTTTGTCCGGAAACATGGAGCAACACCTGTTCAAACGATCCGACAGACAGTGCATCTCTCGTCGTCGTCCAAACTTTTTTGCCTTCTTCTGTATCTCCTCTCAACGATACATCAGCTCCCACCCGAACATCAACATCAAATTCTCGAATCCGTATAAAATGAGCCGCGATGCACAGAATCCTCACTTTTCGGCGCCTCGTCTTGGTCAAGCGTAGCCCCCGCCCCCACAGCACAAATGTCTCTTCTTTTCGTCGTCCTCTCCGTTCTCTCTTTGGCTTCTGGAGCCAGCGCCGCCATTACCGGTGACTACAACTGCACCTCCTACAACGGAACATCCGTAAGCGCCTCCGAGAATCCGAAAATGATAGCCGTCTCTTTCAGTTCGTCTACACTCCAGCCGCCGTCGCCTGCTCCAACGTCATCTCGGACGCTTCCTGCCAGGTTCTCTACGTCGCCCCGGACACCACCGCGGGATACCCAGCCGCTGCAAATGACGCCCAGAGACCGTTGGCTTGCTACACCACCGCCACCGCCACTCCGGCTTCGATCGTCGCCGACATGGTCACCGCTGCCTTGGCCACATGCCCGAAAACGTGTGGATTGTGCTGTCAGACCAGTGCCTACTCCTGCTCCAACGTCGCTTGTAAGTGTTCCTTGTGATTTCCTATTCATATCGAATGTTTGAGACCCACGTCTGACCTGCTCCACGATCACCTCCGCCCAGTGCCTATCCTCCGTCTGGCGCACCATCATCGCCCAGGATTGCCCCGCCTCTTGCGGATTCTGTAACGACGGCGGATGCGTTGACGCCGTCGTCGATTGCGCCAACGACGTCTCGATCTGCACGACCGTCGGCATGCAAGACTTTGTGAACACGTACTGCCAGAAGACGTGCTCTCGCTGCGCCTCCTCCACCACCACCGCCTCGTCCTCCTCCTCCACGTGCACTTCCTACAACGCCGACTCGAGCACCGCCTGCACCTCGTGGGCCAAGAACGGCTTCTGCACCAACACATTCTACACGACCGCTCAACGCAAGTCTTACTGCGCCACCACCTGCAAGCTCTGCTAGAAGAGAACCTACTTTCAAACATTTCGTGCTGCTAGATGACCTATTTCTGACTAGATTAGAAACACACACACACAGAGACGGGTCACGACGATGACATTTGGAAGTCGTCTATTTATTGTGATCGTGCCCGCCTGACCAGTTGGCTATTATCTGTTTTCAATAAACGACTGCTTTCCATTTCCGTCTCAATTGTATGAAGCTCCGAGACAATGAAAAACAATTCACTTCGAGTGCACAATAGTATGTACTAACTATGGAAACGGGTTCCCCTTCTTTTGAAAAAACGAGTTTGCCTATCAATCTCTGTACGCCCTCCCCGTCTGCCACCCCTTTCTCGTGTTTTGTGACTTCTTTCGCACTCATCCCCTCTTTTTGTCATTGTTTCCCGCCTGCCCGCTACAAAACATTCCTCCAAAAATCGTCTACTCCAAACTACAACCGTGGTCTGTGCCCGCACAGAGAATGTACTGCGCAAGCGATCTTGCGCCCAGTCTGCTCTTGTTTACCTTGTCTTTGGCACTTTGACTACCACCTAACTCATGTTTATTTCCTTCTCCTTGTCCTACCCCTCATCCATCATTTGATGTTCAGATGTCTGCGGTTTCCGCTCAGCTCTGCCTTATTTGCGGAGAAATTGCCGATTCCATTCACTTTGGAGCACTTTCATGCAGGTTTTATATCAAATTCATATCAGGTTTTCCACATAAACTCGCTATTTTAAGAGCGTGTGCCGCCTTTTTCCGTCGAAAGTTGCCGCTAATCAGAAGATGGTCAGGAGGTGTGCGGGGGCGTGCAAACTCGAAAACCAAGTGCTCCGCCGGTTGTGTGCCAGTTGTCGGTACGAAAAGTGCCTAAAGGCCGGCATGAAACCGTCCGCCGTGCTTTCGAGATTGCCAATCAAGTCAGAAGACGTCCCTTCGACCTCAAAACCTCATAAAAGTCTTCTGGAGCAGCTGAAGGATGCGTACGGGAGATTCGAGAACGCAAGGAAAATCGCTTCAAGCGAGAGGTAAGAATCGTGAATTCTGTCAGCAATTGAGTGGTTTTTCTTCAGGAAAACCACGTTCCAAAACTTTGCAACTACAAAGAAATGAATGAAATGTGCTTCGTCGACGTCAAACTTCTCTTGGAAAACTTCATACCGTTCTTCCGAACGAACGTGCCGACGGACGAGGAACAACAAAAGTACCTCGTGGCACACTTTTGGTCCCTTTCGTGATGTTGGACGGTGCATTTAGATCCACGAGTAAGACTGATCCTCTGGCTTCGATCATCCGTCTTTGCAGTTTCAGAAAGTGACGTGTTCCTCCTGCCGAGTGGTGATTTTGTGGATATCCGACAGCTGGAGCAGTACTATCAGAATCCGGATGAGGAGGACGACGAGAAGGCGAAGCATGCTCGGTTGTGGGTGATAGTTTGTGAATTGAAATGAACGCTCACTTCCAGAATACTTGAACCGTATTGGAAACTGACCAAACAGACTATCCGACGACATTTGAGGGAAGTCAAACTCGATCTTTCCGAGTTCCTTCTTCTCTCCGCTCTCATTTATTGGGATTTCGGTGAGTCTTCATCCCTTGTTTCATTTTTAACTGCTTATTTCCCCTTAGGACTTGTAAACCAATCGGATGAGTGCATAGAAATGTGCAAATTGATGAGATCGAGAGTTCTGGAAGAGCTGACCAACTACGAGAAGAGCATCCACTCAACGACGACCATCCGATGCGAGTCGGCGAGATTGTGATCGTGCTGCAGACGCTGCAGAAGTCGCTGAACCTTATGCACGAGTGCAGAGATCTCTCAATGGTCTATAATTTGTACGGGAGAAGCTGTCCTCTTTTTGACATCACCGATTATAGTAGTTGTGTGGAGATGTGTAGTTTGGAGTAGATTCATTTGAAAAACCCTGTGATGTTATGGAACGGGTGGCAAAATCTCGAAAGCAGGTGCTTATTCAAAAAATGTACAAAGTGTTTTGCTTAGAAAATGAAGTCAGTTATCTCTCTCTCTCTCTCTCTCTGTCCGTCTATCACAAAACTCTTTGAGAGTAGGCCACAGACACGCATTTCTCTTGTCATTTTCCATCGATTGAATTAAACGCAGTCACATGTCCGTCCCTTTGTCCGTTTATTTTTGATTGCTCTTGACAAACATATGTTTCTCTGTAAATACAGTAGAATGAGCGCTCGCACTTTCTATTTCTCCACTTAATTTTATGTATCACCTTCACTTTTAACCTTTTCAATGGATTCTTCAGCAACGTCTTCTCAAATGATCACCGTCTCGTTCAGAGTGGAACAATTCCGGAAACCTCTGGCTTTGGTTGAATACTTGCAGCTCGTGAAGGTCAACGAAACATACCCGGTCAGTTTAACTCATCAAAGTGATCTTTTCGAAACTCGAATTCTTTGAGGTGTCGTGCTAGACTAAAAGTTCGATAGAACAAGCACTTTTTGATGTTTGCGTACACTCGTCACAAGTAATACGACGATCATTGAACAGACAGTCTGACTTTTTTGATAACGTCATGCAGTCAGCAAGACAATTCGAAAATACCATGTTCGAAAATCGCATCACAAACATACTCAGGGGTGTGGCACGTAGCAAGCAAGCTGCTGCACAAAACAGCACGGCTGCCCACTGGAGTCGGTGCCACACCCTTGCTCAAAATTGTCTGAGTATGAAGACAGTCGCCGACTTTGCTTTTTCAACCGACAAGGTCATGTCTATGAAGGGCATTGTCACTTTTTCGTCGAGTTGTTTCCCGAGAAAGGTTACTAAGTGATGCACACCTAAAAATTGACTCCGTCACGGTCGTACTGAATGTCTCAAACACTCCGAATCCAATCCCAATCATCCTCTTTCCAGCACTAACTCGTGATGGTCATTCCGAGTCCCCTGCACTTGTCCAGACGACACTTTTTACAAACTAAGCCAAAAGGGCAAAAGAGAGAAGAAGGTACAGAAGCGGAAGAGTGAGTGTTTTCAAGCAGAGAAAGAGAGCGAGCGGAATGGTTTTTAAGATAAAAGCGATGAGTCAGACGGGTATTCAATTGCGGAAAAGATCGAGATCATTGTAGCACAGCCATGTCTGGACCCAAGGCGAATCACGATAACAAGTAGAGACGCCACGTTTTCATGGGAACATTCCGCTCTTTGTACTCGTTTCCACCTGACCAATGAGACATGATCTCACGCCTCGGGGGGTTTCTCTACCAACTTTGGACCCAACTCAAATGTGAGCTCTCTCTTTTGACTCGATGAACTCCTCCGCATTCACAATCACTCTCATTGGCACTTTGGCGTCGGTAGTCGTCATTTCCACGAACGCATTTTTGTTATATAGCACCAGAAAGTAAGTGGTTCATTGGAGACAAAGAAAACAAACATTTTGTGCAGAAGGAGGAAAGATCTCATTTTATTCTACTTTCGCTTTCACGTCGATGTCATATTCGGGTTAACTTGTAAGAAAATATTGCAGCCAACCATCAGAGTCTTTTTCAGATTTTCTCTATTCATTTTTCATTCTTGGTTTTGCACTGTACGAAACCTCGTTTTTCATCGACAACTCAGCATTATTCTGGCTTGGGCTCCCATTCTCGAACGCGAGTGCCGCCAGAACATTTCTCGTACTTCTTATTGTTCTCGACAGAGTTTTGGTGAGGGGGAAAACAATTAAAATGCGAACTTTTGAAAAGAGAATGTGTGCCTTAAAAGTGCTCCGAGCTGAGAAGCTCTGACGTGTTGCTAAGCTACACGCCGAGACCGACAATGAAATGTTACTCGGCAATTGTTTCATCTTTAAAATGGCATAAAGTTGCAATCGCCTGCAATCTTCGAATCTTAGTCACACTTGTTAAAAAATTTGCGATCAAAAAAGATTAAGTAGTTCAACTTTTGAACCTATGTGACTGGACCTCGAGATGCTCCGTCTGTCTAAAGAATAATTCTATTTGAGGCGACTTACCTGCCCATCAAATACCACGTCATCCGCCCGAGAGTCCCCAACTTCGTCATCCTAATCACTCCTCTTCTGTTCTTGCTGACTGAGGACATTGTCATATTCGGAGTGTGCGGAATGAACACCCATCCGATCCCCGAGACCTGCACCACCTTCCCATGCACTCTCAACTCTTGCGGCTACTCCTGGTGGACTTCCTACAAATCGGTCATCTTTCCAATTATCATCGCTTTCACAATTGTGTTATGCGTCAAACTGATGACGTACTCGAAACGTCTGCCCAATTCCGGAGCGTCCGTTAGGGTCTGTGAGCTTTCTTACATTCTGGGGAGAAATATCATAGTTTAGGCGAACCGCTTAGCTCTTCTGGATGCTGGCCTTATATTCACCTTCGATTTCATACCATCATTCCTCGCAAATCAGTTCCCGGACTCTCCTCTCATAGCTTACACGGTACACAGTTGATCAGGGAGCAACGAGAGGACACATGAGACTTTCAGACGACCGGCCCAGTGACGGCGATGCTGAAACAAGTGGGAAGAGCTGTCGAATCGGTGATTGTCGTCGAGATTCTGGTGAGAAGGTTTCCGAAAGTGGAGACGGACGGGACGAGAGGAAAACGGTCAACCCAGCAACTTCCGGTCGTTTTGAGAGATACCTCACATCCTTGATTTCAATCCAATAAACATTACATTTTGACATTTCTCTTCAGTTTTGTGAATGATTATTGATTCCCCACTTACAAGTGTTTGCGTCTATACCTTCGTGTTTGATAGTTGATAGCGGATCCCTTCTTGGAGAGAAATGATAATAAATCAGCTTTCAAATGCCTATGGGAAATTCAGGTTTATTCACAGACTACACTCTTCTCAGATCTTCTCAGAGAATCCCAAAGAAGGCAAGCACTCACAAGACACACGCTACGAATCTAGTGAGTAATTTAGGGAGAAGTCTCCCGATCAATTAGGCTTATGATTTGACGAACAGTTAGTCAACAAACGTATGATTTGTGCCCGGCGCAACGCCCTATCTTTCTGCCCAATCTGTGACTTCAACCACTAATTCCGCTTTCTTTTCCTTCTTTATCTTCTTCTTCCTCATTTCGTTTTTTCATTCTGCAATGTCTTCTGATCCATCGACGTCTTCTTCTTCTTCTTCTTCCGCATCTGAAACCGTTCCGAATTCCACGTGCAAAGTGTGCGAGCTGCCGGCTCATGGAGTCCACTTTGGAGTGCAGAGCTGTCGGGCGTGTGCCGCCTTCTTCAGGTTACTCTAACTCGAATACAGATTTTAATCAAAGCGTTTGCAGAAGGACAATAGTGATGGCTCGAACCAAAAAGTACAAGTGCAGAGGGGGCCACAACACTTGCTCTGTGAGCACAAACGAGAGGTTTGCTCTTTTTGCAAGATCTGACACGTGTGTTTTTTTTCAGATATCACTGCAGATTATGCCGCTACAATAAGTGTGTCTTACTCGGAATGACCTCAGAAAGTGAGTGCTATCACGTGTGATAAGAGGGCGTAAACCAATTTAGATGTCCAATGGAATCGCGACTCTTTCCCAGCCGTCAGGAAGAGAAAGAATAATAAGAAGGGGGAGGAGGAAGAAGACGGAGAAGGAGAAGAAGAAGAAGAAGAAGAAGAAGAAGAAGAAGAAGAAGAGGAAGAGCACAAAGTGCCTGCAAAAGTGAGCACATGACTATGGAGAGAGCAGTTTTGAATGAAGTGAGAATTCAGAGACCACGTTGGGATCCTACGAACTTGATGATTACAAAACCGAAAAGAGTTGTGGATGTGACGTTGTTGGCCACCAAGATTCAGAAGATTCTTAATGATGTATGTAGTGTGAGAGACATTTCGCAACCGAATGCTTTAGAAAAAGATGTGTGAAGATCCGAAACTGAAAAAGATGAACAATTTGGAGAAGCTGGATCACGCGCTGAACGAGTGGAGAGCACAGCAAAGGCCCGAAGAGGAAATGAAGGTTTTCCACGATTACACATCACCTTAAATTCATTCTCTTCCAGGAAATTACTGACTTATCAGTCAAAGATTTGTTCACGATTTTCGAGGATCAAATGCTCGTCGTCGCCACGTGGCTCGCCCATTCTCCCCATTTCAAACAGCTCGAGCCAGTCGATAGGTTCCAAGTGTTTAAAGTGATTTGGAATGTGTGGAGACGTTTCGAGAGGGTCGAAATGTCGGTGAAACTGTTTGGAAAGAGTACGAGCGGTGTGAGAGTAAGCGAAAGAATACGATTAATGTCAAGTTTCAATGTTTCAGAAGTTTGCAATATCTGAGAAGCACTACGTAACTCCTCAGTTCATGGTCGACTTCTCAAAGATCTCCGATCTTCCGACGGCGTTCATCGGCGGAATATTTCGGGATTCAATGAGAAAAATGTTCAAATTGGTGGCTGTTCCGTTGTTGAGAATGGAGCCAACATCTATCGAGACGACTTATATGTTGAGCCAACTGACGTGGCAAATGGCAGGTATGCACGTTTGATAATATATACTCGATAATATCATGCGGTTTCAGGTCAAGCACTCCAGGGAAACGTGATGGAAATGGCGGAAAAAGTGCAGGAGGAGCTGGCCGACGACCTTCACCACCATTATTTGAAAATAAAACGACGCTCGAACTACGCGAGCCGGCTCGTTCAACTGATGAGCATTGTGAACTCGGTCAAGAAAATACATATGGAGAGGAAAATGACGATGGAGTTGGCGAACGTGTTCGATGTTTTCAATGTTGAACTGTCTGACCCTGAAATTTATGATTCGTGAATGAACTTATATACTCTTGTTTGTTTTGATTATTCCATCGAAGAAGAACTCAATCTAATTTCCTTCTTGTTCATCCAATCCATTCAATCCTCTTCTAACACGCCTCAGTTATTATAGGAGCAAGTACAACTGCCGAACCGTGCTCAGAATGTTTCTGCAGTGTTCTCTCTGACCATTAACTCATTCCTAATCATCTTAATAATCACTAAATCGCCTCGAGAATTGGGTTCTCACAAATATCTGATGATGTTCATTTTCCTACACGAGATTGGCAATTCCCTCATCGACGTCATTGCTATTCCATACGTACGGTTCCGTATTTCTCATAATTACCGTTTTCTTGTGGGTGAGCACTTCCATCTCAATCGACACTTTCCCGTGTTCTAGCAACAAGAAACTACTGAAAACTTTCAGCACATGGAAGTTCTTCATCTGGCTCAGCGGGCCAATCATATATGGAGTAACGTGGTCCCTCCAAGCATATTATTTGGACGGTATCGGCAACACAATCGACAAGCGGTCCTTGGCTATTGTTTCAACAGCAATGTTGGTGAAAGTTCGAACGTAGACCAAGCCAAAACGAATTGATTCAAAAGCCAAGAATGACAAAGTCATCATGTTTTCTTCTCTTTTCCCTCTATGTGTGTTCATCCGAGTTTGCCAAACACACAAACCACAAGACCGGCCGTTTCATGGTTTGTGTCCTTTCCCTTCTCACTCTGCACCCTCTTTTTATTTCCTGAATCTCTGTGCGATCAAATATCATGCATTTCTCATCTTTCACACTTCAAAATGGACGATGCCACGTCATCTTCGATTCTCTGTCAAATTTGTAATGTTCCAGCGCATGGAGTTCATTTTGGTGTGCCCGCGTGTCGAGCCTGCGCGGCATTTTTCAGGTTAGCAAAACATCGTTTTGTAGGCGAGCGGAAATGTAAAATTTCAGAAGGACAATAGTGAGAAACAGTCAAACAAAGTACAAATGTCGTGGATTCGGAAATGATTGCAATGTGAACTCCGAGGGAAGGTACCACTGTCGCTTGTGCCGATTCAACAAGTGCATCTCACTCGGAATGACCACTGAAAGTTCGTTTCTTTTTTTTTCAAAAATGCACAATTCAAGAGCTCCTCTAGACGTAAGACTTTTCCAGATGTCCAATGGGATCGGGATCCACATATTATAACTCTTTTGACCACCGATCAGAAAAAGGTATGTGCCCACATTTTGAGTGATAATCAGCTGGAATATAGAGAAGAGACAGTGACCATCCTAATGATCCGAAGCCGTTCAATCCATTGTTGAAGCCGAAAAGGATAGTGGACGTCAGCAAAGTGGCATTGGAAATAAAGAAATCATTGGTGGAAGTGAGTCGATTTCTCCCCGCTTATCTTGAAATGGTTTTCAGGGAAACGAGTACCAGAACACGAAAATGTACCGTAGTCTGAACAAGTTGGAGCAGGCGGAATTCGCCCTGAAAGAGTGGAGGACTCAGCAGAAACCGGAGAGCGAGATGCAGGTCTGCAGGTTTGCGGTTTGAGCTCACAAAAAGAGCCCACCCTTTTCAGGTACTCGATGATATTCCCGTTGCGGACCTTTTCACGTCGGAAACAGAGAAATGGTCGGAATCTCGAAATGGCTGATGCACTCCTCCGACTTTCGATCTCTGAATTCGGAGCAGAAAGTAACCAGACTCTTCCCACTTTCACTTCTCGAAATTCTCTTTTTCCAGTATCAGTTCTTCCGATCAGTCTGGAACTGTTGGAGGAGGTTCGAAAGGTACGAGATATCCGTGAGAATGTTCCAGGAGGACACAATTCAGAATGATATGGTCAGAGCCAATTTGAACAGGGAAAACGAAATCAATCACATTTGCAGAAGTTCGCAATATCAACAGAACACTTGATGACGAAAAAATCGACGATCAACTTTTCGAAAGTGTCCGACTATCCTAGGGAGAAATTAAAAATGTGCCCCAATTCTCTATTTTAAATGTATAACAACGGAACAAGTTTCAGGATGTTCCAAGATTCAATGATGGGCTTCTACCAGCAAGTGGCGAGGCCTCTGCTGGAATTGAAGCTCAGCACAATAGAAGTGGCCTACATTCTTTGTGAGATTTGCTGGCAAGTTGCTGGTGAGTTCGGAAGGAAATCCCGGAAACGTTTCAAAGTTTGAGCGTTCAGGAAAGAATCTTCAAGGAAAAGTGCTGGAGACGAGCGAACGCGTACGCGACGAGTTGGCCGACGACCTTCACAAATACTACCAGACGACGCAAAGCAGCCAGAACTATGCGGCAAGACTCATAAAACTGATGAAAGTGGTCGGAATCCTGCTGAATACACATCTGGAGTTCAGGAGAACCATTGAACTCGCCAGTTTATTTGATGTATTCACAATAGAACTGTCGGAAAAGTTCTCTGTTGGATCTAACGAAGATCTGGCGAATATGAATCAAATGAAATAAACATTTTTGCTTAACGTTTTTGCTAATGGCTTCTTGACCTTCTTTTCTGTTAATAATAGATGTCTCCGTTTCTGTCAGTTTTCGACATTCTTCGAGGAGATCTTGCCGTCGCCGTCACTGCCCATTTGGTTTCTCCTCATTTTCATTTCCATTTCCCTCCCCTTGACCTTTTCTATTTGTTCTTCTGTCCTCCTCATCGATGAAGACATTTCTTGTCTTCGATTTCAGTCCGGAGACCTCTTCCTTCGTCTTTCGCTCCTCTTCTGGACATTCAAAGTTGTGTGATTATGTTTGCATTTCAATTCGTGACTTGTGACTTTCTCCTTCCACTGAAACACTTCCGCTATCAGTGCAGATAAGCGATCACACTTCCAGCCGGCACGGACTTCATTTCGGAACCTCTACTTGTAGGGCATGTGCTGCTTTTTTCAGGTGATTCTGGAATCTTGCAATGTGACCTCTTTGTGCTCTTTGCAGACGTACAGTAGTTGAAAAATGTCAGGAGAGGTACAGATGCCTATCAGGAAAACAGAACTGTGCGATTCCGGCAGCAGGAAGGCACTACTGTCGTCTGTGCCGCTTCAACAAATGTGTTTCACTTGGAATGACTTCCGACAGTAACTCTACTTCATTTTATTTCATTCCTAATTCAATGCTCACTACTTCTCCGATATTCAATGGGACCGTGACCCGGAGATGATTGTGGCCAACAAACAAAAAGAGGAAGCGAATGAGGTCCCCTTGTTGAAGGACCGTCAATTGAGTCAAAGAAGACGGTGGACGTTAGTGTGTCGTCTCGGCGAGAAATTTTTGAAAAATCTCGGTGTCTCGCCCTTGTGTCGTCTCGGTTTTTTCTCGTCTCGGTCTCGTCTCGTTCCATTATCATCTCGGTCTCGCCCTTTCTCGGTTCTGTCTCGGTCTCGTCCAGTCTCGTCTCGCCGTGTCTCGGTCGTCTCGCTGTCTCGCCCTTTCTCGTCTCGCCGTGTCTCGGTTCTGTCTCGGTCTCGCCCTTTCTCGGTCGTCTCGCCGTCTCGCCCTTTCTCGTCTCGCCGTGTCTCGGTCGTCTCGCCGTCTCGCCCTTTCTCGGTCGTCTCGCCGTCTCGCCCTTTCTCGTCTCGCCCTTTCTCGCACCTCCAAAATGTCTCGTTCTTTTCTCGGTGTCTCGGTGTCTCGTCCGATTAGAAAGTTCATTTCATTTTTGAAAGAGTACTTCCATTTCTTCGCAGAAAATACACGTAACCAGTGCATTCGACCTCAATTTCTGTCATTTGTTACAATTTTTGACATATTTTCTGATACATTTTCATTAAAAAAAGTACACCGCGTATCTTACTCAGTCACCTGGATATTCAGTCGTGTTGAGTAGGCTGGTCTAACAGGCGCCTGAAATCGTCTGTTCGACCAGGCTAGAGTTGAGATTGGAAAAAATGGAGTGGAAGTTAACTAATTGGTAGGAGTGTTTCAGAAAAGGAATAAAGAAAAGGAAAAGTAAAAATTTTATCAGACATAGAAAGAAAGAAGGAGCAAGGGAAAAGCAGAAGGGAAGCACGGAAAAATAAGCAGCAGAGGAATCGAACGAGGATCTGTAATCTGTTAGCCGAGCGTTTTAAAATTGCCAGTTGGCCATTCCGAATTCGGGGTTGCGGAGATGTTGCGGAGATGATGTGTAATGGCGATGAAAAACGGAAGAAGAACAAATGCTGCACAGCTCACGGTGACTGTTACCGTAACCATGGCGGCGGGTCTCGCCACGATTGGAGCCCGCCGTGAACGGGCGGAACGGGCGGGCGGGCGGCTTTTTTTAGTTTTTGATGAATTTTCTCCAAATATACATCTCTTTAAAGCGTTTTTCTCCACTTTCTAACTCAATTAGACCTTTTTACAGATTCAAGGTGAAGTAATACGCGAAGAGAAGTCGATGCGATGAAAAGAAACGCGTAAGTAAATGGAAGTAATGTTTTATTCAGAAAATGCACGATTTCTCGAAGATTTTCTAATCTTTTAGTTAAAAAACGTTACTTACATTACTGAGAATATTTTGGAACCAAAAAGAAGTAGAGTGACAGCTCGCTTTCGCGGAAAAACCGATAGTCTGCCGGAAGACAGTGAAATTTCGTTGAAAAAATTTTTTTTTTGCTTCTAAGAACTGTCACCCTAATTTTTTTTGGTTCGAAAACATTCACAGTCATGTAAGTGAACAATTTAAATAAAAAAGTAGAAAATCTAGAGACGGTTTTTGAGAAATCGTATATTTTCTGAATAAAACATTACTTCCATTTACTTACGCGTTTCTTTTCATCGCATCGACTTCTCTTCGCGTATTACTTCACCTTGAATCTGTAAAAAGGTCTAATTGAGTTAGAAAGTGGAGAAAAACGCTTTAAAGAGATGTATATTTGGAGAAAATTCATCAAAAACTAAAAAAAGCCGCCCGCCCGCCCGTTCCGCCCGTTCACGGCGGGCTCCAATCGTGGCGAGACCCGCCGCCATGGTTACGGTAACAGTCACCGTGAGCTGTGCAGCATTTGTTCTTCTTCCGTTTTTCATCGCCATTACACATCATCTCCGCAACATCTCCGCAACCCCGAATTCGGAATGGCCAACTGGCAATTTTAAAACGCTCGGCTAACAGATTACAGATCCTCGTTCGATTCCTCTGCTGCTTATTTTTCCGTGCTTCCCTTCTGCTTTTCCCTTGCTCCTTCTTTCTTTCTATGTCTGATAAAAATTTTTTTACTTTTTCCTTTTTCTTTATTCCTTTTCTGAAACACTCCTACCAATTAGTTAACTTCCACTCCATTTTTTCCAATCTCAACTCTAGCCTGGTCGAACAGACGATTTCAGGCGCCTGTTAGACCAGCCTACTCAACACGACTGAATATCCAGGTGACTGAGTAAGATACGCGGTGTACTTTTTTTAATGAAAATGTATCAGAAAATATGTCAAAAATTGTAACAAATGACAGAAATTGAGGTCGAATGCACTGGTTACGTGTATTTTCTGCGAAGAAATGGAAGTACACTTTCAAAAATGAAATGAACTTTCTAGTCGGACGAGACACCGAGACACCGAGAAAAGAACGAGACATTTTGGAGGTGCGAGAAAGGGCGAGACGAGAAAGGGCGAGACGGCGAGACGACCGAGAAAGGGCGAGACGAGAAAGGGCGAGACGGCGAGACGACCGAGAAAGGGCGAGACGAGAAAGGGCGAGACCGAGACAGAACCGAGACACGGCGAGACGAGAAAGGGCGAGACGAGAAAGGGCGAGACGGCGAGACGACCGAGAAAGGGCGAGACGAGAAAGGGCGAGACCGAGACAGAACCGAGACACGGCGAGACGAGAAAGGGCGAGACAGCGAGACGACCGAGACACGGCGAGACGAGACTGGACGAGACAGCGAGACGACCGAGACACGGCGAGACGAGACTGGACGAGACCGAGACAGAACCGAGAAAGGGCGAGACCGAGATGATAATGGAACGAGACGAGACCGAGACGAGAAAAAACCGAGACGACACAAGGGCGAGACACCGAGATTTCTCGCATTTTTGCGAGACGAGTCTCGACGAGACGACACACTAGTGGACGTTAGTCGATTGGTTGAAAGTGTACGGAAAACTTTAAGCGAGGTATGTATACCTAAAGACTTTATCCAACTGTTTCACTTCTTTAGAAATTGAGTGCTAAAGAAGAGAGAATGAAATGGCTCTGATGAAGCCGCGGATTATATCATCCATCTCGTAGACCGAATGAATTTCTTTTCCGTTGGCGCCTTGAATGTTATCGCTTCTGAGAAGGACTGTGTGAGCGAGCATCGCAAAAACATCGCAAAACACAACTCACATCGAAACAACATTTTTGACCCTCAGTCGAACACGCGCGTACATGCTGAGCGAAGTCTGCTGGCAAATCGCAGGTTTGTATAAATATTGTATGCATATCAAATGAAGGAGTGTCTTCAGGAAAAGCGATGCAAGGGGAAGTTCTGGAGATGAGCGAACGGGTTCGCGACGAGCTGGCGAACGATTTGCACTGATACTATCAACGAAGAGATCGTAATCAAAAGTATGCGGGACGGCTGATCAAACTGATGAAAGTGGTGGACGTGTTCATGAAAACGCACTCGGATCTCAAGCAGATCATGGAGCTCGCCCAGATTTTTGATATTTTCAAGGAAGAACCATCTGAACCCACGTTCTACAACACTTAGTTTATTCGAAAACGTGTCAATGAATACATCATGGTGATTTCTCGATGCCCAAATGGTGTCTGTACCACCAGCTCTCGATTCTCTGATCGCAGTTCGAGCACGTCCATCCCAATCCGCACGTTTTCTGAAAAATGATAGATAAAGGATGACATTGGGAAATAAAGACGCACGTCGTCTGACTCGTTAGCGGCGCGTTTTCTGATGGAAACTCCGCATTCGCTGATGTTCACGGTGAGAACTTTCTGAAGATTGGGCGCCGGAATGCGGATGACGTGCACGCCCGGATAATAGTCGATTCGGCCACTGAAACGATGGGCGAGTTGCTCCGGATTCTGCTCTTCCATGTGCGGAATCCAATAATAATCCATCTGCGATTCCCTGTTCCACAAAATTCCCTGAAATCATTTAATTCGCAAAGGTATTCAGTGCGCTACCAACCGCCAAAAGCGCTCCCAATTGACACCTCATTGCTGTTTTCTTTATGAACTCGGTTGCTGAAAAGTGATTTAGTTTTGAAAGGTTCACGATTTCAGTGTAAACTCACGGAGGTCTCGGTATGTGTGTGGATCGAGATCCTCGAACTTCTTTCCGGCGAACAACTTCAAATCACTCTCGATTCCCTTCATGAAGCTCGTCGTCACTCTCGCCAGGTCGATTTTAAAAACTGAACTTGCGAGTTCAAAAATTCAAGCCCACTGAACAGAATTTTAGTGCGATTCGCTTCGTTTTGCTCTCGATAATTCTGGCTGAGATAGTCCCAAATGGCCTGAAAAACGGAATGCCATTTGTCTTTCCTCCGAAGAACGTTAGTACCTGATTCGGAATGATCAGACTGAGATTCAAAGTTTCAATTTTGATGTGTTTGTGTGAAATGGCTCTGATGAAGCCGCGGATTATATCATCCATCTCGTAGACCGAATGAATTTCTTTTCCGTTAGCGCCTTGAATGTTATCGCTTCTGAGAAGGACTGTGTGAGCGAGCATCGCAAAAGCACACAACTCACATCGAAATAACATTTTTGACCCTCAGTCGAACACGTTTTCTGGTCACATCAACCCTTAGAACTTGTGATTTACTCTCGACTACAGTCAGAGACGCGTGATTCTTATCACTGGTCACCCTCAGAAAAGGTATCTTCTGTGGAAGCGAATCGACAATCTTCTGATCGTGTGTCGAACAGACACGCAACCGGTTTCTGAAACCCTCGACGTGTGTTCAGCTACTCGCAGTCCGCTTACTTGGTCAGAAAATCGGTGTACTTCACGATCTCCCTCTTCATTTCCACTGGCAAGTTGGGCCAGTTCACTGGTTCATTCGCGTCCTCCACCTCCCATCGGGGAGACTTCCGAGCGAGAAGTTCTTGAACACGTCGAAGCATTTCTCAGACTCTGACTGAAACAAACATTGCGAAATAGGTATGAAATAATACGAAAAACTGCGAGTGTGACGGACAGATTCGTTTGCTTTTATACCAAGTCAGAATCAGAGATTAGCAGACGGACACGGTGAGGTTTCTGCTCGACAATCACCTTGGCGACACATCGGAAACGAAGCGAGCAGTGACGAGAGCTCGTGTGTTCTCGTGTGTGCGCGACGAAAACGAAAACGAAAAAGAGAGAGGGAGAGACGAAAAAGCGCAGACTTTGTGGGCGAAAACGGAATGATTCACATTGGGGGGTTGTGACGGACGAAACGAAAATAAATTGATTATTATTTTCCAGAGTGCACAATTGTGTGCAATGTGCTCGAAACTTTTTGTTTTTCAGATTTCAGTGTTGTTGAGCAAAAGCCAAGGGCTTCTAAAAGGGTTTTGACGTGTACAAACAATAATTGTTCTAATTTAGGCTCTGATTGGATGATTCTGACAGAGACAAAAGTACAACGAGATTTTATTATGAATTGTGTTCAAATGAAATTCAGAACATGTCGTGAGCTTATCAAACTCCTCCGAATCCTCCCTGGTTGAATCCTCCCTGATTGAATCCTCCCTGGTTGAATCCGTCGGGTCCGCCCTGGAAGCCTCCGTTGCTGTATCCGCCGCCGCCGTTGTAGCCTCCTCCGTTGTTGTAACCACCTCCGGGTGCTCCGTAACCTGAATCAACATACTTTATACTTTGAAAACCGATTCCAAAACGAACCTCCTCCGCCGAAGTCGCCTCCAGGTCTACCGTATCCGCCGGGTCTCGCAAAGACGACGACGAAAATGGCGAGAAGAAGAGCGAGAATCTTCATGTTTTTGAGTTGAATTGAGATGGAATGATATCGGTTTTCGTCGACATATTCTCCTTTTATACTCCCAGTCCTTAGCGCAGAAACTGTGTAATTTCGACGGAGAGTGTCCGAGGGTTGGGTCACAAGAGAAGACGTTCCGACGAAATAGCACGGGAGCGGGAGAGGAGAGCGAGACGATCAATGATAAGGAAATCAGAAGAGACCGTGCCTTTTTGCTTTGTTCTTCATTCGGCTTTCCACGTCATTCGGCAAAAGGCGGAAGTGATTCAGAAGCAGAAGTTGTGGAGAAGTACAGCAGAAGTACAGTCGAGTTGAGCGAATGGGGGCAATGAGTCAGAGAACTGGAACATTCAGATGTTGATTTGTTTTTGATATTTCACGAAGAGAAATGTACTTTTTTTCCGATTCATTAGTATCCAATGCACTTTGAGTCTTCTGATCCAACGTTTGACATTTGAGAAAACAAGCACAGAGAGCCTTTCATCATTTTTGAGTCAGTTGATTTTCGGGATCATCAACCTTGTAATGGACTACCTTTAATAACAGTTTCAATAAACCGATTGGATCATTTGATGCGCTTCAACTTTAGTAATGTTCGGATTAGTGTAGGATAAATACAATCCAAATTCAGCGTAGATTTCGAAAAACAGGTGTGGAACTATTCAGATTATAATGTTCATTAATCACATGTAATCAGTCCAAAAGTTGATTCATCCAGAGTATCCATATCCACCTCCTCCAGAAGGGAATCCGCCACCACCGGGAAATCCTCCGACTCCTCCGCCTTGGAATCCTCCCGCCGACTGCTGGAACGCCGACTGTTGAGCCCATTGCGATCCGCCTCCGCCGAAGTCTCCTGAAACATTCGCAACTTCAATTGTATTCAACCGAACGGGATGCTCACCTCCTCCGAAGCCAGGCCGTCCATATCCGGGATGTGGTTTCGCGGCCGTAATTGCGAGAAGAGCGAGAACAAAAACAAGTACCTTCATTTCGAACGAATGATAGATAGTCTTTCACTGGAGTGCTCGATTTTATAGCGACATTGAAAACAGGAATTTATCTTATCACAGACTGTCTTCTGGCCGGAGGCCGCCTTCTTTCTAGCGATAATAACAGGTCAAATTTCAAAAACAAATACTATTATGAGTTGAATCGAATCAACTTTCAGCTCAACGCTGATATTGTGGCCTCAAGAAACAAGATTCGATTCTCGAAGCGTTCTGACTTCAAAGACCGTATTTAAACCTGAAATGAACGGTGAAGCCAAATTTTCTCTTAAGGACATATATCCGTATGTAAAAAAGTTCCAATGGAGGGGTTGTATTCTGAACATAACTGTTAGCAGCTGAAACTATTTTAGTATCGTTCCGACTACTCAGACAATTTTGAGCAAGGGTGTGGCACGTGGTAAGCAAGCTGCTGCACAGAACAGAACGGCTACGTGTTAACCAATCTCTTCTTCGTATGAATCTTGAACTCAACATTCTATTCGGTTGCCATTCTCAACGAGTTCCATGTGTCGCTCAAAGTATTCAGAGCACTCTTAAAGTGGCAATCATTTTCAGTGTGATTTTTGTAAAATTCCCGGATGTACACCAGTGTTGAGCGGAATTCCGTCTTCCGTCTTCCGTCTTCCGTCTTCCGTGGTTTTTTTTGTTCCGTCTTCCGTCTGCCGTCTTCCGTGAGAAAAGTTTTCTTCCGTCTTCCGTCTGCCGTCTTCCGTAAAAGAATGTTTCTTCCGTCTGCCGTCTGCCGTCTTCCGGGATTTTTTTTTCTTACCGTAAAAGAGTAATAGCTTTTCAAAAGCTATTTTCTAGTCCCGAAGAACGCGAATTTCCACGGGCAGTACCCAGATCCAAAAGTTTTGTTGCTTTAGTTATTTTTTTCAAAAAAAAAACCGGAAAAAAAGGCTCTGAATTGACGATTTTTTGTTCCGTATTCCGTCTGCCGTCTTCCGGGAAAAAAGTCTTCTTCCGTCTTCCGTCTGCCGTCTTCCGTGAGAAAAATTTTCTTCCGTCTTCCGTTTTCCGTGTTCCGTAAGAAAAATTTTCTTCCGTCTGCCGTCTGCCGTCTTCCGTATTTCAAAATTCCATTTCCGCTCAACTCTGATGTACACTAATCCAGTCAAATCATCGCACGGTCTCTACAGTTTTTTTTTTCAATTAGGTACTCAATTTATGTGAGCTGTGTAAAAACGATCAGATGACTCGTGAAAGTACAATTTTTCCCTTTCCCGTTTCGAAGTGTGGTTTTGTGAACATTCACCTGATAAAACAGATTGTATTGTGAAATTTCATTCGTAAAAAAGAGGAAATTGTAAATTGTACAAAATGACAACAATTATCTTCTTCCAAAGCCTCCAGGACCACCTCCGAACCCTTCAGGACTGCCTCCGAATCCTCCGGGCCCTCCGCCGAATCCACCCTGGTTCTGGAAGCCGCCGGAACTCGATTGGAACGAAGAGGATTGGGATCCCCACTGGCCGCCGCCTCCTCCAAAGTCACCTGAACAATATAGAGCTGAACGCCTTCTTTATCTGAGTCTTTACCTCCTCCGTAAGACGGTCTACCGTATCCCGGATGGGGTTTAGCCATGGCAAAGGCCAGAAAAGCAGCCAGAAGCACAATAGTAGTTGTCGTTCTCATTTGCAATTTCAGATCGCCTTTCCGACGATCGGTCGCTTTTATATCTAGTGATGGACCCGAAAAACTGGAATCTGTCAGTCATCTTTCGCCAAAATGGGAAAAACAAGAAGTGTAACAATCTGAAATAATGACCAATGGTCTGAATTTCAATTCTGAAAACAAAGAGAAGTTTTATTCGTTTGGAATTTCAAAATTATTCTAAATATTTTCTTTAAAAAGATAGTTTTGGATTAGAACTAGTTAATACAGATCAAAAAGTTACAATAATTTCAGATTACAGTCGGATGTCCAGTCTGCTTAACTTAAACCTATGCATTTCAACATCACGGGGGTTAAAGCGGGGGAACGTCAATACCTAGCCTAAGAAGTTAGAGACAATTGTGAACTAGCCCATCCCATTCATAACCTAAGCCCAGAGGAGAATAAGAGGGTAGATCACAGGGATCGACAGAGGATAACCGCAAGAACCCACTGGTAAACGAAAGGAAAACGAGAATGAGCAAATCACGAGAGACAAAGAAATATGGCAGACAATGATTTTGGTGGATGAAGAGTGAGATGGAAGATGGATGGATGGATGGATGGATGCGTGGATTCGCTACGTGAACTGTGGCGGTCTCAGCACCAAGTCCTCTCGTGGCGGCGACGGAGAGCTCTGGAGCTGGGCGGGCCGGTCGAAGTTGGTCGGCGAGTTGTTCACGTCGAAAAGATTGCGACGCGAGGAAGCGGTCCGGTGCAGGGCGGGCGTTGAACGCTCATTCGTCGAGGTTGACACGACGACGGACGATGACGTGGAAGACGTCGAGGCAGAAGACGAGAAGACCGAAGACGCGGAGCAGGAAGAGAAGGTTGACGTGGAGAGGAAAGAGGTGGAGCGGAGGTTGCGGGTGATGAGCGCCGGATCGGCAGTAGCGGAGCGGCAGAGCGTCGTCGCGAAATGCCTAAATGTGATTTTCTGAAGTGATTCTCGATCGATACGATAGATTTCCCGTCTGGTGGACCATCCCAGAACACTCACTCAGCCCTCTGCACAGTCTGTCCCGATCTTCTGTGCTCAACATGGAAATTCCACTTCTTGAGCTCTCCCGAGAACCGCACGTCGTTCATTTCCACGTAGCTGTTCGGTTGGCACAGCTCCTCCTTCTGCTCCTAAACCAGATATCTTCTACTTGTGAAATCAAGTGGGCGCAAACTCACAGGTTCAGCTTGCACAATATGGTAAAAGTTGCGGAATCCCTTGTCGAGTACGTACATCTCCTCGTAACTGCAGTTCGGATAGTTGCACACGTTGCGTTGACGGTCGTCTTTTCGGAGAGCGTACGCCATCGAAGGACCGCGCTTTTGCGAGAATTCGCAGTAAAAGATGGGGACGCGGTTCGAGCGAGGCTTGCCCGTTTCGTCGAAGAAGAACGTGGCCACGTTGTCGCGGTCGTAGAAATTGACGGCGTGCTGTAATCATCGGAAGGATTACGATATAGCGAACTGCTCACCTTGATGTGCCCTCCGTCGAACTCGAACGGGTAGCGACAATCGACCAAAATGAACTTTGCCTGAAATTCGACAGATGTCAGCGTCGAGAGTATGTAGATGAGCGTGTTTGCATCGATTCGACGGTAGAGAGTCGAGCACCAGGTCCGGAGGGTCTTCAGCTGATAGCGAACGACGAGATGGCTTTCGTCCTGCTCCTCCTCCTCCATTTCCTCCTCGTCCAAATGACCCATCATGGAGGCGACGGTGTGATGACGCTGTAAACTGCCTGAAGAAGTTCGGAGACTTTGTTGGGATGTCGACTGGTGGAACTGGTGGTGTTGGTGTGCCAGCATGATATCGTCCATCATCTGCTCCTCCTCTTCGTCCACCTTCATCGACTCGAGATGGTAGTGATCGGAAGCCCTCGGCGTCTCCTGCGTTTTCCCCATCTTGAAAGGAACCCATTCGTCGCCATCTCCGAACCGCTTTCGACTTCCGTTCTTCGATCGTATAGTCAAGGTGGGACGACGGAATAACAATAGCGCAGACTTAGGGGACTCTTCAACTCCGTTGAAAAGTCGGACCTGGCTCTTTCTTCTACTGTAAGTTTGGAAATTATGCAAAGTTCGTGACGGCGATATCTGTCAATGTTTAAAAGATAACGAAAAGAACTTATGGTTCACATCGAAATCGAGAATCCGGATCCCGTCGAGTGCCAAAACTCTCACCTAATCGTTGTCCTGTTCGATTGGATCAAGGAGCCGTCATCGGGTTCCGTGTTCTCGATCTCGTCCACTTCCATCGCTTCGCTTTGATGAGACTGAAAAGAAGAATTAAGTTGGAAAGGGAAGAAAATAAGAGTGGTGATGAAAACTTACAGCGGATTGAAAAGACCCGAAGGAAGTGGGGGCGCCTTCCTCCATATCGCAGATTCCCGAGTCGCGAGAGTCTTCATCAGTGTTCATGGTGATGGCCGCGGTCCCTGGAAACCGATCAATTCAGGAGAAAGAAGAGAAGACACGTGTGTGAACCATTGGAACAGAGAATGGGAATGGGATGAGCGGGATGAGCGGAATGCGAGTGGTTGGGGCGGACCGTCCACTGGTTTCCCATTGGGTTTGCTCTCGGGAATGAGAACAGAATGTGTTGTGAGATCGCGGGCTGAGCGAGAAAAAATGAGTTGGCCGGCGGGCAGTTGGTGAGATAAACGCCACTTTCAGAGACATTATCGCAACAATTTGACCTACACTACTGTAGGAATGGACCCTCGTCGCAGGTCTACAATTTCTCACTGCCCCCTTCTTCGGCTGCGCGACACCAGCACAGCGCACAACACAAATAAGATGGGCGTAGGCGAAGGAAACGGTAAAATAGTAACGGGGCATTTCAAAGTGATTGTTGCCAACTAAAAACAGAGAAAATTCTTCGAGAATTTAAATAAAGCCAATTGAAACTCGTTTCGCGGAAGAGAGGTTTCTCAACAGAGCGCATTCACATTGAAATGCCCCGATAGTAACTGATAGATGCTGGTCTATGTTTGAATTCGTCGTTTCTCTTCACGAAAACACAACAACTCTGTTTGCGCTCATCTTGTAAACCGACGCAGCTGGAAAGAGCAAACAAGAGGCGAACACAGTGTCTGCGCGACAACATCCGCCACCGATTTGAAGCTCAAAAGCCCAAAGAGAAGTGAGTGGATATACGTAAACTTTTTGTAATCGGCCCCCAGGTCAGTGTTGCGCAACTCGACCGGCCATAACCCAGGGCGCTTTTTTTTGTAAAACATCGGTTCTCACAACAAAATTTTGAATGGCGATTGTTGTGGGAATGCGAATGTTGATCTATTCGAGTTTTGTCGAAATTCTAATGATCATTTGAATGGATTACAGGTACTGTAACTTTACTTTAATGATCTTTAGTACTGTACTGGACAGTAGTGTCCAAAAAGCCCCGGAAATTCAAGTGTCTAGTGCCGAAAAGATTCAAACGTAACCCGACGTAACGGGCAAAAAGAGACAGAGCCGGCTGGTGTGTGCGTGTTCGCAAGTGCGCCAGGTGGTGTCCGAGCTCTTCCCGGACCCTCCGACGCTCTCTCTCTCTCTTAATACCTATACATTAGTGTCCGGTCCGACAGGGAATTTGAATATGCCACGCGCGAGACTCGATGCGGACACCTGTGGTCGATGTTTTTCAGACGGCCCAAAAAAAATGAAATTCTCGACAGGTGGCGCGTGGCAGCGACAGGGAGAAGCGAGAGTGAAAGTATCGGACACCGGCCGAGGTTGCAAGTAATCCGATCGTCAGAAGTGAGCTCTCGGATGCATGCCTCAGCGTCGAAAATGTTTATAGTATACGGAGAGGTCAGAAGGTGTCAATTTGTATAAACTATCGGTGTCAAAGGGACGAACAAGTATAAACTCACAAATTCAAAAGTGTCTTCGAATGAAGGGGAGGAGGAAGAACATCGAAACCGATTGGAGATCGGATCGGAACCTTGGTGCCAGGCTCCTCGACATGCCAATTTGTCAACCTTCTTCTTCAGATGCCTATCGCGAATCCGACCGTGTCAATTACCATTTTCTCACCCTTCTTGAACAAACTTTGGGCCTTCTGAATGGGTGCGGCGAGTCGCTTGCAGTAAGACAAAAAGAGGTCAGATCGAAATTTAGATTGTATTTACTTGCGGGTGTTTCGGGTAACTCGTACCACAAGTTTGAAATTCTCCTCACACCACGGTCATAACTTCAGAGAAAGAATGGATTGGGGGGAATTGCAACTCATAACCTGCCGGAATTTGCTCCAATTTCCCAGGCTGATGCCCGCAATTACTGAGTTTATAGGCCAAAGTGTGTGTGTGTGTGTGTGGAAATGCGTTCGAAAAAAAGAGTCCCTGACCCGTTGGTTTAATCGTTTTCGGTTTGGTTTTACAGCCGCCGCCGCCGCCCCCCGATGGTAACCAAAAGAGACTTCCGCTTATCTGACACCCGAATCCAAGGCCGTGAACTACTCCCCTTAGCCGTGTTTCGAATTTTGCCAACACATCTACTCGATAGATATTTGCTTTTGATTCGAATCATCATTGTGCGTACGGGTCGGGAACCAACCCCTTATGGCACCAAATGTTCATCTTCAGCGAGTACTCGACGGAAAGACAATAGCCTCCCTCGTCCGGGTCTGGTCGTCTGCAGATACGCAATGATAGGTTGCGTCAGCAAAAGCGAACGCAATCAGAGACTAATGATTCGAATTCTGTGTTGTGTGTCTCTCGGCAGAACGAACACACGTACGGACCGTTCCGTAGAGTTCAAACGGCCAGACAGAGCCCACAAACTTTGCTTTTGGCGCGTTGGGAATGGCATTCCGATCAAACCAGTCAGAGCGATTTACAAATGAGCAGAAGAGAGACAAAGACTGGGAGAGAGATTCTCGAGATTACAGATTCGACTATTAGATAGAGTTCTTTTACGCGACTCTTTTAGGGGGGACTCTACTTTTTTTAACTTCACAGCCTCACGGACCGGCAAAGCATGCGGGGGACTGGACATTATGAAGCTGTAACTTCTCACAGAAACCTTACATTTACCTCTAACCTGGCTCATTTTGAAGAACACAGTAAAATTGAACTTTTATCAAAAAATCAGAGGTACCTATGTTCGATTTCTGGAGATAACTTGAAAAAACCGAAAGTCCCATGTATGAAAAGCCGGGCCGTGAGCCTTCACAGCCAGCATATTTTTGGAAGAACTTCACTGCAAAAGCGCTCAGTGCAAACCGAAACACTTTTTGGGCCCAGTTTTTTGCTTGAAAGCCAAAATGAGAAACTTTGAAACGGCAATTGTTGCGGAAAATTGGCTTTTGGCAGAAATATTCGGCCACGGAGAAAGCTTTTGCAGTAGAGCGTGATTGCAATGTAAATTTTTATCCGGCTCATAGTTCCATGATTCTTATTTTTTGGAAAAAGTTCAAAAAACTCACCATCGTGCGTTGCTATTGCTGCTGCAAATTGTGTTGAAAACCTATTATTCATCATTTCGAAATTCCTATCCTTCTATTGTGTGCCCACGTGTTTGGAGTGATCTGAAAATGTTCGAATACGGGTGTCACATCGAAAGTGTCCAGAAGAAGAAGAAGAAAAAGAAGAAGAAGAAGTGAGGTATAGTGAGGAAATGACGGGGGAGTCGGGTGGGAGGAAGGCAGGCGGGTTCGCGGGGAGGTGGTCCGATTGCACCATCACGACCCTGTTGGGGGTAGAGCCGCCGGGCGAGAGTGTGCGTGGAATGGGGAGAAGCAGAGCGGATTTGGGTGGACGGTAGAGGCATTTCAAACAAGGGAAAGGCGACCGAAGCCGGACTGGTTCGGTTACAGATCATCGCGTTTTCGAGGCGAAGCGAATGATGTGCTATGATTTACGATACGAACTTTCTGTCTCTGGACCTGATCCGAACGTTCGAATCTTTGGTATTACTGTAGCGAATTCGCGCTCATTAAGGCTCAGAACGTTCAAATATTATGGGATTTTGAATAATCTGAATCTAGAAAAGGCGTCCAAGAATATGAAATAACAAAATCTTGCTTCCTCTAACAATTACATCGTTTTCCAATTAGATCTCATCCCAGACACTACGTAACCACCCGAAAAGGGGCAGCTGCGTTCCTTTATGATGCAAAAGCCTCCCGAGATGGTACAACTGCTCATTTTCTTTCCAAAGAATAAGACGAAGAAGGATTAGATTGCGAACTGTACGCAACTCGCCAACGGCTTCATATTCAAAAGACCGACGGAGAGGAAGAAGTGGCGCAACTTGTACTGCGCAATTTTTGACCTCACCGATATGTGTCTTTCGGAGGACAAGGATGGTCTCTGGATGTTCAATAATAGGTCCAGGAGGCCATAATAAAGCGAAGGGGGAAAGTTGAGATGACGCTCGTGTTCTCGAAATGTGAACTGAAAAAGACCGTGGCCCATGGGACCAATCCAAACATTGGGCAATCAAAAAAGTCGTAGACGGGAAAGTAAAGGTATAGAAAGAGAGAGAGAGAGAGAGTCGAACAAATATTACGGGAGGCAAACTTGACCCTCGCCACAGATTTGGGACTAATTTTGCAGAGATAGAAAGCATAGCTAACTAGAAGATCGACCACTAGCTGGGGCAGCTGGAGGGGTGGTAATTTCTCAATGCCACTAGGTCAAACCACGGGCGCCGCCACCCCCCGATTCTCTTCTTTCTCTAATTCTCTCTCTCGCTCTTTTCTCCCACTAATTTCTCATTTCTGACGGTGCTTGTCGGTGCCAAAGGCCTCTGATGATGATGTCCGTTCAAAAGCCCGAAACGAAGAGCAGATGGTATGGGAATTCGTGTCGGAACCGTTAGGAGGACAAACTGATATTGTTGTCTCACACGAATGTGCAAATGGGCAGCTACCGTAATCCTAACAAGCCAAAAGAGACGTCTAGTACTGAATTGAAGCAGATACAGGATTACGGTAGATCTTCCTACGCCCAAGATTGCTCAAAATGGATTGACTTTGTCCGTAGCGTGTGAAAATTTCAAATCACTAGATCAAAGTATCCAAGTAAGTAGCACCCCCTCCCCTGGGGGCTTCCAACTAAACACAGATGTGCGCGTTCAAATTGTAACCAGCTCCCCCTCCTTCCGTCGAATACAAAATGGCTCATTTCGCCCCATCGTTCCTAGTTATGCAATCTATCATAAGAAGCCAGGAGAGGCAGTGTGCAGAGCGGAGAGACGCAGACATCCGCCGACAGCTGACAGCCAGGCGTGCGAACCGTCTGCGCGGAAGGATGAGGAGCACAGAGAGAGGGGGGAAGCTCCGAACATTTGAATATTCCGGGGCAAACGAAGGAGAGGGGGTGAAAACATGTGCGCGCGATGACGATGATGATGATGGAAAGCTGAGAGAGCTTCGGAATTTGGGGCAGTGGATGGGAAGGGGCAGGTGCTTATGAGTTATGGAGAGACAGATGAAGCTTCGTTTTGAATCCATCTTGGCTCATCTTAAATCATGAACATAGAGTCATTAGCATCTTCGAAGATCTGGCAATCACGCTCTATAGCACAATCCCACGTGAAAACTCGGCCGCGACCGCAACC